TGGGCGAAGAATCATGTTCTGGGGCACTTGGTAGACTTCCTCGTCCGCGTCGTAGATCATAACATGGAGCCGGTCGTCTAGAATACATCAATTAAGCTGAGTTCACACTGAATATTTGTGCAATGTACTGACCTGTTTGGTACTCCACCAGAAGCTTGAGGTTTTCCAGGTCGGTGCCGTACGAGTCGCAATGATCCCCGGCCAGGGTGAGGTCAGCTTCCAGGGTAGAACTTCCACGCTGGTTCACATTGGTAGCCGTGTAGCCAGGACAGTCCTCATTCGAAGATCGAGGTTGCAGTGCAACCACAGCTCCCACGAGGGAAGCCAGAAAGAGCACACCACCCCGCATGTTGTGAAGTCAACTGGGAGCACAACAGGTAGGAAGCGTGGGAGGAAACAAAGGGATTGAGAAGATGGGTGGTGCAGCTTTATGTATGAATCCGAGTTGGCCTGAATATAAATTGGTGCAACTTGAGTGGGGAAGCAGAGTGGAGGACAGGGGGGGGAGAGGAGAGGATAATGACCGATGAGTCTGTCGTTGGTGAGAGGTGCCTGGGATATGCCGGTATATGCCCAGGTAGGTAGGGTAACTATTAGTAGTATACTTACTATCATCTACTATAAACAAACACTTGGGTGATCTGATCTGCAGGATACATGCATAACTTGGCTAGATTTAGTATGATACAGTATACAGATTGATATCCCATAGGTAGCTATAGTACTTGCTACAGTATTTACTGTTACAGTACTAGCATACATTACTATTACTCTACTACCATCACTAAAATGCCCTACTTCCAACTGCCCGTTTAGGCAGGCACGTGGACTGTGAACCCTTGCCCTTCTCCTTCTCCTTCACCCCCAAAGCCTTTCTTCCTTTTCTCTCTCTCTTCCCACTTACACCTGCTTCTCGCAATTATGCCGAATCTCTCCCTTTGTCATTCTCATCCTTCCCACCCCCGCGAGAACAATCGGGTCCACATGATGGTTCAACACTGCTCATAAAATAGGCGAATATTTCATTTTCGATAACGGCGATCCCGACGCCACGGAACAAAATATTTCCTCAGTTTCATACCACTTGTTTATGATAGTATACCAAAGAGTGATCGCGGACTTCGGGACCTGGTGGTTGACGCCGCTGACGCTCATCTTGAGAACATTACGACCAAACAGGCCTTCCAAGAGGTTGATACCATCGAGTTTACCAAGGATTCACTCTCAAAGATTGGGGAAAAAATTCCGCGGAGCGTGCGTGGGCTGTGGTGCGCCGCTTATACCAGAGAATGTCGGTATGAGCCCTCAAAACCGCGCAGGGGTGAACCGATATCTTCGCACCGACGGTGTCGACTCAACCTCTACACACAGCAGAAAATGCCCGACCTACCGCTTTATCTCCTCGAACTTGAGGGGAAAGACCTATTCCGGAGATTCCCTTGGAATATTTGCTGGATGTACTTGTTGACCGCGGCGAAGGATGGGATGGAGCGGCGTCAATTGCTGAACTTACGATGGTGATGCGTATGAGTCAGAGAGCTCCTCCCGCTTATTATATTCATATTCTTTTTGCTGTACTCACGGTTTCTGCTATTGCCGATGCTACTATTGAGTCTGTGTGTACCCAACCCCTTTCTCTAGGCATTGGAAATCATTTGAGGGTGAATCTGGCTTTTTTGAAGCTGAACGATGGAGGTTTGGGACCGGGCCGCCAGGGACTTCTAAGCGTATCCCAACAACAGTGGAATATTCCAATCAAATTTCAGAAATATTACCTTTAATATATTTGCATTTGGTAGATATTCTTTTGTGAGAAGTTGGGATTTTTATTGAGGCCAGAATCGTTAAAACTTGCAAGTCAGATTTCCCGACGGGTTGGTTGATATCAGGTGACCGACGAGCGTGTGCACTTTTCTCCTCTCTATTCTGTAGCTTTGTTCCCTTTGTCTTTTTATTCTAGTGGCTTGGCCTTGCTTTTTCAATATTTAACTGGTTTTCGTGAAGGCGGAAATGACAACAACAATAATTGTATGCTGTAGCTTTGACGACGCGGACGACGCGGGTCCTCGCGCCACAAGGTCCTTGCTATACCTAGTATATAACCTGGAGCGCTGTGGAGTACCTACATGCACATTGAATTTACTTTTCGCTGGCTGCCATCTTATCTTGGAAACAAAGGAAATTCATTTCATGCTCTATAACCCAAGCATCTCTAAACATCAATCATAAATCAACAGCCCCGACACCAGGTATATAACAAAAAGTCATGCTTAGATCTTCTGACCAGCGGAAGCAGCCTTGACATCCTCCTCCGAGCTCATAATCTGCACCTTAATCGCACCAGTCTTGGGATTCGCCGCCGTCTCAAACGCCTTCAGCGCATCCTCCAATGCGAAGCGGTGGGTAACCAGGCTGCGCAGATCAATCACACCGTTTTGCACCAGGCGAATGGCGCGAGGCCAGGTGTTAGAGTAGCGGTACTGGTACTGAAGGTCGATTTCCTGGGTACTCAAACGCATGAATGGAATGTTCATCTCGTTCTTGCCCACGCCGATGATAAACACCTTGCCGCCGAACTTCATGCTCCAGATGGCGGAGTTGACACTGCTCTCCACACCGGTGCACTCCAGGCACAGCTTAGGTCGCAGAGCACCCAGCTCGGAGCCCTTGCCATCGTTGAAGACATTGATAATTCCGGCAGCTTGTTGCTCGGCAGACAGACCGGGTTGCACCTTGTAGGTACGAACCTCAGGCGCAATGGTCTTGGCGAAGGCCAGACGGCCCTCGTCGATATCGGTGATGACGATGGGGCATGCACCAGCGGCGCGAGCGCTAAGCAAGCTAATCAGACCGATGGGACCGGCACCGGTGATGAGGAGGGGGTCGCCGAGGCGCAGCCCGCTGCGCTCGACGGCCGCCAGAGTCACACTGAGGGGCTCCAGAAGGGCACCGTCCTCGTAGCTCATCTCGCCGATCTTGTGGCACCAAATGGAGGGGTGGTTGACGTATCGGCGGAGCAGGCCGTCGACGGGAGGGGTGGAGAGGAAGGCGACATTCTCGCAGCCGTTGTAGCGGCCAGTCAGGCAGGGCTCGCAGGCGTTACAGATAACATTGGGTTCGATGGCGACACGGTCGCCGAGCTTGAGGTGGGTGACATCGGGGGCGACCGCGACAATTTGACCGGCAGATTCGTGACCGAGGACGTGGTCGCCAGTAACGACCATGGGGCCAATGCAACCAGCGTGCCAGAAGTGGACGTCGGAGCTGTTGTTGCGGTTAGGACATGCAATGACATGCAATCAATGTTTAGAAATGGTATGTTCATGACTTACCCGCAAATACCAGTGCTGCGCACCTCGACTGTGACCTCGCCGGGCTTCAGACCCTTGCCAGCCTGCACATCCTCGACCTTGGGGGTAGTCTCGGCGATCCAGAGGTCGTGGTTGGGGTTGGTGTAAACACCAATGTTAGTCTTGGTCACGGTGGTTGCGGAAGACATGGTGAGCTGGATGATATGAAAGGGTTAGGGGAGATGAGAGGAAACACGAGAGCAGCAGCAAGGGCCCTTTAATACTGTCCAAATTCTGCAACAGTGCGGGTGGCAGCAATGCGACCCCCATGTCATTCCCCCCCCCCCCCATACATGACCAGAGATGGAGTAAAAAAGTGGAGTGGAGGGGCATTCGATTTAACCGCGCGGGGCCAACTTTCCTTGGGGCAGTCTAACCGGGCAGCCTCCTCCGCTGGGCCTGTGGCGATCGGTTAATTGTGTTCAGTACGGGGTAGTACAGTTGTGCAGAATATCTAGGCACTCATATCTCTCAATTTCTATATTCTATATCGATGTATTCCTAAATGTATGTCTGTTCTTTATCATATCTATACTATATACTATAGAGTATACACTATACTACTGTACTATCGCCAAAAAGGTAATTCTCCGGTGGCGGCCCATCCTGTTGTCCGGTTGATGGACAAACCCTCACAAACTCCGCTTGGGTGTCGCCCCTGGTTTGTTCTGTTTGCAGAGGGCGACTCCCCTCCGCGTCTTTTATCCAGAGTGGGACCAGCCATGCAGCCATGTAGCACCCCGGAGAAGATCCGTGACCTGCTGACCTGTTTCTAGAAGAAGCCAAACAATGGAAGTTACCCTGGTTAAATAGTACTAGCACGGAGTAACTACATGGTCTACCGATGGTTGGCCGACCAGGCCGGTTTCCTTGCCGAAGGTGCCGATCCGTCTGTACCACCGAGTAGGATTGGCCGGCAATTGGGGCAAATTTAGGATCATAGTAGTGTGTCGTGCTAAGGTTAAATTCACGGCTACTAGTACTACAGCTTGAGCTATCTCAGTCACGGTTTGAGTCGGAGGAGGCAAACTTCAAATTTGACGGATGGTGGTGCTATACCACTACTAGTATACTGCAAACCAACATTGCCTCTTGACCAAAGTATATTCTAGTATCGCAATATGCCACTGGCACTCGCTCAGGTGGGTTATACTTCGAATACCTCAAGCAAGTTCTCTGTATACTACTAGTAGTATGCCGTGGACAGCACTGGGTATAAATACCTAGGGTACCTACTAGGTAGTACTACGACTACTAGCATATACAAGAGAATCCCAGCCACACTGTGACCTCACTGGCCCATGCAGATTTAGTACATTGGAACTCATTTCCAGCCATGAAGCGAATTCAACACTCTTTATTAGGCTAGAGATAATACTCTTGAAGAATAATTAATATTGAAAATATCAATATTGCACTTATCCCATTTCCCCCAATGTCACCATAGTGTCCGCTCTCCGCTGTCTCTGCCACTGCTGTTTACTCACGTGACCATCTTTCCTGAACCTCCCGAGTCCGCAGATTCTGGTCCCGTCGTTGCGATAGACCAAACCCGCCAATTGGACCTTCTCCTCTTCCCACCAGCGACTATCCTGGGTGATCTGTGATCGACTTCTTGTCTCCGCTCCTTCTCCTCTCGCAGTCCCCAAGATGCCCGCTGCCACTCGTGCCGTCCTGCGGCAATCGCAGTTCCTGACCCGTCGGACCGTGGTCAGACACTCTTCCACCACTTCCGAGGCCGCCAACAAGGCCGGCCAAGCTGCTTCCAAGGCTACCGATGGTCTCTCCAAGGCCACTGCTGCCGCTGGTCCTGCCATCTCCAATGCTGCCTCCGCCCTCCGCAAGGTCGGCGGCCCTGTCGGCAAGGTCGTCTCTTTCGTCGACTGTAAGACACCCTTCAATCATACCAACACCGATCTCTTTCGAATGGAAATGCTTGGGAATGTTATCATGGATGCTATGAAGCATAGGAGATGCCAATTGATAAACCGGTTAAGGCTGGCACTGTTCAGTGTTGGCCGATAACTTCATAGGCGGATACTTCCGGCTCTCCTTGTTCACATCCCAAGCGTGGACTTTTACTTTCCGTTTATTTTCTGCTTTCCATTGCATTGCTAACTGATCACTTTTTGCAGCCATGATTCCCCCTACCCTCTACTACTCCCGTGTCGGTCTTGAGCTCGGCAAGCTGGTTTTCCGTGGCCAGAACATGACTCCTCCGTAAGTTGCCTTGCGCTGCACCGCACCTTCATCATCTCTGCCAAATCTCATCTAATTCCCTTTTTTTCTTTAGCAACATGGCCACCTTCCAGTCCTACTTCCAGCCCCTGATCAACGCCGCCAAGAACCCCGCCGCTATCAAGAGCCTGCCTTCCCCCCCAGAACTTCCTGGCCCGCGTCCGCAACGCCAGCCCCAAGGAGATGGCCCTCGCCGGTGTCACCGCCGCTGAGGTCATCGGTTTCTTCACTGTCGGCGAGATCATCGGTCGTTTCAACCTTGTCGGCTACCGGGGCGAGCCTGAACACCACCACTAGATGTGGAACTCGTCCTTTCTTTTCGCACAACCACCCTTTCCTATGTTTCCCTTTTTCGCGTTTGTACTCTGTATGATAGACGATGGAAAATAAACTGTTGTCTGAGATAGAAATTATTTGCAACTTTTGTTCCATCTCACAACCAAGCGTAGTTACACAATTTCCGTAGTAGAATCTCTTGAACCGGCTGGAACCTCCCACTTCCCACCTTCCTCCTCTTTCTCCTCCTCTTTCTTTCTCGCCAACCTCAGCATGAAATATCCAGATATATACTACATGGTCACAGCATTAGCTATATTGCTCTTTTTTGGATTCTCACGCCCGTCACCGTTGTGTCAATGGTGTATTCTCTTCTGTACCGTACGATGCTCGGACACCGCTGATTGGTGCGGAGTAGTGTCGGTGGGTCCGATGCTCATTATCTTTTTTTGCCTTGCGACAAAATATCGACAGCTCCAACTCCCTCAACTTTCCCCCCACAATGGATGCATTCCGCTTGTTGACCCGGTCAGCAAATTTTAAAAAGGCCGCTGTATCGACAGCAGATCCTGCTGCTCGCCTACCCTCCGCGGGCACCGCAACCAACCCGCAACTCTTCCGGACCGCCGAAGCCGACGAGCTCGAGTCGAAGCATGGCAAGAAGAGGAAGCGTTTGGCTGTGACCGAAGACGACGGCGCAATCCCAGCTGATTTGGACTTTTTCCATACCACCAAGCGCTCCGCTGCGCCTCCGACTGGCGCATCTACGACGAAGGATGACCAAACCCCCACAACTGAGCAACGCGATGACGACTCGGAGGAAGAGGATACCATGGACGAAGTGGAATGTCGCACTATCTTGAACTCGCACAAGATCAAAGTGACGGATCTGCGTGATCTGAGTGAGATCCAGCCCACGGCCGCGGAAAAGGAAAAAGAAAAGGAATCGAGGAAGAAAAAGAAGAAGTCTAAGAAGGACAAGGCACCTGAGCTGAGCAAGAAAGAGCAGAAGCGTGCCAGACGCATGTTTCCGCAACCGCTTGTTTCGTTCAAGGAGCTTCGCACCCGATACAAAATCTCCAGTCGACTCGCCAGCAACGTTGCAGAGCAGGGCTTTACGATGCCCACGGAAGTTCAACTGTCATCTCTTCCGCTTTTACTTGGAGGATCCGCGAAGAATGCCTCCGAACCGGATCTTCTTGTGGTGGCTCCTACTGGTAGTGGTAAAACGCTGTCCTTCTTGATCCCCGTGATCAACAAGATTGTCCGACACCATCACTCCGGTGCTGACGAGCATGGAATTCTGTCTGTGGTCGTGGTGCCCACGAAGGAACTTGCCAGCCAGATTGTCAATGAAGGACGGAAGCTGGTGGCAGGTACCGGTGTCAAGATCACATTGATGAAGAAGGGCATGCGGGTGGTTGAGAGTGAAGGAGCTACCGCGAATGAAGAGAGTGATGCATCTGGATCCGAAGACGAGGAGGACGAGGAAGAGGGCAGCAAGGCCAAAGGCCAAAACAACTCACCCGTCACCAAGAGCGATATCCTGGTTACGACTCCCCTGCAACTTGTCAACTCGCTGTCTGCAAACCAGACGAAATCCGTGGCAAGCATGCCATTAGTGCGAAGCCTGGTCTTCGATGAAGCAGATGTCCTCCTGGACCCATTATTCCGCGAGCAAACACTCGATATCTGGCGTTCGTGTGTGCACCCGGACCTGCGCGTGAGCCTCTGGTCCGCAACCATGGGCTCCAACATCGAGGAACTCACCCGTTCAACGATTAAAGAGCGCCTGGAAAAGATTGGCCAGACCAGCAACACCCTACACCCGCTAGTCCGTCTGGTTGTCGGTCTGAAAGACTCGGCTGTTCCCAACATTGACCATCGACTGGTCTATGCAGCCACTGAACAGGGTAAACTGCTAGGTCTCCGCCAGCTTCTTCATCCCACGGCGGCTTCACCCTCAGATGTCCGCCTTCGACCTCCATTCCTCATCTTCACCCAAACCATTCCCCGTGCCGTTGCTTTGCACTCCGAATTGAAATACGACATACCCGCCGAGGCCGGCGGATCCTCCCGCATTGCCGTGCTTCACTCTGATCTATCCGATAACCAGCGGTCAGACATTATGCGCGACTTCCGCAAAGGCGAGATCTGGATCCTGGTGACCACTGATGCTCTCTCCCGCGGCCTGGATATCAAGGGGCTGAACGGAATCGTCAACTACGATATTCCGAACTCAGCCGCCATCTACGTCCACCGTGCTGGACGAACAGGTCGTGCGGGTCGCGAGGGTGGCATTGCTGTAACATTCTACACAAAGGAAGACATCCCTTACGTCAAGAGTATTGCCAATGTCATCGACGCCAGCGAGAAACTCCGCGGCACGGATGGCGCAAAGTCTATCCAGAAATGGCTGCTCGAGTCTCTGCCGGATCTCAGCAAGAAGGGCAAGCAGGAGCTCAAGAAACATGGTGTCAGGGCTCGGCAGCTCTCGAAGCAAATCGGTGGCAAAGAGGGCAAGGACAAGGAGCAGGAGGAGAGGGAGGCACGGAAGGCGAGGATCAGTACGAAGAGCGGTTTTGAGCGTCGCTTGGAGAATAAGAAGAAGGGGGCTATTGCTGCTAGTCGTAATAGGAAAGCTGCTGCTTCGGGCGATGCTGTGAGTGATGATGGGAGTTGGGATGGACTTGAGGATTAGACATTTTGTATAACGAGAGTTGGCATCGACTATGCAACTATAACGGCGGCTCATAATCATCACGGCGTATAAATAAATCATGACTCGTTACTTCCCAGCACTTCCCGCACTTCCCCCAGCCTGACCTTGTCCTTGACTCTGACTAGGAGGAGCCGGTGGCTCCTCTGCAATCTTCCGAACAAGCGAAACAGGCACAAAAGCATTATCCAACATCTCCTGCTCCTCCAAAACCCGCGCCAATTCATCTCCATCCCGATCATAATACAAAGCCCACTGCCCCTCCTCTTCCTCCACGGCATAAAACGCATCCTTCTTTTCCAGCAGAATAGTCTTTTCATCCTCCGTCCAATCCCACGGCCCAACGAAATGTTCCACACTCTGCGTCCGGTTTCCATACCTCAACTCATGCGTATCTTTATCCGCATAGATCCAGTTGAGGAGTGGCGGATTGGCGGCAACGTATGTAGGTAGGCCTAGACCGCGGTCTAGATGTTTTGTTTCGTCCAGTTCGGGGTATTCGATGTAGAATGCCAGGGCTGTGAAGGAGGGGATTTTACGCTGGCTTGGGTCGACCATGTCGAGATAGACCTGTTTGTTTTATTGGGTTAGTTGGTTGAGTTGGGTTATAGTAAAGGAAAGGAAGGGAAGGGAAGGGAAATGGCTTGACTCACCTTCTCATCCCGAACTACCACTCTCCTCCCATTCAAATCGCGATCATCATCTGTGTCTCCCGAGCACACGGATTCGATGTTGAACTTGACCATCCGTCGTGCATCTTCTTTGCGCTGGTTGGCCTTGCGCTGCTCGCTGGTTGCGAAGGCTGTGCCTGTCACGGTGGGGATGGAGGTTAGGAAAAGGAGGCCGATGACCATGGTATCGGTTTATATCTGAGAGGTGTATAATTTTGGCACCTCTGTATATAGTTTTGTGTGTATATTGTCGTTGACTTTGTAAAGTTGTGTGGTTGGTGTAGGCAGCTGGATCATGGATGTCGCTGGCTATGCATTTTAACCAGATGGCGGATTGTATGGAATGCGGGAGAACTGAGTTGGTCTCATGAGGCTCGTTGGATGGTTGAAGAGGTGGAAATTGAGAAATCCGTGGGAAAAAGAACTGAAATGTTGGATGAAGCTGGTGGTGGTGGCTTGTGCCAGTCCAGCCAGGATACGTCATTGCCCCACGCGACCAGGACGGGTCGTGCAACGTCCAGCTAAGTTCAAAGTTCTTCAACTGCCATCAACCTTGTCTCCACCACTACATCTACATCTACTTGTGACTGCAGACCTTTCAAATGCATGTTTATTCTGGTTTTATCTCGATGCATCTAGCGGACGGACTCGTCTATGTCTAGCGTCCTCTATCGTGTACTATCGTCTATTCGTGATTTCATCATATCGGCCTCATGAGATGTCCTGCGGCACAATTATACCTTCTCGCTCCATCCCCAGATAGACCACCAGCATTTTACAGCCAGTGCCTCGCCGTTCGCACTCTCCCAGTCATCATACCCGACTTCTTCGCCCTCCTCGACCACCGCCAGCCCAAGATCAAACATGCGCTGCCGGAACTCCGCTACCTGTGGCAGATATGCGTCACGCAGGGGCATCTCCGTGACAACCCGCGCGTCCAGACCACGACTGAGCCACGGCCCAATGGTATCGACTAGCAGTTTCGGATGAAGCGGCGAGTAGAGCGGATCGGCGGCGAGAATGACATCGAATCTCTCCTCCGCAGTGGGCAGAGGGTCCGGCGTGACGGACCAGTCCAGGACACCTGTTGTCACGCTTGCCTCGGTTGTTTTCATAAGCTCCACGTTTAGAGAGGCGTTGTGGGCGAGGTTGGGCACGATCTCGGGCAAATCGGTCAAGTGGATGGTGGCTGACTTGCCCTTCAGCGCGGCAAAGGACAAACCGACAAGACCCGTCCCGGAGCCGAGCTCCAATGCTCGAAGCTGTTTATCATTTGGGGTGGACGGCTCGGTTGAACTGGTGGGGACGAGTTCTGCTGGCGATTCGAGCAGTTTGTGCAGGCGGCGGGAAAGGAGGTAGGAGGATACCCATGTCTTCATACCCAGGTTATCCGATGTGAGGGATGGTTCGTGTAAGGTGAGAGTGTACTCCTCGACGGAGGAGGCGGGAATGCTGAAGATGCGCGACATGGCCGGCATGGCTACGTCTGTTAGCAACTACACTCCACTACGGGGGGTACGGTGGCGCGGCGTTTACCGGTACGGCCAGATCGCTCGCTCAGACGGGCTGATGCCGCGTCCCAGACTGCTTCCTGCAACTCCTCGGTGTCGAGCCATGAGAGCGGACTGGAAATGATGGAGGTGAGATAGCGAGTCACACCCTCGGGCTGTACCGCAGGGCCCTTGACGGTGTCAGCGGTGATGCCGAATGATCGTGGCTGCAGAGTTAACAGGGCCAGAGCCTTGAGCAGCTCGGTGCCAGAAGGCTTCTTGTAGATCTGGGGCAGGTCGAGCACTGAGGCTTATCAGTCACTATCTTAGTGTAAAGGGACGCTGCCACAGTGGGTATCCCATCCTATGGTGTGTAGAGTAGATAATTGGATGTAGTGCTTACCGTGGAGGGGCTCGTCAGCTGTGGTACCGATCATGGTGGGCGCGTGTGTTATGTGTGTGTTCTCTGGGGATCTGAAGGGAATCTCGCATCTGGGAAATTTAAATATTGAGGCGCGGTGGCCATTTCACGCAACCCGCGGCGATTGTCCGGCACGCCAGAAAAAATCCCGATCGGGAAAGGCGTCTTCTGGACCCGCCTCGGCTTGCCGTGCGTGATTGTGATTGGTGCGGGCTAAAGTCACCTGATATCGAATTCTGGCCAGAATCTCACCCTACCTCCTTCAAATCTCGACGATTCTGACGATTCTGGCTTCAATAAAATCCTAAAAACTCTTTAAAAAACACATCTATTGAGTTTGAACATTTTCAAACAACCGTATTCAAAATCAAATCACAATATTCAATTGTTGTCAAAATAATCTTCGATTTCTCGTCCTAGCAGCCTGACCCCAAATCTGTGCTGCTTAGTTTCAGAAAAACGTCAGACTCAACATCAACTCTGCAATAATCCAGCCATTTTCCATCAAGCGGCGATGATAGCTCAGTTGGGAGAGCGCACGACTGAAGAACAACTTCAATCAGCTGTTACAGCAAATCGTGAGGTCGCTGGTTCGATCCCGGCTCGTCGCATTTTTTGTTATTTTTGACCGGCGACGCTTAGTATTGCGTTGCTTGTTTGTTATAGTGGTGAATTAATTTGATTTTTTAACATTTTTCTGGGTCTAGCAGGCCAGGCTGGACGGGATTCTGACAACTTGAACAAGTTGGAGGACCAGTTACAGGCGTGTGAAATCACTACGATAGTCCTTAGTACTCGTATTAACTGGAATATATATCTCCTTTCTAGCCCTGGAACAGTATTCATCTCTGTCTAGTATTGATCTTCCCGATATACAAATAAATCATGATGGCCACATGGATAAATTTGTAATAAAAGTACAACCAATCGTTATCAAGCCGTATCCAATGCCAGTATCAACTAGTATCTGCGGGCCACTCCGAACGCGGCGGTCGGAATGTGTGGCTCGGCCGCAGACTTACCCAGGAAACCCTCGGGCCTCTTCAAGGAAGTACATGCGGCAACCACCAATACTCGTACCCTTTATAGCTTGAACACCTGCACCTGGACCCCCCCCGCAATGCCTGTATCCTAACCTTCGTCATGCTGTCCAGACGACTCATCTCGCGGCGGCTCCCCTCTATCCGGTGGCAGAGCACAACCTCTCCATCATCATCTCCATCGCCAACCACTGCGACCGTACCCGGGCCTCCTTCAGACGCCACCCCCCGCCTCACTGCACTCAAATCCGCAAAACCCTTTTCACAGTTCCTGACCGACTCCTTCAATCGCCAACATGACTACCTGCGCATCAGCGTCACCGAGCGGTGCAACCTGCGCTGTCTCTACTGCATGCCGGAGGAAGGCATCGAGCTCTCGCCACAGCCACGCCTGTTGACCTCCCCGGAAATCTTATACCTGTCCTCCCTTTTCGTCTCGCAGGGCGTCACGAAAATCCGCCTGACAGGTGGTGAGCCGACTGTGCGGAAGGACATCGTCCCTCTCATGCAGGATATCGGCAAGCTGCGGCGCGACGGGCTCCGCGAGCTCTGCCTCACCACCAACGGTATCTCCTTGCATCGCAAGTTAGATCCCATGGTGGAGGCGGGGCTGACCGGGGTCAACCTCAGTTTGGACACACTGGACCCGTTTCAGTATCAGATTATGACTAGGCGGAAGGGCTTTGACGCGGTGATGAAGAGCATCGATCGGATTCTGGAAATGAACAAGGTCGGTGCGGGGATCAAGTTGAAAATCAACTGCGTCGTTATGCGGGGGATGAATGACCGCGAGATCATACCTTTTGTCGAGTTGGGCCGCGAAATGCCCGTCGAGGTGCGCTTCATCGAATATATGCCTTTTGATGGCAACAAGTGGAACCAGGGCAAGATGTTCCCCTACCAGGAGATGCTGGCGATGATCCGGGAGAAATACCCTTCGCTTGAAAAGGTCACCGACCATAAGAATGATACCAGCAAGACTTATAAAGTCCCTGGATTCCAGGGCCAGATGGGATTCATCACTAGCATGACGCATAACTTCTGCGGAACATGCAACCGACTACGTATTACTAGCGACGGGAACCTCAAAGTGTGTCTCTTTGGTAATGCCGAGGTTTCCTTGCGGGATATAATTCGCCGGGAGAACGACGGACAGCCTATTGATGAAGAGGCATTGAAGGAGCTGCGACTATTGGAGACCGTACAGTCTGCGGCTCTCCTCAGCGATGAAGGCGGCCTCGTCAATGAACGGGAGCGTGAAATCCTCGATGTCATTGGCGCAGCCGTCAAACGTAAGAAGGCGAAGCATGCTGGGATGGGGAAATTGGAGAACATGAAGAACCGGCCTATGATTCTTATCGGTGGGTAGGCCCGACTTCCCTTATGACTGGAATGATTTATGATGCATATTCATGGACTGGTGTTAGCGGTGATGGATATTTGGTACCATGTACATATGAATGAAGTTTCAATGACTCTGCTGATCTCCGGATAGATAGTAGACCGGCTCTTCCAAAGTATAAACCGGGCGTGCCTGCATATTCTCCCTGGTCGAGGATTCCCTCGCATCTCCTTACCAGTCTCGGGTCCCCCCCAGGCCCGTTTATACCACAGTGGGCGTCCCTCAAGCAATATTCCCACCACCACCCCAATCCCCGATGAACTTGAAAAAAAGTCGCACTCCCTCTCTACAGCCTCAGACCCCGACCTCCCCCACCTCACACCTTCACAAACCGTACACATGACACAGATCACGAAGAAACCTGAAACCGCACGCAAAGCCACTGCCGCCTGCGAAGTATCCTTCTCAAATCCACGACCATGGGAACTCCTCCGCAAAGGCCAAGGTACACACAAAGGTGACGTCTACAGCGTTGCCCGAATCGCGGGAATTATGGCCGCCAAGCGGACTCCAGATATTGTCCCCCTTTGTCACCCAGGTATTGGCATTACAGGTGTCGAGGTGACAGTCGACCTGGTCGAGCCTGGAACAAAGCTTCAGGATCACGGCTCTATGCGGATAGTTTCGACTGTGAGTTGTTTTGGTCGAACTGGAGTTGAGATGGAGGCCATGACGGCGGCGACTGGGGCTGCTTTAACAGTATATGATATGCTCAAAGCTGTTGACAAGGGGATGATCATTGGAGGCGTGCGCTTGCTAGAGAAACAAGGAGGAAAGAGTGGGCATTGGGTGCGAGAGGAAGGGGTATAATTGATTAGTAGTAGTATTTGCTATGATTTGTATGGTGCCGGCCACATGGCCCTTTGACTGCGACTCCTATATATGCCTCACCTTCCTACTACTAGCTATCCTTCTTCCGTGGGAGTTACCTACTAGGTAGCCATACTACCAGTAGTACTAATATTCACGTAGACTCAACGAGGATAGTGTTCATCTCAATATTTTGATCTCCATAGTCCTTCTTATACTTTAAGATCGCATTGTTCCCGCCAAGCCGCCTCAATTCTCCGGAGCTTCACCGTTTTTTCTCTACATACGCCAACTCCTCTCCCCTCCTTTCTTTTTATTATTTCTCCGACGGCCTGTGTGGCTAAATGCTCTTACGCCCAGCTACTAGTACACCCGAGTCATTCAAGTTCCACACCGTCTCAGCCCTATCTGATTTATTTCCAAGGGGCGAAGTGGGGCGTTGCCGTTATCCTTAAAAAAATTCATCAACAGCCCACAATTCGTGTGAAACAGGTTGGCCCCTTTAGCCATGAATACCGCCTTTCTCTCCTCCGCATCTGCTCAAATCGCTCGGGGGCGTTAGTGGGCGAGAGTCAGATCCTCTGGGCGTGAAGGACGCACGACGCACGAGTTACACCTTCACCTCCACCTACCCATATAACTACACCGAACAATCAAACTGGCCGGACGAGACTAAGCTGGTTCTTTGTTCGTCAAAATGAAAATTCATACCCTGCTAATTCGTATGTTGAATATACCTACTCGATGGCTTTTCACTCACTAATTATCACAGCACGAGGGTGGCGAAGCCCCATCGGTCGAGTTTTGACAGCCGTCCTTCCGCCCGCTAATTTCCTGACACTGCATTATCTCTACTTCATCGGGACCTGTCTGATTAGCAGTATCATTTTCTACCTCACATCCACACCTTGGAAGAATGTGGCCTACGTTGATGCCATCTTCTTGTGCGTGTCGGCTATGACCGGGGCGGGCCTTAACACTGTATGTCATTGGACAATATCACACTATGCAGCAAGCTTCTAACGGTAATTAGGTCGACCTGTCAACTTTGAACACATTTCAGCAGGTCATCCTATTCACCCTACTGGTCCTTGGCTCGGCCATTCTCATCTCCAGCACTGTGCTGATGGTGCGCAAGCGGGCATTTGAGGCTAAGCTAAAAGGCGTCTCGGATGAACGCGAGGCTTCCAGGGAGGCCTCCAGGCGTGCATCAGTCTTGGAACTGCAGACGGGAAATTCGGATGTCTTGGAACATTCCCCTTCCGATAACGACCATACCCTGCCAGGATATCGCAAGAAATCAGCCACTGTCAACGTCCAAGAAACTTCAGCGGAATCGTCTGCCCGCCATGATCAACACTGGATGGACGATGACCAAGTTACAGTGGCAGATCTACACCTACGACACCACCGTCAACACACTCTCTTTCCCATGGCGGGTATTGGAGCCCGGCCAGATCTTCAAAACCACCCCCGCGACGTGGTTGGTCCAATGCCTCTGTATGCCGAAGATGAAAACCCAAGTTTCAAGCATAAGATGATCCGCGGCACGCAGAAGTCCTTCTTCTCAAAAGGGAAGATCTCGCGTAACTCACAATTCTATGGGCTGACATCTGCTGAGCGCGAAGAGCTTGGCGGCGTCGAGCTCAAAGCAGTCTCCTTTCTCTCCATTGTTGTCTCACTATACTTCGTCATGTGCCTCCTGTTCGGTATCATTGGCGTGGGGGGGATGGCTGCAAGCGAACCACCCTGATGTTGCTGAAGTAAACGGACTGAATCCCTTTTGGACGGGTGCCTTCTTTGCAGTCTCGGCCTTTGTGAATAGTGGCATGTCTCTATTGGATATGAACATGACCGCTCTGCAATTAAAGTGAGTTTACTATATACCTTATCCACTGGCAACCCTACTGACTTCTTCAGTGCCTACCCCCTTCTCACACTGGGATTCCTCATTCTCGCCGGGAATACACTTTACCCCTGCTTTCTCCGCTTCATCATCTGGACCATGCGAATGATGATACCTGACCGACCAGCGTGGAAATCATGGCGCCTTACTCTAGATTTCATCCTCGAGCATCCACGGAGGGTATATACCAACCTTTTCCCAGCCCGGCACACCTGGTACCTCCTCGGTACGATCATAATCCTCAACGGGATCGATTGGGCCGGTTTCGAACTCCTGTCCATCGGAAACAAAGAAATTGAAGCCCTCCCATCCAAGTACCGCGTCCTTGACGGCTTGTTCCAAGCGCTAGCCGTGCGCGCCGGAGGCTTCTACGTGGTCACAATTGCCGACCTGCGCCAGGGCCTATTAGTCCTATACGTGCTGATGATGTACGTTTCAGCGTACCCTGTACTCCTCACAATTCGCAACACCAATGTCTACGAGGAACGCTCACTGGGCATCTATGCCAACGACGAAAGCGAGGAACCCGCTAACACAAGTCGGAGTAATGTGCTCATGGATATCATCCGCCAGCACATGGGTCGTCCTACACTAACCGAGTCTTCGCGCGGGTACTTTGTGCATCAACAACTGCGTTCCCAACTCAGTCATGACTTATGGTGGATTGCACTCGCGGTGCTGTTCATAGCAATAGCTGAGAGCGACCACTATACGGAACAACCGGTCGCATTTTCAACCTTCAATATCATCTTCGAGGTTGTTTCTGCGTATGGTTGTGTTGGCGTGAGCGTTGGGTATCCCGGGAAGAATTATAGTTTCTGCGGCGCTTGGCATACTATTAGCAAGTTGATTCTTGCTGCTGTTGCTCTTCGTGGACGGCATCGTGGATTGCCTGTCGCCATTGACAAGGCTATCATGCTACCCAGTGAATCTTTGGCGTGGGCGGAGGAAGAAGACGCTGCGATGAGAAGAGAGCGGACTAGGGCTTGGGGCCAGGAGAGGATACCTGTTGGATCTGTGTAAATACAGACTTCTCGCTCGAAAAAGATACGATGTCAACGATTAGACTTGCATAGCAGATTTGAGTTTAGCATTGCTCTTTACTACCTCACTACAATGCCTTTGATTACTATCAGATATCCTTGGAAACTTCGTAGTTGCAGTAACGCCAATTCTTTTGATGCCTAGGTATAAACACATGAATTTACAAATTAAACTAGACCAGACTACTCCTCTTCCATCTCTCCCTCATCCTCATCCTCACTCTCCTCCTCCATCTCAAGCTCCTCTTCATCCTCACTTTCGATTTCACCTTCACCCTCGCTATCATCATCACTGCCAAAATCATTCATCAATTCGTCGTCACCTCCCTTCTTCGCCTCCTCCCGCCTCTTCTCCTCTTCGCGGCGGCCCTCTTCAAGGATAGCAGCGCGCTCCTCACGGAGTTTCCGTTGCGTCTTGACAAATGCACCGAGGGGAGTAGTCTCCCAGTCCACGCCCTTGAGGAAAGTGTTCACCTCCGTGCGATTGCGTGGGGTGTAAGTGACGTTGGCGCGACGCTCCTCGATCCAACGGGAGTTAGCCTCGACCTTCTGCACAAGCAGGAGGGTCATCTGGTTGATCTTGGCATTCTTGTTACCGCCCGAGCGGGCTGAGACCTGCTTCAACCAGCGCTTAAGCGAAACGATGACAGGAACGGACAGCTCCGGGAAGGCAATGTGCTTGGACCAGAGAACAAAGAACTCAGACAAGAGTTCGGCAACTTGCTCGCCGACGCCATCTTGGTAGGTACGCGAGCGCAGGTAGGATTTCGGGGCGCGAATGGCGGTGTTGAAGTCGAGGGGACGGAGGGTGCTGGACTTGGGGGACTTGCGCATCTCGGCGGAGTTAAGGACCTCCAATAGCGATGAGCCGAGCGGGATATAAGTACCGGTCGATCGAGAGATACGCAGAAGTGCCCGGGTCATTTGAAAGCGGAGAGGGAAGTACTGCGCGGTGGGAATGAGGCGCATGGCGCCAAGGGTGATTTGGACGACCGGGTAGATGAGCGGACGCAGGGCGGACTGCTTGCCGACCTGGGCCTCGACGAGGCCGTCGCAGTGCTGGGAGAGCACACGCGACCAGAAGTCCAGAGAATGCACGTATTGCCAGTTGTAGATGGTCTTATATGACTCCTTGGAGGTGTTGGTGATGCTGCTGCGCAGGTGCATGGCCAATTGGCGGATGAAGCTGAAGCCAGCGGTGTATGAAACGTTTTGGTCGATACCCCAAATCTCGGCGGCAGAGTTCTTCATCAAGTTGACACCAGCCAAAGTGTGGACGGTGGTGTTGCGGCTGCCCTTGACGACACCCTCGTAGGTTGCCTTCAGCACGGTCTCCTTAATACCGGCATCGCCGACAACCATGAGGCGACGCAGAAGAATGAAAGCAGTGATGCGAGTGGCATCGGCGGTAGTGACATCGGCCCAAATAGCAACGACAGTCTTGATCAGAGTCTTCAGGACCTTGCGGAACTGCAGCAGATATGGCAGCATGGGCTCCATGGCTGACAGTGTCATCTTCAGAGTCGACGCATCAGAGAGGTTGAGCAGAAGTTGGTGAACCGAGGAGGTGTAGGACTTGATCAGAGGAGTGAGGGTCTTGAACTTCTTGGAGTCCATCGACACCTTGATCTTGCCGCCCGCAGTCTCCTTGACGGGAAGATGGTGCGAGAGAACCTTGGGAACAACATTCAGCGATGTCATGAGAACCTGGTGGTAGACCTCGGGGCTCTTGATTGCGTATTTCTGGTCCTCGGCTTCGGCCTCGTTGACAAGAGCGGCGGCACGGAAAGCGAGAACGGTTTGGCGCATGGCCCGGATCGAGTATTGCTCCTTCATCAATGCCTCCCACTTCTGGATCATGGGGATAGTCAATGTGTTTTCCTCGGGTTCCTTATCCTCTTCCTCGTTCTTCTTGGACTTCTTCTTCTTCTTCGCAGGGCCCTCATCCTCCACTGGCTCGCCTTCACTGAGCTCATCGACCTCTGAGAGATCGCCGTGGTTGGTGAAATCGAGCAGGTCGGCATCGTTCTCCTTCAGATACTTGTAGAACTCGGGGTCCTTCTCCTTCAGCGCCTCGAGCTGATCCTTATGTTCGTCGAAGGCATCGGCGTCGCTGGCATCGTCGTTGTCGCTGGCTTCGGAGCCAGGCGCCTCGCCCTGGTCCGCAGTACGCTTCCGCTTGCCGATCTTGGGGGTGGTGTCCTTCTTGCTAGCCTTCTTGTCGGTGGGGATGTCAAAACCACCAGCGAAGAAATCATCGACATTCATCTCGGCATAGGCATTCTGCTTCTTGATCTGCTCCTCAGAGGGCTGGTTGGCAGCCTCATGGGCCTCGCGACGGACGGAACTTCGCTCCTTGCGCTTGTCATTCTGCTGGGCGCGTTGCTTGCCCTTGGCATTGGTCTTGCGACGCTCAAGGATATCCTTGAGATGCCGTTGTTCGAACTTCTTGGTAGACTTTTTCGTTCCCATTGTTGAGGTTATGGTGCTGTTTGATAGCAAAATGGTCTGCAGGAAAAAAAATTTGGGCTCAGGCAGATCGGTGCTGACCGCCGATCTCACCGCCTTGTGATAAGCCGCGGGCAGCCAACGGAGGTTCGGACCTTACCCATTCAGACCCGTTTACCCCAAGGACCTTACAACAATTGATTTCAATATCCGATCACTGGATTGTGCTGCTAGGCTGTCTGCTAGGCTGTCTGTTTCCCGGAATGTACTCCCAGCGTCCCCTCTCGTATGCGCCAACTCCCTACAGCTACACCCCCAACCCCGCCCGCTCGGCCTCGATCAATCTGGATGAGGTATGCAAGTTTGTAGACAGAAGGCAAGGCCTATTCTGACAAATTAATAGGAGGTCAAGCTGGTCACCAGCTCCGGAGAGCGCGACCTCTACGAATCCCTTGCTGAGATCTACAGCATCATCGTCACACTTGACGGACTCGAAAAGGCATACATCAAAGACGTCGTGACCGAGACAGAATACACCGAGACATGCACGCGGCTGCTAAAACAATACAAGTCGAGTTTGGGTGATGAGTCTGTATCGCAGAGCTTCGTGGACTTGGAAACATTCAAGCGATCTTGGGGGGTAAGTCGGATCCCGCATTCACAGCGTTTCATGTCTCACGCAATACACACAGTTGGAATGCCCCCGGGCTACAGAGCGACTTCGCATCGGCCTCCCCGCAACAGTTGAGCAAGCTTCACACAACGCACCCGCGGCTAACAATACCACCGCTGGAGGTGCCCCCGGCGCATCGGGTAGTCTCATCCTTGCAGCCACGGAGAATTTCATCACCTTCCTCGACGCATTGAAATTGAACATGGTATCGAAAGATGCACTTCACCCACTTTTATCCGAGGTTATCCAGTCTGTCAATAAGGTAACGGATGGGGAATTCCAGGATCGTGGGAAGATCATTCAATGGTTGATTGCGCTGAATCAAATGCGAGCGACGGAGGAGCTTAGCGAAGAACAGGCGCGAGAACTGGCCTTTGATATTGAGCAAGCTTACCAGGGCTTCAAAGCTACATTGAACTAGACATCTGCCCCAGGTGGATTATGATATATTCACGATTTACGATATAGTATACCCCAAATTCCAGAAGCAGAGCCTCAATTCATTCACACTGCTTCAAAATTCATTTCACCAATTTAATCTGCAAGCAGCTACTCCACATCAAAAGCACAATAATAGCCAAAACGCAAAATTAAAGCTACTATTTACATTTACTAACTTAACTGGTGCGGATCTTAGTAAAAAAAGGTCTCCACGCTCTCGTTCTGTCCTCTCTGCTTCAATTGATGCCCGCATCGCCGCGTAGACTGTGGTTGTGGCAATACACTTTACCTTTTTTTGTATAGCTGTTCAAACACCTGGGCAAAGTGCCAGGGCGCCAGCAGCCTCAGCGAAAATACACTTCCAAATCGCCCTTCGAGCTGGCCTCTATAGTTACCATTTCAAAATTGATATCATCTAAGAGGTGCGTAACAAAGTTATATACCCATTTTTTGCTAACAGCCTCGCCTACCCGTTTGAGCATATCATTTGCCCAGTCCTCCAGTATTCTAGGTGTAATTGTCTGTTGGTATCACACAGATGCTCAATCCAATCATGTTGTTCCCTCCCCTGGGAATCTGTAAGGACCTAGGTATAGGCTGTATACTTAGAAGTGAGACTGCTAAACGCGGCGGCGAAGTTGGCGATATGAAACGCCATATTCGCGGGCAACAAGCAACAAGTTCGGCCTTTAAGGCGCTTTGCAGGCTTCAATAAAACGAGGACTGTCAATTTGGGTCATTTTAGGCGATGTTAGTGGTTGGTAAATATGTTGACAGCGGAAGGTATCAAATTCACAGTTTCGGTCGTGTTTGGCTACTGACGGTCTCAATATGACCTACCTATACCGCAAAGTGGCATAGGACGGCAAATACTGCAAAGCTAGTACACACACCCTATGGATATCCAAGAAACACGACCAAAAAATAACAAAAAATGCGACGAGCCGGGATCGAACCAGCGACCTCACGATTTGCTGTAACAGCTGATTGAAGTTGTTCTTCAGTCGTGCGCTCTCCCAACTGAGCTATCATCGCCGCTTGATGAATAATGGCTCAATTGTTGCATATTTGAGGGTAAATATGATATTTTTGAAGCTGAACGGAGGGGGATTTGGGACTAGGGCAAAAAGCCAAATATTTTATGATATAACACTTATAACTGTACATTACTTGACCTCAGATTTATGTGCTTATTATTCTGAGGTTATTGAACATTCATTCAAGTAAGTTTTTGTGTAAATTTCAAGATTTAGTTCTAGTTTTACATCAGAACCTTGGATTGTTGAGATTATATATTCTCACAAGCTAGTACTAGCACTTTTTCAAGTTACACCTTGATGACTCGGATTACAGGTTACATTGGATTTATTCTTCTCGCTTCCGATCCAATAGGTTTTAATCTACGCATACAATTTATTTGATAATTTTTCGAAATTTCCTGGTATCTTGTAGCTGAATAAAAAGAACCGAATTTCGTGGAGGTGGAAGGCGGAGGTTGAGAATCATGTGACCAGGTGTATCTATCATAGAAATTTGATCATGGTACTCCGGCTTTTTCTGTTTGCCTGATGTTGTTCATTGTATCTTCACATCTCGAGGAATATTTCTAAAAATATGAGATCTTGTCTCATCAATACCTTCTTTGGCGACGGGGAGGTGAACCAGTTTCAAGTTCAACAGCTCGGTCAAGTATACTGACGTTAGTAAGGACTAGTAACTAGTGTCTACCACAACTTTTAATTAATACTCAACAACTCAATGGGTATTTAAATCTGGATTAAATTCCGTATCCAAATCTATACTCAAGTATCAAATGTAATAGGAAAGAAGAAAGGAGGTCATTAGTGTGAGCCAATTCGTGCAAGTACCGAATACCGGTGGGACCACCAGCATCACCAGCATCACCAGCATCACCAACTCACCAACATCACCACCATCACATCAAAAATTCGCCAAGAAATCTACCATACTCACACCCATGAGTCAAGGACTTTCCGTGGAAATATCTCAATATCTCCACCTGTTCTCCATCTACTCTGCTGTTCATTGTCGGGTACCGCCGCTCCCAAAATCCCACTAAACCGCATTAGGAGCCCGCGTGGCGAACAGTGCGATGCTGCTTCATGTGCCCTTTGATGTGTGCATGGTTTTCGGTGCAATATCGAATTGTGGAGCTCTGGTGGCTCAGCATGACACATTTATGCATACGAGAATTCAAGCGAATTTGGTTTTGCAATCAACGTGAACCTGTCCGAGGGTTGCCGCCACAGGTCGTATAACAAGAGATCAGTCCGCACAAGATCAATCACTTCTACACAACCAGGTCATTACTATATCCATTCGATGTGAATTCTCGCAGCATGACCTCAGCCCCTACAATTCTTGCAACCTGCAAACAAACGCGATTCCATCTTCTAGATGATAACCCTTCCGCCGAGGTAGGATCTGCAACATACCCCCATCCACCCTGCCTCAATTTGACACTCAACCATCCTTCAACAGGTGGATGTAGAAGGTCTTGGAATCACCGTTGCATCTCCCACCCCCGAATCTACAGATGACGCGTCAAAGTCCAAGCTTAAAGGGAAGTCCAAGGCCAAGGCGCAGGGCAAGGAGCTTCTTACCGATGCGCACTTGCGGCTGAAAGCTGGTATACGCTACGGACTTCTCGGGCGCAATGGGACTGGAAAATCCAGTAAGATGATCTCCAACCTCCAAAAATGACATTTTACTGAAGACTTGCAGCCCTTCTCCGGGCAATGGCCGAGAAGCTCATTCCTGGCATCACACACCCTACTCGCATTTCTATTCTCCAACAGATTGATGGAGAATACACTGCGGGAGGCACAGACGGACTCAGTCTTGAAAAAGGCGTCCTTGACTCAGTCCTCAGCAGTGATGAGGCTAGAAACCAAGCGTCCGGTACGGCGGATTGTAAGTGCCTGCCTCCCTCCCCTGCCACCGGGGTCCCGCTGGGCGCAAAGCTAACCTTGAGCAGTGCTGTCCAAGAGTTTCGAAACAGAAGATCCGATACACCCAGTTCGAGCTATCCGAGAGATTCGGCACGAACAAGCGACAAAGAAGTTATTCCTTGCCCAAAAGATGGCAAACCTGAAGAGCGGTACCCGGGGTCTGCAAGCAAGGAAGGATCTCAAAGCAGCCGAGTCAAATCTGGAGATTTCTCATGAAATGTAAGCCTCATTGGGAAGATACCTCGGTTTATCGTCAATTCTAATTTTAACAGACTTAATCAAGATTTAGAAAGCATTGATGCCGACGCGCTCCAGGCCGATACCCAAGCTGCAATTGAGATGCTGGAGACTGTCCAAAGTCGGCTAGAAGCTGTAAGTAGTCACTTAACCTTTCCTTTGCATCATCTCACATGAATAGATGAAACTATCCGATATGGAGAGGGAAGCTCGTAAAATCCTTCTCGGTCTTGGCTTCAAAGAAGATGCCCTCGAGAAGAAGGTCTCGACACTGTCCGGTGGTTGGCGAATGCGATGTATGCTAGCGAGTGTCCTGCTACAGGGACCTTCAACCGATATCATGATACTCGACGAGCCGACCAACTTCCTCGATCTACTGGGCGTAATTTGGCTGGAGAACTACCTCCAAGCCATGAGCGAAACATGCCAAACGACCATCCTGCTAGTTTCTCACGATAGGGATTTCATCAATTCCGTCTGCGAAGAGATTGTCATCATCCGCGACCAAAAGCTGAACTACTTCAAAGGGAATCTTGCGGCCTACGAGCAAGATTTCGAAGAGCAAAAGCTCTACTGGGGCCGGATGAAGGAGGCACAGGAAAAGCAAGTCGCTCATATGGAAGCGAGTATTCGCGACAATATCAAGGCCGGTAAGAAAACCAATGATGACAATAAGCTTCGTCAGGCCAAGTCCCGGCAGAAGAAGGTTGATGATCGGATGGGGCTCCAGGTGAATGCTAAAGGTGGTCGATTCAAGCTGAATCGCGATCTGGTCGGATATCATTTTTCCAGACGTGCCGAGATAGAAGTCCCGGAAGACGAGAGAGGAGCATCAATGAGTATTCCTGATGCGACAGAGCTGCGATTTCCGGGGCCGTTGGTTTCGATAGAAGGGGTGAACTTCCAGTACAAGAGGAATGATAAGATTATCCTGGAGAACATCAATCTAGTGATGCATATCGGGGATCGTGTCGGCATTGTGGGCTTGAATGGCTGTGGCAAGTCTACTTTGGTGCGAATCTTGATGGGAGGTAATGTGCCTTCCAAGGGTAAAGTAACTACCCACCCCCGGTTGAAAGTGGGATACTATGGGCAGCACTCTGTGGAGGAACTTCAGGAGCGGGGAAAGGGGGACCCGTCCCTCACGGCCCTTGCATTGTTGATGGCGGAGGTGGAAGGGTCTTTGAATGAGGGGACTGTGAGAGGACTGCTCTCTTCTATGGGTCTCCCTGGTCGGATTGCCTCGGACGTTCCAGTCAACAAGCTATCCGGTGGGCAATTGGTGAGTGACCCTCCCCATGACCTTTTTCTCTTCTGGCATAACTAACAGGTATAGGTCCGTCTTGCCTTGGCGAGAATCGTCTGGAGTGCACCACAACTCCTCGTCCTCGATGAAATCACCACCCATCTTGATTTCCACACGGTGACTGCACTCGCAACGGCTCTGTCTTCATTCGACGGGGCTATCTTGCTTGTATCTCACGATCGTTTCTTGATCAGGTCCGTTATTGAAGGGAAACGAGATATCGATCACAAATTGGACGAGGAATTTGAGGGGTTGGAAGCAGAGGATGCTGAAGAGTCTACCACTCGCCGCCGTTCAGTCTACGTATTGAAAGCCGGGAAGATGGTTGAGCAGTCGGATGGGGTGGAGCAGTTTGAGAGGAGTTTAGTGAAGCGAGTACAAAAAATGTTGAATACGGGATAGGTCGCTCACTCAGCCCTATATCTATCAGCTATATTTGATTCAAATCGTCTCTATCGCAGCCGAGAAGAAAGAAGAACAAATTAAAGAAAAATTTATTCAAAAAGTAAAACTGTAACAGTCCAAAGTTCCTCCAGTGCATCACTTCGATAGATTATGCACAGATCAATTTACTGCGCTGCCGCCTCGCCTACAGTCTGCAACGGCGACACAACAACGCCCAAGGAATCATCTTGATCTGAGTTATTATTAATACATAATATAAGCAGGAATAAATTGGAAATAATGGTTGTAATAGTAACTTGGATTTCTAATAGAAAGACCCTATTACCAACCCACCGGACGAGCGGACGAATTGGTCCGGATTTTGGCGTAGTATAAAAACCAGTGTCGAGAATGTCCATAAAATACAACAGACCAAGCAAAGGAATCTAATCACTCAAAATGGCTACCAACAGACTTGCGAACAAAAATATCCTCCTTATAGGTGGAACTTCCGGCATTGGTTTTGCAACTGCGGAAGCTGCATTGGCCAACGGAGCCAACATCACCATCAGCTCTTCTTCTGAAGAGAGGGTTGCAAGAGCCTTGGGGCGTCTACGCGAGAGCAATCCAACTCGATCTTCTGCAATTCGCACCTATGTCGCTGACCTCAGCACCAAAGAAAAGCTGGACACGACAATCGAAGCCCTCCTCGAATTCACCGCGGAGGTCTCCCCTATAGATCACATTGTCTTCACGGCTGGAAACATCCCGCCTCTTGCTTCGTTAGCGGAGGCCTCTTTCTTGGATCTCGAAGCCTTCATGACCGTCCGAGTTTATGGGGCTATAGCCGTCGGCAAACATGCTCCTAAGTACATGGCCATCGGCAAGGAATCCTCGATCACTTTAACGAGTGGAACCCAAGCTAGAAAGCCATCTCACTGGCTTCCACCTGTTGTTGCAGGAGCTGTTGAGGGTCTCATGAAAGGACTGGCTGTGACATTGTCACCTGTGCGAGTCAATGTTGTCTCACCTGGACGTATAATTACGGAGCTATTGGATCGCATACCGAAGGAGATGCTTAAGCAACAGTCGGAAAAAGCTAAAGATCTGTCTCTTACCAGAGATGTTGGATATCCAGCCGATACTGCCGAAGCGTATTTGTATCTGATGAAGGATTATTTTGCCACGGGGTCGGTCGTGACCACTAATGGTGGAGTTTTGTTAGTCTAGTGCACATATCTATCATGGCAGAATTCTCCCCAATCTTCGATTATTTAACTATCTCACCCATTTTAATGTCCCTCCCACTGGTGCTCACCTAGGAAGAGCGACTAGATGCACAGCATTCGAAGTAAGTGTTTGGATCGCTGCGATCGACTCAGGCGGCTGCGATGCCCTTTCTATTTCAACCTTGGAATCCGCTATTTTCTCGTCAAAGAAACAATTAATTCCGAGCAAGGGAATGAAGCATACTATTCGGTTTGATTCCTTAAATAGAAAATAGATGACATTCAATTTGTTCATTTATATGTATACTGGACTGCTTAGACTTCAATTGTCTTCAAAAAGGCAGGGCTTTCGTAACCGTCGACCACTTTAGAGATAGGCGTATTGTAAGCCTCGGAGTTCTCTTGGCTTTCCTGGAGTCGGCGAATATATGCCTGAGCAACCTTCAGCCACATGGCTTTCTCTCTTGCACTGGCGCTGGATCCCTGCCAAACCCATAATCTAGTGTTTGTATCATAGAGGAACACATCGTTCCTATCTAGATCCGACCTGCGGACCTTCTCCCCATCCTTGACGAGATCAAACGTAAGCTGACCCGAGCCATCACTAAGTCGGAACAGCTTCTTCGGTGAATCACTGGGCTCAGAGTCTTGCTTCTGGAAGCGACCGGGACGAGGACAGTGGAATGTTCGCTCAAAGACGTCCTTCCCACCGAGAAGATCGACGAAGATCTTGGATCTTGACTCGTGCTGCGAAATGATTTCGAGATCGCGATGTAGGTTGATTGTCAGATCATTCACGACCTGAGCTGCCTTTGCCTTTTCCATGGGGCTGCAATCCTTACCCTGCCAAACAAATAGCTTCTCCTTCTCGCCTTTGTCTAGCACGAAAACGTCTTTATCATCGAGAGACTCCCAAGTAGGCTCCACTTCGTGTACGATGATTGTGCGAGAGGTAGGTCCCTTTTTGAAGATGCGCAGCAGAGTTGCAATCTCCTTTGGCGCCTCGGGCTCAACATGAGTGAACCCGCTTCGAACACCACCCTTTCTGATTTGGTAGTGGGTGAAGAGCGCAAGGAATTCGTCAGAGGGATGCGCTTGGACTTCACGGTACTGGGTAGCCGCACCGTGGAGAAATTCGTCCAGTTCAACCGTCTTATAAGCCGCCGTTCCAGCTTCATCCTGTGTAGTCTTACTTCCGAGCCAGAAGAAGATATCATGCCCGAGCTTATTGTCACCGACCTTGTACGAGTGTAGCACGATGAAGCTGTCGCCGTCGTAGAATTGACCAGTCTTCTCCTTGGGCCATGGGATGACTTCGAAGTTCTCGATGCGCCAGATACGGAGGCCTGGCTCTTGGCCCAGACCTTGCCAGGCAGGTTCGGTCACAGCGGAATTGTACTTGACGCGGTGATCTAGGTCGCTTCCGATAAGCTCGACATTGCTGTCTTTGATGTCGTATTCTTTGGGGTGGACGAGCCCTTCGTGAGGTGGCATTGTGCGTATGTGCGTGCGATTGAGGAGTGATAAGAGTCTGTTGGAGGAGTGAGGTTCAGTGCCCTGTATTTGATGGTTATGGTGTATGTATGCGGAGATGCGAAGGTGAACTTGCCGCGGAGCTGAGGCTCAGCACCCCGCGGTTTGTGGCTGAGCAGATTCACTCAGCCACACTACGTCAGACACTAAATTTAGAAAATTTGTGTACACAACAAAAGAAGATATGCCAATCCCCGGACAATAGGAGTGTCCCTTCTGAGGTGGAGACGAAATGCCGGTCCTTCCTGCAGGGTTCTTGATGCCCGTCACTGCAATACGGAACTCGCACAGAAAAAGGCATCTTCACTCCCCACAAGCTGTAGGATATCACTTTGGTTGATCACCGACAGCGAACCCCCGACAGGATTTCTGTCCATAAATAGCTGTCTTTTCAAGACCCTAATAGGCGAGGAATATCAGAGAAGCTCTACCGGCGATCTGTCAGGCAGTTCGTGATGTAAAATGTTTACGAGCTGTTCCAAGCGTGTCTATCGATCTCCTGAAATTAACGGATAATGCCTACGAGTTTTCCCTCTTCCTTAGCTGCCCTTTTAAGATCACCAGCCACGGTGCCCGAGGTTGGAAGGGCAAATTCCCAACACATAGCAGCGAATGGACTTTGGATATTGATGGTACGGAATGGGTGCTCTCTTTCGCGATCGCTTGCTAACCACGTAAACAGGCTCGTCGTTATCCTTATCCAACCCAGTCCGCGTCTTTCTGTGCATATAGCCATCCCGTCCTCAATAAGGCATTTGCTTTTCAATATGATCTTATTTGAAAAATGGGCCACAGGGAGGAGGCCGAGCCCTGCAGGCTCCAAAAAATAGACACATTTTTAAAAAGAGTTCCTCAGCGAGCCCCCGAGAAGACTTTGCTAAGGGGTCAATGCACTAATATCCATTATTATTAAAGCCCTGCATGGCGCAAATCCTTCCTCGTTTGCCATGTACAAGCATTGCTAAGCTTTGCTGGCGATTCCACGTCATCTGAAACGCCTTACAAGGCTAGTGTGGGACTGACGTAGATGCAGATACCCCACATCCTGTTGCACGCACCTCTCAAACCTGCAGTCAGCTCAGCCCGTTGAATTTCGACAATAAGTGTACTCCGTAGGACTTGTTTTTATGCACCGCCAATTAATTTGAAGTACTCCGAACTTTGACCCCAAAATTTCACGTACGGCCGTACGGGTAGACATAGCGTCTTTTGGGCTCCAGCCATTGATTTTTGAGACCACTCTGCATGATTATCTATATTGGAGAAAAGGAAATCGGGTAGACAGACAGCGTGACGTTGATAAAACAATTTCTCCTCTATCAAAATACTAGTAGAAGAGGAGAGGCAAGCAATGGTTGGTGTTGATGCACATGACGTCAGATGGCTTGGTAGGGCTGAGGAACAAGGCACAAAATGGGATTGGTTTGTATTCCATAAAGCATCTCGAAGTCCACCAGTCTAGGCATCAGCATTATCTTCGATCGGATTCGATAGAAAAGTCAGCTAGTGAGGGTCCAAGGTACGAGTAACATCATAATTTAGTTTCGAGTGGCCTGGGGTCCTGGGAGCTCCAAATTATTTCCTACGTCATCCATTACCCGGTTATGGACAAAATAATCACTGGGATGGGCGGTAGTCCGCAACTTTTCAGTGGATCCATTATTCCAAGTGTGATAATTTCGATTTTCCTAGCAGCCGCAATTACCTTTCTCATTTGGCAATCATCGACAGAGTCAAATCAGTTTCGCATCAACATGGAGTCCGAGGCGACTGTGACTTCAGAACTGGCGAAGGATCCAAAGCAGAGGGCCTCCTCGGTCTTTAAGAGTCTATACCATGATCACCACAATATATTGAATCACATGAAGCAAGACTCCTCAAACTCAACGCAGGAAAACGAATCGATTATTCTCGAAAAAGCGCGGGCCTGTGGAAAATGGGGCACAGCAGAGCCCAGCGAATTATTTCTTCAAGTGAGTCTCGTTTTAATTGAGCTCAGTCTACGAGGAAGGCGATCTAACTCACTCTACTCAAATTAGGTGTACCATGATGCACTCAGCGCGGTTGAAAATAAGCCTGAAACCGGAGTCGTCTCTCCTCCCCTGTTTGGAAGTACCGGGGTAGTCCCTCTGACAATAGTTTCGCCTCTACCTGATCTTTGCCGCCACCTCGGAAATTGTATTGCCAGAGCTGAGCATGAGGTGTTCCTTGGCACAAATTTTTGGATACATTCTGGTGCCGCCACCTTAGTTACCAATGGAATTCGCGAGCTTTCGAAACGAGCCGGCGAACGTGGACGCAAAGTTGTGATGAAGATGGTCTATGATAGAGGAGACCCTCGTCAGGTTAGTGGTACTGCGATGTAATTGAAACGGGAATGCTAATCTTCGCAGCTATGGGATAACCGCTTAAGTGTCCACGAAGACAACTACACCAGCGATCAAGTTAACCTTCCGCACCCAAACGAGTGAGTTTTCCTCGATAACCCCATGAATGTCGCTGCTGACATCCTTCTCAGAATTCCCAATGTTGATCTCCAGGTAATCAACTTCCATCGGCCATTACTCGGCACATTCCACGCCAAGTTTACCGTTATAGATCGTCGCATTGCCCTTCTACAAAGCAGCAATATCCAAGATAATGATAACCTCGAGATGCTCACCCACATCGAGGGTCCGATTGTTGATTCATTTTATGATACAGCTTTGCTATCATGGGGCAAGCCACTCGATCCACCTTTACCTCTTTTGAGCTCGCCGGCCTCAAATGCGCCGATTCCTTCTCATACAAAAGAGGAGAAAGAATCCCCCGAGCAAGATCTGCAAGAGCTCCCAGAGCATACAACAGAGTCAGAGCACTATGATGATAATCTTGAACTTGAGGCGGAGAGGGTGAACCGCAGCATCTCACCCCGTGGAAACGAGACACCGACTCAAGCAGTGACTCGCCATTTGAGTATGTGAAATTAAACCTCTGACAGTACTATGAGTATCAACGCTGACTATTGCAGACACAACCATTCAGCCTGACACGACTGGTGATGCACCGGACACTGACCAAGACCCGAGAATGAAACTTTACGGCCTCTTGCCTCGCCACGACCCTGTACCCATGGCTCTTGTGAATCGGTATTCATACGGATGTGAGCGATCTAAATGACAGCGAAAGTTATCAGCAAGCTAATGAGAAAACAGCACCAAATCATGACAGTGATCATACGCCGCAGAATAATGCCTGGATCTCCGCAATCAATCACGCCAAGCACACCATCTTGATTCAAACCCCAAACATGAACGCTGAACCACTTCTTGAGCCACTCCTAAATGCCGTTCGCCGGGGCGTGATAGTAGCGTGCTATTTGTGCCTGGGCTACAATGACGCAGGCGAACTTCTCCCATTTCAAAATGGTACCAATGAAATGATTGCAAATCGACTATACAACGCCCTTGAATCCGAAGAGGAAAAGAGCAGATTGCGTATCTGCTACTACGTCGGAAAAGATCAAACGCGCCCTATCCATAACTCTTTCAAGAAGCGGAGTTGCCATATTAAATTGATGATAGTTGATGAGCAAATCGCCATTCAAGGTATGCTGAGCCAATGCACGAGTTGATGGAAATTCTAACAATTCTTTAGGAAATGGGAATCTTGACACACAGTCGTTCTACCACAGCCAGGAGGTCAATGTATTGATTGACTCGAGTTTCATTTGCAAATCTTGGTTGGAACAAATCAATGGGAATCAAAATACACTCAAGTACGGTGCGGCTAGTAGCAAGGATGGCTGCTGGCATGACCCTGAGACTGGAAGAATCCCAGATGGATCAGTGGGTACAAATCCGGGGAGATTTGGCTGGGCCAAAGGGGCTGTTGGGGCAATTAAACGCGTGCGAGGCGTTGGTGGGTTCTGAAGTATATGCGGGACTTCATACCGTCAGACTTTTAGCCATACTTTGAGTTTTATTTGAAAATCATCATTTTTGTTTATCGGAACCCCTTAGCCGACTGGAAAGTTTGTGCACGTGTAGACTTTACCAGTCTCTAGGAGAAGGCCGGCCTATCTTGAATTAACAAGCGGATATATTGAATGAATTTAAATCTGTGGTGTAACTTTCTTTCTTGGTTACTAGTAGCCAGTGAGTCAAAGGATTACTATGTCACATCTAGGAATTAATACTCATCAATAAAAGCCGAAGTCTGGATATTTGGTCCCATATCCTGGGAAGGGGGCGGGTTGTTTGGCTTTTTACCCACGCAGTTTCCACGACACTTCATTTACTTTCGGCTTTACATATATTAGTCGCAACCACGGCCTATCCTTCTTAGATAGTTACTAAAAAGTAAGCTTACCGCTTTGAAGCTTCGACAAATTTATTGTATGCAGTTTGGGTGGAAGACATACGCCACGAAGCTCATAAGTAATCCGAGAGTAGCTGGTATGGGAAAAACTACTGTAGTACTGATTTAGCAAAGGCAGTATGTGCAAGCGATCAAAAAACATGCCATATCCAGCATTTCACAGAAGACAATCCATTTGAGGTAAATGTAACCGCCGATGATGGACTCATCGATAGGGCTTGAAGTGCGAAGTGCATTCCGGATTTGTGTCGTATTCGTTTGCAAATTTCTAAAATGAGCAAATGAGTGGTTAATTTACCTTTTTGCGGAACAGAATGCGGAGCATCACCCGCCAAGGGCAATGACCAAAAGTGTGGGGTCCCCACAATACCTCCGCGATGCTAATTAGGGGTTTATGTGGACTATTTAAATACGCCCAAACTTGATGCCTGGTCGAGAAATCAATAATCTCACTTTGAATAACCCGTTGGATAAGCTGCATTGCCCGGCATGTGGTCCATTGTCCGTATCCTTTTCACACTTGGCCTGATAGCCACTTCTCTGCCTGCTGTATCTGGGCATGCTACGAGTAAACCAACAAAATTACGCACCGTCGTCACAACCGACATGGAGCAGGACGATCTCGCCTCGCTCATCCGATACCTACTTTACACAAATGATCTCGATACCCAAGGCATCATCTATAGTTCTAGCGTATGGCACTGGGCCGGCAATGGCAACGGCACGTCGCTGCGCTGGACCGGAAACCGAACTATTGAGGATATAGTCCTTAAGGCTTACGCAGAGGTTTACCCGAACCTTCGTCGCCATGATCCATCTTACCCAACCCCAAAGGAGCTCCTGTCTACGGTCAGAATTGGCAACATCGACTTTGAGGGTGAGATGAATAAAGACACCGCTGGCTCTGATCTCATCAAAGAGCTATTGCTGGACGATGATCCACGAAAGCTATACTTGCAGGCCTGGGGTGGCACCAACACTATCGCTCGTGCCCTCAAGTCAATCGAGGACCAATATTCCAAATCACGCAAATGGGCACAAACCAAGGATAAAATCTCCCGCAAGGCTATCATAATGGCTAGTGGCTTCCAGGACGATACATACGCTGATTATATCGCTCCCCACTGGCCCCAAATCCGGGTCGAGGAGCTGTCAGCTGGCTACGCCCTCTGGGCATACAATTGCAATAATGGCCAAGGCAACATTCGCGGTCTACCCAGCGATAACTTGTATTTCACTGGTAAATGGATCAGGCCAAATATCGAGATGGGTCCGTATGGAAAGCTCTACCGCGCCTGGCTCGACGGTCAGTCCATGCCAGGTGATCCAGAGGATGTTTTCGGCAATAAAACGAAAGCAGCTGCTAGCTGGTGCAAACCACTTGACCCATACGACTTTCTTTCCGAGGGCGATAATGTGGCTTTCAACCCCCTCTTGACCACCGGTCTTCAGGACCCAACTAACCCGAATCTCGGTGGCTGGGGCGGCCGAGCAAAACAAAACTCTACTTCTCCGGATCTGTGGGTGATGGTTCAGAGTGAGGTCGCCCAAAATGGCAGCGAAGTAGACTTGTACACTATGAGCCGTTGGATAGCGCCAATTCAGAACGACTTTGCGGCCCGCATGCAGTGGACAGTGACACCGAAATACCGCGACGGAAACCATGCGCCCACTGTTAGGATTCTGAATGATGGCATAGTGAAGGGGTTTCCTGGTGCTACAGTCACACTGGCCGGTGCAGTTTACGATCCAGATAATGACAACGTCAACACTTCCTGGTGGCAGTATTTCGAGGAAGGCACATACCCCGGCACCGTGTCTGTAGCTGCCCAGGGAAAAAGCCAGGCGAGTTTGAAGATTCCAGCTGATGCAAAACGCGGTCAGACTATTTCGATCATTCTGGAGGGAATTGACGATGGGCATTTTCCTTTGACTCGCTATGACCGTGTTGTTGTTCATGTCATTTAACCTGGCCTAGATCAATTGGTATCTCACTTTGCTTCCCGATTTATCAATCAGAGTATACACGTAGTTCAGTGAGGCATTAATACAAGACCAACTGGGTATGAACCTGGATATTTTGGCGGGCACGGGGCGTCTTAGGTTTCAGGCCTTGGTTGCTTTTGCTCGTTAAGCTAGCTTTAGTTGTTTGTAAGCTATAAGCCCCGTCGCCTCAGTAGAACTCATCGACATGATTTTTTGTTTCCTTCTGTGCCTGATAGGATTTCCTATAGCCTGGTAAACAGTTAGGAATAAAAGCGCTTGGGGCTGCACACAGAAGCGGGCCAAGGGTGGTTAATATTAACAAATAAGCTCACGGCAAAACTCTCGGCAATCCGAAGCGCCTCGCACTACTCTAACTGGCCCGCTCTACTTTAGCTGAATTTAGCGTGGGAATAGAAGTCCACTAAGTGGCCATTTTGGGGTTTCCCCAGAGTTCCCCGCAAACCCCGCAGTATTCCCGAGTGGCACCAACTTCCAACTTAAGCAAGCCAGTTCCAAGAGGGATAATGTAACCACGGCTTATTTTCCCTAAATGGTCTGATCCTAAACATTGGTTTATATAGATATGTTGAGCTACATCCATCATGCTCACTCGGGAGCTTGTGATTATATTGTGAATCTCTGGTTTCAATCGACATAAACTCCTTTTCGTCGTTAATACTACAATTCTGGCCTATTTGATTCAGTCTTGGAATTCAATATGGCAGAAACGATAGATGAGTCAAACAGGGACTCCCGCGCTCAGGCGGCGATGAAGAACCGCTGGACATCGCTATTACACAACCCCAAACTGATGGTCATTGCTCTCTTTGCCTCGTATGTCTTAGATATTCTTATCTGATAGAAACCATTCTCACACTTTATGTAGGGTTGGCGGATTCGAGTATGGATACCAACAGGGAGTCTTAGGCCAATCCCTTGTTATGACTCGCTTCACAGACAACTTTCCTACTGTTGTTGCATCCTCTAGCGCGACCGGCTGGCTCACATCGATTCTACAACTAGGTGGTATTCTAGGATCACTCTCCGCAGGAATTCTGGGTGAGATATTCTCCCGGAAGTATACCATGTTTTCAGCCTGTTGTTGGGTGGTCCTTGGGAGCTATCTCTATTGCGGAGCCAGCTACCACAAGCCAGGTTTACTATATGCTGGCAGGTTCTTTACCGGTCTCGGAGTTGGTACTTTCAGTGGTGTTGGGTGAGTTTGATCTTAACTCTTTGTCTAGTTTCATCAACGTTAATTGTCCGGTGTGAAAGTCCCCTCTATAACGCTGAGTTATCATCACCTGAGCTTCGAGGATTCTTGGTATCATTTTACCAATTTGCTACCATTTTCGGTATTATGTTGTCCTTTTGGATAGGATATGGAAGCAACAATATTGGTGGAATTGGAGAAACACAAACCGATATGGCCTGGCGCCTCCCCTCTATCATCCAGGGCATTCCAGCTGTGCTTCTCGCATGTGGAATCTGGTGGTTGCCATTCTCTCCTCGCTGGCTTGTCAAAAAGGGTAGAGTTCAGGAGGCACTTACTACCCTGTCCTACCTACGCAACCTACCCGAGGATCATGAGCTCATTCAGTCTGAGCTTAAGGAGATCGAGGCAGAGAGTCTCTTCGAGAAGCGATCCTTTGCAAAAACATTCCCGAACCTAGCTGCCAAGGAGGAAGGAAGTGTATTGGTTCGCGAGTTCGCCCAGTATTATCAAATCTTCCGGACCTGGGACAACTTCAAGCGGGTCTCGATCGCGTGGCTTGTCATGTTCTTCCAGCAATGGAGTGGTATTGATGCAATTATCTACTACGCCAGTACTGTGTTCCAAAGCTTAGGTCTGACTGGAGGCACTCAAGCCCTGCTAGCCACTGGAGTCACAGGAGTGGTGTTCTTTGTATGCACTCTCCCAGCCATGCCTCTCATCGATAGAGTTGGTCGAAAGCCCATGCTTTACGCCGGTTCAGCCGTCATGTGGATTTCGATGGTCCTGGTTGGCATCATCGTCGCCAAGTTTGGAAACGACTTTGAAAATCATTCAAACGCCGGGTGGGCTGCAGTGGCTTTCATCTGGATCTATGTCGGCGCATTTGGTGCTACATGGGGTCCAGTATCATGGACACTTGTAGCAGAGATATTCCCCCTATCTATTCGTTCCAAGGGCTCATCTTTTGGAGCTTCAAGCAATTGGGTAAGTGCATCCACCGGAGTTCACAAGGAGTACTAACTCGGATTTAGCTCAACAACTTCGCTGTCGCTTTCTTCGTTCCACCTATGTTCCAGACTTGGAAGTGGGGCACTTATATTTTCTTTGCCGTCTTCCTTGCTGCTAGCATTGTCTGGATTTATTTCTTTCTTCCAGAAACCAAGGGTGTGACATTGGAAGAGATGGATCGTGTATTCAAAAGTCACTCAGGAGAGACGGACATGCTTATGTTAGATGAGGCACGTCGGGATGTCGCGATAGCGCACATTTCCGCGCTGGAAGTCGAGAAAGAGATTAGTACTCACGCGGAAGAGCGTGGCTCGTTGAAAGACTAGTCAGGGTTGTCCTTTGTGCTTTGGTGGGGGACAACAGTCAAAAATTCTGGTGAACACCTGCATTTGGATGGGCTACCGTGGTGCATAGGCGAGCTGTTGGCTTAGCTGCCCCCACGCTTTGCTCCGGTCGCATTGGAACAAATAAATGCCCAGGTGGGAATCAAAATACACCCTAGGACGGCTACTGATATGACCCTGAGACTGGAAAAATCCCAGATGGGTCAGTGGGTACAAATCCGGGGAAATTTGGCTGGGCCAAAGAGGCTGTCGGGGTAATTAAGCGCGTGTGAAGCGTTAGTGAGCGGGTTCTGAAGTATATACGGATCTTTGTATCATCGAAATTTTAGCCTTTTTCTGAAGTTTCATTTAAAATTATTATCTTTGTTTATCGAAGCCCATCGGCCCACTGAAAATCCTGTCCCAATGGTACTTTTCAACTCATTGCATTGTTTCCATGACTTGGTTCTGGAAAAACTGATCCAGCAGTGACTAAACGATATTAGTTATATTCCAAGTTTCTATACCGTAGCAACAACTTACCCAGTCTACAGCCTCGGAGCCATCAATCATCTCTTCCATTTGGATATAAGGCAGCCCGGTCCCCATCCATGGGTCCTTATCGTGGGAACTTTCATCCAAGGAATTTTGAACACTCGCCTGTCTCTCCCGTCACTTTTCTAATCATCAAGTCAAGCGTCATCGATGCGATACCCGACTGCGACGGCGAACCTCTTTTTGCTGCCCATATTTCCTGTGATGTCTGAAGGGCATGGAATTTCTTCGCTGTAAAGCTTTTACTCCCTTCAATATTTGAGATCTCGGGTACCTCCGACTCCATCTGTACTGAAAGATCTAAGCAGACAACCATTGCAGCCAGGAGAAAGTCATGCTCCGTTAGTGTAGTCACCATGTACGCATCCTCATGAAGGCGCCCTCCGAAAAGTGTAGCGTTGTAGATGTCAGCCTGGCGGGCGAGGATCTCTAGCGCTGCTTCCAAACAGAATCGACGCGAGGGCTCAAACTGGAGATTATAAGGCTCATGTCGAATGTATCTCCGATGAAGGACAACAATGCCCTTGAGGTAGAGTAGTTCCAGTGTGCATCGCTCCAGAATGATATCCGAAGCGTCTATAAAGGAGTCCGAAATATTCCTCCGCTTCATAACATCGGGAATTGTTTGGTAGGCATTTTTCATCTCTCTATCCAGAGCAAGCGTGGCGCTGTACTCCGGCGATGAAAGAGGCTGTGTGTGGCTAACAATTTTCTTAAAGACGCTCATGATTTTGCACTTCACAATGCCATATCTCAATGGGGTCCCTTCTTCAAGACTCCGGGAATTTGGAAGGTGGTCCATATCGGCTGAAAGGTCCGTATCGTGAAAGTTTCCTGGAGGTTTAGTATCGCAATATTCGGCGGGAAGCATACTCGGAAGCCCCATCTGGAACGAGACGAGAGCATAGATTTGGAAGATATTGAGCCACACGCGTCTTCTCATCTCTCCCTCAAAGATAGAGATGCTCGGAAGTCCATCTGGGTCGCGATGATACCCCATTCGAAGCGCGAGTCTAATGATGGTTCCTAGTTCTAGCCATAGTTGCGTGGTCGAGCTAGTCTCATTCATGAACCTGCTTTGTAGATAGAGGAACAAAGCCTCGATCGAGTATTCTTTTGCGGTTCCGTACCCCCCCTGATATCAAGCATCGGGCGGTGGTTTGCTGTAAAAGAATCGCCGAAGGTCGACCCTGCGTTGAGCCATTGGCGGGACTCGCCTTGTCATAGCAGGTAACCGCGACGCTCAGTATAGAAAGGAGTAGAGCAAGCCAGCGAAAAGATGTCCCCTGGGGATGATTCCAAAAATCCTCGTACTAATCGGTCAACATCTTGCAATTTTGAATAGAGACTCCTCCTACTTACCTCTTTGCGGAACTTGCCGTAATGTACAATTCCTAAATTATTGCATATCAGTGGGTGTCAGCCAAAGGAGCTCGGTCACTTACCCAAGACCATGTAACGAGAATTAAAATATTTAGACAATAGCATGTCACAGACAGGCTGCGCCGGAAGGCATGACAAAGCGTCAGGAATACTAAATCTATCGCCTGGACCCATGTTCAGATTGAGATCAAAATCAGGCCCGTTATCAAGATGGGGAGTCTCATCATGTGCGCTAGATTCAGGAGAAGGCAAACTCTCTCGCACAAATTTGATCTCTTGCAAGATTGACATCCAGTGACTTGGATCGGTGTAAACTGCCTCGCCATTCTGATCATGCAAGACCCTCAAAGTCTCCTTCTCAGGTGGGACATTCGTGGTCGGTGGCTCTGTGCGTTCAGTGAGATGGCCAGATGGCTTTGCAGTGGAAATCGTCGGTTGATCGGACGGTGACAACGCATCGGAGTGTTTTCCCATCAACGAAGACACCAGGTGTTCAATATTTCGAAGTCTATCGTTGAGATTGTTGTTTCGCGTAGGTAGATTTCTGTTACGGTCGGCATTTGCAGCATAATGACAGGATAACGCGCATTTCCTTCTGATGCAGGTATCGCAGGGCGACTGGCGGTTGCATTTCAATCTAGGGCGCGTATCAGATGTTGCCTTAAGGTGAAGCAATATTTTGGGCCTGATTAATTACTTTCGGCCACGGCACGGTTCGCAAGAGACCGGCGGGCGATTTCGCTTCTCGATTTTTTCCATGCAGGAAGGACTCAAGCCAATGTTGGTTGTGATGGATTATCCATCGGAGTGAGTAGCTGTCGGGCGGGGCGAGGGCGGGGCGGGGGCGGATTTAATAGCCCCGAGATCGCGGGTTTCTGGATTACCTCCGCGAATCAATAGAAATTGGAGAAAACACCAGACTACTCCATAGAGATCTATCGGAAAGCAAAGATCACCAGGAGAAACGGCTCTCAAAACTACTAACGAGGTAGAATCGTAAAAAAATAAAATAAAATATATATAAAAAAATATATAAAAAACGTGTGGCTTTGCATCGGATAGTTATAAGAGTGTTCCGAGCCCCCAGTTTGGCATCAGTTGGCAATTCCCTTATTTTTGGTATAATATTTTTGCTAGACATTTGTAACAATTTTGACCTTTAATACTGATTAGAAGCATTTGACAATTCAGAATCGGAATTTGGGGCGGTTTCTCCCCTGCTGAATGAATCCGGAGCGGATGTAATACCCCCGTTAAAGCCTGCGCCTTAATTTCGAAAGGCTTACCTTTCATAGCTTTGAAGGATGAATAAGTCTTTCTACATATAAAAGGAAGGATCTTGGCCTCGCTGAAGTATTTCTGACACAAGTTATTACGCTTTTCTCGACGAAAATCTCCATTCCTCTTACGATTACTCTTCTCCCATCCCTAAGAGTCAACAGCAATGGCAGTCCTCTCCACTATAGAAGGTCTATCCTCGAGCATGGCCTCTTGTATGTTCGTGAAGTTACCCATTCCTGAAGGAGACCTCTCACAACAGACGATCATTGTGACCGGATCAAACCAAGGGCTGGGATTCGAGGCCAGTCGCCATTTTCTGCGTCTCGGCGTGCATCGACTGATCATGGCTGTCCGCAATATGAAGAAGGGAGAAGCTGCGAGATTGGAGCTTTTGAGATTGACCGGTCGGGATCCGAGCACGATTGAGGTCTGGGAGCTGGACATGGACCGTTATAGTTCAGTTAAGAACTTCGCCGCTCGAGCGAAAACACTCCCACGCCTCGATGCTCTTCTTGCCAACGCTGGTCTCGCTACCGAGACCTTTGAGATGGCAGAAGACAATGAGAGGACAATCACGGTCAATGTTGTCAGCACGTTCTTGCTTGTTATACTGCTTATTCCGAAATTGCGGGATTCTGCACAAAGATACTCGACAAATACTCGGATCAGCATAGTCAACTCGGCCCTCCATTATATCGCTCCGTTGAGTGAAATTGAAGGCGATAGCAAGGGCATATTCTCTCGCCTCAACGATGTGAAAACCGCGCAAATGAGTTTGCGGTATCCTTTATCGAAATTGCTGGTGCTTTTTGGAGTGAGAGCGTTGGCCGACCGGCTGAGCAAGGAAGAGCCTTTGGTCATTTTGAACGCACCAAATCCCAGCTGGTGCAAGTCGCAATTAATGCGAGAGAATGAAAGTTTCGGCGTACGAGTCGGGGAACGATTCATTGCCCGAAGCACTGAAATGGGCAGCCGCGCTTTAGGTATGTCGATGAGCACTCTTTTGTCTTAGGCAGGTCATATTCCATCACATCGAAGCTAATTGTCGTTTCCTCACTTCAGTTCATGGGATATTATCAGGTTGCGAAAGCTCCGGGCAGTATATTGACAATTGTCAAATCAAACGGTACGTGCAAGTTCGGAGTTTCTGGCACCTAAAAAATTGCATAGCGATACTAATTATCCGATAGTCCATCTTGTATCGTTACTAACCAGAACGGCGCAATGATCGAGAGAGCATTTTTCACCGAGCTTATTGGAAAGATAGAGAAAATTTCACCAGGGGCAACGGGCGCCCTTGGCCTGGATGAGTAGATTCTTTTGCGTATTTTTCGGGTTCAAGATAATGACACGATTTCTAAAAAAACGGGCGAAAAGCACTTAATAGCCATCATGAATGGTAATGTCAGGATTGAAATGGGTATCAAGTTCCCCTTCACGCTGCAATAACATGAATGAGAGTGTTCCTGTTGATTCTACCCATGCTTGCCAAGTATTCTGCAAAGCCATTCGCATTTGTTCCGGGCTTCCCATTGTGAACATTGTATCACCACCAAAATCCATATCGGGACCAAACAACGCAGGGAAGTAGTGCTTGTTCTGTCGATCAATAGATTCCGCCAATGAGTCCATCTGTTTCCTCAGCGAATTAATTTTCGGCGTGAGATTCCGTTCAACAAGGAGCTCGGGGCGTGCAAGAATAGCCGAGCTTCTGCAACTTCCCCTTTTGAGCTCCATAAATACCTCCTCGGGCGGCGGGCCGGCCTCGGCACAAAGATTGGCGCTCATTTTCTCGATTGAGTTCTGGGTGGCTCGTAGTTTGATCAAATCCAGCACAAGTTTGATTTTCAAGATCATCATGCAAGCGTGGAGAGACAATGAGCCGAAGAGGGATTTTTCATTGATGAAATCGCAAGGCTCGAAGATGTCCGCATTTTTGATATTAAGGTAACGATCCGATGTGCCCCAGTCGTAGTCTCCCTCCCTTGCTGTGGTAGCCCACCACTTCACGAAATCATAACATTCTTGGTCCTTGTTGAGGCGTAGAAACAACGCAGGTACAGTTTCGCGCACACCCATGTTATCTCCTGGGCATAATCTCAGCAATTCCATGCAGACCTCGAGCTCAGCTTCAAGTGCAGGTCGATAATGATTGTTTTGGAAAGCTTGGGCCAGTTCTAATTGCATAGCATATCAGCGATCAAGAAATTCAATGGCATCGTAAAAGAGACTCACTGCTCAACGCCATCATGTAGGGGCGCGTTTCACGCAAGTTCCAGAAACGGCCAACATGGTTCTCGAAAGGGTTGTCATTTCTGAATTCAGGGTCGTTGATGAGAGCCTGCTTTTGCTTCTCAAGGTTTTCCCTTGCCTTTCTGATCTTAGTACAGGTGGTTTTGTGGGCGGGTCTATCCTTGACCTGATGTTCGCGAGTGCAATAGAGGAAGAGTTTACAAGCACTGCAGCGATGGAGCTCTTCGGTTTTGTCGCACCCGGCCAAGGCACAACCTTCTCCGAGCTTCGGTGCCGGGTTATCGTAATCATCAGGTGGAGAGAGTTCTTGATCCATTGTGGAACTAGCAGAAAAAGGGATGGTCAGAGTATTTGGGTTGTTGATATTCGGTTGTTGATGTTGATAGTGACTGTATTGAGCAGTGAAAATTTGGTGGGTCCAACCACACTTTTCCTTACTTCGACCGCAAAATGATTATGTCATGCAGCTTCACCTTTTACCTCGTCGGTTGCAACGCCCTTTCTCTAATTGAAATTCCTAAAAAAGCTGCATAAAATACGGACAAAGGGAAATAACTTAAATTTATTTAAAATTAGAATTTTGCCAAGGGGGAAGATGGAAATTTCGAGATGGTCATATTTGTTGACTTCCTGACTGGATCAGGTGACTAGGGGAAATCAGGGCCAGTGATTGGCTTAACTAACGTGTAGTTGGAATATCAAAAAAGAGTGGTCGGAATACCACTATACCTTACGTCAGCCAGATTTGTGTTACATAATCAATTTGTGGTCGCAAAATCAAAGTGTGGGGAAGAAGTCAACCTCAGGAGGAAGTGTCGAGTGAAGCAATAGAATCAGTAATTGTACATTACAGTACTATATCTAGAACCCACTGGCATCACTGGCTCGGGCTCAATGGATTTTCTAGAGCTCGGTGCCCAGGTGTGGCAGATTGTGAAAATTCTTCAAGTTCCGATTGTCCCTACTTGGCAGGACCCTCTCGACTGTCAAGGAGGCAGCGAGAGCCTCGGATTGCTGACCCATGTTCAGGGTCTCTAGCGTCTTGATCTGCTTCTTTGTCGCATCATGCATCGCCAGCCTTGTGAAAGGAACTCGGCACGGGGTCCAAATCGCTTAGTCTAAGAATATCCTTGGTGCCTTGGGGCCACTACTGACGATACTACCCTTGGGGATACCCACATATCCACATTCCTGCGAGCCTAAGCTTTACCATGACAGTCCCACGCGCTGAACGGCAGATCGCCTCGATGTATGTAACATTCTCAGACATTTTAGCTGCAAATGTAGTAGGCAGCGTGTTTCTGGCGAGTCACCCGGTCAGGGTATGTATGAGTGTATGCCCTTCCTTTTAGTGCTTATTGCCTAGTAGTGCATGTGCATGATCCAATGGTTTTCGCAGTATTGTCGGTCGCGCTGATTTTCAACAGGGGTCCTTTCGGTTTGCCTCAGGCTAGTGCTTGCTAGTTAGTCGGGTCGAGGTCGAGGCGAGGTCTCGGGCGAAGCCGAGGCGGCAAATATTTCCCCCAAACTTTCTCTCTCTCTCAGTGCGGAGGACGGAGTAGAACCGAGGACACCGAGGACCCTTGTCCTTTGGTAAAGTTGTAGCCTCGAGCCGACCCCATCGCAAAGGGAGAAAAATAGCTTCATGGCTGTGCGGTGCGGAGCGGAGCGGATTAAAGCCAGCAGCCTGGTAGAAAGCCTTATCTAGAATAAGATTTGCAAATTGTGGTGCCTGGCCACAAATTGATTTTCTGGTTTGAGTTAGTGACGAGTAGTGCTTGGGCTGTGCCTGATAAGCCTTGCAGTTGTTCAAGTTGTTTGACCAGAGTCTCCGGAAGTAATTCTTTGAGGCCAGAGCCTCGTCACAAAGAGCAGCATGTACTACACCGCAGCTACACTGGAGCTACTGTAGTGAAAGACTTTTCTGGGCAGATGCTTGGAAATCGAAATTGGGTTGGCCGACCGTACTAAACCAGGTTGAGGATAGTAAACGTCGCCACGGAAACTAGCGTAGTGCAACTAGGTGGAATCAACCAAGATATGCCCGCTCTCGTGATTTCTACGTCCTATCATACCATCCTTTCCCCCCCACGCGGTAATTTTAGAGAGAGGCTTAGTTGGGCAGATCGATCCTTTTTTTCCTTTTTCGCATGAATCCGGGCAGTGTTTCACTCCTGAAAGGTCCAGCTTGATTTCCCGGTGGATCGTTGTACTCCGTACCTTGTACTGCTAACTACTCAAGGCAAGTTGATTCCCCAATCATATTTCCTCTTAGTCCTGCCTTTCGCTATCTGGTTTTAAGTTAAGATTGTCGTCTCTCCCCTTGATGCGATTCATCTCCTCACGCGACAATTTTCCTGCATTCGCTTCGCCATGAGGCAACCGGCGCCCATCCACTGGGTCGTCCAGGTTTGTCTATTATGGCTGTCATTATTATCACCTTTCACTCTCGTCCGGGCTCTTGCGACTCCCGATCAATTGCTTGAGACTAGAGCCAACGTCATCTCGACCACCTCGACCACCTCGCAGGGCGACGATGGGAAATTCCTCCTCCGGATCCTACCCCTCGGCGCTTCCATCACTTTGGGATACAAATCCACAGATGGCAACGGCTACAGAGACTGGATTCGACGACAACTACGATACGAAGGATGGCCCGTTGAAATGGTCGGAAGTCGACGAATGGGCACCATGCGCGACAATGTGAGCTCCCCGCGCCAGCCCCTCCCCCTTCCGGTGGGGTAATGACTTGATACTGACTTCATCCCAGTTCAATGAAGGCCATATCGGATTCAGAATCGACCAACTGCTGCCAAAAGCGGAGGAGGACTTTGCCAAACAACCGAATCTCATCCTCATCAAGTATGTTGATCATTTCCTCCGGTTCACCTTGACACATTCTAACACCCCGGCCAGTGCGGGCACAAACGATGCGCTTCAAAACAACCGCATCTACTCCGCCGGCACCCGGATGAATATTCTTATCGAAAAGCTTTTCGACAGCATCGAAGGAACAACCATTATCCTATCGACGCTACTTCCGAATGGGAAAAAACCCGAACAGGTCGAATCCATCAACGAGCAACTCCGCAATCTCGTCGCTTTTCGCCGTGCAAGGAACAACCGGATCGTTCTCGCCGATATGAGCCATTTTATCAAAGTCGACGAGCTCGTGGACAGGGTTCATCCGGATGATGCCGCTTACGAGAAGATGGCATCGGTTTGGTGGGCGGCTTTCCAAGTTGCGCAGCAGGAGGGCATGCTGCAGAACTTCAACTACACATCAACCATGTTCAACATGAAGAAACTCGACGACAACACCACCGACCCTAACCTCCCCGCGTATTCTGCCCCGGATCAGCCCTCGGTGGATAACCGGAATAATGGTCAGCCGCCATCCATCAGACTCAATGTCTGGATGTTGGTCTTACAAGCTTTCACTGGTATGTCAAGATCTACCTACCCAAGCGAAGAACTTCGAACTACGATACTAATTCGTGCAGTTTACATTGGCTTTTCCGTATTGTACACATAAACACATCGATATACCCGTCACGATTTGAAATATTAGCGCAGAAATACTAGAAATGAATTTTCCACCTATACAAGAAGCAATTAGCCCGCTGTAGACTTGACTGAACGAACGTACTTATCCAAATAGCCTAATAGAGCCGATGGATTGCATCAGAGCGCTTCGCAGAGATAGACTCGACGCGTCATATCCATCCCCCCCCCCAACAATAAACTAGTCTTATTTTAGTAGGGCGCCGTTTCGCAATTGGGCGATCAGCAATTGGCTATCTCCTTGGCTGTGGGGCTGGATGCAGCTAAGGAACACCGTTTTCTGAATCGGGTAAGGATATTCGCATCATGATCTGTGGAGACGAACAATTATAAGAGAAATAGAAAGAACAGCAAGAATTGCTGAGCTATAAGTAGAGCCAGAAATCCGGGACTTTCAAGAGTAATTCAAGTTCATCAATCGCAGTTCTCTCTTCTTTATTTATTCTTTCCATCCATCCCTCTTCTCGCTCCTCACTATGACACCTGATACCCTCGACCTCCATGGCAAAGTTGCCATCATCACCGGTTCAGGGAAGGAAACCGGAATTGGTGCCCGTATTGCAACCACCCTCGCTCGCAATGGGGCTCTTGTGGTCATCAATCACGTCTCTGATGCTACTGCATCGCGAGCGGCCGGTGTGGTCGAGACAATTCGTGACCTGGGTGGCAAGGCGATTGTCGTCCAAGCAGATGTATCAACAGTGGAAGGCGCAAAGAAACTCATCGACGAGACTCGGGTGTTTTTGAAAGTCGATCACATTGATATTCTTGGTGAGTTTTCCCGTGTTATTCTTAAGTACAGAGACTAATAGCTTGTCTATCGTTCAGTCAACAATGCAGCCGGAGGCGCACCCCATGGAGCCCTCCAAGCGACTCGTGATTCTCTCGACGCCACCTTCTCCTCCACAGTTTATGCGCCAATCTTCCTCCTGCAAGCTGCCGTTCCCTATATGCCACGTGGAGGGCGTGTGATCAACATCGGATCAATTGCGTCGAAGCTGGGAATGGCCCCAACTGCCATATACGCTGCTGCAAAGGCTGCCCAGGATTCCTTGACATACTCATTGGCCATGGAGCTTGGTCGGGGTAATGGGATTACTATCAACACCGTGTCACCAGGTCCGGTGGATACCGAAGCCTTGCCTAAGGAGGTTGCTGATAAAATCCACGGCATGCTGGTGCCAATGACGAGAGCGGAGGGGAGAGTGGGGACGACCGATGATATTGCCGATGCAGTGCTGCTTCTTGTTTCCGAGAAAAGTAGGTGGATTACTGGGCAGGTCATCTCTGTTAGTGGTGGTATCACTGGTGGTTGAAGCTGTCCAGGATTTAGTCACCCAGTTAGTCAGTCAGTCAGTCATGCGCGACCTGAGTCCATATCATGAATGAGCCGTCCAACTTTATCTTTTGCAATAATATCAATCCATATAATACCTTGAACAGCTTCGACGATACTTTGACCGTCTGATAAATTAACCGATCTCATGCATGCGAATGTTTTCCCGATAAGGAGGTCCCGCCCCGGCCCGCTAGGCTGGAGCATAGCCACTGTGACGAGAGCCCATAACTGTAGGCGCTGAAACGGAAAACTTTGATGGATCACCTTCGTATATCCAATGAGTCGATTGAATTTATTCTGCAGGGTAGGCATTTCAACAGCACTAAGTCCATAAACTGTTTTCACTCCGCAGAGAAGAATAAGCAGAGCAAGCCGCATGATCTCACAGAAATTTTCAAATCCGCCTGATGTCAGCTCATCCGCTCGGGGCATCGAGAGCAGCTCATGGGTGATTGGTGCAAGAACTTGAAGTGGGCTTATATCATCTTCAGCTTTCCAAAATCCCGGTTCGCTGCATCGATTGTTGATGTACTCCGCCAGTACTCGTACTCTCCTGAGTATTGTGGCAAGAGATTCAAAATCGCTAGACACCCTTTCGAGGTCATCAAGAAGATATTCAAATTCTGTCTGAGCTCTGGTATCCTTGGCCAGGTCATCCAAAAAGACCGAACAACTAGGTAAATTTGGTAGGGCATCCTTAGTCACTGATCCTAAGACATCAAACCAGGAAGCGAAAAGTTGGACTCTTTCGTCGAGACCATGGAAGCCTCCCCGAATTTTGATAATCAGAGCCAATCCCTGAATGTGATATGTCCAACGATTCAAGGTACCAACGTATAGCTAAGAAGAAAAAGGTCAGAAAGAGTGGAGTCGATGAGTGCGAAGAACATACATCATGACAGATCAATCCAAGGATGCAGGTGAGGATGCCCTCGCTAGTACGCTCTTGTGCATTCGACAATCTTTCAGTGACTTGTCTCACACATTGGCCATAATAGGTCAAAGTCTCTTGACAAGTTTCATAACGAAACGTATCCGGGTGTTGGGTTTCTTCCAGAAACATGGCAGCATTGGCCTTGCAGAGAATAAAAGCACTCCTATCGCTCAGAGCCATTGAGAACCAAATCTTCCGAAAAGGTCGGTAATTATATCCTGCCTCCGCATTCACTGTGACTCGAGGTTAAATCTCTCTCTGAAACACGATAGGGGTCACATACTGAAATGAATCAGTTCCAGGGCCCGAGAGTCTATCTCCACAGGAAGAGGATTCGAGCCGAGACATGGAGCCGGTGATTCCAGTCGTGTCGATGGATGCGATGGTTGCCAGACAAAGGTCACTGCAGGGGTATGTTTGCTTTTTCGTCGCGCCTTGCCGATATCGCGCATCACGCGCTTTCGAATGGTACGCTGGATGTCTTTGTCGCGAAAACGATCGGGATTCGAAGTGTTGACAAATATAAAGTCATCTACGTGAGCCATCTTTGCTGACAAGGCGAGTTGGGGCAATGGTTGAGGTCATATGGAAAATGATTTATATTTTGCGCTAAACCGAAATAGGAATACATGATACGATGGAAAGTCTACGCCAACTTTAATACTACATGATACTAATGGGGGCCAAAAGAAAATGCTTGTGAGAATGACAAGCATGATGTCATTCACATAATTTTGCTTAATTAAGGTAATCAATTTGTGATCGCGATTCCTAGTTCATGCCGGTCGGTGACAGTTGATGTGGGCGGTATAGAGGTGCGTCCTTGGTGGAAGCTATTTACAAACTCTCGTCGCCACGAACGAATCGAAGCGGTCTCTGCTATTAGGGCTAAATGGCAAGCTGACGGGACCCTGTGAATTTCATGAACTTGAGTAGATATGAATTCTTCATACTTTCAAGTTCATGTGTTCTTCCCTGGCCTCAGGGCTGTTCGGTAGGTATATTATTCGACCAGATGCCCACTGACAGGTGCTGTTGTCCGAGTCTTCAATACTCTATTCTATGTAAATTTCAAGTTGAACCAACCCGATCGCCAACTTTCTCAATTGCTGCTCCGCTATGTCAGAATGGAGGTCCACTAATCATTCCCGGGAGGATCATCTTAGTGTCAGCTTGAACTTGTCTGATCAAACCTAGAAGCAAATTCAACGGTTGGGTAAGTTCTCGCGCGACACATTCACGAATATTCGCTGGTGGAACAACGTCATAATTCTAGACAATCCATCGAGACCTCAATGGCCAGTAGTCGAGATTTCTTCCACCGGACCTTCTCACCGAAAAAGATAGAAGTCCGGTAGTCGAGTCCCACGAAGACTGCCACGTGGGAGCCATGCCATGGGGAGTGTGGAGTGCAGAATCGTCAAGAAGTTCCAGAAGCAATGGAGCCTGTCAATGGACGTTCGAGACCGAGTTGAAATGACGGTTCACCATGTAAAAACTTTTCGTCGAGATCGATTAAGCTCATGGATGATCTAGATCCCGGGTCCCAGATCGATTTCCAGGCGAGGTCCCGTCACACCATCAGACCTGGACCGGGTTCCAAATCGGTCTAGACGCTGCAGTCGTCAGAGAATCAAAACTTCAAAGAGCTCCAGCCACCCTGCAGGGAATTCGGTCAAGGTCTTGGGGTTGCTGGTCAGGGCTGGGTGATCAGGGCCTGGCGGGGCGAGCAGGATGCGTCGTCAGACGACCAAAGGTGCAGAAGTATCGACTTGGACTGTTGTCAGCGGGATGGTTTGGTATTGGAATATTTTCATCTGGGCGACATGAACGGGGTACATAGGGCGTGGTTCGCCGCGGTCCTGAATTCCGAATATTAACAAAGTCACTATTGAAGTCCGGGACCCTGGGCAATCGGGATAATACATTATGAGTAAATAGTGTCCAAACTATAGACGGTAGACAGTGGGATAATGACTGTAGTGGAGGCAAAAACGCGCCGGAAACCCTAGTGTGGATACCGAACCAGGAACAAAACCCAAACCGAGAACCATATGGTCCCTAAGCCGAGATTCGGCATTGAGGATCGATGGCCAAGGAGAATGACCCGTAGTTGGCGAGATCAGGAAGGAGGAATTCTGAGTCTAATGTACGGAGTACGGAGTACAGAGTGTTCACCGCGAAAGGCAACAAGCAACTCGATGATCGCCTGACTATTCGCGGCTCACAACGCCACACTCGGTGAGATGGTGGCGGGCTATTTTTAATTGAACTCGACCTACGAGTAGAGTGTATTGTACGCAGTACACCGTACTCCATTCCCAGGTTGTAGCAGTGAGGCGCAGACAGTAAACGCAGGAGGGGTGACGATTAAGCTCAGCCTCGGAATGGCTTTGCTTTGCTTTGCTTTGCTGTGGGAGTCTCGAGTCTCAGCCCTAGGTGATCGTTGCTGAAAAGGGGGATTAAAGCCGGAGACCCAAGTTTAGCCAAGTTTAGGCTCTTGAACAAAGTTCTGCTCTCGGTCGATCCACTCTTTGGGCCGAGGGGCCGGCTATAACTTATACCGGAATACGAACTGCGCATGGGAATCGCCACTGTGAAGACGAATGCCCGAAGAGCAGAATTGGATCTGATGAGACATTCGGGGAGGCGAGGATGGCATAGCACAGCGTTAGTAGGAACAATTATCGATGGGTCCAAAATTAAGATTGAAATTGGAATTGAAGCTCGTGGGATCTAGACTAGCCTTATTGGGTAATTTGCCGATTAGTCAGTCGTCTCATCTTATCCCGAGATCAAACCAGACCCCCCCTAGAGCAGACTAAACCGGACCAAACCACACTAGATTGCCATTCGAGAAAAAGCTTATTGCAGGTGGGAAGATTAGCAGCGGCCAACTTCCGGGGTTCTGCCGACAGCGAAGCAGCGTTGGTTTGATCTTCACACAGAAAAACTGGTAGTGGTGGTCACGAGGTGCTGGTTAGTAGTATATAGTAGTATCAACTAGTAGGCGATATATGTCTCTATTTTGGTGGTCGAATTAATAGTATCTTCATACTATAACTGATATTTATTATTCCCAAAGAAGAAGCATCTTTAGACACTCATTATCAGGGTCCGTTCAGGTAGAGTACTACTCGTACGAGTACAGGAGGCACTCTACTGCGGACGCGATGGCGGTTAGCGGCCAGCGCCAAGACCCTGGAGAGCCCAGTTGTTTCGGGAGCACCCACAGTGCTAGTGCTAGTGGTAGTACGGAGTAAGTATAGTAGTGATGTACGGAGGATGTAATCTGTGGATCCGGATACCCCCTGCTCAACGAGGAATGTTGTTGAAGGTTCAACCACTAAGAATTAGTGAGAAGCATTCCTGGGTAGCCAGGGGTGTAGTAGAGCAGAGAAACACAAAGTGTAGAGTGTAGAGTGTAGAGTACATAGTATATGAGTATATATCTAACGTTTATTATCACTAGATAATCCACTAGAATAGACTACAATAGGTGAACTATAAGGGATAATACTGCCAGTGTGTAAGAACAATAATACCGTACACAGGATACACAATACACAATACCGAAACCCATACCAAATTTGGCACAGCCCGATTACATCAGCGGAGACCAAATACTCTTCTCCCATTGGCTCAATCTCCTGGCACCCTTAAGGAAAGACCGGCTTAGTCGCTCCGGCGGGCCACGCAATCCTTTCTCGACTGAACCGCTCTCCCTCCTTTCTCAACTCTCAAGATCCACTGCTTGAACCGTTCTTTATTATTATCTTGGACCCCCATCTAGACCACTGTTTCGCTCTTTTTTTTCTCTCATTTTTTTTCTTATCATTACCCATACCCATATTTATATCAACCCTATCTCCATCTCGCTGTCCAGGGGACAAGGGTCTCGATCTCGACACTACCACCACCATCACCCATCACCACACATCATGGCTACTCTCGCAGAGCATCCCATGCAACCGACTATCAACCCCGCTTATGACCAAGATCTCGACTCCTTCATCAACTTCGATCAACTCGCCTACACATCCGCCGACCCCGCCCGCCCCAAGGTCGCCCTCGCCAGCCAACCTTCTATCGCTGGGACCGACTTCAGCACAAGCGACGCTCGCAGCGCCAGTTTCGCCTCTAGTGGTCAATCACCCATGGCCTTCCAGGCCCCTAGCCACCACTATGAAGAGCACCGCCAACAAACTGGGTTACCCCCTGGCGCCCTGGCCATGACCTACAACCAGCAGCAGCAGCAGCAGGTTACCCAAATGGGCTTCGGAAACCCGAACCCCGGCTATCCCATGAACGGCGATATGTTCCCACAACAGATGAAGCGCGAGGACGCTTCCTTCGATTTCAACACAGCCCCTGCCCGTAACCCATCTGAGATGGAGATCGAGTCCGACGGCATGACCAACACCCCTTACTACTTCCCCAACAACGCGAACAAGAACCAATACATCGATCCCAACGCGCTCGGCGGCCATGAGCTGGCTCAGGCTGGTCCTTCCACTCAGGTCGGTCGCATGTACCCTGGTATGCATCAGCAGCAGGCTGCGATGGCCAAGGCGGCGGCTCAGCAACAGAAGCAACACGAGATGGTGCACCAGCAAGTTCCTCAGCGCCGTGTGGAGGAGAGCCCTGGTGCCCCCTCCAACCGCGGTTCCCGCCAGCCGGATCCTGTTGTTGAGGAGCGCATTTCTCAACTTCTTCACCAGATGCGTCAAAATGCCATTGCTAACGGCGAGGCCTCACCGTCCCCATCTTCCGGCATGCCTCACATGGCCAAGGCCAAGAAGGATGAGGCTGATATGGACGAGGATGAGCGCCTGCTCGCCAGTGAAGAGGGAAAGAAGCTGAGCAGCAAGGAGCGTCGCCAATTGCGGAACAAGGTGTCCGCCCGTGCATTCCGCTCTCGTCGCAAGGGTAAGACGCTGCGTATGACCTTGAAAATTTTGAACATTTACTAATCTTGCACAGAATACATCGGTCAGCTTGAGAGCGAAATTTCCTCCCGCACCAACGAGGCCCACGACCTTCGCATGCAGAACCGTGCCCTCTACGAGGAGAATGCCCGCCTGAACGATCTCGCCCGTATGCTCCTGGGTTCGCCCCATTTCTCCTCTTTCCTGAGCGACATGCCCGATGCCGTTGCCCCCCAGGTCCAGGCTCAGCAGGCACAGGCCCCCCCGTGTCCAGCAGCCCCAGCAGGCTCCTGTGCCCAAGGAGGCCGCCGCTCCTCGTCCTCAGGAGTTCCAGATGCAGCAGAACCCCCAAACCAACATGATGATGGTTCCCCAACAGGGTATGGATGCCTCCATGGCGATGAACAACGGTGGCTGGAACTCCGGTATCGACATGAACTTCGGCAACGCTTCCGTCTTCGCTGTTCTCGAGGTTCCCGAGGGCCCTGCTCTCGATGCTGAGGCTTTGTCTGGCAAGCCTTCCTCCCCGATCGACCTCTCTGAGGGATCCTCCAAGAACGAGGTCCCTGCTCTGGTCCGCCCCGAGCAGTCGACTGAGAAGTCTGATATCGGTGTTGCCAACCCCGATGTGGAGATTGACGAGTCCGACCCTGCCTTTGCTCTCTTCCTTGATTCCCCGCCTGTCGCTATTTCTTCCGATGTCCCTGCCTTCGACGGTGTTCAATCCGAGAAGGCTTCTCAATTTGAGCTGGTGGTGGACTCTACCGAAGTCAGTGCCTCGGCCAAGAGTCGATTCAACTCCTTCTGCAACAACATGGAAGCCGCTTTCCAACGAGTGTCTTCCGTCACTTCTCATCTTCAGTGATTCCCCTCTCTAGCATTTTTCTTTGTATATCTGTCTTTTGTCCTGGCATCATATGTTTGACTATACAACGTCTGTCATATTTCTATTTTTTTTAGCTACATTCTGCGAGTGGTCGGCCTCTTTTTGTCAGATGTCCCTCGGGAGTTTCACGGCGCTCATTAATTCTATGTATCTCCTGGTTGGGGTTTTGGGTGGAAATTTAGTAGCGATTACTCGGCGTCGAGGATCAGCGATACTCAAAATTGATTCATTACGATTATATTTAAGTTGATTAAAATTTCTGTAATCAGATGCATACTATTAGTAGTAATTCCTGCCAAGTACTAGTAACTTACGTTCTGTTGATCGCTGGGCTCGACCTACACCTCCGCCTCCGCCCGCCAAAAAAAGTTGCGGTCCAACTTTCAACCTGCCTACACCACTTCTTCGCCCCTCCACAACCTCCCCCCCAACACTGATGCCGTCTCTCCCCTTTCGCTCCCACTGAATCCTCCTAACAGCCAAATTGGCTTCTCTACCGACCCGCGGTATTCTCTTTACCGCAGCTTCTGGCGCACTCTCGCGTGCATTTCATCGACCGGCCATCACAACCTCCGTCCGCGTCGCCGCATTTCAAACCGCAACATACACCAAAAGTCGCAGTCGAGAATCGGTATCCAAAGCCACGAGGCAGAAAATCGCTGCTCGAACTTCTCCTTTCAAACTTTCCAAACGAAAAGAACCTCCCACCCTCTGCGAACAGCGACAACATAAGTTTCGAGGGCTGGACCAGAGAAACAACCGGGACAAACGAAGCATCGATCCTAGCACGCCCATCGTCTCCACTACTCGAGGTGGAAAACGGGAATACCTCCTCTGCGAACCCTCCCTCCTCAAATTAAAAGAGCTCCCCCAGCCCTCCACCCTAGCCCACCCAATGAAGTTCTACTGGCAGGCCTTGACGACCCCGACGGCCGACACCCCCGGCACGTTCCTCAATCTACACTTCCCCGAGAAGAGATACATCTTCGGTCAGGTATCAGAGGGAACTCAGCGAGCATGCGTCCAACGGGGAACCAAGCTCAGTAGCCACTTGAATCATCTTTTTTTGACAGGTCGCACGGAATGGGCGAACAATGGCGGTCTGATTGGTGTCATCTTGACTGTCGCGGATGCAAGCGCGGCGACCTACGGTTCCCTGGAGACTGCTTCACGTGAAAAGATGCAGCGCGCGGCCGAGCGCAAAGCTACGGAGGCACCAGGAAGAAATCTGGGGCCGCTGAACCGCGCGATCCCACGAACCAGTTAGATGCAGCCATTGACAAGGTTCATTTGAATATCCACGGTGCGACCAACCTGATGCATACTATGGCCACGGCCCGGCGCTTCGTCTTTCGGAAGGGTCTGCCCGTGTATATGAACGAGTATAGTGCCAAGGATATTGAGAAGCGACTCCCTGTCGGCGCAGAGGACCCGTTCCAGGAGCCTACCTGGAGCGATGAGAATATCAAGGTCTGGATTCTCCCCATCAACTCAGACAACTCAAAGTCTCCTTCTCCTTCTCTCTCTCAGAGCCCGCGGAAGCGCAGCTTGGACGAGTTCCGAGAGACTGTCGACTTGGAGGCGCAGCAAATCCAGGATAACCTACTGAGACAATCGGTTGTCCATGATATGTTCAATTCGACCTGGAAGATGGATTCCCTGGTTGAGACTCCTCTCGCGCAAGTGAAGATGCCTGCAACGTTGTTTGTGCGGAACCCAGAAACCAAGGACCTGGAGCAGTACAAGGGACCCATCCCCGGCGACAACAAGCCCCTTCCCAAGATCAACGTGCTCGTTCGGAAGCCCTGGCCCGGTGCGACTGTGGAAACTTTACCGCCTACCACCCCCTCCAAAGAGGCTCTGTGCTATATTGTCCGCAACCACGACGTCCGAGGCAAATTTGACGTGCAGAAGGCTAAGGCCTGCAAGGTGCCTGCCGGTCCTGCGTACGCCAAACTTGCAGGTGGTGAGAGCGTCATGTCGGAGGACGGCAAGACCATCACTCCAGACATGGTCCTCGGCGCTCCGAGATTAGGCCAGGGAGTTGCTATTATGGAAGTTCCGTCTGCGGATTACCTCGACGATGTGGTCAATCGTCGAGAATGGAAGTCCCCCACCGTCATGGCTGAGCTGAAGGTCTTTTTCTGGATCCTTGGTCCCGGCGTTGGCGAGGACCCTAAGTTCCGAGACTTCGTTGCCCGCATGTCCCAGAGTAAGCATCTTGTCTCCGGCACAGACTACTGCCCGAACTATCTGGCGCTGGAAAGCGCCGCTGAATCTGCCATTCGCTTGAACTGCCTCAACGGCGATAACTACTCAATCCCCGACCACGACAATGAAACGCTTCCCCAGCGTGGAATTGCAGGCAGCGCTTTGCCGGGATCTATCGACATAAAGAATCTTCCCTTCGAGCCGGTTAAGCCTGGTCTGATTATCGATATGGAGCCTACCTTCAAACTGAATACCTCGGAGATTGTGAAGCCTGTCAACACAGCCATGGCCGTACGCGTTCCTCGTGCTGTTGCGCAGCGTCTGGATGTCATCAAGAAACGTGTCGCGAAGCCCGAGTTCAAGAAGAAGTATGCTGACTTCCGCGAAACTCTGCCTGGTGCTGACGCCGAGATTATTGCTCTGGGTACTGGCTCCTCCGCGCCGTCCAAGTATCGCAATGTCTCGGCCACCTTGGTCCACCACCCCGGGTACGGTTACTATCTCCTTGATTGTGGTGAGAGCACTTTAGGTCAACTGAAGCGTGTTTTCGGACCCGAGAAGCTGCGCGAGGTTTTCCAGAATCTTCGCATGATCTGGATCAGCCATCTGCACGCCGACCACCACCTGGGCACTGTCTCTGTCATTCGCGCTTGGTACCACGAGGTCTACGGAAGAGACGCCAAGCCTGAAGCTCACCCCGAAACGGACCTGGCAAAGATCCTCCAGGAGAAGCGCTTGTGCGTCGTCTCAGACGAAATGATGATCACCTGGCTGGAAGAGTATGCAACAGTCGAGAACTTCGGTTTTGGCAAGGTGCTGCCCGTCTCCGCACACCCTGAAGCATCCGGCCAAACCATTGTCACTAAATTTAGCTACCGCACCAAACAAGACGGCGGACCTCCCTTCGGAGCACGCAACGCCAACAAGATCCGCCTCGGTTTCCTCGGTGACTCCGGTCCTCTCACATCGCTTTTCAAATCCGCCACCGGTCTCAGCGACCTACTCACAACCCGAGTCAAACATTGCCGCGGTGCTCTAGCCGCGTCCTTCGTCTTCCCGGATGGATTCAAAGTCTCCTACTCCGGCGACTGCCGACCCTCGGATAAATTCGCCTCCATCGGTGCTGGCTCAACAGTCCTAATCCATGAAGCAACCTTCTCAAATGACATGGCCGGCTCAGCCCTCGCAAAGCGCCACTCAACCGCAGCCGAAGCCCTAGAAGTCGGCAAGCGAATGAATGCCCGCTCAGTCCTCCTCACCCACTTCAGCCAGCGCTACCAAAAGATCGCCCAGATCAATGAAACCCCCAATTCAAAGAGATCAATCCAGTTCTCGCCCTCCTGCCCAGGCGCTGAACCCCAACTCGTTGGAGCTGATCGCGGCGGCGCTGCCCCTGATATCCCCCTCGACGACGCCGAGGCCGAGGCCGAAAAGCCACCCTCCCGACAATCTGCCTACGAACTCCTGGACGATATCGCCTTCCCCGAACCCGGTAAACCAGGTCTCACGTCCAAGGGCACCCGGATCCCAGGCCAAAATGCCCCCGTCGCCGCGGCGATGGACTACATGCGTGTCAAAGTGGGCGATCTAATTTACGCCCAGGCGTATGCGCCCGCGCTGGAGAAGATGATCGATGTCATCGAGCGTGGTACGGCTGCTGATGCTGAGCTTCAGAAGAAGAAGCGCCAGTTTGAGGAGGAGACGAAGAAGGCTAAGAAGAACAAGAAGCATTCTAAGGAGCGTGCTACTGAGGCTGCGGCTGTTGCTGCGGCTCTTGCGGCTAGTATTGCTGCTGACGAGGATGAGAGTAAGAGGTCTGTTTGGAGTGCTAGTGAGAGTGAGGATGGGTGGGAGACTAGTGATGTTGAGGAGGAGATGTGAATAATTGGCTTGGGCTGAACTGAGTCCCGTTTTATGTGGCTTGAATGCATGCATGATACCCTGTCGGTTGCGATGGTTGTATTCTTATTTTTCTAGAATTGTATAATCTCACATCTTTTTTTTGTTCAACTTGGGCTAGCAATCTCCAGGGCTATGCCACGGCGATAACTGGGCCCTCAGAGGCAGTGCAAGGACAGCCTTAGGTCATGCATTAGAAATTAAACTTCCATGAAACGCTCCCAGTCATATCGAGTAGAAAGTTGGAAGTGACCCCAACGATGGCGCTCCATACCCCAACACAGACCCGCAAATGGGAATTGATCTCATCGTTTCAGCCCCTTGACTAGTAATACTATTCTGACGCCTACCTCGAAATCACATGAAATTCTTATTCTTAAACCCGAGGCTGATGAAATGGTGAGAGTTTGGTGACTTCAACATTTAAATAAGCCTCATCCCATCGCGATACTGGTATCTTGTCAAAATTTACACCAGATCCTGATGGTAAAATCATCTGCTTGTCCTTTGGAGCTCTAAGTTGAGGCCACAGTGTTACTATCACTGGCTGACAAGAAACTATAACACTTTAAGCTCTATTCTACATTTTGAAAAAAGGCTTCATTCTGTGATAACTTAAAGAAGAAGAAATCTCAGAAAGATGCCACAGAATGGTCATCCTGCAATTCTATTCTTCGATGTCTTGGGGACAATTGTGGAATGGAGATTTTGCATCGCGAAGCAACTGAACGCCGCAGCTCAAGAGATCCTTCAAAATCAAACTCGATCTCTGAGTGCAGATGTGCGAGCACGCGTTTCTGGCATGTCTACTTCAAGTTGGAGGGAGATTTCCGAGGAGTGGCATCACGCATATATGAACTTCGGAGACAATTACGATACATCTCAGCCCTTTGTCTCAGTAGATGAACACAACCGTATATCCTTGGAAAATATTCTCACGGAACGGCGTCTCGGGGATTTATTCAATGAGGACGATCTCCAAAATTTAACACTCGCTTGGCATCGACTTGACTCATACTCCGACAGTGTCCCCGGCCTTGCGTTGCTGAACACTAAATTCCCGACGTCGACATTATCAAACGGCAATGTGAAGTTACTTGAAGACCTACAAAACCACAACTCCTTGCCTTTCAAGCATCTTACCAGTGCCGAACATTTTGGCGCTTACAAGCCGTCCCCCGAGGCCTATAATGGTGCTGCTCGCAGATTTGGGTTTGAGAATTCGCAATGCTGTCTTGTTGCAGCCCATCTTGAGGACTTACAGGCGGCCAAGAAATGTGGGTTTCAGACAATTTATCTGGAGAGAGAGTTGGAAGAAGCTTGGGATAGTGAAGGTGTTGCACGAGCTAGAGAAGAAGGGGTTGTCGATCATTGGGTCGGAGTTGGTGGGTTAGGTCTTATTGAAGTTGCGAAATACTTCGATATCTCGGAATAGAAGTGGTGGATTTTATAGACCGACCTATCAGATCTAGATGACACGATCAATATTTCAACCACCGTCAATGCGATCAAGAGAAATGTAGGGCAAGTTCTTACTTTACTCATTCTGTCCCACTCATAGAATTAATATTGCTCGACAGAATGCAAATAACACGGACGAGCTTACCGAAAAGCCCTATTACGAACTGCCAGCGCTCATGTTTTGAAACAGGTAGATAGTTACCCCTTTCCTGTTCTCTAAAATTGAAAAGTACCTTATGTCAGTGGTCAAACTAAGCAGGTCGAATCTAACCCTAGTGAATCAGATACTCAATATGGCACGCGAAAAGCTGTAGACCCACGGTGAGTACGAAACTCGATTGAACTGGTCTGATTTAAACACGAAGCCTCGACATAATAGGAGGGGTTTCAGGCAGATGTAAACGCAGACATGGAAACACTCTTTGTTTCGTTAGAGAAAGTATATTTAGTAATCTACTTTATTCTCCTTCCTAAAGTCAGAGATCAGTAGTTGCACAAGGCTTTGAAACCTTCATTCTGATCAATCTACATCGAAATATTAGTAAGTGAGTCCTTCTCCAGCAAATAGAATCAGAACCATAGGTCTTAAGAATAATTAACATAATTAGATTATTACAAATGAATTTTTTGTTAGTGACAGAGATTAGGCAAAATTCTCTTCACATGGATCAGGATGACTTATTCAAGTTGATCCCAACCCCGCTCGTGGTAATTTTCTCCTGCTATCACACCATCATGTGAATGTCAGTTCCCCGTTTGATTCACCATATCACTGATCGATCTCGCAACTGGGGGCACATTTATCTCTTTTCTTGTCGGCGGCATACCTTTGACTTCGATCCTCACCTTTTCGCTGCCAGAATCGACTGACTTGGAACGCCTGATCAACTGGCGGGGTATAGCGTATCGCGACAAATTTCTCGTACAACTCCATGTCAACATCAGAATCACTCATCGCGAGCACTCGACTTAAGCAACTTGGCCCCCGCAGCCTTTTTACTTTCGGAAGTCTTTTCAAAAAGGCTGTGCAAAATGACCTCGATACTAACAAAGCTCGCGATCTGGCTCTGGGGACCAGATAGCAAGGATCGCGCTCTGCTAGCAAAACTCGATGTCACCCTACTTCCTTACTTCTCTTTGATATGGTTTCTATTCGGCGTCACCAGGGCCAGCTATTCTTCAGCCTATATCAGCGGCATGAAAGAGGCACTCGGTTTCCAGGGAAAGGAATATAATTACATGAGCACCGCGTATTTGGTGGTCTATGCCGTTTGCCAAATGCCAGGAACCAGTCTTTTGACTATCGTGCGGCCGAAATACGTGTTTGTAACAGCTAACTTGACCTGGGCGGTCTTAACGTTGATCACCTACAAGATGACCAAAGCCTGGCAAGTTATCCTGTTAAACGCGATCGAAGGAGGATTCTCTGCGATCGCATAGTAAGAATTCCCCGGGAATGCATGTGTGGAATGTCAGAAAATAGGAGCTGACATTTTGACAGCGTGGGTGCGCATTTCATTCTCGGTTCCTGGTATAAGAGATCTGAGCTCGGTATAAGGGCTGCAGTATTCTGCGTCTTCGGACATATAGGGACAATGGCTGGTGGCTGGATCCAAGCCGGATTGCTAGCATCATTGGCAGACAAGGGTGGTCTTCCTGCCTGGAAATGGATATTCATTATTGTTTCTGTGATGACTATACCCGTTGCATTATTCGGTACGCTCTCAACCCCGTTCATCCAAAGATGGAAGTACTCAGTAAGACCACAGGCTGGATATTCATTCCGGATCTGCCTTCGCATCGCGCAGCATGGTTCTTGAATAGCGAACTGAAAGAACATGCAATCATGCGACTAGGTGCGCCCCGCAAGCAGTCTTGGGATTTGACTGTGTTCAGGAGGGTGCTCCTGAGCTGGCAATTTTGGCTACTACCATTCATTTTTATGTGTAAGTATTAAAGATGGAAATTTGAATATCCGGTGCTAATATCAGCTTAGTGTACTCTCTTTGCGTGCAAATGCTGCAGAACAATGTGATGGCATACTGGATGGCTTCACGGGGATACACCACTATCCAGCAGAACAATTATCCTACCGGAATCTATGCAAGTGCTATTGTTGGTACAATCTTCTATGCAATAATATCGGACAAATTGCAATCTCGCTGGGAGGTCTCCATTGCGATTGGGTTGACCTTCATCATCGGGTCGGCGATTCTCGTGTCTAGTCCTTCGACAGATGCCGGATACTTCGTGGCATTCTATCTGCTCGGGACCACTTTCGCGCCTCAAGCGGTTTGGTATTCTTGGATGGCTGATGTCACGAGCTCGGATGTACAATTACGAGCTATAACCACCGGCTTCATGAACTCGTTCGACTTCGCTTTTGTAACTTGGTGGCCGCTAGTATTTTACGCTGCTACTGATGCCCCTAATTTTCACAGAGGTTATATTGCAAGCCTGGTGACGGGGGCATTAACCCTCCCGTTTATTGGCTTGATTGCCTATCTCGAGAAAAGAGATCGAGCACGAGGTGTGATTGGAAGAGTTGCGTTCGAGAGCCCGGCCAGTGACGACGAACGTGATGGGCGCGAGGACGATTCAAGCAAACTTGTGGACACACCAATTAATGTACGGTCGGCCGAGGTTAGTGTGTAGTTTCTTCGAAGTATTAGTAAAAGACAAAGACCCTATCTTCCATTAACTTAGAATGAAAACTTGAATTTTCATTAGGTGTGTCAGACCGCTATGCAAAGCAAATATCTATCAGTGCCTATGTACTTCCCGAGCCCTCGGGCTTTTCTATTGCTTGTGTATCCATATTTTGCTGCAGTGCACAGCATTAACCGCTGACCAAACGATCAGGTGTGAGGTTTTCAATTCCAGTTCCATTCGCTGGGGTGGAAGTGCCCTCCGAAGTAGGTGTCCGAGTTTCCGTGGATTCCGTTTTTTCGGTGTCGGCCTTCGCCTTAGATGTAGTTACGGTACCCTTGGCAGTGAGAGCACCGCTCTCTCTAGCCTCCTCGGGCAGAGGCCGGATGTGCGGCTGACACACCCACCAAGGACGACCATACTCGGCGATGGTAGCCTTGGAGCCTGTTAAAGACTCGTCTGGTTGCTTCTCAAATTTCTCGGGGTTTTGTTCATATTCTTTCAGTCCGGCCTTGATTGCTCGCTCAATGAGAGTGAGAACTTTCTCAAACGCGGCCATATCACCAGGCCGGGATTGAGCAAGTGCGTCTCGAACATTTGTATGAGTTCCAACCATGGGCCGGAGTACTTGGAAAAGATGACCCTGCATGAAGCCAAGGCTGGGGGAGCTGGTCCTCTTGACCTTCTCTCGTCTCTGTTTCTTTTTTGGTGGCCCGTCCTCCTCCTCGTTCTGCTCCTCTTCCTTTGCTTCTTCCGTTGCATTCACGGGGTCTGATGGCAGAAAGAGCGGCTTGCGCTCTGGAACAGGTTGCTCAAGGACATATTTGTAGATAATGTCGTAATATTTGCGCAGGATCGCATCAATCCGGTACCCGCCCTTGCCATCTCGGCCCCGCCAGTACTCTCGGCCTTCACTACCAACGGGTGGTGGCTTGCTGAAGACCGTGGGGTCGGAAAGGTTTCCCTCGGCGCTCATGACGCCGTCAGCACCGGTTGCCTCCAGACAACGCTCGATATCATCATTGCTCAAGATGTTTCCATTGGCAAAGATCACAGTCTCTGATGGTAGATTGTCGCGCAGGTAGCGGATGTAGCTCCAATCTGCCAGGCCTGTTTCATGACCCTTCTGCTCCCGGCGACGTCCATGGACTGTGATAATGTTTGCACCGGCGGAAAGAATCATCTTCGCATATTCCAAAGTCTTCTCTTTCGTTTCCTGGATGCGGAACTTTGCCGTAATGGGCACTGAGAGTTCAGTAGATAGCTTATTGATGAGTTTATAGATCAAATCCCAGTCCTCCTGGAGAAAAGCACCGTAGTGTCCCTTCCTGGCAATGCCTTGCGGGCAACCTAGGTTTAAATCGACGGCGTCACAGAAGGGCGCAACGTGTTTTGCTGCTTCCAGGAACTCATTTGGGTCGTTTGCGCAGAATTGAACGAAGAGGGGGCGGTCGAATGAGGGATTTCCGTCGAGGAAGAGCTCGTCCTTCTTGTTCGAATCTCCAATGGCGCCACGAGTGGGTTGAAAACACCCGGAGCGGACACGTTCCTGTTCTCCAAATAGACGCGCGTGATACATAGGGGAATATGCGAGAAGGGACTTCGACTCGTCCTCGGGCATGAAGGATCGTGTGAGCATGCGCCAGGCCTGGAAAGAAGAGAAGAATGTCAGTGTGGATTCCTCCTATATGGCTTTTGATAGACTCACAAACTCGGATCGGTCAACCATGGGGGCCACGATATACTTGGGGCTTCCAATGCTTTCGTAGAACTGCCTTCCTAGTAGTTTCTTCTGAGGTGCCGCTACGGCGGAGGGCAGCTCGGCACCATTTTGCGCCTTCTGCTGCTGCGTTGTGTCGGACACCATTCTGACGTAAAGTCGGGGGGTTTGGAACAAAAAGCGCCCCAGCCACGGGGATGATCTAGTTATAAGACCTATTTTGACTGCTGAAGCCGAGTTCCACTTCATCGTAGTAGGACGAACATCTCGACTTTTTGCCGGCGCTCTGCTTATCTCGGAGCGGAGGATCAAACCCTCCGGGCTATCTTATCGGAGTGGCGGCTTATCTAAGCATCCTTGCCTGAGGCGATAAATGTGGATGCCTCACCCGCATTGGGTTGGATGAGATCCATCTTGAGATATTCTCAATACGTGCAGAACAGCGACTATTTCGAGTCCAAGGTTGATGGAAATTGAGGGAAAAAAAAGATCCTCCACTCTCCAAATTGTATCTCTTTCTTCCGCGATCCAATAGACGAACTTACGGTCTCGGATTCTTGATATACCACTGAGCGCATAGACGCGCCTCATTGTTGACAGAGCATCAACAATGGATGCCTCTACTGGAACCGGGGGTAAATTCTTTTCTTCAACATATATAACCAAATGCTAATCCCAACTCAGCTCCACTGGCTCTTTCACTTTCCAATGACGGCCTTTTTGCAGCTCACGTCCATGGCAAAGATCTTGCCGTCTACTCAGATTTGGCATCCGAGCATAAAGAAATGCAGATTACCAAAGTCATGGAGACAAATGTCAAATCTTTCAAATTCTCTCCTACACGAAATTCAATTAAATCGTCTACAGACCGACGTCTTCTCAGCTCCAATGAATCCCGCATCTCGATCTGGCAACTAGAAGAATTGAAGCTGTTTGCCGAGATCGAAAACCTCGAGCCAGGGACACTCAACATCGAATTTGGAGCCGATGAAAACGAAATTCTTGTATTCCATGCGTGGAATACGAAAATGACTATTCACTCCTTGGACACGGGGCGCAGCTCCATGATCAAGTCGCCCAAATCTGCCCACCACCTTGGATTCGGCTATCGCCCGCACACCCTGCACTTCGCCATCCTATTAAAACCGGATACATCTGACCTACTTACTATTCATGACCCTAAAACCTACAACCTGGTTAGCCGGGTAGTTCTCTCAACTAATGACGCCCAGGGCTTGAAATGGAGTCCAGATGGGAGGTGGATTGCTGTCTGGGATGCTGCCAGTTCTGGTACCAAGGTGCTCATTTTCACGGCCGACGGACAGCTATTCAGGACTTATAGTGGCTCATCCGAGATGGATGATTCATTTGATCTGGGCGTCAAGCAGATTGAATGGGGCCCTCTCGGAAAAGACGGCACCTCCAGCACTCTCGCTGTCGGCAAGGTTAATGGCAATGTTGACCTGCTGCGAACCCGAACAGTATGTACCTCTCGAAAGAACTGACAAATACATATCTAACTCTTCCAGTTTACTTGTTCCACTACACTCTCGCATGTTTTCCCGCTTGATCAGTCTTCACCTAGGATCTGGCGCGAGCGATATACAAGTGCCCTCGGAGACGCGGAATACGCCGAGGCGACATGCTCCTCTGCATTTAACATGAGTCCCGAGTCTTCGGGGCCACCGCGAGGTGTACAAATCATGACATTCAGCCCTGACGGAACGATGCTCGCAACTGTGGATACTATGCGATCTAATGTTGTCTGGATCTGGACATTGGATGCCACGCCCAGACTGGCATCTGCTCTGGTGCATGAACAACCGGTTCGTCAACTAGCTTGGCATCCTTCGACGCCGCAGCTACTCATTAATGCAATTACGAACAACCTGCCTACTATTCGATGGTGGTCGCCCAATGATCACCCGGTGATCGCCCGCGTTCCTACCCAAAAAAGCGACAGTGGGAAGTATGAGGTGAAGTGGCTTGTTGAATCGGAAAATGATGCGACCTTTTGGTTTGCTTCGACCGATGAGTACGTGGTTGGGTATTTGACTGATGAGAATGGTGTCTCTGGATATGAAGTATTGAATTCGGTGACCAGTCGAGGATATGGAGGTCATGCTGGTAGCTTGGGCCGTTAGATAGTCCTATATTGTAATGTATAGGAGTTCTATACATAGTAGGAGCGCTGATTTCACAATAATGTCAAATTGAACCATCAAAATAAACATGAAAAACTGATCAACAAATTCCCCTTTAACCTTTGTTATAATAAATCATCAACAGAATTTACGATCAATCTGAATGGACTCTTGATATTCCATCTAGTAAGCTACGAGTACTAAGGAGTATACTTAGTGTATGTACAGTACTCTATGAACCAGCCAATCACCGGCCTCGCACTAACCGAGTTTGCCCCACACGTGACCTGGGGCTTAGGGCTTGAGTGGTGGATTAGTCATGCCCCACGGCCATTTTCGCACTCGAGATCCGCCGTCCCAGACAACCTTCCTTTGACTATCCGCAACCGACAGACAAAATGGTGAGTGCCCATCTCAAAATGCCTGGTCATCGCTGCAAAGACACGAGCTAATCACTATTCAAATACAGCCACCCGCAGGAAAGCAAAAGAAGAAGTGGAGCAAGGGCAAGGGTACGCTATCACCATCACCGTTACCAGCGACATCACCAGCAACATGACCATGATCATCCATCCATCCATCCATCCAGCCGACCGTGACAACGATCTTCGAACCCTTTCTTTCTCGCCCGGCCCCAACTACCGCACGAAGAAGACGAGATTTTGAGTCGTTGCGCGATCGGATATGGATGGTGGATCTGGCTCTGGACATGGACTTGAATATGCGAAATACATTACGAATAAACGGCGACTAACATTTTTTTTCTGTCTATAGTCAAGGACAAGGCCCAGCACGCCGTTGTCTTCGAGAAGTCCACCCTTGAGAAGCTCAACAAGGATGTCCAGTCCTACCGTCTCGTGACCGTCGCCACCCTTGTCGACCGTCTCAAGATCAACGGCAGCCTGGCTCGCCGCGCTCTTGCCGACCTCGAGGAGAGAGGCCAGATCAAGAAGGTCACCAGCCACTCCAAGATGAACATCTACAGTGCGTTCCCCCGAACACAATATTTTGACTTTTGAACCCTAACTAACTTGTCCCCCCCCTCAGCCCGCGCCGTCGCCGCCGAGTAAACGCTCCGTACCTCCATTTCTCGCGGTTGTCTATTTCTCTTACGAATGATATCATTTCACATGGGAAGCTCAGTGTGATGCTTAGTGGCCTGACTCTCGGCACTGTGGACCTTCGTCCTTTAGCCTAGCATCAGGTTAAACGAAGAATAAAAAAGTTTCAAAAACTTCAAATTTTTTTCCCCGCTATGTTCTGCGTAATACGTAGTTTATTAAAGTCCACCATATTGGACCGACAGCCCACGCCATCAAAAATACGCCTCACGAATGCTATAATAATATGTTCCTCTTTTCAAGGTTATCCTTTCACCTTTCAAGCGGAATACACCCCTCTACTTCCCCTCCATCTCACTTCTCTTCGGCCTCTGACCAGCCGCGGCCTCACAAAGAGGCCGCTTCCCCCACACCTCATCGCCCTCCCCTTGTTCACCACCCACTCTCCCCACCTGAAAATACTTCGCATGATTACGGAAGAACCCCTCCCACCTATTCACCGTCTTCTCAACCTGCTGCCTAGCAAGTCTAAGCTCGCGCTCCTTCCGAATCTTCCTCTCCCCATTCGTAAGCCCTTCATCCTCAACATCCTCCACCGGCACAAACATCTCCTCCACCCCGCCAAGATCAGGCGTGAGATCTTCTTGGAAACACCCCGTCACAAACGCACGCGTTGCGTCGCGACCGGAGAAGAATCCGTAACCACCGCCCGGTCCGTACATGCCTGGGTTCGCGGATACGTCGAAGATAGACCCGTTTACGGCGAGGTAGATTGGTAGTGAGGGGTCGCTGCCGTTGTAGAGGGATAGTTCGGTTGGGGTGAGTGTTATAGGTCCGATCTAGGGGAGCGTGCGTTAGTGGTGTTTCCTCTTTGTAGCTTCGATCGAGCTGGTTGGGTGCTGCCTCGCTCACCATGTACGACTTTAGTACCGGCCACCGTGTATACCACGGTCGGTATCCCCATAAGACGGACTCAGAGTTGGTGACGTAGTATGAAAGACCGCATGATGCGATGACGAGTGTGACTAGCACGCGGATGATGTCCAAGACGCTGATACCGCGGTCTTCGTTGGAGGCGTGGCGTGATGGTTGTTGTTGTGTTTGTGTGTTTGTGTCGCGATTGGAACCGGAGGACGCGGCTGTTTGTCGCTGGCGGAGTTCCGGCATCGTTGGGGTATGCTCTTTTTTCCGGTTTGCCCCTAAACTTGGAGGGTGTTGGTTCTGGTCGTGGGAGAAGGGGGTGGTGGTCGGTGGTTGGTTGTGGTGTGGTGTGGTGGAAATCTGGGGAAGATCGCCTCGGCTGGCCTGAAAGAAGGTGTTAGTGCCTACAGTAGTACTTACTACTAGTAGTAGGGGGGTGCGATGGCAAGGTAGCACACGTCTGATCTGACTCAGGTCCTTAGAATACCTAGTAGGTAGTAGGTAGATTTTGTCTTTCGGTTTTATCCTGTAAGATACTACTACTAGTACTTTTCTTTCAAGCCTGGAGGTCAGGTTTGAATGTGGACTCTTGAGACTACTCGGACCACAATATACTTATTTCACCGAGAATGTCGTCTACAACCTTCAACCAAAATGTGTCGAAGCCAATGGGCATCTCTGGGTAGCAATATTTTGTCATCAAATTCATGATTCTAGCAAGAAGGCATTGCAGACATGCGATATGCTGAGTCTCCTGCACAGCCAGCAGCTAGTCTTCGCACCCCGACATCCAGCTCAAGGACCACCATGATCCCGCGCCGCCTGTTCTTCCTGTTCTTGTTCCCATGATCGAGAGAAAACCTCATTCAACGCGTCCTGGAAAGTGCGACAGTTCATATCGATAAGTCCCTTCTTTTCCTTGGCCTCGGGGTTCCTAATCACCGAGACAAGACACAAGTACTTGTTCATCTCCATGAGATGAATCATCGTCTCGTCGTGCAGGATGACATGACTCTCTGCCTCCTGCACTTGTTCACCCTTCGCCTTTCGAAGCGGGTGATCCCACGAGTACAACTCGGAGATATCGACAATGACATCAATGTAATCGGAGCACATCTCGTAACAGGCCATATCGACAGGTCGGGTATCGGAAGCAATGTAGATTTTACTGAGGACGTCGAACAAATAGGTTTTCTCGAAGCCGCAGTTGTTCGAGAGCGTGGTGATCAGGTTTTCGAGGGTGGAGAGGTTGGGGATGAGCTTTTGGATAACCTTGCTGAAGGCTTCGAAGACGGAGTAATCGTAAATGGAGGTGAGATAGTAGTGAACAGGCGCGTTTTCATACCCCGCGTCGCTCAATTCGTCGGAGATTCGCTGGACAATGTCCTGAAAAGTATCTTGGCGGTATTCATCGGATAGCCCGTCCACCTTGTGGATGAAGACTTCGACGTTGATGCCGGGATAGTACTGTTGTACAGTCAAAATGGTGCGGTTTAACCGCGCAACCGAGTCGAGGTAGTCATCTTGGGCATCGATGACCCAGACGAGTGCGCCCAAGCTTCCGAAAATATCCTCCAGATCGAAAGACGGCTCGAGGTATTCAAGTTGCCCGGGAAAGTCCCAGACTTGGAAATCCATGAAAGAGCTATAGCCGGAATTAGCTAGAGAGTTCAGATGAGGTGCATTGACACTTACTGGATAGAATCCTTCTGGATCCGGGTGGTGGATTCAAGGAAGAGCGTCTCGTTGGGGGGCATCTTGTGAAAGACGACACTGGCAATGGATGACTTGCCACTCCTAAACGAAATTCAGCAACACTGTTTTCTGGCAGAGAAAAGATAATGCCGACTCACCGGCGAAGTCCCATCAGAAGGAGACGAGGTTTGGCATCGCGCGGCTGGGTATCGGGCACAAGGCTTGACCGGGCATGTGCCGAGGTGCCGACTTGGTGATTTCCCTGTAGATGTTGTTCAAGGCTTAGCTGGGCTTCAGATTTGAGAAAAGAGAATTGACGGTCGCCGACAAAGGGCTGTTCAAAATCCCGTTCGATCGACCAGGATCGCTCAACAGCGGGCCAGGGCATATTGGGCCGGAAAGGTTCGCGCATAGAAGGGGAGGAAGAGGAGTGCGTATGTCAAAGGGCCATCACATGCTCGATATAGCAATCGTGTGTGAAATTCAATATAGAGATGAACATTCCGGAATCATTGGGGCTGGGAATACTCTCCGACGTGGTCCACGGGGTTCCGGGCCATCGCGACTCAGCAACTCACGGGGCGCCATATGGACACCGCGCGTGCGCGCCTTAACACACCTGAACGCCTCAGGCTGGGATTCCCTCTTATCTTTGCGCCTGCATATCAAGAGGCAATATACACACCCACATTTGTATCAATCCAGAGATTAAAGAGGACCGGCACTGAGTGTTTGTCTCACCATTGATATGCCCTAGCACGCAGGCGAACGCGGTGCGCAACCGATAGTCACGGGCAACGGGCAGAGCGGGCAACAGCGAACAGCCAGAAAACAGCCAGAGAGTAGGCGGATAGGTGGTAATTGCAAGGCAAGAGGAAAGAGACAGGTAGAAAATGCAAGGAATTGGGCAGATGCGAACATAGGATAGGCCTTGCCTTCCCAGATGACGGGGAATGGAGCGGGGAGAGCATTCAAGTTCTTACCTCCATTGAAGCAGTCGGTCACAGTGGGGAGGGTTCCTGAGGCAAGTTAGCATGAACGACTGCAAATGACAGGGAGGCAGGTACAGGAATTGCAGGGAGCCAAGAGCGGGGGCGACAGATGTTGATCAAACGAACCAGCCGAGATCGAAGAAGTGCATTCGCTTTCAGGCTGGGCGAGGTGGAGGTGGAGGTAATTATAGCAATGGCGATGATGGTCCGGGCAGGGATTGTCAGGCCTGCATGATCGATTTTAGAGAGGTAGAGAAAATAGAAAGTAGAATCAAGCAGGGATCGCCCTTATGTACTCTGTGCAGTGTAGTGCAGTGCAGTGTAGTGTGAACTTGAAGTGAAGTGATTGAAGGAGGAGAAGGTGGGCAAAGGCGGAGTTGCTATCGATAGCGGGAGGAGAGAGGGTACTACTAGTATGGTAGGGTAGAGTAGTACTGTTAACTATGGTTTTATGGTATATTTAATTTATTGACAAGGTTATAATTGGGAATTGAACTTGAATCTGGTATATTCTATTAATCATAACTTTTGCCCCTATATCCTAGTGGACGTGGGAATGGGTGATTTCGCTGGTGCGGTGTTTCCTAATGTTCCCTCCAGTACTCGTATAAGCATGACTATGACTGTTGGGAACTTCCTCTTCCTCTTCCTCTTCCACCTCCAATTCTGGCCACTCCTCCCATCCATCTTCCCAAATCCCCGCGAGTTTCTTGCTTTTACGCTCAAGACTGAGCTTTTTACTCTTCATAATCTTCTCCCACTGCTTCATCTCTGCATCATCTAACAGACACTCGTCCAGAATGGCCGTCAGTTCACTTTCATCCACCCCTTCACCAATAAACACAATCTCCTGTCGTCGATCACCCCAGGGTCCCTGGAAATCATTCTCGATCGATTGTCGAACATCCTGGTCCTCGGGCCACGCCTCATCGGGGATCTCTGCGAACCAGGGACCTCCACACCCGACCGTTAGCATTCCGCCCGCTTGGCTCCACTCGCCAAACTGGAACGCCCGTGTCGCCAGCCAGAAGAAGCCCTTCGATCGCAGCACTGGCCCAAATGCTGCGTGGTGGCGCTTGTTTTCAAGAATGTCTTTGGGATCTGGCTGGTCAAAGTCTTCTATTGATCCGCTGTCACTGTCACTGTCACTGTCACCCTCGTCTCCTTCTCCCATCTCTTCATCCTCTTCCTCTTCCTCCAATTCATTGTTTTGAAGCAAGATGAACTTGTCGTGAAGTAATGAGAAGAGTTTTCGAGGATGAAAGGGTCGTCGTGCCGAGTAGACAAAGTTGTTGATGTCATACTCCAGCGTCTCCGGCTTAGGTGCCAATCGCTCCCCGTTGCCAGTCTTCTGCATCGTCATTTCATGCAAACTGCGCAACCAGCCAGCCCCCGAGGCGGCCCGGATAAAATCGAATTTTCCAGTCGATATGATCTCACGGACATCAATCTTAGAGTAACTCGATTCAAGCACCTTGGCGTCTGGATTGAGCAGTTTGAGAAGCTGCACAATCTTCTCGCGGTGGGCTTGGTCGATGGTTTCGACCTTGTTGATGATCAACACATCGGCGAACTCGATTTGATCCACCATGAGGTCGGAAATGGTTCGCTCGTCTTCGGGAACGATCTCATCTTTGCCGTATCGGTCGGAGAGGAACTCGGTGGTGTCGAAACTGGAGAGAAGGTTGAAAGCATCGATCACGGTCACCGTGGTGTCAAGGCGGGCCATGGTGTGCAAGCCACCCAATTCCACGCTATTGAAATGTTAGATCATCTTCGCCTTTGCTAAGAAGCAGCGGCGATGTTTAGATCACTTACATCTCTTTCAAAATCTTCTTCGCCTCGTCGTCATTCTCGGCGCTGATTTGGTCCTCGGCTTCTAACATGGCAGAACTGAACTCCGCCGTGAAGGTTTCGGCGACCTGCATCGGCTCACTAATACCGGTACTCTCGATCACCACATATTCGATCTCGTTCTGTTTTGCGAGGCGGGCTAACTCGGATAGCAGGTCGCCACGGAGTGTGCAACAGATGCAGCCATTCTGCATCTGGATGAGCTTTTCTGTCGTTTGGGAGACCTTGTGATTTTTGATAAGGGCAGCATCGATGTTAAGTCTAAGGAGAATAATGTCAGGGTTGTTCATCGCTTCCGCATATGCAATACTCACTGACTCATGTCATTGACAATGACCGCAATTCGCATTCCATGGTCTGGGGACCCAAGGATGTGCTTCAGGAGAGTTGTCTTGCCACTGCCCTGTTTAAATGTCAACAATGTGTCTGACATGTACAACATTTGGATAAATCTTACCAAGAATCCAGAGAGCAGGGTGACCGGTAGCTGCCGAGGCTTGGGCCTCTCAGCCTCTTGATTAGGGACCTGGACATGGTACGCCAGATTCTCACGACCCGAATCAATAACCATTTTGCCTGTGCTCGTTTGGTTTGCAATTCTATGAAAAGGAAACGAGAATAAAGAAGAAACCCAAGACTTCCTCTCCTAGAAACCTTGCGGGCAACTCATTTATGCCTCACAGGCCTCGTCTCCAAGTTCCTCATCGTCCAACATTGTTGGTCTCATTTCCCATGCGATACGTATACACATACAGGTCCCCCAAGGTTGATATGGAAATGGTGGGGATATCACCAGTCCAATAAAGGCGGATCTGCCCCCTGATGCTGATAAATGGTGGGCTTTGTGTGGCTGGCGGGTGTGGTCCACAAGGTACCTGGATGGCGTCGCTGACCTTCACGGTCCTCAAATGACGGGGGCGACTCGGTAATCTGGTATTAACGATAGTTCTATTGGCCGAGAATTTCCGCCGTGTTTTGATGCTAATGCGGACTTCATCAAGGGGATTAGAATCGGTATGTTCTTGTGGAGAGGTCACTGTGCCAAGGTTCCTCGTCCACTTAAGCCATACTAGTACATATGTGGTAGAACTTGAAGAGTGTAACCCGAGTATTTTGAAGTATGCCATAATATATGAACTTTGATATTTTTTCTTTGTACCTGGGTACTAGTAGCCACTTGGTACCTGATAAACGTGCGGCTGGCGGCAGTCGTCATTGGATACTACTAGGAGAATAGTTCATATTTCCCGATACGGCCTCAGAATGAGCCACCCTCAAGAAGGCATTGGCAATACTGCACCTGCAAAGATATTGGCAATAGTTACTAGTACTAGTACTAGTAGATACTAGATATCATTGCCATACGGTAATAATATGCAGTAACTATACTCTGTAGTTACTCTGTAGTTACTCTGTAGTATATTCTGGAGTACCCCCACTCCCCCCCCCCCCCACGCTGGGCTCTCACCGCCCGGGCCAGACTGCTCATCCTCGGCCCAAGCTACTCAGTATGCGTGCTCCGCTTTATCTTCCAGTTCGACTCATCACTCGAAAGTATGACAACCCTTACCCCCCGGGAGCCTTACTCCCCAGAGGAGCTGGAACGGCTCTATCCTAAAAGTCTGAAGTTGCAATTGGTACAGGTCGTGAGTCTAAACCCCCCCTATCGCTCTTCCCGCCAGCCCCGAGCTAATCCCAGTCAGTTCCTTCGTCATGGTATGCGAGAGCTCCGCCCTATATGTCGGTTGACCGTTGAGCCCGATCGCATTCTAACTTGACCTAGGCGAACGTACACCTGTTTCCTCGCGCTTTCAAAATGTAAGCCTTCAATCCTCTCGTCATGGTTCTAGCATACTAATCATCCTCTTAGACAGGTCTAGCCCCATGTAATTCCCCCCCCAACCCCGTCCCGTTCCATACGATGAGGCCCCCCCAGCTGACTCTTCTCCGGTATAAGACTGGCCATACTGTGGGGTTGCGAGACGCATGATCCAGATGGCTTCCAGTAACGAAGATCTTTCTTCCTGGAATGGCTTTCAGTTTCGCCGGAAAATGGAGTCCTTTGGTAACAGAGACCAATCCGTTGTTGCGGTAGGCGCGGGCAATGAGATTGAGGGAATCTGGTCAGTTGCACTGAACAAGGGCCTCGATCACTTTTCGAAAGGCCCATCCAGCTAATGATTGCACAGCCAGCACGGAGAACTCACCGACAAGGGTCGCGAAACTACCTACGCGCTAGGCAAGCGATTGCGCCATCTTTACGTTGACCAGCTCGGATTCATGCCTGCGATCAAGTCCGATAGCGAAGACATGTATCTGCGAGCGACACCGATCCCCCGCGCTCTCGAGTCGCTGCAACAGGCTTTCTGGGGTATGTACCCTACCAGTGCCCGTACCCTCAACTTCCCGCCGCCTGTCATTGTCGCTCGGTCCGTGTCGGAGGAAACCCTCTTCCCAAACGAGGGCAATTGTCGGCGGTTCCGCCAATTGGCTCGGCTCTTCGCCGATCGTGCGGCCTCACGATGTAAGTGCCAGTCCCAGGAAACTTCACCCGTCCCAGTCAATAATAGCTCACGCCCGCGACAGGGAACGATTCGGAGCAGATGGAATATCTGAACAAGCTTTGGTCTAAGTATATGCCGGAGACTTCGCCCAAGGTGGCGGTGGATGCGCACCCTCGTCTGTCCGGTATTATGGATACCATCAACGCGACTGATGCTCACGGACCGGCAACGAAGCTTCCTTCTGAGTTCTACGACAAGAAGGGCCGCGCTGTGATCGATCGTATTGCGGTCGAGGAGTGGTTCGCCGGCTACAACGAGAGCACTGAGTACCGCAAGCTGGGCATTGGTGCTCTCATGGGTGACGTGGTAGACCGCATGGTTAGCACTGCCGTTGACGGCGGTTGGCGTAGCGAGACTTCTGCTTCTGGATCTGGTAAGCCTGAAGATGGCAAGTCAATCAAGTTTGCCATGAGCGGATGCCACGACACCACCCTGGCCGCAATCCTGTCCAGCGTGGGTGGTTTCCAGAATGGATCCTGGCCCCCTTTCACCTCGTCTATCGCAGTTGAACTATTTTCGCAAGCTCCCAACAACCGAGCCGATGCCGGCTCCATCCTGGAGGAGTTCTCCAACCCCCCGTGTTGCTACTAAGAAGATTGGTCTCTTCTCGTCTCTTCTCGGAAACAAGCCTACAACCCAGCAGCAGTTGGCCCCATCTGAAACTGCTCGCGCGCCCATTGAGTCGTTCCCCGAAGAGGCCCGTGAGTCCCTGCGCAAACACTATGTCCGCCTTCGCTTTAATGATCAACCTGTTTATATCCCCGGCTGTGCTTCCAAGCCCGAAAACCACCTGCCTGGTGATGAGAGTTTCTGCACCTTGGACGCCTTCAAGGAAATTGTTGACAAGTTTACGCCCACGAATTGGCAAGATGAGTGCATGCAAAACCTAGGCCAGGGCCTGCACGGTCCTAATAACCAGGAACGCAGCCCGGCTGGCTTTTAGACATTACTTGATTTCCTCTTTTGTGCTGAGCTTTTACCATGAGGTTTCCATGCAAATAAATTGGGTGTGGTTGGGCGTAAATATTGCAAACAAATAATTAGATCAACGCTTTGGAGACTATTTACCTCCTCTTGGCCTTCTCCTCCTCTTCCTTCTTCAGCGCCATAAGTGTCTTCGAGGAGATCATCATTAGCATAGACCGGGGTAGAAGCTCAACCGAAAGTCCTTGCAGCCAATGCCAAAAGTATGCCCAAACAATGACTCGACCGCATCCAATCCTGTTCAATCCAGCACTGGCTAGAGTCCTGGCATCCGGTACAAACAACCCAGCCTGAACATCGAAGCCAGCTGTTCTCACTTGACCAACACGCAATCCCAAAACCTCGACCTTGCGCTTCTCGGCCTTACACTCGGCCTCAAGGGCCTTGGTAAATGTGTCCACGAATCCCTTGGTGGAAGCATAAACACTGATATACGGCATGCCGACCGACGACACAGACGAAATATTGAGTACAAGGCCCCCACCCCCAGCCTCCAAAACAGGAAGCAAGACACGGGTAATCTGCGTCATGAATCCCGCATTCATCGCAATAGTCCTCTCAACATCCTCAAAGCAATAATCACTCAAAACAGTATACGGCCGAACCTCACCCCCAACATTATTGATGAGAACAGAGAGTTCACCACCCTGCGCGTCAAGAATTGCCCTCACCTCCACAGCAATTTCATCCACATCAACCGTCAAGCCGACAACATCGCGAACCACAATCGCGACCCGACGAGTCGGAAATTGCGTCCTGAGCTCCGCCGCGCGCGTTTCGAGCTTCGTGCCGTTGCGCCCGTGTAGGATGACGTTGAAACCACGGGCGCAGAGTTCTTCGCTGAAGCCGAAGCCGATTCCGTCGCTTGCGCCGGTTACAAGGGCCCAGTTGTTCTTTGTGCGGTTGTAGGTGTTTAGAGAGGAGGGTAGCAGGAATGTTGTTGCCGAGCGGGTGAATTTGAAGGTTGTGTAGGCTAGTGTTGCCAGGCCGATGTAGCTGAGGGGTGTTTGCCAGGAGGAGATGTCCATTTTTGCGTTGATTGAGGTCGTATGTGAGGGAGGATGAAGAGAAGTTGAGCTTGAGTGTAAGGTCACAGGGGGTGGTGGAGATTGGTGGATTGCGACGGACTGCGGGTTCGGATCGCGATGATATCACGGATCAACGTGAAATTCGCTAGATCGGGATAATGAGGGGGACTCGATTGTGTGTACGACTCACGAGTAGTAAGAAGAAACAATAGAATATACTAGTAGTATATAGTTCAATTAGATATCATCATGAACTGGTACGACGTCCTATGTACCACCATTTTATAGTATGCGCCTCATCGGTGATTCGTCGGCATCGGGCCGGTCGTCACGCCGAGCACCGACTGTCGGGCTGGCGAAGGCCGATCTGATAACAGAAAGTATAGTAAGCCATTATTGAATTAGGAAGGGTGCTTTCATTCAAACAGACGACTTGAACTACTATGATGATGATAGATAATACCATATTTAGAGATCGGAGCAATTTTGAGCATAGTCAATCCGAGCCGGATCAATAGCAAACCGACGCTCGAAAAGTCGGAGCTCCAGGGCTTCGTTGGGGGCTGATTGAGTCAGCAGTCTTGTGAGAGAGGTTATATCGCATACGTAACCATGAAGATGGCAAGAAAAGAGTTGTTTTCCATAAATTTCCTGATAATCATATCCTTTTCTCTCTTTAGTTCTTTTCATCAATGCGCGATCGTACGATAGACTACTAGTATTCAATTGATAATCTGAGCCTAACAATATCCAATGCTTTTACATCTCTCTGAGGTTCTCCTCCTCCTCCTCCTCCTTCGTTTCCTTCGTTTCCTCCACCAAAACCTCCAGCTTTGAGTGAAAAGAGATACAAACTAGGTCTAACATAGAACCATGAAATATGTTGACAATTGAGCTTACATCAGTCGCTTTGGCCTTGTTAAGAAATTATGCTTCGCATTGGCAAACTCAGTTTATTTAACTATTGATAAATCAACTCTGATACATCCACAAGCCTCTATCTCTCTCACATAAAAACAAATGCAGAGTTAAAAAACGTCATCACTCTTAAACAATACGAACCCATGGCGGTGCGTTTTACATTCCTGGGTCCCTTAGTATATCAATCCTCGTTGTCGATACTTTTCCTCCATAACAGCGCCACTTTCGTAGTCAGGTAATAAACCTTCAAAGTGCCTTTTCCGAAGCTGGCCCGTCCACATGTCTTTGACCGCTCGTGCCCATGCAGTGGGGGATTTGTATACTTCGGTTACGCTATGGTCGCTTGAAACAGCGACCATTTTAGTCAAACCCGCAAGTGCGCGTGAATTTGGCGAGCTGACTTCCCCAACATCGGAGCTAAGAGCAGCCTGTAAAAGGCCGAGTGCGAATGTGTGGCAGTTGTTTCGAATAACGTTATATTTTGCCCTCGGGGAGGACGATGTCGGATCGGCGGTTTTCATGAGTGAAACGACTCCCTCGGCTAGGTCTGTTAGCTCCGTATATCCAAAGCTGTGGACTTTTAATTCCCGGAGGCGCAACTCAACTTACACATGCTTGCTAGCTCAGCATCTGTTGCTGTTGTTTCTCCGACGAGTCTGTCTGGGTTGGCAGACTTCCAAGATTCCCACCTGGTCTCATCCACATAACGCCAAGTTATTTCCAAGTTCTCGTCGGTCTGTAGCTCATAAAGATAAGGGCCGATTTTCAGTGCCCAGTGCATCTGTATTTCTTCCGGGGCGCCATATTTAGTGACCCCGATTCCTCGATTCAGGATATGGTTGGATTGTGTATATACCCCGGCCCATCCATCGAGCCATCGGCATCTCCAAATGATTGGGCGCTCGCAACGAGCAGCGTTTGTCTCGATTATTTGGGCCTGTTCAGGCTGTTGGCGAGACCTTCGGCCACCCCCCGATGATGAAGGAAGATGTAACATTGTAATGTTTTCGAGTCGAAATAGACAACTTTGAATGATGGCAATGATTCAGGATACCTTGGAGGCTTGTAGCATGCCCTTTTAACTTCTTCACAATAGAGCCATAACCCTGTTCTATAATCAGGCAGAGATCTTTAGGCCAAGGGAAACATGCCTCGCCTTGTGGGTCAGTAGGGGTTCATGGGGGCCAAATGAATCCGCTCAAGGTTTTATTGGTTGGCAAGGCCTCATCGCCCCCGTGGGCTGTGTGCATAAGCGTGCGTGAGCTCGGACATAAATAGACTGATCGGCAAAACACCGGGCAGATGGCATGTCAATTACGAAGTAGCCAATCAAGAAGTTGCGCACACCACCAAGCAACTTTAGAATCGTGCTTGGGTGGAGCTGTTAGAGCAAGGCACTCAAGGCAGTGAACTCCTGTAATTGACTATTTATGTACTTTATCCCAGGCAGATATTCAAAAATTGGTTTTAAAAGGGTGAGATGAGTCGCCATTACTCACTCAGACTTCGATTCATCACTCTTTCCACATTCACTCCGAATAATCAAGATGATTCGACTCAGTCGTGTGCTCTATTTTGTACTCTATCTTTTCACTTGGCCATACTACGCAACGTTTGTGAGATACACACTCGAGCCACTGGCACGCATAGCCGGACCACAAAATGACTTGATTGAGTTGAGTCAATGCGTGCAAGACTTTGCACTGGGAAAGGCCGCAGAACTCAAATATATCGGATTTGCTGTAAGTTTCTACTTTCTGTTACAGCCTACGCCTAGTCTGGCTTTGGTCGCTCTATGAAACTCCGAGTCACGATCCTTCGTTCATCTTTAACTGACAGCTCGGTCTCCAAAAGGCAACTATCAATGCCGGTCTCACAGTCGCGACATTTTCCTGGCCTCGACTCGATGGCGCGCCATGGGCAGCCCCTGCACTGCTATACGCATCCCTCTTCTTTACCATAGGAGCTCTTGTCACAGGCTCCCAGCACATTATGTTCTTCCACAAAATGTGCCCCTACAAGACTGAGGATATTGCCGATGAGTTAGATGATGCCACAAAGCATAACGTGTACCAAACTGCTCGAGCACAATTTCTTGATTCGCGCAGTTCGTGGTCTGTGATCTTCAGGCTTGAGACTGGAGCCAGCGACATGAACGCGCCCGTGGTAAAGGACATCGACAATCTCCTGGGACAAAGGGGAATTAATCCGAGTATGATTCTGACTTGGCAGTGCCCTATGATGCTGATGGCTTGGTCGTGGGTAGGGTACCTGGTGGCGATAGTAGTGCTGATTTCGAGGCCATTTATTGCACCAGTCAACAGCGACACTGATGAACGAAAGGTGAGTGTTTATGGCAACCTCTTATATAGTTCCAACCAAGGGACAGTCAAGCTAACTTCAATTTCACAGACTGCTATCTTCAGCTTGACCTTTGGCAGTTTCATGTTCTTGTCATTCATGTGGTCATCGTGGTTTATTTATCAAGCCAGCAGAAGCTTCAAGATCATTAGCCCGCGTGCTCGCCTATTGCCCAAATGATCGTCTGCTTTTGCTTTTGCTTGCCATATATCTTGCTTATTTTGCAAGCCGTTTTATGATGGTTTATATCAGCCGCAGAATCGATTTCTGCTACTCCGTATGCATGCATGCATCACCTGGCTCAGCTCTACGCTGCTCGGAGGCTCGGAGACCAGTTGTCTTTGATGCGACAATGGAGTGTGATCTTTCCACAGCAAAAAACACTTGAGGTCTGCAAGTCGCGTGACTGTTAAATACGTGCAGAGAGTATTTCACTACTAGCAGGTCCCCTATTATCATCGAACTTTTTATCGATTCGAGATCTAGAAGGGTGGCTGATCGATCGCATTGCCATTATCACACTAGGCACTACCCGCTCTCGATAGCCCTGGTTGAAGCTCACAACAGGGGAAAGGCCGAGGTTTACCTGGTCTGAGAAGAACAAGCGATCGGATAGCGATTTGATCCTCGATTCCAATTGTAATGCAGTGGACCTTCTAATGATCCTTGCCGAGACAATTGACTTTGTATTTTCACTCGATTAGAAACACAAGCCAACGTATCAACTTGTGGCATGCGGTAGATGGATAACGATTATCTGATGTGCGGCATTCAACAAATAGAAAAAAAAGATCACATAGGATATCTTTCCCGTAGTCCCTTGAACCTATTCAATTTCGGTATACATCGGTGGCTCCTCATAAATTTCTTGACGATCTCTCCAGGTGGCTCGAAACTTCTTCTAGCTCCTAAAAGTAGTAGGATATTTCAGAGGTTTGCACTCATCGTCTGTATCTTTAATAGCACCGATATTATGTTAGGCGCAGAAAGTATGGTAGCCCAAGAAAAAAGGTTCATTTTTCAAGTAATTCAGTTTTGCTGATGCACCAAAAATGCGAGAGTATAACTAGTTAGATGGACCAGGCGTGTATCCATCTGAGTATTCAACTGCCTCGTCATATTCCTCGGGGTTGAGCCTCTTGAGATAACCCCTTTCCAGCAATCCCATGACATTAGTATACGTAACAAATTGAGTTCCCATGCCGGGCTGCTCAAACCAAGGCGCAATAGGGCCCAAACCAACAACGAAGCTCTTCGCCACTTGATAGACATGATAATTGAACGGATAATCTCCATCATAAGTAATCAGATTGCTCGGCGGCAGCGAACGCTCGATATATGGCGCACCCAGAGGCGCAAGGAATGATCCATACTCAGATCCGAATCGATCAACCTTTTGTCCGACGGGAAGAGTTGCGTTGCCGATGATTGCCTTGCCAGCTGTGTTTTCGACATAGCCGTTGGATGGCGGGTACTCGTATGAATCGCTGGCGTTTGTTGAGCCGGCCCATTTCGTAAGGAACTCTGCTGGGCAGAGGGCACCGAGTCGGGTGTAGGTGCGCAGTTGGTTGTTCAGGGGGAATTTCTTCGGTGCGTGGACTGGACCTAGTCGTGGGTCGCCGCAGACATAGGTTTTGTTTTGGGAGACGATACCAGCGCAAGGGTCTGGGTAGCAGCGAGCCGGAAACTGGAACTATATGTCTATTAGCCTCTGGCGTAGGGAAGAAGATTGGGGGAGGGGCTTACATCTCCAGTTCCCCGGGCATGGGGAACGGCCACTGCCGAGGCGGCGAGGGTCAATAAGGTGCTGAGAGTGAATAGCTGCATTTTGAGCAAGAAGAGATTGGAAGAGATCGATTTGAATTGTAGAAACCCGCGGTGTTTGCTACTTATAAGTACTTGTGCGAGCCCAGCTGTATAATCACTCTGCGGAGCCATTCGGAAGCCCCATTTCGAAAACCCTGGAGATCGGGTTCGTCACTCAACCCTTTAGGTGGGGATTGTTAAGAACCAGGCGACATTGAGTAACAAGATTGACGCATATTATTCCTTTCTAGGTCCTTGGCTGGGAGATGAGTGGGGTATGGCGGCAGGGACGGGATTTCTGCAAGTCAGATTGGAAAAAGAAATCATGCAGCCATGCGGTTTTAAAGATTGGCAATTTCTGGCGACATCCTGTGACGATATTACACGAGCTTGGAATCGGGCGAGCAAATCTATTACATATAATGTTTTCCATATTACTGTAGATCGCCAAGAGGGTGTTTGGGTGCCAAATTTTCAGGCTCTCGTCAGCTTTATAATCGCCCCACAGTTCCCCACAGTTCAGCTGCCCATTTAAGATCTTGGCAATCAGGGTAAGCTGAGCGTGCACAGGATAGTAAGAAGGCTAATACTAACTGGGAGGGGAGTATCGCATCATTTCGATGATTCGCGCGCTGATGTACATATTCGACTGCGTATCACAATGAGCTTCCCTCCTTGAGACTGATAAATGGTCTGCAATATCTCCTCGCCGTCATGGGGGCACAGCGACAAATATCCCACTTATCTCTTTGTTCACAGGCGGGGAGAGCGATCACAATTTCCACCATACATTTCCAATAGACTACAGGTGTGACATATAGAGGTTTAAGTTCGATTGGTCGCAAACCTTCATCGGGTGGTGTATAAAGCTCGGCCTGGCATGGGGTCCAGTGATAACAAGCTCTGCGGAAATTGAGCAAGCTCTTCTCGACAAAAGGGATCAAATAAACAGCTGAAAAGACCCCCTAATCTCAACCAACTACCCAGTATGGACTGAAAGGAGTACGTGGATAAATTCAGGCAAGGCCACCGTCTGATCTGCATCAATGGAACTGCGTATGATATCTTTTTCATCGTGGCGCAACCTGGTGGTCCAGATCTTCTACAAACTTCCGTGGGCAAAGACGCTACCGACGAGTTTTCAGCGGCGCCCATTGTCATTCGGCGCATGCTGAGGTCACTCTGACCAGTCTCAGCCGTGGAAATTTTGAACAGAAAAAGCACAAGGAGACTTGAAAGGACAGAGGCCTCAACTACATCATCAATTTTCCTGTTCAGTCATTCAGGTTCTCGTTAGAAATTGAGCCCTGATCCTGCCCTATCCTATAACTTCGCCATACAATATCACAGCTCTATCGCAATGCACAGGTCTAAGCAGGGCCCGCAGGATTCAAGTTGGATCCAGTCGGTTTCTCGGCTTGGGGCGCTTTTTGATGTTTCTGGTTACGTTTACAGGGGATTTCTTTCACAATGAGGAAGCAGTAGCCTTCTCAGTCTTCTAGTTACTCCATTTCTAATGTCTAATGGATTTGTCATACATTGCTTTCAAGTTATAGGTAATGAAGCCCTTGAGTCTTACGGCTCAGGGATATAGGAGGTCTTGAAGGTTCTTCAAATGGTGGCATCTATATTTGTGTCCGGTTAGACCTTTGTAGAGTAGGAGACAGAGACGGGTTATTGACATAACTTACTATTCAGTACCTAATACACCCACCATGACCTAGCATGACCAACGATGCACCCATCATGCAAAGGACCGTCGTTACTATCATAGAGAACGCGTCCTACATTTTCGCTACAAATGTCATTGTCAAAGACTTGCATTCGGAGACCAGCATCATTGAAATCAATCTGGACAGAGGTAAGACCGAGATCTGTGTCCCCGTTCTTCATTTGCTGACAGATATCAGGAGGGGTAGGGGATGTATCCGCCTGAAGCATCGGCGAAAACCCCTTGCAGCCGTTGTTGAAACCTGAAGCATCGCCTTGGAATCCCTCTATCGACCAGGCGGTGCTTGTAGCAAGAAAGAAGAAAAGTTCAAAGCGCATTATGGTTGTTGAGGAGTCGGAAACTTTCCTGGGTAGACAGACACAAGATAGAAGATTGTTTGTAGACGTAAAAAAGCTACGGGAATGGCCTATTTATATCTCTTCCTGTGTAATACATTATGCCACCTGGGGGCCCAGGGCATCCTTTTAGGCGGGTCCATTGTGAGCCTGTGAGCAATCGAGTATAGTTTGGGGGCCTAGATTAATAGCCACTGGCATTTGAGGAAGTCCAGATGAATCTCCACTTCCGATATTGATTGCCTCGCCGAGAGTTGCTTTTCCGGTTTCAAAGTAGCCCGAAAATCGGTCTTTTATAGAACCCACTTTAAGTTTGGCATATTTTCGGCGTTGTTCAACTTGGCCCCCCTCTAGCCCCTTTGGCCCCCTTGGCCCCCTTGGCCCCCCTAGCCCCCTTGGCTTTGGCTCCTTTGGCCTGAATTAGGCTGCGGTATAGCTGCAGCTAGGTGATAAACTTTTTAACGCGGTTCTGCCTATCCATCTAACAGAATTAGCAGTCATGCTGCAGTCTAATAGCAACGAATAGAGCGGCATTTATTGGAATTGCGGTGAACCAAAGTCAGGTCTATTAAATCCTAAAGACCGTAGAATTGATTTCCAAGGAGAAACTAGCCATGACTGCACGAAAAGTGAACTTCAATAGGACTTATACAAATAAGATGAATTTCTCAAAGTGCAGTCACATCAGCACAACGCTTACTGAACGTTGCTTTTAAGATCCAAGAAGGTCATGGTCATTGGGCCCGGGGATTCCCTTGCAAGGATACGTTTCGCGGTGATAAATCAGAATGAAGAATTTAAAAGTGTGATGATTATAAAGATGGTTTGCTAAATGTGAGCATTCAATAAAGAGTGCTTCTATGGGATCAGAGCCGAACGATATGCTCGTTCGCAGCTAGTATTGCTTCATTCGTAATAATGAGCCGGCTTCTTGTATCGGTTAGATCGACTGTAGACAAATCCACCCTCTAAGCGGTCTTGCATGATAAGCCCAATTGCCCCCTCTTCGTCCTGTATTGCCTTCGACTCACTCCAGTTATTGTCGTCTGCATAATCCTTGCGAAAGTTGCAGAGGGCAAAGTCAATCATGAAAACCTTGTATCCCTTTTCCGAACACGCTTTATCCTTCTGCACGATAAAACTTCGCGTTTGGACATCCTCGTTTAATACCCCTCGATCGCCTATCCGATGAAGTATTTGAATAGCTTCTTCGCAAATACTCTGCCACTGTTCCCTTTGAGTGTAATGGGAGATATCGGTTAGAGGAAAGCCATCAATGTACTGTAAAAGAATTCCAGAAACGCCAATGAGCTCGCTGACTGGCTTTGGGTCTGTCAAGCTAAATCCGGGCATTTTGACGCAGGGAACAGGTTGAGGAACATCATGTCCTTGTAGATCCCTCAAGGCATCATATATCTGAGCCTCCGTTTCATAGAGATCGGATAAATGATCATGAAGGTAGTCTTCATCTTGGCATGTATTCCATGTTTCGCCTTGATGGGCTATCTCGCCGTTGTTTTTGAGCTCAGTGATGAAATCAGACGCACCGCCGTCAAGGACGAATTGATGATATCCCCTCTCAATATCCGAAGTCCAAGGGCGAAGTTTCTCATCTTCCTGGAGTTGCGTCGCAAATTGTCGGTCAAAAAGCTTCAACACCATATCTCCTTCCCTTGCCAAAGAAGAACAGGCTATGCGCACGACCATCGCGGATGAGAGGGTGAATGGTTCGAATAATCTGATGACTTCGGCATCGGTCGCTAACTCTTCGCCTTTTATTTTGAGGTATAGTTTGATCGTATTGCCGGCCACATAAGGGCATCTAGAATAATCAATATATTCTCACGAGTTCATAGGCAGGCCACTTACTGGGAATCCCGCCGGTCCATGACGATTGGAGGTTAGGAGTTCAGAGCTCGTATTCTGAAAATCTTAATACTTAGGCTACTTCACCAAGAGTTTCGAAAGAGATGTCGATCAGGTGAGCCGAATAGTTCGCAAGGTGTAGCTGACGCTGACTTGGAAATAAGATTGGGCTGTGAGGCCGCTCGCAGTGTTGAACTCGGATCTGAAGCTACTGCTTATTCGGAACTAGGGCGGCTCATCATTTTCTCTCTTTTCTAGACTTAGTATCGCGTATTGAATGCACTCGATTCTTATTGACCAGGCTTCTATTACAACCAGTATCATTTGGCTATTACCTGGCATAATAATGGAGACTTCGCTGATCACCTCATGTTTTAGTTCGCGCCCGACGCTGTGTACGGCCACTCACAACTAGCAAATAAGCGCCAAATGCAGCTTCCAGCACCGCTAAGCCAACATCACCTCTTGTGAGGATGCTCAGATACTCACAGAGATCAACGTACGGCGTAGCATACGAAGCAAAGGAAGCAGTAGCGGTTCGACTAAAGTAATAGCTTGAGGAGAATAAGAAGGAAGGAAGCTAGGATAGAAGGCTAGATACACAGGTGTATGGCGTGGATGCCTAGAGTGGTGCCGTAGGCATAAGGCATCCACGAATGGTAACAACACCAGTTCGTTACACCTCTGGAAGATTCCTCAATTGCGAATTGATAGCGTTGAATATTTAATATTGTAGCCCCACATGAAATTACTGCCGAATGGCAGATGCCTTGGTCTCCTAGCGGCGTATACTTCATATCCAAGGCTCCACGTAACGCCGGTAACTTGATGATTAAATCTCGGCTGTGAAACATATAGCAGAAAGGGACTTAGGGTTGGAAACAATTATTCCGAGGCATAAATACTCGAGGGCTTCGCATGCTTTTGAGTTTTCTCATATTTTCCTGATTTTCATCCAACGCCCATCTCGCCTCGGATCTCTATCCATTGCCACAGGGAAATCGGCAAGCCCCCTTTCCCTTGATTTTTCATAATTAAAAGAAATTGCGCACAAAAGAAAGGGTAAGCCAGGTCGCTCTGTAACCTGAAGTCCACTGGCAACTCGAAACTATTGAACGTTCAAGTTCTAATATTATCTTTTGTAGGAATATATTTCTCCAGGGCTTGTATCCCGAGGTCCCAAAACGAAATTGTATCGTCCCCTGAAAGGCTTATATGTCATATCACTGCCTAAGTACCAAGGACTCAGAGCCTACAGCTTCTGTTTATCCAACTTGAACCTTGATCTACAACTAGATGCTGGAATTGTTATTGATTTTGTTGGGGCAGACTTTATACAACCACGCACATGTATGCTAGGGACGACAGAAATGATGATTCCGAAACATCATGGCAAATATCGAGCCTGACTTCAACCAACAGTCCGATATGGTGTAGTGGCTAACATCGCCGTCTCTCACACGGCAGCCGGGGGTTCGATTCCCCCTATCGGAGCTCCTGTTTCATCTATTTCTATCCGATATGGTGTAGTGGCTAACATCGCCGTCTCTCACACGGCAGCCGGGGGGTTCGATTCCCCCTATCGGAGTCTATCATGTTCTCGTCTGGAGCAAAATTTCTTTTTTGGAGTTAAGTTCCTTTCCTTCTATTTTCAATTTTTGCTCAAAACCTATATACGATTCGGAGTTGATTGGTTTTTTCTTTATTTGTTAGCGTGGTATCCGTTGGCATCATTTTCCGGGTGACTCATCGAGCTGCGCCTCCAAGCCTGTCGCGAAGTTGAGTCATCGGGGAGTCATCGAAGGGATCGAGAGAACTTCCCGAGACGCTTAATCGTATTCTGCAATTTGCGACAGCTAGCCGGTAATCCAAATGATAGTTAGGTGTTATAAGAGCTGCCAGGCCCGGATTCACAATGGCAGACCAGATATTGATACTCGTTTGTTTTGCCATTCTTAAAAACCATGTCGTTGATTGAACCCACCGGGTCCCCACCAACTACGGGAGTTGAGAAACCCAGTGAAAACCCCAATCAATTCCGAGCAGGGTCCACCAGTCCTCGGCCAACGAAACCCGAACGACAACGGACTCCATCCCCAGAGCCCCGATCTGGCGAAAATCGATTGCGGCCAGCAGGAGGTAAGCTCTCTCCAGTAGTGTTGGACCCTAGAACATAGAGCCATCCCTATCTCTATCCCTATATGCTTCCATCTATATTCTACAGGGATCAATTGGATGGCATACTGATCCAAATAATAGACATCATCAACCGAATAACGTGGGACTCCAACTTTGATCGCAATGACTATATCATCGGGTTTGTCGATCGGTTTGAGGGCCAACTTGAGGTGACCATGGATAGCTGGAAGAAAGAATCCACCGACGAGGAATTTATCCCGCAGCATCGTGTACTCTACATTCGACATGCGAATGGTGACATTGTATGGGATAGAAGGCGGCGCATCGACAAAATCTTCAACAGCGGAAATTCAGCGTTTAGCGAGTTGGCGTTTTTGCAGTGAAGCAAGTCTGCACGCATTTGACATTATCTGAGTATAGTTCAAGTATAAATAGAATGAATGTAGTGAGATATTGATGCTGTTGTATGCTGTTTAGATGTGCTGATGTTGTGTCGATGTCAAAAAATTAGGGCAAGCTTCCGTCGTACCTTCCCTCCACCACTTTTACTTCAACGTTCCTGCCAGTTCCGCTAATGTTTATCTCACCGTCAACGTCAACTTCCAATCTTCTTCTTCTCTTCAAGTTCTTTGTTTCTTCATATTTCCATCTTTCATCACCTTCATCTGTTTTATTCCCCTTTATATTCTGTACCACCCCCCGATCGATAACTATCATGGAACCACCCGAGATACCCAAGTCGACAAAGCCATCGACAAGGCCGTCGACAAAGCAATCATTGCCGCGTCTCAAGACAGATATCCCCTGTGAGGAGGATGCCCGTACTTCAGTATTTTCCCGGACTTCATCTCCGGATCTGGAAATCAAGCCTGAGAGACCTGCTAGGGCCCCGACTCTGTTCTCAAATGAGAATCTCGCCCCTAGCATTCGGTATGGACCAAGCAAGAATGCCCACATTTTGGAGAGGAGTATTGAAGAGGTGTTCATGCGCAAAAAACCCGAAGCCAAGTCGACCTACTATGAGGAAGCGTTCTCCAGTCGCGGCTCGCATAATTCACCCAGAGAGCGCATCATTCAGGACTCGGTCGTGGTCGCGGAGCTCACAACCAGTGCCAAGGTAAGCCCTAACTTTGTTCCAGTTTGGTGTAGCACGCACTCATCAATTTGAATCCATTTAGGTCTCCAATCCTGCAGTTTTGATGATGGATCTTTCTCGACACCTTGCTCTGATTTACCAGCGCCCGGAGGCCGCGATCTGCCTGACAATCCACCCAGAAGCCCCTCTGTCATTTGGCAACATTTCACTTCCGGCCTACAAGCTCAAGATATACGCCCTGCCTTCCGTCATCGCACCCACCATCAATATACGCAGCACAACCATGCTAACCGAGGAGTTGCAAGAGTTACTTGGCATTGTCCCCGATCTCGGAGTGATTCTTTTCATTCCGGTACCTCAAGACAACTTGGCGATGAACGGAGCAATTGTCGGAAGTGAGTTATCCAAGGTGGAGCAGGAAGACAACCCTGGCTTTATGAAAACGCTTGGCCAATCGATTTCGCGACGACACTTCAAATCGAGTAGTGGCGGGACTAGCGGCCCTCTTTCCCCTCTCGCTAGCTCTCTCAAATCTCCGACCGTTGCCCAACCCCCTCACAGTGCGCCCGTTGATGATGATATAGCTGTCGTCGAGCGACGACGTCAACTTGGAATGAAGAAGTCCGTATCGAATTTCATGCGCCGTGGTCTGGGACGTGCTTCGAAAGAGCAAGACGAGCAACATGGTCTTGACAAGGTGGAAAAGAAGGAGGCTGCGAAACCCAAAAAGGATGACAGAGTTCTTCGATTTGAAGACGAACTGTAGGAGAAATACGACCCAGGTGTTTTTTTTGTTCTTTTTTTTCGTTCTTGTTTGAATTGAATCCAATCATGTTGTTCGCGTTGGAATTACGAACCATTGAACTTGCGAGATGGGAGACGAATTATTCTTCCACATGCAAATTTAAAAGTCTTCCATTGAACATTTGAGTACTCTACTGTATCCTATAGAACCACCCGACCCGCGCCTGATAAACTCTTCGTGATGCCCGCGCCCCACACCGGCTCCACTGCTAAACTCGCGTTTTCATCTTCGCCTCGCGTCTACTCAATTTCAATACTTTGTCTCCATCTCCACTTACGCCTCGTCTCGCAACCAGATTTATAATGAGTACTCACTCGGATGACTCGATGGCAGAGGGGAGCAGAGTGACGGAGCTGTGCGGTGATCTCTTCGATGCGCCAGAAGGATCGTGCTTGATCCGTAAGTTTGCCTTCCGGCTCTTAATACTCCCTGGCTAATCCAATTATTAGATGCATGCAATATTCAGGGCTCATGGGGAGCTGGAATCGCCAAAGTCTTCAAGCAGAAGGTGGGTCTGTTCTGTTCTGTTATGCTCTGCTCTCCCCAGAGCGCTGGTTTAAAATACGCCGTGAGCATTTCTCAAGGGCCAATTCGCTAACCTCGACGGGGGTGTAGTATCCAACTGCATACCAGTGCTACAAAGAGCACTGCGAAGAATATCAACAGCAAAGTGTCCACCATGACATCGTTGATCTGCAAAGCGAAGACGAGGAAACTCTCTCCGTGCGTCTACCTCTGGGCACCTCACTAGTCATTCCTCCTCAGCCGGAAGATTACAATAATGGCAAAAAGAAGCATTGGATCATCTGTCTCTTCACATCCAGCGGATTCGGAAGCCGCGTTGACTCTCCCGACCAAATTCTGAACAGTACCTACGCTGCCTTGGAAGATCTGGATATGCAGCTTGTCATGCTCAAGCAGCCAAATGAGGAAACGGGAGATGGTCAGCCGGGTGCACTGTTTTCTTGTCGATTCAATTCGGGGCTTTTTGCGGTTCCCTGGAACGACACGAGGGAGCTTATTGACGACTTGGGACTGAGTATGACTGTTATCTACCCGGAGGGAGAATGATCGGATTGTCCAATAGAGGGTCTGTTCATCAAATCCTCGAAAGGCTCTAAGTTTATCACCTCATTTGGCCGATCATTCATTATTCGGGCATTTTTGTTGTAACCCCTGCGCCACTTGACCCCTTGCACCCCCTGCAGATCTTGCTGGGTCGCCCGGGTCAATTAATTTATTCGCCGTTGAGAGCGGTTGATACCCAAAAATACATTCAAATATCACAGAATCTCCAGGTGCTCATTCTCAACCTGTTAAATGAGAGATGGACGTGGAAAATTATGCGCAGTTCGACCCGTCTAGATGAATCAGCAAAGAAAGGCCATAGTCGCTATACTGTCCTAAATCATGAGTTCCCTGCCAACTTCACAAATGCGTATAATAACATATAGGGGAATTTATTCGCCCACGGTCATTTCTTCAGCCGAAGCGACGCCATGGCCTTTTACACGGGACATTGCGTATTAATTCTACAATGGCTAGATCGCCTGGGCTAAGCAACGCCCTGGTAATGCTGTCCATTTTCTGTCTTCGAATATGCCGCCTTGCACACCTGAGAGCTAACATAGAAATTTTACTAAGAGACACTGGGAGCACTATGCAGGAGCCGTGGGAAGTGAGATGGGGTGTCATAGGTGAGTCTTCGTGTTTCCGTGTTTCCCTCTGAATATGGCGGGGCCTTTGTCTAACTGTTGCTAGCCACGGGTTGGATGGCTAGTAGATTCGTGACTGACTTGCTCATCGATCCTCGTCTACGCGGTACTGCCGATATTGTTCACAAGGTGGTCGGTGTGGCATCGTCAACTCGGAAAGAAACCGCGGCCAAATTCATCGATGACTTCGTCTGTCCAACCGAGAAGAGAGAGTGCATCGCTCACGGGAGCTTCGAGTCCCTTCTTTCCCGAGACGACATCGATGTCGTGTATATTTCTACACCTCACTCGAGTCATTACGAAAATTGCCTACTGGCTTTGGACCACAACAAATCGATTTTGTGCGAAAAGGTCTTGACTATCAATGCTACCCAGGCCCGCAAGATCCTCGAGAGGGCCAAACAAGAGAACCTTTTCGTGATGGAAAATAACTGGCTTCGCTTCTTACCCATCAGTACTGCAATTCAGAAATACATCGAGTCGAATAAACTTGGGGATATCATCAGGGTCTATGCGGATCTCTCCTACGGAGAAAACCCCGAGTCCTGGCCGGAGGGTCACCGATCCATCAACGCGGACCTTGCCGGTGGTTGTCTCCTTAATATTGGCATTTATAGCCTCACTTGGGTTTTGCAATGCCTTTATCATACATTGCCGAGCAACCTTCGCCAGAAACCCAAGGTTCAGAGCCTGATGTCTCTGTATTCGGCTGCTGGTGTCGACGAAACCAGCACTGTGATTATGGAGCTTGCATCCCCGCCGCATGGGAAATACAAAGCCCACGGCATTGCGACGACATCCTTTCGAACAGATTGGGATCCTAACAAGTGCCAAGATTCTGTTCCGTGCGTTCGGATTTTAGGCTCGAAAGCGGAGTTGCAGGTGTTGGGTGGACCAGCTTCGCGCCCGCAGACAATCAGGATTATCCCTCAGCTGCCGGGCAATTCCAAATCAGGACTCCAGATGAGCGGAGCAAAAGGTACAGAGCAAGGTGATATCGAAGTGATTAACTTTGGGCCGCCTGGTGAGCCCGGGGGAGGGCGTGGAATGTTCTGGGCGGCGGATGAAGTAGGGAGAAGTTTGAGAGACAAGGAGGTCGAGAATAAAACTATGCCCTGGAATGAGACTCTTCTGATGATGGAGGTACTTGACGAGGTCAGACGAGCTGGAGGTCTACACTACCCGGAAGCTATTGAGAAAATCTGAATTCATCGGCAAATGATACTAAGAATGTTGGGTCTAGGAGTTGGTTCTAGACCATATTCATCCTACGTGATCTACGGAGTAGATACAAACAAAATTTGGTGGACAGGATTTCCTTCCTCAAGAGGCCGTATGTACTCGTGAGCTCGAGAATCAAGAACGACAATAGATTAGGCACCAAGATACCTTGAAAAGGGTTGCATACATAGACATTAGCCGGAATCCTTTTCTCGCTCGACTGCGTCCTCGGAATGTATACACACATGGTCTCATCGCAGGAACCTTGGAAATAACGCAGACAGTTCTTAAAAATTCAGCTCATAGAGGTCCATTGACTATTGATTTTGTTATTGTCCACAAGGCACTGAAATCTTCAGTCGATGTGAAGCCTCGTGGCAAATTGACAGCGGGACATTTATTTTATTTTGGAAAAGCAATAGCATCAATCTGGGTTTCGCTTTCGCTCTCGCTTAATTCAATGGGTCAACAAATCAATCTCGATGGCCTGAACAGTGAATGTCGGCATAGTTAGCATCTTTGCGCATAGATATTATATGAATGATGTGATTCATCTCCAAATCTGTCCTGAACTGCTCTGCTCTGTTATGACCTGCTCTATACTTCCAAGAGTGGGTCACCTGACAGCGCGCGTCCGCGCGACTGCTTGAGAACTTGAGAATCTACTCCGCACTGTCCTCAATCTCCTCCCATTTCCATCTCTACCCTTGAATCGGATCGTATCTGATCCACTGAGCCAAGAAAATGGCGGGCGAACCCCCCAGCGCAGAAGAAACGCCGACTCCCCTTCAAACCACCGAGTCGCGCACCCAGCGCGGGGCCATCAACAACCGCGTCCAAGCCCAAGCCCAAGGCCAAACCCAAAACCAGCAAAGTCACCAAGCCCTCTGCGAAATCCTCCTCCACTTCATCCTCATCCAAAACACCCGCTCAATCCAAATCCACCGCAAAGCGCCAACGCGCACAGTCCCCGCCCGAATCAGCCTCCGATTCAGGCTCCGGCTCGGAATCATCTGTCCATAGTCGCGAACGTTCCGTCTCCCAGGAACCGGACTTTATACTCGCAGAAATTATCGAGAATAATCCGACCGAGGACGTGGCGTCCAGTGATCCGACCATACCGCCCAAGCTACTTACACGATTACTGCATCAGCATTTCAGTAACGAGAAGACGAAGGTTGCCAAGGACGCGAATTCGATCGTGGCGAAATATGTGGATGTCTTTGTGCGAGAGGCTATTGCGCGTGCGGCATATGAAAGGGCCGAGACGGATAATGGGGGGAAAGGGGCCAGTGATGGGTTCTTGGAGGTTGGTCTTATTTCTCGGTTCCCTCGACGGACCGGGCGTGTATTTGTATCCTGATGCTAACCGAACATACAGGTAGAGGACTTGGAAAAAATGGCGCCGCAGCTTACAATGGACTTTTGATGATGGGTTACTGGGAATACGGCGTTCGGGAGGTTCTTGTTTAAGATACCAAAGCACACATACACAGCATTCTGGAAATATCACTTCCACTTCCACTTTCGATTTTCGACCTCCAGTTATTGTCCGCCCAAACTCCTTGCTAGATGAATATGACTTTCAGCATGGTAATATCCCGTGGGTTCCGATATGCCGGGGGTTTTCCTGAAGTATGATCTTCGATGAAAGGCGGGAGAGCCTCGAATCCATTCGCATTATGCAGCATCCCGACATCGTGATTGACTCGTCGTGAAACAACCGGGTTCGCCATATATCCTGTCTTTTTCTTGCTGAAATGAGCGACTACGACGGGGAGCTGGTTATGTTCCGGGAGATGGCCCAGCATGACATCGTAGTCTGCGTTTGCGATGTCAAAGACGAGGAATGATCGCGTTCTCCAATTCTGGACGGCAAGGAGTCTCGTTTGGGATAAGGGAACTGGCTCTTTTGTGAGTTGTTTTTTCATTAAGACGCGAAGGGCCGGTGAGATGAGGTCTTGAGGGGATTCTCGCGCTTTGGATAGGAAGGCGCTTCGCTGGGAGACAATCACCAGGACTTGAAGGCGAGGTTGTACCATCTTGACCTATTGGTACTTGGATTCCTGGAATATGTAAACGGAGGACCCTTACGGAGGCTGATTCTGGAGGAATTCAGTACCTATCAAGACAGTATCCAGAGATGCATAGGTAAGTAGTATCTAGGAGTAGTAACACTACCCATGGATCGTGGCATCCACTCTACTATATACCCTCGCTTGGGGCAGCTTGAAGCTGGTCCCCATAGCACACTGGCAATCCTTGGGACCTGCAGTCTTTAAGACTGGGAATTTGGACAGAATTGAAATTTCTACACCGATTTAAACAAGTTATCATCCATCGCCACCAATTCCTCGGTATGGTGTAGCGTGGCCGAGTCGGTCCAAGTGGTGATTTGTACAACCATCAGGCAGCGAAGTTCGAGTCAACATACAAACGAGTAGAGAGGATGACCTTGCAAGTTTTAAACCGCGACCATAACCATCAACCACTGGTACAGATCGAAGCACGGTCGTGACAGGGGGACAATAGTAATTCTGGAATGTTGTGAAGTGCAACAACAACAACGCAACTCCCGAGGCGGTCTGGGCTGGTTGACAGCAATTGTTTGTCCCCGCCATCTTTTTCCTCCGCAACGCGTGCGCGTGTCCCACTGGCAGTTTCACGTTCAAGCTCACATTTACATTCACCTTCACCTTCACAAAGGCCGACCAGGGCCTCTTTCTTTCGCGATGAATGATGCGGCGACCTCTTTGCTCACTGAGCATTTCAGCTACACCCCCTTGGTGAGTGGTTCTCCCCCGCCGCTGCGGACTGGCGCATCTATGCGCAGGGTGACCCACCCCCTTCGAGTGAGAATAGCACGCTAATTGGTTTCATCAGTCTCTCATAGACGATATTATCAACTCAATCAACAACCTGATCTACCAGGCGATCTCCAGTCTTGAATCTGGTCTGATTGACACTCCCCCAGAGCGGCTGGGGTTTGCCCACGACAGTAACGGGACGGTCATTCACGAGGCCGACGAGGATGGAAACATCGTCTACCCGGAAGCGAAACTTGAGATTGAGAATGGATTGCACCAGTTGGAGACACTTCTTGAAGCCAATGTCGACAAAGCATTTGATAAGCTCGAGATCTACGTGCTGAGAAACATCTTCACCGTCCCCGAGGACCTGCTCTCGTGGGTGAAGCTCAAACATTACGAGGTATGCGACAACGAGTTGGGAACGGTGATGTTCCTCGGATACTGATCTGACTGATACTGACACTCTGGATTGTAGGGCCTCTCCTTCGACAATTCACCGGACGCTCCCACCCCCGAAACCATCCAAGCGCAACGCAAGAAACTCCTCGAAACGAAGAAACTCAACCGGGCCTTGCAGGACGAGTGCGCGCGAAATGACGCTGTCATATCCCAGCTGAAATCAATCATTTCCACCGTCGATGCCTCCAAGACCGATATCAGTGAAACAGCCAAGGAATCCAGCCAGCTCGACCTTTCTTTCCTGACAGCCAGCCCAGCAGCACACAAGCTCCGCGTGGGCGTTGATGCTGGATCGAAGGCGAAGCATGCCCCGCTGACAACCAACACCGCTTTCATTTTGTCCCAACTCCCTGCTTTGCAGTCGACACTCGCCCAGCTTCGACCGAAGCTGGCTGCCCTGCCAGGTTCTCTCAAGCCAATGGAGACCAAGACAATGCACGACGAACGGAAGGAATACATTGAAAGCCGAATCAGACTGCATCTAGAACGAACTGGGCAGCTGGCTATCAGTGATGACGGACCAGTTGTCGCTGGTCGCCGAATCGATATCTCCGAAGCCCATGCCCTCGAAAATGTCGCGAGCATGCTAGCACGGGACAAGAAGTCTACATAGAAGAATGGTTCTTATTAAGGACTTCGAATTCTTTTTTATATCTTCTTCTATTCTGCAATTGGGCTATTTTCTATGACCAGGTCACTGTCCATGTGTCCTGGGTCTTGCGGAAGGGGACAACGTCGGTCTTATCCGACTTGAGGATCTCCTGGATCTTCTCTCCCTTCTTCTCGAGAGTGATGAACTCCTTGGTCTCCTCTCCAATGTCATAGAAGGCGCGACCGAACTTGCTCATGAATCCCTCCACAATATCCGCGGTGATATCCTCGTCCTTGAGAACACCGTTCTCAATGGCCTGCTCGAAGGAATCGAGCACGACCTGGGTAGTATAGGGCTGAGTGAAGACACCGGCAGCAATCTTCTCACCGCCACGCTTGGAGGCAGCAGGGTGCGGGGCGCTATCGGAACCGAAGAAAAACTTGGGGTTGCCCGAAGCCGCGGCCCGGAGAAGGGCATCCCGATCGGCGGGGGTCTTCGCGACGGGCTTGCAGAAGCAGAATGGATCACCCGCCCACGAATCGATGATGATGGAAAGGTGGTGAGCGGTAATGGAACCGGCGACGGTAGGACCACACTTCTTGACCGCCTCGACGGCAGCAGCAGTGGTGCAGTGCTCCAGGATAATGCGGAGCTTGGGGAACTTTTCGTGCAGCTCGAACAGCTTGGGGAGGAAGCGCTCCTCGGCCGACAGCACCGTCACGTCACCCTGGGAGGGAGCCTCGCCGTGCAGATTCAGGATCATGTTCTGACGCTCCATCTCCGCGAAGACGGGGTAGAAGGAAGTATAGTCGACGACGCCGGAGCTCGAGTTGGTGGTCACGCCGGCCGGGTAGCTCTTGACACCGGTGATACCGCGCTTCTTGGCCTCGATGATGGTCTCGGGGGTGATGGTCTCGTGCAGGTACAACGACATGAGGTAGTTGACGTTGGGTTCGAGGGCTTGCAGGCGCTTTTGGTAATCCAGAGCGCGGTCGACGGTCGTGATGGGAGGGACCAGGTTGGGCTATACAAGTCGTATATAATTTAGAGGCAATCCAATCCAATGAAACCAAATCCGCATCAATCACCCAGTGTTCATTGAGATTCAAGAAGATATCTTACCATCACGAAGACGGTGTTCACACCACCCTGACGGATGGTGGGCGTCACCAGTTCCATCATCGGTCCATCGCGCAGGTGAACTGTCGAGAAGTCCGAGTCAGTTCAAGTTCACAATGGCATCTACCTAGGAGTGGTCCAATAGTGGGCACATACCATGGAAATCAGCCGAGGCCGGGATCTTAACTCCCTGCAGGTGAGACAGGGGCATTGTGAGGAAGGTAAGGTGCTAATATATATGGAAGAAGTCAATTGGATCTGGGGAGAAACAGAAAAAAGTCGCGGGGGGGCGCCACTTCGGCTTTCCCAAGGTTGCCCCGCCATTTTGGGTGGTTCTGCCGGGCGGTGTGAAGTATACAATCCACAGCAAGGAAGTCTACTACTACTAACTACTAGTATACTTCCGTATACAACACATCACATTTGGTTAGTTAGAGATGCTGAGGATATCTAGATGAAAACACACCATTTAAGCCCCCAAAAAAGAGTTCTTTACTCGGAACAAACTGTTGTAATCCGGGGCAAACGGGGGTCAACATCCACTTGGCCAGACCCTCAGGAACCATTTACCCATTTACTAAAAACATGCAGTCAATTGAAATCGTGAATGACGAGTGACTGGAATATGAAATAGACTTGGCAAATTATGCTTGACAGTATTTATCCTCCACTTACCACCACTAATGTTCAGACACTGGCCCTGACCCTGAGCCTGAGCGAGCGCCACTGGTCACAGATCATCCTCGGCGCTTAGCCTCGCCCTATCACAGTCCCTCCTCCGCCCCCCAACCTATAAAAGAAGAGAACTCCAGGAACACAAATCAGAAGCCACCATCGACCTCCTCGAGTGATGATCGCCAGTCATCTTTTACAACTTCTCCCCAGTTTCCAAAATTAGCACCCAGCTAACCGCCCACCCTCCTCCTTGCCAAGCCTACAGGCTCGCGCCCGGACGATATGCTTCACCCAGACCCCTTCCCAATACACAAAACACTGCTGCTGCAAGCCCATGTTTGCGGTGCGACCTTTCAGGTCCTGAAAATTAAACTTCTGCAACCACACCAATCAGGATCCCGCATATCTTATCCCAACCATTTGCCGTGGCTGATGTCGTGATGAGGACCTCCTATCCCCAGCGCTGGATACGCGCCCTCGCGAGAAACGCATTGTGATGGCAACGCGCTCGCTAAAACTGTCCGTGACAAACTGCGTCTCGACTCGTGGGGTGGATCGATTTGTCCTACATATTCGGCCTTGTGTCCCCTCTTGCTGTTTTGTTTGGAACCAGGGGGCTTCTATTTCGATAATCTCGTCCACCATTCTTTCTTTCTTTCTTTGCAACTGGCCTGTCCCTGTCTGTCTTTCTGAATCCCCGGATAGGGTCCCCCCTTCTTTATTACATTTTACATACACCATTGGGTTTGATACTTTACTTTCCCAGCCTTGCCGGCAAGGTGTCAAGTTAATATCTCTTCTATACTCCAATCCTAACATCGGTATCCCTCGTTCTCTCTCTATCTGCACCTCAAATATCGTCACCATGAGCTCGAATTCCTCTACAGCGGGCTCCCACCCTTACTCCTCAGATATGGAGGAATCTGACTTCCTCAAACGCAACCGTTTGATACACTGGGCTCGCCTTGGTCTCTCTGTCTTGATTACTATCGCGGCCATCGCTACCGTTGCCTGTGAGGCGGTCCCTCTGCGCCACTACAATGACACCTCTAAATGGTCGAGTGATGATCTGCCCCTGTGGCCCGTGAACTTTGACTTGCGTCCCACCATTGCAGCACTGGCCTGCGGCTGTGTGATTACAGCTTTGAATTTGGTCTATGTGGTCGCTGCCCTTCTCCCTTCGGTAAGTACCCGTGCAACTTTATCCGAGTAACTATACAGATAGCTAACATTGTGTACAGCCCCACCCCCGAATCAAGTTGCTCAACTCGTACTCCTCCCTGTCGGCCATTAGCGGGTTCATCGCCGCCCTAGTCGGCATCATCTTCATCATCTACCGCCCCTCCTCAAACTACCCATCCGGCTTCACCGAGAATGAAACCTTGTACAGCTGGACCTGCAAGTGGAAGAATGGATCTGACGGACAGACAATCCCAATCGACTTTTCGCGGGATTGCCACGACACCCGCGCTGGATTCGCACTTCTTTGCCTGACCCTGGGGCTGGAAATTCTCATGGGTATTGCTGCTGCCGTTGGCTCTCTGTCCCAGAAGGGTGTCTCACGGCGCAGGGAAGAGCAGTTCCAACTTGAGAAGTTGGAGATTGCTACGAAGCAGGCTTACCGGGGTTAAATGATGTTATTACTATGGGCAGCACGTCATAGACGTCGCGAGCTCGATCTTAAATGTGGAATACAAGTGCTGTATGTAGGCGTCGGTTTTTATTGATGATTTGGACGATGATGGACGATAGCTAGTGGTGTGATGGATGATGGCTGGTTGTGCGATGGGTTATCTCGAGACGATCCATGCTGGACATAGATTGAAGCACGCAGATATGGCTTAGGTCATTAGTTCTCAGATGAATGTATATACGACGAGTGTCTCCAAACTCTGGTTAGTTTCATAATTGAAACTTCAAGTTGAAAGTTTCTGGAGTGACTAGATGCCTAAGTGAGAACTTGAACCCCGGGGCCTCGGAAGTATCAGTGAACCATCTATGATCAAGCGTCTGATTTCTGAGATTTTAGATCTCAAGCAAGGCAATTTGGAAAATACAAAATAAAATAAAACAATCGATCTTATTTACTCGAGTCAGAAAGAGGTCAATTGACCTGGTGAGCAGTAGTATATTCCCAACACGATGGATATCGGCCAGGACTCGGATCTTCCGATAATATCATCCACTGGCACGTGCCAGTTCAAACGGAGAATCGGAGAATTGGAGAATCGGGAAAGTGCTGTTTTTTATGCTGCGACAATCAAGTCTGTTTAGGTCCCGCTATTCCCGTAACGTATCAGCGTGGCCGGCTAAACTTCGGGCCAATGCGCCATGCTGCGGGGAAAAGCTTCCAGGTGCTGCGACTTCTACTCCATTCGGCAGGTGAGCCCACTTCCTGCAGAGACTCCGTGCAACTATGGTGACCACGCCGCGGAAGTTCGGGCCGACACTCCTTGCTCAGGGGTTCAAGCTGTCTTATAGTTGCCCAGTTGTGTGTCGGTGTGTGTCATAAAAAGCCGTTCCCCCAGCTTGCTCAAAGAACCTACAATTATAGATCACAAAATCAGCTCTCGCTTCCACAGCCTTCGACGGAAACAAATTGCAAATGGCTACTTCAGAAGACAGCCGCTTTGAATGGAAGCTGACCAAGCCCGGGAGATGGGAACGGGATATTGACGAGGTGGAAGAATTCTACGCCTCGTTGGCAAAAGCCTATGAAGGAACAGGAAGAGTCTTCTTTGCTATGACCGGGTTCATTTCATTTTCCGTTATCATAGAGCCAGGCACTCACGTCCTCGACACAGAGAAAAGAGTTGAGCAAGCGCTACGAAATGCCTGGATTCGTCTGCGGTACGACCACCCAACCATCGCCTCCAGGGTGCAATATGACCCGGTTCAGCAAAGGTACAAGAAGGCCTACCAGACCTTCACCGGTAGCGCATCCCAGCGTAAATGGCTGGATGATACGTTCTGTGTTGTAACAGAGAGAATGTCAGGGCTTGACTGGTGTAACTCCGATCCCCCGGTCCCTGCTCTCCCGACGCTGTTCCTCGTCAAAGCCCCAGCCTCAAATGATCAGACTTTCCGCGCTGACCTTGTTCTCCGCTCGCATCACGACATCATTGACGGCATGGGCACCTTGCTTCTCTTTAACAATCTTTTATCTCTTGCTGCCGATGCATACGAGCAAACCAACTACGAATTGCCTCAATTTGGCGATGAGTGGTCAAACCTCAGCCCGCCTCTCAGGGTAGCAGCCGGGATACCGGCCTATCTCTCGACAGAGCATGAGGAACGCATGCAAGGAATCCTCAAACAGAACGCCGCATTGAAAGAAAGTATTCAGATAGCAAGCCCACCATTCCAGCGTCAAACTGTTCTCCCCGGAAAGCACCAACGGGTTGCAGTTACTTTGTTTGAGAATACAACAGCGACGCTGTTGGAAAAATGTCGCAATCTGGGGCTGAGTATCACGCATGCATACCATGCCGCAATTGCGCTGGCTGTTAGAGACCTTCAAGAACGAAAAGAAAACGAGCGTATGATACGATACATCAGCTACTGCTTGGTCAACGAGCGTCATCACTGCAAGCCCCCGTACAGCACATCGGCTCATCCCGCGTCAGTCTATCACTCCGTCTCCGGTCAATGTTTGGCGGTCGACCTCGCCGTCCCCGGCCTAGGTAGTTCCAATGCTACTTCAACCGGCGAGGAAGCTTTCCTCTCCATCGCCCATCATGTCCGCGATTACTATCAGGAGATTCGCGACGATAGTGAATATATCAAGCTCGTTCCAAGCTTTTGGGCGATGTCCATCTTCCCATATCCTGGACCTGACCCTCCTGTAATCCCAGCACGGAATGAGACCCCTTCAATGTCTATTTCCAGCATGGGCGTGTTAGACAAGGTCATTCGCCATTGTTACGGTAGCTTCAGAGTCGACAATCCTTGGGTTACCGGCGAGGAGCTAGGAACTGGACTTGGATTGTTCCTGGATACGTGGAAAGGGAGATTGACTCTCAGCGCAGCGTATAACGATGCTTGGCATGGGAAAGAGGAAACCTTGAATGTTTTGAATCGGTGTAATGACATCGTGTTTCGGGGACTGGGTATCAGAGAGACAACATCATTCTAATATATCGTGCCTCTTATATTCTAGTAGCCCTTAAATTACCATGAGCCATACCCTATTTTTCTAATGATTTAACTAGTAAATAAAGACTATACCTATACGACTATCTTGCTTTGCAGAGGAGGAAGTAACTCAGAGTATTATTCCTAGGGAGGGCTTTAAAACGAAACAAGCAAGACCGATTGGTATGTGTATTCCCTCAGATACAATATGTAAGCAGCCATAATCTGAAGCTAATTCAATAGGCAATTTTGGTAATTTATCACTGGATAAAGTCCTTCTTGAGTCCCATACAAAAGTCGCTGGGGCTATTTCAAGGTGCAAACTGCATCCAACAATTTCAAAATCCTTGCAGAATCGAGATGGACCGCCCGTGAACTTGAAGTTCCCATTGTCTTCACTCAAAATGATTTGCCCTACTAAACATCATTGCAGTCGCTCCCGGCCGCACCGTTGGATACCAAAATTTTCAGTCCCCATTGCGGATATACCTTCGGATCTCAGTGATCAATGAACCACTGGCAGGTTTGTACATTCTCAAGGCAACAGTACCGAATGCCCGAAATGAACTGCTTGCTTTATTTCACCAGTCATAGCAGGAATAGAAGGGACTGGAACCGTCTGAATCAGCGTTTTTTCTCTCCAAATAAAATAGCCTTGGGAAGGACTTACTCTTTATCCCCTCTCCATCCGATACACTTATAGCAATCGAATATATGAGTTGGATCATAATCATTTTTAACCTTCAATAGCCTGTCATAAAAGGAACCAAAGTAGGTCTCTTGCCATTGAGGCTCCAAATAGTGCGCCTCATTAAGGTACGCACCACCACCGGGGCTCAATTTCTTCAGTGGCTCCAACATGTCCAAGAATCCCGTCGTCGTGCGCAGATGTTCATCTTTGTCCAGCGGCTCCAACCACTCCCCAGCGTGAATAACATGCCAAATAGCATTGCGCCAGGCAGGGTGAGCAGATGATAGCTGGTTATTGTCGAGATTTGTCAAAGGTGTCTCAGAGACGATTTGCGTTCCGGTGAGATTGAGCAAGCTCCTGGACGTCGCGATCCCTTGCAGCACGCCATCGACTAGATCATCGATACTCTTGTCCTCTTCAAACACACTCCGAGGAATAAGCCGCGTCGCCAAAAGAGAGAATATTCCAGCTGGCTCCGTCACTTTGGCTCTAGCGGCGGTAACAGATAGGAAATCGGCATAGCTCAAATACGAAGTATAATTGTCTTGCTCAACAGCAAGATCCGTCCTATTGTGCAAATATGCAGCGAACGCTCCCGTAGCCGCTCGCAGTTTCGATCCATCATCCCCATAGGGAAGAACTAGGCCGACAGCAAACTTCTCGGGAAAGTATTCCACCTGTCCAGTGACCAACTGCGCTGACCAATTCAACTGGCTTTGGGCGTGCACGGTCATGATTTCTCGGAGGGCAACATTTTCAGTCGCGTTTTCGTAGTATCCCACCCCGGTGAAGTTCGCAATGAAGGTGTATGTGTGGATCGGTACAGAGGGATAAACTTGAACCCGATACTTGGTGAGGATCGCGTAAGTGCCTCCTCCTCCACCACGCATGGCCCAGAACAGCTCTGGGTCGTTGCAGGCATTGATTATCCGCACCTCACCATCCGCAGTCACTACTTCGAATTCGACTGCATTGTCCGCCATCAATCCGTAGGTTGTTGTGAAAGAACCCACGCCCCCGCCTTGTGCAAAGCCACCCGCGATTCCGACCGACTGCTCGAATCCACCGGTGATGTCCATGCCTTGAGTGTGAAAGTAACGGTATGCATCACCTGCTATGACTCCTGCGCCCAACTCGCCGACATTTTGGCCATTCGAAGAGGGGCAGTTATGTGCTTTGAAGTTGGCATGGAAGTCCATTGTGTCGAGATTGTGAGTCCAAATTGATAGGGTATTTGGGATTGATGATCGGCCATAGTAATCATGTCCGGTATTCTTCACACTGATGCGGATGTTATGGTCCTTGGCGAACTTCAGTGCGGTGGAAATATGCGTCGGGTTATGGACTTCAACATAGAAAGACGCGAGGCTTCCAATGGAGCATGTCTCGTAGATCCTCTGTGAAGGGTCTGTCTCGAGCAACGCGCAGCCGGAGCTGTGACATGTTTCCCAATTCAGCCAGTATGTTTGGCCAAAATGTGTACCGCGGGCAGTGCTGTTGCCGTAATAAGCTTCAACTTCTTCACAGGCTGCCTTGTCGTAGTGTGGTGAGTTTGGGTAGCAGGGTGCTGCGATCGGAGTAGTTTCGAAGAGGTTGCCGTCCAGGCTTGCGTTGAATTTTCGCCATTCGCTTTCCGTGGGCCAGCATTTCTGACCTGGACGACAGTCATAGCCCGGATCTACTGCTGAGAGCACCAGAGGAGCAAGATGCAACAAAAAGGTAGATAAGATTGACTTTCTCATCGCTGGTGATGTCTCCACGGCTGTCCGAGAAATGTCATAAGATTTCTGATTGGAGTGATCAAGAGGAAGTTTGAATTGTACTCTTGTTCGTCTCAATACAAGCGGCGAGCACTCTTATATAGAATCCGGGCAGAGCCACGGGCAGAGCTGAGTCCATTGTAGGTTGCTGATCATTGGGGGCGAATATGATGTTGATCGAAGCCTTGGAAGATTCATTCTTTGCGCTGGTGATGATGAACCTGATCGTCATGGTCTCGGCTCAAAGTATGATGGATTGGGAAAGTGATCAGTAATATGAGGGATAAGCTTGCATAGTCAACCCCAATTAAGCAATTCGTTGACCCTGTAGAAATGCAAGACAATGTCAAAGCCTAAATATCGAAGCAGTTTCCATTCTCGGAGGCCCACAGCCCTAACCGATCAAAATGAAGACCAGCACTAGGAATCTAAATCGGGGCTACCTTTGACGCAACAAAATTCTAGATTCAACCTGATATCAAACAATGAGCGACCCGCTCAGGTATCCTTTTTTGGAGAGCCCAGTTGTTTAGCTAGCTGAGTGACGGTTACTTTCGTTTTGCACTTTGAAAAGTTGAGCTTTTGGAAAAAAAACAATTTCGCCTCTACGAAGCAGGGCCAAATTGCTCTGCTGTTGGTTTTCCGCAGCAAAATATGAAAGCGGTTGTCAATTAGTAGACTAGGGCGGTACAGTGGGCTTTTGTGACGAAGAGCAAAATTTTGGGAGGATATCGGTCACTGCGAGGTAAATCAGAATGAGCGGAGGGTCGAAGCCCACCTGGGCAGGACGCTTTGGGTAAGCGTTTCGATGCGCTGCAGGTGGAGTGGGGCAGATTTATCAGTATCCAGTTCTCCGCATTACCATTCGCGCAAAATTTACCACTATCACTTCCCGTGCGTTGAAAGTTGCCTTGGTCTGCCCAGGTGCTTCAACGTAGTAGAATATCGATTCTACCAGAGCCGAGAGATTATGCTACAACCTAGCACCGTCGAACGAGGCGCATAAATACTTCACACCTCTCCACGGGATTTAAATGGATATCCAGGCATTCTGGTGATTATTTTTCAGATCTTACCACGTCCAAACCATTCACTTGCGAAGAAGAATGTCTCGCCCAACCACAATCCTGTTTATTCCTGGAGCATGGTATAGCCCGGACTGCTTCGATGCAGTCATTGAGCAACTGGAAGCGGTCAACTATAAGACACGGAAGGTCTATCTTCCCTCTCAATCCACCGAACTATGGAATCGATTATTTCGAGGCCGACGTCACGCAAATCCGAGCCCAGATAGAAGCAGCCATTTCCGATGGGAGCCAGGTGTTGGTGGTGGTCCATTCTTACGATAGTAGATGTTGAGGCCCGGAGAGCCTCAGAGAGCCTCAGGCATCCAGGGTCCCGCACCACCGTTTGCTAGATAGTAGTAGTTACTTCCTCCATTAGCACCTACACCACAAGACACACAGTTATCACCTCACCTATCGTTTCATCTCGCTACATTACACGAGTCATCAGTAAAGCTTGATCGTTGTGGTACTAGGTACGCTGTATTTTACGGTGGCCCTCAACCTATTGCGCACTCACCCTACTCACCCCTGGTCGCGCGACGCTGAAGCGCGCTGGGCGATTTAAGTTCGCAGTATAACATCCAAGTAGATTCAATTTCCAGTACATACGACCATAGGGTGTGGAGAACAGGGCTTCCCGTCCGCTCAGCCGTACTTAAGCCACACGCCGGCAGGTTAGTAGTATGGTGGGTGACCACATGCGAATCCCTGCTGTTGTATGTTTTTTCCCCCACGATTTTTTGCGCTTTCTTTTTGAAGGTTGGGTTTAGCCCTTGCCGCCCTACCACTTCAGCCCTTTCCACCCCTGCATGAACCTCTGCGATACGATATGCGATACGATATTGACGATATCGTTGTGTCTATAGTTTGGTCACATAGGCGGTCATATAAGGGTATCCTATTGATAATTCCGGCCAGAATAGGCTTAGTGGATCTGGATTATTGGTTATCCCGGTCGGGATAGCTTCATCGCTGCCCGATCGGGCAAATTTATAGTATGAATTATTGTCAGATTTTTCAAGATTGTAGCCCTGGAGGTAGGAAAATCAAATGCTTGTTACTACTTACTTTCTCCTACCTACTATGCTAATTTGTATGGTAAATGGAAGAAAATTAAGCTAAATACAATAGCAACCTACTGCTACTGCTACAAGTGGCCACCACCTTACCAGTACTAACCTACACCAGAGATGTATATTGCTTATGGAGATTGGTGGTGCCGCAGATTGAGACCTCCGGCTCTCATTGGCCAGGGTCTATAACTAATATTGATCAGTTAACCTATAAGAGTATGTGATAATTATCGTACGATAATATCGCAATGCAGGATCTATATCGTTACCGTATCGTTAAAATCACATTACTGACGATACGATAGGCGATAAATATCGTAAAATTTTTGAACCAACAGTACGATAGGCGATAATTTATCGCAAGATGTTTTCCCGGGGTTCCTCTGCGATACGATAGCGATAACGATAAAAGCGATATCGTGTGCAGCTCTACGATGGTAGCGGTACATTATATCCATGAGAATCCGAAGGTTATTTTGATTGCCGAATTAATTCTACTACTGCCACGTACTAGTAGATAATGGCATCAAACCTCTCAAACCCTTGGGAAGCTTGGCTACGGTTATCGATTATAGTTTCATGATGATACCAAACTAGTCTAGTACCTTACAAGATTCTAAGATAGGAAGATCCGTCAATTTTGGGCGGCGGCCTGGGATCAACCATCTTACAACTTTGGAAAGGGTCAACGCGTCATTTATCGACATTTCCCTCACTGCTATGCCCTTTGTGATATTGCTCCCGCCCTAATCAGGACTAGCTCAGAAGCATCACACACACTTCGTTAGCCTTCTCCAGCTTCGTTATCCTCGTCTTATCACTTACCTTATTATCCATCTGATTCCACATCGTATCCTGGAATATCACGCCTTCGATCGAAACCACTACTTCATTCCATTCTCAATACGAAATCACATATTGACTAACCCCCTTGCCACACACAACATGGGAAGTTACAACAAATTTACTGGATTTTGTTCTAAACCTTATTATTATAAGGATCATTTTACCAAGGAGACTTTTCGCGGCCTGCGGGCTGTCGAGAAGGGCAAATTACTCGAAATACTTCGTGTCGATTACCATATCCGTTTGCTAGCCCAACGCGAGGAGAGCTTAAACCACAAAGCTAGAGCCTGGAACAAGACCATAGACATCGGGAATGATATGGAACAACTGCCAGTAGGGGACTTTGATTCTAGGATAAGGTCCGCTCAAGCACAGCGTATAAAGAATGAGTATACCATATTTAGGCTGGTTTCTGAACTTCCCTCATGGGTGACAGATCACCTTTATAGCTTAAGATGTGATCGTCTCTGGTATATGCGCAAAGAAATGGTTCATGACTGTGCAGACCGAGGGGGATGCTGCAGTCGGGGATGTGGATGCTGTGCTCGGAGATCCTTATCAGAGAACACGAGAACCAGAGGCCACTGCACTATGGAGTGTTGGTGCTGTAGTAGCTTTCGAGATCCGAGCCTTACCGAGGAGGATCAAACGTCTATTGCACTTGATTTGGACCAGCTAATGGAAAACTCAAACTATGTTCAAAAAATGGCGAATTGTTATTTCCGTCCGCTGAGCTTGACGTATAAGCTTAGCAGGGGAGTTGGAAATATGAAGTCTGGGTTGAAGAGAATGACCAAGTAGTGCCTGTACAGCAAGTAAGCCCTGGAGGCTTTTGAAAACAAGTCTGTGCTAACTATTCATGGCTCCTTCTCCTGTTCTGCGTGCAAGTTGTCGGCGAGAACTTGAAGTTTGTCCAGTCATTCTAATCCTCATTACGAGTAATAATTTTCATCGATTAGATCCTTCTACCTTTGCTTTTGTTTTCTCTAAGTATTCCCAGTAATGAATGCTGTACATTTATTTACCTTAAGGTACTTATACTACAAATGGGCCAATGAGAGCCCATAAATCAATTATATAATCCTTATCGGTACCGCCTTCGGCAGAATTATCACATTCAGCGCGTCGATAGCGTCTTTCTTCTCTTCTATACCTCACTCAACTCCCTAATTCACCATGTCAGCCGATCCAGTCGTGCAAACAGCCGCTGACATTGACGAAGAACCTTACGAGTCTGCCGAAGACGAAGACTTCCAGCTCGATGCTGCACAAGATGAGTCCGAGCTGTCCTCCGACGACGAAGCCCAGGCCGAACCCGCGAAGAAGAAACGCAAAACCGATAAGAAACGCGATGCGCCCGAGGATATCGAGCTAGATTCTGGCGATGAAATTACAATCAAGAAGGCACAGGCCAAGCGGAGGAAGCGGAAGGGGAAGAAGGGTGGTGATGATGACTTCGATCTCGACGACGATGAAGGAGGTACTGGGGGTTTTGTGCGAACACGCGCAATGAAGGCGACAATGTAAGCTCTCAGCTCTCTGCAAGACGCGGTGCAATTCAAGCCCGGTTTCTAACTTTTCTTTTCTCGAACAGCCAGGAAGAGCGCAAACCGCTAGCCAAGATCGACGGTGCGACTGTGGACGTGAATGCCCTGTGGGAACAGATGAATGACCCCGGGAATGCGCTGGGAACATCGACCTCAGAGACGGAACAACAGACCGAGTCGGCCCCAGAGCCCGATCGCTCGGTCGACACGCACAAGCAAGACCAGCCTACCGCGGATGCTGCAGAGGATAACTCTCGCCATGACCAGTACGCCGATCAGATGATCAAGATCAAGCGCACCTACAAATTCGCAGGTGAATGGATTACGGAGGAGAAGGTTGTCCCCAAGGGATCTGCCGAAGCCAAAGTCTTCTTAGCCAGTGGGGAGGCCGTTGAATACGCCGATGCAGATGCCGCCGCAGCAGCAGCGGAAGCTGCTCGAAGCCTCCGCCGACCGATCCGCAAAATATCGCGATTCGACCCCAATCCGACCGGTACAATTAAGAAGAGCTGGGAGAAACAGGCCATGGAACCCGGTGGCGATGCGAAGGGACCTAAAATCAACACTGTGGAGAAATCTCGCCTTGACTGGGCACAGTATGTCGACGAAGCTGGCATCGGTGACGAATTGCGCACACACAGCAAGGCCAAGGAGGGTTATATGAGTCGCATGGACTTCTTGGGTCGCATGGACGCCAAAAGGGAAGATGAGGCTCGCCAAGCTCGTCTCAAGGGCATGTGAAGCTTTGGGCATCGCGAGGCAATCTAAAAGCCACTTTATTAAAGCATGCAGTTCCGCTTTTTCTTTTCTTTGCAAGGAATCGATCATGAAGACTCTCAGACCAAATATGCCAGCTCCAGGTACGCCCACAGGGTTGTATTTCGGGAACGGCGTGTCCGAACCTTCATACGCTGATGGCTTGGGCATCAACTCCTTCAAAAAAGCTGCCAGTCGATCCTGATCCAATGGGTAAACCTCGTGCAGAATCTCCGCCGAGACGAAACCGAATTGGGGATCTCGTCTGGCCCGTCTGGCTCGTCAGCGTAGTGGGCCAGACGGGAACCCATTCAGTCAAGGCTCCCCTTTCGCTCATAGCTATCAAGATACGAGATGATCAAAGTCTACTCGTATTCAGCTCTTGCTACAGTCGTGGCCACACTATATTGAGATGAATCTCGAGAAAAGACTCGGTCGGAAGTCGTTTATCATTTATGGGCAATGAATACCCTTGTACTCTATATCCAAGATACCAATACAGATACCCAAAGCTAATATAAATTCATACAGCGACAAGATCCCATCGGTCTAGGACATCCATCATAGCCAATCCCACCACCTGGGCCTACGATTGAACGGCTTAATTGCTCTTGGGCACGTACTTGATGCCGCTGCTGGGGCAGCTCGCTTTGGTGACTGGGTGGTCGTTAGCAAGTCCGGCATTCATGAAAGTTGGTCGATTGATTGAATGGGAGAGAACTTACGCGTATCGGTAGCCTGGTATTTTCCAGTGATGGCATTGCCGCCGACATTAAAGAAATACCAGGCTTGGTTCAGCTTGCCACTGTCACAGCTGACATAGACCTCGGCGCCGTGCAGCTTGCTCAGAGCAGACTGGATCTCGCTGAGAGTGTAGGTCTTGGACTCATCAGGGGTGATGCCAGCATCGGACAGTGCCTATCGTATGCATTAGATATGTCATTGGACAAGAGGGTATACGTAAAGACATTACCTTGTAGGTATCCAGACCCTTGAAAAGATCGACAGTCTTCTGGAAAAAGTCGCCGACCTCCTCCTGCGGCGAGTAGTTGGAATAGCAGCTGGGCTTGATGGTGTTGACACAAGTGCCATGTTTTCCCCACTCATGCTCCCAGAAGGACTCGCTGTCGCCATTAATGTCGACCCAGTAATCCTCCATATAAGAGAGGAGGTCGGTACGGTCCTGGGCTTTCAGGATCTCGGTGATATTGGTGTAGGCGCGAGAATCATCGCAGTTAGACTCGTAGGTGCCATCACAGTTATCGGGCCTAGTAGCAGGTCAGCGAAGGTCTTCCAAGGTTCAAAACAAAAGAATATATGCCCCGGTCAAACTTACCATAGTCCGTGGATGGTCCACGAGTCGGTCGGCCCTGTGACTGGGTCGGTGTCCCAGAACTGGGTTTGCAGGAGTGCACCACCGGGATAACTATAGCAGCAAGTGCCAGCCTTGGAGGAGCTGTGGCAGCTCAGAGTGTTGTTGTTGTTGGAGCAAGTCTTGATACTGGCCGAGACGGAGGCCGCCAGGGCAATTAGGCCGATCGAGGCACGGGCGAAGGACATCTTGATTTTGTTCAAGTAATGAGAATCGCTCAATGATTGAAGTGTTCTCGTATGCCCTTCAGTCGGCAGACGGTGCTGAATGGTGAATTAATAGTCGCCCTGCCCAGGTACCAAGACACTATGAATGCACATCGCCTGCAGAAACGGCACCTCATCAGGGATGGCGATCGCTACTGATAGCAGCACATGCACTGATTAAAGGACGCTGATTCGCGCGACTCAGATCGGATATCGCCGTCAAGCAGCTAAAACGGAGTGGGACGAGCGGGGATTGAGTTGAATGGGGAAAGGTGAAACACCCAATGGCTGTCGATAATGCGCCGGGCCCCTGGAAGTCAACCTGGACGTATCTCGATTCCTGGTTTAGTTGCCGGGCCATGGGCAATCGAGGTTGCATTGAGTCTCCTGGTCCCTGCTTTTGGTGATTTCTGGACACTGGAGTCCAGCGGATCTCCGACGTTGATTGAAGCCCTGTGAGATTAAACCCGTCGCTGATCGCTCGTGTCCCCCAGTCATCTAGCGAACCAGCGCGCCCGTCGTGGGTTTTGGTGATAAGATGATCTGCGAGGGCTGAAAGTATCCTACAAGTCTCACCTTTTTAGGGAAAACGTGTTGGTTTGGGTGTTTCAAATACATCTTAGAATCCATGCCATGTGTGAAATTGATGACATGGAGAACCTCGGGCAAAGAGTGCTAGTAAGGTTGACATCATGGAAGTAAATGACAAAAGAAAAGAGAAAAAGAAAACGGATTAGAGATAAAATAAAACACAACTCCAAAGAATGCGGCCGCTAAAAGCATCATCACAAATAACCTCCAATATTATTCCAGTTCATTCGGCAAGAAGTGGCTCTTCCTCATCATGCGATATAGGATCGCGCACTCGAATATACCAGGACACGATGGAAACCAGGATGAAGATGACAGATGCTTGGAGCCACGGTAGACCCATCCAAGCATTGCCGAGATGCATTCCAAGTCGGAACAGATAGGCGAAAAGGGGACCTGCGATGAGGCCTCCCAGCGCCTGTGAGATTGCAAGGGCCGAATAAAGTGTTCCGATATGGTTGGGTAGGACGAGAGCAGTGACAAGAGTACGGGTAGCGACCAGGAAGCCCAATCCAATAGAGAGGAATACTAGACCCCAGATCAAGATGCCTGGAACCGGTGCGAAGGCCATGATACCAAATCCGACCGCGGTGAACACACTGGTCACTTGAGTGAGACGATAGTCTCGGTACTTGCCATGCAGGTTAAAGAATTTGCCGGCGATGGAGTTGAATGCGGGCATGAGAACAAGATAGTTTGACAAACTAAATATCCCACGGAGCGAGATGAGTAGGCTGGCCTGGTTGCGCCATGTCAGTAAAACGTATACTCGTTGCAATCGAATTAAATGGAGAAGAGTAGTATGTACCTTGCCAATGCTCCAGTTGAACTTCTTGGACGCGTATTGCATCAGTAAAGCAGTCGACTGTCGACTCATGAAGCCGACCCCAGCGATTATAACTAGGAGGCAAATATTGCCATCTCTCCAAATGAATCGGGTGGATTTTTTGAACTCGCGGGCCTGGTGGATAATTTCCTGCAACATTGGTTGTTTGCTTGGTGGCTCCATGTCTTCAATCGACGTCAGTGGAGCTTCATCTTGGTGTATTTTCATTTTCATTTTTGCTTTGGCGTCTGCGAGGGTCTCTGGAATGAAAATAGCTGGCAAAGTGCCTATTACGATTACAACGAGCCCAAGGATATAAGGGTACCATATATCAAAGGTCATCAAATAGGCACTGAAAGGTGTGGCCAAAATCTCTGCGATCAGGACACAGGATGAGAGGCGAAACATCGCAGTTGATCTATGGTCATGTTAGTGGGCTTCAGCTGGACGCACTCCACTAGGTCGTGAATAGGGGCTTACCTCTCCTCCTCGGAAAAGACATCCGCCACCATCGCAACGGCCATGGAGGTAATCACTTGGTCACCACCGCCGATGATGCGAAAAAGAGCCGTCATCCAAACCATGCGCAGTGGTAGTACAGTTGACCATGCGGCGACCAACCGGACCCAGAACTCCCCCTAGGATGATCCCCACGACCCCGAGATACAGCACGGGCTTGCGACCCCAGTGGTCGGCTAACACACCGTAAGGGAGCGACAAGAGGATGCTGGGTAGTACATCAAATGTTTCTTTGTACCCATTGATGAGGGCAAGCTCTCCCTGTACAAGTTCGGATTTACACGGATCCTCTGAGGGAGAGTTGAGCAGACTCGCATTCACGTCATCGCGCGAATTGAGAAGATAATTGCGACAAATGATCTGTTCAAAGATAGCTGTCTGCGGGGCTTGCGACAGAAAAAAGCCAAAATCGGCCGCGAGAATGAATATACCGCAGGCGACGAGTATCAGCAATTTCTTCCGCCCATTGTTGTTGCTGCTGCTGTTGTTGCCGTTGCTGGGTGGTTCGGAGTTCGGAGTTGGCGTCAACAGCGGTGCCGTTTCGTTGGGCAAGGATTGCGTCTCAGCGACCATGATGGTATTCACAGATTCACAACCTGACCATAGGTGTAACTTGGAGTTAAGTTAACCTTGGGAATCGGTGGGATATAAAAAGGGCGAGACTTTGAATGACAGGGAGAAGGGGCCCAATGGCGTAAGACCGTTTCCAAGGTTAAGTCACAGCCTGATCCCAGCTTATCAAAGCCTCTCGGAGCTCGAAGTCAAGCAACTCCGACGTTGAGGCTAGCACCTGGAGCATCCGATTTGCTGGATTCCCATTTCCCCGCTGAGATAAGACCCATTGTCATCATGGGCCTATCCACGTTGATGGTCGACGTGTCTTGACGTGATTTAGGGGCGAGGTAGACAGGGGTTGGGCATTCTTTGTTTCCAATGGGAGCGAGATCAATCCCAGTGCAGCGGGGTTCGGCGTTTATCATTTCAAGTTCCAAGGGTTAAAACAAGGAACTTGAAAGAAATGATTCATCCCATGGTGAGTGGTTTTTTCAACATTCACTCCAGGGCTGGCACTTGGGGTTTTCATTAGCATGACTTAAGGAAATTCAACCTTGAAGAGTGGAGAGTGGAGAAAGGAGAAGGCGTAGAAATTGGGCCGGGGGGGGAGAAATATATACATCACATTGACACCGTGGACATTTTATTCAATAAAATAAGGAAAATATTACAGTCCACGACTGCTATTACTTGCAGAATTCCATACTCTACCTATCCAATCCCCTCTTGGTTTCCAAGGCTTGCACACCTGGGCATGCAGAATAGCCTGACATATGGTGTGAGGTAATATACTATGATACCCCATACATCCATTTACTTCTAATGGATTTGACGTGCATGAAATCACTGGCGGAGAAGGTGAAACCGCTTTTTGATGAAGTACTAACTAGCCCTGAAGATATCTGGATCTCAACTTGATCACGATTTCTAGAATGAGACTACATAGTATCCCATGCGAGGCAATCACCGTCGCACAGCCTTGGCCATCTGAGTACGCAATTCTCGGTATGGCATGCCTGGTCACCATTTCAGGCATAGGCGCCCTGCTCCATTTACAATAGACCTACCTCTCTTCCCCCAACACCTTATCATATAAAAAGCCATCGCTCCCGGTTCCACCTTCCAACGTCCAAATCATCGCCAGCGCAGACTGCAGCTGGCCGCACGGTACAGGCGTTTCCCCGGGGCTTTTGACCTGGTCTGGGTGATTTGGCAATGGCCTGGTCTATTCGTCAACGATCGGTCGCGATGCTTCTCGGGGTTTTCCACCACGCTCATTGCTTTTCCTCGTCCGTTACACGGACTAGAAGGCGCCCACGGTCGGCTCGAGGCATCCTCTAGAGGCATCCGGGACTCGTGTCGGCTGTCGGAGATGAGGCATTGCTGGTCCGACTGGTTTGTTCTGGGATCCCATGGTGATTGCTGACCCATGTTCTTCTGCCGGCTGCGTACATTCTGTCGGGCGTTGGTGGGCCTTGAGCGAGTGGATCGGTGGCTGATAACGCCCAAATAAACGGATTTGGACAGTCGGATGAGAGTAGGTGTTCTTTTTTGGGTCTCTGTGTGTTTGGGTACGAGTTCGTCGAAGGCATCGATTTCCCGGGGTCGTTGTTTGCTTCGCCAGCCGGAGAGTGGGATAGCTGCTAGACTCAGCCCGCCAGTAAACATGATGATCGTCGGATGTAGTGAGGAGTTTGCTTCTTCTCCAGGGGTCGAGGGTCGAATGTCTGGAGACTGTTGAAGTTAGCGTCATTTCACAAGTTCAAATTGTCCCTTGCCCTCGATGGTTGGAATGCAAGGCAGGTGGGGGAGTAGACCTCACCACTCCGGTCAATCGGTCGAAATGTATTTCAACTTCAAGTTGTAAGTTCGCTTGAAGTTGTTCAAGCACCTGGGCACAGTACTACAAGTACTACCTAGGTAAGATTGAAGTTGGAGAGAAATGCGGGACGCTCCAGAGCTTCCAACTTCAAATAACTTCAAGTTGAAGGTTGGTTCAAGTCAGTAAACTTGCCAGTGAATGTTGTGTAGTAGTTGTGCAGTGCCCATGGAGCCTGAAGACAGGGATATATAGTATCCGCGTCCACAGGTACTAGTTACGGCATCAGTGGAACATCAAAACCACAGGGCTCAGGCTGGCACCAGTACTGAAAGAATTTTCAAGATGGAAGGTGCCTATGAGCAATCCCAATACTAACTTATATCCAGCTATTGATCTCTCCATTTTCTAATCGACCTTTCAACCTTGGAACTTGGAAGCACCAGTGACCAGCATCGTCCGATCGCAATACACTATTAGTAGATAAGCACTTTCTACATAGGATAGACCTAAACAATATTCAATCACTGAGTATGCTATCATCTCTCTGCAAGACGTATACTAGTAATTTATGAAATTCAGCTTGTGCAAAAGAAAGGGTTCATCTACGACAGGTTTGCCAACTTTCATCAACAGGTATCAGTGCCAGTATATTCAACCTAGACAGAGCCCCTCCTCACAATACTGCATTTTTTGTCCACTCAGCTCCGTCAGTAGACCACTCCTAAAATTCACTTGAATCACTACAAAATACTACCCTCCCCCCCATAGTAAGCACGGATATATCGTACAGGGCCTAGACGCAGTGATTCGCGTTGCAGGAGATCACCCGGGATTCATACAACGCTACCCCACTGAGACTGCGCGCAATATATTGAACACGTCCTGTACTTTAGGATCGAAATCAAGGAAAATCCCGCGTATAACACTGCGTTACTTCAATAGATGTGAGACCCTACCGAGTAGCGCGCTGCTCGTCGACCAAAAGAGCACACGCGATTATCTGCCCTTGGAGCAAGGGTAGAACAATATGATGTCATTTAGATTCTTCCCAGAGGAGAGTGGAAGACCCAGCTAGCCATCCCCCCTGCGGCTTTGACCAAGACACCTTGGGACGTGCTGTGCATGGATGCCCCCTCCTACCATTTGGTCTGATCTGCTAGGAATGCCTGGCATGTGTGATGTGCAGGGTCGATCACGGCAGATCGATCAGGGTCGACTTGGGCCATTCGGGGGCCCGGGGTAGCTCAGATCCCACTAGGCTTATATTGAGGCTTTGTGCATTGCTGCCCACCCCATTGCTGCGCTATTGAGCTGTCTGGCATGCGCAGAAGAACCCAACGCAATGACGTTGCTTGCGTGATCTTTGTGCTCAGACAACGCTTGGGTGCGATTGAAGGGGGTGATTTGGACTGTCTATGTTGCGTCAATTGCTTGAATAGAATTAAGAATACAATCCTTCTTCCCCCTCTGTCGCGGCCCTTAGACCTTGGGGTAACACGAGGGCGACAGGGACGAACTCCTAGAACGCCAAACGCCAGATAACCCTCTACCAAACACGACCCACCGCCCTTGGTACAAATTTACCGGGGAAACATGTCACGGGAAAGATTCGTAGGGCTCTGCTAGAAATAAACTTTCCACTAGGTGTAGTATTCTGGGAACCGGAACCAACGACGCAAGGCGATGGGACGTGCTTTGATGCGAGTCAACATAAGGAATCTACAAAAGTGCTAACTGATCTACGTAGAGAAAAAGCAAGAATTGAAAGCTTCTTGGTTTTTTTGTTCCTATTCTTCGTTATGGCAATTCCATTTCTGTCTTAGATATCGAGGGAACGGCCGTTGGTGGAAAAAGAAAGTGGTGATGCAAGGGGGTGGGGACAGCGAAAGAAGGGGTAGGCGGGCCATCAAAGCCTCAGGAACAGTTTCCTCGAATAGGACCTTTGCATTGGCTCACATTACTATTGATGTGTGTTGCAGAATATCTTTGCCAGTACCTTCCCTCTCATAGGACGGGCGCTTTGAACCGGGCTGAGCAAATCATACTAGATGCCGAAAACCCCAGAAATGAAATTTTTATTTTTTTTTTGAGAAAGATATGTCGGGAGAGAGGAACTGATATTATCTCTCTCCGGCTGATTTTATGAGATCTACCACCGACCTAGGGCTACTGGTGATCTCAGCGATTTATTATTGCAGAGCTGGTAGGAGCTCACTCGATTTTCTCCGAAAAGCTAAAGTGCCACTTCTCATAGTTCATCGGTCTAATGATCGCCATTGATGGCCAGGTACTCGACCAAATGCCAGATCATGAGGAAACCTAAGTACAGGACTAGTGGAAGTATGCACTTATCGCTGAAGCGAGATACGTTGATACAAGGTAAAGCCACAAAGCGCCTGATAACGGGAAACTCACTGGATGTGCGTGGCCGTTGCTGCACAAAGACAATAAACCACAGTGATGCTTACCACTTGCCCCATACCCGTGTAGGCGGATGGTGTGAGGAAACACCGAGGAATGTTTCGACCCCAGATCATAACACAAATTGTAGTAGAGGATCAATATCATGGTATGCTGGAAGGGGTTCTATTGGCCCATGTGTATGAATTGACCATTCTGGATTTTCCCCGCAAAATGATCGACCGCTGGTACCTCGCCTGTGCGCAGAGTCGAGAGACCTGCATATTTCTGCGCGATCTGAGCTGGATTTCTGACTGGTCGACTATGAATGGGAGCTCGGTGCGTTCGGCCTTTGGTGCGACAGGGGTCTGAGAAAGATCGAAAACCACTAGTGCCAATCACAAGGCCCGGGTACCTGGTACCAACTGTGATAATCGTGCTAATGTATGTCCAGATGCCGGAGGCTCCATTGGGTTTTACGTGAAGGGGGATGTCCGGGTGTTCCTGGTCGATAAAAAACTTAGCGTAGAGTCTAGGTTCCAATTTTGTGAGGGCCGAATCAAAGGCGATTTGTGCCTGAGCATCAAAGATGAGCAACAGTGGACCATGCAATAGTTCAAAGTGTTGAGCTTTGGATGTTTCTCACCACAATTTAGACACCAAGCGTCGTGCCCAGCCCATTCCAACTCCTGAGTTCACCACGAGCGCTCGTGAAATTGATGCACCAAATCCCGATGCGCGAGCAATGGCAATTGATCAAATGTGAAGGTTTCCCGATGCAATGACGAGGCAAGCACAGACAGCCAAGAGGTATGTACAAAATTTGGATGCCTCGATGTCATGATCAGCCACAATGGCCTAAGCTCATTCCCACCAAGCCTCTGGTGGCGTCTCAAGTCAGTTCCTGGCTTGGCAGAAGAGGTTTCCCCGAATGGTATGACTCGATGTGACAATGGAGCTCAGATTCACAAGACGCTATTAAAACTCTCTCCCGCGAACCAAATGATTATGCGGTGGCCTCAGCACTGCTGTGCGCGAGTAAAATTGGTGGCAGTTCGCCCTGCCAGTCGATCAATCGAGTGTCTCGAACCTTTTCGTTAACAATGATTGGCGTAATGGACCGTCACTTGCAAGTTTTTGGCAATCTGAAGGATAAAATGAGTGTCTTGGCAGATTAAGATAACCGATAGAGCCCAAGCAGTGAAGCAAGTCATCCCTTGAGATGCAGGGGATCCCGCGATGTCTGGGGACACTCTGGCTTCCTCCTGGCCCTTGCGGCCGATTCAGGTCCGTGCTGGGATTACTTGCGGTAGCTAGAGCAGAGAGCAGCAGATGTGATTAAACTCAGTAGGGCGTACTTGAGGCTACAAGAATACTTCTCCATGGAGAGAGTTTCAGATGATCCAGCCCCAGAATGCCGGGTGAACGGCGTAAAAAAAAGAATGACCGCGAGTGGCCCGGCTATTCAGGGCTGAGACTAAATCTGGACCAAACGCGATGGCAATTGGATCGTTGGAAACCAGAAACCCAGGAACTTGGGACGGAAACAAAGTACAATAGTCCCGGTGGTTATTGCAGGATGACACATCTCATATCTGCTGATGTCGATCATTCCTGCTCGGTGGCCAAAAGGTATCCTGAAACTAACCTGCATGAAACATGGATTCCTTGTTGCTCGTGTGCTGACATGAAAGACGATAGTGGTATTCTTGAGTGAGGTTTTGCTCGATGAAGATAGAGGGAGCGATTGGGGTTAAATCGGACCCTCGACAAGATCGACGAGCAACGACATGGATCGACGATGCCGGTGTGAAAAGTGGATCAGGTGGAACCAGCCTCAACGGATTGGAGCCAGTTCGAGGCCATCCGGGCAGCCCGGGATTGGGCTTGAAGGTAACGATGGAAAGCAGTGGTTAATCTGCATTGTTTACCGCAGACTCGGACCCCAAGCAAGCGCAGAGCTACGTCGGTGGCCCTTCCCCGGAGTCTTCAGGCGTGCATTCAAAAAATGATAGCTCCTCTGTGGCTCAGCCTTAGACGAGCGTTAGAGTTTTGCTCATATTAAACTGTCGTCGCGCATCAGCGCGGCGCTTAGACCCGGTGCGAGCTGTCAGAAGCGGCGGTGCCGAAAATTTCGGCGTAGCTTTTCGGAGTACGATAATCGGTTCTACTTCAGATGTGCTGGGACCTACTACTAAGGGTCTCTAGCCTAACATGCGCTCGCCAAATTGAGGGCTAGCTGGCCGTCCAAGTATACCCAGCATAAATTGCACTGCTCCTGTCTCATCGATCCACCGGATGCTTAGTGCATATCCATTCGCAATGTGACACACAAGCCGCCCGGGCAGAAGCGTCCGAGAGGCAAATTCGGATTCTGGGGATTGGAATTCCAGAGTAGCCGCGGGGATGTTTAAGGGGCGATTGTGTCCCGCCATTGCTCGTCGCGAGCGGAGAGAAGTCGATGCATGACGCTCGAGCTGGTGTCGCCACTGAGTTCGTGGCTGGAAGTGCACCCATGCTCCCAGGAATCTGCAGCAGCTCGAGGTCGAGAATGCACGAAAGCTGGGCGAACTCGCCACGCAGGTGCTGGGACAGTAGATGCTATTTTGCTCCAACCAGGAGGGGTTCCTTCGATTTCGGTCTGGACTGACGCGTGATGAATCAGAAAGCTCCCCTGGACCCGATGCAGGTCCGAACTAGCTCCGTATAGCGTCTCGCCCAAGCAATTGGGAGGAAAGAGGTGTAGTACCACTAATCTTTCCCGGTGGAATGGGTTCGACGTAGGCCGACCTCCGATGGTAAGGGATTCTATTATCTGTACTCGACTGCATACAACAATCGCAAAGGGTATCAATTTTTCTCCCCCAGCATGTCTATTTCCCCCAGAAGCACATTCCAATCATGTCCGATGACGACGGTGACCACTATTTGTCACAGTGGCCTAGAGCCCTATGAGTCGATCCATGCCCCGGAAAGTGAAGCCAAAGTGCGTGGAGCGGAGAATAGCAGAATGAGTGACTGGAATTCGCAATGTTACCTCTCCGGGCTATGGGCGGTAATTAGCACGGACCAGACAACGTCTGACCTGACCTGTTCGACCGGTCTGACCTGTCGCAGGGCCCGCCAAAGACGATCGATCAACCGGTCGGAGCTCACATTGCCATAATATTTCTGTGTATATAGTATCACGAATAGGAATAGTTAATCCCCATGAACCGTGGATGAAGGTATTTGAGATCCTCACACCTAGCAGGTGTCTTAGGTTAATTGAAACATCAATTGTCCCTCCTAGAAGAAAGGATAGCGAAACACTGAGTGGGGCGAGGATCGATGATCGCCGTCCGGGGGCGATCCGTGTGTCTCTTACAGTAGTACCGAGAGACTAACACTCGCACTAGTGTTGACTGGGTTGAGAGAAAAGTGCTGGGGGGCAGATCCAGCAAGAAGAAGTCGATGCATGTCAACTACGATTTAGACTCTACTCACATTGCGCGGGATGTAAGAGGCGCAGCCGGGCATTCCAGTCGCTGCTGGGCTCGATCCACCTGCAGTCTGCAGGTGTGAAATTTCATTTTCTTGGTTTATTTTAATTCGAAAATCATAATTCCCAAAAAATAGAATTTAATTTTTTGCTTTATTCCTATTTTTAATAAAAAAAAATACTCCCAAAAAGAAACGTAGGTTAGGGATGCTAATCAGTCGATCGGCCCTCTGCCCCGATCGCAGCAGAACGGAACAAGCTTCCAAAGTCCCAAGTCTCTCAAGTATAAACCCCTTGTTCTCCTCCAGCCCTTTCTGCTTCTCAATCACCTAGAAAAGCCCTCAACCCTTACTCTCTCCCTTATAACATCCCCCAGCAACCCTCGAGACAAGGGCGATCTCCATCTGAAACCCAACCTCCCCCTGCCCCTCCTCTGCCCCGGATTTTTAGCATTCTACCTGCTCCATTGCTCTCCTAGATCACTCGTGTCTTGCCTACGAGTGGTACCTTTGGTCGATTACCAGCCTCAAACCTCTTCATTCGGCAACCAGTTCAACCCGCGACGCGCTGCAGCCGTGTCTCCGGTAACAGAAGTCTCATAGTCTGCATTCCTGGCCTTGCTTTCAGGCACGCGACGCGCTTGGATCAGATTCAAGCCATGGCGTATAGCTGTATGTCCGATCCCCACCCGTCGATTTGATGCTGGGCCGATTTGTTTATTTCTGCTCGTTTGTCCCTCTTTTTGCCCTTCCAACATTCTTTCCTTCGCTCTCTGTGCCTGTTCCCTCGTTCCACTTCCTTCGTTCTCTTTCGTCCTTCTTTATACTCGTCCTTTATTTACTCTTGCCTCCTGTTTGGCCCTTCACTCACTTCAACTTCCATTCCTTCTATCTTACAGTTGGACTAATATCCCACTGCCCGTAGGTGACAGCATCGTTGACACTGTCGCCCCTCGCTCTTTCAAGACAGAAGATCTTGACGACATGAGACCTCAGGGCCAGCATATCTCTGACCGTTTGACTGTTGAGGTTGATTGCCGCTCCCTCGGCCCTAGCGAATGCCCCTCGATGACCTCGAGCTTCTCTCCTTTGGAATCACCGACTCCCACCCCCACCAGTCTCTACAGCCACAACTCAATGGCTTCTCCTACCTGGCATGAAGCTGGCCAGTACCACGGCATCCCAATGGAGCGTCGAACTTCCGCAACCCCGTTGCGTAGCGCTTTCAAAATGGCTGATTTGACCTCGGGTGATGCTATGGGAATGCCTTATGGTAACATGGATCGCACCGAGCAGATGCCAATGGAGTATCTTCCGGGTTACGATGAAAATGTCGACCAGTTCTACTTCCCTCAAGAAGTACCAAAAACATTCGACCAGACAGGATTCCCCTACCAAGCTCCCATGGGCCAGTATAACACCATGCCTCGCAACCATCATTACCAGTACCGACCACAGCAGTCCACCTACCTGCCCGAATCCGCATCCAATCCATGCTTGTCTCGCCCCATCTTCAACCAACCTCCCACCGAACAGATTCCCAACTCGGTGTCCATGTCGAATATGCTTCAATTTATGCCTCCCGCCGATTCCATGCCACCTCAAACGATCGCACCCCGCCAGGCATTCCACCACACGGCCCCCGTCACCCCACCCTCATCTTCTTACTCTGAATTTCCTACAAATCTTCAAACTTTCAAAGCCCACACTCCTTCCACACCTGTCCGCTCCAACTCCATTGGAACGCCCTCGGGTACTGACACCCCAATGAGCCGCCTATCTGGTGGCAACGAATATCAAGAAGAGTTCCCCATGTCTCCAATTTACCGGGATGGGATTATGAGAGCTCATCGCCAACCTTCGCGGAAACCTTCCAAGAAGCAGCTGATTCGCTCCAACCTCAGCCTCGAGAATCTTCCCGCTGTGATTAAGCAGGTCCAATTCAAGTGCAAGGAGCCTGGTTGCAAGGGACGTTTCAAGCGCCAGGAGCATCTCAAGCGGCACATGAAGAGCCACTCCAAAGAGAAGCCCCATGTTTGCTGGGTCCCTGGCTGCCACCGCGCTTTCTCTCGGAGCGACAACCTCAATGCTCACTACACCAAGACCCACAGCAAGCGAGGTGGTCGAAACCGCTATGTCGCTACCCTTGACGACACCAGCCAGGATTACGACCCAGACTTCCGTGGTCAGCTCACACCCGATGGCCGGCCTATCTATGGATCTAAGCTTGAGGATCCCATTCCCGACTGTGGTGACCTGGATGGATGGGACGACTAAATGAAACCATCCCATTTCACAAAAAGCAAATAAACAATATCCACAAACCAAAAATCACATCACAAAAACAACAAACGAAAAAACAACCAATACAATTTCAACACATTCGCGACGTTCCACCACAGTCGTAATACTAGATTTGGCCATGCAGAGACCTCCTCCAAAGGCGGCCTTGATTTGATACCCTTCTGATGGTGGATCGGTCATACCGATGAAACAGGCATTTACCGGCCAGGTGGCCGATACGGCGTTGTACATGTCTTTTGGGTGCAGGATCGCAGAAGATTCCTGTGCCATTTATTTTTTTTAACTTATTATTCTTGCATAATTTGTCCGGTGCGAAAAGGGCTTGGTGCGGCACTCTGGGATCTTTTGTCGGCGTTTGCAAATCTTCGCTTGAATTGCCGGTTTGGATAATCACTAGGGAGGATTGGGAGACGATCATGTACAATCAGCTACAATGTGCTTTTTCTTCTAGTTATTGCGTGTACCACCATCTATATCATCTTGTGGCATAATTCAAAACACACACTATAACTTCACAATTTCCACACGTTCACCTTCACCGTATAGTAGATCATCGCACTTGCTTTCGTTTGAATAGGCACATGCATAGTACGTGGTCCCCCCGAACTGCTGGCCTCTCCCGAGGGATCGACGACTGTGTCATATTTCACCTCGCACTTGTGGTGGGGCATCCAGAGATCGAATCGTCATTCTCCACCTTCCACTTCCACTTTTACTTCAAATCCTCGATCATAACACTTACTTCGGCTTCCAAGCTCCCCTTTCCCCTCATGCAAACTATAAGAAGCTCCAGCCAGTTCTATTTTTTGATTATTTGATAGCTCCACCATGTTCATACAACCAGGGCCATTGAATCTTGTTTGGCCCCGTTCCACGGTTCCCCATTGTGAATGTTACACATCACACCCGCGCCCCGACGGTTCGAGACACCTCCAGCATGTACCTGGATCGTTCCATCCGATCTATCTGGTGCTGTGGATCATCCCACTAGGCGGAACTGACTCGATTGCCACACCTCTAATCGGCCGCTCACATTTCTTCCTAAGGTTCTTGCGTTATCCGGCCTCGCCCAGAGGCCACCAGCGCGGCGCTCTCCACATTCCAAACGTAACGGGCTGACTTCCCATTCGCGCTCCCCTGTTTCAGATCATTTTTCTTCTCCATGCCATCACGGATTTGGTTTCGTTTGATTTCTTCGTTGATTTCGATCGTAACCCTTCACACTCGACTTGGCCACTCATTTGTTACAACTTACGACATAGGGTGGGCCACGCACAACAGACTAATGCGAATCATGCAGCCCAGGTGTAGCAATGGGAATCTAGGGTCTTTCCCGTCTCTTTTTCTCTCTCCTCAAAACTTTACTTTCAGCTTAAAAATTGTTTTCTTTTTAACGAAACCCTGCGCCACCAGGTCTGACCCGACCGACCTTCTGTGGCTAACAACATGTGGAGTGAACCAGCGATCTTCGCTAACGAAATAGGCGACTTGCATCTCCTGCCAAGATCTTGGGAACGGCGCTCAGACAGCCTGGATTCAAGAGCCGCGCAATTCAGTCGAGGGCACTGCCCTCGCTCATTGGGTCCGTACATTCGCTCTCATTCCCGCGGACGCGGTGCGGCTTGGGCCTCCCCGGATGAGATTCCTACACTAATTGCCTCGAAACATCTTATTCTAGCTCTAACTCACCGGTTCGTCATCTGTCCAACATGATCTACGGATTCTCGATGTCGCTTGCATATGCATCGCCTTGAATGATCTCCCAATGAGTGACAGGTTTAGGGCGTCCTACGTGCACCGCTACTCGTGTCGATAAACTTGACTCGTAGTCCATAGCTGTTGTAACCAAGTATCTTTTCTGAAGGTGTTACCCTCTTTTTGACTTAATTTTGTCATTTTTCCCGTATTCCAAAAACCAGATTCCTAATTTCCCAGATTTGAAATTATGGTTCCCACTCGGTACAACGGGAAATGCATGGCTAGAGAAGTTTATGCCGGCGTGGTTACACGGTGGGGTGCTACGTACTTTGATCAAACAGGCCCGGTAGGAAACTGAGGAATAAGGTACAGGGGCAGGACTTTCTTCGTATCTCCGACCGGATGCATGAAAGTATAGCCTCAGGGGAAAGAGTTGAAGAAACTTGCTTTTTCGCGGTTCTGGAATCCTGCCGGGTGAAGGGACCGGCACTATTCGGGCATTGCTTTCTTTTCTTTTCTGTTTTTGCTTTTCATTTTCTGCAAGACTGGGCTCATATCAGCGATCTCCCCGTTTGTTATTGGATGTTGGGACATTACCCTTTTGGGCACATTCGAAAGATGCATGCTCCCAAATCGAAATGGAATAGAACGAACTTCACTCTGCAGTATGTACCGTCGGTCTGGTTTCACTGTATGATCTTCCACAGCTATCCACGCAAGCACGGCTGGGAATCAGGGCTATGTGGGATGCGGGAAGGTCAATTGGGTAATGTAACTAGGGTCTAGTCCAGCATTCCAGTCAATATCCAACCAGTTGGAATTGCCGCGTGCTGAGCTGGCATGTCTGTGCCTCTAGTATGTCGGCTGGGCGGAACCTGGCGGTACATATGGCTGTTGCCAATCTTGCCTACTTCGGTTTGACAATAACCGACTTTTTATCGTTAAGGTTATTTTTTTAGAAGTAGATCCCTGGAACAAGATGAATGCTGCTCGCTCGATGCAACCATGCAACAATCAGCCGAGGTAGTAAATACCTGCGCGTGGTTCATGGCTGTGCTGCGGGCGACATGCATTGGAATGTGAGGCCGGGGTGAGATGGGTTGTTGCTCGAGTCGGTCTGGACTTTCCTGATACTGGGACAGGGACGATAATCGCATTTTCCATCACGCATGCAAACTTGTAACTCAAAATCTCCTCTTCTCATCGGAAAACGTCTCACTCAGAACGGAATTTTGATTGTCATCCGGGGTGAGGTTCCTATCCCTCGCTTTAGGATATGTCTTACATTGTATGTGGGTGTTTTGATGCTGACTCAAACTTAACCTTGAGCTCAAATAGGAAGTGTCTTGGATAGATACTTTCATTTGGGCTGTCCTTGATGCATTTCTGCGCGATTTTTGTAAATCAATAACATCGGGTGCCAATGCAGGTTGATGTCGGTGTAGTTCGGCGACATGGCTTCTATAGCGGTGAACATAATCGATGCTCGGCCACCCCCGCCAAGAGCAGCTTTGACAAGCAGGGCTGTATTAGCACCTTAGGCCTGATGTGACCATTTTTATTATTCAACGATTCAATATAGGCACAATGCTTGCACTGGACATATCAATCAATAATTTCTATGCGTCTTGCATATGAATTTCTGACCCGATGTCTAACACCATTTTGGGGTCTTTGATTCTCGTAGACTATACTGCACACTGTTCCTATATCCAATCCACTGAAATTTGAAGAAATTGCTGAGCAAATCTTCGGGGAAGTACAGATGCTCTTATTCACGGCCTGAACTCTCACTCTGAGTCTTTCGGGGGCATAGAGAATTGTTATCGGTAGATACTGGAATTGAAAGTTGTGACCCTAACCACTTTCTATACCAGCATTGAGCAATATTTCGACACTATAAAAGTGTAGGTAAATCTAGACAAAAGGTCATAGAGCACTGAAATCACGCACAATCAGAACCCCAGATTCATTAACTAACTTTCATGTCTTGATAACCTGTAGCCTAAATTGCCCCTGAAGGTTGTTGAGGAAATCCTCCTATATTTCCCTACATGCCTGTATAGATCAAAGAGTGTTTCGACACCACCATTTGAGGCATTTATAACACTTAACTCAGATGAAGCAACACGTTTCGGACTATTCTTCAGCTAAGAGGATGAAATAGGCCTTGCTATTTCTACCAGAAATATCACACTCAAGGTAAGCAATCAAAACACGGTCACACAAAACCTTATAGAAAAACTTGTCAAATAGGTCAGTACGTAGATTAATTATGCGCTGAAATTCAACACACTGCCTGGCGATCTCAAAGTAGATTTTCAAAGTTCCAAGGTTACTGCTAACCAGACACTGTAATACCATCAATATGTTAGGGACTTTGGTCTTGAAGCTGTTCGGGTGCACCAACACTCGTGGACCACGAATGGAATCCAAGTGAGAAATGAATGATCCAACAAACACAGAGCTACTACTAACCCATATACTTCTATCCTAGCTGGTCATGGTTTGTGACATTCAAACAGGATGTATAATGCAGATCTGTTGCGAAAATTGCGGGCATGAAATCAGTGATAGAATTTCGATGTTGAAGGCTGATTAGAATCATTAGATTCCAATGTGCGTCCCGGGCTCTCATCTGCTTAATTCCCGGCCTTCATGTCATTTAATTTAGAAGTTTGTCATCAAAGTGCCCATGGCTCAGTACTAGTCCAGAATAAGATGGCTTGACAGTTGGCTTATGTCATGAATCACACGTATTTATTTGCGCAATGGCCCGTGGGTCATCTTCCCCCTAAATATTCTGTCAATCATGATCTGGGGTAGACCATGCCCCGCTTGGTCCATTTACCTGACTCGGAGCCTGAGATTCATGAGTTCTCCGCGGCAGAGCAATAGATCTAATAGTAATAGTACTTTCATAAACCCCTGCCCACCACAAAGCGTCTGTGATCGCCCCTTACTATGATGACACGTTTCTATTGGAGTGACATGTTTCATGGACACCAATAAAATATATCAAGCTCAACAGTCTGAGTAAGGACCCTTCAATTCTTTTGTGTGTATCCAATTACTGGTTGCATGTGTGGCTTTGCTCTCAAGTTAGCATCTGTTTTGGCCTCCAGGGCTCCGACTTACTGTGAAGATCTCAGATGTTCATGAACTCGAAGTAATTATCCTATTCTTTTTTACCAGTAACCATCTGACAAGTAAAACATAATACGACCACATTGATTATGAATAGTACTACTAGTAATGACAAAAGGCCACCTGCTCATTCGGCCTCAGGATCGCTACTCGTCCTGGCCAAGTTTCTGTAACTGCTGAGGCATGGCACACTGGTACTTGCGGAAAGCCCGTGTTCCCACATTCTCGTTAAACATCTCATCCAGCTCCTCGAACGATCTACCCTTGGTCTCGGGAATTATAAAATAGACACCGACCAGCGCAACAGCCCCCATAGCTGCAAATATCCATCCAATCTTGCCGCCCAAGTTAGCTTCATCCGTATTGTATAGATATGGGATAGCCACATTCCACACCGTGGAGAAGAAGTAGTTGAAAGTGAACCCAATAGCCATAGATTTGGCACGAAGACGCACGGCGGATACTTCGCCAGCAATAGCCATTGCAGGGCCGATTGCGGGTCCGTAAACCCACCATGAAAGCTGGAGGAATATTCCAACGACCCTGATGAGAGATATCAGATGCCATTGCAAAAAATGGAAGAATTAACACTAAATGTTGACTTACCACAAGGCGTCACTTGATTTTGGGAAACAACCTGCGATGCCCATCACTGTAAAGAAGGTTGTGGAGAGGGAGATGCCGAACATGATCAGCTGTCTGCGGCCAACCTTGGTCATTAGAAAGGCAGTGAGGATGGAACTGGCAATACCAAAACCAATGCCGATCTCAGTCATCATGCCAATCTTGGCAGAAGACATACCAGCCTGGACCAGGAAGTAAGGTCCATTTGACATGAAGCTAGATCCAATGACCTGCTGTAGAGCGTTGCAGAACAGAATGATGCGAGTGCGACGCCAGTTTGTCCCACGGAAACACTCGAGGAAGCTAGTCTCCTTCGATTCAGCACTCCGCGCTTTTTCTTCCTCGTTGACCCTAGTTATCTGGCCAAGAAGCCCAGTGATTTCTGATGATTTGTTGCCCAGTCGAACGAGGGACTTGCGTGCTTTCTCAAGCCGGTTCTTCATGACCAGGAAATAGGGAGACTCGGGGAGGAATGGGAGGAACAGAAGGATCACACCTGGCCAGACCCATGCAGCGGCAAACAGGACCTTCAGAGAGTTAGAATCTGTTGCAACTGTAGATGATCATTTCAATCTTACCCGATAGGCATCCGAGGAGATCATTGACATGCGAGGCAATGCTACAGAAGCAGCAATCATATATCCGAGATTCTGTTTCCAGTTAGCGTCAATCATGTTTCACTACCATACTAGAAATTTGAAGCTTTACCATGCAGAATGTAAAGAAAGACAAGGCAATACCACGCAGTGGAAGTGGGGTCACCTCCGAGATATAGGTTTGCCCAGTGGTTAAACAGATACCCATTGACAGGCCATTTACAATCTTGCCAGCAAGAAAGACACCGGGGGTATGTGAGGTATACACAACGGCCACGCCAGCTGCAGACACAATCGCGGCCAGGAGAAATGAAGCACGCCGACCTAGAAGGTCTTGCACCGGTCCGGCGATGGTTGCCCCGATCATCGTGGCCACTTGTGCCATGGCATTCCATAGAGACTGCCAATATGCTGGAATCACGTATGTTCCGTTGGTCAACTCTCCAAACTCCATACTAGACCTCGATTAGTCTTGCGTCGGTGTTCATCAATAAAAAGAGAGAAACATACGCAAATCCCGGCATTGAAAGGGACAGCGATAATACTAGATTATCGAAACCATACATGAATGCCCCTAGATTACCATAGAGACAGAAGAGAAAGACCCAGGGATTTTGGGCTAAACACTGCCATGCAGTCTGCTCCTGGCATCCCTGCTCATCCTGCATGGTATCGTGTGTCGTAACATTTTCCAAATGGGTGGATTTTAACTTCTGGTCAGTAGTCTCCATTTCTTCGGTCTGTGAGAGATCTTGAAGGTCGACACCGGGGTATCTGAAGGAAACGATGGAAGGAATCAGGCATTTGAAGGCATTCCCCCCGGGTTTTCCCCAGTGTGGGGAAGTTGACGTGGACGGCATTTCCAATACTTGTTCCACTTTGCCTCGGGGTTGGTTGACCCGCCCACTCGGGAATTCCGAGGCTGCTGGAGAAATATTGCGCCTTAAATTTCCCAGGGCTGTGATATTGTGGATTTCTGAGCTGGATCGGGTCAAAAGATGTGAGAATTATACACTGTGAGTCGATCTATTCCAAGTAATGCATCTAAATACCATTTATGAATATTTTATCATTCCCTCTACTTCCTAGCGAAAACAACTTCCTTGCCACCCTCAAAGCGCTGTACCGACACAGACTCGCCAATAACAATCTCAGCTTCTAGGTCGGCAGACACCTTTACCTCCAAGTTTTCTTTGGTCCACGCTATGCTGACATCCCCGGCAGGCGTAACGAATTTGCCATGAGCCGTCTCAAGAAGTTCCATCCGAGGCGCGATGCGAACTCTCTTGAAACCTGGCTGCGCTGGCGATACTCCGAATACTTGCGTGACGATCTCATGGACCGGGCTTGCACTCCAACCATGGCAATCGCTTCGGGCATTGTTTGCATGCTCAGCCCATGTCGTCAGATTGTCTGCAATCATTTGTCGCCACGGTGCCATGAGAGATGGGAAGAGTTTGGTGTAAAGATCGACTTTCTCTACTGCACGGAAGAGATAAAACTGCATAGAATAAGAGCATTGAGCCAGTGTTTTATCTTCTAATGCGCGCAGCATGAGATCCTGGGCGGCATCTCCAGTGACCGCCTCTGAGAGAATTGCGAAGATTTGGCTGTGTTGACTGTACTCCTGTGTGGATGGGCCGTCCGTGTAAATCCCTTTCTCAAAGCAGTGTTTATTAACAGCTTTCCGGAGATCATCCGCTCGAGCACTATACTCGACGGCGGTATCTCTCCTTCCAACAAAGTTGCAGACCTCGGCAGCTTGCATCAGCGCCACGATGTAGAGCAGACTGTTAAAGGTAGCCATCCCAGTGCTTGTATACGCACGTGGCATGCAAGATTCGAAGATTTTGCCCGGTACAAACCACTCGGGCACCCAGTCAATGAACGGCCAGGTGTCTTCGTCAAAGCGACCGACAAGCCCAAGATTAGTAATTCTTTCATCGAAGTGATTGAGAATTCCGTCCACGGTAGCAAGATATCGCCTTGCGAAGGAGACATCGGCAAAGTAGTGCATATGATCGTAGACCATCGCAACCCAATATAGCGAGAATTGAGGAATCTGTTTGCTGCGAAACCCGGCTGGGAATTGTGCCTTGATCAGCCCGTCTGGTCCCTGGCTTGCATGGAATTCTTGCAGTGTTTTCCGGGCAAGTTTATCATCGGATGAGATCTGATAGGAAAAGAGCATCTGGAGTCGGGAATCCGAAGCAAATTGGTTTTGCTCGTAGAATGGACAGTCTTCATATGTCTCGTGTCGACAGTTTTGCAAGGTCCGCAGGCTTATCTTCCAGATCTCGTCCAGTTCAGTATCGGCATGAACATCTGTAAGTATATCTAGAGGGTAGAAGGTTTCCCGAAAAGTAAAAGTTTTCAATATCAAAGGCTCCTCAGTGGTTGTGATCTGGACTTGGATGTATCGAAATGCTCGGAACCAAAACGGTTCAAATGTGTGCTCGGCTTGGCCATCGGCCACAGTATAGATATCCTTCATGCCATAAAGTCGACCATTACTGATATCCGCCCGGTTCGATTTGCTTCGAGGCATAGGGAAGGGAGCGGTTTCGACCCCAAGGTCTTTCTCGTAACATTCAGAGTATAACAGCGTGACAGTAGACCCTTTCCCACCACTGCACTGGAGAGTAACAAATGCTGTGGTCAATGACTCGCAGTCAATGTCAACAGTGATAGTCTGCCCGGACGGGATTTCTATGACGCGATCTTCTTTCAGAAAGCTCGTCCACTGCTCCTTTGCCACTGTACCCTGGCATTTAACGGCTCCATTGAACCGGCCGTGCACTTCAGGGAGTTCTGGAATCGGCCGTGGAGCGAGTTTCCAGGGACTTTGAATGGGAAGCATCTTGACAGGTCGAAATTGTAGTACAGCATCCTTCCAAGCAGAGTCATCGAAATCGGATGATTCCCAACCTGTTAGCTGTGACGATTCTTTCGTTCTTTCGTTGTTTGAAAGAAAAGGAGGGCCCAGAATAAAATTCCACTCGGAATGAGGAACAATTTGTCGTGTAGTTTCCTCCAAGCATTTCCATGTTGTATCCGTAGACAGTGAGAGACCCTATTCGAAAATTTGTTAACCCGATGTCGCCCTGCTCGTCCAAAGCCAGAATAGTACATACCTCGATCTCGCAGTGGAGTAAAAAGCCGGGCAATTCTGTGCTGAGGATCGACGAAGAGCCAGCCATTATAGAAGAATATCGCAAAACACGTGCACTGAGAACATTCTCGCCCTTCACCAGATAAGGCAGAATATCCACCGTTTCAAAGTGCCATCGCTCCATGTAACTCTTGCATGGACCGAAGCTCACGCGCCGGCCATTGACGAAGAGCCTATAGCGACTGTCTGCCGAGACATGCACAGGCAACTCCTTAATATTGTCAGTGCCCGGCCAATGGAATCTTTTGCGGAAGAGAAAGTATCGCCCTGGCTGGTTGTCTTCTTCGTGGTAGCCAGGAGTCCAGATCCATTGGGCCGATTGCGTCCAGTTGAGAGCCATGATGAATGATTGATGTCCAGAAGGAAATTGGAGAGTAACCTTTTTTTTTTTTTTTTTTTGACATGAGGGGTACTGCTAATCGTCTATCTCCAGTCTCTGCCCCCGCACTGGTGCGCGATGTTCAGAAGTCGGGCTTTCCGGGGTAGAAATGTGGAGAGCCGCTGCCGATGCTCGGGTTTCCCGCTCGGTAGATTTTGCCCCGAGATATCAAGAGCCGAGAGAGCCCCGGAGATCGGTAAATCTAGCCCACTTAACTTGAGTCTAGGCTACAGCGAAATGACGAAGAATGAAATAGAAAAGTGGATATTAACTCAAATTGCATTTGGGACCGTTTCCGTTATTTCCAAACCCGCAAACCAAAAGCCAACCAACCAACCCCAAACAAAAAAACTCCTGTACAAGATGGTATCAAATTTGAACCCACAACCCCCTCCAGAAAAAGAAAGAGAAGAAAAAAAATGAAACTGTGCCCCAGATAGTACAAACAAGAAAGGCAGTTCGGAAAAAGGATAGTAGGGAATGGGAAAAGGGATGAAAAAAAAAAACCAAAAGCAAGATTTTTGCGAAACGCCAGCCTCTTAAAAAGTCTCCGCGATGCCTCGTCCCTGTACATCCCCCCCCCCCAAAAGAGTCAAAACAAAAGAAGCAATTGGACTTGAAGGAGCGAAACCGTCGTGCTGCAACAAGTAACCAATGCCATGCGAATTCCGGTCAGATATGTGTTCCATAAGTCAAATCGAGTCAAATTTCCATTCATCAAGTTGTAAATCGAGTCGAGGGGATTCATGCTGCCATCAATTAAGATCAATTCCCCATCCCGTTGTGCATCATGCTTTGCTGCATCTGCTGTTGCATGGCCGCCTGGGAGTTTCGCTGCTGCTGCGTAGCTTCTCGTTCGCGTCGCATGAGGTCCTGAACCCATGACTTGGCGGTCTTTTCCAGCCCAGCCCCGTATTGCTGGGCAATGTGGGGTGGATATTGGGTAGGTGGGCCATATTGTGTCATGAATCTTTGGGACATCTCGTGGCGCAGGTGTAGTAGCCGTTGCTGATACAGTCGGTTGTATCGCTGAGCCATATTGTTGGCGCCTTGCATGTTCGGAATTTGTCCTCCATTGGCCTGCGCGGCTGCCATCAACATTTGCTGTTGTTGCGGCGTCATTTGTGGGCTGCCTTGATGCTGGTTCTGTTGACCCTGAGACATTTGGCCTTGGGACATCTGTCCCTGCATCTGTGGTGCCTGTTGCATTTGACCCTGGGACATCTGTCCCTGTGGCATTCCACCCTGCTGCTTCACCATCTGCATCTGAGCAAATTGGGCCCGCATGAGTTGCGCCTGGTATGCCTGTTGGTTCTGCATGTTTGGCATGTTTTGCTGTTGTTGCGGGAGTTGCTGCTGCTGCTGATGTTGAGCCTGCTGCTGCTGCTTCTGCTGGGCCTGTAATATCTGCTGCTGTGAATGTATGTTTTGCTGAGCATGTGCGCTGGCCTGCATTTGGGCAAGCTGCTGGGGTGTAAATTGACCGTTCATTTGTCCCTGTTGAGCAGCGAGCATCTGCTGTTGTCGCTGCTGCAGCAGCATCTGTTGTTGCGGGGTGAGTCCAATAGTACCATTCATCTGCGGTGTATTCGCCATAGTAGCCTGGCTCATCATTGGGGTTTGTTGTGGCATTGTATGAGTAGGGCTGCCGTGGTTCATTCGCTGAGTTGGTGTAACGTTGCGCATGATAGGCGTGGCATGTGCCATCGCTGGCGTACCCTGGGTCATTTGAGGCGTACCGTGTCGACTTGCTCCCTGTTGGCTCCGGGAAGGCGCCATAGGGTGGCCCATGACATTCGGGTGGCCGTGCTGCATGGACGACGGGGGGCGCGGCGGGCTTCCCGATTGCTGGGATGCGCTGATGCTCATAGGAACAGCCTGCGTTGCCATATTGTTACCAACCAATGGTGACGATGTGTTATGAGGAGTTAGATTGCGTACAACTGGGGAGGACTGTTGTCCCTGGCTCACGCCGTTGGGCTGGGCCATGGCGTGGCGGTTCTGAGCGGCAAGTTGGGCTTGGGCTTGTTGAGCTGCGAGTTGCTGCCTTCGCGCTTCCTCCTTTGCATGTTCCTCGTGCTGGCGTTGCTCAAGAAGTTTTCGTCGTTCCCTCTCCTGCTCCTGCTGCTGCCTCTTGGCGAGCTCCTGCTTCAACTTCATCTCGTGCTCACGCTTGGCCTTCTCCTCATGTTGCATCCGGATTGTTTCCAGGGTCTTGAAGCGCGAGAATCGAGGCTCAAACGGTGCCACACCCGCCGCATCATCCACAACAGCAGCCTTTGAGCCACCGCCAGCCCCCGAAGCTGTTGGTTCGAGCCGCTCATCCATGATAAGCATGAACCTCTCTTCTTCGGCGGCGAGTGCTTCGTCGGCAGCGAGCTCGGCAACGGTTCTCTTACGGCGCTTGGGCGACGGAGGTGGGTTGGAGTGAAGCGGGCTCTCCATAGCTTTGAGCAGGTCTTGTGAGGCCAAAAAGCTGTCTACGGGCTCCAAATAAAGTGGAGGTGCCAGAGCCCGCACAATTAGTGCCTCGCATTGCGGAAGATCTTGTGGTTCAACAAGGGTCTTCTGCCGTTTTGCATCATGGCCACGATCGGCCTGTGTGGCTGCGGGTGACTGCGGGACGACGGAGGATGATTGAGTTCGTGACAATTGGTTCTGAGCCCCTGCCTTCGCGGCTTTCGGATCAGGGGTTGTCACGAGCAGAGTCAGCTCTGCTTGCAGCGTACGCGATGTGGGGTGCAAAACAGTGGTGAACACTTTAGGCTTCGGTGCAGCAGGTTTCTGTTCAACCTCGTTGATTTTAGCCTGAGCTTCAGAGGTTTCTCCAGTAGTCTGGCTTTCGGACTGGGACGGTGTCTCTGGCGCCTTTGAGCTTTGTAGATCGGTGGTGAGTTGGTTCTGTTTCGGGTAGGGGACAAAGGCAGATGGAGTAACATGCTCATTGTAGTTGTGGAGAGAGAAAGGGGTATTGTTTTCGTTGGTTTTTGACGTAGACGTCTTGTGAGCTTGTGCCGACATAGACTTATGATCAACCACTCGAACGATGAGGCAGCCTATACGATCAGCATGTCATTCGTAAAACCAATTGATCAAGAAACAGGATCTTACCTTCGTAAAAGCGCACGCCCGAACGTAAAAGTTCCTCGATTAGATCATGGGGGACAGTTCCGGCGCGAATATGCTCGATAATGACTTTCATCTCCGAATTGTATGGAAAACTTCCGTCTTGCTGTTCGAATCGAAAATGTGTTGGATGAAGATGTACAATGAGGGATGGCGGTGAATTGGAGTATTTCTTTAGAATGTAGGACGTGGTTTTCACTGAGGCGCAAACAAAGGGTAAGGTTAGTATGCCAGTTTGTGCATAGGCATTGGGGGGCAATCGCAAGATATTTCTCACCAAATGGTTCAGAATGGCTTTTCCCAACCCCATTTTCGTTGCCATTGGTGCTTGTTCTTGTCACTGGTCGACCAAAACGCGAGGAAGGGTCACCCGGTCTTTGCGACTGGTTCCGAGTTCGGTTGAGAGGGCCTTTTGCGATATTCGCTCCATTCGCCACGCCATTGCTAAGATTGGGACTTGATGTAACGGAGCTGCTTCCCGGAAGGCGTGTAGATGTTGCGGGTGGAGAGGATGACGGTTGTTGGGCCTTGAGTCCGTTGGCTCCGACCTGGGGGAAAGGCGGGGGCGGCCGCTTCATCTTCGGGGGAAGTGAACCGGGCTTTGAGACCGCAGTGGCCATTTTGGCGGGGCTGGCTGCGCTACCGGAGTGATTTCAGCGGTTGAGTATGCTCTTTATTGGTAAACCGATTTGAGGATGCTGGATGAAAGCCGGGGACCGAGAAAGAATGGGATAGCCGATGCGCGAGACATGTGGGGATCGGTCGGTCGGCCCTGGTCACCAACGCAGCGAAGTCGATGGGGAATAAGTGTAGCCAGCAGTCCAAGACGCCTAGGAAAAGAGAGTGAGAGCGGCCATCCAACGATGTCGCGAGGGAGTCGGGTTCCGAAGAAGCGCTGGAGGGGAGTCGTGCAACGGAGGTCTGAGTATCACGCCAAGCCGCCCCGAGACGTGAGTGATGTATGGCACGTGACCTGTCTGATGGGCCGAAAGCGGACTAGTGGGTTGCTTCCCAAAAAGGTAATTCCTATACAACCATTGGAGAGAGTATTGTAGGTGGACCCTACATTCAATTGATTGAGGGTTTTTTCTCTCTTGATACGAGGAATACTCTGAGTATTATGATTTGGTGGCTATCTCTTAGACAGTTTATTCATTATATGAGCTATGGAATGGCCAATCGAGAACACAGCCGATGGGATAGAGCGGATTATAATCAAATCGCGCGTAGCAAGAACAGGGATCATGATAACAGGGGAATCGAAGGCGCAAAATCGTCAAGAAGGGGCAAAATATAGACATGCAAGTATGGCAAATATCAACATCAACGTCGTTTGGAAGGCTCGGGCAACCACACTAGTCCAAGCCGCTGACCCGGCGTCGCCAGTCGTCACCAACACGGAGAACGTCAACGACATCAATGCGCTTTCCAATGCCAGTTGTGCCGTCCTTTTGCCACCAGCGCTCTCCCTTATCGGCAAGAGCGGACTCGTCATCACTGTCGATGAGTCCGCCTCGGCCGCCCTCATCGCCAACGACAACAACGACCTGTCGGACCCATCCGGAGATGTGCTGGACAGCCTCGCCCTCGCCTTCGTTGCCAGTGAGAGACTCCTGGACATAGACGAGATCGGGGGCAAGGTGGCGCACAAGGTGCACATAACCGGTTGCCGTGCTGAAAGGCATGATCATGTTCTCCTTTTCAACAAGTGCTTGGGCCTGAGTGTACAGAGTCTTGAAGAAGGGGCTGTGACTCTCAAAGTCGTCATCTTGGCGAGGCTCTAGGGCTTGGAGGTCCCTGCTTGGCAATTCACCGGATGAGTTCGCCTCTTCCGTGGCAATGTTCGAATAAGACGACGCGATAGATTGGGTGGCACGCGATGAGCTGCCTTGGCCAATCGCATGCTTCACTTCAGGGGCGTAGATCAGAACAAAGATCCGAGACGTATCCAGATCAACATGTTCTGGTAGATGGGATAAAATAGACTGGAGTTGTCAGTAAAAGTGCCACCATAGACTAAGTAGAAACTGGGAGTTAGGAGGGGTAGTGCTTACGGCGTGCTCCGAGGCAAACTCATCTGAATCAGCAGGGGAGAGAGATGATACGACAATGACAACCGTCTTTTTCTTCTTGTCGACGGGGTGCTGGCCAGAGACAGGTCCACGATTTGGCAGCGCACCACTCATTGTTGGAGTCTGCTGACCACCAATGGCGCGAGACTGAGCCTCTTCGGACCATCGCGAGTGATCTTCAAAGTCGCCACGGTTTTCCTCGCGGATGGACGTGAGCGCATTTCCAACGAAAGCACCGGCAGCTGTCACACCAGCTGCGACTTTTCGGCTTGCGCCGTCAAAAATCTGCTGGGGGCTGGGAGTTCGGCGCAAAGCACCCTGCATGCGACCCATGAAGGTGGGATCATATGGGGTATCTCCGGGACTTCCGTCCACGTCTGCACTTCTTGCATAGCCCTCCGAGGCATATGATGGAGGAGGGAAGTCGCCGCCGATGGGGCCGGGGGTGGTGGTGGGTAGGGGCTTTGTCCGTCGTGGGGGCGGCGATCGTCTTCCTCATCGTCGTCTTCGTCTCGCTCACTCCATATCCAGGCGGCAACGCTCAATGTCGCAACACCAACGGTAAGCGCGAGAGGAATCCAGTAGCCCATAGCAGTTCGGCGCCCCGTCGAGCTGAACCCAGCACCAGCACCACCACGACGGCGGCGAGGATCCTGGGGGAAAGACATTATGGCGAGGGAGGGGTGTTGATATTAAAGATAGGGCATGCAGAAATGATCAATCGCGGTCGCAGTCGGGATCGCCTGTCACATTTCACTTCTCATGCAAAGAAGAAAAGGAAGGTGGAGGTGGAGAAGGTAAAGGGAAAGGGAAAGCTGAACCTCAACCTCGGCGTGGCTGGCGTGGCTGGGGAAGTGGTTGGTTACCGCGGTGTTTACCTTGTTGTTTACACTGTTTGTCTCTTAAGTTATGGTGGAGGCGGGTCATATCGGCACGTGATTCGAAAAAAGCGGCGGGTTGCGATTGGAGTCATCGGGGCTCTTTGTCCATTTCACATAGCAACTGTCTGAGAAGAGTCCGTTCAGCTATCCAGCTACGGTATCACTGTTCAATCTCATTCCAGGAAGCTTCCTGAAAGCTTCTTTTACATCAGCAATTCCCTCTACGCATCAGCAAAGGGACTTTCGGAGAAACATCCCCACCCCACCACCACCACCTCCTCGCGGGGCTCATACAATCTATACTCTAACCAGTCTTGATCTCTTCGAGAGTCTCTGTTGGACTTTTAATCAAAATGCCTGTCCCCGCTTTGGGCTTCCAGGCCCTCGTTCTGGTGCGCTATTCCCATATTTTCCTTCTCAATTGGGTTGACTTTTGAGGCTTTTGCGGACTAACACCGAATAGTGTGGACCTGGTGTCTCGCTCACGCTCGCTTCAAAGCCAGAAGAACTACCAAAGGCTCTCATTAATGTCGCCAATCGACCCCTAGTATTCTATGTTTTGGATTGGTGAGCTTCGTTCTCCATACTTTGCTTTCCAAGGCATATCGCTAACTGGGACTATCAGGCTGAAGAGATCTGGTGTCTCCGGTACGCATCATCGATCGAGTCACTAAGTGGCTACGCGAACCTGGAACTAACAACCTCAATAGATATCACGTTGATCACACCTCCCTCCGCCGCTCCTCCCCTCCAAGCTGCCCTCAAACAAAACCAATACCTAACTTCCCTCCCCTCGCCAACCCCGACAGTCCTTGCGCCCAAGGACCTAGAATTGGTTACCGGTACCGCCGAGCTGCTCCGTCTCCCCGAAGTTCAAAACTGCATTAAAACCGACTTCCTCCTCCTTCCCTGCGATCTGATCTGCGAAATCCCCGGCGAAGCCCTACTCGAATCATGGATGGTATCACAAAGTGCACTTGGTGGTTCTTCTACACGCGAAGGACGCTATGCTGATGGCCCTGTTTCTGGTCCGGGGGGTGAGCAAGGAGGTCGTCGTGGTGGGTTGGCTGTCTATTATCCAACACAGGGAAGAGAGGAGAGCGTCAAGGGCGAAGCCACTGATTTTGTGGCCGTTTCGCCGCTTGGCACGGATGATGCGCCCGCTGTCAATGGACCTCGAATCCAGCTCGATCAGCTCGTCATGTCTATGCCGATGGATACGGTGAAGGAGAAGATGGAAAATGACAAGGGCTTCCTGGTCCGTCATTCACTTGTGGAGAAGCATGCCCAGGTCAAGATGCTTTCGACATATCGGGATGCTCACCTGTACGTGTTCCCTTACTGGGTCAAGGATCTTGCGCGCCATCAAGAAAAGTTTCAGTCCGTCAGTGAGGATCTGATCGGCTACTGGGCCAAGGCTGAATGGCAGCGAGGACTGGCGGAAAAGATCGGAATTAACAAAGTCCTGGCTCCCAAGGCCGATGATGCGGAGGAAAATGGAAGCAACGACGGTGAATCTCTGGAGGAAGAGATTGATCTCCAGGCCATGAGCACCACCAAGAGTGGTTCAACCGTGACTCCCACTCTTGCTCAGGATGAGCTTCCGTCGCCCACTTTCGCCTCGCGGGTGAAGGCCCCGTCTAATAACAAATCCGAAGAAGAGACCAAGATCCCGCCAATCCTCGCCTACGTGCAAAAGGGCTCCGCACCTTTTGTCCGTCGTGTTGACAGCTCCGCAATCCTGCTGTCCACCTCTCTACGTCTTGCCAAGCTACCTTCCATCGACGAGGTTGGCCGTCACGCCGCCTCCCCTCTCGCACATAGCAAGAAGATCGCCTACCCGGAGGGTGTACCTAAGCGTTGCACCGTGACGGAATCCGACTGTCTGCTCGACATCAACGTAACGATTGAAGAGTTTGCCGTCATTAAGGAGTGCTGCATTGGCGAGGGTGCCAAGATCTGCAAGGGCGCACGCTTGTCCAAATGTGTGATTCTGCCTTATGCCGTTGTTGGTGAGAAGGCCGTTGTGACGGGCACTATTGTGGGCCGACACGGCAAGATCGGTCGAGATAGTGTTCTCAAGGACTGCGAGGTTGATAATGGCTTCGTGGTTCCGGATGATACTGATGCGAAGGCTGAGAAGTTCATGCACTTTGGTGGCCTGGATGGTGAGGAGGATGGCATGGACGTCTCTGGGGACTTTGATGATAACAGGTCCGACCTGGGCTTTTAGTCGGGTTTGGATACATTTGAGATGAAGCTTTTTTTTTGTTTATTATACCGCCATGTGTGATGAGATAGACCAATGACCAAAATTCATGGATGCAACCGGCTACCATTCAACTCTGATTCATTGAGTACCTAGGTACGTACTAGTAGTAGGTAATATTTTTACCGTATTCCAAGGTGCCTTACAAGTCCTTCCCAGGTGCCAGTGGGTATACTATACCCCAGTAACTACTAGTAGTACTACTTCCCTAAAATCATCCATAATTGACGCTACATAGCAGAGCCACCTCGTCAAAAGTCCGAGTTTACTCCAGCCCTGAAGTCAAGGTCGACCCTGGTCTCCATTGCTGGGGCATAGATAGTCTCGGTGACAATTTAGCTCACGGCCCGAGTACAGCATCGCCAGATCATGGGGTCTGTCGACGGGATTAGCAACACGGCCACTGACAGATCGTATACGGTCCACTCCAGGGATCGAAGCGATGGACGTGCGTTCAAGTGGCACAACGCATGTATATGTACTATAGCTGCTTCCCCAAAGTTGATCGAATATTCGACGCAGCGGGCACGGTACTACTAGAGGAGCTAGTGAAATATTTATGTGGTACTTATAGGAAAGATTCCCACCTTGGCAACTCGGGGGGAATTTTCCAATCTTGGGACCTTTGTATATGTGATCATGATGATAGACGAGTAGTATTTTTGATGCGCACTCCGAGTCGTGCTTTACTACTGATACAGTGACACGGGACGCAAGTTGATAGATAAAATTACTACTAGCAGTAAAACTAAAAAATAAGATTCTTAATTGACTCAAATCCATTAGGAATACGAACCGAGAATAGAGTTTGCTGTTGCTGACCGAAAAGGGCCATTCTCCAGGTTGCAGTCCGAGTCGGTACCAAGTTACAATCCGGGATAGCCAGTGGGCTATAGCATAACATATAATAACACTTGGGCACTGGCATACTAGCATAGCACATAGACCCATCAGATGATTCAATTGATTGAGTGGTACGAGATCTGAAAGTCTGTCGTGCGACTACAGGCTTCAAAGATGGCCTAATCAGATATAGTTCATGGGTCAGTACTCCATCCTCCGTACATCAACCACTGACCTCACTAGCAGACCCCCGCTTCGGTCGAGTCCCGGGAGCGAGACGTGATTGTCGTTACTCGTCCAGGGCTAACGGCGTCGATCCCGGACCCGCTTCACTGGTGATTTGACAGCTATGCGGGAGACGGATGAATTGCGCGTCTGTACTCGTACTTGTAGCCCGGACTTTTGTTGTTTGTATTTGGTCTCTTTGGGCCACTTGCTTGGTTTTTTGTGGGGGGTGTACTTTATTTTGGTTTTCCACATTTTCTTTAGTGGTGGGGTCGTGGGTGTTAGTGAGGGTGCGTGTCGTATGATCATCGGGCGACTCGGGTAGTTTAACTCATAATAGAAGATTCAAGTTGTTAGGATAAAGGGGAGGGGAGGGGAGGAGAGGAGAGGGGGGGGGAGATGATGTTGAATGAGGTAAGGTGAAGACCTCGGTTTACTTTGATGGCTTTGCAGGAAAGTAAAATGACAAAAGGACTGGGGCATACTTGAAGAAACAGTAGACCAACCCCAATTGGAGGATCGAAATTAAATTAGGGTTCAACTACGAATGGAGTATTCATCAAGACCAAACCGACCTCATTTCTCCAGACAGATGTCTGATCTGGGGCGCTAGTTAGGGATTGGCGAAACCTGCTGGGATACGATATTCACAGGCATCACATTAATCAGTCATCGAATCCGTGACTCGGGTAACAGTGTGCACGGCCTCACGACCATCCAACGGCGCGATCCTCACAAAAGTCCAAGCCCAAGCCCAAGCCCAAGCCAAACCCACCCCCTCCACCTTTCCCCGGACCGGGATTTACAAGTGGATATTATATTAACCTCGCTTGCCCAGCTGAGAATGAAAGCCGCCTGGCTGATGCATTGTCGTAATTTCCTTGGCCGCGGATCTCATCTCCACGAGATTGCACAGGTACTTTAGCGTCCAGGGCACTGGGCAAGTAGGCTCCGCATTGAGCAGCATGCATTAGAATGATGGCGCGATGCCGCAAAAGGCAATGAAAAGCGGATACACGGGTCCAGGAAGCGATTCAAGCAAAGCCCGAGGAGGGGAGGGGAGAGGAGAGGAGAGGAGAGGAGAGGAGAGGAGAGGAGAGGAGAGGAAAGGGAGGATGGAACGGAATGGGATGGGATGGGATGGGATGGGGTGAGGTGAAATAAGGTAAAATGATAACCCATTCACAAGGCATTCCAACGGGTTGAACACGAGGTTGGCGCATTCCGCGCCGACCTGTCGATCAATCTCCTGTACCTACAGAACGTAAGCAAGGCCTGCAGCAGGATGCTGTCAAAGCGAGGATGACTATGTATGTACTCGTACATACATACGTACTCCGTCGAGCAAGGAATAAGAAGAAAATCTAGGAAATCCGAGTCAATTCTGCGAGTTGCACGTACGGGGCAGAAATGGGAGAAATATGGATTGTGGACTGTGGATTGTTCATGTTGTGGGCCCAAGATGAATTGAATGATTTGCGGGCTCCGACGCCTCTCCGCGACCCTCAATTCCATCTAAAGGAAGCGCTAAATCCCTCGGCAGCGACGAAAAACAAAGATCGCATCCCGCATCGGAGAGGCCAAAGAGCTAATGCGGCGAGTGAGCCGAATTGTGGATATGCGAGGTAGAATGGTGAACCAGTCAGGGATGGATGGGAGGGATGGGATGGATATTAGGGCCCCCTCATGTTTCCGATTGCTTCCCGCAATACGATTTTTTGGCCCCAGTACTCCGTAGAGAAGGCTTTCTATGTGATGTTTGTCCCACTGCAGAAGGATGGGATGGGCTGGGGGGGCAATGTCGATCACGCGGGAAGTGTTATTGGTGTGGTGGATCGCCGTGGTTTGCAGCAGTGGAGACTCAAAAGAGGGGGCGCGGAGATAATTTAGATGCGATAAGGAGTTACAACTTTTGTTCGGTAGAAGAAGAAAAAAGAGAACACGAAAACGAATGGCCCCGCTGTGTGGGCTGGAAATAGATGTAGATATAACAAGTGCCCACGGTAGCTCGGGAAGCCCGTAGAAAGTTAGCTAATATTACTCGTATGTAGTATGCAGATGTGTATGATCAATAGATCTGGGTCATCTTGTTTGACACCAAGACATCTGGAGATGAAACGTGCGCAACTAAAAGGAAATCGGAAAGCGGATCAGCTGAAATGAAACCGTGTGGAGAGCATCAAGCTCGGGTCCGTCCCGACATGATAAGACGAGGCGTCGGTGGCACGAACTGCTCGGTCAGCCCATGGTTGACAATCATGTCAGTTCTGCATGAGCTAAATCCCGAGCGATGGTATCATTATACATGAAGGTGGTAATCAGTCGTTCTCATTCTTGTGATGGATCTTTCCATCCGATCCGATCGAAGCAAACGGAATCCTCGAGTCCCGCCGGGTTGCAGATTGCCTCGACCTCGCACAGCACGGGGAGATGCCTTCAGCCTCATCCCCAATCTCCTTAGGGGTGCATGCAGGTAAGGGGAGGATGACGGAGTCAATTATGGGGGGGGGGGGGGAGCTGTGTAGAGCTGGCAAGCTGGCAAGCAGCAAGCAGCAAAGCAGTTTCAGCCGACGGGTACCTGGGTTGCAGTGGCCGCGTTCCATGGAAAGGCGTACCAAACAGTGGAAAGTGGGAAATGAAGTGGGAGTGGGAGTGGGTGCAATTGGGGGATCTGCCGGTTATCAACATTCCATATTCCACTCCACTGGGATAAGAGTATTGTTATACTCGTAGTATGACTATAGTCTTGCTATAGTACTCGTATTGATATACGATGATCAATATGAAAAGATTAGTGATCCCTTGGGCACTGGCAATCTATTTGTGTGGGCAACATTCCAGCGATCGCACGTGCGGTGCACGGAGCCGCCTGATGTTTCGCCGAACGCTTGTGGATTCGCGGTTGGCCGTGGAGAAAAACGCCGTCAAGGATAGCGTTGCACTTAGCGTTAGTCAGTCGCCAATCGCGGGACACTGGAGAGTTGGCTGTAAATTGATGGGATGATGGGATGATGGGATAATGGGAGTAGATGCAGATATACAACCGAACCGGTGTTGTAGTAGTAGTAGAAACGTAAACCAGAGCAAACTAGAGTGACCGCAATAGCTGACTATGTGCAGGAACCATCGTACTTCCGGTGAGAGTGGTGGGAGGTGGGACTTTTTGACAGAAGGCTATGCTGGTGGGTGGTTGGTGTGGAGGAGCTGATTGGCATTGGGTGGACCCCAAAGGTTTAAGGGGGCATGCGAATACATCCGAGAGAACACCAGAACACTACGAAGTAGAATAACAAGAGGAAATAACGATTGAGCGGTTGGATTCTATTCTTGAGAGTCTGGCGTTATTTATCATATTCTTCTCTTTTCTCTCTCTCTCTCTCTCTATCCCTAAAACCCCAAAGTGGAGGAATGCCAAGTAATCCTAGTCCTAGCATAACCTCTCCTTAACCGTGTGTCTCCCTATTCCTAGCAGTCACCACACCACTTCTCCTCTTCCTCTCTTCCTCTCTTCCTCTCCTCCACTCCCTCTCTCCCATCTTCCCCTTCCCCAGTCCAGACGAACGGCTTCTTTCTGGCCCTTCCAAGGATCTGGTTTTATTCTTCGGGGCCTTCTTTTTTTTCTTTTCCCTTTTTTCTTTCTTGTACATCTCCCCCGACACTTTCTCTCTCCCCTTTACCCCAGAGGGTCTCCGGTCTCCCCCTCTCCACCACCACCAAATCTGACCACCTTTCGTTTCTTCCAACTCGCCTGGTTTCGAGTCTACTGCATTTCATTCGCATTCAGCGTCTCTCTTTCTCTCTTCCCCATCTCCTTTTTTTTTAATTGTTGTACAACATAGTTTATGTTCACGCTACTTAGAACAGGTAGGATCCTCACTCTCTTCCCCCCCCCTGGCTGACGCGTTGCTCATATGCACCCTCCCCCAACATCCACGAAAAATTAAAATCACAACCTCTGCCTGGTCTCCTTTTCTTCCCATCGATCGTCATCTTCATCTTCATCTTCATCTTCACCTTCACCTTCAACTTCAAATTTGTTTTTCATACCAACCATTCAAATGCCGCCATGACCGACTGACATCTCCTCCGTCTTAGCAACCCGCCCCATTTCGTCCTTGACGATTTTCCATCGGTGCCCCCGTTCTTCCACGAGTTGCATTATCGAGAGTCTGGTCCGACCGGGACACTCGTGTGATTCCTCTTGACACTCGTTGACACCGAGAACAATATGGCTGCGTTGGTTCAAACGATCCCCCAACAGAGTGGCACGGTTCCTGTGCTCCAAACGCGTCCTTCCTCCTCCTCGGGCACCTTTGTCGGCCCTTCATCCCAGTCGTCGGCCTCTCGTTACCAGAATATGTCGTCGTGGGGCTCCTTTAACACGAGCAACACCGGCGGATATCGAGCCGGTAACCCCGTGGTGGCCCCCTACGCCTACACCTCAAACCTGGCTCAGTCGTCCAACACTCAACATCGCCAGTCCTGGTCCCCCCCATCTTCGCCCGGAGCACCGTACCTTCTCCGCCCCCGTCATCACTCACGGTCAAGGGAATCCCTCATATGCCGGTGTCGCCTCGCGAAACGTCAATCCTGCAGCTGGTTCTGTATCAACTTCCTCCAACCCTACCTTTCACTCCCACATCTCCAAGGACGACAGTGCCCTCCCCTCTCTAGGCAACCGAGGCCCGACCAGCCTCTCCGTCCCCTCTCCACCGCCAACCTTCCTACTCCCTCCGTCATGACCATCTCTTCCCCCGCTGGTTCGGCCAAGCCATCCCCAAACCGCTACCGCCGGCCTAATCAAACGGCTCGTTCACAATCACCGGTCCCGGCGTCGTCCCCGGTTTCTCCTCCAACAGATGACCAGACAAATGCTACGACGGGCCTTCGTACCCCGCGATACAATCCACATCATCGAGGTTTAAGTGCGGATGATACGTCTCATGCGGATAAGCAACAACCAGATATGGCCAAACGGTACCGCCGTCGGAGTTTAGGAAACATGGACCCCAGTACATACCCTGACCTAAACCTCCAACTGCCCGTTTCTTCATCCCCGCCAACCCTGTCTGGTCCCTACGACTTTATCTCATTCGAAGCGAACCAGCGGCCCCGTTCATCCCATTCTCACCGTACCAGCTCAGGAAGTCAACACTCGGCAAATTCCTCGACCTCATCGGTACGTACCTCCAAGCAGCAATGCTCACACCAAACCAATCAAGGGAGAGAGGGAAAAAAGAGTTCAAAATCTAATCGATATCTACTGCAGGTTCGCGAGGGATCATCGCCCGAAACTAGCTCTGTCAATAGCAAGACTGGCAAGCCCGAAGAAAAACGAGTGGCCAAGCCTTCTCCCTTATCCCAGCCCGCATCCACAACTCCCGATTCCCCAACCACCGAACACGAGACCGACGATAAAGAAAACATTGCTTCCTCGCCGCCAGCCGACTCGCCGGCCGCTAAACGCCTGACGGAACTTAAAAATGAATCTTCGAAGAGGCCTGGAAAGTCACGTTTGCGACGTGCATTCTCATTTGGTAGTGCCTCTGAGCTCCTGAAGCAATCCAATGCTACCAAACGGGAAGCCATTGCGGCCGAGAAGGCTCGCCAGGAGGCCCTTCGGGAAGAACTTGGAGAGGAACAAGCAGCCATCGCAGCCCAGCAAGAAGCCAGTGGTCTAGGCGAAAGTATCTATAGCACTCAAGGAGGTCTCTTCTCTCGGTCAACCGATGCTTTGTCTGTGTCATCTACTGCTTCGTCGGCGTCCATGATGCTTCGTAAGATGGGCAAAGGCGTTAAGAAGTCAGGTCGTTCTTTGGTCGGCCTCTTTCGTCCCAAGTCTGTCGCCGATGTCGAGGGTGCCATCAACCCCATCACCCCCGAAATCTCCGTCGTCAATGTTGAAGCAGAGCGAGAGAGCGTCACAGTCAACGCAGACCCGGCCGACCTCCCTCGAGGCGGTACTGTTTTCCCCAAGGTGAGCGATGGCAGCAACTTGGATGTTAGGCGATCTGCCTCGATTCGGGAACGAGATCAAAGAATTGTGTCGGATCCTATCCCCCCCAACTCGCAAGAGTATTATCGGTGGAGACTCGGAGCGGGCCGCTATTCTCGGCGGTATCAAGAGGGGCATTTTGAAGAAAACGCATTCCGATCTGGGTGTCTCGTCGCCTGCACACGCATTGAACGGCAACGATTCACCGCACTCCAGTGCCCCGACTACCCCCGATGAGTCCGGACGAGCCCGTCAGACTGATCATGTCAAGATTGCGGGCGAGGACTACTTCCTGACCGAAGGTGGACGATACAATTCTACCGACGCTAAGAGCGCCCCCATCACTCCCCAGTCGGTGGCTGGGAGGAATATCGCTTTCAGCCCTCGCATCCAGTTTCATGACACCTGGCCTAGTGGCGAGTATGACCGCCGAGGTGAAATTGCGACTTGCAACCGCCTCACTCCTCTGCTTGCCCAACAGATCCGGGAGGAAATTAACAATTTCAAAATGGTAAGGCACCCACAGCACGATACGACAGAATCCTCAGCACCAAGACCCAGGCTAACAATGATTAATAGGAGATGGAGGTTCACGAAAACTCCAAGATTTACACGCACTTCATTTGAAACTGGCCGGGGTTCTCTTGCGTGGCCAGCTTCCCGCTGGTCAAGTCTTGCATCCTTGTCCATAGATCTGCATAAACTTCGGCGATTTGGTGGTGTTTGATGGTTATTTGCGTGTGGGGGTGATCGACTATATCGACGGATTATCGGTCTCCATTTAATGCCGACCCTCGTTCCGGTGTCTCTTTTCCTTTTCTTCTCGTGGTCGTGGATTATGCGCCCAACAAAATGGTGTGGCTTGTCTGCAAATCTTGGTTGTCTTCATGCCGCAGCCCTCCGTTTTCTGCCTCGACCCTCGCCATTTGGCGTTGATCTAATGAATGTTGTCCCCCTTCCCCCCTTTAACATCTATCGGGCGCGGCGGTTCTTGTTCATCTCACTATTTTTTCTCCCCTTTTGCCTCTTTCTGGTTCTTGCCTTGCTCTTCCATCCTCCTCGCCAGCTTCTGTCCTTTCCGCATGCATCTGAAATCATTGTCATCGAATATTGGGAGCGTGGGCAACTGGGCAATTTCTTTTTTTTTTTCTAGCACATCATTTTCTCTCCATGGTCATGTCTCTGGGCCCGCCGTTTTCTTCTCTTTTCCTTCTCATTATCCAGCTCGTCTGAATGCAACCCGAGCCTTTGCATCTGCGCCCATCTAGCATCTCCTCTATTTGTATCCTCTTCGGCTTCTTACCCACCCTCTCCTTTCATCCATCCCCTGATTCAATGCAGGCATGGTGAGGCGGTTGAGCCCTGCATCGACAAAATATTTGATCTTTTTCCTTTTCTCTTTGTCCGGTGTTCTGTCTTCGTTGTTTTCGAGATCGATCCGATGGCGTTCTTTACTGCTAAATAAATCACTTGACCCTGCCATGTCTACTCTATATTCCGTATACTTCGTACACTTTGCATCATTTATTAACCTCGGCCGACCTCGGGACTCCATAGAATGCGCTGTCATGTACTCCGCACTTAGCACTATGTACGAGTATGGAGTACCTGCATCGCCTGCATAAAATTCAAGTTCAATTGGCAGAAATACCCCTGAGCTTGCGCGTGTGCAATTTCATGGGGCGAGGCGAGGTCCTAGCGCTCGAAACAGATGCTCTGTGCGTCAGGGGTAGTGGAGCTTTTTCTTTCCTTTTACTTTTGTGGATTACTACTCCGGACGGAGTAGTATGAGAATTAGTATCATGATGGATAAAGTCCCCTGAATTATGTATAGCTTGGTGGCGAGTGATATTTCCAGCGCCAATTATAAATCGTTATTCTAGTGGACGGTGGGTAGTGGCGAAACGGGGGTTTTTAGCTCCCGGGCTTTTTTTTACATTAATTGTGATGTGGATTATTCAAAGGTTTAAAACCAGTTGGTTGGCATTCGACATCTGCCAACTTGAAGCGTTTCTGTCAAATATCAGCATAATCCACAACATGGTTGTGCTATAAGCTACTTACCAATTATCATTTCTCAGCCGAACCTATGACCACAGGATTTTGAACTTTTGGAGACCCTTCTTAGGCTTGGCCTCGGGCTCTGGATATTCCTGGCAGAGATAAAACTGCACAAATCCAGAAATTGGAATTGCCTCCAAAGGACGAATGGTAGTCTTCTTCCAGAGTTTGTAGCCAAAGTATAGCACCAAAATTATCGGAATGTTGATATAGGATGAGATGAAAGTCTCGGTGCTCCAGTGGCCGGGTATAAATGCACTATACCCACCAGTAAGTAGTAAAAGGATGAACAATATAAGTGAGGCCCAGGTGGAGTAGGGCTGAAAAGGGGCCGCCCAAGGAAGCTCCGTATATCGGTTGATCCCTTGTTTCTTGCATCCATAGTAAAACCGGAGGTATACAATGCAGATGATACCCCAGTCCACCAGGGTAGAGACAGCTACAACATTTTGTAACCACCTAAAAACTGCACTGGAGGACTCGTCGAGTGACATATATCCCAAACTCATAAAAATCCCAAAAAGAATAACAGAAACATAAGGAACACCAAATCGATTTAGCCGCTGGAAGACTGTGGGCCCATGTCCAAGAACTGAGATGCCAAAGAGAATTCGAGACCCAAAAAGTATGTCCGCATTGCCAGCAGACCAAGCTGAGGTTATTATGACAGCGTTAATAATCGATGGTACAGCTGTGATACCAGCACTCTCGGCAGCAATAACAAATGGTGATTGAGAAGCCGTAGGGTGATTAGAATTTCCTTGAAGAAGCTTGGGATCATTGGATGGGACGATCAAGCCAACTGTGAAAATTGACAGGACATAGAAAGCAAAGATTCTAATAAAAAGCCGTTTAGTAGCCTTTGGAATTGAATGCCTTGGTGACCTTAGCTCAGAAGCAGCAGCAGTGATATTCTGAATTCCCGAGTATGCATAGACTGCATTGTAAAAGGATGACCAGCAGCCAAGAAATTGACCCCAAGAACCATGTATACCTAAATACTGGACAAATGGCCCTGGATCTCTCCAGTATCTGAATCCAATAGATTCACCATTTGGTCCTCCTCCGCAGGAAATCACAATGGCCATGATGTTTAGCCCAATAATGAGTGCTATCTTCACCATAGAGAAGAAAAACTCGATCTCTCCATAGATTCTGATAAACACAAGTGGCGTAATGAGCATTAGCAGTCCGAATACAGTAATCCATATTGCGTTGTTAACTGAAATCCAGAATTCAACCAACACGGCCGCAGCAACAATTTCTGCGGGAACAGATACCAAATATGAGTATATCTGGTTCCATCCATCAGCAAATGATAGTGCAGGGTCGAAAAAATATTCTGCATAGCGAACAACACCTCCACTAAGGGGCACTAGAGAACCCATCTCTCCCACAGCAGAGACGACACTAGAAGCAGCGAGACCAGTGATAGTATAACCAATCAAGACACCCAAAGGACCTGAAGTTGCAATTGCTTGGCCAGAGCTGAGGAACAAACCAGTTCCAATTGTTCCAGCTAATGCAATCATTTGGACGTGGCGCTGGTGAAGGCCTTGGTGGAACTGCTGTACCTCTCTGAAGGCATATGGAATGCTTCCGTTGCCGTCGTCAGGGATAGTATGGCCAGCCTCCTCGAAAGCAAGGCTCGATCCTGATCGTCTAGGCATGGTTGCGAAAATGCTACTAGCGGCAATGGCCTCGGATATAGGCACATAAATCTGTGATCATGACTGTCAAGCTGACTGTCAAGAATAGGAAGCAAAGAAGGGCGGAGCTCCTAACTCGAAAGTTCAAGTTCCTATCGAAGGCGGTGGATGTCATGTTTAGCTGTCATGAATAGAGTTCCTCTAGAAGTTAATAGTCAGAGACGGCAGCCAATCAGCTATATTTTACATACTAGGTCGTGATGTCATTCAACCTGGTCCAACCACGGAATGACCTCGGGAGTGCATAACCAACGTGACAATATAGATTGACTATTCAGCGCTTTCGGATCGAATGGCTGGGCCCTGACGTGTGGTTAGTGTGGCAAAAGAAGAAATGAGAGCCTAGGCCACCCCCTGTGAGATATTACTAGAATATATCCGATATAGTTAGCTTGGTGATATACGGCCCGCGGGTGCGTCCCTATCCGCATCAAGATCCGCGAGTTCCGACCGTTGTGACGGGCCGGAGCCCGACTTGTGGCCCACATAGTCGCTGCCAGTCTCCTGATCTTGTCATTTGTGAATAAATGTTTGTATGCGTTAATCTATAACTTTCTAATAATTACCCGCTTACTAGATCGCAACACTATACACGAGATGGCTTCAACTTCAAACCGCTACGAGCTAGCCACATGATGGCCCTTGGGTCTCATTTATAATCTTGAATGTCTAATATCACCCGATCAAGCATTCATCTTCAACAACTAAACCTGGCATGTGTCCAGCTATATGCAAAATCCACAGGAGAGGAAGACACGGGAATTAAAATTGTTATGCATCCATTACCATTCCCATCATCATTGAGACTCGATCAAACCACGTATGTGTTGCCTCATGTTCCTCGGAGAGTGAAGGCTTGCCAGAGCAGCTCGATAATTTGAACGATTTCATCATAAACGGAGATCTGACATCCTCGCTTTGGGTTTGATGGTACTGAATGCCTGGACAAATTCGCAAAGTCTCTCTGCGTAAACTGTCGGAGCTCAAGGTCACAAGTAATTGCTGGAGTAAAGCAATGGCTGAACCCATTCCTTGCAAGGAGAAGCCTCCAAGTGTAATATGGACCTGACTGGGAATTGGTCCAAAGAAATCCCGGTCCTCTGTACTATAAGGTTGCTGACGAGAATTCATAGCGGCGATTCCCTCGGAATGATACTCGAGGAGTGCCCTTTGGCAATCAGAAATTGAGGTTATGAGGGATTCTCTTTCGGTATCAACTATATGTGCAGATGCGACTTGAGCATGCGTTGTCGCAAGAAAGCCTGGACAGCGAGCTACTTCATGAAATGCGTATTCAATCAACTCGCCTAGCCGACTAGCTTTGCCGCGTCGCCTGTCCTCGTTAATCATGTCCGGGATTATCGACCCCCACTCCTTGTCTTCTAGGAAACACCGCTCACGGCGGATTAGCGCATCATACACGAGAAAGCCTCGAAAGGATACGAGAAGGGTCCGGCCAAGCCCTTGAACATGGGCCCTGGCTCCTCGTGCTTGAAAAAGATACGAAATGCCACGGGAATGGAGCATCCACGAATTATGCCCTGTCGAGCAAATCATCTCAAATGCCCCTAGGAGAATGGCGGCACCAAGGGTATCGTCTGTGACAGCCATAGTCTGGCGTCTCAGGGTTCGTATTAGCTGGCTTAAAGCCCGGCCGTATATCTCTCGGCTAACGAGGCCCAATTGATCATTGCCTTGTGAGCGGCCAATATGTAGAGCACCAAGGCTTCGTATACCCCAATCGAATGCCATTCCAGTCGTTTCCTGGGATTTAAGGGCCACATCAAACCAATTTGTATCAACACGGGTGCTGTAGCCATAGTACTGGCCCAGGAAATTGGCTTCTAGAAAGCCACAAAAGCCCTCACGGTATCCCTGGGCAATAGCCTTACCGGTCAGACTTAGCGCCACCATTCCATCGATTGGCGTATTGACCGCGGATATCAGTTGTTTTTGATCAGTGGTTGGTTTAGCTGCACTTCCACTAGGCGTTCTGGCATAAAAGCGGAGTTCCAGATCCTTCGTATATCCAGGGCATGGCGTGCCCCTTTTTTGGCAGCGCTGGCACCCTGGGCGCGATTCATCGCACTATTTTATGATTATTGATAGGATCAATGTTTTCTTTCTCGTAGAAGACACATTTACCTTGATCCGCCGTTTGATACATACTAAACAGCCTTTACTGCGTGGTACGCCCACCATTGCTCACAGTATGAATAACACAATTTCACCTTCACCTCCAGATTGATCACGAAGGAAGGTAGATGATAATTCAAAAAGTGAGTCAGGGCGTAAGTAGCTAGATAGCAAAAATAAGACCAAAGGCTTCTATACTTCGTGCGAGGACTTAGCCAGGAATGATTAAAGATCAACCTTAGTGGTACCAACGGCGAGACGCCCTGCGAGGAAAGGTGGACCAAGTTCAAGTTTGTTCAACGCCTAGAAGTGCGGGGCTTGGGAAAATGTCATCCACGGGAGTGGTTAGCGGCTTTTTCCGAAAAGTTAGGGCCTCGAGCCGCCTCGACTTGTGTTCCTCTCCTGGGCTCAGGTCTGTGTCATGCCCAAGTGCCAATATCTTGGCGCGCGGTTTATTCCGATCCAGCTAAATGATATACCTCGTAGTAAATATGCCATTGATTGTAATTCTCAGGCTGTTTTCATCTTTCAAAGTTTTAACTAGATAAAGTCAGATATAGTAAAATGGGATTATATAGGAAGAGATTGTTAAAGCATTTAGTATCAGCATAGGCAGTATTTGACTCTTTATATACATCCGCTTATAAGAAATAATTTTTGGATGCTGCTGCAATGGCAGAAACACTAGGTCGATTGCGGCTATGGAGCGCCGTACCCATCCCCTTGGAGTTCCTGGGAACTACTACCTAGGTATGCCAGCAATTCCTACGGGTACTTAGAGTCGCGTATAGATTCATTCAAGTAAGGGCTCATGTATATATATATTGGCCGCTGCTCAGGTGCAATATATCCTACTGAATTTCCGACAAGATAATCAATTTGTTTAATAATTTACTTTGCGGCCAGACTCTTACCATCCACATTCGGTTAAGAAAGAAACTTTGCATTTTCGCAGTCTACTCGTATACATTTGACTTCATGATTCGGGTTCATGTAGATCAGGATACGTGGTTTGAAGTTCAAATTATTGCGTTTGTTTATTTTGGGGTGGGAAAGCGCTGGTTAGGTGGTTTCCAAGGTTTGGAGGAAAATCTCGCCCAATAAATTTTAGGTAAATGTAGCGATTGGAAGATAACAGCAGGTAAGAAGGAAAAGCCTCCAGAGCTTTCCCTGATTTCTCGATCTCAAGCGAGTAAACAAGCCCGTGGCAAATGAAATGGCGCAGTTCAACCAAATAAGACTTCAGGATGTCGGTAAAAAACCCTACTACGAGTAGCGTTGTGGTCGAAATCGGGAATTTAAGTCCAACCAATCTCGCCAAAAGAGGCCTCCTATTGCGGACTAATCTTTGGTGTAGTAATAGTGGATCTGCGAAACGCCGGTGGTCTAAGACATGTGCCTGGTCAAGGAACAGAGCTTGTTGTCTCCCCAGAGTGAACTGCTGTCCGTGATTGGACAATCGGAAAACGCAACCTTTCGCCTGGGCGCACCCCAAGAACTATTGAAACGCCACCCGAAGCATCAGGTCATGGGCCACAACAGCAGTAAAGTTGCCGACCAGGATCTTACGCCACCTTGATAGAGATCAAGATCTAGCACCGGGTTCGGAGCATAAAAAATACCCAACACCCCTGCAACGTGTCTTTCAAAGGGGCTTTCTTTTTTCAAGACTCTCATTCAGGCACTTGGCTTCTACGTGTTTCTCATCTTCGATATGGCTTCCCCGATTTGGTGGCTTTCCGTCGCTCTTTATACAGGCCTTGGACAAGCCGTTTCAGGTTCAAGTTCCAGCAGCACGACCAGCCAAGTAACCTGTACCGACACAACTGTTTCTACAAATCTTCTCTCCAATCCATCCTGGGAGGACGGCACGTCTTCATGGACATACAGCTTTGCAGCCTCGACGACGACCCTACAAGAAACCGATGGCTCTCATGCGCTGTATGAATATCCGCACCGGATGAAGTTGGCTCATATAGTATGCTAATGGGGCTATAGATTGCTTCCTGGCCAATACGCATACTGGTACGTCTACCAGTCGGTATCAGGTCTGGTACCTGGCACTACATATCAAGCCTCTATCGACTTCTTGCCATCTGTCTCCCAAACATATTCAATTCAAGAGACTTGTAATATTTACCTCTACCACGACGCTCTCACCACGGCCAACCTCATCGAATACAAAGCTGGAACGTCTTACAACAGGTACAGCCAATGGTCCACTGTGAGCGGCCCATTCACTGCGACAAGCAGTAGTGCTTTGTTTGGCTTTTACGCGGTTTGTTCACCATATCACACCAACAACATATTCAACCTCTACTTGGATAACGCCAAATTGATTGCTGAAACAACCACACAAGTTTGCACTACTGCAACACCAACGTCGATATCTACTTCGACATCTACTTCGACATCTACTTCGATATCCACATCATTACCAAAGCCATCAAGCGCGGCTTCTAGCATTGCTTCCTCGTCAATTATTGGTCATTCAAGCTCAGCTGCATTGACACCAACAAGCAAACCTCTTATACCCAGCTCCTCGTCCGTATTATCATCGTCAATCTCTACGCAAACACCCTCTGTCTCATCCCTAGCAAAGCCTCACACTCCGACTACCACCCCTGTGACTTCAAGCACAGCTGTGTTGTCAGTGTCAAGTCAGTCTATCGGACACAGCTCTAGTTCTGTCAAACCATCAACTCCTTCAATCCCAACAGGATCAACGTCTCTCACAGCAACCACATCTACCCAGACAAGCACGGTGTTGCAATCTACCTCTCCAATCTCAAATCCATCAGGCATTTCGATCTTTAGTCCATCAACTATTTCATCTGTTCCCTCGTCCTCTTCCGCGGTCGCTCCTGTCTCCACGACCGTCACTTCGACAGAATCAAACCAACAACGCACTACGACAAGTCCTCTGGGACCTGCTTCGACACCTTCTTCGCCTGTTGATCTCCCCCCGACGACATCTTCCGGCCATACCACAACTACCAGTGTTGCTTTGACAACTTCTACCATCTACAGCACCCGTACCTCCACCATCACCGCCTGTCCTTCAAATGTCGCAGATTGTCCAGCACGGTCACAAACCACATATGTTACAATTGAGACGATCTACGTAACGACTACAATCTGTCCCGTATCTGGAAATGAACCTACTGCGCAGGCTGCTTCTACCGGAGTCCCTCAGGATATCTCACAGCCTAGTGAACGATACACGACATTGACCGTTTTCACCCCTCACACAGTCACCGCAACTGCCTGTCTATCGGGCGGCAACGACTGTCCAGGCTCCGTAAGAACCACATTCGTTACCACCGAGCTGGCGGCATCAACTACCGTTTTCGTGGTTACCGAGAAGGAAACTTCCCTCCCGACGGACAGCCCCGTAATTTCCGTCTCCGTGTCACCAATCCTCAGTACCCGCACAGCTACAATAACTTCCTGCCCTCCTGAAGTAACTGGCTGTTCTGCCAACCCAGCTGCTCCCCAGGTCGTGACGGAAACGCTGCTCGTCGGCGAGTCTATATGCACGTTGTCTGAAATTGCAACTGCCACGTATTCTGCTCATACTCAGATTGTATCAACTCCTTCGTCCCGCATGTCTTCTTCTGTTCCCGTGAGCCATACTACTCAAGCTCTTTCCTCTAACGCAGAAGAGCATTCGAAGAATAGCGGAAGCAAAACTACACTCTCTATTTCCACTACTCTGCCATATTCCTCGACCTCTACTGGCACATCCAATGTACCAGCATTCAATGGTGGTGAATCGTTGGGTCGTCCAATGGGCTTGGCTCAGGTCATTGTCTCGGTTGCCATCGCAGGTCTTGCGCTCTTGGCTCTAGATTAGATGGCCATGCCATGGTGGATCAGAATCACTTTTTGTATTCTAGATTTCATTATCAGTCTGATCGATTATTAATAAATAATGCTGGGATGTTCTACCCATCATCAACTTCGCTGCCGCCAAGGGTTGCCAGAAGCTTTCGGGTACAGATGCATATGTTGCCATGCCATGTCAGCTTCTTACTTAAATTTCAGTAATAAGCAATAATGGTGCACCACTTGGTCCAGTCTTGAACACAGATGGAATGCACTAAAGGGTGGCTATGGAACCGGACCATTGACTCGGTTGGGCTGCTGCACGGTGTCGGAGTGATCCGATTGTCCCTCGCGCCGACGAATTCCTTAGACGCCCAAACATCAAGCACATTCCGTACATCAATCAAATCATCTAGGACGACCATTCCTGAATGGGAAAAAAAAGTTAAAAAATTCTCGGCAGCCTAGTACGTTATTTCTGTGTCCCAGGCCTTGAGGAAAAATAGCAACTTTTCCATCTCGACCCGGATAGCCCGGTCTACACTTGCTGCTTCATTCTCCAAATGCACATCGTGCACCAATAACGTCGACAAAGATGGGGCTCACCACGCCACCGTTGCGCAGAACACCAAGCAAATAAGCCCCGAAAGCAAGACTTGGCTGTCACGCTGACCACTAATGTGCACCCCCACGCTATTATTTTGCTTAACCTGGCTTAGCGGCCCCTTCCATTCTCGATCCGAGAAACCAGGGTCTTCTGCATGAATCACGACCCCCACGAGACGGAGAAGATCATTTCCCTGGCGGGTGCAACCGAGAAAACTCGGCCATGGCATCTTACCATTGAACCCGACAGCGCGGTGTGCAACTGGCTCAGCTCCCCGCAAGAATACAGGGACCTGGACCCCGTATTTCACTCTCCCCGGTCTTCCCCCGCGCCGGGGGCCCCGTTCCTGGGCCGTTTTGGCTTTGTTATTGGCCGAGGATAGACCCGGCCGGGGTTCAATTAACCAACTAACCCCAGTTTACCGACCTGACCGAGTTTTCCTTTCTTCCCCAGTGGGGATATTCCCTCGGAGAGTCTGAGTATGGAGGTGATATCGGACTAACACCGATGCCTTCGGTTGAATAGCTCGCAAAGCACCGAACTTGCGTATCTCGGGGCTCCACGCTGATTGACGCCACCGTTTTACCCATATCCCACCCTCAACTGCCTACTGAATGTATGCCGGCCTGGAAAAAAAAAAATCTTTTCCTATGTACTACATCGCTCCCCAGGCTTTGTTTTTTTGCGACTCCTTTCTTCATTCAGTTTTTTTCTCCGCCTTCCTACCCCTTGCTTGACTCGGTATTCTCTTATCTCCAATAGGAGATAGCCAGGGCAATTTATTCGCTCTCTTATCCAATCGCTCAAATCCTTTACTTCTTTCCATATTAGCTAGACTATCGAGTGAGAAGATGTCCCCTCGACCATCGGGCGATCTTGAGATCGCAAACGTCGACAAGTCCTTCGCAGAAAATGTCGAAACAGCTGCCAATGCCAACAAGCCTAATCCCCGGAAAGAGGCCCCGGCGTATGTCGCTGGTTTATCACCAGAGGACCGCGAAAAAGCAGAGCGAGCTCTCGTTCGTAAGATTGATCTTCGCCTGCTCCCCATGCTGATTATTATGTACATTCTGAACTACCTGGATCGGAATAACATTGTAAGTGAGATATTCGTGACGTTATTCATATTAGTCTATTAACGACTGACCTTTTTAGGCCGCTGCTCGTTTGGCAGGACTCGAGTCAGACCTCGGACTTCATGGGAATCAATACGCTGTAAGAAGGATATCGACTTTCTCCGGGTATGACTTATACTAACCTAGCCAAGACTTGCGTTAGTATCCTTTTTGTCGGTTACCTTTTGATGCAGGGTCAGTATTCTCTCGCCAAGAGTGACTCAAAACCCAACTAATTCGAAATAGTCCCTTCCAACCTGCTTCTCAACAAGATCGGAAAGCCCGCCATCTACCTTCCTATGGCTATGGTAGCATGGGGTATTATCTCGACGCTCACCGCTGCCGTTCAAAGCTACGCTGGTCTAGTAGTCGTCCGATTCTTCCTTGGTTTCGTCGAGGCTGCTTACTTTGTATGTCTATTCCTGGTCTTGATGATACAATGACTAATTTTTCTAGCCCGGTTGTCTCTACTTTCTCAGTGCTTGGTACACCCGAAAAGAGTTGGGCTTCCGCACTGCAGCGCTGTACTCTGGCTCTCTTCTCTCGGGGGCTTTCTCAGGGCTGATCGCTGCTGGTATCACCAGTAACATGGATAATGTCAAGGGACTCCGTGCATGGTAAGACATTCTGATGTATAACAGCTGTCAATCTGATCTGACGATTTTAGGCGTTGGTTGTTCATTATCGAGGGTGCTATCACCATTGTCGTCGCCTTCATTTCGATTTTTATCTTGCCCAACTTCCCTCGTACCACCTCTTGGCTCACAGAAGATGAGAAAGACCTCGCGGCATGGCGTCTGGAGGAAGATATTGGCGAGGATGACTGGGTGAATAGCGAGGACCAATCTTTCCTACATGGCGCCAAGCTCGCATTTACCGATTCAAAAACTTGGGTTCTGGTACGTACATCCAGAATGGTAAATCTGCTTGTAAATACTAATGGTCAATTCTATCTAGATGCTGATGATCCTCTGCATCGTCTCCTCTGCCTCCGTCACCAATTTCTTCCCCACTGTCGTTCAAACCTTGAACTACGGGAATATCGAAACCCTTCTCCTGACCGCACCTCCCTATTGTCTCGCTGTGATTACCGCATTTCTCAACGCCTGGCACTCGGATCGTACTGGAGAACGATACTTCCATGTTACTCTGCCTCTATACGTTTCCGTCGCTGCGTTTATCATCGCTGCCGCAACCACTGGTACTGCGCCTCGGTACGTGTCGATGATGCTCATGGTGCCATCTTTCTATTCTGGATACGTTGTTGCATTGGGCTGGATTTCGAACACTCTTCCACGTCCTGCGTCTAAACGTGCTGCTGCACTCGCCGCAATCAACTGTGTCAGCAATGCTAGCAGTATCTATGCTAGTTACATGTACCCCGATAGCGACAAGCCACGATTTAGTAAGTCTATATTCCTTGAATTTTACCGTTATTTCTCTAACAATTATCTCTAGTCACCGCCATGTCCGTCAACTGTGCGACTGCCTTTGTTGCCATCATTTCGGCGACCGTCCTCCGTTTCATGCTTGTTCGTCTTAACAAGAAGTTGGACCGCGGCGAGCAGGTCGAGGGTGCTGTTCCAGGAACGGCCAGCACTCGCGGTTTCCGTTTCCTCGTTTAAGCAAAGATATTTCTATAAAGGTCACATTTTCCAAGCAATTCTTGGCCCAGATCACCTACGCGCTAGAGCTAGACTGCTTAGACTAGAATCGGGATGTTTTCATGACGACATAGAGAATCTTGTCTTGAATTTCTTACTTCAACGTAGAGTTGGCTGTTTGGCAGCGTAGCGACAAAAGAAAAAAAAGGAGATGTTGAGACAAGACAATCAGGCATACTGATTCCTCGACTTTGTCCACTCAGGTCTCAAATCGTTCCCACCAACATTCCTTGTATCCAACGAGCTATCAGCAACATAGTTTACCTTCCAATCAAGACCAACACTAGCACCTTCCTCTGTCTGAGCCCAAACAGCAACGGAAATCGTATTCTTGCTCTTGTAGTTCAAAATTCCCGGTGGGACAGGGTATACCACCTGGTTGCCGATGTGGGGATAATATCGGCCGTACTGGTATCCGTTCACGAATAGCTGGACGCGATAGGCCTTGCTGGAGGTGGATGGGGTAGATAGGACAAAGGAGATGGAAATATCTTTGTTGGAAGGGAGGTCGAGTGGGACGGTCGTTCGGAAAAATCCGATCGTGGCACCTTCGACGCTTAGAATGGAGGTGGAGCTGCTCTTATTAGCAGATACCTTTTTCCAGTTCGAGTCGTCGAACCCGGGTAGGTGCCACCCGACTCGCTCGGCGTATAATCCATCTTCGTTCCAGCTACCACGGACAGGGTCGATGTTGGACTCTCCGCCTGCTGTGCCGGCTATCCGCCAGTGAGAGAAGCCGGAGGAAGAGCCGATGAGTCGAGATTCGAGAATACCGCGAGGGTTCAATGCACCAGTCGTTTCATCATGGCCGGTGTCATCTTGAACGATGAGAAGGACGTTGGGCTTGTCGGTGCTAAGAGTTGCTTTCGAAAAGGAAAGTGTGAGGTTTGCTTGTTCGATGGTGGCATCGCCGAGGAACGAGTCCAGGAATTTGCCATTTAACCAAGCAGACCAGCCGCTGAGGGGCGATATTGTTAGTGGTTGTTATTCCGATTTCAATTGAGGAAAGAGTCTTACAAAGCAGCTCCTCCTTGGACATTGAGGAAGGCCCCGGTTGCAGTGCCGTTGAAGTATCCACGCCAGAGACGGATACCATTGTGAAATCCTAAGCCACAATAAGTATAAATTTCTGGGCTTGTAACAGTCAAAGCACTTTTCTTACCGTATTCATCAGCGTATAACACAGGCAGTGTCGTGGGAGTTCTAGGATTCAAAGTTGTCATATGATCCGCATCTATAAAATGAAGCCTTAGTAAGAGAAAGTTGAATAAGGGAAGGCAAATAAACATACCAACCCAAGCGGCTCCAGAGTCATCATACTCTGTGGATCGCTCCGGCAGACTATCCTTCGACTTCCATGTTCCAAACTGCGGCAGAGTGACCGAGTTCGGTGCAGAGAGCTGACCCTTGAGACTTCCATACTCCGTACGGTGAGTCTTCACTGCCTTTCCGTTCCAGGTGATAGAGGTAACAGCCTTTGGCGCGAAGACTTCCAGTGAGGTAGCGTTGACAACATCGCCAGTCACAGCAAGCTTCTTTCCAGAGAGACTAGCACCACGGACAAGGTAAGGCCCTTCAATAAGGACTGTGCCAACCGTTAGAAATTTCGGAATTAGGGGGGGGCTAAGATAAATCACGTACCGCTCTCTGACTCTGGGACCAAAGGATCATTCGTTAGAGCAGGTGCCCAGAACTTGTATGCCGCTGTTCGGTCAACCAGAACAACTCGCACATCATTATCAAGCTCCAGAACGGTCATTCCATAAGACTGCGTAAAGGAGACTGTAAGACCACCGTTCTCCTTCCAGAACTTGACTCCCGAGCATCCATCGCACTGCTTAACCGTACCCTTCTTTGCGCCCTTGATATGGAATTCTCCAGACTCGCCGGTAGGAACCCAAAGAGCCAAGGTCGGAGTCTTATCGAGGATAGCGTAGGTCAGTACTTCTGCAGTCGAGTAAATGAGCTTATTAGAACCAAAGCTAAAATCAGTGACGATGATCTTAGACTGGTGGCCATTAAGTCTGAGCTTTCCACCGTGTCTCGGGATATTCAGAGCTCCGACAGAGGTGTTAACCTTCAGATGGAATGCCTCATTGGTGGAAATCGAGGTGTTGAGATGGAATGTCGCATAGAAACCAGCATTTGTCTCCGGATTCCGCAATTCATAAGCTCGCACAGCGCCATTGTCCGTATACTGCGTACCATTTCCAATAAGATCAGTCATGGTAAGATCCTTCGCGCTACGCGTGAAGAGCGCTAGGAGCTTTGTTTCGTAGTACTTGGACCCGATCGATCGATCCTCCGAAATAGGTGCCGAGTAATCATAACTAGCCGCAGTCACCGGCGCAGCGATGGATCCCCAGTTCGTTCCTCCAAACAACATGTACAAACTCATGGCTGTGACTCGCTGTCCAATATTCCAGCGGTAGAACAAATTGGCAAAGTCTGCGTCCGAGTTCTCGGCGCAACCACCTTCTGGTCCACCCCAGGGGTTATAAGAACCGCCCTGGAACTCGGGCATGAAGCCTGGCATCGAGGGTTGTGATTCCTGGAAGTAATCGTAATAGTCCATTACCGAGAATGCGATGTATTCGCCGTTTGTGGCGGTACATTGGCTGAGGTCGCAGGTCCAGCACTAGTGTATTGTAGATTAGTCTCGTATGTACTGATCTGAATGAGCCTCAGTGCATGAGGTTAGAGTCCCTACCGACGGATAAGAATCAACACCAGCGACATCGACATTCCCACCTTCATCCGACCAATCGCTTCCCCAAGAATGCGAATTCATGTTCGGATCGTTCGATGTGAGCGGAATGACAATTCCATTGGCCCGCGCATTCGCCTCCAGAAGCTCCATGTAGTGGATGGCGGTTTCATTGGCAATCTTGTCCGTTGCACTGCCCTCCCACTGGTTTCCATACTCATTTTCAATCTGATAGACGATGGAATTCTCGCCATCAGTCACCTGATATTTACTGGTAATTTCGGACATTTTGGTGAAGTACGGCGTCCACGCCTTTGTATATCGCGTATCATTATTGCGCAGAGTTCCGTATTCACCTGTCGTGAGCCAAAGTGGGAACCCACCGGCGTTGGCTTCGGCGTTGACATATGGACCGGGGCGTACGATGATGTATAGTCCTAGCTCTTTGGCAAGCTCGAAAAGAGGGACGATGTTGTGTGCGCCGGTTTCGAAGTCAAGCGTGTGGTTGTTCGGTGCGTGATAGGCCCAGCTGGAATAGAATGCGAAAGCTGTGAAGCCTGCTGCTTTAATCTTCTCGAGAATGTCGCGCCACAAGTCTGGGACCGGGATGCGCCAGTAATGGAATTCTCCCGAGAAAACGAAGATGCGTTGGCTATTGACTTGGAAGCTGTAGTGGTCCCATTGAACTACTTTGTTCAGCCCATCGTCCTGGACCGGCCATTGGGTCGAGACTGATGATTCGCCGGCAGCAGAGAGGCAAAGAAACAAAGTGATCCATAATCTGTATAGCATGCGTGTAAGACTCGCCATGTTGAAGTAACTCGGGCAGCGGCCGAGTACTGGAATTGTCAGGCGACCTTGATGGAACTCGGATGCGGTCAATCCTGCATGCGAACCACTTTATACTAGTACTAGTAACCCCGGCAATGGCTGCATTTCTCCAATTCCCGGTGGGGTGATGCTAGTCAGAATGCCGAGTATTTCCTGCAGAATTGATTAGCAAAGCCTTAAGCGAAGCACCAATGTAATTAGGGGGTACTTTAGCTCTCCCCGCATCGTCGACCCGCGGCGTTAATTTTCCTCCACTAAGAAGTCCCTGCGGGAAATGACCTCGGGAATAGATGCATTAGTATGGAGATGGAGCATTCGCCGTACGATCGTTGGGGAGAAGAAATTAAGGTTCGACAGGAAGAAGCTGGAAGAAGCTGGAAGAAGAGGAAGAACAATCATGATAATGATAACTTGAATAATAATGATTCGCTTTTTGAATTCCAATGATAATATACATACATCCACTCCTTTCGCTGATCTAAACGCAAAAAAAGAATAAAAAAAGCCATGCATCAACTATATGCAAATGGCAAATCTCCGAGCAGTGAACCCGAAGAATTCCCCTCGGTCCTGTCGGGAAGAGGCTCTTCCTTGTCGGGATGGCTTCTCTTTCCGGTGGTCGGCGTTCAGTCACCTGAACTCCGTTGAACATGATTGGGTCGATGATCGGCTGAGGAAGTAGTGGAGGTTTTCTCGAGGCGGATAAATATGCGGCAACAAAACTCTTATCGCTTAGGAACGAATGAGGATATAGTTCCTTACCCCTAGACTCCGACTTTTCTATGCGAGAAATTGGTTTTCACCGAGGCTGATGCTCCCCGGTGAGATAATATATGAGAGATCTGGCAAATCAAGCGCCACGGTCCAGAACACCGAACGGGTTTTGCCCCTTTGTTTCGGGTACATTGGAGCTGGCCTGCTCTGTCTTGGCCTGCTTCTTAGCACCCTTCTTCGCTGGCACGGTAGAGAAGCCCTCGTCAGATGTAGACTGGCTGGTTGCGTCAGAGGCAGTAGCCTTGGCCTTGTTGGCGGCAGAGGCGCGAGTGCGGACGGGCGAGTCCTGGGCGACGGAGATCACCTCGTTAATCTTCTGGACCTGGGCCTTGACAACTTCGTCATCTGTAGTAACTTCGCTGTTCTCACCCTCAATGGCAGCGCGCTTAATCTCACGGCTGAGACTCTTGAGAGCGTCCATACCGGCCTTCTCGGCGGCCTCCATGTGAGTGGGCTGCTTAGAGGGCTTGCGGTTGAGGTAGGAGCGCACGAAGAAGCGAGCAAAGAGGTAGGTCAGGGGCAGCAGGTAGGAAACATTGAGCCAAATGGCAAATGCCTGACCGGTGGTGTCCATACAGGTGACCATCTGCTGAGTGTATCCGGTCTGGGGAGCAGGAACAGCACCCCCGACATTCTCAGCAATGCCCTCTGCACCAGCGGCGCGGAAAGCCAGCTTCTTGAGGTAAGGAATAACACCAGCCTCGACGGCAGTAGCAGCGGCAGCGGGAGCCGCCTTGGACAAGTGGCTCAGAGCAGCACTGCCAGCCGGGTAGGGGATAGTGTAGTGAACGAAGAGGTAGGCGGCGGCCATGTTGGTACCGAGGACAAACTGGGTGATCTGCATGGTGGTCAAGCTGCGCTTGATGACACCGGGGACGCGGATGCGCAGAGCAGTGAAGGTGTAGTAGGTGTACATCATGGCGTGAATAGCCGAGTTGACGAGGGCGAAGATCCAGATAGGCGCGGCCATGTAGCGGATACCGGCCCACATGCACATCATAGCACCAGCGTGGTGGTAGGTTTGCAGAGTAGAGCTCTTCTTGCCCTTGGCTAGAATAATAGCGGTATCAATCACCTCGTAGAACTTGGACAGGTAGAAGATCCAGCCGAGGTAGGCCAGACCTCCGTTCCAGAGACGACCGACATCCGAGGGATCGGGCTGACCAGCGGTCAACTGATAGGCCGGGTTGGGGATGGACCACTGGTTGGTGATGGGGCTGTAAGTGGCGGCATTGCCGTAGCCACGAGGGCCATTAATCTTGCAGAGAGAATCGACGACGCCCGCGAGGCCATTGGGTTGGTCGCGATCCGCCCAGGAGTGGCCGAAGGCTTGGAACATGCCGGCGAAAGTCCAGGCAGAGTAGACGGCGAGGAATACATTGTGTAGGATGACGAAGAGCTTGAACAGGGGAGTATTGCTGAATCCCCAAGGTTTATAGCCGCGACTCTTGTTGATGCGATTGATCACGACCACGGAGATCGCATAGACGGAGGCGATAGTGATGGGGACGCGCACGTCGAGAAGCTGGGTATAGAGATCATTGGGGATGTTGAAGGGCTGCTTCCAAGTAAATTCGGAGACATGAGGCGCAGGAATGGTCTCTGGCAGTTCGGTAGGAGGGAACTTGAGGAGGGAGGCCGGAGGCAAGGCGATGCGAAGAGTGGCCTGGCCGAACTGAGTGGGCAAGTTGAGGTCGTACATGGTGTGCACCAGACCGAGGCAGCAGTGAACAGCAGCAGTGAACAGCAGCAATGAGATAGAGGAATTGGTCGTAAAGAATAGCAGGGAAATAATAGAGACAAAGACAAAAACTTGGATAGTAAAAAAAAAAGAGTGCTGGGGAGGGATCCACTCGCGATAAAAAGGTGAGGTTATCAAAAGTGGAGCCTGCGTTTGTTGGGATTTTGCCAGCCGAGGTAGAACAGTGTAGTACTAGACCCTGGTGTATTATAGTATACTATATAGTATATCCTATGGTATATACTATACATTATGCTATAGTACATATGCTAGTTACTAGTATATTATTCTATATTATATTCTGTTCTATTATACTCTTTCTCATCTATGGCAGTCTCGTGACTCTATTGTATTGTGTCTTTGCACGGAACACTGCTTACTCATCCACTTTCTCATCCACCCACCACATCTGTGGAGTTGCACCGCACTCCCCTCAATGCACTCACTGCATGAACAACAACGCGCACGAGCAAGGCGCACTTCCAAACCCTCAAATTTCAGATGATCGACTCTTGTTGGGACCAATCACGCTGATCTCCCGCTATCACCTCAATCCCAACAGCTTCCAAGCTTTCGTCATACTAGTCGATCGCATCACTCCGAGTGTTCTCACATGCCGCCGAGGCCATGCCGAGATCTCTAAGGAGGATATGTCTTACATAGGCCCCGGGGCAGACCGACTGTTGTAGCTATTGCATATGGTATCAACCATTCCAACTAGTACTACTGATATTCTACTGTACAAAGTGGTACTAACTCCGCCTGATTCAACTCAATCAACTCCAATTCTATTCGCAAGACCCTTAAAACTATATAGCCCACATTTCATGGATGTAAAATTGTGGAGATAATGTACACACCCCACTCAACTCCCGCTCAGCGGGGCTTTGTGTTGTGTGGTACTGGTGGCGGTGTCGATGCCGCCGACGAGGCTGGCGAATCGCTGGTCGGTGCCCGCATATCCGCTCTCTTCGGCGGCGGGGAGGGGGGGCCTTCTTACGGGCTTGAGCCTCAATCGTAGCGCCGGTTCCTGCCGAGCCGGGGGAATTAGAAGCTGGGACTGGGACTGGGGCTGGAGCGACGGGCGAGCTGGTCGCGGGAGAGCCGGGACCGGGTGGACGCGGCATTCGCTTGTTCGCCGCGGCGTTGAACTTGTGGTCCTCGACCATCGTGTTGAAACGAGAGGTCACTCCACCTAATTTCTGCTTGCCAAAGTCGATCTTGTCTGCATGTCGCTCCCGCAATCCCTGAGCGGGTGGTAACGCATCCTCCGCGTCCCGAGGAGGAAGACCAGAGGCATGGGATGGAGAAGCTGGGGTAGCAGACGGAGATCGGTAGTCATCGACAAACCTCTTCGCTCCTGAAGCTGCGCCGCTGAGTTTCTGTTTGCCCATGTCGATCTTATCTTGATGCTTGTCCTTGAATGCCTGAGCTGATTGAAGTTTTGTTTGCGGGGGTGGTAACGACTCCTGCGTGTCTCGAGGAAGACCAGAGGCATGGGATGGAGAAGCAGGTGTAGCAGGTGTAGCAGGTGCAGCAGAGGGAGATCGGTAGTCGTCGACAAATCTTTTCGCTCCCGAAGCTGCGCCGCTTAATTTCTGTTTGCCCATGTCGATCTTATCTTGATGCTTGTTCTTGAATGCCTGAGCTGATTGAAGTGTTCCCTGTGGGGGTGGTGACGGCTCCTCCACGTTTCTAGGAGGAAGACCAGAGGCATGGGAAGGAGAACCTGGTGCAGCAGAGGGAGACCGGTAATCATCGACAAACTTTTTCGCTCCTGAAGCTGCGCCGCTGAGTTTATGTTTGCCCATGTCGATTTTATCTTGATGCTTGTCTTTGAATGCTTGTGCCGATTGAAGCGTGGAAGATCGGGCCGGGGGAGGAGGGGGTACAGCTCGTGAGGCTGGTCCGGTTTGCATGTTCGAGAAGCGGGATTGTATTTCATTGACGGGTGCATCGCCGGCTGTGGTCTGCGCCTGCGATTGACCGTTTACCTCACCAATCCCCAAGGCGGGGACTGACACGCCAGCGTTGGCGAGGCGTGATGTAGCCTCTTGGTTGATATATCCGTCAGATTGTGGAAGCGCCACTGGGCTGTAGGCCGGTGGCGGGACATCGTCCTGCGATTGGGATGGAAGGTTCCGGGGCGGAACCCGAGGAGGAAGGGAAGGCTTGGGCTTCGATGCCGTTGCGATGTTGGTGGATGAGCCGGAGCTCGGCGATTCAAGACGTCGAACCGGCGGAGGGGGCAGGTTCTCTGTTGACAGCCCGGTGGTATTCACCCGATATGGGACCGGAGGCGGTTTCGGCTTCTCCGCTGCTTCCTGTTCCGCTGCGATAGCCTGTTCTTGGTGTGCATTCTGCTGGTTCACTTGATTCTGGGTGAGCGGGGCCCCGATACCACTCCGGTCTGGAGTCGTCTGGTTGGGTACAGCGGCCGCTCCATGGTAGTTAATGTGTTTGGGAGGAGGAGAAAACAAGGCAGGGTCCTTCAGGGATGATAATGGGCGGGAGACATGTTCGGAGTTTTCTGATTCATTGGGGTCCTTTCCTTTCCCCATCCATCCAGCCTGTCAAATCAAATCCATGCAAGTTAGCGTCAGAAGCCAAGGCTAGGCCCCCAAATTTGGGGAGAGGAGAGAGAGAGGAACCCACCACTTGGTTGATGCCTTTGAAATCATTGCGCCAGCCCTCCTTTCTGCCACCTTTTCCTTCGGGGTGCCAGCCCCCTTTCATAACATTGCTGAGGCCACTCATGATGACTTGTGCGATGACAATGGAATGTGTGTTCAGGAGAGAATTGAGTTGAGTTCCAGTTCCAATTCCAATCTGCAGTGACGACACAGCCCCCTCTTGCCCCCGCTTTCTCCACATCACGTGGCTTACCAAAGGGGAAGTGTGTTTATGCCTGATATTGAAGGCATTCAACGAGCTGAAGATAACTGAGGATACGAGTAGTAACCAATTAGACTTTTAAGAGAGTTCGCTAATAACCGCTTTGTAGATTAATAGTAGTACGGAGTACAACCACCCCTTCTACAGATTTATAGTAATACTAGTAAATATCCGCTGCGTGCTATCTTCGTGGAACTAGATGCTTGAGCCCTACAAGACAATACATTCTTGCCGCAATGTGGTTAGTAGAATGGCAACGAAACTTGAGACATACTAATACGTCGTTGATAGACAATAAGTCGCAGCAACAACATACAAATGCTTAGCGGCATACGGAGCACTTAGGGACGAGCTCTGCCAATGCCTTTCATCAACCATGCTCTGCAGGTACTAGTACTGCACGAACGGGTGAACAAGCCCCATATTTATTGGATCTTGACCAATCAGACTCAATTTCTCCTCAAATCGTTGAGGTACATACTTTAGCGTCGGCTCCGAGGCTTTGCGGCACCGCGGTTCCATTTTGAAACTGGAAAGGATCCAATGCTGAGAATCAGGGCCAATAGTGAGACATGTGAAAAACCTTTTCCTCACGAATCTCAAAATGAAGACCATTTTCCGAGTTTTGATCTCGGTGGAACCGAGTTTCCCCGCATTTCGGCACGTTTGCGGAGCAGCCATTCATTCGCAGGAGTCACATAAAGGAAAGCTGAAAGCTCTGGCCTGGCTAGGGTGAAAATTACCATTCGCTCGGCCCTTTCCTGGCATTCCTCGCAGAGATTCCCCTGGTCATCCAACATCATGGGTCGCAATCCGCTCACAAATCCCCTGCACTATGCAACCCCACAGCTGCGAACAGGTCCACCCGTCACATATGCGACTGCTGGACGGAGCCTTGTGAGCTACGACTATGGTATGTCACTGATGGTCTTCACTCATTTAACCGTATCTAATATGTTTTTCGATTGAAAAGTAATTATTGGTGCCGGTGCGGCAGGCTGTGTCCTTGCCAGCAAACTTTCCGAAGACAAGAACGTGTCAGTGTTGGTCCTCGAAGCTGGAGGCGACAACACTAAGGTCTTCGAAACGAAAGTGCCCATCTTATTCTCAAAGCTATTTCACACGGAGCATGACTGGGACTACTACACGGTCGAACAGCCGGAGCTCGCCAACCGGCAGTTGTATTGGCCGCGGGGAAAGATCCTCGGAGGTTCAAGCTCGCTCAACGCAATGATGTACCACCACTGCTCCAAATCCGATTTCGATGAGTGGGCCTCGGTTCATGGCTGTGATGGCTGGAGCTACGACAAACTGTCTCCCTACCTCCGAGACATGGAGCGATTTACCCCGAACCCTAACCGCCCGGCCATCGACTCCCAGCATCGTGGCACCTCTGGCAAATGGCAGACGGGCTATTCATGGCTTTCGGAAATTGTCGAAAAGGGCTTTATACCCGGCTGTCTAGATGCTAATATCCCGGCCATCGCGGACGTCAATACCCACCAGGGCACTCTAGGTGTAACAAGGTTCCAGACCTTTGTTGATCCCAAGGGACAACGTTCATCGCTAGCCACTGCTTTCTTGACCCCGGAGGTGTTGGCCCGACCAAATCTATATGTCGCATGCAAGGCCCGGGTCACTCGTATATTATTCGATACAATCACCAGCAAGACTCCAACAGCGATTGGCGTGGAGTTCCAAACTTCTCAGGGTGGTGAGCGCTTCCAAGTTCACGCGCGAAATGAAGTTATACTCTCCGGAGGAGCGGTTAACACACCACAAACCTTGTTACTCAGCGGTATTGGTCCGGCGGACGAGCTCAAGGCTCATGGAATTCCTGTCGTTCAAGAGAACAATGCGGTCGGTCGCAACCTGAAAGATCATCTCTGCACGACGCCTATAATTGCCAAGGCAAAGAGCGGCACGACACTGGACTACCTAGGAAATGATATTAAGGCCATCCCAGCACTAGCACGATGGCTTCTTACGGGCGGTGGCCCATTATCAAGCAATGTTGGCGAGGCGGCGGCATTTATCAAGTCGACGGATCATTACTTCCCTCAAACAAAGAACAGTCCTAAAACTTTTACCTCTGGGGACAATGCCCCGGACATTGAGCTCATCGGTGCTCCGCTTGCATTTATTCATCATGGCGAGGAGAAGCCCGTGGATGGAAGTGACGTTTTCTCTATCGTTCCAATTGGCCTTCGCCCGCAAAGCCACGGCACAGTCACCTTGAAGAGCAGAGATGCATTTGATGCGCGTAAGTTGACTAGATTATCTTGCTACTTTAATATTGTATCAGTGCTAACCACAATGACTGGATCCAGCGATCATCGACCCGAAATATCTGAGCGACGAGGGTAGCAACGACCGAAACGTTCTCCTAGTCGGACTTCGCGTATGCCTCCAAATTATCCAGAGCCCAGCTTTCAAAAAGTACTTTGAGCCTGTTCCGGTAAATGACGATCCGACCTCGTACTGGTGGCCTTATTCAAGCAGCAATTTCGATAATATCACCGACGAGCAGCTCCTGCAGTTTATGGATGAGAAGGCATTCACTTTGTACCATCCCGTCGGTTCGGCACGTATGGGACCCTCGCCCGCTTCGAGCGTTGTGGACCTCGAAGGGAAAGTCCATGGTGTCAATGGACTTCGCGTTATGGATGCCAGTGTGTTCCCAGAACAGATCAGTGGACATCCCACCGCGCCTATTGCAGCTATGGCTGCCAAGCTTAGTGCTATGATCAAGAATGGCAGTACCCCCCCGCAAACCTTTCGTTGCAAATCTGTGAGGGAAAGCAGCTACACACGGGGAAATGGGAATATTCATAAAGGAACCCTTCCGCATAGTATCTAGTTTCTAAAGATGGGGCTTCTTCTGATGCGATGTTTATTCACTCCCGAGGTCTCTGGAGACTCCCTCCGAGAGTCTTTTGCATGTCTGACGAGGCTAGAATGAAGCATCAAGATAATACATTCTGTTTATAACATCATATAGCTAAGCAACAATCCACGATATCTCCAAAGCAACTTGAATAGAGCTCCAGGACTCTGACATGACAATCAGCAAATAACTATAATTTGCGCCAACATAGTACCAGTTGTCCCGTCAAAAATACCCAGGCGCAGAATGGTAAAAAGTAAAATCGAGCTTTGAAATACGAGAAGCTTGGCTGTAATTATGTACACCCCGGCTCGGTCATGCTCAGAAGAGGCCAGTAAACTACTAGCACTCCACTGGGAAACTCCCTCCTCGTGATTCAGATGGAGATGGAGGGTCCCGCGAGGGCGCTAGCTGTCTGACATTCCATTGATCTTCCAGAAACAGCCTGTAAGAATGGCGTACGGATGCTCATCTGTTTCCCCCTGCCGCCTGAGCAACAATGGGAGCCTCACTTTGCGTGGGGCTAATCGCGATGTAGTTAGAGTTGACGCCGATCTGCATATTCGGCCCCCAAAGGATTCGTGGCTCATGGAGAATTAATTATAGAACAGCGTCAGCTTCACCAACACGAGGTATTTCTTTCTTACCTTTGAAGGGTTATGATGAAGCTGGTCTTTGTTGTAAAGTTCAAATTTTGGTAGCACATATTGCGTAAATTTGTAAATGACATTCATCGTAGACTTGAAATTGCTACCCATAATTAATGCAGATCAGGATTTTGTGACGCCCGCAGCCTTGTCTTCGCGCCCATCTCCTAGTTTGAACTCTTGCCAACCACGAGGCAGTGCTTAGCAGCAAACCCCACTCGGGATGATCCGCCCAACGGCCGTATTCAATGCCTCCAGCTGTCTGACCCCAGTCATATGAACTGCTGCATCTTCCCGTCCCACATCTTGATACTTTCAATTCCTTCCAACCACATATCAGCACATCCTGGAACATACAGTCTACTACCCTGAAGATTTCGAGCGCGAACAAAGCGCATGCGATAACTCGTGCTCATTCGAACAACAACGTCTTGGCCCCATCATCCTTTGTGCCCCTCGTATTTGTCCCCCGAACAACTCTTCTTAAAATCAATCCGCCCCAGGTCCCCGCTTCTTCCTCTTAATCGGCCATGATGGATGCCATGGAGAATATCATCCAGATAGTCGAGCGAGATGAGGCTGCTCTAGCTGGCATGTTTCGACTCGGGCGTAATCCTAACCCCGATATAGAACTCGAGTCCACACAGTCGGTTGGCCAACTTGAAGGACCTTCGCGAACAATTATAGAGTTTGCATCGAAAACAGATAGCCCAGCAATTGACTCAGGTTCGGAGACGAGTAAGCCGGCCACAAATCGGGGCACGGAATCGGAATATTCAGAACCAACATCAGGTGAGCCTCAATACATACCATACCCACCACTCGAAATCTCAAGCAGCGACGAAGACACTTTTAATGCAACACACCCGCTCACAAGCTATCCAGGGTCCGAATCCGCGGTATTCACGTCTCCAGTAGTAACATTACCTTCATCAACCACAACAACAGCCTTGACGTCGACCTCATCGTCGTCAACAACAACAACATCATCAACATCATCATCTTCTTCTTCAAAAACAACTACTACCCAGAGTGTCCCCACAGAAGCACCAACCGATACCACAGACACAGCCGCCTCAAACAGTCTAAGCTCCACAAATACAAAGCTAGCCATCGCCGTACCAATAGCCATAGTCGGCCTCCTCATCATCGCAGCATTAACATACTTCTTCCTAAGACGTCGCAGACGTCGTAACGCCCAACCAGAATACAACATTGCAACCGGCCAAACAAGAGCCCTCTCGACGGCAGAGTTAATGGCTCTGCAAAAGATCGAAGGATCTTCTAGCATGCACCATCTACCAGTCATTCAAGTACCTCAATATCAAGAACGTGCGCCGAGTCCTGGCTTTGCGACGGCTAGGACCGTCTTTGATGATTTGCACACGGAACTTGGACTCCCTGTTGCTGTTCCGTTGGATCAGAGACAAAGTGTGTCGGAACATGACCTGCCTCGCTTCAGTGGGTCTGCGTCTCAGGATATCGACGCCTAGAATGCCGTTCGAGAGTCGGGGTGGTGGCTCCCATGATGATGACGATGACGATGTTTCGGTTGTGTCTGATATTAATGAGCGACGGAATCGTGAGCGGGATTTCGATGATATGTCTTCTGTTTCCTCGTTTGAGGATGATGAAGATGAGCACGGGAATGGTCACAATAATGGACATTCGCGATGAAGGCGTTTATATATAACCTTTTGAAGTTCCATGGTTCGTTTTTGGTTTATTTCTATTAAGCACGGCGTTCCAAGGTTAGGCGAGCCTTTTGGCATGGTTTTCATTTACCTGTGATGTACAGGATAAGACATTTGATATCCCTTTTCACTCGCTTTTGAACAAGAACTTGAAGGATAGTACTAGCTTCGAAGTATGGACATAGCGAGGTTTTTTTCGAGGGTATGCGTTCCGACACTAGTATCTAGTAACTTCTAGTACTACCAGTAGTAACCTTCGTATTTCCTTCACCCGGCGCCAGCTGGTGTAGTCGTAGTACCAGTAGGCATGGGATGGGTCATCACTTTTCAATAATTCCAATGTATTCTGATATGTACATTCAAGTAACTTTTCACGCTCAATTTCGGAAATAAAACTAACGGCCACCACCAAAGTCAGGCTTGTACTCCTGGATCTTGCCCTTGGTCAATTCACGAAGAGCCATGGTCGCATACTGGCTCGATCCCAATTGGAACTTCAGCACAACAGCCAGCTTGTCGCCCTCGAGCTCTGATGTCTTTTCCTCGACGGCGCCTCGCAGCTTCTCCAAATCTGTTTGCACGAACTGCTCGTTGTCTTCGGAGTAGAGTCTCGCCTCGACAGAGTAGTCAGCGCCCATGCGGCTCAAGATCTTGCGGTAACCTCCGCTGAGACTGGCATCCTTCCACTTGCGGCGCATGTTGAACGGATCGAGTTTGCCACCCTTCTCGCTGCCCATAAAGTCACGATAGAAGTCGTTCATCTGGTTCGCGGGGTAGATCACATCGAATCCAGGCTGGGGGAGCACCACGTCAAAGATGCTGTACTTGCCGCTTGCGGCCTCTTCGGCCGTCAAGGCTCGTGCACGTGTGAACATGTCCTCGGCGGCGGCGGCACTGTCATCGCCCTCAGGTCTAATAATAATCTCGCCATCCGCGTCAATGTTACCGGCGGGCTCGGGAGCTGAGGCTTCTTTATCACGGTGCTCCTGAACAATAACCAAGTCACCTTCGACAACCTGATCACCGTAAAGGCGCCAACGTTGGCTGACTGCATAGTTCCAGACCAGTGATTGGTACGCGTGAACGTACATCAAGCGCAGGTTGCGCGGAATAGTCTGCAGCGCGCCAAGGTAGTCCTTTCTGCTTTTACCAAGGTGCCGAATGATATTGGCCTCGGCGGAAAACTTCCTCGGGAGCTTAGCCAAAGCATCATTGATGCCTCCGGTGGTTAGGAAAAGGTTGATAGCCTCGGCGCGCGCCTTGTCATCCGAGCTGATAGGTGCTGTCGAGGACTCGCCCTCCTGGGCCGCAGCGAGAACATGAGGGGGGGAAGTGCAAGATAGACTCGACAGCTCCCTGGAAATCGTCCTGCAGAATCTTGACACCAACTGTATCGGTGCGGGTTGCGAAGGAACCGAAGCGTTGGAGACCATAGTAGTTGAAGTAACCTCTCTCGCGGAGGTTCTTGAGCGCAGTTCCGACCAGTTCAGTGGCCTTGGTAATTGTAGCCTGAGGATCGTTCAGATCAACGCCGGGGATCTCGGATTCACGTAGCGTAATGACGAATTCATTTCCGCCAAGATCACCAAGCTCCAGGCCGTTCTTGCAATACTCGAAGTCACCCAGGACAGCGTTTCGGAGAGTCTTGTTAATGTTAACTAGACGCTCCGCATGTGCACGTAGTACACATGCACGCTGAGCGGTCGCACCACGTCGATCCTTGGTTCCGGCAAATTGGAAGCTCTTCGGGTTTGTCTTCATTGTGCGCGAAATGAACGAGATCACCTCCATCGTGTCCTTGTTTTCCTTGTAAAGAGTGAAATGTAGGTATTGGCCACCAAGCTCATCCCAGCTCATGCGACCGCCGTCAGAGGCGCGACCACCACGAAGACGTGCGCCCGAAGGCTTACGCTTGAAGCGGTTGTTGGCCGCCGTGATACCGAGATTACCATCGCCGTCGGTGGAGGACTCGAGTTGTGCATTGAAGATACGACGGAGAGTCTGGTGGATCTTGGTGCGCAGTTCCCGGTCGGAAACGGAGACAGTGACCTTGCCGAACTCCGAGGGTCTTCCTTTCGGCGATGACATGGCGCGCTTGTGGAGATCGATGGTTGCAACAGCATTGTCGGCGCCCAGGTATTCGGTCAGCAGCGCATTATCCTCCTCAGATATATTGAACTCGGCCGGAGTTTCCTCTTGCGCGGGTTCTTCGGGTTCCGGTACTGGTTCCTTTGGCTGCTCGACGGGTTGCTTCGTGGAATTCGGAGGGGTGGTGGTTCGCAGGTGCAGAACTTCGCCGGAAGGCAGGATCTCGTTGACCAAGAAGTCCGTATACCTAGAGAAAGAAGCTTAGCAGGAGGCTTCTGTCATTGAATTCACCTTCAATTCTCACCTCTTCTTCAGGATACCCGAAAATCCTTCATTGCTGGCCGTCACGAACTCGGTGATACCAACCTCGAGCTCCTTCGACGTCTGGGCATTCTCGGCCGGGGCGCTGGCCGCCGGCAGCGCATCTGCTGCGCCATCAATCGCAGCAACAGCTTCGGTCTTTTGCCGCTTGCGCGGCGATTCCACGAGTTCTGGGTGCTCCATTGCGCGGTGTTGGAGATGAGAAGATCTGAACCACCTGGAAGATCTGGAAGATCTGGAGAGCTCCGAAGTTCACGCATTAGGGTTAGCGCGGGTTAGCCCTAGTTTCCTGATTGGGCGAGACTCAACCACATATCGCTGTGTAGCAATGGTCTACTGCAGCTACCAGCAAACTATATACCATTTTGTCATCTCGACATGTTCAATCCTTTTAGAAGGCAGGTTGGAGCAGTCTGGCAGCGGATAGGCCTCAGGTCCGAACTTCCAGACCTCGGGGACGACGAGAACTACAGGATTGCGCCTCGATGCAAAGCCTTTAATGTCCCCAAGGAGGGTGGGCCCGCGGAACAAGTTGAAGATATTGACATGCCCGGGGATATGAAGGATCAAGTTCTTGTTTTTAAATATAAAGGCAAGGTCCACGCCGTTGACCATGTAAGTAGTAGAATGCCAGCTCCCCTGCAGCGAGGATTGGCCCGAGCTAAATCTGCATAGCAATGCCCTCACTCGTCATTCCCCCTCTCCCAGGGCAATCTTTTCGATATTGAAGATTTTGGGATCGCTTTGTCTACCGGTATCATGTGTCCTAAGCATGACTGGTCTTTCGATATCATCACAGGCAAGGCTGATCGAGGCAGCTACAAGCTGAAGGTGTGGGAGGTCCAGCTGCGAGATGTCGCGAACGTCGAAGACGACAAAGAAGTTTGGGTCCGTCGGAAGCAGAGAATTGGTTAAAGCATCTTCACTGGCTTCACTTCATTCTGGGACTACGTTTATCTTCACAGCCGTATCCAACTCGGAAAACTTGGTCTACGGCATGTCGAGAACTGATCGTCTCGTAACCATTCTCTCCGCCAATCTGCATGACCATATGGCCTCTCAACTTCCGCGTGAACCAGCAGATTGTCTTCAGATATTTGAGTGTGTCATAGGAGGAATCACGTCCAGTTCCAACCATCTAGCTTTTCCAACTCGTGGTTGGTCCTGAGGTGATCCAAGCCCGGCATCCGTTTAATCCTTCCGGGCACTCTGCTATGACTGATTTGATGGAGCAAATCCGGTGGAGAGTCACATTCAAGACCCGACTAGAGGGATGCGTTCCGCCCATGTCGCACAAGCCTTGAGAGCCTGATCCTACTCTCCGTCGGGCCAAATAGCAATAACTCAACTTGAAATCGGGCCTCGGGACCCAACGGCAGAGGCCCTTCGCAATGGCTCACGATAGCCTGGGCTTGGAGGACGTCTTGACCACGGCCTGAAAGAAACTCTACTAGTATATAGTACTAGTAGCCGTTTCTTTTAAATGGTCTTTATGCAGTTTTCCAGATGATTCATGCGGTATTTGTACATTCAAGTTGGTCTCATGAGACTCCCGCTATGAATATAATGTATAAAATTATGTACATATACAAACAATTCACATGCTCCGAAGGGGTATTTAACCATTAACCGAAGAGATACTTCTTCCAACTCTGTTTCCAAGGCTTCCAAGTCCCACCAAAACGGTGATTGATACAAGCATGAGTGCTCAAAAAGTTCTCGGCTCCACTGTGTCGTTGTCCATTGCCCCACGCATTAATAGGTAACACACACAACCCGCCCAGATCCGCCCCTGCCTTGGCCTCCGATCCCTGAACACAGCGGGGTGCGCTGAGCCCGGAGAACGGGGCCCATGTTACCCGCTGCGTCAGGCCCCCTGTCCCTGGCGAAATTAACTCGCCCAATCCCATGTCGGCGGTCACCGACTCGGAAACAAATGGGTGGGAGGCCGGGAGTGTATCGGATAAGACGTCCAAGATCGCATCTGTGAATACTCCCGGACCGGTGATTTCCAACGTGGTTAATTCATTATACCGCGCTCCGAGGAAGACGTTACTCTCGTCCAGGTGGCGTTTCGTGTGCGACAAAACGCGCACGATAATTTCTCTGAGTAGTGGGCTGAATTGGCGCGGTGCGTACATGGTATATTGAATGAAGCCGTAGCTTCGAACCCAGTGCCAGTCGTGCATCTTCTGAGCCGAGGCGAATGGCTCGTCGATTTCGACGCCGACCACGAGTGAGATGTCCGGAACGTCTGTTTTAAATACCGATTTCTGCAGTGATGGACACGATTTGATAGATCGGGCCGGGAAGACATCGGTATCGGCATAGTAGCCACCATAGTACCATAAGATCAGATATCGGAGCAAGTCAGCCCGGAGAACATGGTGAGGGTAGGCGTGGTATAAGGTTGATAGGCCGGGGATGGATGAGAGGGTGATGGTAACGAATTCTTCTGCCCATTCGGTGGTGGCGAGCTGAGAAGGTTGAAATTAGCACCCACAGCACAGGCGCGAACCAAAAAAAACCTACCTTGTACTTCCACTCGGAGTTCTTTTCCTCAAATTCGAGAGAATCAGGGCCCCGCTCCTCCGTGCCGGGGTCTTTGCCGAGGATGATCTGCCATATAGTATCCGAGGGGCCGGCGGGACCATGTAAGGTCAATTGCTGTTCCTCAATGTCGCGCAATGCCTGCGATAGCTGCTGTTCATAGGCGGTGTCTGGATTGTCGCGGAATGTGGAGCGGTAAAGGTAACGCGGTTGATCTGCCACGTGCGAATCTGCGTGGCTCTGGAGGGTGGATTGCAGCCAACTTGAAGGAAGACTCTTGGCGAGCACCAGGATGAGCAGCAGAGCAACCACGATATAGTATCTTCGCCGGCTGGACGTAGCGGGTCGAAAGCGCCTCATGGTGGACGATGAGCCATGATCGGGGAGAAAATGAATGGAAAGTCAGGGTCAATGGGATTTGGTGTCAGCAATGGCAGTGGCAGTGGGCAATGGCAGTGGACCCTTTCTTGGCGGTGTGGAGTCGCCCCACTGCTAAGCAAGCTAAGCGTGGTAGTAGTACTAGTAGTACTAGTACTAGTATAGCCTTGGAGTAGGAAAATAGCAAAGGAGAAAGGGAGAGAAGAGAAGAGGAGTTGGAGGACTTTAACTGGTAGACCTGGAGTAGTAGGAGTAGGAGAAGGAAAGAAAATGTTATAAGGAATAGCTTATACTTCAAGTTCCTATAGTACTGTGACCTTAGCTTATAGTAGTAGTAGTATATACTATTAGTTCAGTGGGAAGCAAACGGTTTACTAGTAGCCACCAGGTGCTATTTAGTAGATACTACCAGTAGTTGCTTTTAATTCTGTTGACTCTGTACTATACAAAATGGGACCAATTGCTTGAGATATCAGATAGTAAAAGTAGACTCTAACCATATCCTCTTTACGGGCTGAATCTGCAGGGTGCTACTAGTATCAATGGAGTCTGTAGTATCTATGGAATAGGTGATAGTAATATTGATATTGAGAACTATTTCCTTCGCCACAAAGACCAGCTCTCAATTTACGTCGTCGGCAATAGTCACATCGGCCATATCTTTGGGATGAACATGAGCTACTTGCATTCACTCTCAAAGATGCACCTTTCTGTCCCGGATTATCACCTTCCTAGACAGCCACCCGCACTTGAAAATGATCATGCATCCACGGCAAACCAGGAAACCACCCCAAACCCTGAGCGTCCTGAATCATCTCAATCATAAAATGCAACCTCCAATCCGCAATAACAAGCGCATCCTGCCGATCCGTCGAAAACGTATCGATTATAATCCGCAGCACCAACCCCGAATTTCTCCTTAAGGGACGCTGATTCGGATAAGAAAGACGTGTCGGTGGGATGGAAGGTTGAACACCCGTGCGAATGCGCGTGCGTGCCGTCCGCAGGATTTCCAGGTCCGGCATACGTCCTGGTACCGGGTTACGGATTTCGATCTCAAAGGTGTGTCGGAAGACTTGGTTGTTTCCGGTGTAGCCGCGTGGAGCTGTGGTGCCCGCCGCTGCTACCTGGATCAGAGATTGAGGTGGCTGTTGGTGGTGCTGGGGAGTGTCGATGTCCATTGCGTCTGGGTCCATGGGTCTTTGGATCGGATATGGAGATGAGGATGGAGATGATACGGAGGCGAGGTGGGTCCAGGCGAGGGCTTCGGGTTTGGTGGTGGATTGGGATTGAGAGGTTGCTATGATCAAGGCGGAGTTTCTGACTAGGTCTGCGCGGGATTGCTCTGGGGTTGGTCGAGCGTGGGGTGAGGGTTGAGTTGTCACTCTGTTCAAGTTGTTTAGGGCGCGATTGTTGTAGATGCTGTGGTTGCTGGCGTTCAAGGATGCCTGTCCGGTTGTGAGATGGGGTGGATATCGGGCTGGTATTGGACTGGTTAGTGCGTGCTTTCAGATGAGAAGATAGTTCGGAACTGGGGCTGCCCAGGCGGCTGCTTGCAGGTGATGGGAAGCGTGAAAGGGCATTGTATGGATTATACCTGTCCCTGATCCTGATCCTGATCCTGATCCTGTTGCTCGAATGACTGGGCTGGATGAGCTGCGGCCTTGGCCACGACCACGATCATGGCCACGATGAGAGGTCATGATTTTAATAAGTGATACTAACTCGCTTTAGGGAAAGAAGAGGCCAATGTGCTCTTGGCAAACGAAGTAAGTGCCAGTGATTGAGGTGGGGTGAATGTATAATGATGGTGAAGTTGGTAAAGGTGCCCAGGTGGTGACTCGGTAGTTCAGGCTACAAAGTCAAACACATAAAAGGCTCACACGCCTGGACTTTCAAAGCTCGATTCCAGTAGTAGTAGTAGTAGTAGTAGTAGTCGGCCACTCACTAGAATTCACTGATGTTCATAGCTATACCTGGGTAAAAACTTAGATTTCTACACCAGTTCTGACTATTGGAATCTATTTCTACTATCTGATATCTCAAGCAATTGATCCAATTTTGTACAGTACGGAGTCAGCAGGCTCAAAAGTGACTAATATCTAGTACTAAATAGCACCTGGTAGCTATCTAGGTACTAATATTATTGAATAACAGGTTACTTGCTGCTGAACTAATAGGAAATAACTACCAGTCCTAGTACTAGTAGTATAAAGTCAGGTCCACAGTAGTTAAACTAGAACTTGAAGCTACTTTCCTACTCCTACTCCTACTCCTACTCCAGCTCTACCAGTTCAAGTCCTCCAACTTACCTTACTCCGACTTCTCTTCTCTTCTCTCCCTTCCTCCCTTCACTATTTTCCTACAGTGGCGTTGCAAAGGTTTGAAACCCCTTGTTGACTGTCCTCGTCTCCGCAATGGGGGACTTCAAAATTTTGGAACGCCACCATATTCCAAGGCTATACTCGTACTACTCGTACTATCACGCTTAGCTTGCTTGAGCCGGTGATTGTATTAACCCTACCAAATGCGATGCAATACAAAGCAAGATCCCCAACTCCTAGATCCATTCCAAGGATTCCATAGATGCAACTGAACCAGATTCCACAGATTCCACAGATAGCACAGATTCGGCCCGCAAAGAGGACGAGGATATCGATATCACACTGAGAGACACACTCCCTTCTCTATTCTCACCTTGCTCTCCTCCACCCTTAACATCACCACCTTCCCACGACTTCTTGATGGTTTTGACGGTCGGCCACACCTTTTTACGGGCGTCACTCCGCTCCATCCCGCCATCAAGAAGAGAATCATAAGGCGTGTGAGTATGTCTGATATGAGCTTCCACGGCCAGCGAGGCTTTGCGTTTATCAGTCGTCATACCGGTGCGACCGACGCGGCCGGAGCCTTTGAGGAAAGCATGATTCATGACAATGTCCAACGTAGCTGGTGGCATTAACGGGAATTCTGAGCGCAGGAGTTGGCGCCCGCGTGATAGAACCTTTGTGTCGTTGGTTTTGACAGCTTTGGCGCGGGATTCGGCTGTTGCCGCGGCTGTTTTCAGTACTTCTGAATGGATCGAGGATGGGACTCGGATTCCGAAGCTGCGTTTGCCGGCTTTGTCCTAGTTTTTTGTCAGGATGGGTGGTTGGTGCCAGTGGGGGCAGGGAATGGACTTACCCAGACTGTGTAGACCATTTGGTCAGATTCTTTGGTTTTGATACGGCAGTTTCTGGTGATGTACACATCACCTTTTGGGACGAAGATATAGCCGTCTGGCATGGGGGACTTGTCCACGATGTTCTGTTTGAGTGTTAGAGAAATTGCTTTGATGGGAGTTTTGTGGTTTAAGTTCAAATTTGGAACTGACCTTTTCAAGGGGATCATCTGATTCTAGAAAGATATGTTTTCCCCGCTTCTTCTTGGTTGAGCCCTTCGAGCGTGGGCGATTCAATTTTGAGAGTGGCTGGTTGTCAGACCCCCCCGAGCAAGGAATGAAGTGGGGCTTCATTCTGTGGATTTGATGGGTTTCCCGAATTTTTCGTACGAGCTCTCTTGCGATGGTTTTTTTTTCCGTTCAGAATTGCGTGGAGCCGTACGTTTGGGAGGCATGGTGTTGGATGCTGTAGGGGTGGAGAGAGGGATGGCAAACAGATAAAGCGGCAAGTATCAAAGAAGCAAAGAGAAAGAGAAAGAATGGAAAGGGCAGAAAGATTATCTGCCCCGGACAAAGGATCATTCAGATGCGACCGGCATTTCCCTGGCGGGGGTGAGAGTGAAGATGGAGGTGGAGGTGAAGGTGAAGGTGAAGTGTCTCCGCGGAAGTCTTGGCAGCGAAAGCCTCAGTTAGCATAGACAATACACAGCTGTAGAAGTGTGTATACCTAGGGAACGATTAAAGATGCAAAATATTAGAATTATTTAATTATTAGCTTTGGTAATATGATAATATTACTAATATTCTCACCCCGTAACTAACTACTCTAAAGGTTAAGGTAATGGCAATTGACTTCCTAAGGTTTGCACCACGCCGTTTGTGCCATGATCGACAAAAGGCAAAGGACCTCCGATCGCATTGATTCATGGGGAAATGGGAGCTCTGGAGGGATTTGGAGCTTAACTAGGATAGTCTTAGTACTAGTACGGAGTACTTACTACTCATGGTATCACAAGCAACCGGCAAGCGAGGCTCAAGGCTGAACCAGCGGCCTGGGAAACCGGTTTGCACTGGCAGAGCAAGGGGGGATTCAGGGATGCAGGGGTAGGAGTGCTCCTGTATCCAGTGGACACTGCCAGTGGGTGTCAGTGTATATGTACAAGTGTACGAGTACGGAGTACTACTTACAGCATTGAGTAGCTAATCTTGGGGATATACAGATATCGAGTTATACTGGTATACTGGTATACTGGTATGCTGGCATGCTGGCACTGCTGGCTACATGGCACGCAATGAATGTCGTCATGAGTGCTCCAGAGTGCTCCAGAGTCGGGAGCACTCCTTCGGACTAGGTTTAGTACGAACAGACTAAGCCAAGGCCAATCTCATCTCCCTCGTTCGAGAGTGGGCGCCAATCGGGGCTCGGAGGGTCGGGGGTCGTGGGTCCTGGCGCAGCTGAAAGAGAGTAAGATGAGCTGAGGAGAGGAGAGATAGTCCAGAGTACTCTCGATCAAGCACTGTAAGTAAATGTAAATGTAAATGCAAATGTAGATGCAGTTGTAATTGTAGATGTAGATGTAAGTACCCAGTCAGCCTTCAGGTACCTGCAAGATTTATGCAGGAACCAGGCACAAACGCAGTGGATCGGATGACAAAAAGTCCCCACGGAAGAAAAAAGAAAAAGAAGAAAAGAAAGATCCGATCTGGACCAACTAAGGAAAAGAAAAACACTTCAGTTTGCCGCCTACCTCTCCCACCACTCTACACAATCGAGTATAATCATACTCATAGTTATCCCATACTCACACTGCCACCATCATCATCACCACCATCACTACTACACTCACTCTACACTACACTACATCACTCCTATCATCACCACCACCACCACACCTCCTCCTCCTTCTATACACCACCACTACCAATACACCACACACCACACACCAATTTCAATGCTCCCTACCGAGCATTCCTTCCTTAACTCTCCTTAAGGTTGTTTGGCCCATGGTTGCTGGGCCCTGCTGACATGAGTTGGGATCCCCCTGTCCACAGGTATGTACCAGCTACCCCTTCCTCCTGTGCGGGGAACTCCCTGTCTACTTGTCTTGTGTCTTGTGCCTTAGTAGAATCTTGGTCTTTGGGTTTATCGTCCTGGCCTCTGCCTTCTGTCTTTTGCTTTCCCTGCCATGCTCGCTCCCACCGGCCTCCTCCACTACCATGATGCTAATGCACCCCGCCATGTTCAGCTTCAGCTATCCCTCTGGCGAGCCACAGACTCCCACGAGAACGCCCACCACCCAACCCCTCGATTCTTTCACTCCCAAGCTCGAGTCCAGCTTCTTCGATCCCCGGGTCACCTGGGATACTGCCGACCCATATGCCTCCAGCCCCGAGTTCCTCCGTTCGCCTCAGAAGCTAGGCCTTCACCCAGATCAAACCGATACCGTCAGACGAATCCGCCCTGGGAGACCTTTAGACCCTATGAGTGAGGATGGACCGCGGACCGTGGACTCGGCAAAGTCGGCCGCCTCGATGCAGACCCCTCCACCCACCAGTGCTTCAAGAAGGAAGATTCCGGACTTTGAGCCATTGACCGGTGCCGGCAGGGGAGCTACACCACGGATTGGAGGGGGAGCAGGAGAGGGAGGAGCACATCTGGAGACACCCAGCCGTTTGCTAGGAACCTCGCCCCGTTTGTTCGGAAACCTCCAGGCCTCACCGGACCTCTTCCAGCTGGCCTCATTGGATTCGACGGGCTCGCCTTTCTTTCCGCAACAACGTCTCTTTTGGGACCAGCAAGATCAGGATCAGAGCCATCTTCTTCAGAACCAGCATGCTACGGTCTCCAACGATATCCCTTTACCCAGCACCGGTCTCAGTGCTCATGCTGAGAAACCCTCCAACTACCCTTCTCTCAATAACACTCATTTCCCCCAATTGCCCGCCATCGATGGCTCCATGGATCTGCCTGACTTCCACGGAGCGTTTGGTATCTCCTCTGCTCCTCCAACCGATGCTGCATTGTTCCCCGCCCCCTTCTCAACCTCCCCGCGAGTGCCTGTCGCCAAGGCAGAAGACCCGGCCATGTTTCTCAGCTCGCCCGCTCGACGTTTTGGCGGACCTCAACTCACCCCGGAACGAAGACCTCTCAATGGTATCAGACAACCTTACTACCACCAAACTCAAGAATATAAACGGGAGGAGCTGCGCCGTGCCCTCGGTCAGCCGGGAGGACCCCCCAAGACCATTCGGGGGTCTTTCGGAGGAGAACGAAGACGACGATTTCACACCGCGAGGGAGACGGCCAGGACTGACTCGAAGTGCTACCCATACGGCTATTACGAGCTCTGCATCGCGGCCTGTCAGTCAAGCTGGAGGCATGATGGCTTCGACGAACGGTATTCGCAAGAGTCCCTCCAAGGGCCGGGCATCTGGCCGCTCCTCTCCCGTCAAGACTATGCGTCCTGCGCCTCTCAGCCGATCTAGTTCCGTTGCAACGAGCCTTCCTAGTCGCTCCCGATCCATCGTCCTCAGCATCGGCTCAGATGGTCGTGCCAAAGCTGAGATGAAGCCTACGGATCAGAACCCAACCAGTTTGACGGATCCCTTAACTGGCATGGACCTCGATGGCTCTGCTACCGAGAGTGAGGTGGACCCGGCAGAGTACTCAGAGTATCCAGTCCTTCATCGATCGCAATCTTCCTTTCCTGTTTTCGAAAATCGTCCGTCTTTGTCTCGCAGTGACTCCGGCTCTCGGCCTCCATCCAAGGGCTCATATACTTCTACAGTGGGCTCCTCACACTCAGGTCGCATGTCTCCCTGGGCTGGATCTTCTCGGGGAGGTACTGGTCGATCAACTTACCGCGGATCCCCCGAGGCCGTGAAACGAACACCCAAACGACACTCTTCATTGTTGCACTCCGATGCTTCATACACCAGAGGCAGCACTGCCTCGCAGGCACTCCCCGGGGACGACTCAGATAGCGGCGATGCTCAACATGCGCTGCGCCAAGTGTTGAAAGAGCGCGGCCGAGCTCCAAAAGCGAGACCTTCGACTGGCGGGTATAATGCTCGCATGGCACGATCTTCACATACGTTTGCCAATCTTCGCTCTTCACCTCCTCGCCTCCATAGCGATTTTGATATCCACCCCCGTCAATCCAACCCATCCCCCACAACCATGACCGACCCCGATCTGGCCACACCAAGCACCGACCGCCATAGCAACCCGAGCAACGGGACGCGCTGCGTCTGTCGGTCAATGGACAATGGCGGTCATCTGATGATTCAATGGTGAGTTCTCGGCCAATAGCTTACTTGCACTTATCCTCCCCTGTCCCCATTCCCCACCCTGAACAAGATTATACTAACATACCCCAGTGAATCATGTACACATTGGCTACACACCAAGTGTGTTGGACTAGAGCGCTCCAACCTGCCCTCATTCTATGTGTGTCTCTTCTGTGACCAAACCCCATCCCGACAAAACCGCGTCCGATCAAGCTACGGTGGCGGCCCACCATCACCTCTAGCACACAAATCCTTTCGATTCCGGTAACCCTACCGTGGCTGCATTAACTTATATATTGGAGTCCTGACGACCCCCTCTCTTTTGTTCTTCACGCCGGGTTCTTTGACTTAGTCGGGCCGCCTCCCGCGATTATTTTCCTAATTGTTTTCCTCCCCCTCATGATGATACCTATGTACTTCCTGTTTTTGATACTTTTACTTTTTTTACTTTTTTACTTTTCTATCTTCTCTCTGAGATCCAATAGAATCCGTTCCTATCGCCTCAATCCTTGGAAACCCATCGGCAACGCGCCCGATGAGTCCGCGGTTCGAGTCGGCTTATCGCCCTCACCGCCTTTTATTATCGTAAAATTAAGAAATCTAATTTCCCCCGCAAGTTGAAAGTTGGAGTCATTCAAGTTGCCACACACTCTCTCTTTCACTCGAACTCGTCCTTCGTTCCTAGGCCATGTCTGCCTCACTCCCCGGTTCCCGGGACCTGCCATCCTCTCAATATAATCTGAAGAGCTACTGGGGCCGTGTCCGTCATGCCGTTGACCTCTCTGACCCTCGGTGAGTCTGCCCGCCTTACTCTGTGGCTGGCGTGTGAAAGTACTAGTAGGACCAGGGACTAATTGAATTTGTTCAGGACGTTATTGACCTCGTCCACAAGCCTGGAAGAGGCCAAGGCTCTGATTTCTTCGTACAAGCAGAACAAGATCCCCGTCATGACCCCGGATCTGTGGGCGGCCAAGAAACTTGTTGACTCGACCCTGCACCCGGGTACGTATTGATATACCGCGAGATATCAACCCAGAGGATTCCATCATTGACTCTTCTCTATCGCAGACACCGGCGAAGCCGTCACGCTCCCTTTCCGCATGTCCGCCTACGTTCTGACCAACCTGGTCGTCACTGGCGGCATGCTTACCCCAGGCCTCCAGGTGAGTAAGAAAGAAGAGACATCTCGAGATCTATCTCAGAGCCAAACATTGTGCTAACCTTCCACCCCAGACAACGGGAACCCTCCTCTGGCAAATCACCAACCAATCCCTAAACGTCGCAATCAACAATGCCAACGCCAACAAATCAACCCCCCTCTCCACCTCCCAAATCGCCAAGTCCTACCTCATGGCCGTCTCAGCCTCGTGCTCCGTCGCCCTGGGTCTGAACGCCCTCGTCCCCCGCTTGAAAGGCATTGCCCCAAACACCCGCCTCATTTTATCCCGCCTGGTGCCCTTCGCCGCCGTCGCGAGCGCTTCAGCCTTAAACGTCTTCCTCATGCGCGGCGAGGAAATCCGTCAAGGAATCGACGTCTACCCCATCCTCTCGGCCGAGGAGCGCGCTAAGCGCGAAGCCCTCGGCGACGACGCACCTCCCCTCGAGAGTCTGGGTAAGAGTAAGAAGGCTGCTACATTGGCCGTTGGCGAGACGGCTATTAGCCGTGTGTTGAATGCCACGCCTATTATGGTCGTGCCTCCTCTTATCCTGGTTAAGTTGGAGAAGACTGAGTGGTTGAAGGCGCGGCCTCGAATGGTTCTCCCTGTGAATCTGGGTCTTATTTTGACGACTTCGCTGTTTGCGCTGCCCTTGGCTTTGGCGGCTTTCCCCCCAGCGTCAGGCTATTTCTGCTGGTAGTTTGGAGGAGGAGTTCTGGGAGAAGGGTGGTTCTTCCGGTATGGTTGAGTTTAATCGGGGTATGTAGGTGGACAATATAGTATAGGTGGTGAGTGGTACTGGTGGATGGACAGACAGATGATTTCTTGCTTTTGGCGTTGCTGTGGGGTATTTCCTTTTCCCGTGCTTGCATTTACATTAGATCGTCTTGATTTAGATTTATCACAAGTACAAAGTTCATTTCATTTCGGAATACATCATTTCGCACAATCATTTCAATATGTGACAGTGCCAGTGCCAGTGCCAGTGGTTCTATCTAACTACTACATAGTACTAATAGTAGTGGTTTCATGGTCTCACCAGCTACCGCTGTGACCTTACCTTGAAGGATTCCCACCTGTACAATTCAAATGCGAGACTTTTCTCGCCGAGATAATGCCCTCGATCAATTCAGCCAGGTCCAACAACACCTCATCTCCTCCCTCTCGCCCCATCAACTCCAATCCAATCGGTACACCCTGGGGGGCTTCGAGTGTAGCAGGACCGAATCCAGCTATAGACAAGCAACCCATTAGCATCAGCATCATGCCTCTCTAACCTCATCCCCGAGAAGGGGGAGTCAATTATAGAACAAACTTACCTGGAATACAAACAGCAGGCCTACCCGTCAGAGCAGCAAGGATCCCATTCCTGGCGGGCTGAATCGTCGGGCCGATTTTAATAGGAAAGTGGCGCTGGTGCGGATATACCAGGGCGTCGATGTCATGTTTGGTGAAGATTTCTCGGACAGAATTCTTTAGTGATTCGATGAGGGTGAGTCGAGTTTGGTATTCTGTGCTTTGGCGCGAATATCTGTGTTTGTCGCTGAGTGGGAGGGTGAATACGCCCGTCACGGCCTTTTGATCGATCTCTCCGCTTGAAGCGATGCTTTCGAGGGAGGGATGCGGGGATGAGATTTGATCCAATTGAAGGAATTCGTTTAGACATTCTCTGAATTCAAAGGCTTGTGTGTCTCCGTTGCTGAGGAGGTGGGTTACGCTCCAGTCAACATCATTATGGCTGCTGGCCGGGATAGGGACAAGGGTGATGTTGATGTTGGTATTCGATGGGTCTTGCGCCGAGGAGATCAGAGACAAAGCTTTCCGAGTAACATCTTGCACGATAGCGTTTTCGGCGACGAGTTCGGGTTCCAATCCCAAGTTGGCGTTGCTGGAGGATGATGATGTCGGCGTCTCCAAATGGAAATATTCCTCCAAGACACCAATTCGAAACACACTCTTACTCTCAGTCTCACTTCCCTGCGAACTTGACTCCCCCTTCATCACATCAAACAAAACCCGCACATCACCCACACACCTCCCCATCGGACCCGCAACATCCTGCGTCTCAGAAACCGGCACAATCCCCTCTGTATCAACCCTACCAACCGACGGCCGAAACCCAACAATCGAGCACGCCGACGCAGGCGAACGCAACGAATTAACCGTATCAGTCCCACATCCCACCATGCCCAAATTCAGCGCCAGCCCAGCTCCCGTCCCGCCAGATGATCCGCCCGGTGTTCGGGTGATATCGTAGGGATTGAGGGTCTGCCCGCCGAGCGAGGATGTTGTTGTTCCGTGGAGTGCGAATTCATGGAGATTGGCCTTTGCTAGAATTATAGCGCCGCTGTGTCGGAGCTTTCGTACCACATTGCCATCTCTTTTGCTGGTCAGTGTGGCGAGGGCTTTTGCGCCGCCGCTTGTGGGGAGGTCGTGGGTTGTGTAGTTGTCTTTTAGGAGGATGGGGACGCCGTGGAGTGCAGGGAGTGTAGCTGTAGCTGTAGCTGTAGCTGTGGCTGTAGTGCTAGTACTCCCCGCATTGCGCTGGAGGAGACGATCAGTCTCGGCATCCTTTTCGGCGGCTTCGGTTAAGGCGTTCGGATTGATTGTTATGAGGCTTTTTATTGTTGGGTCGTGCTGCGCGATGCGGGATAGATATGCGCCAACTACGGCGGTGATGGTTGTGCGCCCCTCGCGCAGTGCGGCGTGGAATGTGGGGATTGTAAGTTCTGTTACATCGATTGTGCTTGCGTGTGAGCTCATCTTGCAAGGACTGGGTGGGTGCCAGTGTGCAGTAGCATGCAGGGTTAGGTGGTAGATATACTACCGGAGTTGGAGGTGAGTTGGAGTTGAGTGGGAATTGGAGTTGGAGTAGGTGGTAGTTAGTGGTGATAAATGAGAAGATGTTCGGAGAAGAGTCCGAGTCCGAGGTTGATAACCTCGGACTCGATGCTAACTACTAGTATTAGTTACTACTGCATGGCTGGTTTACTCTGACGTACTAACCAGCACTGGTAGCACTGGTAGCCCTGGAGTAGCCTGGGATACTGTCGAATGCGGTTACGGGATGATGATAACACGCAAGGAGTACCTCTACTACCATCTGCCATATCTAGCCACTAGAACGTGCAAATCTGAATCACAATCATCACATCTGACGACTTCTATTGTTATTGTTTACAAAAAGGAGGAACGCAAGAATCAATGATAATAGAGTCCGGCCAGGCCAATGCCTATATACATCTCCACCACTCCACACAGACGCCCAGATATCACCGTTCAACATGGTATAAGAATGTCGCCAGGGAAATCTCCAAAGCCCCATGGCTACTCAAATAAGACGCAGATGCAAACAACCAGTAACATAACCTGCGCCGGAAAGATAGGCAGAAACAATGAATAGATAAAAAAAACCATAAGATACCGCGCTCCCATCGCGCGAGATGCTTCGGCCAGCACCATGAAGGGGGAGAAAACCGTTGCGGAGGTCGAAAAAGAGTAGAAAGTGTGGAAGAACAAAGGGCACCATCGTAATCGTCATTTTCCCTGAAAGAACACCGACCGTCCCACCGTGAAATTCCATCCGGTTGAATAATTAAACCTAAAACCCCAAAAAAAACGAACCGTCTATCCTGAAAAGGACCCGAGAGACGCCAAATGCTGGAAGAGCTGAGAGCTGGATGCTCAATGCAAAGTGGCTAACCGGTCTGATTACCCACGGCCCTGGCGGTGCAGGCCCATGCCGATGCGGTATGCTTCGGTGCCGTCATCAATCAGACTCTCTTTAAACCAAGGGTGCTTTAGCGCCTCCTTCGCCGTGAGACGGTTCTTGGGGTCGTAGACAAAGATGCGCTGCAGCAGGTCAAGGAATTGACGGTTGAAGGGCGTATTGGTGGGAATAAAATCCTTTTGAGTGGTCAGTGAAATACTTGGTGGACTGGCTCCGGAGGTGACACTTACGGTGAGGCCTTTCATCGCTTTGACATACTTCCTCGAAGCACGAGTCGTCTCATTGTTCGGGTAGTCGAGCTTACTTCGGTTGAAATACCTGGGGTCGTTAGTCTTTGAAGAAATGCCTCGCATACTTTGAATTCTGCTTACTTGGCTGCCGAGTTGTGGCTACCGGCTCGGCCTTGCACGACCTGTCGCACGAGTCTCGAGTCGATTTTGGTCCCAATAACGGATTCCATCATAGCCAAATGTTCGAGGTTGTCGTGCGTCTGGAAAAGAGCATCGCCGGTGAAGAACTCCACCAGGATACACCCAATACTCCAAATATCGCAAGGGAAACTCCATCCCAAGTTCAGAATGATCTCGGGAGCTCGATAGTGACGGGTGGAAACAACGGAGGAATGGTACTCGTCGTCAAATGTCGCGGAACCAAAGTCGATCAGGCGAATCTCGCTGTCGAGAAGAACACGCCGTTGCCGGGCATTCCGAGGGTTCGCGTGGGAGGAGGAGGGGATGGTACGGTTGTAGGTAAAAGTCTGGTAGGCGTTGCTGACGAGGAGGATATTTTCGGGCTTGAGATCGGTATGGATGAGGTTGAGATCGTGAAGGACTAGGAGAGAGTCAGTAAAAATCGCCGCGAACGTCTGGTCAGGGTCAACTCACAGGCCACACTAGTGAATAATTGGCGGGCAAATTGCTGGATCTGACTGCTGGGAAATGGAACGAAACCATTGCCTTTGAGGAAGTCGAAAACGCTCTGGCCAAGCAGATCGGTGACGATGCAGATGTGGTTGCGGAAATCAAAGCAGTCTCGAAGATGTATACATTTGTTGCGGTTGCTCTTGTCGTTGGAGGCCAAGGTTGACAGCACGCGCAACTCGATCCGAGAGGCATCTCGGTATTTTTGGATTGATCGAATGATCTTCACGGCACAACGTGATTTCCGCTGCTTGTCGTAGGCTTCGACAACTTTACCAAAGGTGCCTTGACCCAAGAGCTTGATGATTGAGTCTGGAATTGTCAGCACGAGCAAGGGTAACCACATATTGCGCGCCACTCACATCGATCGGTCAATGGCACATCGGGAGTGACAATATAATGACCATCGTCATCGTCGTACTTTTCGTGTCGGGCGGCCGCAAACTGTTGGGAGTTGGTGCGTTAGTTCAATTCACTCAATTCTCCCCCCTCAAAATCAGCTGAGTGTGAAGGTGGAAACTTACGTCACGAACCACGGGGACCGGCACATCCTTCGACTTGATTATAGGCTTGGGCGGGGGAACATAGCTGAGGTAGGCATCGCTGACCGTCTCGAGATCCCGGCGCTTCTGTTCATCCCGGGCGGACTTCCGGGTGGTTCGCTTGCGCTTTTGGCCGATACTGGGATCTTGAGGGTGGTACATCCCGGCGCTACCGTTGGAGCTACCCTGAGAACCCAGTGACGTAGGAGCAGTGGTATGCAAGGAGGTGGTGCGATCCGTCGAGAGAGAGTTGGAGGAGTTGTGTTGTTGTTGCTGGTGTTGCTGGTGCTGTTGGTGTTGTGGTTGTTGGTGGTTGTCTCCGTATTGCTGGGGGTTGATGGAGTAGGACGGTCGGTCATAGTAACCCATGTCGTAGGCGCTATCGATTCCGGTTCGTCGCCTCTTGCCAGCAGGCTCTGAGACCGAAGGTTGACCAGCCGATGTTGAGGCACCATGGAGAGGAGGCGGCGGTGGTGCCGCGGTCGCCTTGGAGCCATCGGGACCGGGGCTATCATCGATCACAATGACCTCCTTGGGAAGACCATTCTTGTAGAATTCACCCCAATCGGGTTTCTTGCGCCGGGAGCCCTGCGACGGGGCGGCGCTGGAGGCACTTGGCATCGAAGCCATGGCTGAGGGCGTCGAGGTCGCGGGAGGGACTCGCGCGGGCTGGGTGTAAGGGAGGGTTGTGGTCGTGGGCGAAGGTACCGAGTAACCGTAGGGGTTCGGCAAGCGAGCCCCTGCGGCGGCGGCGGTGGTCGTGGTGGAGGCCGGATATGAGGTCGTCGCTTGATATGAGGAATGAGGATAACCGTAATGCTGGTGAGTTGGGTGGGTTGCAGTGGCCGTGGAGGGCGTGGACATTTTGTGTACGGAGGAGTGCCGTCCGTCACACGAACGGTAGCGGGCGAAGGAGTCGCAGTCAAGTTCGATTGATCGCGGGGGGGATTGCCGGGAGGCGGACGAGACTCGGAGGAGATTAAGACTGAAATGGAGGGAAGCAGTAGTTTCCCTCGCGAGAACCCGGAGGTATAGAGTTGGGGGAGGGAAAGGGGGAGCAAAGAGAAGAGGAGAGGAGGGAGAGAGGCAGATCGGGAGTTCTCGTCGGGTTTGGGACGTGACAATGACGAGGCGGTCGGCAGGGACAACACGGATCAAGCGAGACGCATTTCCTCGAGGATTCCGAAGATCAAGAGGAAGGAGGATGGAAGAAAGAGGTCATTGGGAAAGAAACAAGTGACATTGGGGAGGGTATGGTTAGGGGGGGGGGGAGGGAGGAGGGAAAAGAGGAAGAGGCGAACTGATGATGCTGGATGGAGCGAAGAGCCGATCCGGTGGACTGAGAGTGGAATGTAGGTAGCCTGTGTAGTTTGGGGATAGTAATACTAGAATATAAAATATAATCTATACTATATTCTATATTCTAAATACATTCACTCGATTCTCTTGATTTATTCATACCATGTCTATCTACAGTGTAGAGTGTACAGTACTCGGTACTCTACAGTATACTAGTAGTGGTAGTAGTAGTATATTATCTATCCAGTTCACTAGCATATATACTAGCCTACCATATAGTATATAGTATAGACTATATGATATATGCTATATACTATACTAGATATCTAGATGATTTAATATTTCCCTTCCCTTTCCAATTCCATAATGTGCATCCCATCTCATCATCACCCTAGCCCTGGCTTAGCCGACCCCCACCCACGGCGGACTCCCGTATGAAAATAAAATACGAGTTGTTGAAGCATAGTCTGTACACAGTGAATTGCAGTCATGTAGAGTGATACTCATATAGTGAATATCAGCAGGAATACTCCTAGGGATAGTATTCCTTAACACTACCTACTAGTATTGCTAGTATTAATACTACTTCTTCTCTCATGCAGACTGCATCGGACCTGCGCGGCCGATCACCTGACTGGATGAGTCAGCGACATTGTGCAGAAATCATTAGGAGTACCTAGGGAATTAGGGGTAGGGAATTGATTAATTATAACTGTTCGAATTACTAATAACTGTTAATTACCTGGAAAGAAATCCATAACCTTATGTAGTCTGGCAAGTTGCTTCTAGTAACTCCAGTGTCTCGAAAGTGCATCGCATCGCATCCACCTGCAAGGGCTGCAATGACGTGGGCTCCCCACAGTACTACCACCACCAGTAGTACAACGACCAAATTCTAATGTATGCACCTGCGGAGATCAACATACTCCCGGCTTGCCTTTCTCAGTGTCCCGTGATTCATTCAAGTTTGAATGCGTAGGTAGTATCACCTGGGCATGGGTTGTAATGGAGTGCCAATGGGAGAGAAAGGCTACCTTAGCACCTGGGCAGTGGTAGTATAGAGGGCAATATATATATTCCAAGGTTACTACTCCCACTGGCAGACTGTGGCAGTTGCTAGGCTTCCAAGGTTGGAATATAGAGCTCAATACATTTCGCAGCAGAAACCTTGGAATAATTTGGAAGTATATAGAAATTCTATTCGAGTTGCAGAATTGTCCCTGATTAGCTCGGAGGGATGTGCGAGCAGTTGAACATCGGACGGATCCACATAATCTGGGGTCATCCCAGCTGCAGCGTTGAGCGTAGATACTACTATCACTATGAGTAGTACACCCTGAACAATAAATCAAGGCCCAGAAATATGCCCGGCAATTGTGTCGGTCTAATTGTCCAATCTATCCATTTACAATTTTCCGAGGCTCGATATTTTCAATCATCTTTTGATCGGGCTATGAAACTACTAGTTGAGATGAACTTCATTTACCTACACACAGCCAAGCCGAGAAACAATCTTCAGATGGATTGTCAAGCTTTGTTGATTAAACAAAGAATAAATGACATGAACCTTAACTCAAAGATTCGCGCCTGAACTACTCCGTACATTGGAAGCAGAGCAGACTAGCGTTAGTTCTGCTCTTCCCCCTTGTCTAGTGTTGCTCGCTCCTAAACCGAACTGGCAACCTGTCTTGTCGCATTCGGAGAATCTTCGAGGCTGATTGATTGGCCACGGTTGAACAATGTTGCTATCCCTGATACGGTATCATTGAATACTGGTCGTGATGGGGGACTGCGGTTGCTAGGGGCTAGCGCTTGGCCAATCTGACATCCCCAGTTTCACCATCCACAACCCATGGAGTGTTAATTGCACTTCAAACCGATCGCATTTCCAGGCTGGCAACAACTATTTCTCATCGACGGCCAGTCTCCCTTGTTTATGCCCTCACCCTTTCTCCGACCAGCGCTTGGGCCGCCAACAATTTCGGCGACGAAACGAAGCGAGCCATTGGAATGGGGCTGCATACGGAGTTCAGCCACCGTGAGCCTGGAACAAATTGTTGGTTGTTCGCTTCCTCCTCCAACCAAGTCTGCGCAATATTGAAATACCAGTCATGTAGGCGTATGAGACCTGCAATGACCACGCGTCGTTTCCTTGATCAATAGCGCTGTGCTGAAAATGAGCAACACCCAATGACAGCTAAAGGACGATCAACAGACCCCGCGAGAGAGCGTCGAGGTGACCGTCTCAACTGGAAAATATCTTTTCTTTCAATGTGGGAGGTGGAGGTGGTAAATATACTAGTAATGCAGCTCGCATCCACGTTTTTGGTACTATTGTCGGCGGGGAATCCATGCAAAACGTCCTGTCATTGATACGATACGACGCAGATCAATCACTCCTAAAGTTAATAGACCCCGTACTCCATCCAATCCATGCCATGAGTGGATGCTGTGACAGCGCACAGGTCGCGCTCTCGCACATCGCGTGCACCTGCGTGTGAACACAATCGAGAAGAAAGACACTCACATCAACGGCAGACTCGGAGACCCGTCGAAGGAAAACTAACTGACTAGCCTCCCCACTCCAAACTGTATGATTCGATCAGCCTTCGGAGGAAGCGGATTCTCCCGTTAGAGGCAAAGTGGCCCCACAGAGTGCATTGTGGTAGTCAGTGGTTGTGCTTTTGTCTTTGACGAGCCCCTCGCCGTTTTACAACTTTCGCTCTCTGCATTGTTCCAACCTGTTTGACACTAAAGTGCCAAAGGAAAGTTGTTCTGATCGGGTAGGAGGACCTATTTGATCGCTAAAATGTCGGAAAAAATCGCCGTGGTGAGCGCACGCTTCTATAGAGTTGGCTTGGGATAGACACTGAACCGATTGCATCTAGGATCCCGATTATTATAAGGGGAAAGATGAAATTGTTCCCAGTGATTTCGAGTCGTGAGTGGGCGTTTACCTGGAGAGAAAAGTGGCATAAAAAAGGGAGAGAAACATGGTCTGTTTCGAATTGGGTTAGCTAAAGAGGTCTTCCATCTCTAGGGAGACCACGTCGCTCTCCTCGACAATTTATAAAGGAATCATGGAGAACGGTCGTCGGTACCAGAACCTGAAAGAAGGCGAATACTGGTGAGATTCACGCATTCATAGAAACCACGACTTTAAGATTTACTAAATCCTTTTGATAGGGGCCCCGCCGACGACCAGCAGTTTGAAAGCTACGAAGCAGGGTAATTATCGCCAAGAGACACCGACAGAGCGACGCTGACCACGATAGTCATCTAACATATCTTGTGGTCGACTCGGAAACGCCAAACCCGCTTTTTCAAGCCCCGATTACCAATCCCAAGGTATGCATCTGCTGGAATTAGTTGCGAGGGAAGACTTTATGTTTCAGACACTGACGGTCAATCATAACAAGCATGTTTTGGACGTTGGAACTGGCCGAGGCTCCTGGGCTATGTAAGTTGCAAAAAAAATGATTTGCTACTATGCTATCGTGATTATAATATTTGCTAACCGTTCCCCCAATTGATCAGCGATGTCGCCGACATGTTCCCGGATGGTAAGGTTCTCAGATCCTAGTAGCTTCAACCCATGATATATTCTCTAATTATCACCAGCGACTGTCCGAGGAGTGGACCTCTACCCGCCGCCAGAGAAATGGCTTCCACCTAACTGCATTATGGAGGTGGACGATGTACTCCAAGAGTGGACCTGGCGTGACCAGTTCGATCTTGTCCATCTACGTCAAATGATGGGTTCATTCACCATCCCGGAATGGGACAGGTTTTACAAGCAGTGCTATGAGTAAGTCACGTTTTCTTACACCCGATCCAAGTCAATGATCTGCAAGATCCCAGAATTAACAATATCCACGCAAATAGCAACATCAAACCTGGCGGCTGGATTGAGCAAATGGAGGGTAACCCACGTGTCCGCTGCGATGACGGCAGCGTACCCGATGACAACAGTTGCCTCTTGTTCGGCTTGCAGTGCTGCGACGCAGCCGATAACTGGGGTCGCCCCGTCACATTGGCCGATAATATGAAGGAGGAATTGGAGAAGGCCGGTTTTGTTGATGTCCATGTGAAGGAGTACAAGTGGCCGATCGGTGCGTGGGCTAAAGACCCTATTCTCAAGGAAGCTGGCAGACTGCACTACCACCAATGGACCTCTGGTATGGAGGGTTGGGCAACGTTCTTCCTTACTAAATATGGTGTTCCTGAGCCGTGGACGATTGAGGAAGTTCAGGTTTTGATGGCAAAGGTCCGCAAGGAGATTCAGAACCCTCGCAGCCACATCTACCAGGTTGCGTAAGTGATGCCCACTATTTTGATTATTTATAATATCAGCTGACACCTCCTAGGAGACGAGTTTGGGGCCGAAAACCCACAGTGGAAGAAGAGGAAGCTCGGAAGAAGGCCAAGGGGGCCGAGTCGAAGGCCAAAGAGATCAAGGAGGAGCCAAAGGATAACTAAAAGCGTGGCTTCATGTGACCGATGTAAACAACCTCTAACATAGAGTTTGCAATTCTCTCCTTTGATGTTTCAGTACACAGCCCTTGAAAACGATGTTGTAGATATCAGTTAGATAACCGCCCAAGTAGATTACCTTTGGTTATTAGGGACCTCTATGTTAGTCATATGTCCTTTCGAGTACCGTGGGTACCTGAATGAAGGATACAGGAAAAGCGGTCACCAGCAACTAAAATATCATTTGAAGAGATCTAGGTAATCGGAGCTTTTTACAGGTATGTTCAGGCTCCATAGCTAAATGGCATGACACATAAGACATGATAAGAAATTCCAAGCCTAAAGAATGAGCTGAAAATCTTCCATGTTCGTAGGCCCAGCCATTTATGCCCGGAGGCCACCGTCTATCCGTACTATCTCGCCGGTCATATAGCTAGCATCATCGCTAAGTAGGACGGCGACCATACGTCCAATCTCCTCAGGTTGCGCAATTCTTTTCATAGGTACCTGTCGAAGAAATGTTTCTACTGGAAAATTATCTGTAGCAGCCATAGGGGTATCAATCAAGCCACTAAAATGATAGTAACTGAATTAGCAGGGCATTTTATAGTTGATAAAAAGTCGATTACTTACGGTGCGATTCCATTTACCCGAATACCTTTAGGCGCAGCTTCAAGTGCGGCGGTTCGCGTGATACCAATTACCTAGATTATTTCAGAAGTTGTATCATTACAACTAGGGCCTCACTTACTGCGTGCTTGCTGGGAGAATATGCACCACAGCCAGCGGCACCGTCGAGGCCAGCCACACTGGTCATATTAACGATCGCACCCCATTTTTCATGGCTTTCAGCTGGGAACGAAGACATTTGAAGCTATTTAGTGGAAGCGAGGATTAGTTAGACTTTAATCGCCAAATGTGAGGTGATGGATGAGACGCACACCCCGGCTGCATTGGTTTGTATCGTGAAATCCCAGTCCTCATCTGTTGTATCTTCTAGAAGCGTTCCCAATGGTAATATTCGAACAGCACCTGCGATGTTTGCGGCACCATCCAACCTGTCAAACTCTTTTATTATGCCATCAGTCCACTGGTTGACGTCCTCTGTTTTGCGAACGTCAACAGCATTATAAGAAAGATGCTGGCCAGCAGATACTGGCTTGAGTTCTCGAGCGATTTTTTCGAGTGCCTCGAATTGCAAATCGCACAATGCAAGCGATGCGCCTCGAGAGTACAGAACCTTTGCTGTGGCGGCTCCTATTCCTGAGCCGGCTCCTGGAAAGAAAAAAAAGATTAATCTTCATTCTAATTGATCTAAGAGAAACATCACTCAATAAAACAAGACTTACCAGTGACTGAAAATACCTTGCCTTCGAAAGTAGCCATAATCTCTGAGAAGCTTAAATCTGAGAAGCAAAGATGAAGTAATGCCGATTGAAGAGTTTAACCTGGCTGGCTCCCCACTTTATAAGTTTAAAAAAAGAGACATCTATTGACAATACGATATCTGGAATTACCAATAAAGAATCCCTGAATAGGTAGCCTCGAGCTCCACAGATCGCCAGTACTCCCACGGATTGGTTTATCCCAGTAAGCTGACCATAAACTTGATCGAACTATACTGTCGATTGGCCGCCTCAGTCAGATCGCCCCAGCCCGCCGGAATCGGGCACTTACCCAAATGGGGCAGTGAACCATTTATAACCTCATAGTACTCTTTGTGCAAAGTAATACACATGAAAGCAAAGAACTAATTTATGTCCTCCGTCCATCCCTCGGGAAGATACTGGATAGTTCACTGTGGGACAGCCTTATTCCTGATCTAGAGAATGACGGAAATAACCCCGCCCAGTATCGAGTCTGAGTGATCTTTGACTTGGTGAAATTTACAAACGATGATTATGATGCGACGCCTCTTTATGAGAGTTCAAATCTCGAGGAAGTCAAGAATGTATGTTACTTCGATGATAAGACAGCTTTTACTGCGGATTTGGAGCCTGAGGATAATTTGGGCAACAACCCTTTATGCATCCATGTTTAGGCAACCGCCACAGTCAAATGCTTCCTTCCGATGCGTGAAGAAGTTTCCGTTGGACATTCTCTTTGATTCCTGCTAGTTCAAAAGTAAACAACAAAGCCTGTATTACGTCAATGCAATGTCCTACCAATATGAAGATATTAGGACGTCTCGCCCATCAGGCTCCAAAGTGCCTGAAATAGCCCTACCAGGTCCGCAGGGGGCACTCATGGTCGTGCTATTGACATACAATGGGTCCCCGTTCAAAGACCACTGGGCATACTTCGTGGAATCACGAGAAAATCCCCAAATCGGAGTCATGATACAAGCGAATGGAGATGTGATGAATGTATTTTCAGTTGAAATTGAGCGCAGTCATGACTTGCGATCTGCCGATAAACAGCCAACTGCGAAAATTCCTCTCCAGTGGGTGGACGAAGAGCACTTTGACGAAAAGGCAATGTTCGACAATGGCCGACACATCACTGATCAAATCCCTCGCTGTCGCTTCGAGGAGAGTGTTTGCAAAACCAAAGCCCCCAGTAAAAGCCTGAATGCTGTTAATGAAACGGTTAGTTGCAGCTTACCTATTCAGCCATTCGCATTTTGATTCATTGCTTGCTTCGAGTCGAAGCCATAGCTTGTCCTCATTTTTATCTGTTAACTTGCTTCAAAAATCGATTTCAAGGCTTCTCTTCACTTCTCTTTCTTTCTGGTTTGCTCTCGATTCATCCCAACGCGTGACAAACTAACATGTCTTTTAGTCGACTCCCGGCAAGAACATAGTACAGCGCAACTGTCAAACATGGATCGTCGAGTCTGCCGAGAAACTTCTGAAAGACAACATATTCAGTGAAGAGATTGTTGCTTATCTACACGCGACTAAACAATAGCTGCGTTTATGGTACGAGAGTTGGGAAGAAGTTGATGTTCAATCCAGGAAAAGGGGTAATCGATCTTGTGTTTGGATCACAGCAAGCTCTACAGACCAATGAAGAATATCGAAGCACCTGTCGAATTGAATAGGGGTACGCGTATTGGTGTTCAATAAGCCGAGTCGTATGTTCTCCAGTAATTAAACTCACTGCTCAACGGATTCTTTTCTTCCGGCCCTGTGGCGTGGTTAAAGTGGAGACATGGGCGCATTGATCTGCCACAGGTAGGTATTCCCCGCCGCTGTTAGTTGACCTTAATGGTGCCGGTCGTAGTTGTAGACTACTTCTCTGATAGCAACTGCCAATCGAGGATATATTAGTGACATTTGGTATAATAAATAAGTGCAAGGACGGGAGGTATGGGGAAAAGCCAAGGTAGAAGGGGGATACGTGCGTGTGGGTATTTGCCGGTAGGGATTGCCCGTGGCAATGCTCAGGTGTAGGTATTCTCCAGGTAGGGATTCACCAGGTAGGTAATCGCCATGAGGCATCCATCCCTATTAAAACTACTATATAAATGGTAGGCCCTGCCCCATAGATCTGCGACTTATTCACCCCAGAAAAGGATCACCGCCAGAATGGATGTCTTCCTTGACGTTCTTGACACTTTCGTGTTTGATCGATTCTATGCATCTATCGCTCCTGATCATTTCACCGGAGCTAATAACTCCACTTTATTTGCCCAAGAATCCAACTTGAATCGGCATGTGAGGGTTTATTATCCCCTGGAACCATCGCAATGGGCAGAGTCCAGTGTTTGGAAGCGTGATGATCTCGCCAGACAGTCGTTTTCTTTGTTTCTGATCGCATGGTAAATGGCACTCTACCACGGGATAACCGTTGACTATTAAATTAATGCTCATATCTCATTTACAGGATCTTTGCCATGATCATGTACCTCGTTGGAAGTTTCATTCTATACCACACAATGTTCGACAAGCGATTACTTAAACACCCGCGATACCTCCCGAACCAAATTCAACTCGAGATTAAACAGGGACTATCGTCAATTCCAGTCATCTCAATTCTTACCGTGCCCTTTTTCCTTGCTGAAATACGGGGGTGGTCCAAACTATACGATTTCTCTAGCGAGGCTCCGTTCTGGGGCTACACCTACCTCCAGTATGCACTGTTCATCTTCTTCACGGATAGTGGTATCTACTGGATTCACCGGAGCGAGCATCACCCTAGTGTTTACCGCTGGCTACACAAGCCGCATCATAAGTGGGCTGTTCCGACTCCCTTTGCCAGCTATGCCTTTCACCCACTGGACGGTTGGGCGCAGAGTCTCCCCTACCACATATTCCCGATGCTATTTCCTCTTCAGAAGTGTGCATACCTGGGACTATTTGCATTTGTGACAATGTGGACTGTGTTTATTCGTAAGTGCCTTTCCAACAGTGAAGTCGAGTGATGGAGAAAAATTCTAACCTTGATCAGACGATGCCGAGTACATGGCATCATCAGTCATTATAAATGGAGCCTCGTGTCACACGATGCATCATTTGTACTTCAACTACAACTATGGACAATTCCTCACATTCTGGGACCGCGTAGGAGGAACATATCGCACACCGAAGGCCGACGCCTTTATGGAGGCAAATGAAAAGTCTGCACTGGCGCTGAAGAAGAAAGCCTGAGGTCTTTTATTCACGAGCGAATATTTGATTCTGTAATAATAATAGTAATATTTATGTCTTCCATTCATTACGAATTGCGAAAGCATGATTGTATAAAGTCGTTTAATGTCCCTAGTTCGTCAGTAGCATTGCTCTCGAGATACGCAAATCCTATTTCTGGCTTATCAGAAACCTCTAATGTAGCTTTCAACAGCCACCACAACTCCTCGGCATGTTTCGGATATCCGAGATGAAGGATTTTCTCTTGCTCTGCTCCAATTAAGGAGTCCCAAAGTCGTTTCCAGTTGCCAGCGGCCCGGCTGATGGCGTCGAGCGGAAGGTATTTGAGAAGACCAACCCGAGCTTGGAATGCCAGGGAGTTGATAGCTGGAAATCTAATTAGCTTTGTGGTTGAATAAAAGGTCCTCGGGTTGAGATGTTACCGTATATCAAGATCAAGAGATGCTCAGATGAGAGCAAGAGACCCCATGGTATTGAATCTTCGCTGGTTGGCGTGTCAAGCAGCTGGGTAACAACTTCTTTAAGGGGCGGAAGTGGGTTCTCAGTCGGATTCATCGTAACAATTCTGCTGAACGCAGATGCACTCTCGGCCTCCCAAAGCTCAGCGCTCCAAGGGAAATCGCAGTTCATTTCAAATATCGATAAGGACGGGTGGCTTTTGAAGCAGACAGTGAGAAAGCCGTCCGCGAGAAAAACCCAACATGCAATTCTGCGAATCTTCAGCAAATGCACTATTGAATCGGTTTCATCGATTGTAAAGACCCACCGTATACACATTTCCTCTGCTACCAGTATTCGCCATGTTGGTTCATCGCATGTCTTTGGTGGCGTTCGCCGCTTTAACTGGAACATACCCAATGACCTGATGGTAGAAACGAGGCACGGGTTACGGACAATCCGAATGCGTCTCCTCGTCAGCATATCATCTCTTCCAAATTGTAGCATTTCGATGATAAGGGCACTCTGTATTAGCTGCACGGTTGGGAGAAGAGCAGCAGAGTCCTTGGGTGGGGGCGTCGCGGGTAAATTTGACACCTTTCGGAAGATATACTCTTCAGCCACATCAAGAAGCCATGGCGACATTGATGCCTTGTCAAGTGGGGCTGTATATGCTGCCCCTGCCATGAAAATTGCAAGAAGCAGAGGGTTGGATACATTTCCAGGGTCGAATGTAGGAAAGTGAACGATTGGCAAGTGCCAGTGAAGAGAGTGAAAGAAGGCTGAAATGAAAGCGGATATATTTGACACTCCTAGGAGAGATGTGAGCTCCATAATGTCGAGCGTATCTGGTCGACTGGCATCTGAGGGTGTCATGGATTTTGATGTCTCAACCAACTCGGTCATAATCTCAGTAAGTTGATTGGAAAGCCTTGATGGGAAGAGAACTTCGTGCGGATATTGAGTTAAAATCGACTCATCCGCACTTGAAGCCATCTGAAAAGATAAGTCGGGAATTTGGAAGTTGCCCAGGGGGTTTGGTGTGGGGTCAGTGGGCATGAGCGCCTCTTCCAGACGTGAATAGAGGGTTTCAAGGTTCCTTCGCAAGGAGTATTTGGCGGTTTCACCTATTGCAAGTCGATCCTTCTGAATTGTAGGGTTTGCAAAATGACGAAGGAATGAAAATGGGCCGCCACCTTCGGATGTGTCGGCCGAGGGGGTTGCAGCTGGTGAGACTGAGACGTTGGAAACCGAATTGATCGTAGGCGCCTCTTGGGTCGTAAAAATGCACTCCCGCCCGAGGGAGATGCATCGCATACATGGAAGATTATTATCACAGGCGGCTTTTGTGGAGAAGCATAAATCGCATGACTGCCTTTTCCTGCCTGGTTTTGCGGCGACAGGCGGAGGTTGGTTATGCTTTTTTGCGCATACTTTGCTATGCCTTCGAGTGACCTCTCTGTCAACAGCTCAGACGAGGTTAGTTGAATTTTCCCCCATGGCTTGGTGAAGCTATTTAAGCTGTTGAACGCACGGTTTTAGGAAAGATTTATTACAGAAGGGGCAGCTGGAAGCAAGCTGACGAGTATCTGGAATCCGTTAGTCCAGTTCAAGTCATCCAGGAAAGGGGGAAGTTTTGGAAATTACGGGTAGATTGATGGCGCAATAAATGGGGTTTCCTTTGATATGACTTTTCACATTGCGAGCATTGAAACATGATGTTGTAGGAGTATATTGGAATTGGATTTCAAGTGAAGTTCGGGAATGTCGGGGAAACAAAAGGTCAACGTGAGAAAGCCAGGGATGGCACTACGCCCAAAGAGGAAGGCCGGGACTGCACCACCCGGGCGAACTGATGGGATTTGAGAAATATCGATATAATTCTTTATAATTGGTAGTATATCTGGTCTGTGGTATTGAACATAGTAATATACTAAGGCATGTCAGTGAATCTATTCTAATATTGTTCAAGTTCTAGTAACTTGCATGGCCCAGTGCATTCTGAGCCACCCGCATTTCATCATCGGTAGGCATATTAACGATCGCTAGATACATTACTTCCTAGGAAAAATTAGTAATTTACCTCAAATAAATGTCCCATTCATAAATATTCAGAGTGCGTACCTTTTTCAACAATTTTGAAAGTGGGTTGGTCGACCCTCTGTCTTCTCTTCGGTCGGGTATCGGACCTTGAGGTGCATAGTAGCCATCATTGGAGTTATATGCATCTTTTCTCGGCATTCGATCTGGCAGCGGACCTTGAGGTGTATAGTAGCCATTATTGGAGTGATATGCGTCTTGCCTCGGCACCCGATCGGTATTGGTAGCCTGAGGATTTCGGAGGTCCTTGATTGCACTGATCGCTTCAAATAATCCGAATGGGCTTCCATGGGGGGGCATGTGGAGCTGGCGCATTGGAATTTGAGTTCTCCCGACTTTGGTAATGATGGTCTTGTCCTCCTATTTGACCTCTGTTTTCAAATGCAGATTGTGGAACTTGTCGGCGTGGCAAGTCTTCCATAGTGAAACGACCTCCACTCATGAGAGCGAGCAGATCTCCGCTGCTCGCTGGATGATTTGGGTCGGCATACCGGGATGTGAAGACTGGCTTGGGGCCCTGGTTTAGTTGACTGGTGGGATTTTCAGCTGTCTAGAAGGTTGTCAGCGTGTGCATAGGCACTACTAGTAGATACTGGTAGTAATTCAGGCTCTCCTTGTACTCACAAATCTAGCCTGGGCTCTTTTATCCAAATATCCACCGACGAATTCTTTTCTTCGCTTCATTTTAGATAGCTTCTTTCCCGCGTTTTGATCCGATGCGAGTCGATCAATTTCGGGGAAGATGAGCGGAGCCACTTCAGGAAAAATATTGCCGTATGCCTTTCCATCTGAAGACTTGAAGCGATGACGAAGTCGACCGAGTGTATTCGAACCTTGGGCACTGGCACTGCCAGCTGCGTTGGAAACGAGCGAATTCAAATCCACGGCCGTAGAGGGAGCATCTGGCAGCTCAGGATTCCATGTCATCACCAAACAGTAAAGACCTCGGGGCTGGAAGAATTCCCTGTTTACTTTATCGAAGAACGAATTGGTCCTAGACGCCCGCTGGTTAATCATCGAGACAATGAATAAACATCATTTACTGGGAATCTCACTTTCGGCGACCATCGGCAGCAATGGCAACATCAGTCGCAAGTTGGATAGCAATCGAAACAGCAATGCCGGTGACAGTTGGCAGCCACATAGTTCCAATAGAAGCCAAGTTGATGGCATTTAGCCAGGGGGTAGCTTGACAGGATTTCTCGGCCGTGTCCAGGAAATCGATGAACATGTCTTGATCAATACCGCAATCACCAAGAGTGGGTGCATATGCACGAATAAAGCCTCGATCGCGATCTTTGGGTCGTCGTTGAGGAAGCACAACTGGCGCTGACAGCTGGCGTCGCGGGGACTCGTCATATAAAGAGTACGGCGGAGGTGCTGGGTGATCGGAAATGAACCTTTGTGCCAGATCACCTTGATCGACTTCTTTTTGAGACTTTTTGTCCTTTTCGACATCGGAGTTGGAAGACATGCGTGTGAGTTCATCCTGTGCCTCATCAAGAGCCCACTGCTTTTCTAGAGTGTCGATGCCGGTGGAGTTGGGGGCTATTTGGCCCACTGTTGACAACTCATATATCGGAGGGCCACCACTCTCGACTGGGATATCCTTGCTTCCAGGAACTTCTTCCATTGGCGACGGAGACCGCTGTTGTTTCTTTAATTTATGGGCCGATTTTGCTTCGGAGACAAGTCCGATTCCTGCTGCAAGACCTTGCAAGGCCTTACGACCAATACTAGTACTAGTAGATGTCGACATGAGTAAAATAAGTAAAATAAGGAAGAGGAATGTGTGAAGAAGAACTTGAAGCTGTTGTTTTTTGATACAGAAGCCAAAGGAAAGCAAGCTTTATATAATATTCCTGGAATGAGAAAAATGACTTTATTTTCATAGTACGTAGAGACTGCCATACACGGTATCCTGAAAGTGAGCCTTAAGGTATGATTGAGATTGGGGCGCATGCTTAAGTTTTGAAAACCCCCCATTATGCACTGCGAATCTCATTGGAGCAACCTGGGAACAAGCTCAGCCCTAAGTGGTTAGGTTCTGCACCGCGCCACCAGCCATTGGAACCATTGGAGCCATTATCATGGACTATTACGAATCCGGTAATCACTGCGAGGAAATCATTGCCATTTCCGGAGGCTACTCTATTTTTGTCTTGCATTGAATAAGGGACTGCGAAGATGCTTAATCTGTGTGAAGTACTCCGTACACCAAGACAGATATTAACATGGTTGACTTTATAAATTCCAATCAATTACTACTCGAATCATTACTAACCAGTTACTAGTAGCACCACATGAAAAGTATGCAAGATGATGTACCCTAGATAGATATGGCAAACTTGAACCGCAACATTTCATGGTCACCTCTATCAGTCATAATTGATGCTCAAATCAACCAAAAAAGAAAAAAAAAAAATCGAGGAAAACATGCCAGCAACCCCGCGTGCAAACCTCTCAACGCCATGAACCGAATTCGCGCAGCCAATGCAAAGAACTCCTGCAGTTCGAGGAGGACCCCTCCCCCGGAAGATGACCCAAGAGTACAAATTAGACAAGAATGGGAAAGAAAATAAAGTAAGATTACAAGGGAAAAGGCGATGGTCAGGGCGCGCGGTCCTCCTTTGGGTCCTTCGAGTAGCCCTTTTGCACATGTTTGGTGCCTCGCCCATCCGCCTCCAGCATGAAGAGAATATCGCGAACCTGGATCCCAGCTCCCTTTTCTTGGTCCTCCCTCCAAGTGCCCAGGCGACGCTTGGATGGACCAGCCGCCGGCTCTCCCGATTTGCCGGTCGACGATTTTTCCGGCCCGGGAGTCGGCGTGGGTGGTGCAGGACGGGATGGAGATGAGAACCCGCTCGACGAACCACCAGGTTTCAGCCATGAATAGGACTTCTTAGCGCCGAACATGCGACCCGAAAGCATGCTGTTGGTAGCTAGACGGGCCGTCTCGACGGACTGTTGATGCTGCTGAGCTTCACTGGCTTTGTTATCAATCATCTTTCTGGCTTCTTTCTTTGTCATTGACTTTTTGTCAAAGCTGGGTGCGCGTTCGGCGATCGGGGTGGAAGGCGCCGACCCAGTGAAATCGCCCGCAGTGGATTGTATGCTAGCACCTTCGCCTAGGATTGCATTCGTGCTTCGCTTTGTGCGCTTTGCGGCTCGTCGGTTCTCAGAAGACGTTTCCTTTCCAACAAGGCCACGGTATCTGTCTGCGATCGGCTTGGTGGAAGGGGTTTCGTCGTCTGTACGAGGGCCTGGAGAAATCAAAGAAGGTCAGTATTGTGGTCGGTCCACTTTAGGGCCAGAGAACAATGCATACGCTTGGAAGGTGTGACGGTGTTGCCATTAACAGGGCCGAGCGGTTGAGCGACATCTTGCCATTCTGCGGGGACAACACCGTGTGAGTGTGCTCGGCGACTGCGAGCAAGAGTGGAGGAGTAGTCGATGACGCCGCGCAAACGCTCCTCGCAGGAGAGAGACATGAGGTTCAATATGTCAACCAACGGAGCCCCCTCCTGGTTCAAAATTGTCTGTCCCGTGCGAACCACTGATGACCCATCGGGCCCAGTCACCTCGATAGGCTGCGGCCGACCGGGAACTGGGTGAAACAGACCCTCGGAGGGAATGCGCACGCCCAGCTCAAAGCCGCGCTTCTGAATCCGTTGCTCCAGCAGTTTTGCGAAAAGAAAGGGTTCCTGCAAATGATATTGCGAGCGCCTTGCTGCTTCGCTGTCTTCACGTGAAGGTTCCTTGATCGTGGATGGAGTTTGCGATGTGGGCTCCGTAGAGAATGATCCTTGCGTACCTGCTGGCTTGGCGTGGGACAAATCGTTGAAACTGCTCGACGCAGAGAGCGTTCCAGTTGTCGTAGCTTGGGAAGTGAAAGACGTGTTGATTGGAGGTGGCTGTTGCATCTGGGGGCCTCGCGAGGGCGTCTGCGCCTGCGCCTGTCGCCCAGGGAAGCTGTTTGTGAGAAAAGCTTCTTCCTCCCTGACATCAATACCCGATGACGCCAAAACGTCTGTGAGCTCTGAAGCGTCCACAGGACGTGATGGCGGAACTGAAGGAGGGCCCATCGTGCCTGGAGCTCCTTGTGGCGGAGCAGCTTGTTGCGCAATTGGCGTAGCAGGCATGCTGTTTGGTGCCATACCCATACCGTTCATGGGCGGTTGATTCTGTGGAGGTAGTTGCATTGTGTGGAAGCTCGGCGAGGCATATGGGGACTGTGAGGTAGGATGCGGAGATAGACCAGGTTTTTTCGCGGGTGGAGGAATGCCCCCATTAACTGGTGAGGCCGAGTGAGGTGAGGGCGAGGCGACGGGAGGGGAGAAAGGCTGATTGTTGAACTGCGGTGGCGGCTGCTGTTGCTGCTGGGGGTGTCGTGTTTGTGCCATGGTGAATAACGTAGTGAATGATCAACTGAGAGAAAGATGTCGACTATTCCGCAGTCCCAGAGTGACGGCACGTCCACGCGTGGTCGTTGAGATGAGCGATTTGCTCGCACCACCAAACGTCACCAAATGTGACCATCTCAGAATCGCGGTTAAAACATAGAGTACACGCGCCAGACCAGGTGAGATCGAGGCGAAAGTGAAGTTGGTGAGTGATGAAGTGATGATTTGGAGGAGAGGAGAGGGGGGGGTTAGGGAGCTTTGCTGGAGTTTGCTGGCGGCTGCGGCTGCTCCGCGGATCGCGCTTTCCCACGTGATTTGGGCTTAGGTCATGCCGCGCGCCTGTCGAAGCTGGAGGAAGCTCCTTCTTGTCTTTCACAAGAGATGGTTCCCCATACTCTCGGCTTTTACCATTGAATCAGTTATGGTGGTGTCTTGCATTTGATTTTATTCAAGTCGTGACATATATGCGACTCAGGCAAGGCCCGTCTGGAGACTCGCCCACCCCAATAATATCGATCTGATCGCGAACAATCACCTCTTGCTCATCACTTGGGTTGAACGACCCACGAACAACCAACGCTGCCATGGCAGCAAAGCGCAAAGCTTCAGCGATGGGGACGGCTGTCGATGATGAGCCGGTTGATCCCTCGGATGAGCTGGCGTTTTACTGCTTGGGTGGAGGTAACGAGGTCGGGCGATCATGTCACATCATTCAGTACAAAGGGAAGACGGTCATGGTAAGTTTTCTGGTTTCGATATTGCGCAGATAGAGCCAACAGACTGACTCTACATACTTTTCTAGCTTGATGCAGGCATGCACCCAGCCAAAGAAGGATTTTCGTCCTTACCCTTCTTTGATGAATTCGATTTGAGTACCGTCGATATTCTTTTGATTAGCCAGTACGTGACTCTCTCTGCTCCATGGACCTGCCACCACCCATTGTTTTCGTTTGGCGATCGTAGTCGATTCATGAGGCTTGGAACTTTGTGTTTCCAGTCGCTGCTTTTCCACTCGTGTTTCCTACGATCTATCGTTGAGGTCTTCGATCTTTTCAAAACTTCCTCTTGTGATAAGGCTCCTCGGTGCGCTGACATGTCATCCCTATAGTTTTCACGTTGACCATTCCTCTGCTCTGCCATATGTCCTCAGCAAGACAAATTTCAAAGGCCGAGTTTTCATGACACACGCAACGAAAGCCATCTATAAATGGCTAATCCAAGACAATGTTCGGGTCAGCAACACCTCTTCCTCTTCGGACCAGCGAACTACCTTGTATACCGAACGCGACCATCTCTCTACCCTTCCTCTGATCGAAACGATCGACTTCAACACCACACACACTATCAACAGCATCCGCATCACACCATTCCCGGCGGGTCACGTTTTGGGCGCGGCAATGTTCTTGGTATCAATTGCAGGTCTGAACGTCCTCTTTACAGGCGATTACTCTCGCGAAGAGGATCGTCATTTGATCCCTGCCGAAGTGCCGAAAGGCATTAAGATCGATGTCCTCATTACAGAATCCACTTTCGGAATTTCCTCCAACCCCCCCACGGTTGGAACGTGAAGCCGCCCTTATGAAGTCAATAACAGGTGTTCTCAACCGCGGAGGTCGCGTGTTGATGCCCGTTTTTGCCTTGGGACGTGCTCAAGAACTGCTTTTGATTTTGGATGAATACTGGGAGACTCACCCTGAGCTGCAAAAAATTCCCATCTACTACATCGGTAACATGGCCCGACGATGCATGGTTGTATATCAAACCTACATCGGTGCGATGAACGATAATATTAAGCGTCTTTTCCGACAACGCATGGCCGAAGCCGAAGCGAGTGGGGACAAGAGTGCGACCGCAGGGCCATGGGATTTCCGCTTTGTCCGCAGTCTGCGCAGTCTTGAACGTTTTGATGACGTCGGAGGCTGTGTGATGATTGCCTCTCCTGGTATGCTGCAAACTGGAACCAGCCGTGAACTGCTGGAAAGATGGGCACCGAGCGAACGCAACGGAGTTGTCATGACGGGTTACAGTGTCGAGGGTACAATGGCCAAGCAATTACTCAACGAGCCAGATCAAATACCTGCTATCATGTCCAAGGTCTCCACTGTTCAGGGCCGAGGTAGGGTCCCGGGCGGTAATGACGAAGACCAGAAGGTCATGATTCCCCGGCGCTGCACGATCGACGAGGTCAGTTTTGCAGCCCATGTCGATGGTGTTGAAAACCGAAACTTTATTGAGGAGGTCGCAGCGCCGGTTGTGGTAAGTCTTTGCAGTCTTTGCGTCGTTGATGAGGTGTGAGTTCATGTGCTGATACATTTCATAGATCCTCGTCCATGGCGAAAAACACCAGATGATGCGATTAAAATCCAAGTTGCTGAGTCTTAACGCAGATAAAACTGTCAAGGTGAAGGTTTATACACCAGCCAATTGCGATGAGGTTCGCATCCCTTTCAGAAAGGATAAGGTTGCCAAGGTTGTTGGCAAGCTTGCGCAGGTTCCTCCCCCGGCTGGAGAGGATGATAGTCAGCTCATGGCTGGAGTTCTTGTTCAGAACGGATTTGACCTATCACTGATGGCCCCTGACGACCTTCGAGAATACGCAGGCCTGACAACAACAACAATTACCTGCAAACAACACCTCAGCCTCAGCTCCGCCAGCATGGATTTGATCCGATGGGCTCTTGAAGGTACCTTCGGGGCCATTGAAGAGGTGGGATCAAATTCAGAGACCGAGTCTGAGACAAAGGAAGAAAAGAATGACGAGCTCAACGAGAAAAGGCCAAAGAAAGAGCTCGCGGATGAGGAAATTCCCGCAGAGGAAACGCAGACTTTCTTGATCATGGGCTGCGTCATCCTCCGATATCATTCACGCACTCGGGAGATTGAATTAGAATGGGAAGGAAATATGATGAATGATGGAGTTGCCGATGCTGTTATGGCTGTTCTCCTGACAGTTGAGAGCAGTCCTGCTTCAGTGAAGCGTGAGCACCCAACACCATTAATAATGTATCCTTATCGTGTCTGCTAACAATAATCACAGAGTCGGCGAAGCATAACCATCACCATCACCACCACCACGAAGAGGATGTTCCTTGCTTGCCAAATCCCCACTCTGACTTTAGTGTTGATGAGCGACTGGACCGTCTCTTGATGATGCTGGAGGCGCAGTTTGGCTCTGAAATATCTCCCATCGAGAAGCCACGAGTCCCTGCCGAGCTCGCGGTGGGTAACACCGACGGGACTGATACTATTAAGGCGGAGGATATCAACGAAGAGCGCATTGCGGATATTGAATCAGCTGAGTTGGACCGTTTACATGCCTTGGGAATCCCCATTCCGGGACTCGAGATCAAGGTCGACAAGCATGTTGCGCGCGTGTGGCTTGAGAACCTGGAGGTCGAGTGTGCCAATGCAGTGCTTCGCGACCGTGTGCGTATTGTTGTTGAACGCGCGGTCGAAACCGTCGCTGGCCTGTGGGCAACCAGTTCTTTGCCTCGCGAGGTCATGGTGCCCAACGGGCCAGTCAAAGGCCAGATGGAGATGGTTACTGCTTTGAAGAAGGCACAAGCCATCGAGACCTAGGGTTGATTCATAATCTTTGTTCTTTGTACGATACATAATGGGAAACACTTGTCACGGAAATACAATTCAAATTCTTCATGAGCTACTATGGCCCGTGGTGGGATAATCGATAAAGATTAAATCATGCTAGATGTTTATGTGAAGATTTGAGCACCGTGTCCAGGTCTCATTGTCGACATCTCTCTGCATAGTGGACTCGTGTAATCCTTTCTTTTCGCGTTCATCCTCTCACAAATTGCCTGTCATTTAATTGTTTTCAGGATAGCATCAAATCACAAGTCTAAGTCTTTGAGCACAGCTGCCACAACATTCCCAAAAACATCCACGATAATGTCAATCTCCTCCTTGGAGACATTGTAAGGAGGTGCAAGTATGACATGGTCACCCCGAACGCCGTCAACAGTGCCTGAGCAGCCGTAGAGAGAAACGGAATACGCTGGCAACAGTCCTTTTTCCTGTATATGAAACGAGAGTCGAGTGCTAGGGTTGAAGGGTTCTTTTGAACTCCTATCTTTGACAAACTCAATCTATAAAAGCAAACTGATCAGCATGACTGTTCAACGATTCTCCACGAACGGAGAAAACTCACTCCCCAGAATAATCCCTTGCCTCGGATGTCACCAACATACGGGTGTCCTTCAAATCGCTGGCGGAGTTGTTGCTCAAGGTAAGCGCCCATAGATCGAACGTTGTCTAAAAGAGACTCCTGTTGAATGGTCTTCTGTGTAGCCAATGCTGCGGCACACGAAATGGGGTGGCCCTGATATGTTTGTCCATGGCGGAACACACCTGTTCCCTTATCCATAGTCTGCACGATTGAGTCATTGATGAGGATTCCAGAGACGGGTGCATATCCGCCCCCAAGACCTTTACCGATAGTTTGAATATCGGGCACGATGTCTTCTTGCTCCCAGGCATGTAGAGTTCCACATCGACCCATGCCGCTCATAATTTCATCAAGGATGAACAGCGCCCCATGCTTTTCACAGACGGCCTTCATGGCAGGGAAGTATCCTGGTACTGCGGGAACACAGCCGAGAGCCTAAAGAGCAAGAAGTCAGCTGGGGGTTTAAGCTCACCACTTCGTGAGTAACTTACAGCTCCAACAACTGGTTCCGCGACAAAGGCACAAACAGTATCTGACCCAACACGCTCAAACTCTGCATTCAATTCTGCAGCAAGGCGAGCAACATAGTCCGCATCAGATTCGCCTTCTTTCTTGCCACGGTATGCGTAGCATGGAGAAACATGGGATGTGTTCTTCGCCAAGATTGGTCCAAATGGCTCTCTTCGGAGGACATGTCCACCAAGGCCTAAAGCACCGAGGGTCGTACCGTGATATGAAGGAAGTCGAGCGATAAATCTCGTGCGCTGGGGCTGAGGAGTAGACAGCTCCAGGAAATACTGCCGTGCAAGCTTCATGGCGGCTTCGACAGCCTCAGATCCTGTACTCAGTAGTTAGAAGTGATTTTCAGGGTGATACACCCACTAGATATAGTACTAGTAGGGGCGATGACATGCCTGAGCTGACGACAAATAGTTTGGACATCTTGCCCCCGGTGGAATCTGTTAAGAACCGCGCTAGTTCCTCTGTTACAGGAGTACCGAAAAAGGCGGAATGGCAATATGACAATTGATCGATCTGGTCTTTGATCGCTTGTTTGACTCCTTCATGGCCATGGCCCAAGCATGAAACGGCCGCGCCGCCGGTCGAGTCAAGGAATCTAGTACCATCTTCGAGGAAGATATAGCTCCCTTTTCCCCCAATGGCCAGTTTAGGAAGGAAGTGGGTGTCTCTATGCAAAACAGCACTGGACATGCCGGGATGCGCTTCTTTAAATTCATTAGTCACTAGTATAGTAGAAATATGTTAGTTGATGGATGTTTCGTACCGGAGACAGTCATATCGAGGGCAAGAAAGCTCTTCAAAAATTGAAGGGTTGTTAGGTGATTAGTATAATCGAAAGTTTGAATCAATCTGGAGATTACACGCTCTTATGTACCCATGGATTTACGAAGACCCGAGGCTATTCATTGCGGGGCAAGTGGGTTCGGGATGCCGAGCCCGGGGAAGCCGATCCGATCATTGGTTAAAGTTCAGGCATATTCCACTTTTTCACTACTATCAACGCATACTGATTGAAGGACAAGCTGCGGAGTTGTCATTGTAGTGGAGACTTTCTCCCTGCGCATGCCTAATTGGGCTGATACGACGAGTCAAGGACACCGTGCGTTTCGGCAATGCTACAATATCTCAGCTCCACCCAAATGTCCGTGTTTGGCTACACATCTCATATTTGTATAAAGTTTGAAATGGAGACCCTAAATTTAATAATTGGTTCAGCAATTGAAAGATTTTGATCTCTATACACTGAGATTGAAGAAAGTCGCATACTCGTACGAGTATACTAACTATTTGCCACGCCCCGCAAACTGACGAAAGGCGGTCAAGCCCGCTTTATGCCGCTCATCGAGCGGAAGCCCTCTTCTTCCATTTCACAAAGTAAGGGTGGAATATTCAAAGAAAGGAATGTTTATTTTCTCAGCGAGAAACGAATAGATGGATGCTGCTCCATCGGAATCAAGCGGTGCAACAGTGACACACCGGATTGGTCAGGCATGGTACGCGATATCCCAACCCCGTAGAGAATGCAATAACACAGCAAGAATTAACAACTTAGAATCTAGTGATCGTTGCAGAAAGTGAGATGACGACATTTTGGAGTCTCAGGACCATTAAAAAGGCTAACTATTTTCCGAATCACTAAGGAAAAAGTTGAAATGTGACGGGACCTTCCCCATCGTAATTATGTCGTCCTCTGAACTTCATAGTTCCCTGGCTAACCGAAGGCGGCAGTGTCGAAGGTGTGAGACAGGAGGTCATATATGCGAAGTTTCCACTACTCTCCGAAGGAAGACCAAAGTGCGAGGGTAAGTTCAGTGTAATCGAATCTCACATTCACCAGCTAAAGTGTTCAACAGATTCACTTCCAATGAACAGCGTCTAGAGCAGCTTCAGCTAGAGCTGGCGAAATATCAGCAGTTACTTCAATCAGAGAAAGACCGAAATGACCTCCTACAAGAGGATATATCCCGTCGAGAGCGGACCAGGATACCGGAGGATGTAATCGCTCTCGGACCAGCCGAAACAGCCGTAACCCACAATGCTGAACGGCGTTCGACTGATGATTCGGCATATGTGATTAAGCACATGGGCCGTCTTGTTCACGACGAAAATGGCGTCGGTCGATTTGCAGGCTCAACTACCGGTGTTCATTTTGTTCTCAGTGTGGAGAAAGAATGCCAGAAGACATTGAATCTTTCTTGCGGATTCCCAGAAAGTTGTTTCCGCCTCTTTTTGATTCCACCATCTCCCACGGTACCCACGATTGCCACAGAAAGCCCATCAGAATATCAAAATTGGATATCTGAATGTGTTCATTATCCATTGGCTTACTACCATGAGCAAGCCGACTTATTCATGAAGAATTGGGAGGCGTTTTGTCCTGTTCTAGTTCGGACCGAAATTTTGGCAGACATTGATTATATGATAGGACTACTAGCCGACCTCAGATATACTCCGAAGCCCAACCCAGCGACAGCACTGACGCTCTTGATGATTCATTGTATAAATGACTTACAAAACAACCAAAAGGAGCCAGAATATCCCTTAAGACCCAGCCGCGAACGGTATCTATCCTTGGCCAGTAGTATGATTGACGAGGTAGCCGCAAAAGGGGATATGAGAAGCTTACAAGCATTGGTGCTCTTCGGCTTTTGCAGTCAATTGAGTGGTGACTGTCTTGCGATGACAAGGATTAATGGCTTGATGGTCAGCATTTCCCAGTCACTGGGCCTCCATCGCCATGCTAGACGCTTCAAATTGAAACCCGGCGAAATTGAGCTTCGGAAGCGCGTTTGGTGGTATGTCTACGTTTTCGACAGGTATGTGATCATCAAGGCTATCGCTGTAGCTAGAGTCTAACTTTAATAGCATGACATCTCTGCTTCACGGAATTCCGGCTTTGATAAATGACGTGGATGTGGATAATGACTTGCCTTCGGACTGCTATCTTCTCGGCTTGGATTCTGCAGACATCTCCCACCCTCTGCCTGGTGAGAATACCGCAGTTTTTGTCTTCATCCAATATGTGCGCATTGGTAAAATATTTTCGCGGATTCGTGAAATGCTTTACACGACTACCAAACGTCGAAACGGCGCGGCCAAAATCAAGGAGTTGGATCTCGATCTGCATATGTGGAGTCAAAGTCTAAAAGCACATGGCATCCAAATTGAAATTGGGACTCTGCCAACAATAAATCCACCCGAAGGTGCTGGGAAAGGAGTTGAAAGAACGACACTATGGCTTCAACTGCTAGCAAATATTGCAATGGTCTTCACACACCGACCAGGCCTGTCTTTTGACGAGAGCACGCCTCAGTTTGCAAACTGCCTTCGAGCATGCGTGGCGTCTAGTAGCGCTGGCTTAGCTTTGCTCGAAAACACGCATGTACCACGATGGTTACAAAATTTGAGCATGATGAGCCCTGGAGTGGTATTCCAGTCCGCTTTGATGCATGTTCATTTCCAATGCCAGTCATCCACCGTCAATCTCGAGGGGGACCCGTCTTTGGAAACTAGCCTCGATTTCATTTTGAAGGGAAGATCTGTACTTGAGAAACATATTATTCTCAATACCCAGGTGCCTGATTCTCGGCACTCTATTTATCACGAGTCCATCTCTGAGGTCATGGGGGTTTTGGACCTGCTACACTCCCTGCTGGTAGAGAAAAGGCAAATCCAGGCGGACACAGGGTCCTTGCCGAACCATGATATCCTGGGCGACCCTCCTGTATTCTTTGACGAACTTAATTGGGGAACGGAAGCCCTAGATGTATTGAACTATGTTACCGCGACTGACTGGGCCTACGACATTCCAGGGCCGTTCATGGGATACCCAGAGCTCGACGCACCGGAAGTGATGATGGAAAACACCCACCTAGAGCCTAGTTGAACAGGTAAATTACCAAAACCTATAGAGGCCAAAAAGAAAAGATCTGTCGCGCTTGTCTGTTATGCCAAGGGATGCAGAAACAATTTGAAAAGTAAACATGTCCCGGACGAGCAATAATACAGTGTCATATTGCAGACGGTGAAGACGTTCCAGTTTCTCGTAACTGGAATATATCAGCACAAGTCATGAGGGGATACCATTGAATTCAGCCACCGCCAGTGACTCAAATAGTACAGTAAGTTGAAACGATCACCCTCCACTTTCAGATTTTCGGCCGGGTTTTGACGAGCGAAGAGCTGTCCTTTTGAAACTATCCTTGGTCTCTTCGTACATCTTCAAGCCAGCTCTCTGCCACCAGTAGCCCTCTTCAAGGGTATTGTTGGTATTGGTATTGGTGTATGCTTGCGCCAGCGCTGCTTTCAAACATGCCTCGAAGCGTAGAGGGGCAGGCTTGATTGGGAATATCATCTGATGTTCCTCGAAAGGATATTTTTGCAGCAAGCAACTCTCAGGGCGAAGGCGAAAAAGACACACGGGTTAAACCGTGGGATTCCTTCAACTGAGGTAATGACTTGAGCTGCCTGAACTCCGAATTCCTTGATCTTTACCTCTGAGGAGAATTCGATAGTAGTATGGATTATATAATCGTAGCATGCTACCTGCCACTGGCAGTGCTACTTTTGGCAGGCGCGATGGGAGGTGATGGTGGTAAAATAGGAAGGAGCGGGTGTTGTTTCAATGTTCCCTTCTGTCCTTCTTTCCTTCTTTCCTTCTTTCCTTTATTTTGATCACTTCCATTTTCCTCTCCTCACCAAACCTCGCACAAACTTGAACTTGAAGTTCAATCTGTCAAACAGAAAGATAATGGCAGTGATATTTTCAAGGATCTTGATCTTGAACTTACTTGAGGAGATCCCGGGCCGGCGCTTGCGACAACTTGTTTGGCCTTTGATCCCCTGGCTGACATCATTGGAGACATCCAATCTTCCCAGGTAATTGAAAATGGAGTACCTCCAGCATCCCTTCTATATACGACATTTTTGAGGTTTACTGACCTGCAACAGCCTGAGGCAGCCTGAAGGTGTATATGATCGACCCAGCCCCACAATATCTTCGGGATAGACCCTTATCCCGAGGAATCCAATTCACTCCAGCGGAGCAGTCGTTAGTTCCGCATGAGGGGCCCCGGACAAAATGAAGTCAGGAATGGATTATTTAAAGCTGGTTGTTTCCAGTTTAGATCTGGAGTTCATTTATTCCCCCTCCTTTTTTGTTGAGTCCCTAGAACCCTCTCGCCATGTCCGTCTCCGCTCTCGACTCGCGTGTGTTCCGCAATTTGTTCGGAACACAAGAAATACGTGACATCTTTACAGACGATGCATACGTAAAATGTTTAATTGAGGTTGAGGCAGCTCTCGCACGCGCTCAATCAAAGACCGGCGTTATTCCATCGGAAGCGGGAGATTCGATCACGAATACATTTGCCAACATTCAACTTGAGTACGTTGATCGAAACGGCCTGAAAGAATAATCTCTAACTGGTCAAAGCTATGAACGTCTTGCACGGGAAACAGATGTCGTTGGATACCCCGTTCTCCCTCTTGTCTGCCAGCTTGTCGAAGGCACGCCCAATGAAACCTCCAAGTATATACACTGGGGAGCAACAACACAGGATATCATGGATGATGCGTCCATGTTGCAGATTAAACGTGGCCTAGTGCTTGTGCAAAGAGAACTCGAATCTCTAAGAGGGATCTTGACGACACTAGCAACAACTCATCGTGACACGTATGTCCCCTTCGTCTTTTCCTATCGCTGTGGTGTGAATTAGTATGCTAACATCTGTTCAGTCCAATGGCGGGTCGCACACATCTCCAACACGCCCTGCCTTGTACATTTGGCTATAAATGTGCCGTTTACCTCTCGAGTGTTCTTCGTCATATTGAAAGGCTTGAAGAAATGAAGCAGAGATGTTTACTGGTGCAATTTGGAGGGGCAGCTGGAACTGTGGCCTCGCTGGGCTCCGACGACACAGGCCTCAGAGTTCGCGAACAACTCGCTATCGAATTGGGCCTGCAAAACCCAGCCATCACATGGCATGTCGCAAGAGATAACGTGGCCGAAACCACAAATTTCCTAGCCCTGGTCGGCGGAACCTTGGGAAAGATCGCGTTGGATCTCATGATTATGTCCTCGAACGAATTTGACGAAGTGTCCGAGCCATTTGTCCCTCATCGCGGTGCTTCATCAACCATGCCGCAGAAGCGGAATCCCATCTCCTCCGAGGTTATTCTCGCTGCGTCTAAAATGCTCCGGGCCAATGCTTCGTTAGGACTGGATGCGATGATCACTGACTTTGAACGGGCCTCTGGACCATGGCATCTTGAATGGGTGGCGGTTCCAGATGCGTTTGTTACTGCAGTGGGTGCGCTCCATCAGACCAACTTTGCCCTGGATGGATTGGTTGTTAAGGTGGACTCTATGGAGCGTAACCTGCACTCAACAAAGGGATTGATTGTGGGTGAGGCGGTCATGATGGCTCTTGCACCTCATATTGGACGTCAAAAGGCACACGATGAGGTTTATGAAGCTTGCAAAGGTGCCATTGAGAACAACCGATCTTTGCTGGAGGTGTTGAAAGGATCTACTGTGATGACGAGTATTTTCACCACGGATCAATTGACGGGACTATGCGATCCTACTCAATATATGGGAGCGAGCCAGCTGATGGTTGACGAGATGGTGAAACGATCTAATTTGACGCTGCCAAGGGGGGGATCTCCCTGGTTAGAGGAAAGATAGAAATAGAAATGATTGTACTTTTAGCATATTCAAGTTGATGTGTTGAAGTATTGGCTCTACACTGTGTAAACTGCACTATACCCATGGCTGTGGACCATAGTACTCCCGCCAACTGGCCAACTGGTCAATCCGCACCGCAAAGGCCACTCGCCCGCTGTCGACCACCTGAAATGCACTCCCGCTCTCCCGCACTTTCTTCCTCCCACTTCAACTCCAACTCCAACTCCAACTTCACATCCCCCCACACCATGTCGCACGCTCGAGTCGAAGAGCTGTCCGATTCCGATCCTGAGGAGATTGCCCCCTCCGATGATGACTTCGCCGATAATGTCATCATTGAGCCCGTCGCCCCGCGTCAGGCCAATCCTCCCAAGGCCACGCCTGCGCCCGCACCTGCACCTGCACAGCCTATGATGAATCAAATGCCCATGAACCAAGTGCCCGAACCCGCGCGCGAAATCCCCAAACACTTCCAATGCCTCTACCCCATCTACTTCGACAAGACCCGATCCCGCGCGGATGGGCGCAAGGTTGGCTCCGAGCTGGCAGTCGAGAATCCCCTGGCCCGCGACATTGTCGATGCCGTGCAGATGTTGGGTTTGCAGGCTGGCTTGGAACCGGAGAAGCTTCACCCCAAGGACTGGGCCAACCCTGGTCGTGTGCGCGTGTTGCTGAAGAATGAAGATGGCAAATCGATGAACTCTAAAATTAAGAACAGTATGTGGCTCAACGGGCGCCTACGAAGCGACAGCCACCGGGCTTTGATTTGGATTGAATTCTCACAACTAACCACTTGCGTTTTTTAGAACACCACCTCTACATCCTCGTCGCCCAATACCTCCAAGCTCACCCGACCGACGAGAAATCCCCCTACCGACTTCGAATTCGCGGCCTCCCCATGCCGGAGAAGCTCCCCGAGGCGCCTCCAGCCCCGCGCGGTTGGAAGATCGGCAAGATTCTTCCCATCCACTCGCCCGCCTACAGCGGCGGAGGTGTCAGCGACAATCCGTTCAAGGAAGCCATGGCGGAGATGCAAAACATGCAAGGGATGCCTGGCATGCCCCAGATGCCCCAGATCCCCGGAATGGATATGTCTGGTATGGGTGGAGAGGGCTCGGGATCAGGCACTGAAAAGAAAAAGAAGGACAAGAAGAAGGGCAAGGCTTGAAAGAGCTGACTTTCACCCCCTTTGTCTTCTCTTCTATACCTTCTACTTGCATTGCACGGCGATGGGCGTTCCTTTTGCTTTTGAGACCTAGAACGAGGATATACCGTCGATATCTCTATGGTCGCAGCTCGGTTGAGGCTTGGCTGCTAGTGTTCCTATCTCTGAATGGTGGACCTGAATATATGTACGACCCGGACAATGTCATTCTATCAGTGTAGCATGATGCATGTCCAGGAAAAAGACCCGAATGATGTCAAATATTCCACTATGCGTGGCTTGATACAAGTCTACAATATTGAAAACTATACAATTAACTCCTTTGTCCGTGAAAGGTCTCTTGTTGAAGTGCAACACAAAGAGCTTGGAAGCTGAGGGTACACTCTTTGTACTTCTACCTGCCCTGTCCATTCAGAAGGGCGCAGTTCAGACATATTCATACTACTAGTATTTGAACATATTGAAAGCGAACAGGACTCTGATCCCCCTATATTGCCCGCGATTTATATATCCGGAAAAAATCACAAATGCGGATATCTACTACTTCAACGTTCCCAATTCAACTAGGATCTTTACAGCAGGCTTCGATCATCTTCTTGTCGTAATCCCGGGGCCCTGCCTGGGGTACCACCATTTCGATACTGCCAGAGACGACTGAAATCTTTAACACGCCAGGTCGGAGAACCATTCGACTGTCGACTTTCTGGTGAATTTGAAACCTCGATGTTTGGTATTGGCAGCAGGGTCATCTCTCGGTTTTCATCTCGCCTGTTTAACAACCTATCCGATTCACCCCATTTCATATTAACTTCCTTGTCCATGAATGCATTTGACTCGAGTACTCTATGATCCGGCCCGAGAGTGAACATAGTATCAAGATAGTGTTGGTTCATCATGTGGCCGGACCCAGGACGAATAAATAGCCGACCTAGGTATCGATTTGGGACATTGGTGAAATGAAGAACGCCAAGGTGGGAGACTGCATCCTGTGAGTTTGCGTAGTGTTCGATATGCCCGATCGACCGGACGATAGGCTGACAGGTGGAGGATTGGCGGGGATTGTTGAAGTGGTTGGCGGCATTGCCGAACGTGTACACCTCTAGTTTATGAAGTAGATCCTGCGGTAGTTCGTCAAGTAGCCAATCGATTACCAAACTGCCTTCTATTCCGCCCTGACTGTGGAGGATCATGACCACTTTGTCGCAGTTTGGGTTCAATAACTCCCTTTTCAATAAGTAATAGGCACTTCGTATATCGCCTGTAGCGTAGGAGAAGCAACGCTGGATCAAACACTCGATCAAATCGAATATTAAGCCAGAACTGAAGATTTGGGATCAATAATTAGCTGAAATTCCAAGTTCGTTAGCAATGTTAGGTGACATACGTGCGATTATGGATGCCTGTGATCTTGCGGCCGAAGGAATAGGCTAGTTGATCGATATTGTTCTGGAGCCAGTATTGACTAGTTTTGTTAGATTGATGTCAGTTCGAAGAGTCTGTCGCCTTTGACTTGCCTGTTCGCAACGCCATTAATAAAGAACCAACACTCCCCTTCATGGCCTGGTTGGTTGGGCTCCGGAACATTGGAAGCCAAGATCCTCTCAAATCCATTCAAGACGAACATGCATACTCCATAATTAAGTGCCAAAGAGACAGCAATATAGACGAATATCCAGAAGGCAGGTAGTTGGAATACAACCATCAATGGGATTGAGACCAAGAAAGCAATTTGGGCGATAGTCAAAACTACCTGTACCAAGAAAGAGATCAAACTTCCAAACGACAGGTATAATTCATCCAAAGGAGTCGTGTGTCCGAGCCGAAGAGGCAACAAAATCCCAGGTAAGGCCCATGAATACCGTAGAAGTAGCATGATATCGCGGAAAAATAGCTGCAATGGAGACGCGGTGTACGGCAGCGGGGTGGAACTGGGGTCCCGTCTGTAGAGGCGAATCAGAGACATCGCGGAGTTGACACTTGCCAGGAGACGGTTGTGTAACGACAATGTCCCTGAAGATTATTTATCTTCTGTAACTATCCGTAGAGGTGACGATGCGATCGGATTTAATGTTGTCGCTAAAAGTTTCAAATCTGCAGGGAAGCAGCACCTGCGACTGTCATGTGATAAAATAGCGTTGGGATTCACGCGACCTTTGAATGTGACCAAAAGGTCAAACATTGAAGAAACCTGGAAGAAAAATATCACTGATAGGATGTTGAGACAGCATGTTTATTCCATAAAACTTGAACACGAGCCAGGTTAAATAGAATATCCAAATAAAGTCTGACAGCACTGTCTACCATAAGCAGAAATGACCTCGGCTGCTAACTTGAAACTTCAAGTTTGGCTACGGAGATCTCAACTAGTACTAGATTGACTAAATAATCTAGATATGCCCCTTTAATGACTATCTTGGACATTTGAGCCGGATCAATCATATTCAATTTCCGATCGGGATTTGCAAAAGGCGAATTTCATTTTCGTATGAGGCTTACTAGTGCAGGCTAAGTAAAAAAAAAAAGAAAAAATAGATGTGAATGTCTCGTCACGTCAAGGGTATTTGGTATTCAGTATATATTCATAAATTCATGATATCTCGTGAGTATCTAACCCAAAGTCCGGTCCCTTGCATATAAAGCCAATCAATCCTTCCTGTCCATGTATGGCACACAAGCCTCATAAACGTCCCTGAAACCGGGATACTGTGTAATTCTATGAAACACATCCTCATGCACCATCTTCGCAGACTGGAGCGACCCCGCAATGAAGAAATCAGTGTAGCTGGGCTTTGCTCCAAGGATAAATGGCCCGTCAGCCTTGTTCGTCTTTATTAGCTCGCTAATTCCGCTGGTGCTGTCGTTCAAGGATTTCCAGACTTGCTCCTCTTTCTCCGGGTCAAGGAGGTCCTCCAGCTTGTGGCCAAGTGTGGCTTCGCGAGTACGTCGGTAGAATTCCTGCGCGCGTGGAGAGAGGATATCTATCTCGCGCGGCATCACGGATATGTAGAAGGATTTCCCCACTACAGATCGTGATTTGGCCTCGATTTCTTGGCCCAGGTCCGATGCCAGTGGAACGGGCGGATCTGGGTAGGTCTTTTCGATAAACTGCGAAATCGGGGTGGAGTCCATGATCGTGGTATTAGTTGGTAGGTGCTGGATAGCAGGGACGGTGTATTTCGTTCCTGATTCCGGTGCGATGCCACTATAGAGTAAAGTCAGAGATATTTCTAAATTGGACTTAGGGTGACTCCAAAAACGGAAGCCCAATGTTACTTGGAAGACATGACCAAGTATGCCATATTGACTCACAGTTCTTTTAGAGTCGGCTCGATATCGGGGAACTCGAGGAAGACCGTCCGATAAGGAATGCGCTTGTAGTTGAGCATTAGGCGGATACGCCAAACAACTGGTGAGAAGCAAAGGCCCTTGGTAGAAGCCAAGTCATAGAGGATAACCTGAGGCTCGTTCGGAGTGGTCATGTTGAGCTAGCAGAGCGCTTAGTAGACCGAACCTGGAGAGGATGCTTTGATCCCACGTGGCAAAGTATCGATAAGGTTTAGAAGTATGAAAACTTGCTTTCGGGAGGCTGACAGTCTTCCGGGGATCTGCTTTTAAGTTGAGTTGGAGTAGAGATTCAGGGATGAAAGTTAGTCGGCGGTTACGTAAAGTTTAGTTGCTATTTTAAGAATACGATCTGCCAGTGCTAGGTAACGTTGTTTGTGTACATATATGAGTCATCCTGCATGCTCCACTAGTTAACTAGTTAGTATCTCTCCTCCGTAGCTACCTTCCTCTCCAATACACACCACTACTATTCATGCACTCCATGCTATTCCGTATTCCACACGTACAGTTTGTAGATACGAATTTTGAAGAATAAATGTCTCGTATTCGATAGGAATGGATAAATCCATTCCTCTAAATTGCCTATCCGAATCATGGCGGTCTATCTTAACCCTTTGCTCTATATTTCCACCCATATTTGACAAAGTCCAGACCAGTGTGTCCAAGAGAAAATCAAGTTAGATCTAGATGTAAAGGCTCGGGCATACTGGAAAGCTATGAGCGAAATGCTGAAAGCTTCCTTGGTGGCCTTGTAGAATTGGTAGAGCGAGAGATAAAGGTACACCATGGTGATCAATTCCAGTCGTATAACACCCAGTATTACAATGATTGTATCTAGAAAGATGAGTATGATATCATATGGGACTAGTGCTAATCGTGGTAAATTGGTAAGATCCTCGTAAAGCTCTGACATGTCGATCATGAGGTCGGCGACAGACTCTAAAATCGGGTTGAACAGGTGCTTTGCCATCTTCATCATCGCTGGATTCATGACATAGTCCGCAAGAAGGTCTAGCAAAGCTGTCAGTATTGTGCTAAAGGCCATAAAGAGGGAGCTTGCGAGGATTCCAAGGCATATAATGCTGATGATAGGGTACGTCGCGGATATGCACAGCTGCGTGTCTGACTTCATAGCTGCGGGTGGAATGTGGCGTGGCCAAAGACGAAGAGTTCATTCAAAGGGTGCTGGATGAAGGTGGGGGGGTATAGGAAGATAAATAGTGTTACGTGTGCCAGTGTTTTGAATTCGAGGAACGAGAAATTCATTGTGAGAGATAACAAAGGGCGAATAATGGCCGAGAACTGGTGATTCTTCTCATTTTTAGCAGCGGAATAGAACGTATGGCACCGGTTTTCTGTTCATCGAAGAACAAAGGCTTTCTCGAATCCACCATTGATATGAAACCGACACTTCAAAGAATCACGTGTGTCTTATTGTGGTATATTTGGATCAGAAATAGCCGTGGATACAATGAAATGTGAATACCTTTGAGGAACCAAGTAAAGATCTTCAAAGCAAAGTTTCACATACAGATATCATATAAAAGCTCGGCTTGTCCTATTCCTGCCAATCCCAGGACTTCCTAGAATAAAACCGAAAAGAGTACACGTTACGAAATCAAATAAATCAAGATTATCAGATCTTTCCCGAGAACAGTCACCTCATCTCAGCTGTTATGGTTCAAAATGGAAGCAACACCGATGTTCGCGGTCTCAAAAGATTCACCATGCCCTCCAGCCTCCGCCGTACAACAAAAGCCGAATCACACCCGGGGTCAGTCAACATGTTGGACCGAAGCGAACTCAAGATGCTAACGCAGATTCTGCATCTAGACAACACGGACCTGAAGAAGATAGCGTCTAGACCGCAAATAGAGAAACTGATCCAGAATCTACCAAAGCGTCTCCGCCGACCTAGGCCTCTATCGCTTAGTTTCAAACAGCCTCCTAGCACATTTTGTGATTTGCATCTGCCTCTCAACGCGGGGCTGATCTCCCTTATATTTTTATTTGTGCAAATAGAGGTCACGCAGCACTTTATTCTGTTTGAGAAATTCCCTGAACTTTGTCATCCTGTGGAAGAGGAGATTTTGATTCGTCTACGGGCGCTGCGAGGCATGTGGATTAAACCCGGCCAGGAATCCCGGATCTTCATACCCAATGGGTGGAGCTATCAGATTGATGGCTGTAGGGCTTGCATGTTGGCGCGTGTTGCGTCAGATATGGAGGCAGTGCGCAATTTGCGCGTGGTGATTCTAAGTCGGACTCGGACGCGGCGAAAACACCGAGCCCGCACGCTCATGGCTTTTGTTAATGAGTGTATTAATCAGTTCCCTGGTGATCAGACGGAGGAGATTTATACGACGTCGAGTCAACTGGCATTTGGTATGAAGGCTGCTCGTAAAGCTTGCACGAGAGCTGAGTTCCAAAGACGCGGGTATGGAAACCGTCGTGGTTCTAAGATCAAGCATCACGAGGGACCTAGTGAGAAGGAAGAATTGGATCAGAGTCACCAGGGGATTTTGTTCCCTAGAATGGCTTCTTTGTTGCAAATTCCCGAGCATGGGGCTGCCCCGACGCCATCTGCCAGTCGTCACTCTCACCATAGTATGGCAAAGGAGAAGAAGGGCTTCACACCAGAGAATAATAATGCGGAAAATGCGAAAATTGGACCCGATGCAGTTGATGAGCTTATGGAAATGTACAGGAATATTGGAGAAAAGAAGCCCTTCTCTCGCGACACACTCGTTCGGTCAGCGATGGTTGCGCCTCTCGACCTTGGGACGAAGAATGATAAGACTATCAACGAGCTTGCTGAAATGGACGATCAATACGATCGGTTGAGCTTGATTCCTAACAGGCCGCCACATCGTGTTCCAGGGCCAGGTGTTACTAGTAACAGATCTGGCAGGCATGTGCCTGTGATATACCAGTCCTCACCCTCAAATCATGCCAGGACAGACTATCACGTGGATTCTAGCAGTGACTGGATGGATGATGCTTGCACAGCTTCGGACGGAAATGAGACCGAGGATTCAAACTCTGGATTTCGGGAGAAGTCGGCGACAGGCACCACTTGGGATCTGATGGTTGGCCATCATAACATGATTTGATTTGCTTTGATCGGAGTTGGTTGGAGGGTGTTATACGAGATTGCTTATTAGAGACCATGTGTGGACACATGTGCAATGCAATTAAATTGAATTGGATGACTTGAGTCAATCTGTAGAACAATAGACATTATGAACAATGAGTCGCCGGAAGGTCGTAGAGAAAACCATGTACAAAAGGACTGTGGCACATTCTCGTGGTATTAATACAGGTAGGATCCAAGACCCCATATACATGAAAGCGAAAGCCAAACCCACAGCCTCGAAAAAAAGAAAGATGGCCAGCAGCTCCGAGAAAACGCCAAATGAGACAATGCAATAGACCAGACGGCCACTAGTTCAAATTCATCACGACTTTAGTTGTGCAGAACACTGCCAGGAACACCATGGCTTGGGCCCTTGAGACTATCGACGGTTTTGCGGCGCAAACGAGTGCGTGTGGCTGGTCCTTCGGAGGAGACCACCGCGGGCTGAGGCTCGATGGTGGGTGTTGTCACTGCATTGGCGGCAGCTTCCGTCGCCTGAGCTGTCTCCATATCCACCTGCTTCTGTGCATTGTCCCGGGCCCGCTCGTAACGTAACTTCACTTCGCCCGTCCATTGGGTGTTCAGCAGCCGGTCCCAGAAAATGAAGAAGGGCTGAGAGAAATTGGTCTTGATACCCCAGCTTTGGTGATGAATATCGTGGTAGGCAGCGTTGTTGGAGGTAAAATGCTGTAGGGGATCCCAGGGGAAGGCGTAGCCGCAGTGATCGTCAACGGTTTTGATGGTCGAGCAGGTGAAGAACCACATTGCCTGGCGGTTCGTCATTCCGGTGACTAGGAAGGCGATGCCCGTGCCGGCGGTATCTAGGAGGAAGCCCTCCACAGGGTGGTTGTATAAGGCGCCGAAGGCGTAAGGGACGTACAGACGGTGATGACGGGAATGGAAGGTTACTGTAGACTGAGTTAGTAGGGGATCTTTCTCACACAGAGTCACACAAAGTGAGGATGGGAAACAATGCGAGGTACGCACCATAGAGCCAGCGGTTGAGGTGCATAGCACGATGGAGGAAGTATTGCCAGGTATCGACGATGGAGATAGCGATGAGGAATTGCAGACTCGGAACGAAGTACCAGTAGATGAATGAGGCCAGAGTCAACTCCCAGCCAGCAAAGGCGGGGGCAGTGACTTCGGCTCCGTTATCCAAGATCATTGACTGCACCATGCTGGGATAAGAACCTCCTGCTAGGGCCCCTGCCAAGATGGAGTGACCGTTTTGCGAGACCGACTTGGCCAGGCCAGTGGCGTCGACACCAAGGATCGTCAAGACGGTCGGAATTGCTCGCTGAGCGATGCGAACGCGTTGAGCCCAGGTCGCCACATTGTAGTCGTCCAAGCCGGTCATCTCGGGGGGGATCAAAATACGCGACTGACCAACCCGCGATGGTTTGAATAATTTGTTGTAGGATAACATCGCGGACAACCTCCCAGCGGCTGACTCGGTTCCTCTTCGATAACTCGGCAGGGGTGTGTAGACGATATTGTTCGAAGTAGTTATTGACATCGAGATAGTGGTAGATGCCCGACAATACCCAATAGGCGACAATCGGTAGAAGGAGGGCGACAACGTTATCGGGAATGGGCGGAAAGACCGGTTGTCGCTCTGTGAGTGTGTAACTTGGGAGTGGAGGGAGGTCAAACGCGACCGAAGCGTTGGCTGCCATGTTGGAGACAAAATGAGGCGAAAGGAAGCCTGGAGGAGGCGAAATCGTGGGGTTGTTGTTGTTGTCGGGGGTGAGATTTGAGAGGAGGGGGGGGAAGTAGTGGAAGGTGGATGTGGTGGATGGGTTGCGATAGGCAAATTAATCCCAGGAGGCCTGAGGATCCGATGGGCAGACTAGGTAAATGCGAAAGGATTGAAATGGGACAGAAAAGTCCCCAGTGTATAAGTCTAGGGCAAGGTGAAGTTGGAGTGATGAAGGAGTGACGATAAGAATACCAGGAAAACAAGAAACGAAAGAAAGAAGAAGAGATTGAAAGATGCCCGAGTCAAAAGGAGGCGACGAAGTGGCGCCAGTTCGGATGCAGTGGTGGTACAGAACGGATACGGTAATATTGCGCTGTTTTCAGTGTTGGTGCGGGATGGGGACTTACAGATGGTTAGTTACGGTATCACTGTGTATGCAGAGGGTACACGGCCGGATTGACATCCGAACTATACAGGGCGGAAGTATGGAATGATGGGAATTATGGGGAATATAGTAGTATAGACTGGCATGGGAGTGAATAAAGTACAGATAGTTCCATTTATTACATATTGAAGGATCCCAAGGTTGACTGATCATCAGGAGATATGTGCTATGTACATCTGCGTGTACATGACATGACATGATCAACCCACCGGCACCTGGGCACTGATTAATTACTAGTAGATACTACGGTAAGGCTAAGTACTAGGAGAATATCTGTAGAGCACAATAATACTAGCAGTAAATAATACTATTCAAATTTAGTTCAAAGTTAAGTAGTAGCAAATTGAACAGAACAAACTAGCGTATGTCAGTATATTAGTATATTAGTATGGAGACTACCACCCACTCTCTCACGGACAATCCCCAATGTCGAATCGCAGGTCGCTCAAGATTTTCTGCGGCAAATGTGCCATAAGAGTGACACGCTCAACCCGCTTCACACCCTGTCCCCACGTGCCGAGAATCAATCGTGCGGCGAATCTGCCAAGCTCTGTCCCAAGAATGAGCTTGAACTGATCGGATTCAATCCCATACGATGTGCATTCCCGAGGCCGGAACATCCTTTTAATGACATGATCTTCGATAATGCGGCGGGCCTCGCTGTTGACAACATCACAGAAGAAGATATGCTTCAAGGTGTCAATCCGGTACGACGCCTCATAGATAGCCTTGGTCATGTCAGTACTACGGGGATCACCAGCCACCCGATTCCTGATAATAAGGTCCATGAAGACAACCCCGGGTCCAATGTAGCCACACCATTCCGTCCAAGTTACTAAATTACTAATCCAGACATACCGATACTGAGACTGGGAATGGTCAATCCCAGACTCGGACTCGATGGGCAGGCCGAGTGCCTGGATCATCTCCTCATGTTCGGGTTGCAAGCGCTTGGGTCTATACTCTGATGACCAGGCCGGGATGTCTAGAGAAGCTAGTGTAAATGTAATATGAGGACCAGTGCATCCTGGGGTATCAGACTCATTCATATATTTGTGGAACCGCTCTCCAAACTCTCTGACCTCGGCCATCGTGTACTGGTTGTTCCTCGAGTCGATAGACATGATGCTGGTATAGATGATACTGGATAAGCTGTATGTAGTATTAGTAGTAGTAGTAGTAGTAGTAGTAGTAGCTGTGTAAATGATCTCTGGATGCTTTCGAATGAATGCCAAGGGGCTGTGGGATGAAGATCCAATAGATAGGCATACTCGGCTAGTTTATGTAGATGAGATGCTCTCTTCGAAGCTCAAGTCAGATAAAGGCCTTACTTTAAACAATGAAATGGTTGAACAATGGAGTCATAACAACGACAAGAGCTTAGAGCAACTTGAACAAGGAACCATTCAAGTTTGGACCTTTCATGCCGTTCACGAAGGATGGCATTCTTGGGTGGACTCGAAGCCATAGCATATGGATTTCCAGGTTGTCGAATAATGAATGAATGGAAATAGAGTGAGACTCAGTGAGTTCAATGCAAATGATACCGGTAATCTGTGTGCTTTTGTGGACTTCCCTTCCATCCATCCCATATCCCCCCCTGTGGCCTTGGCTTGTTCCCCACTTGCCACTGACATGCTCCGGGTCTGCCCGTCCTTGCAACTATCTCAAATTGGCGGTGGGCTTCATTTGGTAGTTTTTTTTTTGGCACATCGAGTATAATACTGTGGTACTTTTTCCGGAATGGTTTATTGTTGCAAACAAAGAATCAGTAGCAAGTTGTGATAACCGGGTATTTTGAGCCCGGAGATCAACGCGATAGGAGATGTGGGCCGAGATTGCCAGTGCCACTGCGGGGCGGAGTTCACAATAGTACTAACAGTATCGTATGGGCACTGTGGTGAGTGGAAGGGTATAGTACTAGTATACCCGGTGATTCTATTTAATTCAAGAAATATTTGACATGAAGTTTATATCATATTTCCACATCACTAGGTATCGGAGATTTTAAAGAGTGTTAAGCATAAAATGTATACTTCTATGCAAGTAACTATATTCCTATACAAAGTAATGAAGATCCCGTGATCTGGTGCAAACAGGGCAAACTCCCCCACTGCGCCGCCACTAAAAAAAAAACTTCATTTCCCCTCCTTTTTTCTTTTGTTTTCCCTTCCCCTCCTCATCCATTCACTTCTTGTCTTTTGTCAAATATACCCCCTTCAACCCGCCACCATGATTATCTTCAAGGTATGTGACCTCGAACCTGGAGATTTCCCCAGTCTCCTATCCCACGCCTATGTCTACCGCAATTCGAGAACTAAACGCTGACATTCACAGGACATTCTTTCCGGAGATGAGCTCTGCTCCTCCACCTTCGAGATTGCCCCCTCCAAGGACTGCCCCATTCTTCTCGAGACCGACTGCCGCAAGTACCTCAAGCGCAAGAACGAGGACTTCGCTCTGGAGGGTGCCAACCCTTCCGCTGAGGATGCCGAGGAGGAGGGTGGTGAGGGTGAGGCCACCATGGTCCACGATATTGAGGACCAGTTCCGTCTTGTCTGGCTGAAGGAGGATGAGGGTCTTAAGCCCTCCAAGAAGGACTTCACTTCTCACCTGAAGTCCTACGTCAAGAAGATCCTCAAGAAGCTCGAGGAGGAGAAGGCCCCCGCCGAGACCGTCGCTGAGTTCAAGGCCGGTGCCGCTGGCGCTCTCAAGAAGATCACTGGCAACTATGACAACTACGATGTCATGATGGGCGAGTCCATGGACGGTGATGCCATGTATGTCTCTAAATATTGCCCATTTCCCTACTATTGATTATCCCGCTGACACTTTCCTCCCAGGCACGTCCTGATTGACTTCCGTGATGACGGTGTCACCCCCTACGCTACCCTCTGGAAGCACGGTCTCAAGGAGATTAAGGTCTAAGCCAAGCAATTAGCCTTGTCTTGTCCTGTCTTGTCTTAGCGGCCGGATTTGCAAAATACAAAAGCACTTGACATGAAGAATGAAGAGTACATGAAGAAACGAGAGCTCTTTCTCCATCATACGCCTAGATCGGATGCGGACGCGGGAATGAGTTGTTTATCATCCCCTCTCCTCGCGCCGGGCCCTTTATCTGTTCTGGCTTTCACCGTCCCATCTTCGTATCCTAATTGACCGATCCCTCTGATCGTCGAGTTACGCCTCATGAATCGATAAACTGTTACGTCTCCCTCTTAATCGGCTTTTGTTCGCAATATTGTAGTAGTAGTAGTTCTAGTCAAGTCGCATAGTAGATCGACGGTTCAAATGTATTTATTCTATTAGATAAATTATTTTCATGGGGTATCGATAATATCAACCATATCCAGTCCAATCGCTAGACAAATTACCCCGATTGACACCTTTGCCTGTCCACGGAGGTGTGGTATTTTGATCCACGGTCTGTGGTAATCCATTGAAGGCGATTGGCCCGCCGGGGCTCGTATTTGCGGACGGGATTCCAATATTAGCAAAGTCTAGGCCGACAACGGGATCCAGTTCCATCAGTTCATCTGAGACGGGGAGGTGTTGTCCAAAGACAGCGTCCCATTGGTCCCAGTCGAAATTGAGATTCGGGTCCACCATCGAGGGCGGGGTCGACATGTTCATTGGTGCAGGGTTTGGAGATAGGGAGTCCATGTAGAGCATGCCCGGAGACATTTCCGTGCTTGGAAAAGGCGGTTGTTGGTGTTGTTGAGGCTGTTGTACGGGGATTGTGGGTTGTGTAGTGGGTGATAGATTGGACGATGGCGAGCGTAGAGCAGACGCGGCCTCCGGAGATGTTGCTGCAATTGGTGATGTTACGCTTGCTGCAGGCGTAGTATTGTATTGTGGGGCTGTGGCTGAAGCAGCGGTCTGATTCGTGGAGGATGGCTGGAGAGAGTATCGAAGAAGACTGGGTCTGCGAGCCGCCGAGGATGCCACAGGATTTGGGAGGTTATGAGTGCGGGTCATATTGTAGAAGGTTCGATTGAAGTCCATGAGCTGGCGATCTGGCGGAGGTGGTAGCTTTTGACCTGCAGCAGAAGCAGCCGGCGATGATGGGTTTGAATATAGTTGCTCTCGCAGGGCATTGAGCTCTGGAGCTGGCGATGCGATGCCCGCCTGGATTTGATCTTGTTCGGTCCAAAGCATCTGGGGATTGAGGCCAGCTTTCTGCCACGCCTTTTGACGGAGACGGCGGATCATATCCCATGCCTCACGGCCACCATCCTTCAGAGGTCTTTGCGTAGATACACCATCCTCACCACCGACCACGCCTCCATCTGGCCCCGAGAGGGCTAGGATGCGATCGATAAAGGCCCGTGATCTAAATGCCTCGGGACTATATGGGCGTTCGTAAAGGTCGATGAGCATGATCCTACTGAACGTTAGATATATTTTAACAAAATTGACTTGCAAATAACTTACATAGTCGCGTGCATCGGTTGATGATTACTTTGAATGGTTAGTTAAGCCTTTCGTTTGAACGATTTGACGCATTACTTACCCTGGCCAGCTCCACTGGAATGGTTGGAAATCTGGATCCGTGGCGAGCTGAATGAACTTTTCCATAAACCCGTGGCAATGACGAAGAGCGCTGGATTTGTGAGACAAAGCACTTTGATATTACCATTTACTGAAATACATACCTTTGCCGTGCTGCAGGCCATATGCGACTGCGAGCATTCTTAAGAAAGGGCTGGTAGGCGACACAGAAAGCCTAGAAAGACAGTCAGTTTCTCCATTGGTTTGATAGCGGCAACAATGGCCAACGAACCTTGTCAATATAAAGTGACAAAATGATACGCGCCCATTTATGGAAGGACACAAGAACTGCGGAATGGTACTGTTCAGGACATCCATTCGGTCCATCTCCTGGAAGTTCGCTTTCGCCTGAGTGAGATTCCACAGGGGACTTCGACATGGACAGTGCGCGCCCGGACGAGACGGATGCATGGTCTGTGACCTGGCTTTCGGGTATCCTGCCGACAATGGAATTCAGCTTCAGTTGAAGATCCATAAGTATTGTTTTTAGTTCCTCCATATCCTGACGAGTGACAGGCTTTGTGCCAAGTTGGATTCTCAGAATTCGACGAATAGACCCTGTCGGCTCCCATTAGTATCATTTCTCGGTCCATTGGGAGGGAGTTACTTACAAGCCATGATGTATTTGCCTCTTGCGGTGAGATAGAATACATTCACCATTGATGGCCCGCCGCAGACAGTCGGGTCGTCAGGATTATCTGGTAGTCGTTGCTTGGATGCGACCAACTGCTCATAACTTTCTGCGGCTGGTACTCCAAGCATGGTATCTTTGAGTTCGCTTGTTCGCCGCACATCCCAATAATTCTCATCACTGACGAGTGGGGGAAGTCCGCTGGACATTGCCACCACACCATCCATGTGCATAATGTGCCACCATAGCCTCCGTCTGTACTCCGCTTCGCAAGGCTCGATTCCAAAGTTGGCAGGATCTCGATGAAGACCCATCGTCTGCGCGACACGCATCGCCAGACTAACGAACAGACTGCTTGTCAACGGTTCTTCCTCTTTGGAAAGAATCGTCTGGACAATGAGATAGGCAGAGAGCCCCTGAAGGGATGGGCTGCGAGGGAAAGAGATCTTCGTCAACCACCTCGTTACCTCCTCGCTGTACATTGTAGACAGTGCATCTCGTGATGACGTATTAAACTCGGCCTTGATAGTTCGAATGGAGACTGTGACGGAACCACCATACCAAATTGCGTAAAGAAGAGGAATAAACGAGGGGATCGGACATGCCTCTCCAGAGTAGCTGCTGTAATCGTACCATTTCCAAAAGGTGTTGTACAGCTTGAGCACCGTCGGCGGGTGGACGACAGGACTGATGGCATGCACCCCAGACATGAAGCCTCTGTACAGAATGTGGCTTTGGCGTCTGGTTGGGATGTGCTCCAGCATTTCTGGTTCAACAACTCTGTCGCTCATCGATGGGGATTCACCAGAAGGGAAGATGATGGACTGTTGGAACGAGCCAACGCGGGAACCAGGTGTAGTCGGAGGTGGAGAGCTGGCAAGAGAGCCTCTCCATTGTCTCCTGTTCCCGGCACTGGGATCATTGAAGTCGTCGTTGGGGGTTTCTAATGAATTCATGTCGTGTGATCGATTTTGGTCTCTCAGCAGTTGATTGAGGTCGTTAATCTAGACGGATCAGCGGGCTCCACGCGCAGTCAAAAACGGGCATTTATCCTGCATACCTCATGAGATATATACGCCCAGTAGGTTGTCCCAACGTATCTGGTCGATATCGTTAATGGCTGAAAGGATAATAATGTGTCGCTGCTGCTTCGCACTCACCTGGACCTTCCTCCATCGTCCAGGCTCAGATGGCCTAGATTGAGGCTCCCGACTGGGTCCACGAGATCTGTAGCCTGACCTGACGGTATAGGAAATTCATCACCACTCGATTCGGCCGCCGTACGGCGCGGGCTAGAAGGGCGAGAGGGGCGAGAAGGCATTGGCCTTCCATTCCGAGCGCTGTTTTGACGCACTTCCTCCACGAATGATTGGTCGGCCCCGAGGGTTGCCTGCCTCTCGGCGTCTTCCAGTGGCTGTCCAGTACCGCCAATCTTCTCGATCATCGACATCAATTTATCCAGGCGATTTTCAATCGCGCGCGGGTCAGATTTGTTCCCCTCTGACGACCCAGCCTGTCGCAAATGGCCGTATATTGATTGAAGTTCGTCGACATCCTCCTCCCATGTTCGCGGGGTCGCTCGGCGTCGTTTCACGCCATGGCCCGACCGACCTGACGACTCGGGTACAGTCCCATCCGTATGTGCATCCTCCCGCTTCTCCGATGAGACATCATACACGCACTCGGCTCCTGTTTTGATACAATTCCCGCATATTGGATGGACCTGGAATTTTGTTAGCTTAAAGAATAGTATTAGACAATGTGATTTGCGTATACCTTGTCACACTTGACCTTGCGGCGGCGACAGGTGTGGCAACTGTAGCTGGTGCGGTTGCGAGTGATCTGGCGACCCCCGGCCAGCGGCGCCCGCGACGAGGCGGAGGAAAGATCCTGAGAATTTGGCTGACTCGGGTCCATCCCAGGGAAGGCTCAGCAAGGCATAAGGACAGAGGGGAAGATTATGATGACGCTTGCAATTGCGATTGCGGAATTGCGGGCTGCGGAGGGCGGAGGTTCACTGCGGGGGACGGTGCAACAGCCAATCACAACCCCCCCCGACTTCGCCAGGGCGGTCAGGCTCTACTTACACTGTAAGGTAGGATATACTACAGATTTATATTTATATTTACCAGTAAGATAGGGCTAGGTCAGACTATTAACCTGTGAGATTAGACTAGTATTTGTCCGTATGGTAGCTATTCTGTGCCCTTCAGCAGGGCATCAACTAGAAATGACCACAAATCAGAAACTATAAATCACATACTTCAATGATAGATCCTGCGCAACAGAACTCAATTGGAACCTTGGGATCAAACCTAATGGACTCTGGTCTAGAATTAACCCAGGGACTGGAATATAAAACAGAGCCTGAGGTATGCGTGGGGTTTCTCTGCATTGATCGTAGAATCTATAGATAGTAGTAGTATCCGACAACTCACCAATATCCCAATTGAAACTTGAAATCATATTGCTACCTGCCAGTGCAAACTTGTCCAGACCCACAGTGTGATCCAGGAATTTCAAAGTTTTTTTTTTGACTGAACATCGGGATTTTTTCTCTTTCAACCCCTATCCACGCGTCTAAAAGTCTCCGCCGTCGCCAAGCCCGGCCAAGACGCAACACTTTACCTTTGGTCTCTTGGATCACTGCCAGGATGGCTGCCTGGTACTGGTTTCAGGTGTTTGCTTCTGTCTTGGCGGGCAGTGCCTCCCATCATATCTTAGCTAATTGGTCCCTCGCTGGCCCCAACACGCGCCAGGGTATGCGGTTTTGTGTGATATACCGATCCGCTGTTCCTTGGTGCCGCCCTGGGCATCGCTCCGCCATCGCCAAGCGGCAAAATGGTTCTTGGGGTTTTGAATTTCACTCGGCATTCGCTCTATTGGTCTGTTGGGCAATTGGTAATGAGCTGGCGGGCTGCATTTATTATTGTTTTCTCTCCCCACCGAGCGATATGATGTCTTTGTCCATTTCTCGACACTCGTTCATACTTCTTTGACAACAAAGTCCTACTATCTTCTCGAGCACGTATTCTGGGCCTGCGTTTCCCGTTCAAGTTCAAGTTGCCCTTGGCCCTTTTTCTCATTCTTTTTCCATCTTCATATTCTTTCTACTTTATCTCTCTCTAATTCTTGTATTGTAACCAAAACACAACTACGACCGCCGATGATCTCCCAATGGCACATCCCCAGGCCTTGCCTTTTGCTCATGGGACTTTCCTGTATCAGGACGCAGGTTTTAGTAGCAGGTATAGAGCTAGATATCGGGAGCGATGGTGCGTATATTTAATTCGTCTTCTTTCTACCTCTCACCTGTCACTCCTGCTGAATTCTTGCATGGTAGAGTCGATCAAATCAGCCGCTAGCACGATAGCCTACGACCTCGTCACCTTCTACTCTGGCAATAACTCTGGAGATGTACCAGGAAATCTTCCAGATCCATACTACTGGTGGGAGGCGGGCGCATTCTTTGGCTCGCTCGTGAATTATTGGGCCCTAACGGGAGATACCACCTACAACGACATTACCGTCCAAGCAATTGAGCATCAAGCCGGGGACAATGGCGACTTCATGCCAAAGAATCAGACATATACAGAGGGAAATGACGACCAGTGCTTTTGGGCACTTACTGCGATGGCGGCCGCGGAACGAAACTTTACCAATCCCTCATCCGAGACGCCAGGCTATCTCTCCATGGTCCAAGCTGTCTTCAACGAACAAACCCATCGATGGGATATGACTGCCTGTCAAGGTGGCCTACGCTGGCAGATCTATACTTGGAATGATGGCTACGGCTATAAAAACACGATTTCCAATGGCTGCTTTTTTGACATCGCTGCTCGATTGGCTCGGTATACGGGGAATGCGACCTATGCCGAATGGGCCACCAAGGCATGGGATTGGGAAAGAGCCGTGGGCTTGATCAGGACCGACTGGCAAGTCTATGACGGCACTACACATGAAACAAACTGTACATCTTATGATAGAACAAGGTGGTCCTACACGGCTGGTATCCACCTGCATGGGGCCGCTGTTATGTATAACTATGTGAGAGATCATTCTCGATGATCAAAGCGAAGCTTGATATCGCTGACATCTATATTATTATAGACGTCCGAACTCTCCTTGGAATCATCAGAGTCATCCAATTCATCCCAGTCCTCCAATGCCTCCGCTATTTGGAAAATACGATTGGATGGTCTCCTGGGTGCCGCCGATCACTTCTTCTCCAAGAACGAGTCCAGCAAGAATGTCATGTATGAGCCCCCTTGTGAATTGAGCGGCATTTGCAACGTCGATCAGCTCTCATTCAAAGCCTACATGTCTCGCTGGATGGCGGATGTCACCCAACTCGCGCCCCATACCTACGACATAATCATAAACAAGCTCCGAGTCACGGCGCAGGCTGCTGTCGCCCAATGTCAGGGTGGGGATACGGGAACATACTGCGGCTTTCGCTGGGCGAGTGGTAGTTATGATGGCACAATAGGTGTAGGTCAGCAAATGGGTACTCTAGACGTCCTGCAAAGTCTTCTCGTCAAGGATATCGGCGGCCCGGTAACCTCGACCACTGGAGGATCGAGTGAAGGCAATAGTGCTGCCGGGACTGATTCAGATGAGACAGAGGAAGAAATTCAGTGGGACCACATCACGAATGGGGATAGGGCCGGGGCAGCCATCCTTACCGCAGCTACGGTAGCATTGATAGGCGCAGCGACTTGGACTATGCTGTCGTGATTTGTGCATACTTCATAAGTAGCTATGTCTAAAAAATCCTTAAAAGTCGTCAAAATAAGAACAAAAAGTAAAATAAACACAAAATACGGAAATTATACGGAAATTTTGAGGCTCAGACACAGAACCGATGACATCTGTCTACGAGGAAGACGTGCAGAATTATGTCGCTGAACTCAATCAGTGATGTTCAAGAAACTTAGAAATAGAATCATTATTTAGAAGATACTTCAGATAACTCTCTATATTATTGTATCTAGTCAATCAAGATAGGATAACCCCTTTAAAGCCCAACTACGCTGTGTAATTAAGCGTGAGGAATTTGCTGCTCATCTAGTGGCCACTTCGAGATGACAGTTGCGTCGCCGGTCAATGTAATCGAAACCACTGCCGATCGCTCGTTGTTGAGGGCCAGCTCGTACTTCCCAGGGTAGACAACACGGTTTCCCTGGGAATCAGTGCGGGCAAGGTTGTCAAGTGAAACGGGAATAGTCATCTGCTGGGAAGCATGGGGCTTCAGTCCCCCGAGACGATCAAAGCCCACAAGCCACTTGTTGGGATAAGGCTTGGGGCCAGCAGTTGTATTTGTGAAAAGCATGGCTGTATAGTCTGAGAGAACACCCCCAGTGTTGGTAATGCCAACGGTATAGTTGAAGAAAGGAACTTGCTCCACAGTGTTGTAGCTTTGATGAGGTTTGGAAAGCAGGTCCAGAATATCAAAAGAGCGCCCACTGTTAGCTTTCTTGGACTTGGGCAGAGAGGCCTTGAAAGTCGAGTAGAAAAGCCCATGGCCGAATTCATAGACCGGCGTACCTGTATACCACATGTACGTCTGACCAGGGTTGTTACCGCCTGGGCGCAGTGCCATATCTGTGGCAGGGAACTCTGTCGCATATTTGGCCGGGTATTGAGTGGTTGTCAGGCGGCCTGCAGGGGCACGCTTGCCGGTGATGATATCCACGAGAGCCTGTCCGCCAGACTGACCAGGGTAACCACCCCAGATGATAGCATTGACGTTCTTGTTGGACTTGAGGGAGGAAGAGTCGACTTGTCCACCTCCCATTTGGAGAACGACTAGAGGCTTGCCAAGCTTGCTCAGCTCCTTCACTAGTTGCAGTTGGTTGCCTGGCCAGGTAATATTCGCTCTGTCCATTCCCTCTGCCTCAATGGTATTATCGATTCCACCGGCGAATATAATCAAATCCGACTTCTTAGCTGCAGAAATTGCCGCTTCAAATCCATCGGTAGTCTCTGAAGAGATGTTTGTACCAAAGGCGTAGTTAACATCTAGATTCGAGGCTTCCAGGGCTTTCAGAGGACTAGTCAGGTATGGCGCAGTTGAGAAATAATTCCCTTGCATCTGTTCAGTAGCATTTGCCCATGGCCCAACCAGTGCAACGCTACTGGTGTTCTTCCCAAGAGGCAAGGTGCCGTCGTTTTTGAGAAGAACAATCCCTTCAACGGCTGCCTCATAAGATATGTTTCGAGCATCGGTCAATACGACATCAGACCATTTGAGGTTACGGAATGGACTATCGCCGCCGTCAAAATAGCCGAGGCGGACCAAGTTCGAGTAGAGTCTGATGACTCCACGTTCGATCTCACTGCGGGAGATGCCCCCATCGATAAGAGATTGGTTCAGATAGTATTGATAGGAAGTTCCGCAGTCGATATCAGTTCCGGCTCTCATCGAGTCAGCAGCTGCACTGGAGACATTTGCGGCATATTCGTGAGGGTTGAAGACATTATAGACAGCGTCACAGTCCGAGGAGACGTAGCCGTCCTCCACAAATCCCCAAGTATCACGAAGAAGAGTCTGAAGGAAGAATGAGTTTGCAGAGCTGGGAACACCATTTACGGCGTTATAGGACGACATGACACTGTGAACCTTGGCATCTCGCACTGCAGATAGGAATTGTGGAGTGAAGTACTCCGCGAGGTCCTGTTGGGTGATATTCATGTCGTTGCCCAGTCGGGAATGACCATCCCAGTTCTCAATGTCATAGCCAGCGTAGTGCTTTGCAGTAGCTACCAACTTGAGGTGGTCAGGATCCACACCTCCCTGAATACCAGTAATATACTCGTAGGCATAGGCAGAGCATAGGCAGTAGGCATCCTCGCCAGGAGTCTCCTGTCCACGGCCCCAAACGGGATGGCGGAAGGAATTGATATTTGGCGCATAGACGTCCAGTCCGTACCTCCCGACATTATTGAATGCTCGACCTTGTGTAGAAATTATATCTCCGATATGATTGATCATCGTGCGATTGAGACCAGCCATCGTAAGAATCGGCGAAGGGAAGGAAGTTGCCCAGCTGAAGTCGCCCGAGTCGGTGAAATTGCCTCGGTCGAGCCCATGAAGGGCTTCACTCCATACTTGGTACGCGGGCAATCCGAGTCGTGGAATTGCCGGAATATTGTTGCCCGTACTGTTCACGAGTTCTTCGAATGTAAACAAGGAGATAAGGGCCACCGCTCGATCATGGGCACTGGCCGATTTGTCACAGACGAGAGTATTGCTGAGGGGACTTTTGTCACAATCGGGGAAGCTCAGGTCAATTGTTCCGATTGTTTGCGCATCAAGGTCGGGCTGGGCCTCGGTGGAGTAGTCCTTGTAGGTAGTGTTGGCCTGGCCGAGAACGGCTGGCACCAAAGCCGCCAGGACGGCGAGCAATCCAGCAGCGGGCATTGCGAAGATGGAATTTGAGAGAAAGACTGGGCCGTAAAGTCCATTGTAAACGCGAAGTTGCAATCTCCTTTATACCCCCTCACTTTGCTGCACATCGGCTGCTCCCAAACCCCGTGGGCATCCCCGGGAAAAAACAACTTCTCCACATTTCCCGACCAAGTAAGTCCCGCAGCCGATCCCGAAGCTTTGCCGGCGAGCTTGCCGGAGGGCTGCACCTGTATGTGATTTAGCCTGAAGTCTGTTAAGTTCGATCGATGTGGGGGGGTTGTATGATCTGGAATCAGGAGAGGTGGGGAACTTGGAATAGGAATGAGGGGATTGGAAAGTGGAGCTGGATGGCAATAATATCAGTCCTTGCATGAAACGCAGACGAAATTCTGTATAGAATAGAGCGATATACCCGAATGACCTCGATAAATACAAACGGTGGCAAATTTAACTTCTCTCTTGCCAGAGAATAGAAATATACTGATTTAAATCTTCCGTGACATAAGATTGTTGAAAGTTTGGAAATGGAATGTATTCTATCCGATTTCAAGCTGCTGCAAGGAAGCATCCATTCTCATCTAGCTTGTATTTTTCAAGCACGTAATCAACATCCTTGTCGCCACGACCCGAGAGATTGACTAGGATTCTTTCGGATGGAGGGCGCTGCGCAGCCAACCGAATCGCAAACGCTAATGCGTGTGCGCTTTCCAGCGCCGGAATTATACCCTCGAATTTCGCCATCCGGTAGAATGTATTGACGACATCCTCATCTGAAATACCTGCAATTGATAATCGACCAGCTTCATGAAGCATCGCAATCTCAGGACCAACGCCAGGGTATGCGAGCCCTGATGCGATGGATGAGACACTGGCAGGTGTACCGTCATCTTTCTGAAGCATAATGGACTGAGCACCATGCAGGGTGCCCGGTTTTCCATAGGATAATGTCGCTGCGTGTTGACCGAGCTTATCAGACGTGCCCATAGGTTCGACCGCATGTAGAATGACCCCGGGTTCATCTATAAAGCCTGTATATATACCCATTGCATTGGAACCACCAGCAACGCAGGCAACCACATGATCAGGCAGACTTCCATCCGTCATGGAACTAAATTGCTCGCGCGCTTCTCGACCAACAACGCCTTGGAAGTCTCGTACAATCATAGGGAAGGGATGAGGGCCGATGGCCGAGCCAATGGCATAAAGCGCGTGTTTGTGCTGCTCGGCGTATGCATTAAATGCAGAATCACTCGCATCTTTTAGAGCAGACTGGCCAGTCGATACAGACACCACTCGCGCACCGAGTAGCTGCATCCTACCAACATTTGAGCTCTGTTTTTTTATATCAACTTCTCCCATGTGAACTTCACATTCGAGGCCAAAATAGGCGGCTGCAGTTGCCAGAGCGACGCCATGCTGGCCGGCTCCCGTCTCAGCAATCAGTTTCTTCTTGCCCATCCGCTTAGCAAGTAGGGCGAAGCCAACACAGTGGTTGATTTTGTGTGCACCGGTGTGATTCAAATCCTCTCTTTTGACGAATATTTGAGCTCCTCCGACTTGGTTTGAGATGTTTTCAAGGTGGTGTATTGGCGTCGGGCGCCCTTGAAGTCCGACCCGCACCTTATCCAGGGTGGCCTGAAATTCCGGCGATTGATGGAGCTCGTTATGGCTATTGGCCAACTCTAGCAGTGCGGATCGAAGTTCTGGTGGATAGTAGTTACCGCCAAACCGACCGTAGTATCCCTCAGCGTCGGGGTTACTCTGGAAATGAGAATAGATGCTTTCCGACATCTTGTCCTGCCTTCGAGAATTTGAGAATGGGTAAATGGAACAATCGGATGACGGATGACGGATGATGGGATTTGAGGTTACAAATCGCACTCGTGTCACGCTGGTGGGGTATCAGATTGACCGTCTGCAATATTTCTCAGTTTCAAGGCATCTGTGAGCGAATCCGACAGGTAGATAGAACAGACGGTGTAGGCTAGAGGTGGTAACTAAACGGGTCAATTGGGGACGGATAGCTCTGACAAGTCTGGATTCAAGTGCCCGGCCTACGAGGGAGAATTGGATCCTTTATCTTTTGAAAACAAAGAGGAAATCCTTCGAGCATCTGTCGGTGACTCATTGGTGGTGGCTGTAGCTTGTACAAAGTAACTCGTTGAGAGGTTGTCAACTGAATCTTGACGAACCGACCCGCCAACGCCGACCCGCCAGCGCCGACCCGCCAACGCCGACCCGCTCAGCCTCTCATCTTTGTCAGTCAGATGTCAGTCAAAGGGCGTCCAATCTCTGTGAATATCAAGGCTATCTTGGTCTGCCAGTGCCATATTATCCTATTCGAAGGATTCTGGGGAGCCCAGATCCCCCTTAATTAAAAATCTTAAAATTGAAGTCCTCATACATAGTCCGGAATAAGCTTGGATACGAGTACAGGTAGTACTGAATTTAATATCCCCAATGACTGTACCCATCACGTTCAGGTTCTTACTAGTATACGCGAGAGTCTGTTTCCGATATTAGAAAAATTATCTCTCGACTTTGCCAGTGGATCTTGGGTTTCTTGCCTTGGCTTCAGAGTAAACTCGTAGTAGTATAGGTATCTTGAGAAGCTCCATTCAGGCTGAATTGGGAGCTTTGGGTCCTGCGTCACCGATAAATACTAATTGTGTCTCGGACCCCCTCATGCGCACTCTACAATACTAGTACGCCAGGTTTCGGAGTGCTCGGAGAGTTTAATGCAGCTGCTCCACCCCGGAAGAGGCTCGTCCCGACAATTTTCCCTAAGGAGATAGTAGCTAACATTTTGTTGCATGATAAACAGGGGCCTGGATCTTTCGAATTTATCCTTCTGACTTTGGATAAGCTCAGCTACTCTAGGATTCTAGGTGATTTTTGCCAGAATCCAGGTCTACTCATTAGTTAACTACTCAGATATACTAGTACTAGTTAGTACAGCCCAGAAATCTGAAGTGCTCGGCGTACGTCGGGTATACCCGTAATTTACTGCAAACTAACCAACACTTATACTATTGATAAACGAGAGCAACCCTCGCAATTCATACGATCGAGGCTTCCCAGGTGACCACGGTGTTATGAATACCAATTAAGCTTCTCTGCCTAATAGGAGATCTTGAACACCCAAGCAAACCGATCGGCTGCGACAACCTCCTTGCTAGGGAATAGAGTTACCGATCCATTCCTAGACTTTCTTGTTGGCACAACTTCACCATCCATTTTTCCACCCAGTACCGTCACCTTGTCACCATTGACCCATGGAATGGGACTATTCAAGGTCAAAGTACTGTTCGGTTTGGCGAGCACATGGATATAGAAAGCATCTTTCGAGATGGTGAACCTGACACTATCACCCTCCTCGGGAGTGACAAACCAATATGTTGTGTTGAAGATAGCCTCAGCATGATCCTTGATCCAAACACCAGCCTCGCGCAGGTTTCTTTGTTCAACACCGATAATTGTCCCATTCGCAGTTGGGCCCACATCTAGAAGGAAATTCCCGTTCTTGCTCACAATATCAATTAGGCTCGTGACAATACTGCTGGCGTTCATATAGCTTGCCAAGGGTGTTGCGCGGTTGTAGCCATAGCTATATGGGTCCATCCCCAGGTTGCTCTCCCATTTGCGAACCTGGACCCCATCATACCGGGCATATTCAGGGGTGTCAAAATCTCCCGGTAGACCACATCGTGCGTTCATCACAACTTGCCGATTCTGTTCTGCTGCCTGGTTGAACCACTGTGATGCAAACTCAACAGTGCGATTAGGTCCACCGATATCACACCACATGATTTCAGTGCCCATATCAGCCAGAGTATTCATTTCAGGTAGTATCTTATCCTCAATATAGTCGTTAAGTGGCACGTATCCAGTGTACGGAAGTGTTTCGTTCGTGAAAGGATTGGTAGCATTTCCTAAAAATGGTCAGTGCAACGTTCAATTATCTTCGGTCGAGCACAAGGCAAAAGTTCATACCTCCAGGCCAAGAAGAGAATCCATATTTTCTGTAGTCGGGATGGAACCACTCCGGTAGAGAGTAGTATACCGCACGATGCAAGTGGGGTTGGTATTTTTTGGAAGCGTCAAACAGTTCCTATATAGAGATATTAGAAACAGCCCATGTCTTCTCTTCTTAGTGTTCATCATACCTGTACTAAGTTTCGGTGCGGGGTCATGGCCACAGATGTTCTCTTGGTAACATTCTCGGGAAGATCGAAAAGAGCGTATCCTTCATGGTGTTTGCTGACTTGAACAAAGTAGTTGGCACCAGCATCGGCGAAAAGATCAACCCATTCTTTAGGATCCCACGCGTCCGCCGTAAAATTCTGAATGAAATCATCGTATGCGAGTTCTGTTCCATAAGTCTTCTTTTGATAGTCGTAGACATCAGTCTTATCACTAGGACCTTGGCCGAGCCACCACCAATACCTAAGAGATGTTAGCCATTGCTTCTCCTAGTAGCGATTTTCCCTCTTCTCACCACTCAGCGTAGCTCTCCTTCGATCCCGAATTGCCCCAACCGGGCACTGAATAAATCCCCCAATGGATGAAGATCCCATACTTGGCATTGTTATACCAGCTCGGGGCTTCATGGCTGTAGATGGATTCATAAGTAGCCTCGTACAGGCCAATACCGTAGGTCGCTTTGAAAGCATACTTTCTGCTTGCCACCCCTTCGCCTTCGATGACTACAGTGGCTGGGCCAGAGTCTCCTGATTTCACCCCGTCACGATTCTTTACACCGACCTCCACTACAGCCTGATCACCGGGCCCAAGGCGATTGATCACTCCATCGGTGACCGTTTCCAGACCCGGCGACTCAACCCGGACTCGAAGAGTGTTATTTCGCAAGATGAACGAAGACCCGACATTATTCACCAGAACCTCGATGATTTGGACTTTGTCAGTCCCTTCCATCCATTTCTGCGTAGAACGAGCATACTGAGTCTCAAGCCTTGGTGTTCTTGAAACATCCTTTGAGGCGGGTAGAAGCGACAAGGCAAAAACGTGCAGTTTTGTGTCAACTTCAGCGCCTCCAGGTTCGGTTGAAGACCCAGATGAGGACTCGGGGAACTTCAGCGAAACAAGCTCTTTAGACGAGTCCAGCCAATTAATGGTTTGGAATATATTGGTTCGGTTGAAATTCGTGCTGTTTTCCGTGAGATAAGAGGAAAAGATGAGGTCTCCTCCAGCGGGATACGGCCAGCTCCACCATGCTGGGACGAGTAACGGGCCAGTCGTATTGCTACCGTCAGCATACTTGGCTGTGACCGACCCTGCCGCCGTTCCAGACTCAGAGGAAGCAAGCATCTGGTAACTGAAATATTTGGCACGAGGTACCTTAATCTCTTGTCCCTTGACCAGGACATTGTCGTAGCCAGATGCATTGTATGGAGAGAATCGATAATTAACTCCTCCATAGGCGAACCTCTCTGGCGGAATCTCCTTGGCCGGATATGAGTCTAAAGGAAGATAGGCATTAGAAGGACGGGTCAATCATCGCAGCTTAGCAAAGAAATTTGCGTACTTCCTTGGCCGTCAAAGCTCGAATCATTAGGACTCAGACCAAATGCACGGTTATTGACGAATGGGCGTAGATCCAAGGCAATGGTATGGTTGGGCCCAGATAGAGCTTCAAAGTCATTTTGTGGCTTAAATATTACTGCCTGGCAAGCAGTCGCACTCGCCAGGAGAGCGGTTGCGATACACCCGGCATTCAACATGATGGCATACCACTAGTAGTAGTTTATGGATATTTAGTGAGAGCAGAACTCGGTTCTGCGCCGATGATATATGGACTATATATTGCTATTCCTCGGCACTGGCAGTCGTAACAGTGCCATTTCCCCGCATTCCTGCCAATGCTACCCCTACGTACTATAGCGATTTGCCCTCTTTTTATCGGGTAATTACTATCGGAAAATTACAAAGTATGTCTGACCGGGTGAAACCGATGCGATCGGCGTGCGGAGGTGGCGGCCTTTTCGCCGAAGCTATCCCGGCACCATGCCATATGTTACCATGATCATCGTGGGAAATGTTAGAGCTGTTGAGTGCCTGAAATTGTCTAAAATGGTTGCTATTAGGCAGATTGTATCGGCTAAAGTCAACCTTGGAAGCTATATACTCTGTGCGAGACCTTCTTATTCCACTTGTTCCACGAACGCCTTCTCCTGGTCCTCGCCGAGAATCCCACCCTGCTCGTTCATTTTCGCAGTAAAGTGTTTCTCTGCCTTCCAGGCAATACAGCTAGGCCCTGAGAAAAGCACATCAAGCTGCTCGAGAGGGCGATTTGCGGTTTCTGTTATCATGTTGTTAGCAGTATATTCTCAGTAGGTTTGTTGCCCAGGTAGGATAGTGCAACTAACCAGCGTAGAAGAGGTAGATCGGCGCCAATAGAGCGAGGTTAATCAGCGCGAATAGAATAAACACCCAGAATCCAATCGCTTCAATCAGATAGGGAATGATCATGTTGATGGCTCCTCCGGCAATGGAGAAAGAAAAAGTAGCCAGAGCAGCACCTTTACTTCGGCTTGCGAGGGGGAAAACTTCAGTGGGATATACCCAACTTTGATAAAGGTTAGTTTGAGAATTCCGGAAACGTAATATAGCATCAAGTACTCACCAAGTTGTCAGCCAGGTACTTCCGTAAACAAAGGTATAAATGTATAGAATAGCTGCGACTCCTGATCCATACTTGTTGGCTAGGGCCGAGTCGGTGTCCGAATGAGATATTGTCTCGTGAGAAAGAACACCCCCAACAATCAGGACAATCCCCATAAGCGTACAACCCGTCAGCATCAACTTTCTTCGTCCAACACGATCGCATAGATAAATGGATAATGCAAGACTCGCGATGTATCCGAACCAATTCCCACCTGCCAGAAGAGCAGGTTTATCTCCTTTGAATCCAGACAACGCGAACATGTTAGGAGCGTATACCGCAATGAAGTCGATGCCGGTTAGCTTTTGCATTACCTGTACACCAGAGCCAATAAGGACTCGACGACGGGTGTGGAGCTTATCCTTGATGAACAGCATGCTGTAAAAGCTGTGTGAGGTTGAGGTAGCCTCGGCACGAATGGCCGCGACAATTTCCTCCATCTCTGTATCAATGGCATTTTCATTATTATCGACACGGCATTTCCCCAAAACCGAGCGAGCTCCTTCGAGATCCCCAATCTTGGCCAAGTGACGAGGTGATTCAGGGTAGAAAGGGGCCGCGGCTAGAATGAACAGTAAAAACACAATCTGAAACCCGAGTGGGAATCGCCAGGTAAAAGAGAGAGATTGTGTCTTCAGACAGCCGAATTCCATCCAATAGGCACTGATTGCACGGCTTCGTTAACAACTAAACCTCCAAGGAGACAGAGTCAAGAGACACTCACGTTGTGGATCCGACCATTGCTAACGTGAATTGAACAGCGACAAACGCGCCTCGTAAACGGGGGTCCGCCAATTCTGACGTCCAGACAGGAACCATTGTATTCAAATGACCACATCCAATTCCACTGATGACCCGTGCAAAAGCAAACCAGGTGATATTGGTAGCCGAAGCTAACAAGGCCGCCCCGAGGATCCCCCAAAGACATCCCAACTGGATTGTTTTGAGGCGTCCAATCGAGTCAGCGACGTATCCAACAAGCAATGCGCCGATGGCAAATCCTCCAAACCAAAGACTGACGAGTCCGCCAATGGCTGCGGCGTCCCTGTCGCTGCCACTGGCAACCCCCATTCGCTGCATATAATCTGCATTGTTGTTTACTTGGCTCATTACTGCGGTGTCATAGCCAAAGAAAAGAATTGCGCATCCAGCGAAGAGAAAGATGGCGTATGTCATCGACTTGCCCTGTAGTCTCATACATCTTGACGGTGAGAATCCTCCAGGGATATAGCGAGCAAAGTCAGACTCCGCTGGATAATTAATTAGCAGATACTTCCAAGTGTAGAGACGTGCATCAGTTAGACCAACTCACGACGAAAAATAGATTGCTCAGGGTTTCCCCCATCGAGGGTATTCATGCTTTGTTTCTCCATTGTGTTATGCCAAGGAGCCAAGAAAAGGGGCTGGTGAGCTTAACCAAACGCTATTTAAATGAGGACACCATCCTGTTCGCCTTCACCTCCACCTCCTGAACCCCGATCGGACTTGCTCCGAGGTATCACGATTCCCCCAGATTCTGACTTTCCCCAGGGTTCCACTGGTTCCACTTCTTCGCTCTCACTCGGTCGATAAAACACCGAGAGGAACACCGAGAGGTGAGCCAGCGAGGAATGGTAGGGATGAACAGAATGGAAATATTGAATGTGAATCCAGAGGCACCCTTGTAAAACAGGGTGCTTATGGGTGCGAATCCAGTAATTAATATGCTTCAACTTTGGAAAGGTGCCAGCCCTGGAGTGTTGACCGACCTTTCTCAGGCTAGCAGACTGCAACGACATCAGGTACAAGGAACGGACAAGCACCGAAAGTCTGTGGGCGAAATAGAATATTCATAAGATGGATGGTATTTTGAGACGATGATTGATATGATACACTAAAATACAACCGCTATGCATGCAGAGATTCATTTGAATTCGGAATTATGTTCCGAGCTCCTCTTTGTTTTGTTTTGTTTCATTTCCTACCCTTGACTTCCTGCTCCAGCTTCTCGAGGGCCTTGGGATATTTCTCCTGGAGTGACTTGAGGTCATTTGTCTTCACCTGGACGCGATCGATGGGCGAGTTACGTATGATGCGACCGTCCACGCCGGCTGCAATTTCGTTTGCGAACCATCGTCCTTCGCGGTGAGCCACCAGAGACCATGCAGAACCTTCTTTTCCAGCGCGGGCGGTACGGCCGACACGGTGCACATAGGTTGTGATGCTGCTGGGAACATCATAGTTGATAACGTGAGACAGCGATTGCAGATCTAAACCACGAGAGGCACGGTCGGTAGCCACGATGACGGAGATTTTGCCCTTGCGGTAAGCTGCCAGAGTCTTGCGTGATGCTGACGATTTGTCGGATTTGATGATGGTTCCCACGCGGCTGGCGAGTTGCGGGTGAAGCAGGGAGATGAGACGGGAAAGTCGCGACGCAGATTCGGAAGATTTGGTGAAGACGAGCACAGTAGTGGGTCGAGGGCCAGTCTTGGATACAGTTTTGAGCTTAGATTCGGACTCGGACTCGGATTCAGAAGAGTCAGAAGAGTCATCCGATGAAGTGTCGCTCGAAGCATCGCTGGAAGTGTCACTTGCAGAATCGGAGTCAGACTCGGAATCCGACCCTGAGGATGATGTGTCATCATCTGAAGATTCATCCGAGCTGGTTTCGTCGTCGCTGGAGGTATCATCCGAGCTAGTGCTATCGGAGCCAGCGGCCTTGGAGGTGAGACTAGACTTCCTATCAACTTCAACGCCGATGTGTGATAGTAGCAGACGCAGGAGGTAGAGCGGCTTGAGAGATTCATCGCCCACGGCAACCATTCGTTCTCGCAGAGTCGACGGCAGTGTGAAGTTGGCATCGGAGTGCGTAGCGAAAGGATCTTCGGGGTTGATGGCATTCTCAGCACCAATGATAACCATCTTAGGGTCGTCAAGGCGTAGAGAGTTGAGCTTGGTGATATCGCGGGTCATAGTAGCGCTAAGAACAACCTTTCTCGGGGGTTTTGTCTCAATCGGCAGACCAAGCTCCGACAAGAGTTTTCCGCCCGGGCCAAAGGTTTCCGGTGCATGTCGCGCATCCAACGAACCTATCACCACATCTACCCACTCCTGGAAACTTTCGTTCAGCAGCCGATCGGCCTCATCGATCACCAGCCATTCAAGATGTTTGAGGGTGAATCCCTTGGTGTAGCGAAGATGATCGACCAAACGACCGGGGGTACAAATGAGAATATCAACGTTGGGCTCGTATCTCTGAATATATCCCGGAAGGAAACCTGTCGAATCAACAGCTTCAGTAACACAGTCTTCAAGGCTAAAGTCCATCCAGTCATTGTCTTGCAAGCCTGGCGCCTGTCTTTGTGCAACAGTCGCGGGGTTGTAGACTTGATCTGTTCTCATGATAAATTTTTGCTCCTCTTTAATGGCCACATTTCCCACTGCACTGCCAATGTGAAGGCGCGATCCAGAGGCGCAGAGTTCACAAGCCTCGCGAGCCTGCTTGACTAGCTCTCGAGTAGGGACGACAATCAAGCCTCGAAGTCTTGATGCGGGTCTCGGGTTCAAGGATGTCACGAGCGGAAGCACGTAGGAAAGGGTCTTTCCGGATCCCGTGGCGGCTGAGATACACAAATCGCCAGGATGGTGGTTATCGCCGTCCAATAGGAGGGGGATGACGGTGGACTGAACTGCGAAGGCCTCTCTGTAATTGTTCTGGTCGAGAATGCGAAGAAGATCTGGCTTGATTCCGAGGTCTGCGAACTTGGCCCGTTCATCGGTCGATGTTCGTAGGGGGTTCGCCAACCAAGGAGGCAGGGAAGAGTAGGTAGGAGCCTCTTCGAGCTCCGGTGGGTTCTCGGGTTGTGGCAGTGGCTCAAGGCCCTTTGCGATGACTGGCTCAACGACATTCTCTTCGATATCTTCGACCTCAGGCTTCGACTTCTTTGCCTTTTTGCTGGACACGGTTTTCGTACGTTCAAACTTGGAGAGGATGCCCGCGTGTTTGTTCTTGGACGGCTTGCGCTCTGCGTCGTTGTCACTGGATTCTTCCGAGTCCTGGTCTTCCTTGGGTGTTGATTTCGTAGTTTTAGGTTCATCGTCAGTCTGATCGTCCTTCCGAGAGCTCTTGCGTTTGCCATCCTTCAGCTTCTTGCTTGTTTTAGTGTTGTCGGAGTCCGCAGGTGTCTCTTGGGTGTGCTTCGATGAGGCAAGTCTCTCTTTCCGGGGCGAGTTCTCATGATCATCGCCCTGAAGAGAATCCTTGAGTAGCTTTCGCTTCTGCTTCTCAGTGCCTCCAGCAGATAGACTATCACGCTTCTTCTCTTTTTTGTGCTTCTTGGTCGGGGTAGAGGTGGAGGTGGAAGCAGTGGGATCATCGCGTTTGCGTTTATGAGAGGAATTGTCTGTCGGCGACATCTTGGGGGCAGTCACCTTGGATCCGGCCATTTTCTCTCACAGGCGCATTTATCTAAGAAAGAAAGCTGCGCGGTGGGGAAGGTTTTTGGGACTCGGTTTTTTGTGCCGGTCCTAATTGACCGCCCATTCCTCGTAACTTGTTCACCGCCCTGTGTTATCGCGCCGCGGCAGCAGTTCGCAAGTCGAGGCAGGCGCGATTTGGGAGGAACATTGAAAGTTGGGAAGGAGCAACGATCTCCTTTTCACAATGAAGTGTCAAGTCACCTGCTCAGTCACCTGTTCAGTCACCAGTCCGATTACCTGAACCTGTCGATTGAGGCTTCCAGTGTCCTTGCCTTTTGCATCTCTTCCACCACTCGACCACTCCAACAGGAGAACAACCGCAACCATGCCATACAACATTGCGTGAGTTATCGGGTCTGTCATTGATCTTCCCAGTTGCCTGCCACTAATAAATGCTGCATTAGTATGGTCAGTGACTTCTTTTTCCCCCAGTCCGGTATGTATATGTCCTTATCCCATAGATCAAGACTTTACTCTTTATCAAGAAACACAACCCCAATTGCTTGCGACCAATTGCTAACTACAACTTACCAGGGGGAATCGAAAGTCACATCTACCAGCTATCCTCCGTAAGCGTACCACTTTTACCTCGTGCAACTCCTACTCGCCTAGCTCCATGAATCCTGACCGAAGCACAACCACCTTCAGAAACTCATCGATCGCGGACACAAAGTGATCATCATCACCCATGCATACAAAGGCCGAACCGGTGTCCGCTACCTCACCAATGGACTGAAGATATATCATGTCCCATTCTTCGTTATCTACCGAGAAACAACATTTCCCACGGTCTTTTCCTTCTTCCCTATATTTCGCAACATTGTCATTCGTGAGCAGATCGACATCGTACACGGCCATGCAAGTCTTAGTAGCTTCTGCGGCGAGGCCATTCTCCATGCACGAACAATGGGTTTGCGGACAGTCTTTACGGATCATTCGCTCTTTGGCTTTGCAGATGCGGCTTCTATCCTGACGAATAAATTGCTCAAGTTTACACTGAGTGACGTGGACCATGCTATCTGCGTCAGCCATACTTGGTAGGCAGTATTATTCCCCAAGGTCTGGCCTCCCGCAACTGACAACCACATAGCAAAGAAAATACCGTCCTTCGTGCCTCATTAGACCCACTAATGGTTTCCGTGATACCCAACGCCGTGGTTGCAGAGAACTTCTGTCCGCTTTCATATTACCCCCGTACTCATGATCAAATACCTATATCACCCGCCGACCCTCGACCATCACCGGCCCCGATTGGACCCAACGATACAATCACCATCGTTGTGATATCCCGCTTATTCTATAACAAAGGAACCGATCTTCTCATCGCCGCTATACCCCGAATCCTTGCCTCCAATCCAAATACTCGGTTCATCATTGCTGGATCAGGTCCAAAAGCAATCGATCTAGAGCAGATGCTAGAACGCAACGTCCTTCAAGACAAGGTTGAGCTGCTCGGGTCTGTTCGCCATGAAGAGGTGCGAGACGTCATGGTTCGAGGGCACATCTACTTGCATCCCAGTTTGACCGAAGCATTTGGTACCGTCATTGTTGAAGCTGCTAGTTGCGGGTTGTATGTGGTTTGCACACGAGTCGGCGGTATTCCTGAAGTTCTTCCTCAACACATGACTACGTTCGCCAAACCCGAGGAGGATGATCTGGTCGTTGCGACCAGTAAAGCAATTGCTGCCCTCCGCTCCAACAAAGTTCGTACCGACCGATTCCACGACCAAGTAAAGATGATGTACTCCTGGCGGGATGTCGCCGAGCGGACCGAACGTGTCTACCAAGGTATCATTGGCGATATCAGTCCGTCCGACTTCTACGGCTCCTATCCGGACCAAGGTTGGGATGTTAGTGGTGATCGGGTCCGCAGTTTCGCACTCATCGATCGCTTGAAGCGGTACTACGGATGCGGTGTGTGGGCAGGCAAGCTCTTTTGCCTGTGTGTTGTCATCGACTTCTTGATTTTCGTCCTCCTGGAGATGTGGTTCCCACGCGCGAATATCGATATTGCACGCAGTTGGCCTAAGAAGCAGCCGCTGGACAAATTACGAACACAATCGATACGAAACTCGAAATAATCAGTCAAGGGCAGGCATAATAGTACCTTGACCACTCACCCTCTTACGACAGACATCAACTTGTACATAATATCCTCACCACGATACTATATAATACGAAGAAACCAAACATCCTTTGAATACTTGAAACTCATTTATTTCGTTACATGCTGAATAATGTCCAATGTTCAAATCGCTCAGCGTTCATAACACCGTGACCATGACTAGAATACCCAACTCCGAACATTCATTTAATATACGTCATTACCAGCCTGGTTGCGCTTGGTCTTTGGCTCATACTTCCACTCCTTATCCAGAGTCTCGGCAGTCTCGCCTTGGACATCCTGGACCGAACGATCGGCCTTGTTGCCACGCGAACCAGCCAAAGCACCTTCCTCCTTCTCAAGGCCACGCTGGCTCGGGAATGCTCGCTCAACGCCCTTGTCCTCGCGGAAAGCACCAACGCCTTCCAGACCGGCCGATTGCTTTTTGCGGCCATGCTCCCCATCGTGCCTTAGCTCAACACCAGTCTGTCCCTGAAGGGGTTTACCGAGACCAGTGTTCACGTCGGCAGACGTGGCGCCTTGCAAAGTGTCTGCGGCAGAGGTGTATGTGGACTCTTTACCGTGACTGCGCAAGACATTTGGGTTGTTGGCTTGGCTGCCTACATCATCAACGTTGGAAGTGTAGGAGTTGCTGGCGGGCGCAGTGCCTGGGGGAAATGCCTCCATGTTGTATTCGGGACGCTGGTCGGCCTCATTGACCTTGACACCGGGCTTATGCTGGATAAGAGGTCAGTACGATGCTTCTTGGGATCGTACGCGTGATCTGACTTACACCCTTAGTAGTTTGTGGACCGTCGGGGGCGATTGAGGGCTTGAAGCTGCCTTGTTTAGCGTTGGCGACAGAGTCGATGTTGCTCAAGGTGCTCATTGTGAAGGTCGTGAATATTCGTAGATTAATGAACGGGAAAATGTAAAAATTGAAACAGTGAAAGCTTTTCAATCGGATTTATTGAGAGTCTTGTTTGGAATGTCTTCTGCTACTTTATAGCCAACGAATCCCAACTATTCCATCGCCTCATCACTGCATTACTTCATTCATTCACTTGTTCATGCTTGCTCGCCGCATGACGTCAAGTTGACGAGAACCTCCCTGGCCTTTAGGGTGGAAACCGGAGAAGTTGAAGGCCTCTCAGGCTTAGAGATATCGATTTTCATTTTGATTTGCTGATTCGATCAATCCCTGGAGTTGGATGAGCTGTAATTTGGTCAGTCGATCAGGGCCTTCGAGGACGAGTGACATCAAAAAGTGGGGATCTCAAATTTTTCGACGAACGCAGGGTGAATTCCAACATCAAGCTAATGGAACTCACCAATTCCTTGATTTCATGCTTCTAGTGCGCAATTCAGTTGTAATAGATTATCACCGTGACTCTCTGGGTGCACCGCTCCCTGTTTCTCCAGTACTACTAGTACTATGTAGTACGTCTTATGGTGGTCTGCATCTGTGACTGTCTCAGATTTATAGAGTTTAGTACGAGTACAGACTACGGAATATTACTAGTGGAGTACTAGTACATAATCTATTATTGCGAACATTTTAAGTCCATGCAGATTTTCCGATATTTAAACGCTCTGGGCCGTCTTAATGTGGCATTTGAACAAGCCGTTATGGATTAGTTGTCTACAGTTACTACTAGTAGCTAACGACAACATGAAGCACCTGCCCTCATACTATGCTGGGGTAGGTACTTGGGTCATTCAGAATTAGGCTTCGGGATGCTTTATACTACAGATATACCCTCCAGTACTCATCCACAGCTGTATCAATGACGTAAAAAACCATCCAGATTCATTGGTATGTACAGTAGAAAGCCCAATTCACAAACGCCATTATGCAAGTATGTTCAATCCAGTTCGCAGCCGGGAGTACTGACCCCATCATGTTATTATCGCATCACTGGCGGCCGACTCTCCTTGTTCCACTTCACACGGCTCTGTACCCACTCGACAGCAGCCTGTACTCCCGATCCCATCAACGCGCTGACCGGCAGCACGCGACTGTCTCGAACGCCACCACCCGTTTCGCCCTCGAAGACTTTCCGCACAAATCCCTCCTTGATGCGCACCACCTCGACGCAGTCCTCGCGATCTTGCTTGTTGGCCAGCACTAGGATCGGAACGCCCGCCACGTCGGCACTCTGCAAAACAGACTCGAGGACCTGGCGGCATTCATTCAGACGGCCGAAATCGCTGGCAGCTGCATTGATGCCGACGTTTTGTTCGGAGAAAGATTCGCTGGGGTCGGGGATGGAGCTTGGTCGACGGCCTGGGGCGGAGGGGAGACGGTTGATATCTGGGTCTTGGCCGACGTCGGCGCTATCGACGACGAAGACGATGGCGTGGCAGCTTGTGTAGTAGCTTTGCCAAAGGCCGCGCATGGAGATCTGGCCGCCAATGTCCCAGATCTTGAGGTTCATGTCGGATAATGGGATGGTTGAGACATTCTGGCCGACGGTTGGGACGGTCTTGCCTGGGTTGGGCGCGGGGACACCCTCTGGCCGGGGCTGGTAGAGGGCTTTTATTTGGGTCAGGAGAGTTGTTTTGCCTGCATTGTCTAGTCCGAGGAGAAGGACGGAGTACTCTGTAAAGGTGAAGTCGCAACGTAGTCAGTATAAACCTTGGTAAGGTTGGTAAGGTAGGTTGATGGTATCCCGGGGGGAGCTTGCGGTAAGGTCCAGCGGGCGCAGTTGAGGTTGGGGTTGAACTCGTACCTTCTTTACTGGTCGCGTAAGTATACAGCGACTTGGCCAGGTGATACATAGTCGCGCAGAAGCTCACGACCGGCGCGATCGAGTCTGGACGTGATGCAGGACAGTTGAATGCGAGCCGCATGCGCCGAAACGGGAAGGTAGGGCTTAGGGCTTGTGTCTGCCTTGGTGCCTGAACTAGGTCCAGCATTCCCGGAATGCATATACGTAGGTACTCTTATACTGCGAATAGTATATTTAGTATATACTACTAGTCGGGTCTACCTAGGTAGTACTATCTACTAGGTAGTTGTATATGTGTACTTATACCACTAGTAGTACTAAGAGTACTGGAGTACTGGAGTCACGGTTGAGCGGCTATGAGTACGCATGCATCAACATAATAAATCACAATCCACTTTGTACCTGCCAGTGGCTATTGACCTAGTTTTACTATAAGTAGTATTTGAATATAACCATCCTTATATATGTATATACTACTATGTATGCAATGCAGTAGAGTAGATCTATCGCACCTGCCCAAAGCGGACTCGGCCTCCTTCCTTGCGTGATTCCCGTCGGCGATGGCAAGAGCGACCTGGAATATGCGCGACTGCCCGATGTGTAGACAACTCGACATTGCCACTTCTTCACTTCAACTTCAACTTCCCTTCTTCCCTTCTTCCCTTCCTCACTTCAAGTTCTTCACTTCTTTTCTCCCTTCCATCCCTTCATCTTCCTGACGTGTGGATGATGACCTTTGCTCGTCCCTCGGGACGGCATTCCCCCCCTCCTCCATATGGGGAACCACTGGAAAATTCCACCCCACCTGCTTTTGTCAGCTTGATTATTGGTCTCCGCTCTATGCGGAACTTGCCTCTCCGAACCGGGGAGGCAGAGATTCCTTTCTCTCCTCTATGGCCTTGGCCCTCTATTTTCCCTTTCACAGTGTGACAGTGACAGGCCTGTGTGTCTGTGATCCTTCGTCTTGGTCGCATCGCCCAACTATGCCCCGCGCCAGTTGATCCGTATTCGCTCGAGGTCGAGGCTCGGTCGCCCTTCATGCAAACCGACACTGTCATCGTCGGTATGATTTCTTGATCCTAGCATTTAGGGGACCGACTCTTGTGCTTTTCAATACTAACTATCCTACTAGGCAATGGGCCGTCAGCCATGATCCTGTCCTACATTCTTCACGGCCATATTCCTTTCTACTCATCCTCTCCGCCGCATCCCGACCCGCTTTTGGACGCCAAGTTGAAGCATGCGACCAATCTCCTAAACGTCGATGCGGAGGCATTGACGGCTCACTTTGCGGCATCTCGTCTGTCATATTCCACCCAGGCCCTACCGGTCAATGTGTTATTAGACACCCTTGTGCGCCCCAGTCTCGATATCGACGAGCCAGGTACCACCTCAAATATCGAGTGGCGCCATATGCCCGAAAAGGTCATCCCGCATATTGTATTTGGAAAACCCACCACTCCAGGGGGACAATGGACCGAGGATCCTCATGGTGCAAGCTGGGACATTCAAACTCTTAGTTATGCGGCCATGTTGTCCTTGCCCGGTTACTCCTTTGGGGATCACCATAAAAAGGTGACCGGCAAGGACCTACCACCCTTCACCAGGCCGACAAGGCGTGAAATTGCCGATTATTTCCGTGCCTACCCTGCTGCCGCTCACATCGACGATTCCTTCCGCTGCGGCGAGGAGCTGAGGGGTATCTCCCGTACTGAAAAAGGGTTCTATATACAGTCCCACGACCTCCATTGTAAGCGGCTGGTACTGGCAAGTGGGATTTTCTCTGAGCTGCTTCCGCCTGCATCTATACTTCAGCCCTTATTGCAATTAAAGCAAACCCCCGATGTACCATACCTTGTGGTCGGTTCAGGCTTCTCTGCTGCAGATGCCATCATTTCCGCCGCCCCTAATCAGAAAATCCTGCATGTCTTCAAGTGGTCCCCGGATGAGCGCCCATCTCCTCTCCGAGGTTGCCATCAACAGGCGTATCCGGAATATGCCGGAGTTTACCGATTGATGAAGAAATCCACTCTGAATTCTCAGCGACCAAGGCTACGTCGCGGCACTCCTACCGCCTTTTTGGAAAGTCGAGATTGGGACAACGTATACGAAGGACTTTCGAATGTCGAAATTCTCTCCGTTGATGTTCAAGACGATGTGGCTCTGGTCACTTTCCGTTGTGAGGACGGATCTATATTTTCTCGATCCGTTCGTGGTCTTGTTTATGCTGCTGGCCGGCGAGGTTCACTGGCCTTTTTGGACTCGGAGCTTCGGTCCGAGGTCCTGGGATATCAAACCCCCGACGACTCGACCGTTTCTGCCCAGACACTTCGTGCGAAAGCCATGGAAGATCTGGAGGTTGCCCCACATGTATACATCATTGGAAGCTTGACTGGGGACTCCCTCGTCCGCTTCGCATACGGTGGCTGTGTTTACACCGCAGGCCATCTTACCGGTGAGCGAGAGGGTGAGCGCGAGTCGCGCAGCGTGTGTAGTAGCATTGAGTCAACCAGGGCTCACCCTTCATCGCTGCCAGTAATGAATGGCATCGACGGCCATCAGGTCTATCCTGCTGATGGCTCGAATCTGACGCGCGAAGATACCGCGATCAGTAAAGTGTCTACTGTCCAAACGACAACACCAAATACACAGAGTTGGTGGAAGACAGTTGTACAGATGTTGAAGCATTTCACGCAATGACGCATTGTTTATTTGCCTTGTTTTGTCAAGCCTTTTGTGACTTTAAATATACCTCTTGACATTTTTAATGTGTATAATTGATCAAGTTGGATTACGATATGAATATACAAGTACTACCATTGTATTGAAGTTTGACAGAGTCACATATTATCAAAACCGCATTTTAATAACCATCAGGCTTCTGTCACCTACCTAGGTAGCTTAATTCAATCCAATCGACTTTATGCGCCCTGGAGGGTAGGATACTATGTGGGGGACTAAATGGCTGGGATCCAGTGACAGATCGCTGAGAGCCCTGGAGGTCTAGTAACTCCCAGGTGCCAGTATTTCCGATGTCACAGAACAGTCCAACCTTCAAGTTGGATTGGGAGTGCTCTCGACAACCTTGCAATGCATTCTGGGACAAAATGACTACATTTCACCCAAGTTCAATAAGCCTCCAAGGGTCGTACAGCCTTTTGTCATAGAGAGTCTTGCATCCCAGGCTTTTGAAGAAGCTCAGACACTGTAACGATGCGATATCCTCGACGCCGGAGTTCAGGAAGTACAACCTGCAACATGGGCACAGTCCAATCCCTTCGATCATGGCAAACGATAATACTACCGGGCCTGACCATACTCAAGATATGCCTCGCGTTCAACCCGGAAAATGGCACTTGGGGGTCATGAGGATACACATCGCCCAGAACGAGTCGATATCCCATATCCGAGACTAGCGCGCGCATGCGCGAGGAGAAAAAGCCCGATCCAGGACGAAAGAACCAGTTCTTTGGACCATCTGCACCAGTTGATCGGTATGCATCTTGGATAAGCTCCTGTACGCTCTGTATTTGCTCCGCAAGGACTGTGTTGTTTAACCCGCGCGATGGCTCGTCATGCATAGCATGGTTGGCTAACTCATTGCCGGAAGAAACTAGCTTGCCGAGCACGGATGTATAATCAGAGACTTGTGATCCAATTACGAAGAATGTGGCGGTTGCATTGTTGACGTTTAGGACGTCGAGAATGGCGGTTGTGTGTGAGGAGGGCGCGTCGTCGATTGTTAGCGCGACAACGTTTTCTGCCGTGGGGTGATGGAATAGAACATCCGGCCAGCGGCGTTGGAGATAACGAATCAGAGATTGAGGGGGTTTATATAAGAAGTATAAGGGGAAAATGAGGCAGAATGTGGATATTACTGCGCGGAACATGGTATGGCAGAGAGGTTGGGGAAAAGATGAGGGGGGAAAGGGGCCGTCATGTAGAATAGACCCGCTTTGTATGCTGGTTTGGTTTGGCTTACAATTATGCCAAGTCTGGAGGGTTTAGGAGGTTTATATGCGTAGCTACAATCTAACAGTAAAATCTAAGGAGATTTAGAGTGTTTTTCTCAATTTCTTGGTTTCTGCAGAGAATCAATGGTGATTGCTGGTGAGTCTATATCTTCAAGTTCAAGCTAAGCTCAGGTTTGCGTGCAACTCGAACATATCTATCGAATTATATCAGATCAAATAACTTCAAGTTGAACAAATTTACTAGAATGTGTGCGTTGACAAGAAAACTTACAGTGTAGTATGGAAGCCTCGCTGTTCAGACTCCTCCAGGATTTCGCGTTTAGCGTTCTGTTCCAGGGTGTCCCACTCATCTGGCGACATTCGACTGGCGAGATCCGTTCGCATGCGCTTGGTCATTCCGTGAACAATGTCAGAGATATCTTTGCGATAATTTGCAGCGACCCAGTCGCGATCAGCTTCCGGGTCTCGACTATCCGGATACAAGCGCATCTTGATAGTCTCACTTTCGATCACTTCGAATCCAGCCTTGGTCATTTGCTCGGGGAGATTCCGAGAAAGATCCCATGCAATTTCGTGTTTCGCGAGATACTCCTTGGAGAGTTCGAACCAGTGAATCGCTGCTGAATTCGCCGCGGTGCTTCCGTCATCCGCCGTTAGATGCATCAATCCGTCGAACACTTCTACTTGACCCCCGGGGTTCAGATTAGCAAAAGTCCGCCGAAGCAATGCAGGCCAGTCTTTCACGGCGATCATGATCATTCTCATGTAGATATAGTCTGACTGAGAAGAGAATTCCCATTCTTTCTCGATATCTGCTGTGATGAATGAGCAATTTTGAGGAAGTTTGTTCTCGTCGGTTTCATCTGCCAATGCTAGATTCAGGTCGACGCCCAGAGCTGTTGAATCTGGATGCTTGGCAGCGAACTGACGAGTCCAAATTCCTGTTCCACATCCAAGATCGAGTACCCGGCGTGGGGATTTGGAGAATGAAGCACGGTGGAGTCCGCGAGTTCGAATGGTGAAAACCGCATGTTGATAGTCTGTGGCGAAATGGTATTTTCAAGTCAGGTACACCTTCCATGACGAGCTTTATTACATACCTAAGCGACTCGTCTCTACGGTTGACTATTGAGTTCGCGTTAGCAAAGCCCACCAGGCTGTCCGATAAGTGATACTTACATTATTTGACAGGGGATACGCCCTGGGGGCCTCGTCGGTTCTGAGAAAGACAACATCAGATTGATTCCATGGTTATATCAAGCCTCGATACTAACTGTGGCTTCGGGTGCAACTTGAAGGATGTTGACATCTTGGCGGGCGGGGAATTTATAAATTATGACGGGCGGGAAAACCGTGGGGTTTGACCTTCTTATAATGCGTTGTCTTTTTTGACCCCACTATCGTTTTAATTCTACTAGTAGTACCATCAAGACATTATGCTAGTAAGGGCTAGTCTCTTAATTCTGGCAGCGCTTGAGCCAACCAGAGGATTTGCCTATCGGGTCATTGATGAAAGTGTAGAATCTAGTTATAAACATGCTACAGTTGGAAATAACCACTTCCTAGACCTGAGGATGTTGAAAATGACTCGGATTTGAGATTTCATTCTTGACATCGTTCCAATAGTTTCAATTAAGCTTCTCCTGTTCCAAGGTTGCGTTTTCATCAATTCCCTAGAGTACTAGTAAGAATCGTGTCTTGGCCATATGATTACCGCATTAAGAAACTAAGTAGGAGTAGTAGCCCCCCCAGCCATTTGGTTGTAGTCACTGTAGGTCACTCCCAAGGCTATATAAAGAGGACTTGTGAGAACAAGTGGATTGATTCTTTTTCAGAAGCAGCTTTAAGCGCTCTGGCCATTCCGGCAACGTAATTGATACATTCTATAATTTAGATATAAATTGTCAGCTCTCCTCAAATTGGCTGATTAAAGTGGAGTGACGTCCGGCCCCATCTGCATCACCACCCCTGTTCATCTCTTAACTCCGACTAGCATCCTGTCGGCGATCTGCACGCCACAGCACTTAAATACTAGCCTCCCTGCAACATGCAACGACTACCTTCTGCTTTTAAGCAGTTCTTTCAAGGTTAAAAATAATCCTCAAATCGTTTGCTTCCACGAAAGCCTGTGTTCGACAGCTCTCATTCATATTGAGGTCTTCTTTTAGCACAGACTCAGGCTGCCCAGTATTTATACTGCGAAACTTACGACAGAGCATCATGGTAAACCATAAGCCCACCGCAGTCCTCATTATACACGGTGGCTATTTTCTTCCTGCAGCTTGGGATGTCTTTGGGGATCAACTCCGCCAGGCAGGGTTCATCGTAAAGTGCCCACGTCTACCATCTTGCGGTGACAAGCGCCCGCCAACTGCCACCATGAATGATGATATCATAGCAGTCCGTGAGGCGGTCCAGGAGCTCATTAATACGAATAATTCAATTCTTGTCTTGGCTCACTCCTACGGCGGAATGGTTGCATCAGAGGCGATCGGCCCCGATCTATACGCCAACAATGGGAAAGGTACTGTCGGATTAATTTTCCTCAGTGCATGGCTTGTTCAGCCAGGCGATACTCTGTCCGATGTTATTGGAAAATACGGCTTTCAATGCAAGGTGGACCTGAGCGATAATGGAGACGGCACTTTCTTCGCAAAGAATGCTCCTGAGTCTTTCTACAACGACATTGAATCTACCGAAGCCAAAGATTTAGCTACCAAGAACGTCACCCACAATTTGTTCGCGGCATCAGGCAAGATTTCAGGTGCACCTTGGAAGGATCTGCCCACAACGTACATTCATTGCGCCCAGGACATGGCGATCATGTTGCCACTACAGCAGAGTATGGTTCAAGATGCTGTGAACATGGGTGGAAAGCTGGTCACCAAGACTATTGAGTCAGGTCATTGTCCTTTCTTGAGTCAACCTGAGGCTCTCCTTAGAATTGTGGAAGAGGCTGTCACGAATCTGGCATGAACTTGGAGCAATGAATGATGATAGCGGCGTCTGATGCGTAGTGAATCCTAATGGATGTTTCCAACCTTGAAAGTAGTTGCTATTCGTCACTTGAGTTTTTGATATTCGGATGGATGAACTTGAATACATGTGACATTGTTCAGTTTCAAGGGAAATGCCGTATTTGGCACATTATATACAAAGACCCCTTTGGAGTCAAACGCCAAGGGTATATTTAATTGAATCATGCACGAGAGGCTTCTATTCTAGCCCATGACCTGGAGCTGATCCTCGGGAGGCCAGCGCACTTGAGCAAAGCTCAGTAAACGTTTGATGCTCTGCAGATATTTCCGGGTGGCTTCGTCGCTCAGAATATGCGCTTGTTGATCGCTTTGGTGAAGTTTCTCGCGGGCGGATCGCTCGTGAATACCAACCATGGTCACACCAATAGGCCAGGCACTGTAGTCAAGTTAGCACAAGTTCTCCTTCTTGGGAAGGCAAGGGAATGGATAGAAACATACGCTTTACCAATGCTCACACGCAGATATGCATCGTTAGCATCAACATATTTGCGTTGCTGCGCCTTGTGCACAATCTCCACGATTGGCTCAAGTAGACCGTCCTCGAGGTCTGATTTTTCCAAGCGACGGAACAGCGGTTTCATATTCTCGCGTGACTGAAGCATGGCATTGTACGCCTGCTTTCCCTGGAAACTTTGGCGCACGCTTATATCGCGCTTTGCAAGGGCCAACTCCCACTCTGAAAGTACCATGTTGAAGTAAGAACCAAGCTGACGCAGCAAGAATAGCCGTTCGTCCTGTTCTTTCGGGATCTTGGCTGGAATAATCATTTTCGCGCCGGGTACCGGTTCTAATATCGTGGGGATGGGGCCATCGGTAATTTTCTGCTTGGAAGCAGCTCTCTGGACGAGGCGGCGGTAACGACGAAATCGAGCTTGATGGTTCTCGCCGAATAAGCGGGCGGGCTCACCAAGCTCCCGGAGCTTTGCGAGAAGCTCATCCTCCTCAATATCCTCTGCCTCTGCACTGTCCGGTGTCTGCTCAGCGTCACTCTTAGAAGGCAGCTCAGGCAAGCCGAGCTTTCGTCGTCGTTCACGCTCAGCGGCCTCTTCTTCCTCCTCACGTCGTTTCTTTGACTCCTCGGCAAATTTGCGCTTCTTCTCCTCGCGTTCGCGCTTGCGATCGGCCTCGTCCTCCTCCAGCTTGCGTTTGTTGGCCTGGCGCTCTTGACGATCCCGCTCTGCTCGCTCCTGCTCCTCGTTGTAGGCTGCTACTCGAGCTGCTTCAACTTCACCTCGACGCATATATTTCTTCGTAGGTTCGGGAGTGTTGTCTTTGTCTTTACCAGGGCCAGATGACTTCGAGTCACCCTTGGCCTTGGAGATCTCTTTGGACATGAGAGCCGCGAAGTCCATTGTGGCGGGTATGGGAGGGTGCAGGTATCAGATCAGTCCTCGTCACTCCAATTCCAAGCTTAATTCAGTTCGCAGTGATGCGCAGGTGTAGTGGTTTTGGGTGTAGGTGTAGGTGTGGAGGCGGAGGCGAGGTGAAGTGAAGTGAAGTGGAGGAAAGAAATCGGGCAGAGCCCGCATTGGGGGATTTCTCCAACTTCAACTTCAGCTTCTCCTCCACTCCAGCAACTCCTCCCAAAGCTTTCGGTCTTTGTCCCCCCCCCACACCACCGAATTTCCAATCATTTGACATTTGAGATTACTTGCTCCGTTATAGCAATCTTCAGCTACCCGTTTTCGACAATCAATCTACCCCCAGCGTCACACGCGACACATCGCGCGCTGAATCCACCATGCCTGGCCCCTCACGAGAAGCCCCCAAGGCAATCAACCGACAAACCACCACGCCATTTCATCTAAAGCTCTTCTACCGAGCAAACAACTACCACCATCTCTCCGATTATACCACGCCTGCACCAACCCGACGCGGCGGCCCCGTCAGCGGACCAAACACCATTCGCGCACCCTCTCCTCCCCCAGCTGCTACACCACTACCCGCGCATCTGGAGATCTACACCTGGCAATCCTGCACGCTTCGCGAGTTATCACAACTTCTCACGTCCGCCCTGCCTTCATTACTTCCAGACCCGCCTGTTGGTACTCGGCTTTGCTATCGACTGGTGTTCCCCGATGCACGCGGTGCGGCGATGATGGGTCCTGACGCGCGCGGGAAATATATGAGTCGCGATCTGGGTACTGTAATCGTGGGACCGAGGGATAGTCCGTACCAGGGTGATGAGGATGCGGATGATCGGGCGGAAGCTAAGCCTCGCGCTGGTCCGCCGAGATTCACGGGCTCCGAGACCGATAAGACTTTGCAGGATGCGAGGTTTTTGATTGGGGATTATGTGGAGTGTGCTATTCTGCCTCCTCTAGACGATGGGTCAGTTGCGCCGCCTCTTCGGGGCAGTTCTGGTCCGCCGCCGCCCGGTGGTGGTGGTGGAGGTGGAGGTGGAGGTATGCGTGCTTTCCGGGATAATGGATTCCCAAGGCCCGGTCGCGGTGGGCGAGGTGGTGATCGAGGAGGTCCACCTGCTTTCCCAGTGGGAGATTGGAAGCGTGGAGAGAGACTGCCAGAAGGGGGAGGTAGAGGAGATCGTGGGGAGCGAGGCGGCCGAGGAGGGCGCCGTGGATGGAACCCTTACTAAGGAGAAGTAAGGACACAATGGCGTTCAATCGGAATTTATGAGGACAGTGTGAAATGCGCGGAGGGCGAACGATGTACGATAATCTCCGTAAAAATATCAGAGAGCTACGGCCTACTGTGGTCAACCATCTACCTTCTCTACACTTGCCTCGTGACTAGTGAGATGCTCCGTACAGCATCTACAGCCGCACGGTATAGAGGAACATATTTGTACCGGTCTTGCGAAGGCCAAAATATCCCTATCCTCAGGACAAGCACCGTAGCAGCAACTCTCCGAACAATGTCATGGTCCATTGAATGGGAGCTTGATGCCGCAAGTAACGAACCGCTGTACTGTATGTCGAGACGCGCAGTCGGAAGAGTGAGACAGAAGAAAAATCAATGCGGTATATGCTCATAGTAAGGTACATAGCCCTTGAAAAGCGGGCGCCAGCCGAAGAAAAAAAAGAAAGCAGTTTTGGCTCTCCATGCAGAATGGTGGGTAAGATCTCCGTGATCGCATGTCACTCTCACCACTTCATTGCTCCTAGCCAATTCAAATCGTCATTCAAAGATAATCTACCACTCGACCATGGTGTCATCCTTGCGCTTGCCACGGAGTTCGAAGAGGCCCTGCGAACTGTTAGCGGAGTTCCCCGCAAATTGGTGTCTTCCCTCGCCCCGAGTGGAGAGGTCGGGTCTACCTACATCGGTCTTGTAGGCGACGAAGGTCAAGGTGGCGGGGATAGCGATGGCATAGATGATGGAGGTCCAGGCGTGGCGCGGGGTCCACTTGAAGTACTTGTAGCGGTTGGCGTTGAGCTCTGGGTGGTCTGTTAGTAACTGCTTCATGAGGGGTATGCGACCGGCCGCGCCGGATCTCTAAGAGAACCGCTTGAGCGGAATTGGGTGATCAAATAGGTTCACATCTGCATGGCAGATGCGTCATGCTTTGCAGAAACTCCTGGGTTCTCTTCTCGGAGTGTCGGGTTGGATTGAAGATGGGGAAGGGCATGTACCGTAGTATTTCTGGAGCGCCGGGTCAAGGACCAGAGCTGATCAATGGGTTAGCCGGAAGATATTGCGTAGATAGATTGAATAAGACTCACACTTGCTGGGGCCGGCCATGATTGCAGGTGGAAAGGAATTGGTTGACGGTCTTCGTCTTTCGTCGCTGCTTCAAAGTGACGCTTGCCGTCGAAGTGCGTGGTCACGTGGGATGTGTCAGCAGTCACGTGTATCGGCATTGGCATCAATCATTTGCAGTAATCACTTGAATAACTTGCAGTTCTTTCTTCTTCTTTTCAAATGGATTGAATTATGCTTGCGATATTTGCAACAACCAATTCAAGGTTGCCCTTGGGTGTTTCTACTGAAAAAAGGGGAAATGCACGCAGTTCCACCTTTTATTTAGATCTCACCAATAAGCAACCCGCTAAATAAGCCGAATGCAACTACTCGTACGAGTATACATCTTTAAACATTTAAAATGGGTCATATCTGGTCATATTTGGTCATATCTGATCATATCTGATCAAACAGGCAGATGATGCCTAGGGTATACATTCATAAATAGTACAAGATGACAACTCTTCATTCCCCCCCTTACATAGAAGCCGAGAAGGAGCCCTCAACCTCCTCAATCTTAGCCACAGCCTTCTTGTAACCGTCAACCTCCTCCAATCGCTTGGCGTAGGCTCCGAGAAGAGGGTACTTCTCCTTGGCCTTCTTTTCCTGCAGCACACGGCCACTGGCGGCAATCACCGGGAAACTGATCAAAATATCCGCTGCAGTCAGTTCCTTGCCACACAGGAATGGGCCACCCTCGGGCGCAGTCTTAAGCTGATCCTCCAGGAAAGTCAGGTTGCCGTCAATGTTGCGAGTCAAGAAGGCGGCCTCGACTTGCGACGCGACGATGCTGGTGATGGGGCGGACGAAGAACGGAGGCGACTTGCGGATAGCTGTGGGGGGGAAAAGAAAAGTATTAGCGTCTAGACTAGACCAGGGGTCATGCGATGCGAAAAGAAGATCACTTACTGTCATTCACAAGAGTCATCACCAGGAATGGCATCAAGCTACCCTCCACATAGTGCATGAAGTAGCGATAGCGCATCCACTCCTCAGTCTCGCCGCCGACCTTGCCCTCTTGGCCTTCGGTATAGCGAGTGGGTACCAAGGACGGCCGCGCTTGACAAAAGTGGTCGACGAGGTACTCGACAATTGCGCCAGACTCGGCCAGCACGAGAGGCTTGGAGGCACCGGGAGCTTCGACGGTAATGACAGGCGATTTGCCCAGCTGGTGCACCTCCTTCAGCTCGGGAGGCGCAAGCTTGTCGGCGCGGCGCTTGAAAGTCTTGAGCTCATATTTCAATTTCAGCTCTTCCAGCAGCCAAAGGATACGGTGGCTGCGAGATTGCTCGAGCCTGGTGTGCGAAAGTTAGCGGGCGGCTGAAAGATGAGAAACTGGCGGGCGCAGCGCATTACCAGTAAAGGGTGATCTTGCAGCCCTGGTTGTAGTCAGTCATGGTGATGGGAATATTTTTTGAATCAAAGAGCGCAAAATGGCTGGTATGTGTAAGATAAAGATTAAGAAATAATGAAGAACTGCAGCGCAGGTGGATGTGAAGAATTCAAGTTATAAGAACGGCGATGATGCAATGGAATGGCCCGAGGCTCGATTGATAAGGTGAAAGCGCCGAGCTTTGGATCTGCGGTTCATGTGAGACCCATTTTCCCCTCTAAAATTCAAATTTGGTTGGTCCCACGGTCTGGATCGCCCTGCTTGCTAAGATCCCTCGTTCTCGTTTACGAATATAATCCTTGTTTCTCATGGTTTCTCCCCGACGATCTTTCGCGCTCCCGAGGTTCTCCCTTTAACCAAACAACCCCCGCATTGCAACATGACTTTTTAATGGCACAAATGTATAAATGCAGATAATTTTCTACTTAATTTATCCTTGTTTCTTTCTCATCCAGATTCAAGCCTATTTTCTCTTTTTAACCTGGGCGTGAGCTAATTGCCTATTTCGGCATGCTGTGCGAAGTGGCGGCCGAAGTGGCGGCGAACACAATCTGAATGCACGAGTCGTTGAACAAATACGAAAGAAGTATACATACAGATATAAAATCGATGATTTCAAGTTTTCATCTCGAAGTTCGTTTCTCACATTGTCCGTCAACGCACTGGCACTGGCAGTTGCTGTCAAACTCGTCGTGGACATTGGGATAAATACTAGTACCCACTTCAAGTTCTTCAGCTTTTAGGTTGCCTGCAGGCCGATCGATCGATCTAGAGAGTACTAGTAGTATACTATATTTTCTTTTACTTCTTTGCAGTTGAAAGTTAATTTAACTGGTAGCATTTAATCGTAATTTAACATCAAAACAGCACCACGCTATAAATCATCAGAAATATCAAAACATCTTGGAGCTTCAGCTAACCATACACGTGGAGGGATTCAAAGTTGTGATCTAGATTACCCCTCGCCACCCCATAACAACTTGAAGGTATGTAATCCCATGAATCTCTTAAGAAGAAAGCTTGGAGAGCAAGAACTGGCTGGCATCGCCAGTGTTTGCGACGTACGTGAAATGGGCGGGGCCGACGATCAGTGTACCATCGCAGACCATATCTCCCATAGCACAGTAGATCTTAACCTTTTCCTTGGGGAAGTTCGCGATCTGGCCATGCTCCTGGGCATTGCGGGTGTTTCCAAAAAGCACAACACCCTTGATTTTCTCCTTGACGTTGTCGGGGAGCTTGGAGATCGAGTCGTCCATAACTGCAGTTCCTTGACTACAACCATCCAATCATTAGCATATTTGACAAAAGAGAGAAACTAAATGAAACACCCAAGATAACTCCCATAGTATCACTCACCTATATCCGCCTGCAACAATCTGTGTGTTGGGACACTTGCTAACTGCCTGCTTGAACAGACCGTCAGCTTCGGCAATAGCAGCAGGAGAGGCATTGCCAGGAAGGGCGTTGGATATGAGGTCAGCTGTGTAGGCCGGGCCAACACCCTGGCAGGCAACCTGCCCAGCCTTGGCCATTTTCAGGTCATTGCAGACAGCAGGTCCGGTGGAAATTCCCTTCGCTACAATTAGTGTCTGATATTGTTCATAGAAGCAGATCATAGACGCACCAATAGGCCAGGCTCGGTGGAAGCACGGGCAAAAATGAAGGTAATGGGCTTGCAAGAGCCATCTCGAAGTTCGTTACCACTGGAAACTGGAAGGGAATCAGTAAATTTCAGTAGGGCTTAGAGGTTGGGTAGATTCTTTGGAACTTGAATCTTTATGTGACCTACATTGGCGTTCTTGGAGGCCCAAGGGGCTTGTGGCTGCCGCTCCAGCAAGGGCCAGAGTCATAAGGTGAAGCTTCATGTTGGCCTTCTTAAGAATCGACTTGTTGAAATTAGAGCGAGCGTTTTTCCTGTTTCTCCAAGGTTAATCTGCAGGGGTCTAACGAATATTTTATATTCTAGCGTCATTTATACAGGCCAATGGGGTATCTTTCGGTCGATCTAAAGAAGACCATAAGATATATTGAGTATCCCATTTACACCTACTAATCCGAATTATCCGTCTGCCGGGGTAAGAAGGAAAAGATTCAGGAACGCCGTTTCACGTTGTCTGACTATGGTTCATTTCGGAGATCACTTTCTGGGTATACTGTAGGCCACATGGTCCAAGAAATCCACTTTGAAGCCAACGCCTAGGCTTGGTATGCGCTAAAATAAGGCTTAGAATCGTATTTAATTATTTATTTACGATGGCCGGTTCGACTAGCCATGTGGCCCCGAATTTAGGGCCGGACGATCCACTAAAATAGGTCGACCTAAAATTGGTCGCTACGGAAGCATTACAAGGACCCAGAGTTGGATTCAACGCCGCGTGGTATAGTTTATTTGCCAATTTGTACCCATTTCTATGCTTTAATCGTGAATTCGATCTACAATGACTCCCATTGTATCACTAGAAATGGTAGAAACCATGGCGTGGTCCATTCAAGGCCAACCAAAGTCATATTAAGTTTCTATAAGGTCTCATTACCCGGTGTTCGTAGATCCATTCACTATATCTAATTAAAGTTCTATAGGATTTGTCTCAGCGTATATCCTCGCGTAATCTCAGCTTGCGTTAGAAACGGGTTTAATCTGAGGATATAATGGAAGAGGTCATAAATTCGATATGGAGATCAGGCTTCCTCTAACTATATTGAGATATGAATCATCACATCGGAAAGTCTCGGCTCATTATCTGAAACTAATATACGTCAGGAATTGGGAAATATTGGCTCCGGAGATGTTTACTGCGGTTTACTTAGGCTATATCTAACATTGTGCTATAGTGGATGCGAATCTGGTTGCTGGGAAATGTTAATGTCCACTGCTGGTCTTTGACTTTTCTCTCTCGAATTTCAGTCGACCGAGATACCCCAGCACAGTATTGAGCGAGCAGAGTTGCCTTTATATACACCCACAGGCGATGAGCAAGGCTAGGCTCCTTGCTGCTCCCAATAGAACTCTAAAAAGATTGAATCGCTTAGAAAACAATTAGATTCATGAAGCCCGCCAAAGTCACAATCCACACAACCAACATTCCCCTGCTTGTCAACAACTATGTCCGATCGTTAATAAACTCCATTACGGCTTATACCATCATCAAGTTAAGCAGATAATTATCAGTCTAAAGTCAGAAGTTCTGCCACTTTATGCATGTGTCAACCTCTCCGCACCTCCGCGGGATGATCGACTTCCATAGCCGAGGCATTGGATCCGCTTCACGCCTCTAAACAAGGGGTATAATCAACTAACTGGCGCAGCTTAACTACAACAAAGAAGCCTGTATTGAAAAATTTGTCACCGACCGCAACAAAGTTGATAAAATTTAACAAAATGCCGACCGCTACTGCCATCGACCTTCCAGTCTCATATGAAGCCCTCGAGCTGACACATATCAAAATCTCCCACTACCCACTTGGTGCGCCTGCTGCCACGCCAGTCATCCTAATCACATTGAATCGACCTGAGAAGAATAATGCATTCACCCCACAGATGGCAGATAGCCTGACCCAGGTGTTCAACCTATTCCATATCGATCGTCGGGTCAAGGCCGTTGTGCTCACCGGAGCTGGGAGGATGTTCTGCGCTGGATCCGATCTCGAGATTGGTTTTGGTAATGGAGGAGGAAAAGCTGTTGATTTCCGAGATATGTATGCGATATAGCAGTCCCCAATCTCATTTTAGAGAGTGCTGACCAAGTTCACAAGTGGAGGGCGAGTTGCGCTGGCAATGCATCGATGCCACAAACCCACCATCGTCGCGCTTCAAGGCTCCGCTGTGGGTGTCGGTATGACTATGACTTTACCAGCTGCAATCCGGTTAGTTTGTTCCTGTGTTCCACAATTAGAGTTGCTCCTTGTCTCACAACATCCAGGATCTGTCATGAAAAGAGCAAGTATGGGTTCGTTTTCACCCGGCGTGGGCTGACGATTGAATCCTGCGCATCTTACTTTTTGCCTCGCTTGGTAGGATTCTCCAAGGCAATGCATTTGATCACTACTGGTGGCGTTTACCCTCCGCAGAACCAGTATTTTGGTGATCTCTTTGCCGAGGTTCTCCCGGATGCAGCCCAGGTACTGCCCCGCGCGTTGGAATTGGCACAAGATATCGCGGAGAATGTGAGTCCATTGGCATCTTCGATGAGTCGAGCCTTGATGTGGGAAGGTCCACGTTCTCCTGAAGAAGCGCATCTCCTGGAATCGCGAGTTTTCCATCATATGGTTGGGCAGAGTGACTATAAAGAGGGAGTGGGTTCGTTCTTGGAAAAGCGCAAGGCTCGGTTTGAGACGGATCCACGAGAGGATTGTCCTTCTGATTTTCCATGGTGGTCAGAGACAAAGATCTCTCTTGAGCCGAGTGCCTCGAAGGGTTCAAGTTCTAAATTATGATTGAAATAGTATGGTACTACTAGTAGTAGTACTAGTTATATATAGCTACTACCTACCGCCACTGGCAGTACCGTTACTTGGAGAACCTCCAAGGCTGGAAGAGAAAAACTTGAATCAAGCTTGAAGAAAATCAAATCAATACAATCTCGTTCTAATTCGTATATACAAAAGATCCCTGATCCTCCATGATTACTCCGAGTACTAGTAGTTACTAATTAGTATGTACTCCTACTGTTGTCCCGCCCTCCCCACCGCATCAAACCGCAGACCAAACTTCTCCAACTCCGCGTCCAACACTCCTCGCCCATCAAACACCCATTTCGGCTCTTCCATATTGTATGCGATACGAGGCCACTCAATGGCTTCGCTCTTTGGTGCCAAAATCATGTGGCAGTCTCGACAGTCGCCTGCACATTTAGCCTGTGGCGTCAGTTGATACGAGACGCCCGCATGTGTCCAAGTGCGAGCCCCGGCATAAGCAGTGCTAGTGCCAGTGATATCGCAGCCCCCCACCGAATCCGAGCCCGGTCGCATAGACGACCTCTTGGACATACGGAACTGGTCACAATCGGTCACCACCAGCACGGCATGTGCATGCGAACAAGCCAGATACGGATCGGAGTGGATCTTGACAATGGATCGGCCGCCCTGTGGTACTTGCGCGATAGCAGGCTCAAGTTCGCGAAGAATGTCTTCCTCGCGACAATACGGGTCGAAGATGGTGATCTCTGCTGGGCGCTCCTCCAGGAGTATACGAATCACGTCGACGGCTAGCGACTCGCGCGTATCGCCTGTGTTCTTCTTAAAGGCGAACCCAAGAATCGCCAGCTTGCGTCCGACCAGATTCCCGTCAAATCGATCAATCACCCTCCGCGCGAATCGCTGTCTCTGTCGCTCATTGATCACAGTGATCTGTCGCCAATAGTGCGCCTCCTCGCTCAGGCCCAGCGATTCACAGATCCAGCAGATACTCGCGATATCTTTTCGAAAGCATGAACCGCCCCAGCCCAGCCCGGCTTTGAGGAAATGCGGTCCGATTCGTACATCGCGACCGATCGCGTCAGAGATCTCGTTGACATCCGCTCCCGTCTTCTCACAGATAGCACTGATCGCATTGATGCTGCTGATTCGCTGTGCGAGCATGGCGTTCGCGACGAGCTTGGCCAGCTCGGACGACCATGCGTTGGTTTCAAGGATGCGGTCGCGAGGCACCCAGGCAGCATAAAGATTGGTGAGGGTCTGCGCTGCCTGGCGACCAGAGGGGGTAGGGGCTGAACCGATCAAAATACGGTCTGGTGTAGTCAGGTTCTTAACTGCGGAACCTTCTGCGAGGAACTCTGGATTGGAGAGCACCTCGAATGGCACGCCCGGTCGCAGAGTCGATAGCTGGACGACTGTCAGATGAATTACTCGACACGAGGCGCAGTGGTAACTACCATTTTCCGAACACGCTCCGCGGTACCCCCGGGTACGGTACTTTTCTCCACGATAATAGCACCTGGCTTTGCGTGCACTGCGACTTCGCGCATCGCTCCGTCGAAAACTGTCATGTTCGTGGCACACCCGGCCCCGATGCCGAACATCTTGGTCGGGGTGTTGACAGCCATTAATATAATGTCTGCCCGGGCGATCGATTTGGCCGACTCGCAAGTGAAGAACAAGTTCTGGCGACGTTTTGTGGGCACCGACGAGAGAGAGAGGATTGGTTCTTCCGTCATCTCAGCACCATCGCGCACGATGCGCACGACGGTGTCTAGCCCTGGCTCATGGACGGGAAGATGAGGGGATTCCCATCTTTGAATCCGCGATGGATCCTTGTCCAACACTTCTACTGTGATTGTTGGATGATGGAGGGCGAGCACAGCGGCCGTGGGACCCCCTATTCGCCATCAGTCTTGTTTGGTTCTATTCTTCAAAGGAGGATTTTGATGCCTACCCACATACCCCGCGCCCACCACGCATATATTCCGTATTGACTCGGTTCGGCGAGAGTCAGAGAGTTGGACATGACCTAGCTTCGTGTCGTCTCCCTGGGCTGGCCGAAAAAGAGGACTTGCGCCAGGGGTGGTTAGATTGGTCAAATAAGAGGTCGTTGAGCTGGGGCTGCTCGAAGTTGTCTCAGAGACAAGACCCGTCGAGATGTCCATGATGGATGTCATGCTTCCAAAAATGACTTGAAGTAAATCACCTGGGAGAGGTGAAATTCTTCCAAAGGCGCAAATTTGGGAGTATATTTAGTATCTATGGCTAGGGTTAACTACTAACTATACTGCGGGTGCAGCACACCGTGCGGTACGCCATGACCAAACCTGATCCTCTGATCAACCAAGACCCCTCCATGATTCTCCAAGCTTTTCCCTTTCATGCCTCCTGATCAAATCAGGTTGAATCCAGTCAATTTGCGCCTTTGCCCACGCGTTCCGCGCTGCGTTGCGACTGGCCGCTAAGCAACACTCCTCAGCGGCCGCTCAAGGCACGTGCGGGCGATCACCCTAACTGCAACTTTGATGAGGGGAGACTATCTTTCCCCTGCACTACCTGCACTACACTACATTGGAATGCTCTGCATGATAACATTCCATTGGAGATAGCGGGGTCCGGCGGAAGAAAGATTATATCTTTCTCCTGCTTCTCTTTCTTTCCTCCCCGCCACTTTGCACCCACCACCATCATGGATTCCGACTCCCGCGCCAACTTCCCGAGTATCCTCCAGGGGAAGAAGATCCTCCTAGCCACCGAGTCCTGGGGTCCAGTTAACGGGGTCAGTCGTACTACTCGCAGTCTCGTCGAGTACCTCCGCGATAATGGCGTCGACCTTATCCTCGTTGCGCCTGATTTCAAAGGCGATACTGCCAAACAGTCTGCTCAAGTCTCTGGTGAGCGCCGCCTACCCGGCTGCGCCTTGCCTTATAATCCCGACTTGACCGTCGTATATCCATTCCATCTGCGCGAAGTCTACCGGCAAGCCTTTGAACCGGATCTGATCTATCTCGCCAGCCCCGCATCCCTGGGCTTCCAAATGCTGCTGCAGATCCGCCAGCTGCGCTCCCCACCACCGGTCCTGCTCAACTTCCAAACCGACCTCTCTGCATATTCTGAGATCATGCTGCCTGCCCCTCTAGATCGATTTGGCGTCTGGCTACTGGCTACCGTGCAGGGGTTTCTATTCCGCACAAGCGCCGTGCGCACTATCTTCTACCCATGCTCTGCTATCCGGGGTTATCTCGAAGGTGCTGGAGCTCCAGCTGACCGAATGGTCAAGCTTGGTCGCGGGGTCGACACGACGCTTTTCACGCCAGACCAGCGTGACGATGCCTTTCGCCGGGGAATCGCACCTAATGGCGAAGTCATTCTTCTCTGCGTCTGTCGCATTGCGCCGGAGAAAGGCTTCGAGTTCCTCGCGCAGGTCGCGATGCGCCTTTCTTCGGAAAAGGTTCCCTTCAAGCTGCTCATCGTGGGTGGGAATCGCAATCCGGTGGTTGAGAGTCGAGTCCAGCGTCTCTTCGACCCTGTTCGTCGCCATGTGGAGTTTACAGGTTTTCTTACTGGCGCCGCTCTTGCCCGCGCATACGCCTCGGCGGATCTCTTCCTGCACTGCTCTGTTTCTGAGACGTTTGGCCTGGTCGTGTTAGAGGCGATGGCTAGTGGGATTCCCGTCATCGCGCGCGATCAGGGTGGACCCTCGGATATTATACTTCATGGAAAGACGGGGTATTTGGTTCCACCGAACGATCTCGAACAATTCACCTCGTTAACCCGTCAGGTGGCTCGTGATAATGAGCTCCGGGGGACTCTTTCTGTTGCGGCGCGTCAGTTCGCGGATGATACGACCTGGGAGAAGATCAATCGTCGTGCAGCGTGGCAGATGGCTGATGCTTTGGTCCAGACTGACCAGGAGGCACACGGTTCGAGGCCTCCACGACCGACTATTCTTGCCTCTGCCATGGAGCAGTTCCGGCTGATGTTTGCGGTGGCAATTGTCTATGGGATGTGGTTGATTGCGGTTGTGCCGCTGATTGTTCATGGTAATCGTCTGCTTCCTCGGGCTTGGCTGGCTGTTCGGCGGCAGTTGATTCCCAGGATTTGATTTATGATGCGTTTAATGCTGCGTTTAGTGTTGCAATATGTGAATACCCATACCCATACCCATACCTATATACCCATTCCCGTACCCAATACCCGGTCCCAGTACAATGAGAATAACATGAACTCGCTGTCTCTTTGATTTATGAGTGATTATATTATGATATACACTAGACTACTGTCACGATTACGATTAATTATAATGAAATATCGCTGCCCAGCATAAAAACACATACTCCCAATCCTATCATGCTAATAGCGCCAGAGGTTCAACTACAAGCGCACGGGAGCCGAATCCTCCTTCACCAAAACATGACCATGCGCGACGAGCGAATTGGGACATTTCCGCGCATTCACAAAGTCATCCAGATTTCCCAGCGTCACGCCCGCAATCTCGGTCAAGGCTTCCTTAGTAAAGAACCCCTGGTGCGAGCACACGATCACGTTGGGGAATGTCAATAGCCTTGCAAGTACATCATCATGAATAATTTCATCCGAGTGATCGTTATAAAAGAATTCACTCTCCGCCTCATACACATCCAAGGCCAACCCGCCGAGCCTCTTACTCTTCAGGGCAACAATCACCGCACTACTGTCAATTAATCCACCACGGGACGTATTCACCAGCAAGGCCCCGGGTCGAATCTTGGCCAGGGTGTCGGCATTAATCAAATGGCGGGTCCCCTCATTCAATGGACAGTGAAGACTGACAACCTCACTCTCCCGGAGCAAGGTATCTAGATCGACTAGTGTGCCATACGGGCGGAATTCTTCAGCGGATGCAAAAGGGTCGTGCGCGAGGATGTGGCATCCGAAGCCCTGGAAGATCCGGGCGGTGGCCAGCCCGATGCGGCCGACGCCGATTAATCCGACTGTCTTGCCGTGCAGAGTGGAGCCGAGCAAGCCCTCAATGTTGAAGTTGCCTTCACGGACGCGATTGTAGGCGCGGTGGGTAGCGCGGTTGAGGGTTTGGACGAGAGTGACGGCGAATTCGGCGACGGCTTCGGGGGAGTAGGCGGGGACGTTGGCGACGAAGAGGTTGAGGGATTCGGCAGTTGGGAGGTCGACGTGATTGAAGCCGGCACAGCGAAGGAGGATGGCTCGGACGCCTGAGGCGTGGAGGGCGTGCAGGACGGGGGCGTCGAGGGTGTCGTTTACGAAGACGCAGACGGCATCGGAGTCACTCGCGAGCGATACGGTTTCCTGGGTGAGGGCGAAGGAGTGGTAGTCAATGTGGAGGTGGGGATATGTCGGGCGGGTTGCCTCGAGGTAGGTCCGATCGTAGGATTTGGCGCTGAAGACGGCGAGTTTCATGGTGGAGAGAGTACAGTATGGAGTATGGAGTATAGAGTATACTTTGCTAGTGTGAGTATACTAGTAAGAGTCGAGATCTGATCGGAGTATGTATCCGGATGTTCTAAGTTTATGGGAAGTTTAAGAAAAGTCATGACGCCATGGTAAGAGTAGTATACATTTAACGGAGTAGAGAAGATGGAGTCAAGGTACATTTTAGATGTACATGTACATCACCATGTGCCAACCCCAGATCGCAGAGCTGGGGTTGGACGCAAACGGAGACCGAGATGCGGTGGACATATGGAGTAGGAGTACGGAGTACTCCGTATCCCATGCATACTCCGTACTCTCTTCTCAGCCAAGTGAAACAACTAATCTAGACTACGGAGTATACCACGGAGTATACCACGGAGTATACTACGGAGTACTCTGTAATTCCTCGGAGGACGGCATTTTTGAGTAGACTACGGAGTACCCCAACCCGTTAGCGCTCGTACACACTCCAACTCGGTCAATGCCCGAATGCTAATGCTTCTGGATGATTTCCGCATCCTGCCATGACCCGCTCCCCAACCCCCTCTGCCCCTCTGCCCCTCCGCCCCTCCGCGATTCGCCTCTTTCTCGTTGTTGTCTGCAGGGAGTTTACAAACCTCGACCGATGATTGGTTGGGGTTCCGCGGAGCCGGCCCGTGCTTTCCCGAACCGGTGGACGTAGGGGAGACTTCCACCAATCAGAGGGGGTTGATAAGGGAGGAACGCCACCTTTCTGTGGTTGGTCCATCTAAGACGCTAGTGAACTCTACTTACGCTTACCAGAGGAGGAGAGTAGAGTACTCCCTCGGGAAGAGTACTTGTACTCTACTTACTCTACTCTACTTGACTCATTTACAGAATAAGTATAGCTACTGTATACAGTATACTCCTATATTCCAAGTATAGTCGATGATGTTAGTATGACTATATGTATACTGTCTAAAGTCTACAGTCTACATATAGTATACATTGTACTCATACCTACCGGATCCGATGGGGCGGGACAAGTGGGCCTCGCCTCGAGGATTCGGGATCTCAGAGATTCAGACGTTCGGACATTGAGTAGTATCACTAGTACGAGTATCAATATTGGGTAGCCTAAGTGTACACTGTAGTAAGTACAAGTTTAGTTAGTTGCTACACTTAGTGTATAGAGTATGTAGTATACTAGTCTACTGGCACATGCCAGTGCCAGCCGTGTATTGGACACACCGACACCGCCAGTTGGTGTTGGTGTTGGTGTCGGTGTGTCCAAAGTACTCCCTCTCCTCCTCCGCCCCTTCCCACTTCCCTTTCTACTTCAACTTCAACTTCTCCCTTTCTTCCACTACTTCTCTTCTCTCTCTCTCTCTTCACCCTCTACCACAGAGTAAATATCTACTTTACGAGACTACTCTATTACTCTACTACTCTACTCTATTTTACACCTCCATCCACCCGATCGGCATCTCCAACGGACCCGTAACGTCCCGTCTCCACTTCGTTCGGCCATTCACCGCGCGTGCGTTTGCCTTCGCTTTGCCCCTCGACATCACCACTTATGGCTCTCCTTTCCTTAAGTGCTCGTGTGCCCGGTATCCTCTAATTTACTCAACACCACCACACCACAACACCACCACCTTTCTTCTCTCCTCAATCTTTATTCTACTCTCTCCCCTCCTCCTCCTCCTCTCCCACTTACCCACTCACACTCACAATGGCCACTTCTGTCCTCACTGCCGCCCCCGGTGCCAACCAAATCTCCGTCTATGGCCACCCTTCACCCACCAACTCTACCACCAACTCTACCACCAACTCTACCACCAACTCTACCACCACAACTCCCTCAAATAACTCGCCCACTTCTCCCCGCTTGACCACCGCCTCTCTCCACCAACTGCCCCTTCAGTCGCGCCAGCTGCGTCCCCCCAAGGGCCCTCTCTACGTCCCCGCGGCCCTTCGTCCGACAGAGCGCCCGCAAAAGTCCTCCCCCATTACTCCGCCCCGGAGTGTGCATGGATCACTAGACAGCCTCAACGAGGACACTGAGCCGATTAGCCGACGCTCCACTATGGAGAGCAATTCGAGCGGTATTAGCAAGTCGGCCGAGCACGAGTGGATGAAGAACGAGTCCCTCGGGGAAGTGACCGGCCACCCCACGAGGGACCACTGGAAGGTGAGTTGAAACTGATCACTGATCACTGATCCCTCATTCCCTGCATGCCCCTCCCTCTTTATATAAATCCCGGTGGCTGGTTTTGAGGATGGCGTATGCGCCGCTCAGAATGTCGTGTGCGCGCTCGTCATGGATGGCGTGCTCATGGAACAACCTACCCTTACTCCAATCATACATACACCATACATCATACATCACACACTTCTTGAAGAATCCCCATGCTGATCATTTTAGGCCGACTCTGCCTCTCCCAACTGCGATTCTCCCACCTGCCGCTCCTCTTTCGGTCTCTTCCTGCGCCGCCACCACTGCCGCCATTGCGGTCACGTCTTCTGCTCCTCCCACACACCGCACATGGTCCCTCTCGACCAACATGCTCGCTTCCACCCGGAAGGCTCTGCGTCCCGGGCCTGCGACCTGTGCTGGAGTGCCTACTCGCGCTGGGAAGAGACCCGCACCGACCGCCTCAGCAAGATTCAGAACTCGATCGATGCGAAGAACATCGAGGGCGAGACTGAGCACACCGAAGACTTGGCTGCGTGCGAGATGAACGGTACTGCTGCCCTCCGGGCGAATCTCGGTCAAACGTCTGAAGTTGCGGCCAGTGTTCCCCGGGACTGGAACTGGAGCACTTTCTGATTGCATTCACTGCTCACCTTGTCTCTCGTCTGCGATCAGCTGGCTGGTGGCAGTCTCATTTCACTTCGACATTACACCTCTTTTCCACTTTTTTTTTTTCACCTCTTCTCCCTCGGGGCAGTCCGGACTGTCTGTCCTGTTGACCCTGTTTTATGCGACATGGAATGGAGTTTTGGCCCGGGCATCATTTTTTCGTCTTGTTTGCCCGAGTTGCTTTGATTTTGATTCGGATTGGCTGTCCTGACTCCTCACCCCAATTAGAGAGGATTGTCGCACTTGGCATTGCCTTATTTTCTGCTTGCTTTCCGTTTGTTTGTGTTTGCGTTTACTTTTACGAATGTGTTTTTGTGTTTGATCAGGATACCCCGTCATGTTTTCGAGTGGCGACCTCGTTTTGTCTTTGTTTCTGGCTCCTGGTCCTGATCCTGATCCGGCGGAAACCGGCTCATCGCTCGATGCTAGTCCAGTTAATTTATGATTTTCGCTTATCCCTATTCCAATCTCGAGTAAATGGTAGATCTATCAGCTTGCAGGCTGCTACTACGCAAGAGTAATCCGCTTAAACATTCCAACATGCTCAATCCCCTCCTCATCCCATCTGCCCAAGGACTCATCCGTCTGAAAGCCTTGTCCCTGATACATCCGCTCCACATCCACCTGCGCATGAACAAGCACCAACCCTTTCCACGACCCTAGCCCCTCTTTCAACTGGATTCCCTCCCGTCCCGCCACATCACGCATCGCCGCATTAATCTCGCCAGCATGCGCACTCGCCCATTCCAGCGCTGTATCAACGAGCCGTCGCCCGAGGCCGAGCCCGCGGTATTCCGGGACCACCGCGACCCGAGTTAACTTGATGCACGGCTCATGATGCCAATCCCATTCTGGGAGTTGCGGGCTTGTTCCCGGGTGTGTGAGGTGTTCGTGGGGTGGTTGGGGTGGGGGGGACCAGACGGATCACGGCAATGGGTTGGTCACTGTCACTGCTGGTGCGGGTGTTGTCGCTGATGACCCAGTGCCAGCTCCGGGAATCGTCAGAGTCGATTTCGGCGGTTGCAGAGCAGTTTTGCTCGTCGACGAAGACGCGCATGCGGACTTTCATTGCGGCGTTGAAGGTTTGTGGGTTTTGGTTGGTGGTTGATGTTGGGAGGGCGAGGGGGGTGTTCGGGCCTGGTGGTGGCTGCATTGAGGTTGTGAGGGTTGGTTGGGAGGCCATTTTGGGTGGGCACTCAGGCTGGCAGTGGTGTGAGGGAGATGTAGAGGAGAGTATACAAGTGGTGGTCCCTATGCGAAAGTACCGTTATCAGTTCGATTACCCCAAGGTACGCTCAGGGAGTCCCGAGGTCTGTGCTGGGTGGATCCATGGTCGATGCGCTGACGAGGTAGTACGAGTAGTATACTTCTCGAGTTCTAGAGTCACAGTTTTTACCGAGGTAAGTGATATTATACTAGATTTCATCTATCTATAGTTTCAAATAAGGTACTAGTAGTATACTGGTAGTATACTATTCAATAAGTCACTCCTATTAGCAATCCCATGGTATACTTGTACTCTACTGATAACATTCAGCTTTCTACAATGGCTGCTCCAAATTCTCATTCAGCCCATTTGGCTAATAAAACTTGAAGCTGTGAGTTACTAGTAGTCTTGCTGGTTCATACTGCTTGTGTGTAGTGGTAGTACTATCAGTCACATGACCAGGTTGCATACTAGTACAGCCTCACCTTACGCATAAAAGCATGAATAGCTACTAGTATCCGAATAGGATATCTATGTCTATATATATTTATTCTCGCCAATTCCTCACAACATCTTTCTATGCAGTCTCCTACCATCGTATACTAGCATGTAGTAGGACCTACCTTGAATCTGCCATTGCACGGAATACGCGGGGACTCTCCGCAGTGCAAACAAACCAAACAATTTTTATCTGCATGTTTGATCCAAAATTAATCCAACTTCAACTTCACTTCAATTCAAATCAATCCACCTTCAGTCAGGCCCCAGGCCTAGGTTTCTCTCCACCCAGGACTTACTTAAATGTCCCTCTACTTCGATGCGGAGGCCATCCTGACCGCACCAGCCTCTGGTGGCTCCTTCAAATCTCGCATCTACAGCGCCCGCGATCTACGAGCCAAACCGGCCCAGATCTATGCCCTCGTCAGCGAAGCCGCGAAATGGGACGCCATCCTGGCGGAGGTGATTGAAAATGCTGACATTCTGAGCTTGGAGCGAAAGGTGAGACTTGCATTCGCATTTGCATTCGCATTTGCATTCGCATTTGCATTTGCATTTGCATTCTCTTGGAGTTGCATCTTCCATCTTCCCTCTTCCAGTCCGCTGACAATCAATTACCCAGCTCAACCCTCTTCTCGCCCTCCTCCTCGTCCATGACCACCTCCTCGCGAAAAGGGGCATCGCTGCCCCAGCAACACACCCGCTCCGTCAGGCGGTCGAACGCCATAAAGTCCGATTGAAGGCCGAGTTCACTAAATCGCGCGTACGCCGCGGGTGTGGCTCCGTCGAACAGCTCAAGACGAAGATTCTGCGAGAAAAGCGCGAGGCGGATGGCTCGTCTCATTTCGTGTACCCACGCTGGGTGCGCGTCAATAACATTCGGAGTACCCTCGACGACCAACTCCGCACGACATTTGCCGACTACCGACAAGTGGACTCGTTGGTGCAATTAGCACCTCCGGAGGAAGGCCAGCCGAAGCCGAAGCTGTTGTATCGTGACCCGCATATCCCAGACCTCGTGGCTGTTCCGTACGGGGCGGATTTTACTTCTTCGCCGGCTTACAAGAATGGAGAGATTATCTTGCAGGACAAGGCTTCTTGTTTTCCTGCTTATCTGTTGCTGGGGGATCGGGGTGCGGATGATCCTTGGGTGGGGAATCTGGTGGATGGTTGTGCTGCCCCGGGCAATAAAACTACGCATATGGCATCTTTGGTCGCGAAGCAGAAACAAAAGGGCCGGAAACAAATCTTTTCTATGGATGCGTCGAAAGTGCGCTCGAAAACTTTACACAAGATGGTTTCTCTGGCGGGGGCGGAATCTATGGTGACAATCCTTCAAGGGCAAGATTTCCTGGCCCTGGATCCTCAAGAGGAACGTTTTCAAGATGTGTCGGGTCTTTTGCTAGACCCTAGTTGCTCCGGTAGTGGAATCATCGGCCGAGACGATGTTCCAGATCTCACGCTGCCCAAGACTAAGACCAAGGTCGCTCCGGGAAAGTCACAGGGGAAGAAACGCAAACGCCAAGCTGATGGAGAGGAGGATGCAGGCGAGAAATCCAAGGTCACGGTGGGAGCCCCAACTGTGTCGCCCTCGGATGAGAATGATACGCCTGACGGGGTCATGGACCACGATCGGCTCACCAAGCTGTCCAACCTCCAAGCGCGCATTGTGGAGCATGCTCTGAGCTTCCCCGCTGCCACTCATGTCACATACAGCACCTGTTCGATACATCTGATGGAGAACGAGGCTGTTGTGGCTCGGGTCCTGGCATCGGAAGTCGCACAACGACGCCGCTGGCGACTTCTGCGGCGCGACGAGCAACCGGCCGGGCTGCGCAAGTGGAAACATCGCGGAGTTCGACGGGATCGGGAGAATGGGGAATCGGGCGAGAGTCCTGCGGAGGTTGATCTGCCCGAGGAGGCGCTGGAAGCCTGCTTGCGTTGCTGGGCCGGTGATGCAGAAGGATTGGGTGGATTCTTCGTCGCTGGGTTTGTCCGTGACGGTGAAGACGACCAAGAGGAACAGGGCGATGAGACATCATCCCAGGTGAAAGGGAAAAACATGGTTCGCGCTGCAGCCGCCGACAAAGACAACCAACAAGAAGTTGAGGATGAAGGAGATGATGAAGATGCAGACGCAGATGACTGGGAGGGGTTCTCTGATTGAAAACATGCCCATCACCAGTTATAAAGAATAAAAAAAATGACACTGGTCTAAGTCCTCTATTTGTATCATACATATCGTCAGTGCTGGAGAAGGCTGGAGAAGGCTCCGCTCAGAGGAAATTGCGAGCCCGATTATGAACTCTTTGATTCGTGTAAAGGTCCAGCTTGATGGCAAAAAGGACAAGCTCCAATCCATTGTCGCCGTTCGGCTGCAGCTGTAGTTTCCACTGCGCATTGCGAACAAGCCAACGGGCCCCAGCGGGGGTTTCAGAACGTTGGCGCTTAGCGGGAGGTTCAGCCTCGTCGTCTTTGAGCCCGGCTAGAACCAGAGCGAACTGGGGATCGTTCTCGCCGTCGACGTTCAGATCTACATCTCGACCAAGACGGACCTTGACTGGCATCCCGCTGAGCTGTTGTGGATCCGGTAGATCGATCTTCTTGCCAACCACTTGTAACAGATTGGTCATGCGAGATTTGAAGTTGCCCAAAAAGTCCGCTGTGAGAATTGAGCCCCGGCGATCAATAATGGCGGCGTCGTCTCCAGTTTGCAGAATCAAATCGGCCGGTTTCTCATCGACATGGGGACGAGCGTATCCGACCAAGCCGAGGATCGGTGAGGCAGGGTTATCGGGAAAGAAATGAATGCCGGACGGCCGTATATGCTCTAGACGAATTGTGACTTCCGGTCGCTGGGTGAAGGGATTGATGGAAAGGTTGTGGGGGATGAGTTTCTGTTCAACCCCGCGGAGGTGGAAGTAGCGACAATCGCGTAGCAACTCTGCGCGGTGTTCCTCGTTTCGAATGTGCAGCTGATACCCACGCAGGATATGCAAGAGATCGGCGAACACCTCGGCGGAACGATTGGGGACACTCGGGGGCGTGATGGCGGGTGGACGGAGGAGACCGGTGCGATCCAAGCCGGGGAAGACTTCGGAGGGGGAGGCGAAGAAGGCACCAAAACCGAGAGTAAAGAAATTCGGGGAGTCGCCAGGGCCAGAGAATATATCGCGAGGGATTTCGAAGTGACGATCACCGATTTGAATGAAGATTTCGGACTCGAACAGTTGGGACATCAGCCGGGGCACTGTGCGGGGTGTTAGCCATGCGCGGCACGCTTTGTATGGCTCGAGATAGGAAATGACGTACAGCTGTAGAACTGGGAGTCGGCAAAGAGCTTCACGAATTCCGGACCATCGCGTGGACGGACGTGGTAGCCTAGGTACGTCAGTCCGAGTTCATGGGGATATGAGGGGAGCTCTGGGTGACAGTACCTTGGAGATGACGCGCAATATCCCGGAAGGTGACCGGGTCGCGGTCGATATAGAGGGTACGACAATTGGAGGCATCGCTGGCGCGTACTTGCTCTTCGAAGAAGCGAGAGAAGTAGGAGGGAGCTATTCGGAATCCAATGTCAGAACAGGTCAGATCAAAGGTGGGGATGGGGATGGGGTGATGGGGAGATATGCGGACCGTCGGAGGCGATGGAGGCACCCGACAGGCGAAAGAGATCGGAGCCGATCTGAATGGAGAAGACCTTTTCAGGGGGAGTGAACAGGCAGATCCCGACATGGGGGTGGTGGTGGGAGGAACCTGGGGGATTGCAGAGGAAACGTTCCTGACGTTCCTGACGTTCCCATTGGAGGTGAAGGTGAAGGTGAAGGCGGAGGCGGAGAACCTCGTGCCTTCTACTTACACTTACACTTACACTTACAGCTACTCCGTACACTTCACCTCTCCACTTCTCCCTCTCACATCAGCCCATATTAGCCCATATGAGCCATATCCGCCATATCAGCCATACAACCGACACCATCCGGAGTATAGGAGTATATGGTTCAGTTCTCCGTCGTCAGGACAGTTACTTCCCAGATGAGACTAGTTTATTGCCAGCTTCACATGGCGCCCAAACTCGGTTCTCACCATTGCTGCCCATTGGCGCGCTTGACCCACGCTGTTCCAGCCGATCGACATTCAACCGAGGCTCTATCCACTACCTTCCTCTATAATCACTACCACCCTGGGCACAAACTGTGAAAACACTGAAATAGAGAGGGCTTAAGAGTTGGGAATGTGGGGAAAGCTACTTTCACACCCGGTGTGAGTGAGTGTGATCTGGACTGTGAGTCTTGATTTGGCCGAACCGCTCAGTCACTACCGATATATCTCCACGTTTCCCCCTCAATCAGGCTCTGTACGCTAGTTCGGCCCTGGAGATACCCCATAATCAACTTGAACTTGAACTTGAACTTGCCATGGCCAACCAACTGGAAGCAGAGTCTGCTTATTCGCCCCGGCCAGTCTCGCTGCCTCCTGCTCCAGATGTCAAATTCTGGTCAGAACAGCAGTGGACAACCCTCTTCGCCCTGGCCGATGCAGTCATTCCGTCCATCCGCACTGCTGCTACCGTCAACTCCTCCGCAGACAAGGTCATCTCAACTGGGGAGTGGGATACCACGGTCACCAAGTTGTCCACCTTGATTCCAGGCCCGGATGCCGCTACCCTCGCCAAAGAGTACCTCGAGGAGGATGTCTCCTCGAATCCTCTCTTTCGTGCCACCGTTCAACGGATCATCGGCAACCATGTTCATGAAGAGGGGAAGAATGGGTTCGGCCTCGTATTGAATGCCCTTAAGTAGGTTTACACCGACACCACGCATTATTGCATCTCCAGACTGACTTTAATAGCTCGCGAGCTGGCTCGCTGATATTGACGGGATCCACGACTCCCATTCACCAACAGCCTATCGCCTTTCGGGAGAAGGTCTTTCGAGGGTGGGATACCTCTCGACTACCCCCGCTGCGTGCGGTATATCGAGGGCTGACTGCTACGGTCAAGAAATCCTGGGTCATGACCAGCCCGACCATTGGCCGTGTGCTCGGATTCCCACGAATACCCGTGCATGGCAAGCCCACTGATGGATTCCTGTTTGAGTTCTTGCAGTTCCCGGCCGGTGATGAACCCGAGACCATCGAGACTGACGTGGTCATCGTAGGAAGTGGTTGCGGTGGTGCCGTGACCGCGAAGAATTTGGCGGAGGCAGGCCTCAAAGTGCTCGTGGTGGAGAAATCCTACTCGTACTCGAGCCAGCACTTCCCGATGCCCGCTAACGAGGGCTATGTGAATATGTTTGAGAACGCTGGATCCAGTATGAGCGATGATGGCTCCATGGCTGTGCTTGCAGGCTCCACGTGGGGAGGCGGCGGTACTGTCAACTGGTCCGCATCCTTGCAAACCCAGGCCTACGTTCGTCAGGAATGGGCAGATGCTGGTCTTCCGTTCTTCACCTCCCTTGAGTTCCAGAAGAGCTTGGATCGTGTGTGTGACCGCATGGGCGTAAACTCCGAACACGTCCGACATAACTATGGTAATAATGTGATCTTGGAGGGCGCACGCAAACTGGGCTACGCCGCCGGCACGGTACCTCAGAACACCGGGAATGGCGAACACTACTGTGGTTACTGCACTCTGGGATGCCATTCGACCGGCAAGAAGGGCCCTACGGAGTCCTTCTTAACTGATGCCGCGAAGGCTGGCGCGATCTTCATTGAAGGATACAATGCCGACAGGGTGGTCTTTACCAAGGAGAACGGCAAGCGCAAGGCCAGCGGCGTGCAAGGAACCTGGACCTCTCGAGATTCTTATCTGGGCCTGAGCGGCGAGGGTACAGTTCGACGTAAGGTCAACATCAAGGCCAAGAAGGTTGTCATCTCATCCGGAACGCTGAACAGCCCTCTGCTACTGCTCCGAAGTGGCATCAAGAACTCTCAGATTGGCAAGAATCTCTACCTCCATCCAGTCATGCTGGGTGGCGCAGTGTTTGAGGACGAAGTCCGTCCATGGGAGGGCTCAGCATTGACCACCGTGGTGAACGAGTTCGAAGACATGGATGGCAAGGGCCACGGTGTGAAGGTCGAGGCCGTCGCAATGATGCCCTCTGTCTTCATCTCAGTCTTCCCCTGGCGGGATGGATTGGACTATAAGCTATGGGCCGCCGGGATGAGCCACAGCACCAGCTTCATCACCCTGACCAAGGACCGCGACGCAGGCCGTGTCTATCCCGACCCAGTTGATGGACGTGCCCGCATTGATTACACCGTGTCACCATTTGATCGCAAGCATATTGTGGAAGGACTGATCGCCTCGGCGAAGATTGCCTACATCTCCGGCGCTAAGGAGTTCCACACAACCTACCGCGACCTGCCACCATTTGTCCGACCAGACCCGTCCAGCACGGATGCCCCGGAAGGTACCAATGATGCGGCTCTTCAGAATTGGATTGCAGAATTGCGTCAGAAGTGCCCGCTCAACGTGGAACGGGCCTTGTTCGCCAGTGCTCACCAGATGGGTACATGTCGTATGGGCAAATCTCCCAAGTCAAGTGTGGTCGATCCGGACTGCCAGGTCTGGGACACGGATGGACTGTACGTGGTGGATGCGTCGGTCTTCCCCAGTGCGAGTGGAGTGAATCCGATGGTGACCAACATGGCCATTGCGGACTGGGCGAGTCGCAATGTTGCACGGTCGCTGGGTAAGCCACGCAGTGAGAGAGGCGGCCTCGCTCGTCTGTAGCGGGTGTCCTTGTATATATCAGTATCTGTTTTCTTCTTGTTGTTTTGCGGGTTTGCGGCGCGGAGAGCGATTGATCCCCCCCGATAGCTGATCTAGCTGTTGATGTTTGCGATTTTAATACATCCATGCATATATGATTTATTCAAAGCCTACGAGTATGGTACCTAACATTGAGCAACTTAATCTTGCTTATAGTATACTGTAAACTACAGTACTCGTCCTAACTACTCCGTAATTCCGCTCTGCTTTGCTGGCATCTCCACCACCACCTCCACTCGATCCACTTTGCTTAGAAATCGGATTCCACTGGATTCCACGTTATTATGATCCCTAAGTGTTGTTTGCCTGTTCGGGTGGTACAGTGAGAAGTGAAGAATTACTAAGAGTGACTAATTGACAGCTGGGGGCATTTGTTTACTCATAGCACTACTAAGTTTTAGTTCACTCACTTCCCCACAGATTTCCCCTCTGCATCAATCACCTCATCCTCACACAATATGGCGTTCGGCACCATCTACTCCTATTCGCCCAGCCCTAGGGTCATGAAGGTATATTCTAGCATATCAGAGCATCCTTTGCTCCCCTCTCAAAATAATATGGACACTGGCAGCTAACCCCTCCCAGACCCAGGCGGCCGCCAACATCAATGGCCTGGAGCTCTCGGTCCCCGAGTTCACCATGGGTGTCACCAACAAGACCCCGGACTTCATCTCCAAATTTCCTCTGGGGAAAGTGCCCGCGTTTGAAGCCGCCGATGGGACTGTCCTCTTCGAGTCGGACGCCATTGCTCAATACGTGGCTGAGAGTGGCCCCGCTGCCGACCAACTGACGGGGGCCACCCCGGCTGCCCGCGCCTCCATCCGCCAGTGGATTTCCTTCGCACAGGGTGAGATCCTCGATCCCGTCCAGCAGCTCGCTCTGTGGCGCATCAAGCTCGTCCCTTACGATGCCGCCACCGAGACCAAGGCTCTCGAGCGCCTGGAGCGTTCCCTGGCCTGTCTGGAAACTCATCTGCAGGGCCGTGACTGGCTTGTAAATGGAGACAAGATCAGCATGGCTGATATTACTGTCGCATCTGCACTGGTTTGGGGATTCGCTATGGCGATCGACGCTGAGATGCGTGCGAAATACCCCACTGTCGTTGGTTGGTATGAGCGTACTCTGCAGGAGGATGGTGTCAAGCAGGCCTTTGGGGAGAAGAACTTTATTGAGAAGCGTCAACCGTATGAGGGATAAACAGAGATCAAATGAATGAATGGCTATACTATAGTATACCAGACTATACTATACTACATTACCATACTATATAATTACTGCCGTACCCGGGCTGTTTCCAAGGTTCCGCCCTTCCTCACCTCACAACCACAACCTCACTTCTCCTTCTTACCACCTCATCACTTCTCCCCATATTCTCACCACATCTATCTCACGCTCACTCTCACTCTCGCTCTCATTCTCACTCCATATGCTCCTCCGTCTCCCACTAGAGCTACAGATCGCCATCGCTGACATACTGCCCATCCCGGATCTCTTACACCTACGTCTAACCTGTGCTTACTTATACGACTCCCTTTCTCCTCTCACACACCGCCAACTCTTGGATGCCGAGGCCACCGACTGGGCTCGCCACCATAATGTCTTCACCTGTCGCTATTGTCTACGCCTGCGCCCCGCGGTTCAATTCGCCGATCGGATGCTACAACATCGTCGTTCTCGCGCGGGTCGGGACTGCCACAAGCGCTTCTGTATTGACTGTGGTCTGATGCCTCGCGAGGGTGGACGTACCGCTCGCTATGGGCCCGGCGCCCAACTCACCATCAATGACCAATTCTTTGTCTTTTGTCTCTCTTGTCATCAATTCCTACCAGGAGCCCGAGACCGCCATGGTCGGAATACCTTGGAGTGTATCTCATGTTCGCAGAACCGCTGGCTACGAGCGGGTGCAGCAATCGGGTCTTTGACCGAGGTCGATCCCACTCCTATTCAACCCCCAACCGAAGACCCTTCGTCTACCAGTGAATATCTCTCCATACAGAACCAGCCAGGAAAAAAGGAAGAAGATTGAAGTTGAAAAATACTCAATTGAATGCACTAACACCAGTCGAAAGCGGCAATTCGCATTTCTTAAATCCCCAAAACACCAGGTCTCGACGAGTCATACATGGAAACATGTGGACAACCTTGGATATGCACACCTCGCTCGCCGATTCGGATCAAAACTACCAAATGCAAATCAACAGAGAGGCCATTCTATGCCTTGCAAGCCTCACCAAGCTGCATGTAATTCCAGCAATCTGCTTGCGAGTTAGCTCTCAGTACAACCAGCACGGAAGTGGGGAATGTGCTTACTGGAATTACCCATATCCTCTCCAAAGAGACTGGTCATCAGCTCCTCGCCGTGTTTGGTTCCCTCGTCGGGGGTCCAGCTGACGGCTTTCTTTCCTACGGCCAATCCGATGACATTGGGGAACGGGTCCAGGTTTTTCACGTCCGGCTTGCTACCAGCAGATTGCGCCATGAGATGCTCATACAGGTTATGACCTGCATAATGACCCATGTGCATTGCACCTCCACATCGTTTGATACCGGGCCACGCCGCAAGGTCTCCCACGCAGTAATGGTTCTCTGCGTTGGGGATGGACCCGGAGAGTTGAAGACTGTTTATCCATGTTAATATCAGAGATCAGCGAGACGCCTGGAGGGGGAGGCTGGGGACTTACGACGGATGAATCTTCACATAGCCAGCCTCGTCCAATGCACCCGATGAAAGATATGTGGAAGTGGGAATGCTTCGCGAGATGGCGCTGAGTACAAGGCCAGTCGTCAGCTCTCGACCATCGGCCAGCGTTAGACGCCACACCCGGCGACCGTTCTCTGTGTCTACAGCGGTAGTATCAACAACACGCTGGCCCAGAATCGTCTCCACGCCCACTTCACGCAGGCATGACTCAACGCGCTCGGCAAAATCATCTGGCAAAGGTTCCGAGGAGAGTAAACGGTTTCGCGAGTGAATGAGAGTAATCTTCTGATCTGGGTAGAGGATTTTCAATTCCGCGGCCATTTCTACACCAACGGCACCTAATATACGACAGAAAATGAGCTTCACAGAACCACTGGGAATAAATGAGGAAGTTCAGCGGGTACTCACCGCCACCAACAACCACCACACCCTCGCGGGAATTTTGAATTTCTTCGGCGTGACTTTTGGCTTCTGCGATAAAGTCGGCTCGTACTTGGGACTGTGGGACCGTGGGGAAAGTCCGTCGCAAACCAGAGCCAACAACAAGATAATCATAGGACTCATTGCGTTTCGCTTTTGTGTCGGTTTCGTCAATATGGGCCGTCTTCGCTGCAAAGTCCACTGAGCTCACGCTTCCGCGAATGAAGTTGATGCCGGAGGATTTGAGGCCAGGAATGTCCTGAAACCGGGTCCATGAGTCGGACGCGAATTTCTCGCAAGCTAGGGACTTGGGCGATCCGATGAGATGATCTAAAGACGGTGAGCGGAGTGAGAGTCGCAAGGAGGGGGGGGGGATTATCATAATATCATACAGTAGCCATCTCGTTCGTCGACCACCGTAATGTCTACAGGGATGCGATGGGCCGGGGGCGCGATCTCTCGGTCATAACTGAAGCGAGGTATGCGACCCCGCGAAAGATCGACCAGGGTCAATGCAGTGCTCAGCCCCGCGTAGGAGCCACCGATGATGAGCACCCGATAGGATCGAGCACCAGGAACACCGTCATTGGAAGGCATAGTGTAGAATCGTGATGCAATGCGCGAGTGATAAAGATGTCGACAGGGGAAGACGGGGAGTAAAGGAGAGGGGAACGAAGAAAAGGGAGAACCCTGGACATAATCAAAGACGCAATATTATTTGAGTTAGGGGATTACCAGCTTGAAGGATCCCTGGGCATATTGGCATTGGCATTGACATTGGCATTCTCGGCAGGTTACCGATCCGAATCTCATCTTATCAGATGAGACATCCCAAGGTTGAGGGTCGTGCGCCTTAGGGCGTGGTTCCGGCTGTTATCAGATCCGATCCGAAAAAGGGAAAGAAAAGGCGGATGAAAGATACAAGAAACAGAAAATACTACTCGTACCAGAACTTTGGAGCCCGCCATTTCTTGGCTGGTGGAGAGCTTCGGTTCTGGCCAGTCTTCGTATACGCACTCCACGCTCCACGCTCATTCTTGCCGGTTGGGTTGAAGGCTTAAACTTCCATCTTGCTCCGATGTCTCCGATGAGTCTGTTGACCTTGAGCTATGACCTTTGAATGTTAACGCCACGAAGAACCCTGAGCCCTGACACCATGAAGAAGAATGTTTCAAGTTCCGCAATCCGAGGTCCGAGCGATCGACAAGAAACACAAGGGCATGATATGATGCTTGTTAATCAGGGCTGAGGGCTCCTATGTCATGACTCTGTGTACATATATGTACATGTATCAGTGACCCTGCAGAACACGACTAAACCAACCAGGCAGAAGAATCCGCCTTTCCCGCGGATCAAACCGACCTGACGAAGTGGCAGTGGAGAAGTTCTCGTATGTATTCATGTGTATTTATGGGTATTCTAATGTATTCTACTGTATTGCCGTGAATCCGTGGTTGTGGCGCGTATTGGTTATTCCAGTAATTACCAGCCCACCGGAACCAATCAAAATGGCTCGTTTGATCAGACAAGATGATCATCTAATCTGATTAGGGGAACGCGTCATTATCACTCTCCAACGCCAAGTCGCTAAAAACAGCCCCCTTTTCGTCAAGATTCGTCGTTACTAGCGTTGAAACAGGGGCGGGGGAAGGAAGGGGGGAAACAGAACAGGAACATGAACAGAAGGATGCAAGGAAAATGCAAAGAAAGAGAAAGAAAGAAAGAAATTAATTGCTAAATCTTGTCTTGGCAAGTGGAAAACGCTGCGCCTCGCAAAATCTGATAAAATGTTGCCTGGTGGGGCACTCTAAAAAAAAATTTCTTTTGGTTCTATCCCGAGAAAACATGAAAATGAACACGCCTAGCTAAAAAAAAAAAGAAAGAAAGAAAGAAAAAGAAAAATGAAGCAAGGGGAATAAAAAGGGTATTAACCGGCGATGCAGGCGGAAGCGGAAACGGGGGGAGATGGAGACGGCATTGGGCATGGGCATGGGCATGGACATGGACATTGGCTTTGACATTAGGCCCGCTGGGTGAGGGCGACAGTTGCCATATCGCGAAGCTCGACCTTGCGAACTTTTCCACTGCCAGTTATGGGGACAGTGTTGGGCACTCCCTCTTCGCCAAACACAAACACATGCTGCGGTGCTTTGTGTCGACCAAGAGTCTCCCGAGTCCAGGCACGCAGATCGTCATCGGTCGGTCGGGCTTGACCGGGGGTGACGAGGATAAAGGCACCCACCACTTCTCCGTATTTCTGGTCGGTGATACCGATGACAGAAGCCAGTTCGATGTTGGGATGGGCGGCAAGTCGCTCTTCAATCTCGAGGGGGTAGATGTTTTCGCCGCCTATGATGAAGTGAGTTAGCCTGGATCCGACTTGCGATCTAGATGCTGGGGCATATGAAACTTACCGCGGATGATGATATCCTTGAATCGGCCAGTGATTGTGCAGTAGCCGTGCTCGTTGAAAGAGGCTTCGTCACCAGTCTTCAACCAAGTGACACCCTCGGCATCGGTAACAAGGGCCTCGGCCGTCTTCTTTGGATTGTTCCAGTAGCCCTTGGTGAGCTGATACCCTGCCATACAGAGTTCACCTCGCTGGCCAACGGGAACAATGTTGCCCTGGGCATCAACAATCTTGGCCCGCGCGTGGGGCAAAACCTTTCCGACCGTGGTGAGTCTGGTGTGGATACTGTCGGTGGTGAAGGCATTAAAGCAGGTCGGGGATGCCTCAGTGAGACCTTTTTGTTTTGTATCAGCGACATAAGAACAAGGTTGAGACGGGAACGACTGAGGATTTACCATAGCTGCTAGTGTACTCGGTCATGTTCAATTCCTCGAGCAAGCGCTTCATTAGGGGACGCGGGACCGGAGCCCCGGCAATAATTCCGGTACGCAGGTTCGAAGTATCAAAGTTGGCGGGCTTGGGAATACTGAGGATGGCTTCGAACATGGTTGGAACACCATGTAGGGCTGTGCACTTCTCGTCGGAGATGGCATGCAGGACAGCCTTGGGGTCGAAGGTTTCACTAGGGAAGATGATCTTGGAGCCGTGAGTGACGACGGCTAACATGCCGAGAACTAGACCGAAGCAGTGGAAGAGTGGTGGGGGGCAGCAAAGGATATCGAAAGAAGACAGATTCATGCGATCACCAATGAAGCGGGAGTTATTGACCAAGTTGCTGCGCGGGGAAGGTTAGCGCGCGATGATCCCGATGATCTTCGCAAGCAGAGTTTAAACATACTGATGGGTCAACATAGCGGCCTTGGGGTTTCCAGTCGAGCCACTGGTGAATTGCAGATTGCAGACATCGTCGGGGCGAAGTGCGGCCTCACGATCCTGGAGAAGATGAGCAGGCTGTGAAACGCCGCGCTGAATGACATCGGCATAAGTGGGAAAGTCTTTGTAGTCTCCGCGCAGGATGACAATCTCGTCAAGGAAGTCCGAGGTGCCATTTTGCTTCGGGGTCGGGCCGAGTTCAACCAGGACTTCTTCGAGGTTGTGGCGGCCGATTTGGGGGGTCATGAAGAGAAGACGACAACCTGAGTAGACCGGTGGAGTTCTTTGATCAGCGGGGGGTCTAAAAGGATCTGCAGGGCTGTTGCGATGGAGCCCAAAGGGCATCAATCATCAATCATCAATCATACCGGAGTGATTCAGAGCATAGGACAGCTCGGATGGAGTGTAGGTGTTGTTGAGGACCACCAGAATGGCGCCCACGCGAGCTGCGGCGAAGAAGACGGAGATGTACTGCTCGCAATTGCCAGCCATCACACCCACACGATCGCCCTTTTGAATTCCCATGGCCAGCATACCGCGGGCAAGGCGATCGGCCTCATCCTTCAGCTGAGCATAGGTCCAGCGAGCTCCAGTCCAGGGAAAGACCAGACATTCGTAGTCGGCATAGTGTAGGGCCTGAATGGTCAACAATTCACCGAGGGTGATGTCGAGCAGCTTGGGATGAGTCGGACCAGCAACGATCGACAGGTGCAGCGGCGCAGCAGCGGGGTGAAGGTGAGCGAGAGTCTGGTTCAGACGTTGGACAGAGGGAGGGATTGCCATGGCCAAGGGAGGTCAATGCAGGGTTGAATGCAAAATTCGAAGTCAAAATGGGAGGGGAAGCGCGGCTTTTAGCAGGAAGAGGGGAATAATGCGAATTGAAATGCAGAAGAGTGGGGAGTGCCAATGGTGGAGATGTCCGAGTCCTCGTCTCAGATCGATCCACCGGGGGGGAGTGTGTGTAGTATTCACCTGCACATGCGAGTACATGGAGTAACTGGCGAGGGGTGGCGCTTTTGTATACATAGTGAGTATACACAGATGCTGTGTTTATAGTTGACTAGTCTATCTACTAGTAATAGTTGGGTATAATATAATATGAGTGTGTGGTCTACTAATCTACTGAATATTGGTATGGTGATGTATTTATACGTATTGTGTACTGTGTATTGTATACATCCAGTGTATCCCAGGGTAATATATCCCGTATTCCACTGTACCCTACGGTAAAGTATTTGATATTCGCGGGTTCTTCGCTTACGTCGGGTCCACTCGGAGAATGAGGTTGGAATAGGCAAGTGTGAGAGGGCATCTCCGAGAATGGAGTGAATTCATGGATATTACGGAGGAATCTCCAACTAATCGGATCCCTTCAACCCGAAATGAATAGCCATCGTGTTGGCCGAAAACCCGTGGGGGTCCACCCGAGGATCAGATAATTCTGCAGCCCACAAATACGAAGATTCAGCTTCTTCAGTGGTGTATCCAGTATTCTAGAATCTACCGAGTACAGGCCGAGGCTGGACTGTGCCCTACGAGTAAGAGATGACGTACCAGTCTCACTTTTCTTCACTAAGTCTATTCAATCCCGGTATCGGCCCTCCCATCATCCGCTCAGCTGGTTGGCCTGCCCTGTGTTCACCATGCACGACGAGTACTATGTACTTTATTCTACTTAGAAATGGAAAACCCCAGTACCATGTGCCATATTGTATTCCCCGATCATCACCATCACTCTCATCCTGCGCACTCCACTCGCTAGACCTTGCAGTGTCGATCGCCCGTGGACCCGCTTGACAGCACCTTGGGCCCGCAAAATTGGTAGTTTCAGTTCTAGAAGTGCTTCGCTATAAGTTGTGGTTGTAACCTCTCTGATAAGGTTCAGATGCTCGCAGATAGTATCGGCCCATACGAGAGTAGAAGGAGCATTGGTAGAGCTTGAACGTGATATTGTTTAGGCATTGCAGAATTACTTTAGCAATGACATTTGAGTTTTCATTTTCTTACGAAATAATCTCACAAGGCGATCAAAAATATAACAAAGTATTTGGCTGACAGAAATAAATCACCTTAGGTGGGGCAAATACTAATGTGTATACTTTGACATCCTCAGACCCCAGTTGTATCCGATCAAGATTTGTTTGTAAATTTTGAATCAGGAGCTCATCCTGACGATTTTACTATCTGGCCTACTGCGTCGATAATTGACTTTGTCGAGAATATGTTGCTTCTGGGGTAGTTCACACTTGATGAATGGGTCACCTTGGGATGTCGGTAGCTCTATAAGCTCCATTCATGGGTCCCATGGTCCAACGGCCCTGCTTCCTGTCAGCAGCTCAGGCTCGCTGTCGCCCTGGACAAGAAGAATATCCTCATGTCTGACACCAAATTTGTCAACCAAATAGATACCGGGCTCGGAAGTGAAAGCCATTCCGGTCTTGAGAAGAGTCTTGTGGTTTCCCTTGTTGAGATAGGGGCTTTCATGGGCTGTTAAAAATGAGCAGGGAAACCAACAAAGAAAAACAAAGAAACGTAATGGGAAGAATCTCACCCTTGATTCCGATTCCATGGCCGAGGCGATGAGTAAAAGTTCCTTCATACCCGGCTCCGTCAATCACGTTGCGCGCAGCGATATCCACACTGGCGGCAGTGTAATTCTCTCGGAACTGGCGAATTGATTCCGTCTGTGCTTCAAAGACAATATCCCAGACCTTGAGTTTCTCCGCGATCTGCGGAGTCAGGGTCTTCTCGTTCTCCGACGGCTTCTCGAAAAACAGGGGAAGAAAGTGCGACAAATATCGGAGGAGTAACCGTACAGATGGGCCCCAACATCAATCAATACAAAAGTCTCGGCCTCGAGGACCTTTGTTCCATTGGTACCACCGTGGGGATTCGATGCATTCTCGTCGAATAGTACAATATCGAAGAATGGTTCCATTCCGGCTGCGCGTAGAGCATCATCTAGGGCTGCAGCAATTTGATTCTCGGTCAAACCCGGGTACAGACCTGTCAAGTATAGCAGTCAGCATTTAGTCTCCAGTCATTTTAGTGGGAGGAACAACATTTTCTCATCTGGCGCACCGCTTCAACAGTTCCTGTGTTAACGGCGCGAAGAATCTCAACCTCGCTTGCACTCTTGATCTGGCGAACCTCTTCAACGTGGCCTCCCAATCCAACAACATCGAATCCGACTGATGCCAGTCCTCTTTGGATGAAGTCACGCATTTCTTCATCGACCATCAACCGAGGGGTGCGAGTCAGATCGGGGAATACATCAGATTCCTGGAGAGTAGTATAGGGATCCCAGTGCTCTTCCCATGGCACAATCTGAATCGCCTCGGTAAATGGCATTCCAAGGAGTCGCGCTCGCTCAGCCTCAAATGACGGGCAGAGAAAAGTCGTGTTAGCCTTGACACTGCCTGCTTGATCATAAAACGGGCGCACAACCATCAGGAATGGGCGTTCTTCGGGCTATCTCATACTTTAGCAAAACTTATTCAAAAGGAGAGGTTAACTAATCGATGGCCTACGCACCTCCCATACTTCCCACTCAGGTTGGCTCACGTTGCCATAATACTTGAAAGTATAGCCCGGTTCGACTACAAATGCATCGACATCTTCAGCTACCAAGGCCTCAGCCAGTCGCTGACGGCGTTCCTCGAAATCATCAACGGTAATGGGCGATGCATTTCCCAGAAAGGGCAAACCGGTATTCAGAAGATTGTCAATTGCACACTGCTGGAAACCTTTCAAACGGTCGGAATCTTCATGGCCTCGGCAAGGTGCGAAATTGCCTCCGGCCTCAGGAAGAAGATGTAGATGCGACCGTGGGGTTTTGTATTGAGAGGAATAGTGATAGAATCCAGATGCTGCAAGACCAGCCCCCGCAAGCACCCACGCTGCATTGCGGAGAGAAAAGCGATTGTGTCTAGAGTTTCCAGGGATCGAGATCGCCCGGGCCTCCACGTCGGGTGCGTTCCAATCCGAATGTTTCGACATAACGCGTTCTCAATTGAATTGGATTTCTGTTGAATTTCGAGCCGCGCAGGGATCAGATCAGTTCAGTTCAGACGGGGAGTTTTGAATCACCTTTGCCCTCGCATTTCCATATGCCGGCGATGGCATTTGGATTTGGGCTCGGCTATCGCCCTCGTTTTGACCTTCCTCCCGCAGCGAGGGCGTTTCGTGCGGGTCCCACCCGGCAATTGCAAGGTTTCTTAGCGTAAACGCTAGGTTTACTCTGCGGGTTTCAACGATGTTGATTGATCGGAATCACGTTGGTTTAGTAACGGTTGTCAACCGGCCTGTTAGCTGCTTCCGACTTCCCTTGATTAACCCCCGCATACCAAAGCATGCCAGCTGATTGGCGCGTGATGGGCTCTAAGAAAGCATGGCAATCTCTAGAAAATCGGTTCTATACCCAAAAGGATGCAGGTCCATGCGGTGCAAGCCGATAGCGCATCGATATAAAGTGCGAGGTGCGGCCAATGTGAAAGGGAGGGAGATATGCGATTCAAACAATAAGAAAATGGTCGCGTATCCTACGCAGCAGCCCAGCATGAACGAGTTCACGATAGTCGAGAATGAGGAGAGTTCCGTTTCGCAGCCGACCTCACCATCGGATGAGAAGAAACAGGAGAAAGTAGTCTCGAGTCATGAAATTCCCACTGCGACACCCACTGCGACCGCCCATGCGACTGCCCAAGCCAACCCCAATGCACCCGAAGATGGCCCTGATCGAGGTTATTCGCGTATGTCAATGGTGATGATGGTTGTCTTCAGCGGCCTCGCCATTGGGTCAGACGGATTTAACGCCTCAATCATTGGTAACATCGAATTGTTGATGGGAGTCATTTACCCCAACTCACTGACCACCGAGGTCGCGGCGCGCCTATCGAATGCCTTCATGGTCGGCATGATCATTGGAATGCTGTCATTTGGATACATCTCCGATAGACTCGGTCGTAAGACAGGCGCCATCCTAACAACGACGATTTTGGTGCTGGGAATCGCTCTCAGTGCCGGTGCCAGTGGTCTCACAGAAGATGGCATGTTCTGGATGCTAATCATTGCACGTGGAATCGCCGGAGTGGGCGCAGGCGGGTAAGACATAAATTGAAACCTAGAGCCTGAGAGCTTCTCTCTTCGGGTTTCCCATGAAGCTCCTGTGCTAATGTGGTTGGTAGAGAATATCCCGTCGCAGGTGCCGGTGCCGCCGAAGCGACGGACGAGGCGCCGGGCATTCGCAAACGGCGTGGCTTTATCTTTGCGATGATTGGGGATCTTTCGGCTTCACTGGGATTTGCATTTGGGGCGCTTGTTCCATTGATTCTGCTGCTTTGTTTCCACCAGCAAGTCCGCCACTATGAGGCCGTCTGGCGCGTCTCCCTGGCCATGGGCGCCATTGCACCGCTATCGATCTTCTGGTTTCGCTATCGCATGGTGATGAGCACAGCATATCGCAAGAGCTCGATGAAAAAGCAACGGATCCCGTACTGGCTAGCCGTGAAGATGTATTGGCGACCGCTGCTGGGCGTGTGTGGTTCGTGGTTCATGTAAGTTGGAGTCGAGAAGCTCCACCAGCCGATCACAAGTGGATCTAGATATAGGTCTCTTTCAGTTATGGCATAACTCCAGCAAGAAGTGCTAATGACAGTTGTGTTATGCAGTTATAACTACATCTCTTACCCGTTCGGCCTCTTCTCGTCTACCATCGTCGGTCGCGTGAATCCATCCTCGTCGCTAGCGCTGACGATGGCATGGGGAACCTTGATCAACTGCTTCTACATCCCCGGAGCTTTCATCGGTGGCTACCTGTCTGATAAGATTGGTCGCCGACGCACCATGGCGCTGGGATTCATGCTTCAGGCAATTCTCGGCTTCATTTTAGGAGGAGCGCTAGGGCCAATTCAAACGAAGCTGCCCTTGTTCATCGTCCTTTATGGCATCTTCCTCACTCTTGGGGAGGTAGGCCCCGGCTCGACGATTGTTCTTACCGCCAGTGAAAGTTTTCCAACTGCCCTTCGTGGCCATGGAGTCGGTCTTGCTGCTGCTTGGAGCAAGGCAGGGGCAGCGATCGGCACGCAAGTTTTCAAGCCCATTCTGGCCAGTTGGGGGGGACGACAGTCTGCGAGGTACTCAGGCTGTCTTCCTAATCGGATCAGGATTTGCTGTGCTGGGCTCCCTTTTGGCTTGGTTCGTTCTCCAAGATAGCAACAAGATCCTGGACCATGGCGATCAAGAATGGAAGGATTATCTCATTGCCAACGGGTATACAAATATTGAGTGGGGTGTCGAAGAGCAGCATGAACTGCCAGCTGGGAAAGTTGTGGATTGAAATTTCAAGGCATTGGAGTAACTTTAGTCGAATCGAAACTTTCTCTATCGAAGACCTTTCGGTCCGTTAGATCTACAGAAGACGAGAACGCGAACAATAAAACTGTTAAAGAATTTCAAGGACGGAATTGACAGAATTAGCAAGGGCCTTCTATTAAATAGAATAAATACAAATTGTAGTCCCAGGTAGAGACAAACGAAAGGCAAACGAAGGACATGATCCAGCGGCCGACAAGTCCCCTCAGGCCACTACTGCATCAAGAAAACCGGATCAAAAGGGCCTTGCGTAAACTTTGCAGTGTACACATATGTACGTAGATTCACTGTATACTCCTCGCGGGCGATTGGCCACCTTAATTGTTGCACATGGTGGCTCCCTCGTTGGTCCCGACGATAACAAAGACACAAAGTGTCGAGCTTACAGCAGAGAGCCGAGGGCGACGCAGGAAAGAGCGACTCCGACGAGGTTGCCGTTCTAAAGATAATGTTAGCAGACTGATTTTTCTTTTCGTATTCGAGGGAGGCAATGGGGAACTCACTGCCTGGGCACCGTCGTTCTGGCAGCAGGCAATGTTCTGCTTGCACTTCTGCTCAACGAGCTGGTCGACACCGCCACCAACAACGTTCAGAACAGGAACTGGAGTCGCATGATTTAGTAAATGTTTGGAATAATATCACACAGAGATTGATGAATAGACTTACCGTTGGCACTGATGTCGTTGCACTGGCCGAAGAGACCAAGACCGTCACCACCGGGGCCACCACCCAGAGCAGTCTGGAGAACACCGGCCAGAGGGCCAGTGTTGGCAGTGGTGATGTCGTGGGTGTAGGTGGCCTTGTTGCAGCAGTTGACCTTGGCGTCGTTGCCGCACTTGGCCTGAGCCTGCTGGATGGTGGTCTCCTTCTTGACAGGGAACTGAACGTTGCTGTTACCTCCACCGACACCATCACCAGAGCCCTCGGCACCGGTGGAGTGAGGCATGGCCAGAGCGGCGGCAGCGAAGACAAGAGCGGTGGCGAAGAACTTCATTTTGATTGTGTAGGGTGTTTTGGTCGCGAGGGGCGGATCAAAGAAAGAATGAAGAGAAGAGTGAGAGTGGAAAGACGAGGTTATTCAGAAGAGTGAATGAAGCTGATGATGGAAAGAAAATTGAGACCGGATTCTTCAATGACTTTATACCTTTTCATCTCTTGCCCGACCTCTTCATTTTCTCCTTCCTGGATGCAAAGTTCGAGTAGTCCATAGCATCTTGCATGCTCTACTCTGTTGGAAATCAATAGATCCGTCGACCCTGTTGGTGGCGATCGTGGATGATTGCTTCTTCTCAGCGCACGAACTCTGTCCAACGACTCTCATCGGGACTTTTTTTCTCGCTTGGCACTGCAGCCTTGAGTGCCTTGGTGTGATACATGTTCAACCTGAGAGTTACCCTGCAGGAACATGTCCCAGTTGTCCCTGTCGATCGACGTCCAAATGCTGTTCAGAGAGGTCTCGAATGGATGAACCATCCTCCTACTCGTACTCCGTAAACACGAGCGGTGTCAGAAGTTACACAAGTCGGCGGCTAGTGAATGTGGCTGCAGGTCTCTCCACTCAAAATTAAGATCTGCCGAGCTGCAAATAGTATTTGCTTTTCCCTATGCAGGTCGCGTTCGCAGTTATGTTCCCCCGGAGTGATCGGCGTTGATATATGATGTGTCAAGTCAACAGATCTGGGGGCGGCTGTTGCTGCTGTTCCTGCTTTCGCCATTTCCCCAGAGTATTTCAACTTGCTGAGGTCGTTTTTTTTTTGAGTTCGGTCCGGACCTTAAACTGGAGATGATGGAGATCTCGATCACTTCATCCATAACGGACTGTAGAGTAGTATGTTTCTCGACTTGAGAGCTTTTTGAATGACCACCATCGAACCTCAACTTGTTCGCCCCATCCAATTTGGAATCAATAACCCCATGCAGGGGTTTGCAGTTTCCCCTTTTCCACCTGCGTGACGCAGGGTCAATTCCGGGCATCGGAAGCGCTGTCCCCCTTTCAAAGCAAGTTTTTTGGTATTTTTTGTCAAAGCCGATCTGTCGATCTTGGGAATTCAGGACGAGTAACCCAAATTGACCTGGCGAATCATACGGTCGACAATACGGCACGCCGTGATATTGCTTTTGTCAAAGGGCTCGTAGAATTCAAAGGCACGCTCTAATGTAGGTCTAAACAGGAAAATCTGAACAAGAATCAACAGATTCTTGATCCAATATGCTCATCACACGTCACTCATCACAAAACCCGCGGCACTAGGCATGTTGAGCTGTCTCACCGACCGTCGCTACCATGCGAAGGACTCCTCTACGTACTTGATCGACTGGTAGCCTTGCCGCATCGCGAGATGGGTTGCGGCGCGAGCCTCGTCGGCCATTCCTGCCGGTCCACACACGAGAATTGCCAGCGTGGAGCCGGCTGCAGAGGCATCACAAGCCCGGCTCATGATCAAAGACTGGATATGGGGACGACCAGTGCTGATCCCGCACCCCAAACCTGCAAGTTCACTAACAAGAGGCACTGCAGAGGCTCGAGTCGCGTAGAAAGAGGCTTGGAAGTCTTCACGGCCCAAAGCAGGCCAAAGCTCTCGGGAGGCAACCTCGTGGAGAAATGCTGTTTGTCGGGCGGTCCAGACCAATTCCATATCTCGTATTTGAGTTTTCTCCTCTGAGATATCGCCTCCACCTGCTGAGCGCCGGATGTGATCTTGGATATACGGGACCGCAGATGCGATCCCTGTCCCACCAACAATCAAGAGCACAGACTCATATCTCCACAGCGGGAAGTTATGTCCGTATGGCCCTTCCAGGAGGATCGTGGTATCTGCGAACTGACCCTTTGAGCGAAGGCACTTCCGTCGCAACTTATGTGTCCATCCATCATAAGGTCGAATCCAAAAAATTAAATTCAGCCCCGAGCCATCTGCTTTCTCTGCAGTTTCCTCTAATTCATCTTGATTTCCCTCCATGGTCGGATTTCCAGACAACAGTGGGAGTTGAGAGACATCTAGCACCCCGTCTTGTTTACCGGAGGCCGTCGCAAGTAATCTGTCGAATCTGTGGTCATGAGACCATGCTCCAACGGTGAAAGGATGGTTCTCCCAGCCCAGGAGCTGCAATGGCTGATAAAGAAAATAATAGTCGCCGGGCTTAGGCTGCAACATCTTCGTCCCCGGCGTGACTTCAAGTCGAATCACATCGGCGTCTTGATCATAGGACATACGACTTCGAGTCGTCTGGATTTTGTTTCGACCGGTAACACTGATATGCATGTTGCAATAGACAAGTCTGGTGATCCTTAGACCTCGATCAAGAACCCATACTCCAACGGAGGGCCAAAGATACTGCCAGTATTCATGTCCTTCAAATACGATGGAGTGGCTATCAAGGATTAGCAAGAATTCGAGGTAGTAAGTCAACTATCTCTGGCAACTTACTAAAAGCACCCAACGAGTGTTATCACGGATAACAGGATGTGGGTGATCAGAAATATCTCGTAAGTGGCGAATCGAATACGGTCAAGTGAGGTTATCAGCAATAAAATCATCACGACGAAAGCCTGACATTATCAGTATCTACCAGGTCAAAAATGAATGAATCGAGATAGTATCCTACCAAAACACCCCAGAGCACATAGGCCTTGGACAATCCTTTCCAAAGCTTATTTGCTACATCGCATGCACTGCTTAGCATTCACTCCAGATCACAACGACGAGCAGCATGCATCGGGACGGTCCGCCACTTACCTCGAATGTATATCACAACATAGATTATGGAGTGTGCTACCCCTTGCAGCGTCGCAACCCGGGCCACATGGCGATGGTAGATATTGAATGTTGCAAAGCTCCACCCGGTAGCCCACATGAGGATGTTATTGCGCCCTCCGAAGAGCCACAGTAAAGGGAAATTGACGAACGACATGACACCTGTTCGATCTGCAGAGTACCGAAGAATCTGGTCGGTCGGGTTTGGCCAACTAGATTTGATTAGTGCCCGCTATAATCGCAAAGAATGATGGTTCACCACACGTACTACATGTTTCCGGGAAAGGTTCGGTAGCCGACTACACTCAGCACCGTACTCAGAAGCCAAAAGCCGGCCACCACGAGTGCCTCTGCTCGAGTTGTATATGTAAACCCAAGCAATTTCCGTCTCCCGCCGGGTAAGGGAGCTGGGGTGATCAGGTGTGTTTGCACCCAGTGTGCTGCATTTCCCATCCATGGTATGGTATACCTGGTAGCTGTCGTGGGGTAGGTATTGGACTCTACTTCGTGTTCCGGTCGGGCCATGCGAGAGCAGATCATGCGACTGTAAAAGCGAGATGCCATGCCTAGGAACAAGATTCCAGCCCAATAGGCATAACCGATGTATCTATCCATCGGACATCAGTCTGGCGCTTGGTTGAGGTTTGTTTTGGAAAACGTTGGATGCTGATGAACTTAACTTACCCAAATGCATGATGGGACCAAGATTCATATTGCCACGAATCCTACGCAGGGTAAGTGATCACCCGGTTAGCTTCGTTGCATATATAAATGATTAGTTCAATCGGGAGCGTACTATTGTGTTAAACATCACGTTGAAATATGAAGCAGAAATAAAAACCGGCATCTCCACCGGGTCACCGCGAGAGAGTTCAAGGTAATCAACTGTGCGCATATTTCGGATAGCCTCTTCAGTCAAGTTCTCGGCGACGGCGTCTCGAGGTAGTAGTTCGACGTGGCCGAACTCTTCACAGAAGAATGCCAGCTGCGCTAAACCTGCTGCACGCTCACTGTCGCGACAGTAGGTCTCCGAGGCTGCATATATAGATGCCACTTTGAGAGGATGTTGACATCGGGTGTCCCACAAGCCACCTGCAGGGGTTCCCGTAAAGGTGATGTAGTTGTATGAGGAATAAACGGCGGTCACGCATCGTTCCTCTTGCGGCAGGCCACTACCCCAGGTCGATTGGGTAGCCAGTGCGATGACCAGCCATCGAAGACGCAGCATGGGTGCTTTCCGTGTGGATTGACGGACCGGGGGCTCGGAGAAGATGAGGAGAAAAGGCGGAGGGCCGATGATCGCACTCTCCGACCGGGCGAGACCCACCAGGGGACGAGGGAAAAATCTGTGGACAGTCTGGTTCCAGCGGAACGCATCGGACAGATAGAAAGGGAGATTTCCGGGGTAGCAGGGTATCTACCACCAAGATATCTCGTGTAAGGAGTCAAGAAAAGGTCAGCAGTTAAGATTGAAAGCAGCGAGTCGGAGTAAAGGATGGTACAGGCCAGGCACATGATCTTATCAGATCAGATCATCGGGCACGTGATGCAACACGTGGAGTCAGCAGAGCACTGGCATCTGAAAAGTGTTCAAGGAACTCTGTATAGATATTGATGGTTATTTCCAGGTTTCTTATTCGATTTTTCATCTTCCATGGCTGTACTGTTGTCAAAAGAGAGGGATATTTGCGTTTATGGTCTGAACTAAGGTGCAGTCACGGGATCCGGCAAAGTATATATATCTCTCCCCAAAATATGGACCACCTTGATTATGTACATATCCCCCATCATTCATGTCGGAGCAAAATAACATTGGGAAAACCTTGGAAATGACAATGACCTCTTCAGAACATCGGGGGTGAAACTCCAGATATTCCCAACGCTCAGTAGAAACTTGAAGCTACATGGACTCAAAAGGCTAGTTATTCTACAAACAGCGTGGACTTGAACCCAACAGCGACCGTGGAATTAATGACTAGTAATAACATTAAAAAGTACTAGTAACTTCTACTGATGTAAGCATAAGAGCAAGACCCTTTTCTTTCCCTCCTTTGTTCTCCACTTTTTCCACCCCACGATTGCAGCACGTCTCCACGCGGTTGTTTCAGCCCGAGGGCGCGCATGAAAACCATCAGAATAACAATAGTGATCATAATCCGATTTTTTCTCCTTTGGATAGCGTCAGATGCGGACAACCCTTCCAGTCGCAAGTATTCTACCGTCGACCTGAGTTAGCAAAGTTCTACTAGTAGAAATGGACAACATCCATGAACGCATGACACGTAACGCGTACGAATAACGCGTCAAGTGTACGAGGAGTAGCGGTGGAATATTTACATACCATGTACACATCGGTTCCCCACCATTTGAAGTGCTTGCTCGCCCCTGTGAAAAATATAGTCAGGAAGATCAGCACACCAGCGACACTGACGGATGAATCCAATGCCGAGCTCAGAACAAAGTTGTACTTGCTCCACCAGGCATGGAGGCGCTTTCGAATGAACCAGCTAAATGTCAGGCCGACGATCGCCCAGCTGCCGTAGTTCATTCCAGTCGCCGGAGGCAGGAAATTTAAACCACCGAGGAACAGTGGAATATGAACCCGTTTCCACATCGAGTTGGGGTATCGGCGACTTAGAATGTACACCGGGATCGGGAGAATGGCGCCGATGAGGAAGAAATACAACAGAGAAGAGTAACCGATTTCACTCCGGAAATAGCGACGTGGCCCGATTGCGCCCCAGATCAGGGAAGTGTTGAAGTGCGTTTTGGAGAATGGGCAAGTGAATCCATTGGGGGCGGCACTGGTGCAGACGCCCTCGATGTGATGCAGAGCCCAGTTCAGAACACCCAAAGAGGACAGCGTGCCGATGACCATTCCCACACACTGCACAAGGAAGAGCTTACGCTGAGGGATCTGCAAGAAAAATCAGCCAGGCTTTCAAAAGAACACGTAATTAGGACCATAGTCTTACGTGGGAGTAATAGGCGAGCTTCATGTCCTGTGCGAACCATAGTCCCTTGATGGTCGTGATATAGCCAATATCGAAGAACCAGATATTTGCTAGAACACTGCCCTCAAAGACGAATCCAGCGACGATGCGACAAAAAATGTCAATGTTGATTTTGGTATTGGCCGTCCCGTAGACAAGGGCAAGCTAGAAAAAAAAAAACATGTCAGATTTCCGACCGCCGTATATGAAAGAAATGGAAACGTCCGAAGTGAGACGAACCGGAGGGAAGAAAACCAGAGCGATCGCTAGAGCCAGCAAAACTCCATACCACCTGAGCCCAACATTCCAGTATTCAACTGCGAAGATCGCCATAAAGAGGGCAACGACGCAGGCAATCATGTACCACCACATCGGAACTTCTGGTGCTCCTGTTTCATCGTCATTGACGGTTTTCGGTCGCCCGGGAAGTGATTCCATCACAACACTGGGGATTCGTCTCGCTGCCTCCACCATGACATGGCGATGGTTCAGGGCGACCCAGACTAGGAGGGCAGTGAGAGTGGCAAATGACAGACCAAACATGTTCAGAGCATAGGTGATCGGCATGTAGACCTAGAGATGGATCATGAGGTAATGAGTAATTTGGCGCCATGCGAACAAGAGTGAGAGCTAATTTTAGCTTACCGGCGAATATGCGAGATACTTGGCCACATCCAACCTATAAGTCGAGGCAGCATTCACGATCTTGGATACCTTGTAGGTGGCTCCGGTGTTATCGAAGACTATTTGATAGCGTGTCAGTGTTTCTGATTGTTCAGGGCTGAGGGTTGGGTGTTAAACATCGTGGAGGACACTCACCATTGGAGCTTTGGAACGGCAGATAACCTGTGTTCCACACATTGGTGTAGTAACAAGCAACAGCCACGATCCAGATCCAAAACACGAGGGATCCGAAAACATTAAGGATTGCCCACGAGGGAACTAGCAGGGGAGATCCTACGTAGGAGATTTGGCTCCCTGAATCTAGGTAAGCAGTTTACTGAAAATGGAAATGAAGAAGGGGCCCATACAGTCAAATGTGATAGGAATGAGACCCATGCCGGAGCTCATCCCGAATACCTGATTCACGACGGTATTGTGTGGCGTGATCCAGCAAGGAAAATTGAAATAACTCAGTGCCGGAAAAATAAAGTCGGGGAACCAGTACCAGCAGAAAGATCCGGCACAAACAATCGAAAAGAAGGCGTATCGGGATATTTTCCAGGTATTGAAGCTGTGATCGAGTCAGCTACGAAGGGATTGAAGGGGTGATTTGGGAGCGAACCTCGTTTCGCCGCGAGAAACATTATGCAAAGTGGTTGTGAGAGCTGTTACACCGAGCACACCAGGCCAAATGAGCTCCCTGGGAATGACGACTATGGATCGGAATAGGCCAGCAAGGCAGAAACCAATTAGCAAGGTGGATAAAGTGATGAGAATCTGGAAACCCCAGCCGGCGTTGTAGCCGTAGAACTTCTCCTGTTCCACCAAGACGTCGGCGCCGAGACGAACGTAGATACTCAGGTTCGACATGACATAGATCAAAGTGTGTTCCTAAGAAGTGGGATTTATGAGAACTGGGGTAGTATCTCCCCAAAGGGTTGGTAAACCGGATCGCATACCTTGGTACTGAAATGTCCCGGGTTGAGACTGAAAGACCAAGCCCGCAAGGGCACATCCCAGGCGGGCACAGTCTTCTCCCACAGCTTTCCCAAAGGGTAGGCCAAAAGAAGCACGGCATTTGCGGAAACGGTCAGAGATGGCTGTCGTAGGGTGTAGAGGGTGTTGAGGCCACTTGCAACGATGCAGAAGCCAATGGCAAGCACCCACATGCGAAGGGTCAAAACATTGTCAGTGTTATCATCCTGGGTGAGGTCGATACCAGCGGCACGGAGGATATCGCCTTCGGAGTCAGTGTCTGTTGGAAGGAAGTCAGTAATCATATATTTCCCAAGATTTTTTTTTCTCTTTCTTTTTTGCAGGGTGAGGAGAAAGCACTGAAAACTGACCGCTATTATCCGATTGAGGAGGAGACTCGAGGTCTTTCTCTTTCTCATTGATGTCAATATCCTTCACCTCCGCCATAGTGCTGGTACTGGGGTGATTGAGAGGGATTGGAAAAAGAAAGAAAGGATAAAGGTGGAAGGTAGAAGGGAGAGATGCATCAGATAAAAAAGGGCGGGCATCAGATAAGATCATCCGATCCCGTGGCCAACCTTACCCTCACGCCTGCCTACCTTAGGGTAACTAGGGTACTACCATCAAGCGGTCACGGCGCGATAATCTGATTTCGGCCAAAATCAAAATCAAAAATCAAATGAACATAGTAATTTTGCCAAGAGAATCAGCCCTACAAGGCAGAAGTGGGGCGACTGGGTCCTTTTTTGGGTGTCTGCCTGGTTGTGGTGAAACCGGGAAGTCTGGATGGAGCCCTACAAACCCTGGGATGAGATGTTGGATATCCCCGGAGAGAGAGATGCAACTCAACAAAGTCTAATAATATGGTGAGATTGTAACAGTTCTGTCATTCAAATCGTTTATATCATAATGCTTTACTTGATTCCATTTGGAGGTTGGAGACCTGAAAGGAATAGGAAGAGATCAGAGCAAACAAAGGGTTCAGGAGGATTCTGCTCGTCTCCACCACGGTGGATATTGGAGGCATGACTTTCCCGAAAGACTTGCTCAACACTGTCCATATCGAGGCCTCTCTCTGTCAAGACTGTCGTGAGGCATGCGAGACCCCCACATCGGTCGCTGTTACACTCCTTGGCATGTTGTCTGTCCTTCTATCTTGAGACAGATAGCCGAGGGGAGATGGAACACAGCATGACATGTTCCATGTACGGTTATTCCGCAATCCGTATAAAGGTTCATTTCAAGGGCCAAGCCACGGAGAGCCCGACAGAATGCTTAGTACCCCTGACCTGGGTCTTGATGCTGGGCAAGGAGATCCTCTTCTTCAACCGAAACCAGCACCTTGACTCCCCATCCATCTCGACCTCCAATCCAATTCTTGCGCTTGCCGACCTTCTCGATCTTCTGGACATCGTGTTCAAGTTCTTCGCGGAGATGGGTGGGGTCGTACTCGGCCTTTTGAATGGCAATCGTCAGTTTCAAGCCATCCTTTTTGCCTTTCTTGCCTAGACCGGTCGCCCAGCGGGCCGATGGAACAATACGCGGCTTGAAGGTGTCAATGGTGCCAATCGGATACAGCTGGGCGAGAACAAGCCCCAGCTTCCCAAGATAGCGGGTCCACCAGACCTCCTCGGGTGTGAGGATGCCTTGGAGATGGGATTTGAAATCCACATCGCGTGGTGGGAGTTCTCCACCGTACCGCTCCTGGAGGACCAGGGCCAAAAGGGCACGATGGGCATGAGGGATTCCGTGCGTAGAGGCCAAGATTCCCGTGCTGGTACTGTAAAGAGCTGCACTGGAGGAAAGTTCCTTGGCCATCGTGGCATGGAAATATAGGGAATTAGCAAACGCCTGAACTAGATGAACCGTGATTGATGATGGAACTGATCGGCCTGCGGACGGCCGGGGCAGCGCAGCCAGGATCAGGGCAGCAATGGCCTGAGCCGACGCGGGCGAATAGCGAGCGGTAGCGACCTCCAACGGATCTTGTTGACGGACGACGGGGAGCATATTGCGGAATAAAACTCCTTCGCGAACACCACCTTGGCAGAAATGCGCCTCCTTGATTCCATACGGTAACGACTCGGCCAGGGTTTTCACGAGGAATGCGACCGATGGGACTTGCTTGCGGCGTCGATCAGACACGCGGAAGATCTCGTGCGCGGTCCGAGCCACCTCTTTCAAAGTCTCGGTATCCTCAAAGTCTTTTTTCTTGGCAGAGTATCCATTGATGATCGAGATCGGATATCTTTGACCCCGAGTTTGATGGAGATATAAGAGGAGATAACCCCAGCCGCGGAATCCACCACCCGACAGATAGAGAGGGAACCCACCATGATCGCGGGCATTTTGACGCAGCCCCTCGGGGATTTGTAGAGCTTCGAATGCGGTACGAAAGTTGTCGGCCATCTCTTGACGAAACTGTTCCTTGGCCTTCTTGGCTTCACTTTTGCTCTTGCCGCGTTTTAAATCGGCCAGTTTCTGAGTCAAAGCAGCAGCTCCATAAGGAAAGCTCACTGATCCCTTGGGGCTGATCTGGACCTCACCAGCGTGGGAAATGATCCATGTCATTTGCATGCTTCCACCCCCGAGATCTAACGCAAGGCCCTTTACATCAGAGAAACTGCTTGCGATACCCCATGCTCCCACGATTCCTTCCTCCTCCTTCCGGAGTAACTCCACCTTGACTCCTGTGGTATCGCGGATGGCGCTTGTGAACTGGGCGGAGTTGATGGCAGTTCGAGTCGCCTCAGTTGCGATTAGTCGGATGTTCGTGGCGGGCACCCCGATTTCCACGCAGATTATCTGGAAGCGAAGAATGGCGCTGACCACACGATCGATCACGGATGTAGGTATGGGGATGCGATTGCCGGTATCCGGGTCAATTTGTGCCTCGTACAGCGAGATATTCACGCGGTGGAAATGAACAGTAGGGATGACTCGAGTGGTCGGTGCTGTGAGATCGGAGATGGAGCATCGGATGCCATTACTGTAGATTCCAAGTTAGTTTCCAACAGAGGGAAATTGGGGAAGAAAGCAGAGAAGGGGCCTTTCCATGCAAGATTGAAATTTACCTGCCCAGATCAACGACAGCATGCAGGTGGATATTGGGGTCGGGCGAGGAGAGCGAGGTCTGCTGGGCCTCCAAGGAGCCAACACGGGGTGGCTGGTTTCCGCCGCCCATTTCGAGTGCACAAGTCAAATTCGAATTCAAATTTTGTACAAAGATTAATGGTATACAAAAAGAGGAGAGCCGAGCGTGAGAACTGAGGTTGAGGTTGCACAGTTCACGTTTTCGTGTAACTTCGAAAGCTCCGCGGGGTTGGTGACATCACTCACGGGACTGGGTTTGCGGCCTGAGGTGTCAATATAGTATAAACGGGCATTACTAGTCTAGGATAGTCTAATATGAAAAGCGCATAGCTCTGAACGGAGTAAATAGATTCATTGATCACAAAATGTTTCTGTTCTAATCAGCCCTGGAGTGATATCGTATGTATTCGAGGGGATGACCAACTTGAAAAGGTCATCAGTTCATATTGTTTAGTCTATACTATAGCGAAATTATCCAATGGGACTGTTGAGAGTCCTTGGATGATCATTCAAAGACTTTTCCACTCAAAATATCTGTTCGCGATCCCAGGTGGAACAGTGGAATATGCTCAACTGGAGCAGGGACGGTCACCATCTGACCACCGGAATAGGTCTCGTTTGTCCACCAATAAGTCCAGGGCCTTGTATTATTCCCAGCAGTCCGAGGCAGATATACAGGCCACTCAGTCATATTAGGAAGCGTGACGGGCGTGACGAGGAGTCGCGGTCCAAACATGTATTGCTGTGTGGTCACATTGTGGTTCTGCCGCGTCCACTCGGCTACTTGAGCATCTGAAGTCTGAAAGTCCATGTAAAGTGGCCGAAGAATCATGCGGCCGGTGTGATGGAGTTGAGAGAAGAGTTCCTGAACATATTCAGCTAGCTGGTAGCGGAGATGAATGTATGACACGATGATGGGCGTGTTTGTTTCTCCGTAGGACCATGGCTCATTGTCGCACGTATAGCCACTCTGTACATCGCAAGCGCGAGACCCGTGGGTGCGCATGAAAGGCAGGAAAGTAGTCCATTGAAGCCATCGGACATAAAGCTCACGATACTCCGGACGGTCAATATTGGCACTCCATGAGACGGTGGGATCAGCCTGGAAGCCACCGGCATCTAGAGTCCACCAGCCCCAGCCAGTGGCAGCGGCAGAGAGACCACTGGCAATCTGGGCACCGAGGGTTTCCCAGACCGCTGTCGTGTCACCAGACCAAATCATACTGCAGAATCTCTGGGATCCAATATAACCGGAGCGACTGAGAGATAAATAGTCACAAGGGCTTCCTATCTCCGTTGAGGATTCATTACGGAACCCTTCTTCGATAGCCTGTTGATGGGCCCAGGGATAGAGTTTCCCAATGCTGCTTTGAGTCCCTGCAGCATACAAGGCATTTGGCATCGGGAAGGGGATCGATTCAATGTAATCGCTCTGCCCGTTATTTTGGTATGCCTCACCAAGTGCCCCACCATCAGCTTGATCAATCCAAAAGTTCTTGATCCCTTTGTCAAAGTAGTTCTGCTTCAGAGTTTTCCATAGAAACTGCCGAGCGCCTGGGTTTGTAGAGTCGTAATTGCGAATATAGGATCCATTCCACGAGTCGGTTGTCCCTGGACCCGACCGAGTGGCAGAGAGGTATCCTTGAGCCATCATTTCGAGATAGTTGACACTATCATCTGCCACGCTCGGCCAAAGAGATGCCATCATCTCCGCATTGGTCAGTTCCTTCACCTTCTGTGCCATTTCATCAACACGTGGCCACAGCCTTGGATCAAGACCCCAGTCCCCCTGGTGAGCCCAGGACTGGTAGTCGATAACGATCAAGGAGACTGGGATTTGTCTTTTATGGAACTGCTCGGCTAGTTGAACCACCTCAGTCTGGTTTTCATACCGCAATTTGGATTGTATATAGCCCAGTGACCAGCTTGGTGGTTTGGGTGCACGACCAGTGAGGGCCGACAGGCGTCGTTGGAGTGTATCGTAGTCACCCGGTGCTGCGGCGACAATGAAATAGTCAACCGCAGTAGCAGAGTCCGTGGTGAATCTATTGCGTAGCTGTCCGAACTCCATACGACCCGTCGAGGCCATGTTCCACACAAAACCGTAGCCCTTGTTACTCATAAACATCGGAGTGGGAATGTGAGTGTTGAAGTTGACTAGGTCAATTACCATGCCCTTTTTATTGACAAGGTGATCTTGCTGGGTGCCTGTTCCATAGATCTGCTCATCAGGAGTCGCGCTGAAAGAGAACTCAGCCGCAAATTCACCCCCCGGTCCGTTCCAGGAATAATAGCGTGGATTGATTGATTTGAGCGGTGCATATTCGTTCGTGAGTAATGTTTCAGACCCATTGACCTCGACACGGTAGAAAGCCAAGCGATAGCCACCTGGGCTACCTCCCCAGCCAGAAGTGCGTACGATCATGTTTCCATTGCGTAGCTCCTCGGACCGGTTGCCAAGGAACGCGGTATCGAAACTCATTCCATGTGCCTCACTTTCAGGTCCCTCAAGGGGAGGATCATAAACAAATCCAATTTCCTGGCCGGTTGGGGGGGCGAAATGGCCACGCTCGTACCCGGAAGCCATCGTAACCGAACGGTTGAACAAGGACTGTCTCGAATCCATGTTGCATTCGAAAACCTTTCGAGGTCGGCCGATAGTAGTTATGCTCGGTCGCCACAGCCGTGGTGCCCCCAAGAGCAAGTGCAAGAAAAGATAAACGCATTGCTGTGCCGTTTGCCCAGTGACTGCTTTATTATCTAAAATGTCAAACTACGAAAGCGAGCCGTTTTTTAGGTGCCTCTGAGATAATTTAGCCTAAATGTATCGGTTATAACACACCCCCAACCCCGCCAGAGACGTCACTAGAGATTGATCGACATATTAAGTACTATCCTCCCGAGATTTGATAGCGGGGAATTCGGAGACGCACAGGTCGAATGATGCATGCGGGGACATGAGGACCAAACGATGCCGAAAGTGGGGTGATCGTCACTAGATTGTTCCGTAGTGTCTGAGCGTAGGATGATCCTACCCTAGTTGATCCTGATAACTAGCGTGGGGGCTACTAACCGAGAGTCGGACCATGACTACTACTAGCAAGCGATGGATGTGAGAAAAATTGGACGGGTGGTGATTGATCGTGTAATACAAAGATTCCCTACAAGGCATGAACGACATACATCTTGTTCGCAACAAGACTATGTATCCATGGTGGAGGGTACCAGTGCTTTTATAACCTAGAAGATATTTGAGATCGATTGTTTCGAATTTGTAACTATTTCATGCTGACTGCAATATACTGCACTCGGGCGGGCTATTCGGAAGTTCAGTCCACCTCGAGCCTCAATGCATCATACTGTACGTAGACAGTACCAGGAAGGATTGCAGTCTCGGTATCGGTAGCGTTATAAGGCAAATGAAGTCGCAAGACATTCTTGCCCTCATGTAGCCATGATGCTGGGAATGTCATCCGAGAACTGATTTGATAGCAACTCACAGCAGATCGGACAATGCAGCTACTAGACTGGTTGAAACCAATTGTCATGACCAGAGGATCGTTGCCTTCGTTTATGAAGCTCTCGAGAGATAAATTGGTGTACGGTTCACTGGCGTTGTAGACATCAGTGTTGCCTGCAGCCGTCTTTGCACCGGCCAGTTGAACGGTAAGTGTGGCCGTTTTCTTTTGGTGCAATTGTTTCTTATTCATGGAGAAGTTGATGGTCCAATCATTGGTCGAATCGTACTCGACATGTGAATTAGATGGAGTGGGACCAAAAACAGACCAGTGCACGGTGTTGAAGTCCATGGCCGGGTCACTGGATCCAATGGTATAATTGATGCCCTGAGGAAAGTCGGCCGTCCAATCGTACGCTCCCCAATAGATGAGATATTCCGGTGGGCTTAGCGGATGTGTTGAGTCTCTCTTCTGCCCGTGTCGGAATTCACCCGATGACTTATCGGGGATGCCCAATCGCCAAACTTCCTTGCCTGCAGACTCTTGCTTCCAGGTGTCTCGGACTGTGGTCTTCCTTCCAGCACGTACCGTGATATCCTCCTTCACAAAATCGCCGAAGATTCCCTCCGCATAAATGGTCAATCGATAGCTTCCTTCCTTGATTCGGTCTATATTAAAGCTTCCATCGGATGTGACGTCGGCCCAGTATTGATATGCGCTCGGAGCAGCACTGTTGTCTTGAAAGTAATATCCATTGGCTGTGAGAACGGCAATAGGACGAGCCGCAGATTTCGGAAGCGTCACCTTCCCTTTCAAGCTGCCTCTTCTTCCGGAAGGAATGTATCCAACAACGTGCTTTGCAATCGAATCATAAAACGCAGCATTCCATTGTGGACTTGCCAAAGCCTCTGCCTCTGCCCGGAGCTTTTCAAGAGAGGTGGAGTCTTTGCCTCCATTGAAGAGATAATATTGGGGTCCAAATGTCCGATCAAAGCCATTGGTGATATTTGGAGTCCCTTCTCCGTGATGGTTGGAGACGAGATAGTTATAGACAATTCCGTCAACAGTTAAATCCGAGTGAATGGGGCCCTATTTATATCGTTAATGCATTGAGAAAGCTTTCATGAACAAGTACTGTACCCCGTAGTATGTATCCTACCAAGTATTAATTAGCTGTAATGCCATAGCCCGACATGAATCTAATGCACCTACCTTGGTATTCATTACAAGCCATGCTCCGTATGTGATTCCGTTAGATGTAGAACCATCAGCGTAAAGACCGTGGACGCTGTTGTTTCTCCAATCTATAGTAGGGGAATGTTTAGAGTTGCCAAGGTCACCAAAGTATGATGAGAGTACGCACGGTTGGAAAATGTGTATTTGGTGAAGTAATCCGAGAACTGCGTGTAGTAGGGATCGGAGGGCGTATTGTTGAATGTCCAAGTCGCATCCTGAACTACAATTTCGTTGGAGATTGCATCTTTGCTGGGTAACGGCGCAGTCTGAACCTCGCTCGATGTGAGATGTGTCCAGAGATTGGTATTTGGGCGAAATAGTGTTCGAAACTCCTGCAGATTGCGAAGATACGGCGTGCTTTCGTTATAATAGGAAAGCCGACTAAACATATGCAAGCCTGTTTCTCCCTCACGAAGAAACCAATACTGTTGGAATTGTTGACCAGTGGGTGTGTATGTATCTGTTAAGATCAGACCTCCATATTTAGTCCCTGTTGAGTCAACTCCTTCCACAGCCTTCGTAATAGGGGCTGTTGAACCGGCTGTGTAAAATCCAGAAGGGATGCAGTAGCAATCAAGATACGGCCCGACTCCCGTGGACCCCGATTTTGGACCCAGCAAGTCCTTTCCATCGAGGGTCAAATCCACAATTTGGCCAGCAGTTCTGTCAAGAACTGCTGTTAGGCGATTGTTCTCAAGTGTGATTGATGTCTCATTCTGTACAATATGGAGCGTTGCAGAGGCGAGCGTGAACCATGTGGCACTGAAGAGAAAAAGCGCTAACATTGTGAACGAAGTTATATCCGATGCTCTCAGCAATCATCCCAGAGCTTCCAAGACTTCCTGGCTTTGAATTTATTGATAAGTTCCTCCGATTTTGCCGGATCCCAATAGCCCGAATATCGTCGCTAGCTTCGAAGAAATGGAAGCGCCAAGGGCCGACCGGAGGCATTGAGTCAAGATAGATCTATAAGTCCACCAATGGGCTTCACCTTCTGCGGATTAAAATGCGGAGGTGGATACCCCTGAGCGGGCGGGGGTGTTTTGTCGCGGGGAAACGGGATATTTTGCTCGGCCATCGCTGTCCCGATATTGCTTCCTTTTGATGACAACGATTGGGAATACTCGTATCACCCTGAAAATGCGTCGCGATACGCTTCAAAGCAGAATCGTTTAAGGGAACGTCCAGTTTTTCTTTTTTCTTTTTTCACTTGGTGTAAAGGAGAAAAAACGAGGCAAACCAAAAGGCAAACAAAATGTCGCGTCATCAGGAGATCCAGGAGATCCGCCAAAATCGACATCCGCGAAGAGAGACTTGGATCGATTAATGACCAAACATAGACATCAATATCATCATGACATATGATTTCTTCGAACTGCAAAATCAGGTCTTTCGGAGTGGTTTAATCCCAAACTAACACGCACACGTCAATATCGGAATGTAGAGCATGGAAACGGGAGAGCTTCACACCTCACGCTTTTGTTCCTGCAGGCTCGAAAGTCACAAGAAGGAATTAGTTCCTACAAGCACTGCAAGTAACGACTCAAAAGTTGAGTCAAAACTATTTCTATGCTCCGAATCGGTTTCTGCGAATCTCCTAGCGCTTGTCACGGTCGCGTCGGATCATATCCCGAACCGCGCCCGGGTGACGCTCCGGCTCACTGGCATCCCGAGCAAGGTAACCTCGGGATGAAAAGTAGATCAACAGAGATTTGACGGATACGGCATTTGTGGTAAGGAAGACACGGCATTTAAAATTGTGGACTCGAGCTTTATCCGCCGGGAAACCAGGTCATCAACAAGGCCTCTACCCCAATCAACCGCAAGAAATGAAAAGTGCGGTGTCAATCCGCGGAGTCCCACACCCCATACATACCCCATCGAACTTGCCCCATGGGGACGGGGGGTTGGATGAATCCACTGCACAGATGACTTTGGTTTAAAAGCGGCTGAGGACCTTCAGATCGTCATCATCATCAGCTATCCGAGTTTGCCCAGGTGTTGCGGTCTAAGCCCACTACACCTTTCTTTGTCGACGCGGGTATTTATATTTTCCAAGGTTCCTTATTTCCTCATCACCTGAACTATGAAGATCAGCCAGCCAGAGGACTCGTTTCGCCTCGAAAATGCATCTACCAAACCTCCAATTAATGGTTCATCCGGGGATGAAGAGTGGCTTTCACAGTCATCGCAGGATCCACGAAACTGGCCCAGGTGGAAAAAGGATGCCCAGATCCTTATGGTTGCTTTCCATTCTATGATGGGTACATTCATGGCTGCTGGAATTATTCCGGCATATGACGCATTTGCTGAAGAGTACGGCGTCACTGTGCAAGCAGCAAGCTATCTGACTTCGTTCCAGGTATCGTCCACGCCGACAGATCTAGTGGAAAGCTGTTGTTGACTCAATGCCTAACCCATTATATTGTAGATCCTCCTTCTCGGCCTTTCTCCTTTGATTTGGAATCCAATAACCGCCGTATACGGTCGATATAATGTCATTCTTTTGTCCGTTCTGGGCAGTATGGCATGCAATATCGGTGGTGCTCGATGCACATCGTATGGTACTCAGATGGCGACTCGCGTCCTAACAGCATTCCTCATATCGCCCCCGATCGGCAACGGAAGTGGTGTGATTACACAGTTATGTGAGCCCGAAAAGCGAGCCCAGAAGCTCGGGTGGTGGACTCTCATGACTACAATTGGAACACCGGCAGGCCCTTTCTTTATGGGTTTTGTTGTCAAACATATTGGAGTACAATGGATCTTCTGGATATTTGCCATAATAAACTTATGCCAGTTTCTGCTGTATCTGGCGATTGGCGACGAGACAGTTTATAACCCCGACAACGAGCGAGAGAAGGTTGGGGCTTTGGGCAAGATGTTACCGCGACAGATCACTTCACGTTCTTTAAGTCTTCGAGACTTTGTCGCCCCATTCGAATTGGTCAAATACCCAAGAGTCTTGATTGCCGCCTGTGCCCATGCAGTTACTTTCTGCTATGGAAACATTGCGTTGATTGTTGAGATGCCCATAGTATTTGGCGAGAAATTCAACTTTGATGCGCAGCAAATTGGTCTGCAGTTTATTGCGATCATCATTGGATGTGTTCTTGGTGAGCAGGTCAGTGGACCGATGTCTGACTGGTTCCTTCATCGTCTGCGTCAAAAAAGAGGCCACTCATGCCCGGCTGATCGTCTCTGGTTAACTTACATTGCGTTCGCGACGATAATTGCCGGCTTATTGACTTGGGGATTTCAATTGCAACACGCTACAACCTGGAATGTTACCCCTTGTGTGGGGGCTGCCATTGCCAGTTTTGGAAATCAAATGCAGACCACACTTCTGACAACATTTGCGGTGGAAAGCAAGAAGGATAGAGCCGCAGAGGTTGGAATATTTGTTAATATCTGCCGTCAAATTTATGGCTTTGTAAGTCCGCTTGGAAAACAATTGACCAAAGATCAAATACTAACATATAATTGCTTTAGCTTGGTCCTTTTTATTTCCCGGACATGTTCGCCGCTGTGGGACTAGGAGGGGCTGCGGGCGTCATGGTTGCCATTATCGCCGCATCTGCCTTGCTACCCATCATCGCGGTGCACTCTGCGGCCACTCGAACAGATATACATCGGAAGTAGTAAGAGGCACGCACGAGCTATTTTGGGCCCATGTACAATTCGTTTTTTATGTCTACGACTACACCAAAGTCTTACGTGGAACTAGTGTCTTATTAGTGATCCATTCTAATACTCGACCTTCGGGCACACAAAGACTGTATTCAAGTTTTGAAACATTCTAGTGAAGACAGGAAGCTATGAAATCTAGCTTGAGCTGAAAGATAAACGAAAAAGCACTCTCCAAAGAGCTGATAACTTTTCATCATGTCAAAGGTTCACGTTGATCCAGCAATTTTCAAAATCACAGCTAGAAGAGGTTACTTGGAACACTATTAAGCCAAGACATGTCTTGAAAGTCTGGAAATTCAAAAGATTCCATCATTTCTGTGTTCATGCCTTCCCCAAATGAAATGTCGTTAAGTAGACCCTGGCTATTTGGTTGCTCATTAGGTTGGTGGTCTTCCGCGATAACCTGTTCGTAGAGAATTTCAAGCGCAGCGACGCATCGCCTGGCGGAAAAGCTGTAGTCTTGATATTTGCGCAAAATCTCTAGCGCACAGTCCCAGGAGCGAGTCATTGAGGAGTCGGCTATTTCTTCCGATATGGCTGAACATAAACGACCCGCAATGAGAACCGTTGCAGCGGTATATATGTCTGAAAATGTGAGTCTGGAATTCAAAAATTGGCGTCACACGCCCGAGCGAGCCACTGGCGACTGGGCAACTTCTTGAAGAACTCACATAGTATATTATACCACCATGCCGGCAGTGGACCACCTGTGCCGTCGACTGGGACGTTGTTGTAGATCATTTCGATCGATTCCTGGGCCACCTTAACACAGATAATTGAGCATTGTAATGCAACCCGGTGGGGCAAGGAATCGCTGATCGCGATCATAGAATTCCTTCTCAGGCTCTCGCGCATAGTGCAGTATTTTGACAAAATGGGACGGAATAAAAGGATGCGAACGTGCAAGAATCTGCAGCATTGTGGGTCAGAACACGTCTTTCTGAGTTCATGGGTTTCCTTTACAAACCTCGCGTTCAATACAATTCCTTGACGGAAGAATATAGGATTATGTACTGCAGCTGTCGACCCAGTCCGCAAATGAGCGGGCAGACTTTGCGCCCAGCGGGTGAGCGAGTGGTCAAGTTCAAATATTGTGTGTTCACCATCGGAGTTAGTACTATTGAAATAGAATTGATGAGTTTCACCTGGGCCATCATCCGGGATTGGCTTGTGAAGACTAAGAAGCACCTCGTTCATGATTTCATATAGCTCCAACGTTTTGGCATAGAACACCATAATAGACTGCTTCTGTGTAGGCTGTGTGGGCTCTACAGTAGCGTTGACAGGGATGAACTCATCGTCAACAAGGACGGGGAGAGGAACGGCCCCACTAGAAATCTTCGAGATCATCGCCGGTCGACCAAATGTCATAGACATCACACTAGAGAAGAAAACAAATTTAGAATCATTCTCTTTCCATTGAAGCCAAGCATACCGATCCATCAAGACGCATCCATGCCATAATTTCCTGGCAAGCTGTTGTTCTTGGAAGCTAGAAAACCGTGCAATAGTCTGCGGAAGATGAAGACCGAGGCTCTGCGCGTTCCGTATTGCTAAACCAGTGACAATCCAGCACTGATGTGCCGAATCTGTACTTTGTAAGTATTGTGCCATTAAAAGAAGGCATTGAATAAGTCCTGCAGATCCCGTATCCCACAGATTGAACTGAAAAAGTCCCTTCGCGCGCGAGAAAAAAGCATCTGCCGCAGCCTCTCTCTCCCGCGGTGGAACAAAGTCGGCCAATTGGCTTGCAAGGGCGAATATTACATTGAATGTACACATTACCATGTTTTCATCGTATTGCAAGGTATCCCCTCGCCATAATTTGGTATATTCACCCTTCATGTGGCCACTGTCAAGAAATGGATATAAAGGGAAAACGTAATCCCAGTATACCTCCATTAAAGAGTCGGCTGTTCTCCGTGGCGGTAAAACGTACGCCGGAACAGTGGACTGATGCTTTCCGTTGCGATTGGAGAGAAGATTGGAGCCGAGACCTCTATTGGAACCCGAAGGATGTCGTTCTGGCGAGGAGACCCTTCTATCAACTGCTATTTTAATCTGGCGCATGAATCCCGCGGCGCTAGAGCTTCCAAAAAACCCCTGATTAGCGTGTCCTTCCTCCAAGGAGCCCACCATCGCATTCACTCCATCATGCCCCCCATCCTCAAGGGCTTCGGGCTGATCGGGGAATCCCGTGTTTTGAACCTTGTTGATTGGCGTTTCAGGATGGCCCTGGGGGGTTCCAGCTGGTGATAGCGATGATAGCGAATGGTGCTGTTTAGTTTATGAGATGCACGAAACTCTTAAAGATAGCCGTAATAAACCTACTGGCGTGAACACCGACAATGAGGCTCTCTCCGACGCCTTCGGGCTTTCAAGCAGTTTGATGCGATTCTCCAGGCTTGTGATATAGCTGCAACACGCTTAGAAATGCGGAATGGAGAACACTATACACAAGGGACTGACAGAGACAGACCTTTGAGTCGCACGTTTTTTCTCTAGATCCCCTGTATAGACACATTTGCCTTCATCTGCCCTTTTGCTGCATGGCCCACACACTGGCGTCACATTAGCACGGGCTGCATTCCGAGTATTTCGGCGCCACATACCGGGTTGCACTCCGTCACAACGAACTTTTCGCGTACGACAGTCATCGCAAGCTACAGCAATCTTCCGGCGCTTCGTTCTATTCGAATCTTCGGATCTTTTCATATTGTGATTTTGCATTGAGCTCACGCTGGTGACTGCGAAGAGTCCACGTTTCGGAACGGCCGGAATCGTACCCGAGAAATGTGGTGGGTCCATCAGATTGCTTCTGATGGGTCAATCTGAAGTCGTTGGGCAAAAAACAACGGGACAGTTCCGCATGTTGACATCCCGGAAAACATCCCGCGGCTCTATGGGTACAAAGATGGAGATTAAGACTTGGTAAAATTCCTTGAACCCTAGAAGAACTCCTGACAGCTCCGATTTTACCTAGTAGGTACCTAATGTTGAAGCACGTCGAAGGTCCAATTTATCTACGGCTTCGATCGACAGCGTATACTATGTAACTTACTACCTAAGACGGGAAAGCCTTTCGAAGGTTGATAGATTCTAAACATTATGGGGCCGAGGTATTAGAGTATTCTCATAATCTGGGGATGTGCGGAATTTAATTTCACTGCGACCTTTCCAAAACAAAATCAAAGCGGCAACGTTCAATTCTTAATAATTATAAAATGGCCGAATGAGATCGTCGCTGGATGAAATTTGTGAATGGCGTCCTGCCGTCGATAGTTTTAGTCGTGTCATATTCTCAAATCCCGAAAGTTACATGAAAATGAAAGAACAGGATGAGAATGAGCTTGAATATGACCCAACAGGACTGGCAGTGGCAGCAAGTGACAGTCCTTCAACACACCCATAATCCCATAACAGGGCTTGGTATGTTGAAGACAAAAGACCAGCAGACCTGAATGATCATTTCTTCCACAAAATGCCAGCATAGTCAATTCATACAGTCCAACTGCACTTTGACATGTGCAGTGACTTACCTCATCTTAGATATGGGATCTCAATCTAGGAATACATTAACAATTATAGATCAGTCCAAGATATGATAAGAAAGTATGTGAGACAGATGAGTCTAAGCCGATGAACTGGAACTGTCAGCTATGGGCTATGGGTATAGAGCCCAAAGAAGCGTATTGACTCAATTAAAATTGACCCATCTCAACCAGGAGTCTGACTTATGTTCGACTGTCCCGTCCATCCAATCCAGAAACAAATCTCGATCATTGGCATCAACCTCGTTCAGAAGATCACCGACTGGAAGCTCTTGTTCTAATACTTCAGAGGATTTGATAATACTATCGGCAGGAGGACCATTGTAGGAGAGAACTTGATCCAAAATATGACGAATCACCCTTTGGCCTGGCTGAGAGATCCGATAATTCCCTTCATAGAACTGTATAAACGTGCCCAAATGGGACGAGAATATACTCAAATTTTGAATAATCTCTGAGCGAGGAAAAGGAATTCTGTCATCCGAGACAGTGGAGCGAGATCTTCGAAGAAGTTCTGCGGATAATATGCCGGCGGCGGGTAAGCCAAAATAGCAGAGCTTTGGGAAAGTGAGTTGCTGGAACACAGTAAGGGCTATGGAGGCGGATCTTACATTAAATCCCATATCAAAGACTGGATGTCCTAGTCGAGATGACCTCGCCACCATAGAGAGAAGAGCATTCAACATTTGTCGAGAAGTCTCTATGATAGCACCTGGCTGAGCATGTGTCCACTTTTGTATAGTGCGGTAAAGCAAAAAGTCGTTATAGAGGATATCAAGGTGAAGAGAGAATACTATTCTGTCTTCCACGATAGGGACAGTCATATCGAGATCCCCTTCCGAGCTCCATTGAAGAAAGCTTGGAAGAGACATGCGAAGCTTTCGGTTCTCTTCCAGAAGATCTCTAGTCTGATGTTAGCTCGAGACTTAAATATAGCTTTTAGGGTCGATCTGACGAGACGGAGAGAGATGAAGAAAAAAAAACACTAACTCGACTTTGCTGCGTATATCCTCGACTCGATAGCTTAATGAAAGCTCCAGGACTTTCTCACGGAGGATGCTTTTGAATAAGCTGATCCTAGCCCATGCCCCTTTTCTGATAGTCCCCTCGTCATTCCAGCCTCCATTTTTCTCCAAACAGAGAATCTTTTCCTGTACTATGGAAGGCTCTAGAAGCATTTCCTCAAAGCTTAGGTCAAGGGGGAATTGGATGTCACAATACCGCCAACTGACTAAAGGTGGTCTACCTAAAAACGTAGCCAAGATCTTGTCAATCGTAAAGGTAGCCACCATTATACGTTTCCGAAGTTCGGCCAAATATAGAGGCAGTTGGTAGCTGGAATCCTGGTGAAGTCCCAATGCAAAGACAGTGGTCGTCAGTTCCCCAAGTTTTCTCCAGGGTCGGGAGTCTGCAAAGAAATGGTACTATCAGTCTAGTTCTGAGATGACGACCATAAATATACGATCTTACCGCTATCTCCATATACGGTAGTCAATAGTGTCGTTTGATGCATGAGAAGCCAGCATACAATATCGTTGATGATGCCTGCGCCGTCGCAAAATTGAAGGCAAATATCACTTACAGCACTAGCCGTTGTTGCCAGGCTTCGAGGATCTGTAGACCCGGACTGTTGAAATATAGGATCATCTTCCGATAGCCACTCAGTCGACAGGCCAGTGATGCAAAACATCAACCCGACGGTTTCCCACCTCCCGGAAAGGGCATGCTTAAAGTCAGACCAGGGCATGTTTGCCGGGGTTTTGAATGGACGTGCGTGGGTTTGGAACATTTCCTTTGATAGCTTCAAAGCATGGATATTTTGATCAACGGTGTCGCTTTGTGATAAGCCCCACATCTCCTCCATAAGATCGAAGATCATCATAGTCAGTGGCCAGCCCAGACACCATCCTTCCCATAATCTGAATCGCGCGCTCACAACATCTCGATAGAAGGGGAGATTATCCAGTAGATTGAGAACCTGGGCACCCAGATAGACTCTCTTCGAGTCCATAGGAACAACTTCCTCTTGATCTGTTAAATGCCCCTCCAGGAGAAACCCGCTGCCTGCATCGGTCAAAGTATTTGAATAACTTGTGTCCCCAAGAAATCCGGGGAATGAAACCGAGTGTTGTTTTTGGTTCCAACTGCGGTTTTCAGTTTGAAAAATCGTATGCTGATTTCGACTTGTTTGTTCCTTCTGGGCTCGTCTTCTGTTCGGTCGCTGCAGGTCAAGACGGGTCAAAGGTGCCGGATGGTAGATGCAATCTCCCCGCAGATCCCGGCGTGTGCAGCGACCACAAATCGGCAACGTATGATCGCATCTAAGTTTAGATTTCCGACAAGGCTCACACGAGGAAAGCTGGCCATTTCGACGTGTAGTTGCCATTCTAATTACCACTTTGAACGTACGGTGGACAAGTGCTAGTGGAAAGAAAGAGTGACCGCTCAAAGTATGCGGGGCTCGGACTTCGGAGTTCCAAGGTTCATAGTGGCTGACTCATCCAACAAACAATAAAGTCTAGAGAACCCGATAATATACTACATTCCAATAAGTAAAGTTATGTCGCTTGGATTAGTGAGATGAACAGGAGTTTGGTGGGCCATGAGGGTCCCAATTTTGAGCCAGAGACGTAAATCCCGAAAACCTCCCAAGGCTCAATTCAGCCAAAATATAATTTGCTTTTTTGTTGTTGAATCGTACTACTAGTAGTTAGTCATAGTTAGTAGTTAACTAGTTAGATGCCCATGATCGTGATGAATATTTTACGGTTAATGCCTGATATGCCCCCAATATATTGAAAGTGATAGCGAGCTTTTCGAAGATAATTATTTGAGGTGCGTTCATTCCTGGATGGTAGTTCCTTTGACCCTTTTCGAACAATCATGATTCATTAATTTAAAGATACTCTTTAACGCGTGGTGGGGATATTCAAGGTGGTAAATGTCTATGAAACAGGAGTTTGAGTGGCAGTCCCATTTATGCTTTCCACATGGTGAAATTCCGAGACCTTGGGGGACTCTTTGGTCTCCTCGATATCATCTTCCTTGGGGTAAAAATTGACCTTTCCATCCTTCTGAATCACCCTCATACGATCGAGGCAGAGGCGAGCTCGGACATATGGATCAAGCTTCCAGTAATTGACCCGCAAGCGCTCAGCGAGGTAGGTGCGTTGGCTAGCGGCCGATTGAGCTTTGGACTTGTCCTGTGAGTTGGCCGCCTCGATCCATTCAGAGGTGAAGGCCATAAACTCTTCGCCGATTTGCTGACGTTCCCGGATTAAAGCATCGCGCGTTGTTGTATCTTGCATGGTCGCATTCTCGTTCTCTTCAGGCTCGATGTACTTGTATTCCCACTGTTCAGAGCCTCCCAGCTCTTTGACAATTTGATCCCGAGAGATGAACTTTTCCATATCGCTCACAGAGTTAGTGAATTGAACCTTGGCGGCAATATCCGGATCCATCCAGCCTCGAATGAGCCTCCAAACACCTGTAAGTCACAAAAAGAAGTTGTGTCAGCGAAATAGCCAACTAAAATATCATTTCAGATGGAACGAGGGCGTAACAAACCAGAAAATACCCAGGGCGCGTTGTGGATCAGTAGAATACCGAGTGATTCCGGATAATTGGCTTCAAAGCATTTCAGAATGAATTTGACAGGGGGATATTCCTTGAAAATCAGATATTAGCAATTGAAGAAACAAAACAAAAAAAAAAAGCACTGGGGTTGTTATTGATGCTTCTCACCATGTTGGAAAGTCCAAAACCGGTCATGTCAAAAACAACTGCCTAGAAAGAGTGTTAGCTTTTAGCATCGGATGGGCGTGTTGTAGCTTCAAGAGACGTACTGCAGTCTCTACGGGGGAGGCCATGGCCAAGCGAACAGACTCAATCACATGGACAATGTATCTTTCAAGGGTCTCCTCGCTCTGAGCGCCGGGTTTATGTAGGCGGACGCGTACCACAACGATTGGCCGACCGAGCTTGTCTGTGCCGTGGACATAGCTCTTGCCCATACGCATCTGAGCGAGTAAATCGTGACCCTCTTTCTTCTCCTTGGCGTTCGCATTGTCCTTCGACTGTTTGAGAGCATGGAGTTCACCCTTGGCCATTACGTCGTCTTCGACATGCATTTCTTTGACGCGCCACACAATCGCTTCCATCATCATAGCGAAGGCCTTGGGAATATCCCACTTGCGGGCCCGAAGAAAGCGAAGCATCATACCATCGGGGTGGTCATGTTTCAAAAGTTCAAGAATACCCTCCCGAAGCTCAGCTGGGGTGATCTCCGACAGAGACTTTTGAACCATTTTTGTTTCCTGGGGGCCGATGCCGAGCTCACGCAAGTATGCCAGCATTTTCTGTTGATAGGGGGAGGCAGCGCTAACGCTGGGCTTGTCGGAAACATTGCTTTGAGTACGACTAAGCAGGGACTGTCGGCGTTGTGGCTGGACTGGACTGGCCGGTGTGGTATTTTCCGTGGCGTTGCCGTTGCCATTGGGTTCATCGGGGGTGGGAAGTTCGGCAGCCTTTAGCAGTACAGACCACAACTTCTGTAGCTTGGCTTCCTGACTTTCATTAAGATTGCCAAGGAAGCCGGGCTTGGGGCCATCTGCAGCCATTGCGAGGGAAGCTGGAATCCGTTGATGGGGAAGGGGGTGGCGGTGGGAATGTACAACACGGGGTTAAGGGAAGGAGGTTGAGTGTAAACCAACGAGCAAAGCAAGTCCAGAGCCAAAGGGCAAGGCGGGATGTTATATGACATCGTTTCTCCTGATCGTCGCCCACATGAAACCCCTCACACGATCCCCACGCCTCGGTCCCAACGGGTCTGGGAAAGAAACTTGGGGAAACAGGGACAAGCGTGTGTCGCAGGGCTTGGAACGACGATCGCGCGGCACTGATCAGCTATAGGCCTGTCTCAGTCCCAAGGCACTGTCACAACATCTGCATTGATCATCCACCAAGACAAACTTTGGACAGCTAGTTTTGACCACTTTCTTTTCTGTAAGCTCAGTAGCCTCGGATCCTCGGTCGCAAGTGGATATGAGACATGTTCACGCATGTGGGCGGCCGAGTCCCAATTTTGAAGACATACTACGAGTAGATAACAGGACTTGGTGCTATATAGTGGTCATTTCACACCATCCTAGCAGATATAATTCGCATACATACTCCGCACAAGAGGGAAGTATTGGTCGATTACACCCAATCCCCAATATTTCCGGCGTCATCTATCTATATCGCGCTGTCTTCCATTTCCCGGGGGTTCCCCGTTATTTCGTATTTCACCCCAGACACTAAATTAGGGCGGATAATTGGGAGTATGGGGCCCCGCCTTGCCCCTCGATGGGCTCGGAGCTAAGAGCGACCGCTCATTGCTGGACTTTTACTCACTATTGCACCATTTGCACGCATCTCTCAACCTCGGGATGCGGGTATGTGGTAGAATCCAGACCCGCTGTGAACTGGACGAGATTGCCAATTTCTAGATCCAGAGCGGACACATTATTCCTGTCAGGGCAGAAATGCCGGCAAGCGTGCCCTTGTCGGAGGATTATCTTGCAGCCCCGGCAGATTGGTGGCGGTGCCGATCATCGCCGTTTACGGGTAAAAGTCTCCCCTCAAGGTTCAAGTGGAGAACTTGAACTCCTGGGGAATGGCCATAGTCGTACGGAGGACAGTAGTACTACATACTACTAGTACTACTACTGTACTATAGGCAAGGGGAATGCATGCGGAGCGACAAACTTGAATGACAGGAATGTTGGATTGCATCACCTGTGGGGATACTAGTAGGTGACATACATACCAAGAGCGCCGGTGAAGAAATGACAATTTCAGATGCTTTGAAGTGATAAACTCGTGGTTAGCACTGTAAGCTCGAGTTACCCACAATTTGTAATAGATTCTGGTTCATACACACTCTGTAGATACATTGAAGAAAATAAATTTCAATGCATTCTGGAGTTTAGAAAACTGTACAGATATACGGGTGCACCTTAGGTTGACCATGCGGTAAACCTTGGTATCGCTTCAAGTTGCGCACTACTAGTAACTCGTAGTAACTAGAACCTTGCCTTAGATTTGTGGGTACTAGAACAGACATAACACCTTCCAAGGTTGATTTCCAGACTATACGAGTATACAACCCCCTCTATCAAGCTTCTAATCAGCCAAAACATAACCTATTACTGCACGACAACATTCAACTCGGAAGTTCAAGGCTGACAACCTTGGAAGGAGAGTTCGGCTAGGGTCAGGATTTTGGCATGCTCGAAGACCAAAAGTATAGGTCGTCCGCCTCATGGCGAAATTCATCCACCACCTCGAATTCGCATTTTTTCAATACCTGGCAGCTGCCATGATTCTGCTTTTCGCAAATAGCATAAACTTTCTCTGCCTCTTCATCGTTTGTGAAGAGACTCGAGATATCCCGTCGCGGAAGTTTCCACCACATCATCAGTAACATGTGCAAGGCCTCTGTCGCAAACCCTTTTCCCCAATGCTCAGGTAATATCGAGTAGCCAATCTGCGGACAAGGGTCTAGCGAGTTGATGCCCACATATCCAATGACTGGTTCCTGGTTGGTTGAAATCGACTTGTCAACGATCGCCATAGTGAAAGAACATCCAATAACCTCAGAAGGGCCCGTCATGAAGGTCTTGGATGACAGCCATTCTCGTGCATCATCAATAGATTGGAATGGTGTTTTTGGGTGACTGTCTTTTGTTAGCAGACCATGAATCAATTTCCCCCAGTAGAAGTCAGAAAGAGAAACTACTCTCGTATTCCAGCCACGGCAGATACTCACTTAAATCGAGCAACTTCAGGTCTCGAACGAATCGCAAAGATTGCAGGCAGGTCGGATTCTTTGATGGGACGAAGGAGGAGACGGTCGCTTTCCGCCGATGGAGGAGATCGCGGAACGATGACCGTGACCGCTTGACGTGGAAGAGAAAACATGAGGGAGTGGTAGGATTCAGAAGAGAGAAAAATGTTTTCCTCGGCCTTGATAGATACCTGCAATGAAAAATCGTTCTTCTCGGGTTGGTTTTGACCTTTCGCGTGTTCTGGCACGCTTCGAAGCAAAATTCGAATAGCGATGCATGATTGGCGGATGCTCACGGCCTTCAAGCCCCCGCTAAGCCATATTGGGAGCCCGCGATGTTGGAACTAAAATTGAAATTGAAATTAAGAAAGTAAACGATGGCCATATAAAGTTGTTGTTTGCCAATACCAGCGCAAAAAGGGGAGACGATAATGAATGGTGGATGTGAGAGAGGAGGAAAGAGAAAAGAGAGCGAAGCTGTCTACTAATATCTAAGTAGCGGTGTCGGAAGGGATGGGACAGCGCACGGCGACCTGGGTATCTCAGGTACCTGGGCACCCACTCCTCAACATGGGACTAATATTATCTGGCATATGTTCGATTTGCATTACCACATGAGGAATTCTGGATCCCCGACTTCGCCCCAATAATAAATAGTGGGGAAGGAGAATAAAAAGGGACCATGGGAATGTTTAGTTAGGGCCCTCTGATTCTTATAGCCATGCAAAAAGACTTGAGCATAACTCCTGTTTAAGCAGAATAATTCCTGTACGGTCGATTCTGGCAAGAATATTCATCTGCTGCATGAAACACGTGTTTTACAATAGTGGAGGCGATACTAATTACTCCGACCAAGGGATTTTCCTATTTGATCTCCAGTTGAGCGAATATATGAGGAAAGATAGCCATGAATTCAAAAGTACAAAGTACAGCTATGGACGACACTTTAATACCGAACCCTCAATTTTATAGAGTTAGATGTTTCAATGAACCAGCTAACACTGGACCACCCATCGTTGAAATTTGATATCTTATTGAAAATTCCCTTCGTGAGCACCAATCATTCTGCAAGGCAAACTAGAATAGTCCAGTCGTCAGTAATATTGATGCCAGAGGGAAGTACATGACTACTATGTGGTTTCATACCACTGCATACGTCGACTGACTAATCAGTTACTGCTCCTCTGCTGTTCCAGCGCCTTGGCGAATAAGTCCGTAGCGGAAAACAACCTGGGCATCCAATAGTAACCAGATAGCCTTTAAAATATTAGTATATTACGCTGCTACTCATGAACTCATTTGGTAAACTTGAATGGTGACTAGGTCATCTCTTATACGAAGTAGCCACCATAACAATTGAACACAAACCGCCTTCTGGAGTTAGATTTTATTGTAGCCCAAGTGAAACAAACCTCACGCCCAGCCAACTGAAATATCTAGATGTTAGAAATAGTATGAGAAGCCATTGAGGTCCACGGGTACGGGCTGTTTTCCAAAAGCCTTGTTCGGTGAAGTGATTTTAAACAGAAGCGCGAGAATATTCCTCCCGCTCGGAAAGGGAGAAATGCATGGGCCAATATCCAAGGTGTCAAGATTGTTATTTATTTGTTCCTGGTAATCAAACAATATGGAGCCTGTTTCGGACGTATTGGGATTACATCCCTTCGGCGAGCTTCAACGCTGGGCCGACTAACTTGGTTTTCCGCATCCGTTGTTTTATTATCCAGTTAAATTAATGGCCTAGAGAGGAGTGTATGCCCCTGGGATCATTTGTTTTTCAAGTCTGCACGGGGTAACTTCGGTGTGACTTTTCTATCAGCTCTTAGGTGATGGTGGAAAATTAAGAAAGAACCAAAGGTCGCGGCTTAGAATGACAAGATATCTTGAGGCTAGAACAAAAAAAAAAAAAAAAAACTACCAAGTTTGGATAGAGTCGAATTCGGCTAGGGCACTTTGCGCGCACAGGTCGCGACAGGAACTGAGTAAAATGAGTTGGACAGACCCCTCGCGCGCAATCATTCATCCCGGAGACCAAATTATTGAGTTTGGCGATATGTATTTCTTATTGATTTCTATACGACCTTGCTTCTCTGTCGTCTCTGACAAACATAAGAACAAGCGATTTCACGCCATTGGTGAAGGATTTATCAGCCGTTGCGTACGTCAGGCTAGCTGATACACTTCAGCATAATATCAAATTTCCCGTGATTAACTTCAAATTTCTTAAACGGACAGGGCCTAGTTGCTTCCTGTTTTCCTGCTCTGGGTTCCACAAAGGCAAAGATCGGCTTGCGGGCCACTTAAGTGCATGGATGGAAGCGGGACCAGCTCGGCACTGGCATTTCCTGTCTCGCGTGAGCGAGGTCGGACAGGTCAATCCCGTCAGAGTGCACACATGGTCGAGTAATGATGAGTATCAGTGCTTAAGGGTTTAAGGAATGGCTATAAAAGGCTCGAATTAATGTTCGGATCCTACTTGCTCATTTTCTCAAGCCTCGAGAATAAGATTCGAAGTTCTTGTATTTGAATGCAGAGACTCTCTTGTATTGCAGAATGTCTACAACTTACACTTTAGAATTGATTTCTGAGATCAAAAACCAATTGTTGGATACTTCGGTTGACTCTGGGCATGGTCATTCCCGTCTTCTCCAGCTTGTGGATGAACTTAAACTAGCTGTTGAAACACCTACAGAGACCATTCTGCGTCTCATATATCAGGTATACACTCATCATTCCATCTTTTTTTCAAAGGAAAGAAATTGATCTTGTTGAAGCCACCGGAAAATGCTACTTTGCGTACTGTCGTAGACCTTGGAATCTTTCCATTACTGGTCAACGCCGAAACAAAAAGCGGCATTTCGGCCACCAATCTCGCTAGAGACACTTGGGGGATCGAGGATTAACGGGTGAGATTTATCAAAAGATAACTAGATATACCAAGACACCGCCCTGGAGGTCGGCACTAACAGGAACGGTGAACCGTAATTCGCCTTATGAGGGTGATGACCGCAATCGGGCTATGCGCTACTTCGGAACCGGAGAAGTATATTGCCACGGACAAGTTCTCTAGTATGATACATCCAATAGGACGTGAAGGTGTGCCTCGCATGTGAGAAAGTCCCCCCCCCCCCGGCCCTAATATTGAGGATTTGGAGATTAATATTCAATTTTAGCTTTGACCTGACCGTTCCGACTGTCTCCAAGCTTCCTGAATATTTCAACTTCACGGTTCCAGGAACCCCCAAGAATATTCTACTTCCCTCATAAAAAGGGCCGTGGGAAAAAGTCAATTTGAGTGGCTCGCCGAGAACAGATTACATCAAGATCTTTTTAATTCTTACATGTCAAGTCGACGTGAAGGAAGGCCCAATTGGTTCAGCATATATCCAATCGAGCAACTCATGATAGGAGCAGTGGCTAGCCCCGATGCTGGACATCGGGGGGGGGGGGGGCTGATGACTCGCGTAATGTAGCGAGATAAAACGATAGGTGAGGTGATAACTGTGTGTCTTGTGGTGTAGGTGCTGATGGAAGAAGTAAATACTACTATCTAGCAAACGGTGGTGCGGCACCCTGGATGCCCGGGGCTCTCCGGACCTCAACAGCACTAGGCAAGAAGAGGGGAGGTAGTCTCTCCATGAAGATTCCGTGTAGTCGCCAGTGTTGTGGTTCAAAGGTATGCATTGTATTTTTATTCTAGATTGAAGCATGAGGCTGTATATACAACGAGAAGATCAACGAACTTGGTTCTTCATATAGATACCTCGGGATTAATTCCGATGGTTCGGCTGGGTTCCTGATCCGCACCAGCCTCATATCACAACACTTGTAATATACGGAAGTGATGAGCAGGCTCATGTACAAGCTTGGGATCAGGCGCGACGAGTGACACGCCTACAGGGCTACGAAATCGCAAGCCAGATGAGCAGATCAAAACCATCGTTTTATTCAAACTTGCACACATATATATGCTAAATATTTGTATATCCTCCAAAAAGCCCTCCATTCTGCGTATCTACAGCCCTCAAACCGGTGTCAACGCTTTCTCCGGAGCGCATGAAGAGCGATCCAGTAGGCAGGGGGTTTTGCTGCCCACCCGAAAAACTGATACCAGGGTTCAAAGTTGAATTTCCATCTGGGGGAGCCCTAAGCGGTGATCCGAAAAATCCTGCTCGGTTCGTGGTTGACCCATCTGTGTTGTTTGCATTCCCAAAAGGGCCTCCACCAGATCGACCCGTAGAATTAGAGGTGTGGGCGTGGGCAAAAATATTGCTCCGGTGGCTTGCAGGGGACTTTTTCGAACGCTGGACAGTGAAGTTCTGTCCAGGAGTCCCTGCAGAGTTTGGAGGTTCGGGTTGATCGATCAAGGGTTTATTAGTAGGCATCCTTTGTATTTTGCAATGAGCGAGAACATTTAAACTGTTTTGCAGCATTTCCTTTTCCCGAATCAGACGTTCACGATCCTCCGTGATGAAGGATTCCTCCGCAGCCAAGTCTTTAACTTGCTTGTCTTCCATGTTGTTGATTGTCTGACTTGTAAAAATGCCACTCAAAGGGCAAAGAAGGCAGTTCTCGATCCCCAATATTGCGATATTATCAATGAATGATATAATCGCAGTCTATAATACATAAGTTTCTTGGCTTCGAAGAGAAAAGCCATCGTTCACTTACATCGTAGTATGCTTGCATCTGGTCAATAATCTCGGCGGCGGCGAATTGGTCCTCAGTCTTGTTCTCCAACTTGCTCATGGCTGCCTTGATGTCTGGCAATGCAAATCTTCCATCATTTACTGGGATCTTTTGTCCCAGAGCCTTCTCCAATGCTTTGCCCTGCCGATCAGCTCGGGACTTGTGAATTCGCTGGAGGAAGCGTTTTCCAAGAGGAAGAGGATGTCCTCGTTTATTGTAGGCCGTTAATTCATCAAGCTTTGTAAGTAGGCTTTCCTTCATCTTTTGAAGTTCAGGAGCAAGGATAGCGCCCATCAATTGCTGGTAGGTATGTTCGTCGGTGAGGTGTTGTAAGACCATATTGACAAAATTATCCACTGCCTCCCACGTCCTCACAAAGTGAAATCGCGCAATTTCTTCCCAAGGTTGTGATTGGTCTCGGAACAGACTGCCCACCAAAAGCTGATTGGCACTTCCTGGTAGTTCAAGTCCACGACTTTGACGAGCTTGCCGATCTAACTCTTTCTCAACGTCTTGTCGGGCTTTGGTCGGCGGAGTTCTGATGTGAGCGTAAGGATTGGACGAGAAGAGAGCGATGTTGCCTTCATTGACCCCAATAATCCTTGTTTTGCAACCATATACCTCCATGACTTCCGCAAAATATTCATTCAATTGACGGACGGTAGCACGAAGACGGCGAGTCTCCGCAGTAGCAAATAAATTGAAGTCACCAAGCTCGCCAAAAAAAACATCTTTGTACATTCCATCCAGAGCCTGATTAGTGATACGTTCGAAGTTGCTGCTAAGGGCAAGCAGATATCCCTTCTGCTGTTGTAGGGTCGATCGAGGAGCACCCATTTTTGTGAGCCTTGTGTGTCGATTAAGCAACTTTTTCTCAATTTCCGCGATCAGTTCTGGCAGGCTACGACGAATGTGTTTCAACAAAATGCCGCTAAGTCGACGCCTCAAGCCATCAATTCCAACACAGTCTCTTGCCACTGTGCTCCACCGTCCTTGGTTGAAAAATTCCTTTTCATTCTTGTCTCGATCCTCACTGGAGACCTCCTGAGTGCCAAAAGTGCGGTTCTGCAACGTATGCCACCCGAGGCGCAGCCGTATTTTCTCGTTTTTCGCGATTTGGAGCCAGACGTCTTCCTCCTCGGAATGTTGTTCTAGTTTATCAGGATGTGTGATGATGCCGATAGTTCTGTCACGAGAAGGGTCAAATTTGGCCGCAATGTCGAGAACCTCTTGAAGGTGATAATCGGCCTTGGCTGACACAGTGGCCAAGATGATACTGCGAGGGCTTTTCATATATTGCTCTGTGAGCTCACGTGAAATAACAATCCCTTCTGCTCCTTGTTCGGCGCTTTTGGAGTAGTAAAGGCCCGGGAGATCCACAAGCGTTAGCTCTGGTTTATCGGGACCAGATATCTCAATCTTGAGAACGTCGTCGCTAACCCCTTTCTCATTCTGAATACCCATGCAGTCTTTGGCTTGCTCAATCAACAATGGCAATTGATCACTGTGTGTAAAAGCTTCCGGAGCGAACTCTCGAACTTTTTGTCGGTCAACCTCACTCTTCCGCGAAGGTCCAGGCTCGATGGAAACTTTGAAACGGGTTACTGGATGACGTCGTAGGCTGACCTCGGTGGCGAATCGGGTACAGATGTTGCTTTTGACTGGGAAGCGTACGCGGGATATGGCTTCAAGAACAGAGCTCTTTCCGCTAGATTGGTTACCACAAACGATCAGCTGTGGCAGGTCAACAAGACCGCTAATACCAATATTGCGTAACTCATCAATCTTGTCGAGAAGCCAGCCTTGTTCAACTTGCAGCTGGCTCAAAGCCTCTCCATCCGTATTTGAATCAGACATCGTGGTGTCAAATGAAGAATTTTGATGCTATACTGTAATGTGAGTTTCTGGGGCAGAGCTGATCCTAATGTAGGCTCAGGCAAACACCCTTCCCCTCCCTTCCCGCACCCCAATGGTTTCACGCGCAGCACTAGCTAGAGTGGGGCTGATCCTTCATTTCAATAGGCGCAGTCTTTGCATCCTAACTCACCAACCTAGGAATGCACCTCATCGATAGATCCTCGTCCTCAGTTCTGATGCAGGCCTCATTTTTCTCCTCTATTCCATCGTGAATGCGACCTTGTCGCATTTCAATGGAAGGTTCAACCTTATCTAATGCTGATAACTCAGCAAGATTCGAATTTTTTTCTTCTTCAACAATTACTCATTGCATTCATTGCCTTGACGTAGAAGCGAAGACATTGGGGGCGGCAGGCATTCGCGTCGGCCCGCTCTGGGGGCGGGAAACCCCTAAATGGCTGGTTACTCTCTGCTTACGCGTCCTCAGCGCAGGCTGCCCGATCAGGCCAAGTGATGCCTGATCGCCTGGGCAATGCTGGGGGCTAAATATTTAGTATGCGCCAAGACAGAATGATGGAGGGAGAAAAAGAAAAAGGCATTCACAGTGCTTTTACAAAGAGATGCCAATCATAGCTCTATTCAAGAAGCTTTCGGATTCTGCTGGCTGAGATAGCGCGATACCATTAGTGTGTTCGAAACACTTTATTTAAGGTGAAGTCGTATGCTCAAGCAACGAATCCTTATCAGCACCACAGGACTGAACTTACATAACTATAAATTGGCCTAGGAGTTGCCATGTGCCACAGGCAATATCTCTCTTGGAGTCAATCGCATGGCTTGCACACATCCCCGGGGCACACCGCTCCGCTTGAGGTCTGTGCTATGGTTTTTTGTCACTTCTAATCTCGCCCAGCTCATGCATGCATCAAGAAATTCTAAAGCACAGAGAGCCAAATGGTTCTGCCAGCTCGTGCCCGATCCAAATGCTACCTGGGTCACTAAATACACATATGACCCCGTGGAGTAGCACGTATGGTCTGTGTTCCGGTTGAATCACTTCACCTTCCTGGGCGATTATCGTTGCTCCTCTAAATTTGAAAATAAACGGATGGTGAATGACAATGTTACATTCAGTCAATCTCATTTTCGTAGGTGGTAATACCTCCTATCATGGCACATTTCAAGCCTCTTCTCAAAGACTTTACACAGGGAAATAATTGGTCCATCACATTGATTTGGCCGATAAAAATACGTTTCAAATTGAGCTGCCAAAACCATTCCTAACCATGGAAGAAGTATGCATGAGAGGAAAGCGAAATGCATTTCACTTGAGGCCCGTGCGATATGGTGCCACAACGGAACGGAACGGGCCCGACTTCCTCGGCCCGGTGCGTACTCGCAGGAGCGGCTCGCAGGAAGATCATATGATGAGACACATGAGTATTTGTCATAAATTAAGATTTTCCGCGTATCCTATTTTTTTTTATTTGAAAAATATATCCTTAGTTCGCGATGTGACGCGGCTACTTGCTCTTACATGAAGTTGGTTAGATTATGGGAACTTATCGAGCTAGTAGGCGACAGTAATTTCGATAGTAAGACTCAATTATTCCGTGGCCAACGATTATCCTGATATGATGTGAGGGGGGAAGTATAACCACCATAGCTCGCATGGGGACACACGGAAGGGAACCTTAGATTCAAGATTGACATAAATTCCACACTTACATATAAGACCGCCAATTTCCAACCACCATCAACACTCCTATTACCTTGTTTCAGAGGTATTATTATAGTTCAGAGGTATAGGTTATACGCTAGAGGTAATATAAGTCTATATACAGCATAAGCAAAGTTGGTTAGATTTTGGGGCAAAGTCTAATATTGCAGCTAACCTCCTAATCTGCACCAGGCTCATATTACAGCACAAAAGATCAAAAGAAAGCAGTCATTCAACCTCCTTATACGCAAAGAGAAGGTAAGAGTCGCATAGATTTCTGGGAACCGGCTCTGGTTATGTAAGATGGTTCTGGGCACAAGATTATGGTTAGCAGTAGTACCAGAGTATAATCACAATTACTATCAATCAGTAATTAACTTAATCACTGTACTCTTATAAATCAGTCCCGAGTTTCTAAGTACCAGCCAAGGCACCGCTCGCAGAGAGGTTTTTTAATAACTTGGTTCTAGAGCTGCTGATGCATTCCAATAATTTGCAATAGGTCAGTTAAATGACACTTCTTGTTCGGGACTTTTTGGAAAAAAGCTAGAAAGTTCAAGATACCCATTAATAGCTGTTAGTTCTCAATATACCCAACAGATACTGCAGACTCATAGATATAGAGGCAAAAAGCTATATAAGAATACCATTAAAATACATGTAATTTATATAAGTACTCTAAAAACTTCTTGATGAGCTAGACCATACTCTAGATAGCGTTAGAGAGCAAGCACTGTTTAGTAAGAAAACGTTACCACCAAAGACAGCTGAATGTCATGCAAGATTCAATATCTCATTTGCGCATTGTGGCTGTTGCTAATTACACATTTGTCTCTTGAAAGCCATATGAATTGCTCCAAAGCTCCTCTCATGTTGAAAGTCGTTTCACCTCGGTCAATCAACGTTAAGGGGGCAAATAATTTGCCAAGTGGGCCCAGTTTCATCCAGCGGTACGATCCATGTTCTTGTCCACTACCCCAAACGCCTTGCTATGCTTATTTCAACGTTGAAACGAATGCCTCATTGCCCGACAAAGAAACGCTCGCTCGGTATAAATGTCGAATGGGAAACTCGGTTCAGGTAAGATGTTCGCAAGTGGTGCCTGCGCAATACCTGACTTGAGCTCCGGACAACTTCAATTGCTTGGTAACTGAGTTGAGGGCCGCTTCACCTTTGTCTACAACGTTGATGAGGCAAATGATTTGTCAAGGAACTAACCTGTGTGACCTCATTGTTTGTGCCATACATTCGGGTTGTCCCAGAAAACCCAACACTCCTTTGTCCATTGTCTTCTCAAGTTGCTGCCCCGCTGTCAACCACTGGCTACTCCTTCTAATACCGCTCCAATTTCCCACGAAATAAGCGGTTCAAGACAGGTCCGGGAATATCGTGACTCAATATGAGAGTCCTTTAGGGCTGGTGCGGACTTTTGCATATCTAGTCGCTGGCAAACTAGGTCGGGCGTTACGCCGACGAGCGCTCGGAAAGTGACCACGCCAACCTAGAATAGAGTTTAGAGCTTTAGTATTATTACAAGTAACTCTTCTACTTTACACATTATCATTTATATTATGCATTTATGCGGCTTGGCTCAGAGAGCTCAGCCCAACGAAGGCTCAAGCAACCCGCAAAGCAAACCCTAGCGGTATCCGCATAGGGTTTGCTACATAGCGTGCAAGGGTTCCCCCTACTTGAATCGCGAGCCGCCGCTGAATCGCCCCCATTCTTCGTCCCTGTCCATGTGATGGTATTTCCTATCGGGGTTTGGCATTACGGAAGATCTATTATAAGATAAGCAGAGCCACTCCCAGCGCCATTGCAGCAGCTGAGCCCCCAATAATCGCACCAAATCCATCCCAAGTTGACGCCCTGCTACGGAGTTTATACGCAGTATTAGACGTAGGAGAATCATTCTCTGTAGTCTCAGGGCTAGCAGTACCAGATCCAGTCTGAGTCCCAGTATAGTTATATCTGGTACTGTTAGACCCACCCGTAAACCCAGCTGCCTCCAGATCAGACCGATGATGCACCATGGTAACCACGGGGACAAAAGAAATAGCCGTTAACACACGCTCGATTCTATGGGGGAAAGATGTAGACGAAGTCGACGTAGTAGCGCTCACAAATGAGTTGACGTCGTAGGTGTTTGTCTTCGTGATACCGGAATGTACATGTGTTCTGGTGACCTTCTCCCAGCTGTAGTCACTATCCACGTAGACCTCACAGCCGACACTGGGCGTGTAGGTTGGGACTTGAGCGATACACTGCCCGAGACCATTTGGTGTCATCGAACTAGAGAATGAATTAGCCCAATTTCTTTACAATCAAAGTGATGCCGACTGACCTGGGACAACAAAGGGCCATGGTCTGACTCGGCTTCAATAGACTCGCCAAAAGTGTCGCAGGCTCCTCATAATACGGTATTTTATCCTCAGACGTAGCCAAAAACCCCGAAGTACTCAGCGACTTATCATTACGCGCAGCCATACCAATCGTCTCCCAGCCGGAAGGACAATACACTCCTGGCGAGTAGTATCCAGCAGAAGCGACCCATTTTTTCTCATCGTACCAAGTTGCCGACGTGGTCGTTCCAGGTGGCATACAGTCCCAGTCACTTGATGATGTAGGACAGGCGACTTGGAATTGAACCTGGGTCATATCATGATCAATCATGGCGAGGGCGAGTCTATCCGTCGCGGTACAACTGGGCGCAGGGGTGAATGTTGTCGTTATGGGGCCATAATTTTCGAAGGTCCAGTATCCCCCGGCGACAGATGCAGTAGTCATGCTCGCGAAAGCTATGTGATTCTGACGTTGGTTGAACTCGTAGCAGAAAATTTCATAATCTCTCGCAAAAGAACGCTCCTGCGACCAGCATTATGTGGGCTTTCAAGGTCCTAGCATAGGATGTTGTGGCTTTTTAGCCAGAGACTAAATTTCGATAGTTAAATTACCATACCTCGTATTAGCCTCGGCGATGTTCGATTGAGGCTAAAGTTGCTTTGCTTTCGACAAATCTCCATTGTTCATCTCGCTAGCTAAGCGAATTGCCAGTCTAGCCGGCTTGGCAGGGGCCCAGTCAACTCAGATCCATAGGCTAGGGCTCGCTTGGGTTAGTGATGTCTTACAGGGTCACATCTTCTTTTGTCAGCGGTCCACTCCAGATTGTACCTAGGGTCATTCACGACTGGCGAGTTGGCCACGAGTAGATGAGAGCTCTTACAACCACAAGGAAAGTCCCATAACAATGTTGAGAACTCAATAGAAAAACGTGAAAAGTTCTTCGCCCTTCCCCTAGTCATATTTGTGATCTAAAAATAGTTCCGGAACCTTTGTTGAGGTCTTAAGACCTCCCGCGTAAAATCTCGGAGATTGTGAGAGCTCTCACCTACGGTAGAAAAAACATTTTGGAAATTTGGTCTCGTTCGATATCACGCGATCTTAAAGCTTGGGCAGGAGGGATTTATAAGCTCTAGAGGTAGTTAGATTAGGGTTTCAAACCCCCAGAGGTTGTAAGTTTCAGGCTCTAAAACTACCCTTGGTTCTCAGACCTCCAAGCTTGCAGATGAGACGTTTCAGAGCTCCACGTCAAAAGCCCTGCCGCTTCATGAACGTTGGTATCTTTTCCACTCTAATAGCTGCCCCCTAAATGTATATACTTTGAATCAATGACAACTAAATTAGATGACGAGGGCAGTAGAAACCTTGTTCATAACAGACCTGATGCAAACGGCCGTTCCATTGTTGTTCGAGGTGGCTTCCTTCAGGTCAAAGCACAAATGGACCCTTTCGTAAATATGATCTTTAGTTTACAAGAGGATGTAAGTGAGAAATCGAGATGATAGTTGTATGCTTCATTTGCAATATTCCTCGCTCGGTACGCCTGCCAAGTAAAATTCCTCCGCCTTCGAGAACGAGCACGGCCAATATGAGATGTGCACTCTCTTGCAGGATCTTTCGATAACAATCTCAAGATTTGCGCTCAGCAACATAGCACAAAAGCTTGCTCGCGATGGAGACAGTATCCGATCTCCGTTTTCGATGCCGGCGATGGCGGCTCTCGAGCCCTGCACAAGACCAGAAACAATGCGCGTATTGGTGCTCGACTTGTCGAGCCCGAAATCCATGATTTCCTGCAATAACGAGGTCAAGAACCAATTCTTGTTAGCTACAACGACATCGTTCAGTTTAATTACGGCGCCTCTCAGTATAGCGCGGAGTTCCCGGGACTGGTCTCCGAGGTACGGCCGCAAGTACATCAGCCAGTCATACGTCTCAAGCCTTTCCCCTCTTTTCCAGCGTTTACCTATATCAACAATAATGTCATTCAGAGGGCTTATCCGGTTGAAACCAAATATCGCGGTGATTTTTCTCAATCTACTGTCAATCTGGAGAAGGTAGACGCAGCCACGTATATAGGGAATCAGCTCTGTATACTAGTGATTATAGAAATCCTGTTGGGATTTGGCTATATCAATATAGATTTGCGGGCTGTCACCATACGCTTGTAATGTCGTATTGAGTCTGCTGAAGAGGGACTCCAAGCCATAGAGACTAAATCGATAGGGCAAGAATATTGAATAAGATTCTGCTAGACCTAATGAGTTGAGTGAGCTATGAGATGAGTCGGTAAATAGGCAAAGACTAACTTACCTTCAATATACTAAATGTTGTCATATCCGTTATTCTCTGCATCCATAAGTAAGAAACTGTATACTAACTCGTAAGTGAAGAGAGAAAGTAGCTCCTCTTCTGTCTCCTTGCAGATTATATCATTATATTCAAAGACATAGCTCTCCAAACACGCGCTACCCCTGTACCCTCTGATTATCCGCTGAACAAAGACGCTGTACGAAGTGTTTTCTCTCTGAAGGTAGTCGGCTGACTTAGGGAACAACGACATATTATATTGATCTAATTAAATATTATCGTGTAGTCTGCCAAACCAGTATGTATTGATGCTGGAGAACAGGTCACCTTAGGAAAACTATTTATTAGTCCAACCATAAACATAGAATTCACAACTATCATAGGGCTGCCCTCTTTAGCTTAAGTAGTCGTAACTCGACCATCCCTCAAGTAGTCGGTGGCAACAATGGAGTACTCAAGGAAATGTAGGCCGCTACATGACGAACACTAACTATTGAACTTTATGCTAAAGTATCACGGATCTGCCTATTCAGACGAGTACACCCGTCCATCAAGGTACGATTACCAACTGTCTAACCACTAACCGTGACCAGTTAGCAACGCATAACACCAGTCCTCAGGCATATCTGTCCCTGGGAACTGGGGGCGCTCTAGGAGCAGGGCTGCAGTTCCCAGGAGCAGGCATCCTTGTGCCAGGGAGCTCTATCAATCAAAGCCCTGTCGAGTAGGTCGGCTGTTTTCTGTTCGTTGAAAGGCCGTGCTACATCCCATGGCTGATGTGAGGTAGCTTAGTACTGCGCAGTCTACTGGTCTGCTTATTGTGAATCTCGAAGGGATTTTTCTTCCAGTTTTGCGCCAAGGGAAAACATGCCAGTTGGTTGATTTCAATCAACCTCTGAAAATCAACCTCTCTCCTCGTATATGTAGCATCAAATATTTCTTTTAGATAATAAGCTCCGACGGCCATATCTGAGCCTACACTCCTGCATAATAAGGATGCTCTTGGGCAAATGCAAAGGAACGAGAGTTCAGAGGGCCAAAAGCCACTGATTGAGCTAGATGATGAGGATGAAATTTCCCTACCGGATAATAGCGACCTCGAGGAAGAAATTAGCACTCAGAGACGTACATCAGGGCTGGTTCCAAAGCGTTCCAAACGAGGTGATAGTCAATGGCGTTGTTATTCAGAGGAAAGTTGACTAAGTTATTTCTCTAGAACGAATACCTGAGGCTATAGATACTTCGAGAAGATCAAAGTTGATTGCAAATCAACTTTGTTCTTTGTATAGATACTTCGGGAATTATTTCCGATGGCGCGACTTTGTTCTTCATCTGCACCAGCCTCATATCATAACATACACTAACATGAAGCGAACACGATCCCCCATCATGTCTCCTAACTAAAATCTAGCTTTTCAAGACGGTATTGGCTGACCGTTGGAGACTTGAGTCGTGATGTTGTAATTGCCAAAGCACGCCTCCTGGTACATAGCCTCCTTGGTCAGATTAGGCACCTGACGTAGGAAGGCCCCGAGGGAACAGAATCCATTTACAGCGTTGTCACACAGCCCATCCACCGACACAGGCGCATTGTTCAGTACAAAACGGACGTAACCCGTGGTATCTGACTGGGATGAAAGATCCGGATTCTTGTACATCTTCTCCTGGAGCCGATCTAAGGACGCACCCTTAGGGCAGGTCCAAACTTCAGAAAAAAGACGTGCACCAAAAGGTGCGACCTGATTCATGTTGAACCTGTTATGAGAAGGTGCGTGTGGGACCGAGGTTGACAGGCCGTGGAGGCCAGCATTGAAGTAGTTGAGACCCAGCGCAGTCAGCGTTGAGATAATGACATCGTCGTGGGACATGTCCATGTAGAATAGCTGGCCGAGCGGAAAGTCCTTAGTATTGTCATCATACGTATAGTTGATGCTACTCTCACTACTAATTATCAGACGCGACTCTAGACGTGCAGCCAGTTCCTGAACGTAGCCAATACCATGGGCACGACCGCTGGGACTACCGAAGCCGGCGCTGCCGTAGAAGGCCAGGTCGAGGGAATATTGGAAGTCGCGCCATTCCTGCTCTGTGAACAATGAGCAGAAGGATGACCGGCCCAAAGCCGCGTACTCGTAGGGACACAGGCTGAACATGGCGCTGACGTCCATGGCGTCGAGGTCGAAATCATCGGGTAAAAACTTGGATAACCGCTTGAGAGCGCCGTTGGTCAGGGCCGGGGAAAAGGCTTCGGCCGCGCTGAATCTATTTTATGCATTAGCTCTACACATCATATCACATCAACAAGGTGCATGCTCTATACCCAACAAAACTGCCATTCTTGCAAGAAGACGTCGGGGATAGGGTGCTGTTGAAATTATTCTGCTCGGGAATAATAGTCAGGTCGTACTCCCTCTCAGAGCTGTTGGAATCCGTGTCGGAAAAGAAACCACCTGTGGGAATCCGTCGTCAGTTCAACATCAGATAGCAGATAAAAAAAATACTCACTTAACCACCAGCGCGCACTCTCGAGTATGCGAGGCTGCGAGGTCGAGCGAAATATGGGCTTTGGGCGGACCGTGCCGTTGGGATACACGTTTAACGACGAGTCATATTTAGCATCACCTGGACCAGCACGATATAGCAGATGGCCGTACATGCTCCAGAACAGTGCACCAGATGTAGATTCTGTAGCAGCACCAGTGGGCAGTAGCATGTCCAAGCCTAGCGTATACTCCCAACCATGGAGGAACTCCAGCGGGCCGATGCCGACCTTGCGGTCCGGGTTCTTCTTGGAGTAATTGCCCAGCTTCTGAGCGAATTTCTCCATGCTACCGCCGTCCCATTCTGTGGGATATCGCTGGCCATGGCGATGAAGTACGTGAACCTGCGACAGTTCACAACCCACCGGATATCCTTGAGAGATGCCGAAGCCCAGCGCATCTGCGTAGGGACTAAGGTTGCCCCAGCTAGTTTTTACGTCCAACCCAGGCATGGCTGCTGCAGAATTGCTGCCAGCAAGGGCAGAAAGCGCGAGTGTGGTAGAGTACAGAGCCCTCATGAGGAACAATCACCTGAGTCACGCCTCAGCTTAATTGAAGGTTTGTATGAATGGACGTACAATGCAACCGTCTGGAACAGCCGACTCTATATACTTATCTCGGCTATAGTGGGGCTGATCGTCAAGCATCATTCCCCGCAGGACCCTGAATCTTGGGTCGCCACTCCCCACATTATCTGTGCACCAAGGTAAATGTACTGAGTGTGTCGCGAGACAATATTGGCAACTGAGCACGCGTGTAATAGAATTTGGGTCGACCCACCGAAAGCGTAGACGAAAGTTGAGTGCTTTGGCCTCGTCGCAGTTATCCCGCAGTCAACGTAAGCATGTCGTGGTGTGAATGGTTTTTTTTTTCGGGGAAACAGCCGTTTTGAGGACTAACCGCCGGCGTCATAGCAGTTTGTGTTGTACTATCGGCTAAAACATCGGCAGTTTTGTTTGTCTGCAACCGACAAGAGAGGAAATTAAGTTTATTAGATAACCTGATAAGCGGCCAAGGGTTGCTCGTATTTTTGCATCTGTTCATGGCATTAACAGCTTGCTAGTTCCGAACATCGTCATTCACGGCGCCGATCACACGTGCCACCCACGGTAATACGAGATTCTTGACAAGTCCTGATCACATCGCGGATGGAATAGACGGCATTCTTGAGCAGGAAACTCATTGCCTGGTCAGAGTTACATCTTACACGCTGTAGTCGACTACGGGCATAACCCATATAACGTGGCTATGGAAAGAAATTCAATTTTGAGGAAATTAGCTGGTACCGTTGGAATCTGAAGTGCAATGTCGCTGCACTTTCGTGTTTCTCAACAAGAAACGAGGTTCTCGAGGGATGGCTAGACTCGGTTTCACAGTGTCTATTCGGGCCTAGTACTCCACATCCCAGTCAGCGCCGAGATGAAGTCCGCCACAACCACGCTTCGGCTAAACTCCGGATATCGGCCACCTGGATTTTAACTTTGAATAATTCTTTTTTCATCCTTGTCTCTCGCTTGTCCTTGTTTCTCGCATGCCCTCCGTAGTGGAAACTTAACACGGGCTCCAATGTCTCTTGGCGAGAAGGATGGTACGTGGCCGAGGGCTTTTCTACTTCCATTCGAATTGGGGATAACCTAATTAACGAGGTGAAAACCCACTTCTACTAGCGACGCGTGCGGATGGGGTCAAGCAAGTTTTCTTTAAGTTCAGAGTGACCTTGTAGCTTACCGGCATGACAATATAGTGCATCGTTGTAAACAAATTAGATTGTAATTCTAAAAGATCAGCTAATTCAAATTATCAATGCCGAATCAATCATACCGTTGGTTCCAATGACGAGGGCTTGTAAGTGGAGAAGGAGGAGGGTGAAACTTAGTTCTACCTTTCTCATGTGGATGAGATATGTACTTACCAAATAATAATTATGTATTCAGGGTGCCTGGCCAAAGACAAGCTGTGGAGAGCTACTATCCTATAATATCAGCCAGCTTACTTCCATTCTCTCGCGAAAGCTTGACATGGAGGTATATATGTAACTTCAGATTATTACAATGTCACGACAGATTCAAGCAGCAACTCCATCAGTGCGGTGCTAATGTCATTTTCCAATTTTCCAGGGCATCTGAACATGTAAAAAAAGAAGAGTTGGCAAGAGCAGGCGGGAGAACAACGGACTCTGTTATGATACATGTACGGGGGCTGTGCAGATCAGGACCACATCGCACCGTAAATTGTAAAGTATCTGCCTCTTATTATACAGGAAATGTGACAAGGTAAGCATAAATACTGAATGAACATGAAAAATTCTGCGGTTGGGCTAGTAGGTAGCTAGAGGCGCAACATGGCTTGACGTTTGTACTGTATGATTGGGATGGGACATTCTTTGAGTGGAAGAAGGCGCTCATTATCGGCCAGTGGAATAAAATAATGTGATCACTTTTCTGCCGTCTCCTGTAGCAATAACGTATGGGCCCATGTTGATGGATGTTGAAACGTGTCGTCGATGCTTTTCCGTGGTATCACCGCGAGTGTTGAAACGGTGCCAACAGTCAGGAAAATCCTTTGGTACACTGGATCTTCAAATAGCAGTCACATGTAGACCTAATTGACCGCCCGCCAATTAGGTCATCCACAGTTCAACGATCTTTCACAGTTCAACGATCCTTTTTGTTTATTTGCCCTTACCACCACCTTTTTACCATGAATTTGAACAAAATGACTATCGAAGAGCGTGTAATTGCGGCCTGCCAAAAGGCTAAGACCCTCAAAAAGCCCAATTTCGCCGCGTTGTCGCGTGAATATTGTGTTCCCGTGCAGCGCCTACGGGCGCGTGCAAAAGGTCGACAATCCAAAAACGACCGCCCTGCACCCCATAGAAGGCTAGATGACGCTCAGGAAGCTGCACTATTTGCCTGGATCAATCGTCTAGATAACCTAGGTGTTCCGCCTACCTCCGGACGTATAGAAGCTAGTGCAAATGCTATGATTCGTCGTCTAGACCCATTGGCGCCATCTCTCAATAAAAACTGGGTGTACCACTTTATTGAGAAAGCAACAATACAACACAGCTTTTTCTGGATAAAGCAGAAGCCAATGGGACGTGATCGATATAGTAGCCTCGATATTGGTATCATACAGGCTTTTTTTGATCGGATTGAGCCTCTGATTGCTGCTATTCCGGCCTCCCATATCTATAATTTTGATGAAACTGGATTCCTTCTAGGCCAGGGAAGACCTCAAAACGTGCTTACGAAGTATTCTGAACGTCGTTCTATTGCATCTGAGGAGCGTGGCAGTCTTTTTACTGGGATTGAATGTATTTCAGCAGATAGTTGGTTAATGCCAGCGTATTTTGTTGCGAAAGGCAAATTCCACCTTGAACGCTGGTATATCAATAACAACAACCTTCCACACAATTCACGGATTGCTATGTCGTCTAGTGGCTATTCCAACGATGAAATAGCTATAGATTAGCTAAATTTCTTTATTCGGCACACACGGCAACGTACAACTGGCAGAAGATTATTGTTGTATGATGGCCATAGTTCACATCTTACCTGGGAATTCTTAGAAATATGCAGGCTAAACAACATTATTGCTTGTGTATTCCCTTCCCATACGACCAATCTAGTCCAGCCACTCGATGGAAGCCCCTTTCGAGCATTGAAACAGCGATTTAAAGCCAAAAATAATGAGGTTACAAGCTGGGGCGGAGATGTATGCGATAGTGGCTTCTTTTTCCAAGAGATTGAGGCTATTCGCCAGGAATCAATGACAACACGTACTATTCGCAAGGCATTTGCTACACATGGTATCTTTCCATTCAAACCAGAGCTTGTTATTGAGCCATTAATGGAGGAACTTGGTTGCAATAACTACAACCTTCAAGTATTTAATGGTGTCGATGAAGCTGTACAAATTAGCTCGGATTTGCCAACGTCACCTCTCAGAAATGAGTTTACAGCACGCCGATCGACAACCAAATTAAACAATCTTTTGGATACTGAAAAAGAGGCAATTCCACCAAAGCTTCGTGATGCAATTGATCGATATACTGGGGCCTGCATCGGCAAGGTAGACCTAGTTGGTATTATGGACAACACATTACAAAACTACCCGCCAAAACAACCTAAAATTATACGCAAATCAAAGCGACGGGTTGGCATATTTGGTCCATTAACAACCAGCGATGCTATACGCCGTGTTGCTGAAAATATTGCTAAGCGAGCAGAGCCTACTAAGGAAGATGACCAAAATATAGAGAGCTCAGAGGGCCCTGAGGGCCTAGATACACCTGTTCCGACCGAAAAAAAGCCTTCACATACTATTCCTGGTGGCGAAGAAGTGTTTGAAACAACCCGGGTCTATACTAGAGCGATGTTGTGGTAGTAAATAGCAATATAATAAAAAAAGGATCGTTGAACTGTGAAAGATCGTTGAACTGTGGATGACCTAATTGGCGGGCGGTCAATTTGGTCTACATGTGACTGCTAATAACGGCCATGGCTCTGAATAGTATGTGAAATCAGTGACGAAATGCTGAGCCAGCTGCAATTAGAGGGTCGGCTTTGTTGGCGCCTTCGCCCTCGCAATTCGCAACGATCATTACATCAACGCAAGTAGAATGGCGGGCTGCAATGCTATAAATACCCGATCCTTCGCCAGCAGAGTAGTCGTTCTCAAGCATTCCCTTATCATTATGGGGCAAATAAAATATCGAACGCTTCTCGAATTCGCTAGCTCCTCTCCCTTGGTATGAACTGATCCCGAACTACCATGCCTTTGTGACCATACTGAACATTCTATCACCCCTAGCTTGTCTACGCCCGACACTGGAATCTGTTAACGGCAGGTAAGTTTATTTATCCGATCATTTGAAGCCATGCTAACGTGGGAGATGTTTAATATCAGTTCCGTCTCGGCTATTCCTCTGAGAATTAAATTAAAGTACTTGGATTGGTCCCGATAATAAACTCAGGTTATAAAGACAGTGGTTTATGAAGGGCCCCATAAGCTACCTATTGATGGTTTATCATAGATCAAAACCATCCACTACCAAGCTGACTTGGCCAAACTAGAATACCGTGCGCAGCAGTAGCTGGCAAGGTAAGTTCTGATCACTATGGCAGTTTCGAGAGTAATTAACTTAGCCTGTGCTGACGACTCTCTGTATAGAAAGCCGATCGTTTTACCATGGGCCAGCCCATGTCTTGTCAGTTGTCCATGCGTTGCCACTACCTATTCCCAACGGCCGGGACTGAATTTTAAATCTCAGTGCGGAATCTATCTATTTTTGGCTCTCTGTTCTTACGAAAATATCGCTGATGTCTTTTTCTCGTCATAGGGCGAATGTCAATATTGCACTCGACACGACCGAGCCTTATTCCCCCATCATCCTTCAAACTAAGTCAGGTGCAGCAGCTTCGTGGGCGAGAACTCTGGCTCCCAGTATGGTTACACCTTCGCTGTTCCAAAAGACCTGGTTGAAACGGCCACTCCGCTCGATACATTTAGCGGGCTCAACCAGGAAGGCCCAATACCCTCCGATTAGCCACACGGTAACATTCCAAATTATTTTCATATATTTCACCTCTCCTATCCGACCGATGACTAACTGTCACTGCACTAGAATATTTTTTTCATTTCTGACACTCTGGTTCTCTTGTCCCACGTCGGATCCGAAGGCTCGACAACAGCATAATCCGGTCCCATGCTAGACCGAGCTATTACAGCATCAGACAAGAATAAAGGGAAGCCCAGCACCGACGACCACCGAGAAAACCCACGATTTCTTCGAAAGCAGCATCGACCAGTCATGGATCGATTCCCCGGCCACAACCGTAGGCAGCTCTGCCAGGGCCCTCACAACGCTCGAGGGTGATTGCAGCGGAGCAAAATGGCACGGCAAGCCACAATGTTGGAAGTACCCAGACCTCTCTTGCGAAAATATTTGCTACCCGGCCATTGCCTAGTCTAGCCTAGAGGAAATATCATAGATTTCTCCTCTAGTGGTTCTCTGTTCTGGTACGATTGGACGCCCATCTGGCCACTGCCTGTGTCCGCACAAACAGCAAATTGATATAGCTATACGTCGAAAGATATGGGCCTGCGCCCACGTCCACTTCCTCGTACGCACTGACCTTGGGCCCTCGTGTACTTGATTGAGCTGACCTGCTGCCTCGTCTCTAGTTCGGCCATGATCAATGCCAAACTACACTGATAGCAAGTATGTGCTGTCCCAATTCACTGGAAGTCATGCTGACGTGGAGACGCATTGGATTTCAGCATTTTTTGGCTGTTCCCACAAATTCAATTAAGATAACCTATCATGAATAATCTATTATGGCCCACATTAGGATTTTTACCGGGCTCGAAGCACAGTGAGTTACGAACGACCACCTTGCGGCAGCTGCTGATCATTGATGGCATATTGAGAATGTCCAGTGGGACATCGTTTTTGTCATGGCCCAATGCCGATTCAACGCTGCCACTATGACCTATGCACCCCCCCGCCAAGACTTTTTTCCCATGTTCCCCTCGGGAGACGGGGCGGAATAACTTTAGGGTACTCCGAGATAGTTGTTTAGTATTTTTTTTTCCAAACCCCTCGTCCAAATTGGAACCCAGATCGGATGATGTATAGATGTTCTCATTGGGTTCGGCTATTCTATATAGCTGTGTTTCTATGGAGTTGCTGGAGATGTGGAGTGCAATTATCCGGTGTCAGATATGCCCATCCTTGTTCTTGGGACACAGTTCCGATGGAAAGAAAAGACAGACATGGCGTAGAACAGTCTACATTCGTTCATTGAGTGGTTCCGAAAATCGCTGTGGATCGGGGAGAGACTTTCGATATCCTCACTCTGGGCGTATACTCGGGGGGGGGGCCCCCCACATAAGTCTCTCGGAATATTCAGACACATACAACGACAGACTCATGCAGGAAATAGGTATGTGGGGCGAAGGAAGCAAATCTCAACGCCAAGCGCCAGCATTTTCGCCAAGAACGCGATTCCCAAGAATCCTTGATGACGAAAATCCCCTTCGTCACTAATCGTTTGATGCGGGGGCGAGGTGCATCTTGGAAGTCTGGATCGGGTGTACGCAAGGAGCTATCAGGTTACTGATGAGAGTGAAATACCGAACTCATCTACCGGTTGTGCAGTAATAAGTGTCACATCTAAGCCCAATAGGTACTGCCAAGCCCGGTAGAGTCATCTAACAAGGCATCTGAGCTTTATTCTCCCAGGTCAAAGTTGTGTCACGGTTGCTTTAGAGAGCGCATCCAAACCCGCCAATTCCGCCCTGAATTCAATCTAGATGACATTGAAAATGCATCTGATGATTATGGAAATCAAGGTAGTAGTCGCCCATCATCAGGGCCGTTTCCTCCAGTCTGTGGACTACCAGGCCAGATATAATGGTAGAGTCTTTCGTCATAACATTCGTCTGGACTCCGGCCTCGGAGATAACTACAAGAAACTTCCTCAAAGCATTTAATGTAGCCCGCTTCAAAACCCTCGTTAAGAAAGTTTTAGGAGAGTTGAGCACAGATTAGCCGTTCGGGCAAATGTGGGGACGATGGTTGGTCTACGAAAGTCATATTTGGTGTACTCAAGAGGAAGCTTCCGCATTGCCTCAGACGTTCTCCACAGATCCTGCAAAGAAAAATCTCACTCAGGGTGAACTTACATGTGGGGCATCATCTGTGGGTGGTGAGGGGAAGTAAATTACTTTCATAGGTGAAATTGAAGTTCTACCGCCGATAGATTTGGCGGGGAAACTGGATCGCAAAGACATAAAAGCATGTTAGGACCCTCATTGATCTTTTGCTAGGACTCATCAGCATATCCACAGAATGCCGCGTATAATAAAATCACTTTTTCTGACTTTTAGCCTGCTTCTGGCAAATGCTAGCGCTTCAGGAAACCTGGGATCAGCCTATCCACCTGGGCCTGTACATGGCAAGAAGCCTAACTTTGTTTTTATCCTGGCAGACGAACAAGATTTGCATCTCAACTCACTCAAATATATGCCAAAATTACAGCGACTGGTTGGAGATGAAGGCACTACCTTTGAGCGACATTTTTGTACGATTGCCATCTGCTGCCCGTCGCGAGTGAGTCTGATGACAGGCAAGCTGGCACATAACACCAATGTCACCGACGTGAATCCTCCACATGGTATGAAAAATAGGGGTTCAATGTATATCTGCGGAGATAGCTAATACTTCTAAGGTGGATATCCGAAATTCGTGGCAGAGGGACATAATGAGAATTACTTACCCGTCTGGCTTCAGGACGCAGGCTATAACACCTATTACACCGGCAAACTTATGAACTCTCACACACCTTCCAATTATAACAAACCATTCCCTAAAGGTTGGAACGGAACAGACTGTATGTAGCCTTAGCTCCCTTGAGAAAAGGTGCACTGAGATTGACCGTGTCTCACAGTTCTGATGGACCCCTCCACCTATAGCTACTGGAACTCCACCTTCCAGAGCAACCATAATGCACCTGTTGAGTCGGATGGCTACTCGACCGACTTCATCTCTAATTATGCCCTCAACTTCATTGAGGAAGCTTATAGCTCCGACCGCCCATTCTTCATCGGAGTTGCTCCTATCGCACCACACGCAAAGGTAGTTGCTGCTGAAGGCTCGTCAGCCTTCACCTTCCCCGATCCTGCAGAGCGCCATCAGGAAAAGTTTGTCGATGTAAAAGCTCCTCAGGAAGGAGGCAACTTCAACCCTGACACGGTATGATCTCACCTACCATCCTAAGATACTCCAATGCTGACCAACCCAGCCGAGCGGAGCCAGCTGGGTGATGGATCTCCCACAGCTAAACTCTAGCCAGCTCTCTTATTTAGACGAGTATTATCGCAAAAGAGTTCGGTCCCTTCAAGCAGTCGATGAGCTTGTGGAAAGCGTGGTGACAAAACTCGAGGATTATGGACTGCTGGAGAATACCTATATATTTTACACATCCGACAACGGATACCATATGGGCCAGCATCGCATGACCCCTGGCAAGGGCTGTCCTTACGAGGAAGATATCAATGTCCCCATGATTATCCGTGGCCCTGGAGTGCCTAAGGGTCGGACGGTTGATTTTGTCACCTCGCACACTGATATCGCTGCCACTTTGTTTGACCTGGCCGGTATCCCCTTAAGAGATGATTTTGATGGACTCCCGATGCCTTTGACTGTTCCTGAGATACATAATGCTAAATCTGACCCACGTCGGGAGCATTTGTCCGTTGAATTTTGGGGCACAATTATTGAGGAGGGCGATATTGGGCGAGTTTCACCGACTGAAGGTGCTCTCGTCCACAGTAATAACACCTACAAGGCTATGCGAGTAATCGGCGACTCTTATAACTTTTTCTACTCGGTCTGGTGTACTAATGAACACGAGCTTTACGATATGACGGTTAGTGACCATTCAAATTTCTTCCCCTGCCGTCCGAAGCTGATATTCACCACAGAATGACCCGTACCAAATGCGGAATCTTTTCAACAATTCTAAGGGCAGGCTACTCGGCCGAGATATTAATCAAGTGATCTCCCGTCTAGATGCTCTTTTGCTGGTTCTGAAGAGCTGTAAAGGCTCAGAATGTACATTTCCCTGGCAAGTGCTCCATCCGGATAAGAAGGTCACAAGCCTTCCTCAAGCACTGCAACCTAAGTTCGACGCGTTCTACGCTGCACAGCCCGATATCAGTTTCTCGGCGTGTGAGTTAGGATACTTGCTGGAGTCGGAGGGACCACAGGAGGGTTATGCGTATCGACGCAATGGACATTGGAGTAACTGGGTATAGGGAAAATGCCTAAACATATTCCGGCCCGCAAAGGGAGGGAAGGGGGGGGTGTTCCCAGTCAACACGGTATCCCCCCCCCCTAAGTAGGTCAAATCTTGAGATATTTTGATCAGACTTTTTAGATCTTTTTATAAGAATCATCTAAAATATCTTAGTATTTAATTAGATTCTATGATTTCCAGGTAGAAGGGGCGAACCCTAGAGGGCCTGGTTTCGCTGAATTATTTTTGATAGGGGACGCTGGGGCCGTGTACTACGGGTACGCTATACCGCTTTCAGCCAGGGTCCCTTAGGTAAGTAGGGTTAACGTAATCCACGGCCGAGCCGCGCACAGGAATATCCCGGTTGCTGAGATAATGACACTGGGATCACGTGCATACATCTACCTACCTCTCACTTCACTTGTATCTTAGACATACAACACACAATCAACTTCCCTCAATAACATGAACGTTGAAGCATCACTTAATAAAATAACACATAAGCTTACGACCCTCCCCTCTGAAGGGGCGGATAGCGGATCGCGAGGAGAGACCCACGGTGCGGGTCATGGCGAGGTCTACATATTTCCGTTTACGGGGAAGTCACGCGTGGTCCAGGAACGCCTGTTCCTTCAGCATGGTTCCATTGGTCCTGATAGGGGTGCACACGATATCGCAAAATTGCGATAATTGCGATACGATATCGTTATCGCTATCGTATCGCAAGCCGAAAAATTTTTGCGATACGATATCGCGTATCGTATCGTAGGGTCAAAAGTTTTGCGACAAGTATCGCCTATCGTATCGTCAGTAATGCCGTATTAACGATACTATAACGATAATATCGCAAGTTTTTGCCAAGCTTTTTATGCCCTAGGGTGATCGTGGTGATGTCGGCCACGGTCGGCCACGACGACGCAAAAAAGCCATAAAAAATAAAGCAGCGCCTATTTGCTATCTAGGTCTAGCTCTAATGACCTCCATAAGGTCCGTAGGTGCGGTTGGTGGCCGTATATTGGCTCTGGTCGGTCGGTCGCCGGGGGATCGCCGGTCAACCTCACCACGGCATGCCCAGCCACCAAATCATCTAAAAAAGCAATAAAAAATAAAGCAGTATCTAATTTTATACGCCTATAGGCATAGCTGGCGGCTGTATATTAGCTATGATCGGCCGGTCGTGTGGAACGCGATCACCACGCGACCGACCGACTATAGCTAATATACGGCCACCAACTGTCACTATGGACGCTATAGAGGTTATCGGAGCTAGAACTGGATAGCAAGTAGATACTGCTATATTTTTTATTGTATTTTTAGATTATTTGGCGCCCAGGTGTGCCACCGCGAGGTTGACCGGTCGTGGTGGTCAACTCGCGACCGTGGTTACCACGCGACTATGGCCGATATACGCCCACCCACTATCACTATGGACGCTATAGAGGTCATCGGAGCTAGTACTCAATAGGAAATAGCTACTGCTTCCTTTTTTAACGCGTTTTTGAACGATTTAGCCTGCTATAGCAATATAAGCCTGACGATATCGTCAATATCGTATCGCAAATCGTATCGCAGGCCTCATATTGTTGCGATAAAATATCGCACATCGTATCGCAATAATTTGGCGATAACGATACGATATGCGATATGCCAAAATTCCTGCGATATCGTATCGTGTGCAGCCCTAGGTCCTGAGCGTTTGTAACACAGCTCCAGGGTACCAGCAACAAGTCATCATATTGTTCCTCTAGAGATCCCACTTACTTAGTGCAATTTTTAGCCAAGGTACGGATCTTCCGTGGTCCATGATGTACTTTACATGGGATACAAGAACAAATCAACATATTAACGTTCTCTGTCAGCCTTTAACACTTCTAGGTACACAGTGTGAGGATGCCCAGATACCCACAGATCAACGTACAGCGTGGCATACGATGCAATGAAGTAGTAGCGGTTCGAACGAAAGTAATAGCTTGAGGAGAATAAGGAGGAAGCTGAGATGGAACTAAGTACATGTAGGCGTGGATGCCTAGTGGATGCCATCTACGTCAGGCATAGACGAATGGTAACAACCCCACTTCGTTACACACAGTCTCAAAGGTACGGCTTAGATTCCGTATGAGAGAGAAAGACACCTGCATAGCCACCGTCAACAGTAGCCTTGTTCACGAGAGCCAAGACTGATTTGGCACTGTCTTCTGGCTTCATAGGTCCTTGGAAGGTGGGGGAATATTGCTTAAACTTCCCAAACATAGCCATAGCCAACTGTCCCTCCTCCTCCGTTTCTATCGAAAGGTTAGCAAAAAGCATTCCATTTCAGTTATCAAGACGACCACAAACCAATATTAAGACTGCCAGTGTCTACAGCACCAGGGCATATAGCCATGCAGAGTACGTCTTTCTCACGGTACAAGGCGCTGAACTTGGCTATCGCCATATTAAGGGCTGCCTTGCTCATTGCATAGGACGCGGCTTGGTAGATATCGGCATTGAGTGTCATCTCAGGGTCCGACATGCCCGTGGAGATGGCAATCACTTTTTTCGCCCGACCTTTCAGAATCAGGGGCATGAAAGCATTGAAAAGATGGACGGGGCCGATGGTATTGACTCGGAAGTGTTCAATCACATCTTGTTCAAGGGCTTTCGGATCGTGGCTCCTGTGGAGAGGTTAATACCGAATCAACAGACCAACGATCTTTGGCACTCCGCCCAGAACTTACAGAGTATCAAAGCCAACCAGCGCAGTCTTAGATTGAAGCGCGGCATTGGCTATGACATAATCAAGGGCGCCATTGGTTTTCTCCGAAACATACTGAGCTGCTTTCTACGAAATCTTTAGGTTAGTTTCGACTTCGGTTTTAATATATTGCTCATTAACTTACCGCCAATGCCACTGGGTCCGTGGTGTCGGCCTGAATGATGTGAATATTTGTCCGGCCGATTTCAGCGGCAACCTTGGACTCGACGGCTACTTTGTCGCGGACAAGGCCGAAGACGATATTGGCCGGATCTTCAGAGAGCTGGCGGACGAACTCAAACTAGACGATGAAGTATGTGCGTTAGTTACACGAGTCTTGTTCATGAAGAAGGGATGAGAGCGTACGCCAAGGCCACGGGAGACTCCAGTAACCACCCAGGAAGACATGGTGATGGTTGATAAAATTTACGAAGACTGAGGTGGGATCGTAGGATGATTCTGAGAGTTGATGAACCCAGAAGAGCGGCAATAGCGCATATATTTATACATCGATCTTGAGCATCGTTTGCTCGTTTTTGCTGATTTCAAATCCGTCATGATGTTACATGGGGGTGGGTAATTTAGAGTGGACCCTCGCTTTAGACATAGGCAGAGTTTAGTCCAGAATCTTAAATGAACACACTACAGCATTATAAATCACAAGTTATACATAGATTGGCTTCAATGACCAAATAGCAGGTCCACTTGTATTATCAATCTGCGTGTTTGCTAGTTTTGCTCTGTTTGCTTGAACTTAATTATAACCTTCCTTTGAGCGGACCCACACCGCTCTGCGGGTGGGTCACCAAGCAAGTTTATTTTGTATGTATCCTAGTTTGAGCTGTTTGTGCTGATTACTAAGGTCCAATCAACGTTGATCTGGGCGGGTTAAGCTTTGTTTGCATTATAGTTCATGCTGTTTGTATCGATGACGCCCCAAGGTCCAAACGGGTTGCTGCATAGTCCTGGTTTGTGTTGATTACTAGGGCCTAATAAACACCGATGAAATCATAAGAGAATTCAATATCTAGCTTACCAAGCGTTCGGTTTGCTCGGGTGCCGAACTGATTAGTTCATGTCCTGATGCTCCCGCCATTGAAGTATACCCCCCCTCCAAATGTCAGTTATCTCTATGATACCAAGGAGAGGATTCTGGCCGCCCCCGAGTCCCTTGACAAATACCGCATTTAGCTGCCCTATTTTTGTCCTAGCCCAGAAAAGGGCGGTTTTTAATCTCTATCTCCAGCCCCTGGTCCGAGTATCAGCCAGCGCGAGATCCTTATATCCCCCGACCTGCTTCTCCAGCGCGGCGATAAGCCCCTAAAGCTGGCACGGCCACGTTTCGCATTGTTGAGCCCTGCCCACGATGACGGTCGACGCACGTACCGACGCAGAGGTGACGCTCGACGCGTTAGCGCCGACTCATGCACTGGTGAAGCAGAGGGAAGTTACGGCAGAAGGCGGCGATCCACAAGTCCCTCCGCCGGCGGCCTACCCCGAAGGTGTGCCCTCCGAAGACGAATATCCCAGGGGACTCGCATTGCTGTTTATCCTTCTGGCGCTCGTCCTGTCCATTGTCATGGTGGCCGTCGATCAGGTGAGGGGCTGGATCTCATTCCCTCTCCTGCCGCCCACCCTCCGCTGACCCTCGACCCAGACCATTATTGCAACGGCCATCCCCCTGATTACCGACGAGTTCCACAGCGTGACTCAGATCGGCTGGTACGGGTCGGCCTTCTTCCTGACGTTTGCCTCGTTTACGGCATCGTGGGGCAAGCTCTTCAAGTATTTTCCCTTGCAGTGGACCTTCCTCGTCGCCGTCTTCGTCTTCGAATTGGGCAGTCTCGTCTGCGGTTCGTGTTTGCCGTGTTCCCCCCCAAGGGCTTTTGCCTGGCGATCGGCTAACTCCCGTCCATAGCGGTCGCCCCCAGTAGCACGGCCTTGATCGTCGGACGTGCCCTTGCAGGTTTGGGTGCGGCCGGCATTGCATCGGGCGCCTTCATCCTCATCGCCTTCCTGGCGCCCCCGGCGAAGCGATCTCTGTACCTGGGCATCGCAGGCGCTTCTTACGGGATCTCGGCGGTCATCGGACCCTTACTCGGCGGAGCTTTCACGCAGAGACTCAGCTGGAGGTGGTGCTTTTATATGTGCGTGTCTCTTTATCTCGCCTTGGGAATGGCAAGGGCTAACCCAAGTTAGCAATCTCCCCTTTGGTGGCCTGGCTGCCGCGACGCTTGTCATCTTCTTCAAGTTGCCGCCGCATGCGAAGCCGGTGCCGGCTACGTTCTGCGAGAAGATGCTTCAGTTGGATCCGATTGGCATTACTCTGGTCATGGGCGCGGTCGTGTGTTATATTCTGGCATTGCAGTGGGGTGGCCTCACGCGCGCGTGGGATTCCTCGACCATCATTGGCCTCTGGGTGGGATTCGGGCTGCTTCTGGTCGCCTTTGCTTTTGCTCAATGGTGGTTGGACGACCGTGCGATGGTTCCGCCGCGGATTCTCAGGAGCCGTTACGTTCACCAAGGCATGCTCTATGCGGCCGCCATTGCGGGGTCTTATTTCCTGACGCTATACTTCCTTCCCATCTACTTCCAGGTTATCGACGACGTCTCCCCGCTTGAGAGTGGAGTACGCAATCTGCCCTTGATTGTCGCCCTCACCCTTGCGACTATCGTGTCGGGCATCTCGATCACCATCACCGGTCGCCCGATGCCTTTTATGGCAGTCGGTGGCGCGCTAACGACCATTGGCGTCGGGCTACTGTACACACTCACAATTGGCAGTCCATCCTCTAAGTGGATCGGATACCAGGTCCTCACCGGCATTGGGGTCGGGCTGGGCTTACAAGTGCCCGTCTCTGCGGCGCAAGCGACTCTACCGCCGGACGACATACCGTCTGGGTCGGCTATTCTCGTCTGTGAGTTTAACTGCCATAATAATTACTCGTTGAGTTCTACCCTCTGATCCATCTATTCTATAGTCATGCAAACCATCGGTGGCGCCTTTCTCGTCTCCGCCGGAGAAAGCGCCTTCGAATCCACACTCTTGAAGCAGCTAGGCGCGACCGCTCCATGGATCGACCCGCTCCAGGTCATAAGCACGGGCGCCACGGATGTGCGGAAAGTGTTTTCCCCAGATGATGTGCCTTTTATTCTTCGCGCATATGTGCGTGGTATCCAGACTGCCTTGATTGTCGCCATCGCCGTGGCTGGTACGTGTACTATTATTGCTTTTGGGGCCAAGTGGGAAAAAATGCAAGCGCCGCCGAAGGCTGAGGAGGCTACGGAGGCCGAGGGTACCGAGGAGAGCATTGAATCTATAGAAGCTGGGTCAGATATATAGATACGCGAGTGGCACCCGATTGTGTGCAACTGGTGGCTTCCGTAGTTAGCCTGCGCGCTCGAGGGCTTTTCCTTGGTATACAGTCGTGTTCTCTAATTATCTGTGCTTCCAACGCACGTACACTGTCCCGTTGCGCCATTGGGGAGCCGCCATTCACATTACAACGAGCAACTAGCTCGTCGGCGGCGTGTAGATAACAGCTGAGCTCAATGTCACCCCTTCCGCCATAAGGTGCCCTAATATGTTAGCACGTGATACTCCTACCATTTTTAGACTAGTTCAATTTCAAGATTTGAAACGCCATTTCATATCTGATTTTAAGTGGCCAAATATCAGAATGTCGAAATCTGGAAATTTCATTTTGACTTCCGCGGCTAGTGCAAATTATGCAAACAGTGCAAAATTTGTTTCTATCAATCTAAAGATCAGACTGGAACGTTCTGATTTGTCGAAAAAAAGTCTATTTTTGGCATGAAAGTAGTAGCTGATAAATCAAACGGCGCGTTAAATGTGGATGTATGAGTCCGTGTCTCATTTCTCCGAATGGCAAAGTTTCGGAAGGCCGAAGCTCCGAACCTGGTCAGCATTCTCTAACGTGAGATCTAGCAGTCGGCGACTTATAACGTCACATACAGAACTAAATGATCATTGGATTATTGATGAAGTTAAAAAAGAACACAACAAAGTTGCCTTTTGGATAGAAAACAGTCAATTGCCGCATATTCCACAGGCTATTAAGTCGTGCATTTTGCCAAAGACGCGTGGTGTAATATCAACGTGTACGAACCACGCCTTCGTCAAAGAAATCACCACTGCCCACTCAAAATGTCGAGTCTTACTGGCCTTCCTACGGGATCCTGCATCCTTGTCACGGGAGCAAACGGTTTTATTGCCTCTCATGTTATCAACACCTTGCTACAGCTTGAGTATCGAGTGCGAGGAACGGTTAGGACGCCAAAGCCATGGCTTGACGACTTCTTCGAGAATAAATTCGGTCGAGGCGTCTTTGAAAGCTTTGTACTTCCTGATTTTGAAAACCCTGAGATGCTAGATAATTGCATGAATGGCATAGCCGGGGTAGTGCATACGGTATGTTTGTAACTTAAGCTTTCTCCTCAATCTGCGGAGAGAAGGTGAAAAACTCTTCGGTTCCATTCAGTTGCATATTTAACTAATGTGATACTTGATAGGCTTCTGATGTTTCGTTCAGTAATGATCCCGATGCTGTCATTCCTTGGGTCGTACGAGCAGTTGAAAATGTCCTAGAGGCTGCATCCAGACACCCTTCTGTCAAAAGATTCGTCTTGACATCATCCTCTGCAGCTGCTTTAATCCCTGTTATAAACCAGAAAGGGGTCAGAATTGATGAAGGTTAGCCCATCCTCGCATATTCATGCTGGAGGTTTCGGCGAGAAGAGCTAGTGATTTGACATTTCATTGCAGATACTTGGAATGAGGCTGCCGTAAAAGCCGCACGTAATCCCAATACGAAGCCTAACGAGAAAGCAGTCGCAGTTTATGCAGCTTCTAAGACTCTTGGCGAACAAATGGCTTGGAAATGGATTGGAGGGCACAATCCTCGTTTTACATTCAATACGGTCCTTCCGAACTTCAACGTATGTCTCGATTTTACTCCACCACCAGATCCATGGCTTATACAAGTATTTGTTTTCAGGTAGGAGAAATTCTTCACGAGAAATTTGGAGGGTCATCCATGGGAATGGTTCGAGGGATTTTGAAAGACGACAAAAGCATATTTGACTTTTTTATGCCCCGTGAGTTGTTTCCATGATCCCGATGATTAGTTGGAGGGGACGGGATAAGTGAAATACTAAATTGCTTAATGTACTAGAACATTACGTTGATGTTACCGATACTGCCCGGCTACACGCTATTGCTCTGCTTGCACCTAACGTCCGATCGCAGCGGATATTTGCATTTGCAGGTCCGCTGAACATGACTGACATTATCTCCACTCTCCGGGAACTTCGACCTGACCATCATTTCGATGATCCGAATCCAAACGAAGGCCGAGATCTCACGGACGTCACACCATCTGCTAAAGCAGAAAAGCTTTTGGAAGAGTTCTTTGGCCAGAAGGGGTGGATCCCTTACAGACAGAGCCTTGCCGATGGAATTTGTGATCTTTAGAGTTACCAGCAGAAAAGATCCGACTTCGACCAATAGGCACATCAGCATTTTTGAACCAAAAAAAGCGCTACTATATGGCAATGAGATATGCTAATTCCAAACCTTCAACCAGGTTTTTCCGTAATTTGTATTGCTGTTGAGTTATAACCTGTCGAAGTTGGCTTAACCATTGCCGACTAGTACATTTGACAAAACAAACGTTTCCACATTACTATTTGCCGATACTACTAGTATGCTGATAAGCACAACGAGATCATTCCGCATCTTAGCAATCTAAAGGGCCTACATCGTCTTTCGGCTTGCAACGCCTAATGTCAGGGTGCACGGTCAGAGGTACATTGACCTAGGAACCAACTACAGTCAGGCTATCAGGCAGGTGCATCAACAAGACGTAGCTCGAAGAGCTACAAGCCAATGTTTGCATTCAGGGATAAAGCTCGAGGGTTCAGGCGGTGGCAAAATTAGCTAATCAGGAAGTTAACCAGGGAAACCTCCTGAAACCTTCATTGTGAGTTCACACCATGATACGAGTGATGGCGAGCAGTGGTGACGATACTCAAATTCATCATAAGTCTACTAGAGCATATTGTCAGTCGCTCATGTACCATTGTTTATATAAAGCTGAGTGTATGCCCAGATGGACACTTACTGGTCCTAGATTGTGAAGTTGGTGCTTTCCCCTTAAGTTCGCGTTAGCATTGGATCAATAACATTTGTAAACCTCAACAGAGAGGCTACTCACACAGGATATCAGACGAATTGAGCATACTACTAGTATAATGGACTTCAATTCCTGTCGCCACGCAGGCCCAATTATTTGTTTATGTCGGTGGCTAGATATTGTGAGACCTTGTCTTCTTACAAAGTTCTACTGGCGAGAAGTGCCATGATTCTGAACCGCTTCTAACGAGACAATTGCACTCTGCAGAGCAATATGCAAGGTAGCACAACGATCCTAGTATCTATGATTATGTTCAAAGGTGCGATGGCTTGGAAAATCGCGGTCTGCGAGTAGCACTAGTAGCTAAGGGGCTCGCCAGCGTGCCAATCCGAAAAGATGCAAGAATAAGTCTCACCTGATCGATACACTGGTCGGGCAGGTTCCACTTCTAGGGTGCAGACATAGTGCATCTCAGAGCTAATGCTAGGATAGGTGCTAAGGCGCATGCAACGATGGCCCTCCTCCATCAGATCTATGAATGGCTTCCACGTAAGCCCACCGCCAGAATTAAAGAATACCGCCGCAAGAGCATAGCCTAAGTACTGCGTTGCCATCTGGTTCAAAGCATACTTCAGACTGTTCGAATCGGTGAGGTCTGTGCTAATGCCTACGGCCTGGCCACCGCCAGAGTTGATTTCCTCGACAATAGTCTTATAGCTATCCGGATTATGGGCCAGAAGAACCACGGAGTAGGCTTTAGCAAACTTTCTGGCGATGGAGGCGCCCTGTGCTGTTGTTAGCTATAGAATAAGGCTATAGACAAAGATGAACACACCGTCTCGGGACCGACGCCAGCAATGATTACAAATGTCTTGGAGGCTATAATTTGTGTTTTAGAGTTGCCGGCGAAGAGAGTAGTCTTTAAGTCAAGTTCCTGCTTTGAAGTGAAGCTGCCGAACTGGGGGATTATAAATCGTCGATTTCGGTACCGAAATAGCGAGCGCTTACAAATGCGAGGATCTTGGCCCCCAGGAGGCTGGTTGTTTTTTGGGGGGGAAGGAAGTGGAAAATATCATGGCAGTCGACAATGCACTCTTAACATCGCCCTTGGGAGATATCAATAAGTAGACTCCGGATAGAATAGCTAATGGCATTTCTAAATATTCTCCCCAAAAATGGAATATCAGTTTTGTGCAGCTCTGGTACAGGTTCATAAAAGTCTGTCTAGTTCTTCTGTACACCGCTATCGATAAGACAAAACATCAAGTTCCCCAACTTTTCCATCTACTCCAGAACTAGCTGCCCATCAGCTCTTGTCGCCCGATATGGACTGGCCAGGCCCCATTCTCAGTGATCTGTGCTCAATATGGTAAATTTTTCCACTTTGCCCAGCAGTATACAAGCCTAGCTAGGCCCCGCTAACAATCACATCAACGTCTATCCACGCTCCCCAACCCGCACCTTCTCCCTACCCTACACTCGCAACCACAGGCTGTGATGTCAATGCTCCAGCTTGCGCGATCCGGCCGCTTACCTACGGCGCAGTGGGCTAGCCATTGATCAAAACTTTAATTCATCACTGGCATCGAACGCATACTCGATCGCTCTTACAGAGAAATGGAGGATCGGGGGATCGAGCTTGCACTTATGATGCAGGTCATTATTTATGCCCGATTGAAAGTTAAGGCTCCGTGACATTCCCGTGGAAGAGAATACGTTCGTGTCTGTCGTGTCTGGTATAGTTGCTGACTCCAAGCTTACTGGACCGGTTGCCAATGAGACAGATCTACAGAAGGAATTGCAGGACTTGACAGCCTAGAAAAAAGTCGTCCTTGAAAGACATCGCCAGGCAGAACAAAAAGAGGAACAAGTGAAAATAAATAGTTCGGGTCAAGAGCTCTCACCATGCGTGTAATTCTTCACCTCTTAACGGTTCATAAGATCTCATGATTCGACCCACCCTCTATATATAACTAGGCAAAGTGCCACGAGCAGCTCTACAGTGCATGGTGTCTCTGCAATTGTCAGAGTTGCATGAATACGTCTACTATCACCACCATCTGCGCCACCACCAGAGCCAGAAGCAGTCAGGAGCTCAAGTTAGAAGGCCATTCGATATGGTCAGCACAGAGGTTCATCGCCTCACTCGGAGGTCACCGACCAAAACGATCGCTATGATAATTATCTTTCCTAATTATTCAGGTTGTCTTTGGTCTGTTTCCCGTGCTTGGCTCGAAAGAAGAGACACCAAATAAAAAAGGAGGGATGTAGGGACGTCAAACACAGGCACAGGAACTAAGCATCAGTTGTTTTGGAACACTTCGAACCAAAGAGAATTTTCCTACCTTTACAACCCCCACCGGTAGGTCGGTTATAGCGCCGAAGTGCTTCATCTTCTTCTATAGATCAGGATCTTCTTCGGGTGATAGAGGCATCGACAAGGGATCCCCACGAATCAAGATCAATTACGACTGAAGTAGACAGGCTACTTCGTCAACTGACGACGACATATGATACGCCAAAGTGATCGCATTACCTAGTTATTCACTTTCATACCATGATACTACCAAGGCAAACTGGCAGGGGTAGAGGAACCGTAATAGGTATGTCATTACGCAAAAATAAGTTCGAGAATGAATTAACGAGAACAAAGTTGTCAAATTGATTTTGAGCGAACCGGTATTTGCTCCGAGCACACGTTATTCCGTAAGCTAACAAAAGGAAAGCATTCGAAAAAAGACACGAAATACAGAGAAAATTCCAAAATGAAAAGGGCACAGGTTCCAAACGACATTCGCCATTTTAAGGAAGCAGGAGTCAAGTAGCTGGGAAGTGCTTGTATCCTACATCCTTGACAAAAGTCTGTTGCCAAGGACCTTGAGACTTGTGCTCTGCGAGCTCGGCATAGAATTTTCCATGTGCCTCGCCACTGATCTTAGAGTACGCAGGTGTCCCATCAGGCTTCCGCTCATCGGCATAATAGAATCTGCGTTTCGTCAATTTCAAGACTACCAGAGCGAAAGAAGGAAGCGCATACTTATAGCCTTTATCGGAGTATGCGGCAGCAGCAGAGCGAATGATGTGGGCCGTTGCAGATTTGCCCACACCACCATCCAGAAGACTTGCAATTGTGGTCTCGTTGAGTATATTGCCAGTGTAGATGAATGTCTTGGAGCTATGGTCGGGGAGTCTCTCGAAGCTTAAAGCCGCCTGTTGTGCAGCGACAAACGCACTAGTCGTGTTAACGTGCAAGTCTCGACTAAAGTCGGCCAAGGGAATAGACAAGGGGTCCGCTGGATTGTTCGGAGCACCGGCAGATGCTTCAAGGGTATCAGCGGGTTTTCGGTAAACGGGCTTCCATAAAGAACATGCTGACCATTGTAAACAACAACACTTGGCAGACCGAGCGATGCCTTGACTTTCGAAAAGATGCCCTTCACGGAATGGGGATCGGATAGGTCGGCGGAAATGTGAACCTGGTCCGCATTGCTGGCTTCTTCCTTAAGGCTCCTAGATGCAAGGGCAACTTTGTAGCCCTTTGCAGTAAAAGCCTGAGCCACATGCTGGCCGATATTGGGTCCCGAACCGAGAATGAGAATAACCGGAGTTGTACTAGCCATATTTGAGTTTGTATGAATTGATGAGAAACAACGACCTTGAGGCAGACATATAAGTCTTATTAGATTAGCTTCAATAATCAAATAGCAGTTCCTCTTATATTATCAATCTGCGTGTTTGCTAGTTTTGCTTTGTTTGCTTGAACTTTATCATAACCTCCATATGAGTTGACCCACACCGCTGTGCGGGTTGGTCACCGAGCATGTTTGTTTTGTTTTGTATCCTAGTTTGTGCCGTTTGTGTTGATAACTAAGGGCCAATCAACGCCCCAAGGTCCAAGCCTGTTACTGCATAATGAAATCATAAGACAATTCAATATGTAGCTTACCAAGCGTTCGGCACCCGAGAAAGCCCAAGCTTCTGGGCTTTCTCGGGTGCCGAACGCAATAATCCATGTCCCGTCCTGATGCTCCCGCCATTGAAGTATACCCGCGTCCAAATGCCAGGGGAGCGGTGAGGGCCTTCAACAGTCTAATCAAATTTCAGTCTAATCATAATTTTTCCCTACCTAGCAACTTTTGATACAATTTACAGCGCCATCCCCTGTCTGTCCATACAATAAATTGGCTGGCCGTCATCTCCAGTTACCTTTTCCTGCTCCCTAATTTGGCCCTGGCGAGCCCAATCATCCCGCTGCTGTTTCGCTTCCCGTGCCCACTTCCGAGTTTGTTTGGCTGCCTCTGCAATATCCCTTGACCTAATCATAGTATTGGAGTTCCTAACAGCAAGAACACCCCTTCTACTAACCTGGGGCCTAGATTTAGGGGTATTGGCTCGTTGCTAGTTGTTAAATAACCGAGTGAGCCCGGCAGATCCCTAGGCTGCCATTTCAGCTTAGGTAAACTACCCTCAAAAATCGCCTCCAAACGACGCTGTAATTTCGAAGGATCGCTTGTCGGACTATCTGGGAAGCGTTCTCTTGCCTTAGTAATTTTTTCCTGTAGTTTTGTAAGTGGTTTTGGTGGCGAATTGATTGAATTTATGAAAGGGCCGGTGGCTGTTCTGTATGATGCGGTGGCGTCGTTAACTGAGTTCGAGTTCAAACAAAAATACGGCCATGCGAACCCTAGGTCTTCTAACTCCATCTTATGTAAAAACACTTCGAAAGCCATGCTCATCGTCAACGGTCGTATTTGCAGATGTTCCATCCGACCCTCGTACAGCGACTACGCAAAAGTATAATCAAGGTGCTCCCCGCAGTCGTGCTTTTTGGCGTATCATTAATCACGGTCTATCTTCCATGTTTTGTTCGTCTTCAATTTTTCAAGGCTTTGGGTTAGATGACGCCTATATGATGCCCGCGATGGTACGTTGCAGCTTTTATGCCGTTCTGCCATTCACACTTTGAATGCTAATGCTCTGCCAAGTTTTTTGTGTCCCATTCACACTTTGAATGCTAATGCTCTGCCAGGTTTTTTGTGTCCCATTCACGGTGTGTGGAATTGTGTACATGTCGTCGGGGTTTTTATCGATTCTAAGAACGACTGCAAAGACTTCAACCAGTTCCCCAATCCGAATCCGACGGAGATTGCCTCCATCTGATTTCCTTTTGCCTGTTTAACGCCGTATGACGTGATGCATGTATAGTATACATGTTTCTTATTTGGGTTCTGGTTCTGGGTTCGGCTTCTTTCTATTTCTGGGGCTATTATCCCCCACTGCCTGGTACAATTGGGTGTCCTTATATCAGTCAATGTACAGTGAATCTACTGCTGGGCGAGGCGGTCTTTTTGGGGGTTTGATTGTGCGGTGTGGGAAGGTTTCTTTCTTTCTTTTTTCTTGGTTTGATTCTTGACTTTTTTTTCTCAAATCTATGCAGAAAAGGAGATTCCCTTCTCTTTCTTGATGGCGTTGGTTGGTCTTTGTCATGTCACCGTTACACCATTTCGATGAAATCAACTTCGATCCCAAGCCCTCGCAAAACTTGAAACAGGTTGGCAGAAAACCAATAATGAGAGCATATTTATTGTAAGACGAAGGCAGGTGAGTACGTCACTAGGAGATGTGGAATCAATAATCTCGGAGGATTGCCGAAAATCGACAGTAATTTGCAGATTGTAGTTGGCGGATTATGACAAGCTGAGATGTCCAAAGATGCCAATAATCACAGATCCTCCGAATTAATATTATCTACCAAACTGATAATCATACGAATGCCTAGTATTGCCGTTGAAGTCGACTCCAGCGAATGCCTGTCGCCCCCCCCATCCTTTGTAAAGGTAACCAACCACTTGGACTGTTTGGGCTCATGAGCTAATGTCCAAAACATGTCTGCATGTGCATCACCATCGATCTGCAAACCAGCGGGTCGTCCATCGGGTTTGCGCTCATCGACGAAGTAAAACCTGGGCGCACGAGTCAAATACGATAAATACACCCCCTGACTGGGAAAGGCAAAAAAAGAGATCGAACCTGTAACCATCTTTACCATATGCGTTGGCGGCATATTCTACAAGCATCGCTGCAGCCACTTTCCCAAGTGCAAAGGGCATCACGCCTGGGATGGCGATCTGGTTTAATGTGTTACCAGTATATATGAATGCTGTGGGTGTCGAAGTGGGAAGCATTCTGAAACCTTGTAAAGCTTGCTGAGCGGCGATATAGGCACTATCAAAACCGACTGCGCGAGCAGCATTGATGGAGTCCAAGGGTGCGGAGAGAGGGTCGTCGTGAGGAGTTATGAGACGGTTAGCCCCTTCGCACGTCAGCTAGTCACATAATTAAGAGAGGTATAAAAATGGACGAACCGTTGAAAACGACGATATTGGGAACGCTAAACTCTTTCCCTACGGTTTGGAATATTGATGGAACAGAATTGGGATCAGACAGGTCGGCCTGGATGTTGAGATAACCTTCTGCTGAACACCCTGTTGACAAATTGCGAGCAACTAGGGCGACCTTGTAGCCATTACTCGCGAACCTGGATGCGACGGACATTCCAATGCGGGGCCCGGCTCCAATGATGAGTACCACTCCTGTGAAAGGCATAGTTCCAAAACGAGTGGCAGATAAATGGACAGGACAGCACTGCTAAAATTAAGAATGAGAAAGCGCGCAGTATGGGTATGATATGCAGGCAAGCTAGGGAAGCACCATATATTTAAAAAAGGGCAATATCAAATGTTAGGCGAAAGGAAAGCCCTACGAGCCTGTATAAATACGTAAGAATAATTCAGACATTGAGAGTGGTGATGCCATTTTGATGATACAGTATCCCATTTCCACATTGATTTCAAATCAGTCCGCGTTGGTCTTTTCTTTGCAATCATAGTGGAAACTCAATTTACCCCTCCGCAATCCGGACTATACGCTGAAACAACCTTACTATATATTAATCATGACTGCAGTCCTTCTCAAATTTAGCGGCGTTTGCTATTTTAAATTTGAGACTGTTGAATACCATTCCGCTCGCGACTGAAGCGATACGCAAATAAGTGAAATCAGGCTGAATAGCATGTAGTTCAGATGAAGTTTGCCCATGCTGTGTGGGGTTGAACAACGGAGTATGCAGCAAGGGGGTTTGTGTAGAAATGGGATAATTAGGCCGCCACCGAATTCAATTACAGTAATTATACCGAGACACCCGAAATGATGGTAAGTCAGGCAGCCGGGAAATCAATAATAACGCAGATGACTGCAGATCCACATCGAGACGGAAACCCAGGTGTCTACCAATTACAACAGATGAAACACCAGAGCACAACCGGTATATGTCGGGGTATAGCTCGTGTAAGTTGGGAACTCATCTGCCTGGCTCTATCGTATCAGGTATAATTTGACCCAAAGTTGACAACCTCTAGTCTCATGCAAGGGAAGAGAAACCCAGGCGGTGCATGACGCCAAAAGGTCTAGAGCCCAGGAGCAACAATCAGTGAATCATCACTACTGCCACTACCGCTACCGCTGCTCGGCGTCCTCCCCGCCTGATCCGAGGGCATTGGAAATCAGCGCCGCATGGAAGTAAAGGGAAGATTAAAAGGGGAAATAGAGGGTGTTGTGGAGCAAACCCGCCGGGGTGGATGTTGATTGGTCCTTAGTTATCAAAACAAATAGCACAAAATATGATGCAAACAAAGCCAAACCCGCCGGGGTGGACGTTGATTGGTCCTTAGTTATCAATACAAATAGCACAAAATACGATGCAAACAAAGCCAAATGTTACACGTTGCTAAATGGTCACGGTGAGTGGCTAAACGATATTGAACAACTTACCCAGTTATTAACGAGTATTATCACGATTGTTAACGTCAATGTTGCCAAGTCATACGCGCTTTCGATGAACGGGAACGATTACCAAGCCTCGGGGGTTCGGGGTTCGGGGAAGGTAAGGTCAAGTAGCAGCGCTGGCGGTGGTGATGCTAGACATCTTCGTACAACTGTGGCAATGGCAGAGGCATCATGCACTGCATAGCTGATCCAGGTAATTTGTCTAGTGATATATAGAGGTTGGGGTATTTGGTTCATTTGGTTCAGTGAATTTGACTAGTGTAGCTGTTGTATCAGCTGGTTCTAGGTCCACGGTGTCGTGTTTGTAATTCGAATAATTGCTTTCTGTCTGCTTTGTCTGCTCTTCCCCGCTCAGCTGAGTGAGCTGCAACTTCTCCTTCCTCGGTAGTGGAAAAGACTGATCGTAGGCCTCGGCGATAGAATATGTCTCGAAATTGTTCCGGGCTGTTTGTGTCCCGTCTGCGGTGACCCATTCCACAGTCCAACTCAGGCACTTATCCCTTGAAAGCCAAACCCATCAGAACAGAAACGACAACCACATAGATCGTGATTACAAATGAAGAAGGGAGTACAGCTTACGTACAATGCCACCGAGAATTGTTCTGTTTATTCCGCGACATGCCCCACGGCGCCCGAATGACCTTGACACTACCAGCCGCGGGGCTGCGCAGGAAACCCGCCTCGCCTTTCACCAGTCCCTGATGAGGATGCTTGCGTTTCTGTCCTCACCTCAGGCTCTTAGTATCGGGATATACCCTATCCGCTTCGGCCCCATCAATGGACGCTCCGTGCGCAAGCTCGATACCTCGATTCTCTGCCTCTATCGGCGCATTCAAGCGAGCGCTCAATACCCGCGATAAAGTATAAGTCACAGTCGAACGAGGCCTCTGTGGCCAACTCGCTACGCCCCAGGTAGGCGGCCGTGTCACGCACGCCGGAACATTACGACCACAGCCTGTGGCGTCGTGTGCGGGGTAGAGAGCAGGTACGGGTTGAGCACCGTGGACATCAATATTTGGGGGCGTTGATATGGCTGTTTCGGGGTTCAACGGGTGTCGTTAGGACTCATATTCTGTTTAAGGGGTAAATAGGTTTACCATATTGAGCTCAAGTCACTGAGTAAGGAGTCTGCCTTGTCCATATTGGGTGGTGAGAGCTGGCAGATGGCTTTCAGCCTGGAGTTGAAGAGAATCGGAGAAACTGAGGTCTTATCGATAGCTAGGTGGCCCGAGGCGACAACTCTATACATCAAGAAGAGTTGTTTAGTAGTGCGGTAGAAAGCATAGTTTAATTGTTGGCTTAGACAAGTAAGTGCCTAGGACGGATTGAACTGGAGTCATTTTCCTCTAGTGAGTGACGGACAGAGTTTCTTCCACAATGATATCATCCAGCACTTGATGATACGACGATGAAGTCCCGCATTTCTAAGCGTCGGCAACTTCGGGGCCGAGAGAGCTCGATTTATAATCGCCAAATCCAACTATTTCACTTGAAAGCAGTGATGTTGATACAAACTCATACTCTCCATCTGCAACTCCAGGACAAAGAATATGGCTTTCAAGACATTCGCAATCATCGCCGGCGTCGGCCCTGGCACAGTACGTTTATCTACCCTCGAGCTTCATCAAGATCCTAAGAAGAAATACAGGGCGCCTCTATTGCTAGACGCTTTGCCAAAGCCTACTCTGTGGTGCTTCTAGCCCGAACCCCTGCCAGCTATGATGCCGTCGTCCAGGAGATCAACTCCAGCGGTGGCCAAGCCGTCGGAATTAGCGCCGACCTGTCTGATTCAAGCAGCGTCAAATCTGCTTTTGACCAGATAGCCGTACAGTATTCGGGCTCTTCTCTTGCTGTGGCTATCTTTAATTCTGGGGGTGGATGGGCGCGCAAGCCGTTCCTGGAGCTGACTGACGAGGACTACTCAGGTGCTCTTGCTTCTCAGGCGTATATACCCCCGATCTTGTCTTGATCTTATTGCTGTTTCACAGAGAAAGCTAAACAATAGAGTATTAACTGACTGCCAATAGAAAGGGCGGCTTTTACTTTGCTCAGAATACTCTGCCACTCCTCCTCAAGGCTGGGGACATATCGCCGCGCCCGCCAACCTTGATTTTCACAGGAGCAACGGCAAGCATAAGGGGCTCCGCCAACTGCGCAGACTTTGCCTCGGCCAAGTTTGCGCTGCGTGCCCTAGCACAGTCCCTAGCTCGTGAGTTCGGACCGCAGGGCGTGCATGTATCACACGCCATCATCGACGGGGCAATCGATATCCCCCGCACTAAGAGCTTGATATTCCAGCACGAGGATGCTAAGTTGAGTCCAGAAGCAGTAAGTCACATGGGGCATAATCTTCATACCCTAAAAATCTGATGGATTTTAGATTGCGGACTTGTACTGGCATCTGCACGCGCAGCCCCGGACGACCTTTGTGTTTGAGATGGATCTGCGACCGTACGTGGAGAAGTGGTGAACCATTTACATTGAGTAGGAATAGAAATAGATAGGGGGCACTCACGGAGGGCTCTTACGAAGCAGATTAAGCAAGGTCCGGTCTTCCTATCCCAAGGGACCTGGAGCAGTCTGGGTCACTGCTTGCCAGTGTAGACCTCTTATATATGGGCAGAATTAGACCTACTATCTAGACTGCTGGTAATTTCTGTCGTATTATTATCTTTAAATTCTCAGAAGTTCTAAGTTAATATGTAATTTATATCTAGTATTATTGCTTAAATTATAGAATGCTTAACCTAAAGACAAACACCTAACGATACTAGATCTTAATAAAGATAAAGAATAGGAAGTTAAAGAAGTCTATAGTAAGAGGCTGTTTAACAGCAAAAAGTATTTCTATATTAAATAGAAAGATTAGCCCTCTAAGTATAATAGTAGGAGCCCTCTAAGTATAATAGTTAGGAGCCCTCTATATATATAAATAATACCCGAGAACCCCGATGGGTGATTTAATTGACCCTCGAATGTCTACAAACCTCAATGGTGAGGGGCACTATATGAGGGTTGCAACAACGTCTGGTTTTCTAGTAGGGCATACGCTTCCTTACGACTCTGCTATAAGCAATATATATCCAAACTCCAGTCTATCGCCGATGCAGGAGCGAGCCAGTATGCCCTGCTTACGAAAAGCACTCTCTGGCCGTTAGCCAAGAATGATATCGATCCGGTCGACCAGAAGGGTAGGTATTTTACTTGCAGGAACTTTGTGCTAAAAATCCGTAAAATGATTGCTGATTCAAATATATAAACAGAAGTGTAAGAGCCTATATAGAGCAGGATAGTGAAGATGAGGATGACTCTGAAGAGACTAATAGTGATAAGGACAAGAGCTATGGATGCGATAGGACGCAAAATCTGTGTATTTAGGCCCATATAGCTTACGATACCCCAGGCTATAAGGTTACTCGTGGAATATATATATTGTAAGAACAATGCTCTAAGTATAATCTTTGTTTAGTTAGATTGTAGGTCGCTAGGGCCTACAGGAGTTAAAAGCAGGTGCGGACTAGGCAACCAGGGTTTTAAAAACCGAATTATAGATAGTTTAAAGCTCGTCATATTATTAGTAAAATATATCTTCGTCGGTTACAGAAGGTATTAGAGGATATGACTTATAAACAACTAAGTATTTAAAGTTAACGTTATAATTCTTGTTAAATTATTCCCTGTGAGCTGTAGTTAGAACAGCCGTATCCAGTACCAAAATTGTTTACTTACTTAGCTATTTGCTTCTATCTTTCTTTCTACTATTATATTGCTCCCCTAAGAACAAACCTTTAACTCTTTATCCCCATATTTACTTAGTTTCTTGTACCGCTTATCCTACGACTTATTGTATATACTGGATGATTCTAGTTAGTAACGACAGTGTACGTTACTGTTCCTTCAGTAGTCTTCTCCGTATACGACCTTTAGACTATAGAAAGAGTCTAAGTAAGTTAGGCTAGCTGTCTAATACTCTCTATCCAGGTATTAATTTACAGACTACCTAATATTCGAAAACATAGCTGTATCTTCTCTGCAGAGAAATATTTGCCTCCGGTAGCAAATGAGATTAGAGTTCAGTACCGAACCAAGTCAATAAGACCCTCAGATTTCACTTTTCTGTATTAAGACCAACATTTGTTGATTAAGCACTCATTGTATATTTTCACGACCACGATAGGCCGCTAGTTGTCATTTTGTAATGGTATTGCAGCTTGCATGAAAGTCTGATCTATTCAATAATAGTGGCAAAAAGCTATTTAACAAGGTTACTGCTTTGGTAAGCAGGCTAATGACTAACGTTAATTGCCAAGTAATAACGTAATTCACGGCTGAGCGGAACACACGGTTGAACGGAACACCCACCCCCATTACAAATTTTTGAAGCAGGATATCTCAACCAACGCCTATCGATTCAGCTATATATACCGATTTTTACATGAATTGATCCTGTGGCCAATCTCCTTACACCTACTATACCTAGGCAGAGCCCTCTTTGCTGGTTGGTCTGCCTGAATAGGTAATTTGCCCTGTGTATTGGAATCTACCGTAGGTGCTTCTGCTGGCAAATCTAGCTGCGTAAGTAGCTGTAGGCCCTCTTCGACGGTCAAACCCTCTTCGTAGGGTATCTGCTTAGTTGACTGAGTACGCTTCTTAACCACTTTCTTATTTGCTGCATGTAGATTTGTATTTTTTTGTGCTAGTAGTGCAGTGTTGTATAGCGCTATACAGTGGCCCTTAATAATCTGATCTAGCATAGTCTTTAATAGGCTAGGAGGGCTATTCGACTGCTGCTTTAGCAAATCTTTAAGCATTAAAGCTTACTTTTATAGTTAAACAACAGTTCTGGGCGTTTTTAGTGTGAATTAGCTAGATCTGCTGCTTAGCCGGCTGCTTAGTGGTGTAGGCGTTTATAGAGAGATATTAAGCTTTAAAAGCACTTGTTCTATATTAACTAGTACTAGGCTACTAGCTATAGAGCTATTCTGAATAATAGCTGCCTATTAGAAGGTTTCTAGCCGTATATATTGGTAGTTATCCAAGAAATCAAACTTATCGATATAGTTATATCCTCTACACATAAGATTACTTATTAAGCGACCGTATACGCGCTTAAGCACTGTAAAGCACCCAACATTAAGTAGTTATAGTAGATACGATAAATATAAAGGTATACAAAGAGGAATAATATTATTTTCTATACAGATTCAGTTAAATTAGGGTATAAGATAACTCCTATAACTATCAAGAATCAGCAGCTGAAACCGACCTCGTATATATAAATTTGTATAGAGGATAAAGTACTTCTGTAGCTAGTAAAGGCCTATCTCATCGGTAGTCCAGCCGTTATTTAAGACCTCAAACCGCCAGTCTTTTGGTAGGTTATCAAACCAACCTATAATAGTAACTTTGCCTTTGAAGATCATATATAGCGGTAGCGAATAGCCATCTATATAGATTGCTTTGATAGCAGTAACCTATTTACAATTCCCTGGCTGTAAGATAGATCGCCAACCGTAGTATTCAGCTCGTATAACTACCTTCTGCGCTAAAATAAGGCCTATTGCAAATCCTGTCTCATCAAAGTTGTAGATATCCTCCGCTTGTATACTATTCTCATCGATAATATACTTTACAGTCTCAAACCATACTTAAATCGACCGGGGATCTTTATTTAGGGCACGTTGGTAGTTATAGTGTTTTGAGTTACGCGACCAAAGCTCATTACAGCGTTTAACAAAGGCTGATACCCAATTCACGCCTACTGTAGGCGAGGGGGTCTCGCCACACGTAGCCAATAGAATATTCGCCATCTCTCGTACGGTAGACAGCCTAGGCGCTGCTCTATACAAATCCATTCAGAGAACCCATTCAACAAGTGAATCCTCTTCCAATTGAGTGAGTTTTTGCCGATTATAAATGTTATCGACGCGAGAGGATACGCCAGTAGCGCGGCGATATAGCGTTGAGAGCGGTAGATTGTAAAGCCTCGCTGCTGCGCGTAGAGATTTGATATTGCCCTTTTTAATATCCTCGAGGGCTAATAGGATCCTGCCCTCTTGGTTAGCAGCTTTCTGCCACGATCCAGAGCGATTTGGTGGCATGGTTGCTGGTAAAAGCAGAGGGTGTAGAGAGGGAGACGCGATTTTGGTGGGGTGTTCTGTTCAACCGTGTGTTCCGCTCAGCCGTGAATTACGTTAACTAGGCAATGTATCCGACTAGTAACAGTGACTTTGTCGCGACACCATATCTAAAGTAGTAAATTACAACTGAATATCTTAAGCATCCATACTTCTCTAACTATTCGCTTCAAGAGCTATATTCCAAGGCTATTTATAATTTTTCTTGTCTCCTTAGATGTTATTTTAGCCCCTACGACTAGTGATGAATTTTGTACCAAAACTTGAATATACCTATGCCTATCCCATGGGGGTAAACGGAACGCGGCGCATCGCTTTCCTAGGGTCTGCTCCAGTATGGCCCCACACCCCCCCCCGTGACTGAAACTCTATCAGCGTACCGCGAACCACCTCAAATCAGCAACTATCAAGCGCTTCGAGTCGCAGCGCTACGAAGAAGGAGGATAATGTTACACTAACCGTACAACGATGTATAGGAAATGCGGAAGAGGTGCCAATGCACTACCGGAATGCCGGTTGATACATCACCTCGCTTATCTACTTGCATACACATGCAGAGGTCCCCTTAAAAGGAGCTGCTGGATCCTCTTGGGAGGACCAGCGATTAGTCTGAATATCATCATACCCATATCAGACACATCTCACATTCTTCACTCGTATCCATAACGTATCAGGACACCCCTCGGGAGATTGTCCTAACACTGCGCGCCCCGAAGTAATCAGACTAGCGCTGCAAAAGGCTCCCTTCCACTGGCCCCGGATGTTGTTTGCTTGCCAGGAAATCACGGCCGGGACTGTCGCATTGCAGCCAGCGGCAACGAGGAAGACGCTGAATTATTGAACGCCGGGTGAAGCTACCCATTGTAGTAGACATAGGCCGACGATTGTTTGGAGGGAGTTGTAGACGATTATTGGGCTGCGGACCTGCCATTTGTCTCCTAGCCAGCCCTCGGTGTACATCAGGATAGCTGCGAGGAAGTATGGTGGTGTGCTGAGAGCTTGTGATGCTCCGACGCTGAAGCCGAGTTTGGCGGATAGATTAATTGGCATGAAGAAGGCCAATAAGTAGGCCACGACTGTGCTACATCTGTAAATCAATTGGCACTTCCATAGTTGAACCTTTTTTAGTCCAACGTACGGGAAAATCAGTGCGGAGCCCCATTCGCGTCGCGACGATCTCGATCGATTTGGTGAAGTACAAAACCAATTTCTCGCTGCGACAAGAACTGGCGTGCCTTGTGTGCATCTTAACAAGGAGCATGTATCCGATGACCGCGATAAGGCAGGTGAGAAGACCATCGATGGCAAAGACCCATTGCCACGCTCGCAGGCCGCCCAGTCCGCCCATTTGTGAGATGCCATAGGCGAGGAGGCCTGTGAAGCAAGAGCCGACTATACTTGTAAGGTAGGATGCTGTTTGCGGCGACGCATCAAAGCGGGCCGAGCAATCTATTATTGAGGATTTCCACCAATAGCGATTATCACCGAAATCCTAATAGTCGATGTGCCGCTAGATTTGAAGCTTCGTTGATTTTAGCAAAGAATCTTCCCAACTTTTCTTCAAGCACGGCTTTGAATTTAAAAGAAGTAAAGATCACATCTCGTGTTATCATCCGCTGCCAAATATTCACTCTATCCCAGGGAGTACCCCATAATAGGTATATGTCGCAACCCAGGGTGATGTGGATATATGGCTCAACGAATGGAATCTCAAGTCCTCAACGCTTCAACGTGTCCCCAGAAGGCGATTCTATTCAGCACATATACGCTCACATACTTAAATATTAAATTTCACCAAGAGAGACACCAATCGTCTGCGCCTAGATCCGGACCCAACTCATCTATCATCGAGAACAAAGGTAAATTATCACTGAACGCAAAGTCACTCATCGATGGAGGAGATACGCAATCCGGATCTTGACGGTGAACGCTCCATTTGTTCAACGTTGTTGCATGAGGATCCTTGTTCTGCGGGAGCTCAACAAAACGCAACAGGTTATCGGGGTTGGCCACAGAACTCTGAAAGGCGAGACTATGATCTGCAGTATTGACATCAACACCATCCTTGTCTCCATAGGTCGTGGCTCCCGACTGTGCCGCCGCTATGCGGTAGCGGCCAGCAGTGCAATTGCTATTTCTTGCCTCACACGTTGGGGTATTGTCCTTCGACAGATGCAGACAATTGTTGTGTATAGCCTGTATATCCCCAAATGTGGTTCTCACGTTCATGTTCGGGGACCTCAGCAAAGTGCCTGCTCTTCGATGTATATAAGATCCGATAGCATCCTTCATCTGGCAGCAAATTTCGGTATATCGCACTGACTGTGGATTTTTTGGGCTCAACTTTCGGAGAATAGAGATCGCGGTGTCGAGATTACAACTTATTGGCCAGCCCCGCTGATCATAGTCGCCGAAGCTCGCGTGGCCTGAGACAGAGAGCTGAGATGAAGACGTCGTTGATGATGATTGGCTGGCGTTTGGGCATGGATTCGTCGAAGACAATCTCTTTTGCAAGCGCGATACTTTTGATGGCAGAGTCGACGCATGCATCCGCGTAGGTTGAGATGGAGTCAGAAGAGGCATTGTGGTCTCGAGGGCTCCCGCCTTTATTTAGGCGTGTGCCAACATGGAAGGAGAGAAAGGGTCGGCAAAGCAACATGATAGAGTAATAGTATGCCATTGTGACAGTATGGGTCCCGAGTTTTTGAATGTTTGCCTTTGTGCTGGTATCACTTCTGAGAAGCCCATCAATCTTTAGCATCGCTGGTAGCTCTTCCGCCCACTGCCGATGTTGTTGCGATACACTTCCAGCCAGATCAAGGGACACCGCTCTCTTGGAAAACACCTCCACTAGGATCCGCTCGAAAATGAGGCATATTTTAAGAATTGCGGAATCCTCCTGGGACGGAAGTGGCGAGTTGTCTTTCTGGTCAATAATATTCGTTTTTAGACTGGATGCCTTTGACCATGGAATGTTGCAATCGGCCTCTGAGGTTGCAGGTGGACGGCCCATAGACGCACTGAGGAACAAGTCACAGACTCGGAGAGACTTCCAGGCTCGTTCTCTAGCCGCATCCCGAAAGGTACGATTTGTTTCGTGTCGGTGTATGCCGAGTGCGTATGCCGCACGAGCGGCTATCCCGAGGTTGGTAAATGCGCCATTTCGCCGACACGAGGCAAGCATATAGTAACTGATTAGCGAAAAGGCAATTACAGTCAAGAGACACGGATCGTCCATCAAGTGAATGATAGCCTGCTGTCGACCGTAGTTGAAATATCGCTCAGTGAGTTCGTCGTCGTCGTCCGAAGCATGTCCCAGTGCACCGATTGCAAGAACTAAGTAGAGGATTGGGGTTTCCGGCCTATCCCTGCGATTTGGGTCTGCAATCCAAGGTGGAATGGCGGCGTGGAGGTATGAAGCACAGAAGAAATCGAAGACGCCGCTCACCGAAAGCTCATATTGCTCAGCAAGGACGAGGGAGCGTCTAAGTTCAGGCTCCGGCTCTGGGTGACTGCCTAAGCACCCAGATATATCCTTTTCGATCATACATTGTTGCTGAGTATCATCGGTGAAGGCGCATGATCCGATGCAACCAGCAGCCACCCTTTGTACAATATGGAGATATGACAGCGACGCCGACTGCCCAATGTAGACTTTAATAATTGTTAGTTGGGCTTATCGGCTGCTGGTTGGGGTGAAAGGGAGATCCCCCGAAGCAGACTAACTGAGTTTTCCTTTGGCATCTGGCAACATATGAGACGGCTTGGGGATCGGGCCAGAGTCTACCATAGTGTGCTCGGCAGCGGAGTCTGCAGACGCAGGGCAACCTAACAGTGCATGTACTGCAGTACAAGAAGCGTCACCGACGCTTGAGCCCTCTGATACAGTATACTCCGTCGGACTGAGCGTTGTCGTTGATCTTGCGGCGAGGTTACGGCGGAGGTTGCGAGAAGATGAGCATTTCTGCGTATATCGACAGCCGTTGTCCTTGCTCCGCGACCGGCAATGACCACAGGGCAAATTTCCATCGCATTTCTCCTTGCGTTTCCTGCAGACATCGCAGGCTTGTGACACACGCCTTCGGTTGTGTGGATCAACTCTCGCACGTGGCATAGCGGTATTACGAGAGGTCAATTGAGCTGTGCACACATTGTCTTTTTAGTCTCCGGTGTTGACAGGTTGAGAAGGCGAAATTCTACAGCAATACGCGTACGTTGGCAATTTGGGTGATGATTAATTAGCTTTTCTGGAGACGCGGGGTAAAAGCCGGAGTCGGAAATCCCCCCCCGCTTAGTAAGGGACAGCGGGTCGACTCTGCAACAGTCATACTATCGTAGATTTGGTTGACTTTATGCCCGGCTAATTGTTATTATTGATCTTACGCCGCGGGGCCTAGTGCCCAGCCTGCTGGCTATGCGGTCCTTCGTCCTTTCTATCATACAGGAAACCTTGCCTCACGGCTGGACTAAAACCCGCATGCTCCACCTCCCGCCTGAACGTCCGCCGCGTGCTCATTTTTGGGTCTTCCCCGCTTGCTAGGGCCAGGTAGGGCTGTTGCGAATATCTTCATCGCAGATATTCGACGATAAGATAATTACCGGTAGACTCAAGTATCATCCGAGCTAAGCCAAACCAGGACTACGAGAATCGAATCGGGACTAGCATGCAGACTTTTCTCAGTGGTATTTTGGGTAAATTGCTTCAACTTCCCCTTTCAATCCACATCAGCCATGCAGACCCGTGGGAACCGAATAGATTACCTTGCCTTGAATGATAGACCTGAAGACTGGATATCCTGCCAGAACGGGCCAGTCCCATCATCCCCAAGATTTGACCATAGCCAATCAGCAATTGGTACCAACTTCGATTCCCTTCGTGAGTCTTTTGACGAAGTTCTACCTTCAGAGTCTGCCTCACAGCCGCCAGCCTCGAGCTCGCTAAGCTCAACCCCATGATAAAAGAATGACTGGATGTGGAGGCATCTCGTGATAACAGAATTTCCTAGCGAATGGATGGAGAAAAGGAGTCAAAGGAGGATGAACACTGATCGAGAAATTCGCTGTGCCGTCACCGGTGAAAATGGAAGACAGTGCAACTGGTCTACAAAAGACTCAAAACGACATGGCTCTACCACCAAAATTCGTCATCCTTTGAAAGAGAAGCATGGTGTCCTACCACCTAATATCTCTATCCCCGATACATCTTCAAAGACTAACCTTATCAGCCGTTGGGGTAAGAAGGGGAAGCTTACCGTTCAACAAACTCTTGAGAAGAACCTTCTTCGCTGGGTTATTAGCAGCAAGCAACCATTCACAGTTATTGAATCGCCAGCATTTCAGCAATTACTCAAAGATATACCAGGTATTTCACTTCCTTTTACCTCTCGCCCATACACTTTGGGAGCGTCTTTTGGAAGATTTCAATCTACATCGTATGAGATTGAAAAATGAGCTTGCAACTACATGTCAAACAATCGCTCTGTCCCTTGACGTGTGGACTAGCAAAAATCATATTCCAATTCTCGCTGTCATTGGCCATTGGCTTACAGAAGAATTTGAATACCAAGAGAGAGTCCTTGAATTCAAAGAGCTCCATGGCCCCCATAGCGGAGAAAACTTGGCCGCGGCTATTCAAGCTCTGCTTATTGAATTGAATCTTGAACGCAAACTTCTTTCAATTACTGGCGACAATGCTAGTAGCAATGAGCGGATGGCGGTACAGCTATATGATAGTCTCCAGAAGACATATGGGACCGATTCCCTCTTATGTGGCTTGGATAGTTACATACGATGCTTAGCTCATATCATCAACCTTATTGTGAAGGATATTCTACTGGATCTTAAATCAGGGAGTGCAGAAGAAGCCTCTTCTTTCTGCAACAACCTTGACAAAGGAGAAGACCAGCCGTGTGAATTTCAGTCTCTCGGACCATTGGCAAAACTTCGGATCCTAGCTTTGTGGATTCAACGGAGTCCGCAACGACCTTCCGGTAGTTCTTCTGGCTGTTCTGGAAGTCCTCCCACGTCTGTTGTGTACGGGCCGCATGCCACCGTCTTTCGGCTGCCCTAGTCTCCGTACGGAGGACACCTACTTCCCTGTTCCACCACTCTGCCGCCTGGCCGTGGTTCTTCTTGCGTCGTGGTGTCGAGACCGCCGCTATACGTTGGAGCTCCTCGATGAGGTAGTCGCACTGTTCGTCGATCTGCTGCGGCGTCCGTAACTCCGTCGTATGGTCTAGGTGCGCAGCTTCCGCAGCTACCCTCTCCGTGTCCATCTTTCCAATTATAGCCCTTCGGCTTAGGCGAAGTTGAGGCTCCAACCTGGATCTTGATTACCTGAGGCCTATGATCCGATAGGCTATAGTCTTCTGGTCCCTCGTCGACGGCCCGTAGGCCCCGCGTCACCCACGCGTGGTCAATTGTAGAGTCTCTATCCCTATGTTTCGTCCTCGTAGGTTCGCCCCACGGGGTGAGGAGCTCGAGGTCCCAGCTCATGCTAAGCGTAAGGAGGTCCTCGACTCCGGCCGTGTGTCGTCCGTGTCTGTCCCAGCTAGGGTGATGGAGATTGGAAATCCCCTACCAGAGCTGTACGGCTCGGCGTCCTGAGTGTCCGAAAGTGGTGGATTGGGCTAGACCAGCGCCTATTGTCGCCCGTACGGCTTGGGATCGGTGAGTATACTGAGTAGACTGACAAGGTGTTGCCATCGTCTGTACGGATCTGGACCCAGCACCAGTCGGGCGTCGCCTCCGCCTCCCAACGTGATACGGAGTGCCTCTTGTGCACTAGTAGCGCGCTCCGGCTCCCGTCCCCTGCGTAGACAAGATGATACCGGCCGCTCCTCGGGCAGTAGGTCGTCGTCCGTAGGTCAGGGTTTCTCCACGGCTCTTGGATTGCGATGATATTGTACTCCCGCTCCCCATCTATCGCCTGCTCCATCGCCGCTTTGCTGTTTCCCACATTCCAGTATAAGACAGTGGTTTCTAACATGACAGTGTAGGGGTCTCTAGTTCCTCCGTCTGCGTTCGGGACATTAGGTCGCGAATAGACTGCCCGTTCTGGCGGCCCGCTCTTGAGATATCCCTCGGCCGGCCGGCCCGTCGGCGCTCGTCCGGTGGAGATAGCGATGGTTTCCTCTTCCGGGACGTGACAATCTGGAACCCGTCCTCTGTGGCCGTCGGTATATAGGTTGATCCCCTATCGTGTCCTGCGACCCCGAACCGTATCGGGCGCTGCGCGTACGCCTCGCGGGCCGCAGTCCAACGCTTGTTGGCCTCTGGGCAGGACTTGTCCCAGACTGTATGACGCCCCTTGCATGCAGAGTAGCGCTTTGGGACCTCTCCTACGTTAGATGGGCACGCCTCCTCGCCCCCGTTGTGAGTTGAGGCGCTGCAGCGGCCACAACGTGCCGTACCACGGCACCACCGTGCCATGTGTCCGAATCCCCAGCACTTATAGCACTGTAAGGGTCTTAGGTCGCTAGAAACGGTTCGCACTGGTAGATTTGTGCGTCCCAGACGAGGCCTCTATCGCAGAGCCGATTCGCCTGGTCTACCGACGTTGTCTCGACTATCATGAACGCGTATCGCGGGCCCTCCGCCTCAGGGGTTTTTGGCTGTACTTTAGTAACGCTAACCCCGTTAGCCCTCGCGATCTCCGCCGCCACCTCCGTAAGGTTGGCCTTCCGGAGGTCGTCAGTCCGGACCCTCTTCGCGATGACCGCGTAGGCGCGGTGTTGGATATCTCGCTTGTGGGGCCCCGAAAGCCGCCTTTGCCCACGCTGTGTTCTCCGTGTGCCATCCTTTCGCCGCCTCCTCTTGGAACGTTACGATCGTGTCTCTGCTAGGGAGTTGTCTCGCAGCGATCGCTCCCTTCTGATTACTCGCGGCATTAATAGCTGCGACCCGCGGGGGGGGGGGGGCGCACAAGCCATTTAGGGTGTTTTCAGGCCGTGGATCGTGTCTGGGACGCTGTTTGGGTAGGACCGTCCGGGTCAAGAAAGTTTTTCACTCTAATCACCTTATTAAGGTTAGTAGCTTTCATGAAAGCTACTACGCAAAAAAGCGAGGCCGACTGACGATATCTAGAACATGATGTTTACTATGTCAAGCATAACCTCTCATATCTATTGCTTAGCGCGGAATTGGACGACAATCATTTTACACCCTGGGCAGGGATTTAAGGCAGGAACTTGAGAGGACAATCATTTCTTAAACTAGGATGGTAGCTTCCATGAAAGTTACTATGCCGGTGTAGGCAATTCCGCGCAGACGAAGAGTATCTTAGATATACTCCCTGCAGAGGAGAAATCGGCGACATACATCCCTAGATTTTCCTGATGCTACGATGCTAGTGAGCAGCCCTATCCGTTATAGCAAGTCACACATAATCAATCAGACCCTTCATGCAGACTAAAAGTATCTAATTCTCACTACAAAGATTATATATATATATATATTATAGGTATCTTAAATGCCTTTCTCCAAGGTTCAGTCTGTGTATAAATCTGATTCACTGATTCGGTTCTGTCCTCTGTTTCTAGGTCTCATACCTTACCTAGTCGACATACGTTCTACACTGTAGAAGCAGGTCTGTGACATTAGGCCCAATAGTCGTGGTAGTGAATGGCTCCTCGGTAATAGTAAATATATGTCCTTTTTGCTGAATTACGGGGTGTCTTCTCACTGCAAGGTAGATTTCCAGATGGTCGTAGATGTGACATAAATGACTATGATTTTGCCTGAGGATCAATGACTGCCTTTATGACCTTCCCCAAGGCCACATCCTCTAGTGCTTGTTCCGCCCTCTCCAACGGGTACATAGCCGTGACACAGGCGGCTAGGGGGAATCTCTGATGGTTTGCCTGGACGATCTGTGCGGCGCGATAGTAACACCATGGGGAACAGTATGTTGAGCCCACGATTTTGAGTGCCTTTTGAACAACGTCAGATGGACATATCGGTACTGTGTCCGAGCCGGCCCATGTGCCCACCAGCAAGTATGTGCCGCTACGTGCCAGGAGTCCAATCCCTTCCACGAAGGCCGACGCATTTCCGCTACACTCGATAACAAGGTTCACGCCCCTCTCGCCAACTATGTTTCCAATATGGGTTCTCCGGGCCTCAATCGTTTTGAGCCCCTCTTGGCGGAAGTCGACAAGCGCGGTCGCTCCAAAGGCACGGGCGTGATCAAGACGCCTTTTATTCCCTTCAATGCAGACGATATGCCTAGCTTGTGCAAGACTGGCCATCATGATGGCAGCCAGGCCAACAGGGCCGGCACCTTGCACGACCACATTGCAGCCAGGCGGGATTTGTCCAAGATGGTCGATGGCCTGAAGAATGGTTGGGAGAGCGCAACCCAAGGCGACATAGGCATTCAATGGTACTTTCTGGTCCACTTTGTAGAAGGAGTTGCTGGGCATGAGCGTAGCCACCTGTGTATAAGACGCCCAAACGGTAGGATTCTCCGCTGGTGACCAAAAGGTTCCGTTTTCACACGCCGTAAAATCCTGGGCCACTGTACAGTTGTAGCAGGAATTACATGGCCGGATCGGGTTCCAGTAGACAACATCACCAATAGCAACAGGGTGACTGGCGTGATCAGTCGTCACACCAGCTCCCAATTCAATAATTCGACCTAGTCCTTCATGTCCAAGCACGACAGATCCGGGAAGTGGTTGGTCACCCTTCCATAGATGGACATCAGTCCCACAGACTCCGGCACGTAGAACCCCGATATTTACGCATCCAGCAGACGGAGATGGAACAGTGCGTTGTCGTACTTCAAGTGATCTTTCGGGGCTTGTCAGCACCACCGATTTCGACTTTAATCCTCGAATCATTTCTGCAGAACTTTCACCTAGCAAGACGAACCAGAATGTTGCATGATGAACCACAAGTTATAAAACATGTAAAGGGAAAGACCCGATTATGAATATCGCAGATCCTAGCGCTCGGCTAGCACCCGGGTTACTTTTTCGTCACCGGTTGAGGGCTCAGCAACACCGGATCTCTCCCGTCGACCCCGCAAAAAGCCGGATAGCGTCCTAGGTGCCTTTCCCGGAGCGTTCCCGGTGGATCCTGGGTCGCATGTTCCTCCCCGGATTTCATCGGTCTTGGTTTCCCCACAAGTTTGGTTTTCCCCCATAAGTGCGGTTCCCCCACAAATGTGGTTTGTCGATCTCGGAAGGTATACGGGTCTTTTGAGCGGGTAGAGGGCATTACGTATCGGATGATGCACTCTTCCTAACCTTAACGCATATAAATGCAGAGCACTTGCCATGGACGAGCTTGCGTCTGCTCGATATACCAGCAATTGTGCTGTTTCTCAATTTTACGCATTTATCGCTCTTCAGATCAAGAACAATGTCAGGACGTCCTTTGAAGCCCGCCAATCTGAACCCCAACAGGGGCAAGGGCGAGCCTTTCGTTCTCCCACCGGGTGTCACGCCTGCCAAATTTGCGGAATTCCTCCAGCGTTGTCGTGCTATCTGCAGCCCTGACAATGTCATCGTCGTTGAAGCTGAAGACCAGTTGGTGGACGGCTCGTACATGGAGCCCAACAAGACACATGACATGCACCATATTGTCGACAAGAATTATTTTGTTTGCTCGGCCACCATATCTCCTCGGGCAGTTCCCGAAGTCCAGGATATGATGCGGCTCTGTAACGAGTTTGATGTTCCGGTGTGGCCGGTCTCGATCGGACGCAACACGGGCTACGGTGGCGCGGCGCCACGAGTTCCCGGTAGTATCGTTCTCGAACTGGGCAAGCATATGAACCGTGTTTTGGACGTGAGCTCCGAAGATGCCTATGTTCTTGTCGAGCCTGGCGTCACGTTTCAGGGCTTGTATGAATATCTGAAAAAGCACAACCTAAGCGACAAGCTTTGGCTAGATGTGAGTCCGCAAGGTTTCTTCTACCCCTTTGAAGCCTGATAATCTAGGGAGAATATCAATTGACGAGCTGCAAAGGTTCCTGACTTGGGCGGAGGATCCGTTCTCGGCAATACCATCGAAAGAGGGGTGGGATACACACCGTACGGAGGTTAGCTTTGTTCTCCGTCGTTGCTTTATTTCCACGGTTCGCGTGTGTATTTGCTCACAGATATCCTTTTCAAGATCACTGGATGATGCACTGCGGCATGGAGGTTATACTGCCGAATGGTGATCTCATCCGGACCGGTATGGGAGCCATGCCCAACTCGCGGAACGAAGACACAAAGGGACTACGACCAGACGAACAGCAACCGAATCGAGCATGGCAATTGTTCAACTACGGGTTTGGGCCTTACAATGATGGCATATTTTCCCAGAGCAGCCTGGGAATAGTGGTCAAAATGGGCATCTGGGTTAGTGGTCTTTCTGACATGCATATCAGATGAAGTCTCGGGCTAACAAGCCAAAAAAACCGAACAGCTGATGCCCAATCCTGGAGGCTACCAAGCCTACATGATCACAATCCCAACGGAAAAGGACCTTAAGACTGCCGTCGATATCATTCGTCCCCTGCGCACAGTGAGTGACATGTTTAAAGCGTCAGCACAGGTATTTAGTCTAATACTATTTCCAGCAAATGGTTATCCAAAATGTCCCAACAATGCGGTCTGTCCTCATGGATGCCGCAGTTGCAAATCCGAGGAAACACTACCTGAAGGAAGAGAGACCATTTACAGAAGAAGAACTTGATCAGATCTGCAAGGATCTGGATCTTGGACGCTGGAACTTCTACGGTGCCCTGTACGGACCCGAACCTGTCCGAAACGTTCTCTGGGATACAATAAAACAGGCCTTTTCTACCATCCCCGGGGCCAAATTCTACTTCCCTGAGGACCGAAGGGAGCCATTTTCCGTTTTGCACACGCGCGCATTGACGCTGCAAGGTGTCCCGACGTTTGACGAGCTGAGGTGGGTTGATTGGTTGCCGAATGGCTCGCATCTATTTTTCTCTCCCATTACCAAAGTCTCAGGGGAAGATGCCCTGCTGCAGTGTGAAGTCACTCGGAAGCGATGTGAAGAAGCCGGTGTCGACTTCATCGGTGATTTTGTAATCGGAATGCGTGAAATGCGTAAGGCATCCCTTTCCTTCCCATCCCAAGCTGGACCGATTCTAACACGGAGAAGACCACATCGTCTGCATAACATTCGACAAGGAAAACGCAGAATCCAAGAGGAAGGCCCTCTGGCTCATTGAGACGCTGATCAAGGAATGCGCCGAGCACGGCTGGGGAGAATACCGCACTCACCTAGCTGTCATGGATCAAGTCGCGGAGACGTATGATTTCAACAACAATGCACAGATGAAGCTCAACGAGCAGATCAAAAACGCCCTTGATCCAAACGGTATTTTGGCTCCCGGCAAGAATGGTATTTGGCCAAAGAAGTACAACCGGGACGACTGGAGAATTGCCAAGAGCATAGAGCTGCGTAAGCCGCGTGCTTCGGGAAAGCTTTGAAGGGGAGTTCCATAGCATGCCCGATACGACAAAAGGCTAGAATCCTTTTATCAACGCGGCTCACGAGACTTAATTTAAGATAGGTCTATTCGCCATTGAATCTTAGATGACAAAATGCCCTATGGGGTATAAGATATCATTGATAAGCGGGGGTTGTACTAATGGGAGATAATGAAACTTTTACTGGCCAATGTAGCTGTCATGGCTCTATACCGGCTACCTCTGGCTCTTACACTAGTGATGCAACTGACTGTACTGTGATATATTGTAAACATCAAATCGACAGAACTTTCTGCTAGCGTAAGTAAAATGTCACAACATCAAGATACTTTCAATTGCATGGGCTTCTCCGAGCGATTTACCGAAAAGCCAAGAGGATACAAAACCTTGAGAGATCCCCACTGGCCACAGATATCTTCTCCCAATCCTGTATTCACGAATTGTGATTTTCAAAGCAAGCTGATGTGGTGGCCTCTCGCGTGGCAATCCTGTTTTCTACCTCCCGAGCGATATAGATACATGTCATTTTCGATCCAATGAATTCAGTAGCAGCCTTATCTACTTCTATATAGGCTTCTCTCTTTAAGTCGTGGTAGTATATTCTAAGAAGCCGCCTGAAGTTAACGCGAAATCTTCCAACGCTCATTGTTGAGAACGCAATGCCGCAAAGCTCCTTGAGATAAGAGTCGTTGGTTAATAGATTAACAATCTCATCCCTTGCATCTTTAAAGATAGGGTCCACATGAGTATTATCGATTGGATTATATGTCGTGGATGTCGCCGTATCAGATACTTCAGAGTCTGATTCATGGACGTTGATGTGACGTCCGGATAAGCGATGATTTATTATTAACGAGCGTAGGAGTTCTTCCTGTAGATACTGTGCTGAGGGGTTCTTCCACTAAAGAATGAGACCTATTAATTGTGTACTTATCAGGCCAGGAAGTCTCATCATTTGATGAAAAGACACAGGGTCTATGTAGACGTTGCAAAGCTTGTGGATGCTTTGACAGCCAGAATGATATAATGAGTAAAAAAATCAGCAAGAGAAATATCGCAACTTGCAAACCTAATTTCTCATCAGGAATGCTAAAGCTCAATCGGGATTCATTCCAGATAGCACTGCCGGCTTGTATCCAGCGCTTAATTCTGTTTTTTGTTACCGGCGGATATTCGATCGTACATTGTGGGGCAGCAGTTTTGTTCTAGTGGAATAAGTGCTGTAAGATGTGAATTAGAGTCAAGCGTCGAAGAAATACCTTAGCGTTGTTACAGAAATCGAGGTAGTCTTTTTTAGCGGTCCAAACCGCTAAATTATAGGTTCGTACTGTATAGTAGATCACCATGAGAGCGGTGGCAGACACAATCAAAGCAGCACAGTTTTGCCATGGTTTCGAGACTGGCCGCCGATTACACGGCTGACGAGATCTAATGTCCAGGGCAGGTACGGTAGTCAAAGGTCGCGGTGGTCGAAGGGGTCGCGGTGGTCGAAGGGCTTGCAGTGGTCGAGGAGGGTGCGGAATTCAAAGGGAGTGTGATCGGGATTGATGTGGCTGAAGAGTTTGAACGCATAATGCTCTGATATTTGTTCTCAGTTCGAAGCGCTATAGTGAAGGCCAAAACCTAGAGACCACGTTGAAGTGGTTGTTCTAACCTCCTCAGTCTGACGCTAACTCTATTTTGGAAAGGTAGGGGCCAAAATTGGCGGCTAAGGATATACCTGCGGCCAAAGATTCTATCCAATTCTCTTACATATTACGGAAATTTACTAGCAATATACGATACCATACAAGAAGCCTTTTATAGTGGCCCTCACTTACTTCGGCTGGCCCCAATAAATAATCTCCGCTAAGTTCTTGGCAGTGGGGCTATAACAGAGTGATTGAGTGTGTATCGGTCAAGCCGATTTCGAGAAGGACTGTATCGGGCTGGCCTGATTGCACTCCCGCATAGCGGCTGTACTTAAGGCAAGCTGCATCAGGCAAATGAATACTACTACTATTACTATTAAGAAAAGAAAAATCTTTTCGTTTTTTTTCGTTTTTAATAGCTAAACTTAAAAGCTAATAAACTATTTATGGTGCTATTATTCAGCGAAACGTCCAAAGTTCGAGCGATATTCATGGTCCACGACAGTGCTTGGAGTGCATCCGACGCCACAGCCATTTGTGAAACTGCTTCCATCACTGAAGAGTTCCAAGGAATTGGGTGTTTGTGAAACCTTTGACTGAGACTTCAGCCCGACCGGAGAACCTCGTTGAGAATCGAATCAAGTTCGATACATCGCATAAGCGGCCATGAGACGCTCATATCCGAAAGCGCTGAGCACAAGGGAGACCTCGTCTCGGGCTCGGGCCGTGAAGAGTTTGGGCTAATTTCCACCCCAGGTTGTTCCTGCAACAGTCCATCGACACGTTCATAATCTTGGCGGCTTTTGCGCTGTGCGTGTGGCATGCTGCGGAGTCGATGCCAAATATTAGCATTTGTTCTGTCCCTCATGTAGTCGATTTTTGTGGAGCTCTTCCCGTCTCCGACGAAGAAAACCCTTTCGACACCGTTCTGACCTGCAAGGGTAAAGTTCTTGTTGGTTCGTTCGAGCGTAATGGCCACCCGGTCGTTACTTTACCTGGTCTTCTCGTCTTGCCATCCCTATCCGTCACCGGACTTGGACATTCGTGGTCCACACCCACTGGATGGCTTCGGATCGTATCCGGTAGCGTGAGGCTAAGTCTGATGACCTTGGGGATTAGACAGTTCGGGTCGGAGGTTATTGGCCCCGCAAACAAGATGATCATTACCCCGGCCCGAGAGCGGGCGGACCAACCGGATACGTTGACCTCGATCCGGGCCTTCCCCGGATAGGAACAATAGGAACACTATGACATTTGCCCTTCTTTCTTGAACAAACAGGGCACTAAACGCAATACTCGGGAGACTATCGGAGAACCTCGTATGAAATGGGGTACGGAAATGGATTCAGCACGGAGAATGAAATGCGTTCTTTTTGCAGGCAATTTATTAGAGCCACTGTCGATCCAGGATATTTAAATCTCAAGCCTTCACCTAATTACGCCTGCAAACAAGTCATGAGTCCAGCTGAGATTGTTACATCGCCTTCTCTCCCTACTCTAGAGGAGGGAAGGCCTATACACTCGAAATTTGGAAACGGTGATATCCACATACAACACGAGCATCGTGACCCGGCGACGATTGGAGAACTTGAGAGCGCACCGTTGATCGTCAAAGATGACCCCGTCGAGAATTTCAGACGGATGAGGGTAGTCGTTATTGGAGCCGGATTCTCAGGGATCTACTGCGGTATTCGCATCCCTCAGCGGTTACGCAACGTTGAGCTCTGCATTTATGAAAAGAACGCCGACGTCGGCGGTGCATGGTACGAAAATAGATATCCTGGCTGTGCCTGCGATATTCCATGTGAGTTATTATCATTTCCCCCCCAGCGGAAACAGAGCCACATGCTAACGGATTCCGACAAAACTGTTAGCGCACTCCTATCAGTATACCTTTGAACCAAACCCATCCTGGAGCAGAGTCTATGCCACAGCCCGGGAAATACACAAGTATCTCAAAGACGTGGCAACAAAATACTCGGCATCTAGATTTATCAGGCTGTCTCACCAGGTTGTGGATGTCGAATGGCATCAAGATGTGTCAAAATGGTAAGTAGGGTCCTGATATTCTGCACACCGCTTTACGAAATTGTCGGTCTGACAAACAGGGTCCAGGTTTATTACGGTTAGAAACAATGTCACGGGAGAGACATTTTTAGACAAAGCCAACGTTGTTATTAGCGCCCGAGGGATGCTCAATGACATATCCTGGCCCGATATTCCAGGACTCCAGGAAATGAAGATTCCAGTTATGCACTCAGCAGCCTGGGATGAGAAGTAAGAACGCGATAATGCATACATATCCTAACGATTCTAACAATCCGGGAAGACAGACCTTCGAAGGCAAACGAGTCGGGATCATCGGTGGCGGTAGCAGCGCGATCCAAATCATTCCCTCCTTGCAAAAGTTGAAAGACACGCAGCTTACCTGCTTGATTCGAAGTAGCATCTGGATTGCCAGTCCATTTGGCGAAGATGCTATGAAGGAGCTTGGTATCGAGGGAACTGAGAGTGAGTCTAGATGTCGCCCCTGAAAATCCCCTGTCCCTACTGCGAGCATTACAATACTAACATACGAAAAGTCAAACCAGAACAGCGTGCTCGTTTTGCAGAAGATCCAGACTACTATCTGAGCTTTCGTACGAAGCTTGAACGGGCCGCGAACCTAGAACACGCCGTTACATTCAAAGATTCCAAAATGCAACAGCATGCCCGCGACGGTTTTACTCAGCTCATGAGAGAACGCCTTGCGAAGAAGCCTGAACTCTTTGAACACATATTGCCTAAATTTGGAGTTGGGTGTAGGCGCCTGACCCCCGGGCCCGGTTTTCTTGAAGCTCTAGTCGAGGATAATGTCGAAGTGCTCAACAAGCCAATTGCAAAAGCGCGAGACACTGGCCTTGAGCTACAAGATGGCACCAAACTAGACTTCGATGTCCTGGTCTGCGCCACCGGATTTCGGACATCTGCGCCGCCCCCTTTCCGCGTCGCGGGTGTGGATGGGCAACTGATGGCGTCGAGGTTCAACCCATTCCCAGAAACCTATCTGTCTCTGACCACCGATAGCTTCCCAAATTACTTCATGATGCTCGGTCCCAATGCTGCAATCGGCACAGGGCCGTTAACGACAATGATGGAGAAGACAGGCGACTACATCATCAAGTGTATCCGCAAGATGCAAAAGGAGAACATCGCACGTATGGAAGTCAAGAAACAGAGGGTGAAGGACTTTTCAGCTGTCGCGTCGAACTACTTCAAACGGACCGTCTATCTCGACAACTGCACGAGCTGGTACCGTAATTGCGGTGGCCGTGGGGACCAGATTTCGGGGCTATGGCCCGGAAGTGCGCTGCATGCAATGGAAACTCTTCGGTCGCCACGCTGGGAAGATTATGACTACAGGTATGAAGGGGAGGACGATAGTGGGAAAGAAGTCAATCGACTGGCATGGCTTGGGAACGGCTGGTCTGTTGTCCGAACAGATGATGGTGCAGGAGACTTGGCACATTTCTTGCTGCCCGAGTCTGTGGATGTTCCCGCTGAGCCGTTTCCGGAGGAGACACTGGCGTATAAACAAAAGCCGTTTTCTCATTGAGGTCTGATAACTTCACCGCAGCTACTTTCGTTCTTAGGAGTATCTTGACGGAGCAACAAGGGTGAAGAAGAATGTTTTCTATCTTGAAAGTAATAGCCGCCACGGTGATTTTTCGATGCTTCTTCGAGTCACAACCAGCATTTTATAATCAGTAAAGCAAGAATCTGACTCATACTCGGCTTATGTTGAGTCTATGCGCGGCGTCCCGAAGCGGAATGGGCTGTTCCTGTTCGAATGAGGCGGCCACCGTTTTGAATCACCAACTGTTATAGACAGTGATTTACAAATCATCGGTTGTTTCACCACAAATTCATTGGATATTTTTCGCTACCTCCCTCGAGAAGGGATTTTATTTTAATCTTCATAAAACATTTGATTTCCGTGAGCAGCATAAGGTCAAGATTTTGATTGTAGCGAGCCTCGAGTATTGACTGGACAGCCAAAGATGAGTATAGTCACAGAAGGGTTGCTTCAAGTTAATGCCCATTCAAGAGGCTGAAAAGCCAAAATGAAAAAGAGATCCTCCTGCCTTCTTATCTCAAGTCTAAGACTTTAGGAAATCCAGTAAATCTTTGTTCACCTCGTCAGCGTTGATGTTGTGAATGCCATGAGAGCCTCCAGGGTAGATTTTGAGCTTTCCTTTGGGCAGAAGCTTTGCCGACTTCAGTCCAGTTGCACTGATGGGCGCGATTTGGTCGTCATCGCCATGAAGAACAAGAACAGGAATATCGATGCTCTTTAGGTCCTAAATATATTCCGGCCCGTCCCCCCCCCCGGGACGCGCTTAGAAAAGTCTTGGCGAGGGGGGGGGGGGACGAGTAAATACGTCCCCCCCCCCCTAACTAGGTCACCCCTCTATATTTTTCGATCGGGCTTTTTAGAAGTTTGATTAGAATTATCTATACTATCCTCCTGTCAGGTTTAACAGGATGATTTCTAGTCAGAAGGGTAAAACCCTAAGGGGTCTGATTTTGGTAGGTGATTTTTTGATGGGGTATGCCAAGACCAGGACCGACGGGTAGTCTATACCCTTTTTGGCCAGCCTTCTAAGCCTAGGGTTTCTGCCTTAGCTATGAGGTATTCTAGGGCTTTTGGGTTAAGACTAGGGTTGCTGCTTATTGGCTAACTAGTGAAGCTAACTAAATCTGGTTTGTACTACTATATAGGTAAGCTTAGTGAGTAGGGGTCTAGAAGGCTATGATTATATAAGCAGGGCCTATAGAGGTTGAAAACAGTATAAAAGAGGTCTGGAAATTTTTAGACTGCTGACTAATATTAATTTATATAGGGTAATAGAGGGGATTTTAGTGATCAGAATGATATTAGTATAAGCTAGGTAAGCCTAGTGGTTATTGAGATATTGATAAATAAATATTTCTATTACAGATATTACTACGGGTACTGTGGCCAGTTGTTGAATAATACCTTATAGTATATATGTCTATACCTAGGAATATTAAAGTATAAGCTTGAATATTATAATCTTCTTAAAGTATTAGAAATAGTATATAATCCTACTATAGTAAGGTACTAGGGGTAAGGTACTAGAGATAAGGTGCCGGGGGTAAGGTGCTAAGGGAGAGGTACTAGGGCTAAGGTGCTCAGGGTAAGGTACTAGTGCTAAGGTGCCGGGGCTAAGGTGCCGGGGGAGAGGTACCAGAGGTAAGGTACCCAGGGAGAGGTGCTAGGCGAGAGATGCTAGGGCTAAGGTGCCGGGGCTGAGGTGCCAGAGGTAAGCTGTCCGGGGAGAGATACTAGTGCTAAGGTACCCAAGGAAAGATGCCGGGGCTGAGCTGCCAGAGGTCAGCTGCCCGCGGAGAGCTGCCGGGGCTAAGGTGCCAGGGCTCAGCTGCCAGAGGTGACCTGCCAGAGGTGACCTGCCCGGGGTGAGCTGCGGGGGGTGAGGTGCTAGGGTTAAGGTGCCAGAGCTGAGCTGCCCGGGGTAAGCTGCCCGGGGTGAGGTGCTAGGGCTAAGGTGCCAGAGCTGAGCTGCCCGGGGTGAGCTGCCCGGGGAGAGGTGCCAGGGCTAAGCTGCCACAGGTGAGCTGCCCGGGGAGAGGTGCTGGGGGTGAGGTACTGGGGGTGAGGTGCTAGGGCTAAGGTACTGGGGAAGAGGTGCTGGGGGAGAGGTGCCGGGGCTGAGCTGCCACAGGTGAGCTGCCCGGGGAGAGGTGCCAGGGCTGAGCTACCACAGGTGAGCTGCCCGGGGAGAGGTGCTGGGGGTGAGGTGCTGAGGGTAAGGTGCTAGGGCTGAGCTGCCACAGGTGAGCTGCCCGGGGAGAGGTGCTGGGGGAGAGATGCTAGGGGAGAGGTGCTAGGGCTGAAGAGCCGAGGCTGAGCTGCCACTGTTGAGCTGCCACTGTTGAGCTGCCACAGGTGAGCTGCCACAGGTGAGCTGCCCGGGGAGAGGTGTCAGGGGTGAGGTACTAGGGCTGAGGTGCCAGAGGTGAG